ATTTGCAAATGTATAAAAATAACGCTAAACCGAGTATGTCCCGAATTTTATCGCGGCGCGAAAGTACATGTAAATCAGTTTAAAATTGAAAGCATTCTAAGTGTTTTTTTTTCAGCAGATTGTATTCCACTTATCCGAAAACGTTCGAATGTATGGGAGCCCGTATCCGTTCAGTACCCAATCCTCCGAGCACGTATATCACAGTTTGAAACGACTATTATCGTCAGAAATCACAAAGGGAATTGGGCAAAGAATGTTGCGGAAGTATGCTTTATTATAAAATTGTACACCGTAGAAAAATTTTAGTGCTGCAATTTTGCAAGATTTGACGACCGAAGTTCGTGCAAGACTTCATTCGGACCCAACGACAAAACAACATGATGTGTCTATCGTGAAACTGAGAAAACTGCTATTTCGATATTCGGAGAATGATGATATCGAAAAAACGACAGATGTCCCACTGAAGTACTCAATGCTGGCTCAAAAAGGCGATTTGTTTACTGAGAAATACAGCTATCAAGGCTCACACTACTCAATACAAAGAAATACTGCTTCGGATAATAGCGTCGTGATGTTTCGTTGGCGAAATTCACTGCAATATGGCGATGTATTGGGATTTCTCCTCAATGAGAAGTTCGGTGACCGGGTTATTCTACAACCATACATTCTAAATACAGACAACCTATTGCAATTAGCAAACTCACTCCATCAAAATTTTCAAAAAGAAGAAATTAAGCAATGCATTTCGACAATCGGTTCATGCAGATATGGTGCTGTGGTGAGAAATAAAGGTTCTCTATTTTGCTTGCCAATTTCTAACCTTATTGGCTACGCCATCACAGTTCCTGACAATGGAATCACGACTGTTTTACCATTTTCATTCAGACCTATGCTATCTTGAATAAAGTATTTATTGATCATTCAGTGATATATTAGAGTTTATCCGTTAGTCACGGTTAACTTATCTAATTTCAGTTAATACACACTTTTTTCCGATTATAATTTTGTTAAGGATGTCAAAGCGCACGCAGTCATTTGTAAAGCAAATAATTGAAGCGAACGCCTCAAGAAGAGAAATTAAAGAAACTCGTCCAAAATCCAAAGCAACATCGCATACCAATACCAAACGCAATTTGGTTTTACGACAAACTGGATTGCAAACGGTAAAAATGCTTGAATGGTTAAAAAAAATAGTGTTCATATTAAGGCTGTCGTTGACGGAGAGCTCATCGAGGAAGAAGTCGATGAAAATGAGCTGTACTTCGAAGACTATCGTCAAAACGAGCTGGATTTTGGAAGCATCGAAGGCATTCAGGTTGACGATATGCCAAACGACCAACCAGCAAGGAAGCGTAAAATTGTGGTGGGATTTTACATCTTTTTCCTGTTTTCGAATCTTCATTATTTTTAAAGAATGGTTTATGCCCATTAGAACTTGGCGAGGATCTGTATCATTCGACTCCGGAGGAATTGATCGACTTGAAAGTAATTCAAATTTTAACATTCCACTTTAACGCAAATTTACAGAAGACTGTACATACCAATCTCTCTGGAACGTTTCAGTTCGATCATACGAACGTGGATCAATTATGTTCTTCGTCCGATGATCATTTGAGGACAATTGCCTTTGCCATGAAAGGAATCATGTTCACGGTATGTTTTATTTATTGTTCAATCATTCCAAATGTAATGGTACCAGATTTCGCAAAAAAAAGCAGTAAAATCATCAAAAGCCGTAAAAAAAATATCAGAACTCGTCAAAACCGGCAAAAACCATTATAATTATGGTTACCGCTGTTTGAGTTTTTTGCGAAATCTGCATAGTACCACAATAGAAACTATAGAAACCCTATTCTTCCAGATAGAAACTTTATCCCAAAAATTCGCGGCAAAGCCAAACAAAAACAATGTGAGTATTTTTTTAAATTTTGCTATTCTCTAAATTTAGATCGACGTGATCGCCGTATACAACCCTGAAGCTCTTAAAGACGCAGAAATAATTATTCGATCACTGGATGGAAATGGTGGGTTTTTTGTGTTTCGAAAGCTTTGAATTTGTATTAAATCTTTTAACAGGAGACATCAACGTGGCCCAAATATTTTTGGAAATTCCGTTCATGAAGGCAGCTCTGAAGCATGTGATAAATACTACTGTCAACAGATTTGTCGATAAGGTATCTTACAATTATTTAAAGTTGCAAAAAAATACCTTCAGACAATTCCGAATAACGATCGTGTGAATTATTCAACATCGTTTAAGCCAACGCCGCCGCACGCAACGCTTCCAGTTCGGTTTGTCAACACAGCGATTGGTATGCTCAAATAGCGCGAAAAATGTTTAAAATATGTTTAAATTAATTTCAGCTGTTTTACAAAAGACGGTTACCATCGCTGGAATGGCTGACGAAACGGCGAATTCTACAATCTCCTATTTGGTACACGGTCATATGACCTATCTCCTGTGAGTTTTCACTTTTTTAGTGGGCCTATGCAGATTTTGAAAAGAAACGCAGTAAAAACCTTTTAAAGAAACTCGACAACATTATAAAGATTCGGCTAAACTAGTCTTAATCAGATTTTTTGCGTTTTTCTCCAAAATCTGCACATGCTGAAGACTGCCTCATGATTAATCATTCAAATGAACTTAATTCAGAAACAATTCACGATCGAAAGCGCGAGCAGTGGAAAAAAATGGTTGATGCGCCAACCAAAATTAATTTATTTATTCTTTTTTCTTTTTCATTTTTTTGTCTTTCATATTTTTTTTTTAATAAACAGGTATAGAAATCTTTACATCATATAAAAACGTTAAAATGCCAAACGAGTAGTGTAAAGTGAAATGGTATACGAAAAAAAATCTCAATCGAATACGAAAAAATCTCAATCGAATACGAAAAAATCCCAGTCGAATACGAAAAAATCCCAATCGAATACGAAGAAATCGTTACCGTATATGAAGAATTATAGTCGTATACGAAGAAATCACAATCATATACGAAGAATTATAATCGTATACGAAGAAATGCCAATCGTATATTAAGAAATCCCAATCGTATTTGGCCGCGTTTGAAGAGCGATATCAGCGTATACGATTGAGCTTTCTTCGTATACGACTCGGAATCATTTACCAGAGGCAGTGGCGCAGAATGGTCGATGGCGAACGGTCGACGCTGCCCGGGGCGTCGAGTAGAGCGAGGAAGTGGATTCAAAAGGTAGGGATGGAGTCGCAGTCTATTCGAATAATTTGGATCATTGCAGGCATCTTGTGGATCAAATGGATCGAATCGAATCGGAAGCGACGAGGAGGAAGAGCAAAGTCGTGTATCTGGTATTTTTTGGCCCGGGCCTTATTTTTTTTCTACTTTTTATTATTATTATTCCTATTACCAGTCGTACCACTTACGACTCGTTCCCCTCTATATCCCACCACTTGGGATTCTCTCTCCTCTCCGTACATTCGTAACACTTACGTCTGTACATCCTCCCGGTCCTACCGTTTGGGACCACTCTCTTCTCTTTTTCTTTGCCGGCTTCCCCTTCCTTCTTCCTTCCACCAGTCGTACCACTTGCGACTGTCCCAATTCTCTCCTCCTGCCGTACCGTTTGCGGCTTCTCTATATCCCACCACTTGGGATTCTTCTCTCTTTCAGGTCCTACCGTTTGGGACCATCCTTTTCTTCTTTTTGGGGAAAGTCGTACCACTTACGGCCATGCCAGTCATTCCACTAATGACTGGCTTCCCCTTCTTTTTTTTTTAAATTTGTATTTTTAGGTATGTTTAGGTATCGCCGCTGCCGTCAATGGAAGGATCTCGCCGGTGAATCGACTCACCGGCACACATCCCATAATAAGACTAAGTCTAAGTCTCTAAGTACCACTAGTCTCCCTAACTCTCAAACCCGCCGTAGTCGGCATTCCCCAGGTCGTAGTCGACCACCCCTAGCCGTAGTCGGCTACTCCCCAAGCGCCTCGGCTTCCCGTCCCTCATAATCGTAGTGCCGAGGCGTTGGCTGGATGGCGGCTTAACCGTCGTATCCTAAATTCGGGTGATTGGCCTGGCAAGCCCTTCAGCCCTGATTCCGTAGCCGGGAATCGAACCCTACCCAAACGCCCCCGTTTCAAGTACTTTCGAGTGCTTGGAAACTGCTACGGGGCGTTATGGATGGTTATGCTTTAGAAATTTGCTTCACCGGGTGTCCTCCATACTAGTCAGGATGGCATCTGGCCCAGACCTATATTGACGTGGATTGGCCAGCTATGTCAATATGTCCAGCCTTTCGGGTGCACATGGACCGTGCTTCTTGGCATAGTAGCTTGCTACTTTGTAGTGGCTTGCTACTACTTAGTAGTAAGCTGCTGTGCTGAGAACACAAAAACCACTTTACCATATCACCAGTAGACCCGGGGCCCAGCCAGACGTGGCTTGCCCAACCACTTCTACTTCTATTATCCTCGGATGATAGTTGTGGGATGTCCTTGGGTGATCCCCATGGTGGGATCGGCGATGACCCACATCAGGTTTCGGCCTGATGCTGGTGAGCCTCTCCTTCATGTGTCGAGCCTCTACGCGGCGAAGGAGATCAACTGACTCGATCGAGTCAGGCTAATCGGCACACGAATCCCAACGGCCCTCTTCAGGGCCATCAAATTCATTTGTGTTGTTTTTTTAAATTGAAATTGTATATTGGCGAGGTCCCATCCATCTATGAATGTCTACCGAATCGAATTACAGACTTGAAAGGTAAGCTTCTCCAGTTTTTATTTTTAAAAGGGGGGGGGTCATTTTTAGTCGCATTGGTCCCCTCATTATCCAGATATTTGTTTTTCCAATTCCGCCCTCTTGAATGATGGGACCACGTCCACGAATTGCTGAGATTCCTGAAACGTAAAACATCGGCGCGAGACCCCCCACCCCACCCCCAAAGTAAAGTTGCCCCACTTCTGCAATCAGTCGAATCGAAGGGTGTAACCAGGAAAACGAAACAAACACCCTTATCAGTTTATTCACAATAATTATCAGTATCGCACGCTTCGACTTCACAAACATAGTTTTTTGAAACGCTGAAGCAGTCGACATTTTGCCATCCGGTCTAAAAAAAAACCTGGGTTGAAAATTGCTGAACGCCATTGATCTAAACCTTCAATTCGGTTCCCTGTTGTGAATTGAGAACACATTTGTTGGATGAGGAGGTCGTCGTCGGATAGCCAGGATTCCAGAAGCCCTTTCCTTGAAGCTGAATCAATGTATAACCATGACATCGGCCTATGTGGGGCTTACTGGCTCCAATTGGTAGCCAACAGGCTGCTCCCAATTATAGGCGCCATTCACATAGGAGAGGCCGATATGGTACGCATAGGGCTCGGATTGGACGGCGTCGTGTTTCATCATTTCTGAAGGAAACGTCGAGGCGGAATTGGGAAAAAGAAAATTGACGAACCAAGAAGATAGGTGTGCTTTTCTTGCGTGAACTCGGTCGCCAGGAATCCGCTGCGATGCATGTTGCGACACGCGAATTTCGCCGATGTCCACATCGCCGGAATCTCGGAGAGTCGCAAGCAGCTGCCGAGCTTGTAAGCGGCGGCGGTGTTGCCGAACTCCGAGGTGAGCTGACGCCACAAATCGGGACAGAAGCAGTTGGCGGCGCACAACGCGTTGACGATCTCGCCGACGAGATTCAAGTCGGTGTTGGTGAACGCGTTGCCCGGCGTCGCCAAATCGCCAATTTTGCGGATCATCATCGAATCGCCGGTTTGATCGTAGGCGATTGTGATCAGTGTGACGCCGCTTTGGCGGAGACGCATCGCCGTCGGCACCGGATTATTTTCGCCGTCGCTTCGATAGCTCGACGCGAACACGATCACCACCTTTTGGGTGGCGTTTCGACTAGAAACGAGCACACTTTCAGCGGCATACAATCCTCTGAAATTTTCGGCAAATTTGTCGAGATTGATTGATTCGTTACTTCTCAAGAATCGATTCCTCAATTGTGGTGACTTGAAGCACTGAAAACAGGTCTTCAACAAAGTCATCAGTGGTCTTATATTTCAATAAATCGGAATTCTAAACCTTATCATTGTTAAATTGAAAATCAGTTTGATTGAATGCTCACAATTATCGCGGTATTTGCATAAGTGACAAGCCCGATTCGCGTGTACCTCGGATCGTTGGAATTGTTCGGACCGATTCGCGTCGAGCCGAACACCGACGCAATCGTGGCGCTGATCTAAACGCGATGCTCTTTTGACGCTCAACGCGAACGCTCACGCCACCTGAACCACTCCGTCCTGTGTCATTCCGGCAGACGTGTCGACGACGACGACAACGTCGAGCCAGATGTTCTCGAACGTGCACGGACACCGACGATCGGCATACTCAGCCAGCGAGCCACCGCACGCAAGCACAACGAATAGAATTGCGGCTCTCATGTTTGAATACTTAAACGCGTAATGGCTTTAGACCTTATCAACGTGTTTGCTCTAAGACCCAAGTTCCGCAACATTGGTGATAGTAAGACCACTTCTACATTACTTAAACCGGTTTATTACGGACAAACTATTTATGAGCAATAATTGTCGGTATCGCATGAGGCGACTTCGCACACGTAATTCTTTGTCACCGTAAAGCAGTTCTCATTCTGCCAACCGGTTCTCACGTCGGAGCCGGCTTGCTGACTGAGCACACATGGTGTCGACGTTGGATTCGACGGATATCCAGGATTCCAGTTGGTGTAGCCGGACAGCTGAAAATACGATGCGATTCGACGGCGTTGAATTTCGGTTTATTACAGGAATCAGCGCCTGATTCTTCGGCTGCTCCCATTGATATCGGCCATTGATATAATGGAGTCCAATGTGGTACATGTATGGTTGCGATTGGGCTTTGTCATTGATGAAATTTTCTGGAAATTGTTTTGTTAGTCACAAACTCGACGATGGTGAGATACGGAAAATGAACGAGTGCTTCTGGCTATCGAATTCGGTGGCGAGATAGCCGCCGGGATGAAGCGATTGGCACGCGAATTTGGCGGCCGTCCACGAGGCGGCAATCGTGGCGTCTTTAAGACACACGCCGTACTTGTAGGCGGCGGCGTCGCCGAACCTCGTCGAGTACTGAACCCACAAGTCGGGACAGAAGCAGTTCGCCTGACAGAGGGCGCCTTGAATCTCGCCGACGAGATTCATGTCGGTGTTGATGAACGCGTTGCCCGGCGACGCGAGTGTGCCAATTTTGCGAATCGACGACTCGTCGCCGTTCTGGTCGAACGCCACAGTGATCACCGTCACGCCGGACTCTTTGAGGCGATTTGCCGGCGGCACCGGATCGTGATCGCCGTCCTCTCTTTAATCATTCTCTCTTTCAATTTTTTGGTTTTTAAATCCGGGATACCTGTAGTCAGAAGCGTAGACAATCACAACTTGCTTGTAATTCTTTCTTCGACCATTGGCTCTTCCGACCTCGAGAACTTTCTCAGCGGCACCAAGACCTCTAAAATAAATCAAGCAAATTCTAGAGCTAACAATTAACGAGAAAAAAAAACTAACGTTGACACATATGATAACGAATTTTGACTGACTGTAAGTGTTCCGAAAATGTATTGCATGAGCTGATCGGTGCTTTGGAAATAGTCAAGATTGGCCGACTAAATTCACATATCGGTTGGGGGCAAATCGAAAGAATCGCCTACAATTGTCGCCTGGCTGTTGTAGGTGACGATGGCCAGACGAACGCTTCTCGGATCGCTGTAGTTGCTTCCGACGCGCGATTGTCCGAACAGCGATGAGATGTCGGCGGCGACCTGCACAAGGCCCTCGGCCGTCATTCCAGCCGAATTGTCAACGACGGCCACCACATCGAGCCAGTAGTTGTCGAGAGAGCACGCGCACTCGCGATCAGTGTTTCTTCCTGGAGCCGGACTTGATGTGGGGTAATTAGGCTGAGTTGACGTATCGTTGTCAGTCCAATCTGTCGTCCTTCCGGTTATGTAGTTAGAAGCTAAACCATAAGGTACGCACACTCCATAATTATACCAATTTTACCTGTCGCCGAAGCCACCAAGAAGACCAATAGTAAGAGATTCATACCTGAAAACGAGGCTAATTAATGAGCGAGCGATAAGCTAATGAATCGAGCAACTCCCATGCACACTTTTATACATTGACTGATAAATTATTATCAGTGGCTTCTCATTAAATTATGTGAACACGCCCGGTTTAATGAGATCAATAATCCGATTAATTAGCTCAAAGTCAAATTTTGATTAAATTACGAAAATTGTTTAAAAACAAAATGTTCGCTGCAGGACCCGCGCAGCGTTTGAGGGAATTCAAATGGAAAAAAAATGATTTTTTAAGACTTCAATTTCGCGAAATTTCAATTTTTCGTTGACTGAATATTTAATGCGCGTACACTATAATGCAATGTACGCAGTGTCAAGTTGTTTGAATCCGACAGTATTATATTCTCATCAATGCGATCTTCGATTCTTCTGAAAAATGACGTCGATTCCATCATAAAATGAAACTGCTCATTCTACTTCCTTCATTATCAAAATTGATATGGGGGTCGGGCAAGTTAGTATTCAAATATAGAGGCAATCAGTTGATGGAATGATGATTTGTGCTTCAAGCCAATTCGTGATGATTCGATGTAAAAGCTGACGGGAAAATATCGAGGTGTACAAAGCGATATGAGTGATGTCGGTGATTTCAAACAAATCGACGACGATCAACGAAAGCCATAGAAATAATTGAGCGAAAAATGAGAAGCGAAGAAGTTTCGAGTTTCGGCGATGAATGCAAATCGCGTCTGAAACGGCGACTAGAAATACGATTGAGCATTTGATCCAAACGAGCGATGTTGATCCGACGGCGATCAGAGCAAATGTGAGAATCGATAGAAGATGGAACGTTTTGACGGCGGGAAGTCCGCAATTGTTGTCGTCGTTTTCGAGCAAATAGAGAACGTCGTCTGAAAAATGGCTGAAATTGGGTTGAGGGGGAATTGTCGAAAAACTTGCCAGAAGCCATTTTTTTTGCTGCTTCTTTTCGAATGACTAATCGCACAATAAATAAAAATGTTTGTTCCCTCCCCACTCGCATTTTTTTATAATACAACAAAAATTCTATTGGTTTTTTTTGTTTTCTAAATATGGAAAATTAAAAATCAAGGAATTTAGAGTTTTCAGATGACAGTCGTTTGCCAATTGCTAACGCGACGGCTTCCGTGGTAAATGCTGCAATGTGTGGCACTTGTCATCAAATTATAGCCATCGCAACAAGCTTGTAAAACGGCACATACGAAAAACTGGCCGTTTGCAGGCCGGCGTCACAGGAACAATAAGTAGATATTTGCGCGGTCGATTTATGGTCTATTTTCTGTCTTTTTATTTCAAGAAAAAAAAAATTAGATGAATAGTTGCTCAGAAATATATAGGATTTAAAATTCCTTCACGCCGTTTTTGTATATTTAACTATAAAATTACCTTTTCTACCAACGACATTTCGGTGGTAACATCGTTAATTAACTTTCTTTACTGAAAACGCTGAAACGTTAGATATAACTGAGAGTTATATCATCATCATATATATATATATACAGGGTGGCCCAAAATTATGGAAACACAAGTTTGAAGCCTTCTGGCAGATGCTGGCGCATTTTTCGCGCAACAATTTTATTATTTTGTTTTTCAGCATGTTTTAATTACCCTATTCCCAAATTTTCATTTACCCTATTCCCAAACAAACATTTTTATTTATTGTGCGATTAGTCATTCGAAAAGAAGCAGCAAAAAAAATGGCTTCTGGCAAGTTTTTCGACAATTCCCCCTCAACCCAATTTCAGCCATTTTTCAGACGACGTTCTCTATTTGCTCGAAAACGACGACAACAATTGCGGACTTCCCGCCGTCAAAACGTTCCATCTTCTATCGATTCTCACATTTGCTCTGATCGCCGTCGGATCAACATCGCTCGTTTGGATCAAATGCTCAATCGTATTTCTAGTCGCCGTTTCAGACGCGATTTGCATTCATCGCCGAAACTCGAAACTTCTTCGCTTCTCATTTTTCGCTCAATTATTTCTATGGCTTTCGTTGATCGTCGTCGATTTGTTTGAAATCACCGACATCACTCATATCGCTTTGTACACCTCGATATTTTCCCGTCAGCTTTTACATCGAATCATCACGAATTGGCTTGAAGCACAAATCATCATTCCATCAACTGATTGCCTCTATATTTGAATACTAACTTGCCCGACCCCCATATCAATTTTGATAATGAAGGAAGTAGAATGAGCAGTTTCATTTTATGATGGAATCGACGTCATTTTTCAGAAGAATCGAAGATCGCATTGATGAGAATATAATACTGTCGGATTCAAACAACTTGACACTGCGTACATTGCATTATAGTGTACGCGCATTAAATATTCAGTCAACGAAAAATTGAAATTTCGCGAAATTGAAGTCTTAAAAAATCATTTTTTTTCCATTTGAATTCCCTCAAACGCTGCGCGGGTCCTGCAGCGAACATTTTGTTTTTAAACAATTTTCGTAATTTAATCAAAATTTGACTTTGAGCTAATTAATCGGATTATTGATCTCATTAAACCGGGCGTGTTCACATAATTTAATGAGAAGCCACTGATAATAATTTATCAGTCAATGTATAAAAGTGTGCATGGGAGTTGCTCGATTCATTAGCTTATCGCTCGCTCATTAATTAGCCTCGTTTTCAGGTATGAATCTCTTACTATTGGTCTTCTTGGTGGCTTCGGCGACAGGTAAAATTGGTATAATTATGGAGTGTGCGTACCTTATGGTTTAGCTTCTAACTACATAACCGGAAGGACGACAGATTGGACTGACAACGATACGTCAACTCAGCCTAATTACCCCACATCAAGTCCGGCTCCAGGAAGAAACACTGATCGCGAGTGCGCGTGCTCTCTCGACAACTACTGGCTCGATGTGGTGGCCGTCGTTGACAATTCGGCTGGAATGACGGCCGAGGGCCTTGTGCAGGTCGCCGCCGACATCTCATCGCTGTTCGGACAATCGCGCGTCGGAAGCAACTACAGCGATCCGAGAAGCGTTCGTCTGGCCATCGTCACCTACAACAGCCAGGCGACAATTGTAGGCGATTCTTTCGATTTGCCCCCAACCGATATGTGAATTTAGTCGGCCAATCTTGACTATTTCCAAAGCACCGATCAGCTCATGCAATACATTTTCGGAACACTTACAGTCAGTCAAAATTCGTTATCATATGTGTCAACGTTAGTTTTTTTTCTCGTTAATTGTTAGCTCTAGAATTTGCTTGATTTATTTTAGAGGTCTTGGTGCCGCTGAGAAAGTTCTCGAGGTCGGAAGAGCCAATGGTCGAAGAAAGAATTACAAGCAAGTTGTGATTGTCTACGCTTCTGACTACAGGTATCCCGGATTTAAAAACCAAAAAATTGAAAGAGAGAATGATTAAAGAGAGGACGGCGATCACGATCCGGTGCCGCCGGCAAATCGCCTCAAAGAGTCCGGCGTGACGGTGATCACTGTGGCGTTCGACCAGAACGGCGACGAGTCGTCGATTCGCAAAATTGGCACACTCGCGTCGCCGGGCAACGCGTTCATCAACACCGACATGAATCTCGTCGGCGAGATTCAAGGCGCCCTCTGTCAGGCGAACTGCTTCTGTCCCGACTTGTGGGTTCAGTACTCGACGAGGTTCGGCGACGCCGCCGCCTACAAGTACGGCGTGTGTCTTAAAGACGCCACGATTGCCGCCTCGTGGACGGCCGCCAAATTCGCGTGCCAATCGCTTCATCCCGGCGGCTATCTCGCCACCGAATTCGATAGCCAGAAGCACTCGTTCATTTTCCGTATCTCACCATCGTCGAGTTTGTGACTAACAAAACAATTTCCAGAAAATTTCATCAATGACAAAGCCCAATCGCAACCATACATGTACCACATTGGACTCCATTATATCAATGGCCGATATCAATGGGAGCAGCCGAAGAATCAGGCGCTGATTCCTGTAATAAACCGAAATTCAACGCCGTCGAATCGCATCGTATTTTCAGCTGTCCGGCTACACCAACTGGAATCCTGGATATCCGTCGAATCCAACGTCGACACCATGTGTGCTCAGTCAGCAAGCCGGCTCCGACGTGAGAACCGGTTGGCAGAATGAGAACTGCTTTACGGTGACAAAGAATTACGTGTGCGAAGTCGCCTCATGCGATACCGACAATTATTGCTCATAAATAGTTTGTCCGTAATAAACCGGTTTAAGTAATGTAGAAGTGGTCTTACTATCACCAATGTTGCGGAACTTGGGTCTTAGAGCAAACACGTTGATAAGGTCTAAAGCCATTACGCGTTTAAGTATTCAAACATGAGAGCCGCAATTCTATTCGTTGTGCTTGCGTGCGGTGGCTCGCTGGCTGAGTATGCCGATCGTCGGTGTCCGTGCACGTTCGAGAACATCTGGCTCGACGTTGTCGTCGTCGTCGACACGTCTGCCGGAATGACACAGGACGGAGTGGTTCAGGTGGCGTGAGCGTTCGCGTTGAGCGTCAAAAGAGCATCGCGTTTAGATCAGCGCCACGATTGCGTCGGTGTTCGGCTCGACGCGAATCGGTCCGAACAATTCCAACGATCCGAGGTACACGCGAATCGGGCTTGTCACTTATGCAAATACCGCGATAATTGTGAGCATTCAATCAAACTGATTTTCAATTTAACAATGATAAGGTTTAGAATTCCGATTTATTGAAATATAAGACCACTGATGACTTTGTTGAAGACCTGTTTTCAGTGCTTCAAGTCACCACAATTGAGGAATCGATTCTTGAGAAGTAACGAATCAATCAATCTCGACAAATTTGCCGAAAATTTCAGAGGATTGTATGCCGCTGAAAGTGTGCTCGTTTCTAGTCGAAACGCCACCCAAAAGGTGGTGATCGTGTTCGCGTCGAGCTATCGAAGCGACGGCGAAAATAATCCGGTGCCGACGGCGATGCGTCTCCGCCAAAGCGGCGTCACACTGATCACAATCGCCTACGATCAAACCGGCGATTCGATGATGATCCGCAAAATTGGCGATTTGGCGACGCCGGGCAACGCGTTCACCAACACCGACTTGAATCTCGTCGGCGAGATCGTCAACGCGTTGTGCGCCGCCAACTGCTTCTGTCCCGATTTGTGGCGTCAGCTCACCTCGGAGTTCGGCAACACCGCCGCCGCTTACAAGCTCGGCAGCTGCTTGCGACTCTCCGAGATTCCGGCGATGTGGACATCGGCGAAATTCGCGTGTCGCAACATGCATCGCAGCGGATTCCTGGCGACCGAGTTCACGCAAGAAAAGCACACCTATCTTCTTGGTTCGTCAATTTTCTTTTTCCCAATTCCGCCTCGACGTTTCCTTCAGAAATGATGAAACACGACGCCGTCCAATCCGAGCCCTATGCGTACCATATCGGCCTCTCCTATGTGAATGGCGCCTATAATTGGGAGCAGCCTGTTGGCTACCAATTGGAGCCAGTAAGCCCCACATAGGCCGATGTCATGGTTATACATTGATTCAGCTTCAAGGAAAGGGCTTCTGGAATCCTGGCTATCCGACGACGACCTCCTCATCCAACAAATGTGTTCTCAATTCACAACAGGGAACCGAATTGAAGGTTTAGATCAATGGCGTTCAGCAATTTTCAAATCTAGTTTTTTTTAGACCGGATGGCAAAATGTCGACTGCTTCAGCGTTTCAAAAAACTATGTTTGTGAAGTCGAAGCGTGCGATACTGATAATTATTGTGAATAAACTGATAAGGGTGTTTGTTTCGTTTTCCTGGTTACACCCTTCGATTCGACTGATTGCAGAAGTGGGGCAACTTTACTTTGGGGGTGGGGTGGGGGGTCTCGCGCCGATGTTTTACGTTTCAGGAATCTCAGCAATTCGTGGACGTGGTCCCATCATTCAAGAGGGCGGAATTGGAAAAACAAATATCTGGATAATGAGGGGACCAATGCGACTAAAAATGACCCCCCCCCTTTTAAAAATAAAAACTGGAGAAGCTTACCTTTCAAGTCTGTAATTCGATTCGGTAGACATTCATAGATGGATGGGACCTCGCCAATATACAATTTCAATTTAAAAAAACAACACAAATGAATTTGATGGCCCTGAAGAGGGCCGTTGGGATTCGTGTGCCGATTAGCCTGACTCGATCGAGTCAGTTGATCTCCTTCGCCGCGTAGAGGCTCGACACATGAAGGAGAGGCTCACCAGCATCAGGCCGAAACCTGATGTGGGTCATCGCCGATCCCACCATGGGGATCACCCAAGGACATCCCACAACTATCATCCGAGGATAATAGAAGTAGAAGTGGTTGGGCAAGCCACGTCTGGCTGGGCCCCGGGTCTACTGGTGATATGGTAAAGTGGTTTTTGTGTTCTCAGCACAGCAGCTTACTACTAAGTAGTAGCAAGCCACTACAAAGTAGCAAGCTACTATGCCAAGAAGCACGGTCCATGTGCACCCGAAAGGCTGGACATATTGACATAGCTGGCCAATCCACGTCAATATAGGTCTGGGCCAGATGCCATCCTGACTAGTATGGAGGACACCCGGTGAAGCAAATTTCTAAAGCATAACCATCCATAACGCCCCGTAGCAGTTTCCAAGCACTCGAAAGTACTTGAAACGGGGGCGTTTGGGTAGGGTTCGATTCCCGGCTACGGAATCAGGGCTGAAGGGCTTGCCAGGCCAATCACCCGAATTTAGGATACGACGGTTAAGCCGCCATCCAGCCAACGCCTCGGCACTACGATTATGAGGGACGGGAAGCCGAGGCGCTTGGGGAGTAGCCGACTACGGCTAGGGGTGGTCGACTACGACCTGGGGAATGCCGACTACGGCGGGTTTGAGAGTTAGGGAGACTAGTGGTACTTAGAGACTTAGACTTAGTCTTATTATGGGATGTGTGCCGGTGAGTCGATTCACCGGCGAGATCCTTCCATTGACGGCAGCGGCGATACCTAAACATACCTAAAAATACAAATTTAAAAAAAAAAAGAAGGGGAAGCCAGTCATTAGTGGAATGACTGGCATGGCCGTAAGTGGTACGACTTTCCCCAAAAAGAAGAAAAGGATGGTCCCAAACGGTAGGACCTGAAAGAGAGAAGAATCCCAAGTGGTGGGATATAGAGAAGCCGCAAACGGTACGGCAGGAGGAGAGAATTGGGACAGTCGCAAGTGGTACGACTGGTGGAAGGAAGAAGGAAGGGGAAGCCGGCAAAGAAAAAGAGAAGAGAGTGGTCCCAAACGGTAGGACCGGGAGGATGTACAGACGTAAGTGGTACGAATGTACGGAGAGGAGAGAGAATCCCAAGTGGTGGGATATAGAGGGGAACGAGTCGTAAGTGGTACGACTGGTAATAGGAATAATAGAAAAAAAAAAATAAGGCCCGGGCCAAAAAATACCAGATACACGACTTTGCTCTTCCTCCTCGTCGCTTCCGATTCGATTCGATCCATTTGATCCACAAGATGCCTGCAATGATCCAAATTATTCGAATAGACTGCGACTCCATCCCTACCTTTTGAATCCACTTCCTCGCTCTACTCGACGCCCCGGGCAGCGTCGACCGTTCGCCATCGACCATTCTCACTCCTCTTCACGTGCTCTGTCTACTCATGAATGTGGGTTTAACGTCGGCCTGGAAGCGGCACTGCAGTAGGGTTAGTACTGGCTGACGGAGTCGCACCAGTCGAGAATCCCCGACACTTTCAACATAGCGCATCAGAAGAGCTCGAACGAGCAACGACTGTGGCGCTCGGATCTGCAATAAATGGAATTGAAGGAAAGGAGTGGCGATGGATGTGACTTACCGAGTGGATCCTTGGCCACGACGAGCCCGCAGGCGATGCGGGCACGGGTGAGCCCGCTGGGTTATGTGGGGCACGCGGAGCCCGCAGGTTATGCGGGACGCGTGGGAGTCCACATAGCTATCCGAGGGGGGGCGGATATGCGGGTCGCTCGCAACTCGAGGAGCTGCGAGAACTGACCAAATCGCCCATCTCGACGGCCTTTTATAGTGCCACTCGTGTCGGTGCAAACTGTGCAATGGGGCGCGTTTGTCGAATCGAACAATAAATTGACGCCACGTGTCGTCAGAATCTCTTTGGTTCGCACATTCTCTAATCTCACACGGCTCGACGCCGCTTTCCCAATCGACGCCGAGGCATTGCGGTGGAGCGCACTTGCCGCAATTCGAACAAATCTAGCAATTCAGTTTGTTAGAATTGGAGCAGAAATTTTTTTTTGAAATTTTTACCTTTTTCATACTCACAGCATGAATTATGGTCCCATCTGTGTTAATTTTCCGTTTTCTTTTTATCACGTCAAAATCAGGCATTTCTTTATTCAGAAATGATCGAAACTGATTGTCAATAAACTAAATGGTCCTTAAATTGGGGGGGGGGGTCCCAATTTCCGGGTAACAAACATTCGACCCCCCCCCCCTCCTTCTCCTTCAAATGGAATTAATGGAACCCCTTTGAAGAATTGTGTTTGGCGATCGAAGGTACGATATCGAGTGCCAATCGTGTTTGAGGCCAACAAGAAGATGTCGTTCTGACGGCTGGCTTTCGGTCGCACGTTCAACCGAAATCGGGCGCTTCTCAATGTTCGCCAACCCCCAGAAACGCGTTTTGAAAATTTTTGAAGCAAAACTCGACTTCGAGAACAATCCAATGGGAATGCGCTACGATTTTTGTGAAGCATTGGCTTCAGATGGGCTGCGTCGACGATGACAAATGCAAGCCACCACATCAATTTGTTTCAAGAAGACGACGCCAAACCGATTCGGCCGTCTAGCGGCGAGAATATTCAAATTTTCGAGTAGATCTTCAAACGGTTTCATTTTTGATCTACCCATTTATTTTTTTTAATGGGATATTTGAAGTTGCGCGGATCCGTCGAATTTGACGATTCCTGACGTATCGGCGATTGGAAAAACGCCAAACGCGCTGAATTTGGAAGGATTGGCGGCGAGCGTTGATGTGCGATTTTGGCTCGCGGAGCTCGCGCGCCTTATTTGGCAATCGCATGAGCGGCACCAAGCCGAAACAAGTCGAGCAGGTTCTTTTGGAAATCTCGTCGAAACTTTGAATACAAACCCAAAGCATTAATGCAAATTATTGATTTATTGGTCCATTCAATTCATCGGTCTCATTGCGCAAATATTGTCGCGGCAGAAGAAGTGCTCGAGGCAATCGTCGTCCGAATCACACACCATCGACGAGGCGGCATTGAGGCAAATTTGAGCGGCGATGAAGAATAGAGAAAGAATGGCAAAGTTGTGAAGCATTTCTTTTTGTCGCAAAAAATTTTCGCCAATTATTTATATCAGAAATTTTCTTTGATTCGATTAGAAATGGTTGGGAACGAGACAATCGAGATGGGAAAAATCACGATTTGAGGCATTATTTTCGACCCCCCCCTCCCCCTTTTTTCACAAAAACGTTCTTTTGTATTGGTTTTAATAACTGTATTTACGCAAACTGTCAATTTCAACCGTCTCTCTCTCCTCGTCATCGGAGTAATATGTTGTACTGCGGCAATTATCTCGATTTATTTGTAAAGTTTGAGATCGTTCGCTATTACGACCCCCAGCTTAATATGCTGTCATATAAGGCCGACATAGGATTTATTTTCAAAAAAAAAAAGATTAGTTATCTTTTTGTAATAATGCGAAACAATTTGAGGCAAGTGACACTGTTTTAAATTTCGCGCCAATTTTTTCACAAATTTTTTTTTTCGAAAATGTGCAAAAAAAAAGCGCAAAAATTTTTCCTGCCGCATACTGTAATAAAATGTGTGCAATTTCGCGTCTGTGGGTTTGCACGAATTTTTTCATCAATTTGAATTTTTCTTCATCGCGCTTCGTTAGACTCAAAAACTACATATCGATTCTTAAAAACCAGCGAAATTTCTGAAATTGTCCACCACCGAATATGCTTGCAATCATTTATTCTCATTTCATGAATATATCGGATTCGGAATACAGTCTCCGTTGTAGCAAGCGTGCGAAGGATCCCAACAATCCTCAGTAGTATCGCATGGTTCAGTCCGATAAGTTTGGATGCCGAAGCGCGCCAATAATGAGAAAACGACAACGGCAATCTGAAAATAAGTTTAAAAAAAAAGTTGTAGAATGAAAAAAAAATGCCTACCATGAGGAGTTTCATCGCGAAAATGACGCCGAACGGCGGCAGCCCAGCTTTTATTGTGGGAAATTTTGCAAAAAAAAACAAATAAAAAAAATAATGAAAATATTTTATTAAAAGCTCTATCATAGAAAAAATGAGGGAACTTCAAAATCTTCACTTTATTATGGCTATACAACTCTATGACATTTCAATGGTAGTGCGGTTCATATACAGTTACGGACCAGTATACAAGCAAGCGAATGGAGGAATTCAAAACGAACAAACAAACACGAGGGACTAGATTTATCAAGGTAGGTTTTTAAGTGTTCGGACCACTAACCATAACAACTTTCAACTATAACGCGCGCCATTTCGTCAAGTCGACTTCCGACAATTTTGAGCACGGTGTGAGTTGAGGTCCCGGCAGAAGGAACGCGTCCTGCGAGATGAGCTCGAACGAGTCGCCATTATCGCAAATGATGCGCGAGAGCGACGATTTTTTGATCTCCTCGACTTGAGGCCGAGTGAACACTCCCGGATTCTCATAGAAGAATCTATCGCCGTCGCGCAATCGTTTGAATTGCTCTCCGATTACACAGCTCAGTGTGCTGCCAACAAGACCGCCAACCACCGGGTCTTCAAGCATCGATCCGACATAGAAGTCGACGTCGTCTAAAACGTCTTATAGCCAATAAATATATTGATTCACAAATTACCAGTAGTGTTATAGTTTCTAGCTAAACCAGCGCGCAGATTTCTATCCAATATCAAATCTCCAAACTCTTCAAAAGTGGTTGCCGATTTCATACCACAGAATGTTCTCATTTTATTGTACGATGGAATACCATGATCGCGTCCCCTTTGAATGTTCAATGAACCGAGATCGGTGCTAAACAGCGATATTCATCATGATCTACCGGAATAATACAAATTGCATTTATATATATATACCTTCCAAACATCTTTTCAGTAATGGCGGGTGTCATTCGATGCGGCCGCTTCACAGCCGTCGTCATAAAACCGCGCATGATTGGATCGACGCCGCCCTCGAACAGAATTTTGCCCGATTTGAATACGCCGTCGCCGAAGAAAAAGCCGCCGTGTGTGATATTGTTGCCGGAAAAATCGACGCGTTTGTAGAATTCCTGCAGAAAAATGGCTATTTCTCGCGTTTCGCCACACACGCGTCACCTCAATCATTCCGTGACCGAATCTGAAAGCCGACGTCGTGAACTCGTTGGCGATCGTCGAATCCACATTCGGATCGTAGCCTTTGTAGGTTCCAACAACCTTGTCAAATGAGTTTCCGAACAATTTTGGTAGATATTCCTTTAAAACGCTTAGTAGTTTCGAATGGGAACTCAAAAACCAATTTCACCTTGTATAAAATATTCTGAATTTGAGCTCCCACAATTTTTCTCGCTTCCTGGAACACACGATCACCGCTCCACGTCGGATTCAACGCTGTCAATTTTCGTGCCACTCTGAATTGTTTAAGTTATTCATCGAGAAAAAATGATTCCTCTGATACCTATTGTGTTCTCTAGCGAACAATATGTGAAGAGATGAGAGTCCAATGAATAGATTTGCGCGAATATCGCCTGCAGTAAACGATGCGGTGCACTTGTCCTTATTTGGGCATTTCGATTGATCGAACGGCAAAACGTTTTGGTTATTGAAGTTGGTAATTCTCAAGAATCCGGTACGACCGTCTCGGAATTTGTGAAGATCTTTCGGCGAGCTTCCATAGATCATCGATCCATCGATGTACGCAGTATTCTCATTGAGCTGCTCTCGTGGTTCGACTCGACAAATCGGCGCGGACCTCGACACTTTCAGACATTGTTTGGATTTGAATCTGACATGAAAAAACCGAATGAATAGGAAAATAATTTGTCATTTTTCGCTACCCAATGTTGGGATCACTGCTTCCAATCGGAATCGGCATGCATTTTGACGGCACCGGATCGCATGTCTTGCAGTTTGCCGACGGTTGAAGAGTGGTCTTGGACATGTCGTGCGACATGAACTGACCCCATTGCATCATCATATTATTGAATTTATCGTGAACGACAGATTGAGCCGATGAGAGCATAACGCGGTTGGCCTCTCTCGCCGGTGGCCGATTTTTCTTAATGGAAGCTAAAAAATTTTTTATTAGGTTTTTTTTTGCTTAAATCAATGCCAACTCACCAACTGGCTCGCCTTTGCCGTCATCGTATTGCGACGGAAAATGCCGAATGAATGGACGGAACGCGGCGCCTCGCATCGGCTTCTCAAGATTGTTGCACGTTCCATCAAGCGTTCGATACATCAAATGATAGCACAAGTTTTTGTTGCAATCCACACCGGCTTCCGAGAGTTGCGGAACGCATCCTGTCGGCACACTTCTAGTGATGTCGTCGATCGAGAGCATATTCCTTCCGAAATTGTCTTCGACCGGATTGATGAGTCCCGATATCGACATGAGCTCCGATGCTTGCGCAATACTCTCGCGAACTTTTGCACATGATTGCACTGGTGTTAGTGACGATGGCGGAATTGTTACAGACGACTGTGTGGATGGCGCAGTGTTGCTGTTCACAGCTGTTGGAGGAGCTGAAAATAAAATATTATTTGCCATTAAAAAAAACAAACAAATGAGAATCCCGGGAATTTCTGGACCATTGTGATTTTTTCGAACGCAAATTTAAATTTTCATTTTCATTAAAAATGAGGGTACTGTACAAAGGACAACCTGCGAATCAAACTCACGGACTTTTATAAACTACAGTAACCGAGAAAGATTTTTTTCAATAGCATTAATTAATTTTTTTTTCTTTTTTCAGCATTTTCAACGTGTAATTTGGAGAAACCTGTCTAGATATTTTCGATTTTTCTACCTCCTTTACGGCCATAATTGTGTGTTAGAAGCGAGTTTTACGACCTAAAATTTTCGCGCAACTTTTTTTTGTCGCCTCTACCGCCGCTGCCGTCGATCCGATTCTCATTAGCCGCCGTCGACACACGGCTTGAGGGAACATTGCGTAACATATCATCAAATGCAATCCATCAAAGCTCACTTCCCGCGCACGCACGAACAAAGTGTGTCGGCGTTATCATGCCAAGGTCACTTTTTTTGTGCGCGCGCGTCTTGACCGTGACGAGAAAGAAAAAAATTCGTACCAGTTGTGGTTGTCAGTAGCGGTGCCGGTGGCGCCGTACAAGTTCCGCATGCCAGCTGACAATTGTCTGACATCCAATCTTTGTTCGCCTAAATCACAGATCAAATCAGTGCACATCGTTTCAACCTAGCCCAACATTGCATTCGCCGATCGACGCCCAGAATCGACACCACTCATGATGATCGCAGCATCCGTTCGTCAAGCACTTGAAGCGATCCGTAATCGGAGGGCTTAGCGTTTGTGCTTCTATTGTAAATTCTGCAATGAGAACAAAAAACCAGTAACACTTCAAGTATTCGATTTTTGTTTTCCGTTCGGGTCAACAACAAATCTTTTTTTTTTCTCGTTGCTAATTTCACAATATCACTTTTTTTTTGGAAAAGCGTGTTGTAAAAATGAAATTCTCGGAACAATAATATAAGTGTTACAAAAAGCGCTTCTCGTTGAAAATTCGTTCCTTTTAGATATTATCGAAGAAAACTGGGTAGCGAATGGCGTCCAACAAAAAAAATAGAAATTCATATATTGGGTTTTCTCGAAATTTTCGTACAAATTTATGAATAAATTCGTGACCGAGTGGGCGAGAAAAAAATGAACTTGGCATCCAGTTTCTATCGTGAGAAACTCATTGGGCCAAAAAAAAATTGCGATGCCGACTACAATTATTAAAAGAATCTGCCATTGCGCCGCGCTTCTTCGAATGCATCAGAATCGCGAGAAAAAAAAAAGATCCAGCGGCATTCTGCCCCATATCAAGCCCTTATCAAAAAGACGGAGGGGAGGCAGGCGAAGTTGTTTCTTCAACTTATTTTTTGCCAATTTCCCATCCATCTTTCACATTCTCTTTCTATACGTGTATTTTTCCTCGATTACGTAAGCATCGATCCGGATAATGCGAAACAACGCATACAATGCGGTTGGGAGGGGGTGAAACGTACCAAAACCGAATGGGTTGAATTGATAGATATATATATATGAATGCAACTAGTAATATAATATAATATGTATATATATATATATAATATATAATATAATATATTAGAAAGAACTTACCTCGAATCAAAACCAGCGCGAGTAAATAGCCGGGCAACCGCATAGCGTATCACAATATCGACGTTACTAGCCGGGGACCCGCGCGATTTCCGTGACGGTAATAATCGTGAAAAACGAAATGGGCGGAGACTGCCCCTTTTTCCGATTACGAGTAGTAACCTTGACGCGCGCGCCGCAGTAGTTTCGATGGCTTTTCCTCGTCCAAATATGGTAGACGGTAGGTTGATGATGATGATGATGAGAGGAAAAACGCCAAAAAAAGGTTGGTCGCCTGCCTGCCTTTTTTGATGATGATGATGACGAAGAAGAGGAGGGTGGGGGTGGAAGAAGCAAACGGCAGAAGCTGTATTGGCGAACGAGAGGTGGAGGAAGAAGAAGAAGAAAGACCAAGGACTGTGATGGGTTTGGCAACAGTTTTTGGCGGAGGAGTGGTGTGGAGAAGGACGAGTGGGCGGCGAATCATTTTCGGACAATCGAAATTGTGTTGTTGTTGTTGTTTTTTCTTGAATAATCTCTACACACCCCTCGACTGATCGAATTGAAGCTTATCGCCTTGAACGCCGACGATCAAGAGTATATAAGGTCGCGACCTTCAAATTGACACAATTATTGGACCTTTGCTGTTTTGGGGGGTACGAATTCCAATCCCATTGTTCAAATTAGTAGATATTTCAAGATCTGCGCGTTTTTTTTTCTATAAATAATCGTTCTTTGAAATTTCAATTTAAATTGACGAACGCCCAAAATCCTAAATCAATTTTGGGAAAAATTTCCAAAAATCATTTCTTCCCACATTATTAGAATTTTACGCGAAAACGTGACAATTGCGATTATGAAAATCTGGGCCCCCGGCAAAACCAAAAAAAGAAGAAAAAGAAAAAATATCACCAATTAGCCTATTTTCAATCGCCTATCAATTTTGACTAGTCGACATCGAGATGGTGTTGTTTGATACCCATCGCGACGACGCGCATTCTTCTGATATTTTCGAAATCGTCGTGCATCATAGATGACGTACAATTTTTGTGGGTCACATGCCTTTTATCAATTTTCCAGCGATTTACAGCTGACTGACCAATTTCGAGTTTGGCGAGTTCAGTAAATCAAAACCAAAAGTTGTTCAAGGCCCTTTTTTCAGGGAAGGCGGACAACAATGCGTTTCAGTGTTCGAGATTTTTTTCAAGGGGGGGGGGAGCGGTTTTAATGCAGACAACAATAACTCTCGGACATTACACAGTTTGACCATAAATGCTTGACGGCGACATGATTACGGTCACAAGATGGCGGTTGAAGCGCGCGCGCTTTGTTTCGGACCCCCAAATTACAGTGTTCTCTCGTGTCGCCCCCTAAAAAACCTAGGTCACTCGAAACTTATCAGCTATTGTTATTGTTACAATTGTTGCCTTCTCATCAGTGTCTCTTCTCAAGCTTACTCAACTAACACGCATTCGAAAAAATGCAATGGGGGAGCGAGGGAACAGGTCTCTGTTCAGTGAAAGTTGATGTTCTCGTAGTAGAGGCATCGCAAGCCCAATACACTCAATAAAAAAAAGGAGAAGTTTCAAAAAAAATCCTCTTCATTCCTCAAATATAATTACAAGAAAAATAATGGAATAGTGACCAAATAAAAAAAATTCAAATTTCAAAGCTCGCCCTTTCATCCCGTTTTTGTCTGTTTACACACTGCCGCAATTTTGCACACATTTCATTTTACACCAATAAAATCTTCTTTAAACTTTTCTGAAAGAAATGAAAACAAAAAGTGATTGTGTGTGTGACACTTTACAAAATTTTATATTTAAATTTAAGAAAAAAAAACGATCTTTTGATTTTGGACAAATTCGAACAAAATTTCGCGCGCAATTCAAAAAGTTGCGAATAAAAAAAATGGAAAAACCCAATTTCAAGCCTAAATTTTGACTTGTGTAGGCTTTTCCATTTGATTAAAACCAATTGTGACATCGAACACAATTTTATGACCCCCTGCCCCAAATAAGCGGATGGTACAAGAAATACAAATGGATGCCTATCTAGAGTTCAGTGCTCCTTATAATCCTGCTCATGCTCATCGGGCTTCTCATTAACATAATCATCATTCTCATTTCGTTCTTGAGGATGCACATTCTCCTGCTCGGCGAGCCTCTTCGCGATTTCTTGGCCCGTCAATATTCGAAGCGGCGCGTGATGCTCAATATTTCCGCGATCAAACATTAAAGGAGCGTCGGCCTGAAAAAAAAACAAATTGAAGTCAAATTCCGCACTACATATGACCAACAATGGGCAAGCAAGCAGGCAAAAAAAAGGTCACTAGATTTCCGATCGTTTTTCTATTCTGGTTACTGTAATCGACTTTGCAAATTGCTAGATTGGAATTTCCGACCAGCAGGAGAAAAAAAAACAAACGGGAGAACATTTTGCAATTTATTAACTGTCAGCCGACCTGATTGATAATCCTTTTGTTTGCTGGTTTGTTTCAAAATTGCTTTGGCGAGAAAAATCACGCAACAAAGGCGAATAAAAATGAACACGGTTCTGTGTCATAAAACGAAATACTATGTATGTTTCAATTCAAAAAAAAACTGATTTGGGGGAAAATTGAACCAATTTTCTTACCTTATGATTCCTATCGAAATGTGCAGTTTCATTGTGCGTGTAGTGACCAACGACTCCGCCCTTAAAATATATACTAATATAGTTAGAACCAAGTAAACTATCAGATTTAAACAAAAAATTTTAAAAACGCTTCAAGACTCCTAAACTTTCATCATATGCGCCTTTAACGAGTTTTTTTTTGTTATCCAATTTTTTCAATGTTTCTTTCGTTATTAAAGGCACACATTCAATATTTCTATGAGTCTTGCAGTGATTTAATCGCATACTGTGGTACTGTAGATTTCAAAAAAAAAACCAGGACGCGGCCAAATTATTTTTTTGCTTTTTTTCCCGCAAACTGCAGAGGGTTATTTTTTTTTGGTCCAAACGGAAGGAAGTTGTCGTCCAACTTAATTTTTTCCGGTGAGTTTGAACTTGACGCATGTTTTCAAACTTTCACTTTTCAAGAAATCACAAATGATACTGTCTCAGCCATTAATTTGATACACTTGAAACAGATAAGAAACAATTCGTTTTTGAGAAATCAAGGTAGGTAGATCACGTGGACAAAATATGAAGAACAATTTGGAATATCAACAAAAAAACATTTTTTTTGAACTATTTTCGGTATGTCTAAAATTTCCCGAGGAGATCCTTCTAGCTATGGGTAATTTTTAAGATTGGAATGATATTTAAAAATTTCACAGTTAGATTGGCAAATTTGATCGACTCGATTTCGAAATATAATTTTTCGGACCATAACGATAAAAATCCCCTTCGGAGAACTCGAAAAATCAATTTTCGTTTGATTTCTTTTTCATTAGCCAACATTAAAAAAAAAACGAGCCAAATCCTATCGAAAACATTCAAATTTCTTCTTTGCATCGGAATACTCTCAAGCTTTTCCATGTGTGCCTTTAAACCGCTACAGTAAACCGCGAAAACACGCATTTTTCAGAAAATCAAGGCACACGTCTTGACACAAATCAAAGTGTGTCGATTTAATGCCAACGACAGTTTAAAGGCGCACACCGACAATATCACATTTCGAAATCGCGCGAAAAATTGGCTGAATGCCCGAAAATGGTCTCGTGGCGACGAGACGCGCGTCGTGTACTCCACACGGACAAGGTGGCGTAAATCGACAAATTGCGAGACCCGCTTCAACAAAAGCCTTATTCCCCAAAAAAAAAATGGGAATCGCTGAATGTGAAGACCTTCCCCTCAATGATATTCCACTGTACGCGTCGTTCGTTTAAACTATTCGTTTTAAACTAATCACACTATTGAAAATATTTTAAAACATCCCATAGCGTCAACTCAACATTTCGTCCACCACCAAATATGTGCTCACGTACGATCGTCATCATCATAACCATCGAACAAATCATCGCCGATGTCTCAAACACGTCAACGTGGCAAAATGTTGTACATGATGCATCGATGATGAACCGCTACCGCGTCGGGTGGAGGGGAAGGCGCGTCAGAGCGAGCGAGCCGATGACTTCATATACAAAAACAACTTTTGAGGAAGGCGAACGAAACGAAACGGACGAGAGGCTCCTCGCTCCTCCTCAAAAAAAAAACGCAACACGGCGTGAATCATATCTGAAACCGACAAAAACTGTGTGCGCGGGAGGAACGGAGGGCGGCAGACATTGTGACGGGCACGGGAGCTGCGAGCCCCCCCCCCTTTCTCGACCATCTATTTTTTCATCATTCGCCATCAGAAAGCTGACATCGAAGATGTCGCGTCATTCGACAATTCTACCAATGAATATTATGTAAGTTGTTTTATTTATTTCATTTTATCCCTATTCCAAACATTAATCGAGCTTTTACTTGATTATATTATGATTATCATTTTGTTGTTGTTGTTGTTGTTTTTTGGCAAATGTCAGCAATTTTTAATAAATAAAATATTTTTTCAACATTGGCGCCTCAAAAAAATAAAAAATAATAATTGATATTATTAAACATGCTTTTTTTTACTTACAAATCACATCACCAAGCATGTTTTGAAATTTTCTATAAATATTTTTTATTAATTCGAAGGGCGGCGCTTTCGCGAAAATTTGGGAACATTTAAATTCGGCATTGATTGAATGCGCGTACGCTAAAATGTAAAGTACGCAATTTTGCGTACTTTTGTTATTTTCCACACCTAGCCAATATTTCTTCAAATTTTAACCATTTGCTTAAATTCGGTAATAAATTGATTCTTGGACGAAATTTTGTTCTAAGTTGAAACCTTTTATTCTATACAGAAGTATTGTCAAAGTCAAACCTTGACGAAATTAAAAAGATTATTGGCTATGAGCCAATGCGACTGGAAGAACAGCGAGAAGTACGCGAGACTGCGTACAATGCATTATAGCGTACGCGCCTTTAATATTCAGCTAACGATAAATTGAAATCTACACAAATTTCGCAAATTTGATGGCTCCGACTCCCTTCAGTCGTTTGACGCCGACAAAATGCCTTAAATCCCAATCTCAATTTTCAGACCCGAAGGAAATTCTCACGAAAAACCACCCTACAGTTATGTCGCACTCATCGCCATGGCTATTGAAGCAACCGCTGAGAAAAGGATGACGCTCAATCAGATTTACAAGGTCTTTTATTTTGTCGAAACCATCCCGGGTTACTGTAGTTTGTAAAAGTCCGCAAACACGCTGGGTGTTTCGTTTTTTTTGCGATTGTCTCGGAAAAATAAAAAAAGGACCCCCCCCCCCAGGATCGAGGTCTGGCCGATGCTCCCAAAGCAAGCAAATTTCAAATATTTGAAAAAAAAACCCGGATAATGTCCGCAGATGCTTAAAATAAAAATTTCTCTCGTTGAGTTTCAAAAAACGGGACCCCAATGGCTCTGGGGCACACCGCGCTTTAACACATCTACCTAATTTTTTTAACCAAATTTTCTCCAAGACAACTTAAATAATAGCTTCAATTCAAGAAAATCAATATTACAGTACATCGAGGCAAAATTCCCATACTATCGAGATGCCGATCCGAAGCGCAAGCAAGGCTGGCAGAACAGCATTCGCCATAATCTCTCGCTAAACGATTGTTTCGTCAAAAAGGTGCTCACCGCAATTCATACACACACTAACACTACCGTAACCATGCATTGTTTAGGCGCGCGACGGCCAGAGCAGCGCCAACGACCGTAAAGGCAACTATTGGATGATGGTGCCGGAGAACCCGCCCATTTTCGACAACGGCAATTTCAAGCGTCGACGCGTCAAACGACTCGGTATCAATCGCACCGGCACCGCGACATCATCAACATTCGCCAACGGCGACTCGAACACGATTCAGCAGCATCCGCTGTTCCGCAATTTGCCGTGGGGCGCCGTCGATCCGTTCAATCTATTTCGAGTAGGTGGCAACAGTCCGAATGCCTTCAGATTTATGCTATATTTTTTTCTTCTTCCTCTTCTAGTACACCTATCCATCGACGGCTACAAATCCCGGCACGCTGCCAATAACCACCGACGCGACACCGTCGTCGTTCGACACCAACATCTACGCCAGCGCTTTTCAAGCGCCGACAACTTCTGTCGAATCGAGCAACAAGGAATCGGAAGACGTCAAGCCAATTCTGCCAATCGATCCGTCGTTCATTCAGAACCTCGAAACCGTCAACAATTCCACCTATACGAACACCTTTATGGCGCCCTACACCAATTGGCCGAATTCTTCAACCGCCACGTTTCCCATCAATTTCGACGAGCCGGTCCTTTACGGATATACCCAATAGTTGTCTTATTTTCTTGTTTGGATTTTGTGATATTTTCAATAAATATTTATGAATTTACCCCCGTGTATTTTTTGAGTGTTTCCCGGCAACTCGCAAGCTCCATTGTTTTGTTGTGCAAATCGCTCGTTGAACGCTTAACGACTTCCTGCAAAAAGAAAAACAGAATAGCATATACTTCAAACCGGCTGGGTACCTCTAAGCTACCAATTCTGTAATTCAATGCTGAAACATCTTGAAAAACAATAGGTGTGGTGCTGGTAGTTTGACCAATTCGTTTGGCCTAAAATTAATGAACCAAAATCTCATTCGAATTGGTTTTGGCAATTTACTTTACACTCGTCGAGCTCAATTTCGCATTTTTCGCTTCTCTGAGACATTGTTAGAATTTCTGAAAATGCCTTTTTTATTCTCGCGCCAAACAAAGAAATCGCACCAGAATCTTTCAATTTCATCATTTTTCGTATTCTGCCCATCTCGTCATTCTTTTCTTCCATCAACTTCTCGATTCGTCTCTTGTGCTCCCAAATGATTCGCATTTTTTGTGAAAGACTAGTTTCTCGCCGCTCAATATCGCCCAATTGTTGATCTAAAAATCGCATTTTTTTTTAATTTTTCGCGGAAAAATCGAAAAACTGAACCTTTTTCGGCGATAATTAAACCCAATCGTGTTTGTTGCTCATAATTCACGTAGATCAAATAAATCGTGACAATAAGCAGAAGACAACGGTATCGTAGAGCAACAGAAGCCGACGAATTGCCGAAAAGCGGCATCAATGCCCTTGAGAGTTTCGCATATAAAAACTCGGGCGTTCTGAAATTTTGAAATGAAGGTCACCACGAAAAAAATGGAAGAATAGAAATTTTTATTCGATTTGAAATGGAATGACATTAAATAGAAAATTTCGATTTTTTTTTTCGTTGAATTGAAAAAATCGTCGGTTTGCATTTTTTTTACAATTTCAATAGAAAAGGACTTGAACTAAAGTAAATACACTGAAGAGCAAAAAATCATCACAAAAAAATGGGAGATGAGTGGCGAATTGCGCGAGTTGTCCAAATTTTTTGTTTTTTTTTTTATAAACCAAATTTAATCCGCAGATTTTCTCGTTGTAGACATTTGATCTCTTCTAGTCGCGCGTTCGCACGAATTTAAATATTTTTTTAGAAGAAACAACATTTTAAAATTTATCAGATTTACTAATGGACCTATTCATGCAATAAAAATGTAAAAAACTACATATTTATTGAAATTTTTAAATATTATTTGGAAAAAAACTACATTTCATGAATAGGTCCAAAAATTTTATAATTATTTTTAGCAAAATATCCACCATTTCATTATTTCTGGTGCGCAAGACAAAAAAAGGGAACAACGAAGAAAAAGAAAGGAGAATCGACTCCAGCGCACTAGAATAAAATTGGTTTTGATTAGACCTTTTCGACGGCGTCGCGTGCTCATCAATTCCACCCCCTCTCTCCCACTACTTCAAGCATTCGATGGTCCTCCGATCGGAGTCCGGCGAACCGCGTTGCAAGAACGCGCCAACGCTCCAGCATGGCTTCGTGCCAATCGTTTGAATTTCGTTTGATTCGCAGGCGAGGCGACTACGGTAGAAAAAGAGAGGCGCTTGGTGGTGAGGCAATAGTGCGCAAAAGACAGAGTACACGAACCACGCGACACCGATCGAAGAGTTGGAGGGCGCGAGACGACTAGAGAACGCAGAAAATACTTGCAGCCAGAACTGCGCGACAAATCTTCAATAAAATTAGATATTCCATTTTTTGGACGCCTCGTTCCCCTGATTAATCGATATTCTTACCTCTACCGTTGTATAAAACCTTTACGCGTTTTTATAGGCTTCATGAGAAGTTAGTCCAAATCAAAATCAAGTAACATCGTTTCCGAACAGGGTAGTGCTTATGAAATCAGGTATATCCAATATTATTGAAGCATAAATAAAAAATGTGTTTTTTTTTTCAGCTGGAGGAGTAGCTACCGATCGCCTACTTCCAACATCCCAAACGCAGCATTACCATCAACATTTCACGAGCTCTACGATTACCAAACCGACAAAAATTATCAACGAAAGCGAGTTTCCATCCCTGGGCGCGAAAGGTATTTTTGGCTATATATATGCACACATTTTTTGATTTTCTTTTTTTTTTCGCAGGAACTTCTTCACTCGGCGGCGGTTTCTCACCAATTCCGACGACGAGCGGAGGCGTTTTGAACGTAGCCCAGTCGAACTCACCACTGAAGGAAACGTTTCCGAGTCGTGCCAACTATGGTAAGGCGATGAAATAAAAACTTGAGCATTTTCACCAAATTGCCTTAAAAATTTTGTAAATTGAAAGTATGAAAGTTGCATCTATAGAAAAAAAGAAAAAATTCGAAGAAAACATTGAATCAACCAGTGAATAAATTAAAATGTGTAAACACGGTTGCGGACTTTCAATCGTTGTCGACCGTAACACGCCGGATTTCATTTATTCCATTTTCAATTTTTCATGTTTTCGCAAATTTTACCGTGAAAACTTGATGATATTTCAGCTAACCTGATGAGGGCAGATCCCTCATTAACAAGTTCGGAATTCCAAATTCAAAACGAGGATTTTCCCGCGTTGCCCGGCGTGACTGCGGGACAAAATTCCGGATCCCAATTATCGAATATGATCTCATCCGATCACCCCGATGCTTTTTCGAATACCAACGATGATTCAGAAGGTTTTGGTGTGTCAAGGAACTCCAGTGACACTTCTAAGGGTATTATAACTCATCCCGATGGTATTTTTTCCAAATTTGCTTTTTCTATTCAATTAATTTTTTTTGCAGGAGAAGTTACTAACATTCCACCATCAATGCTGGCCGATCAATTTGGAATGGCGGGTCTTGTAACCTACCTACGAACTGTGGATAATCCATCGATAGTCTCGTTGGCACTCGGCTATGACTTAACAACGTTGGGGCTGAATTTAAATTTGTCCGAGTAGACATTTTCTCTTTCAAACCCGCCAATTAAATGTGTTTTCTAGAAGGCATTTGTACACAACATTTGGAGGTCCTTGGGCAGATTCTCCAATAAAACCGCACGAGCTTGACGTCAAGGTGCCCGACGAGTACATGACGAACATACACATTCGCGAGAAGCTTCCACCGATCAAAATGAATAAGCTCGCCGAAGATGTGCTTTTTTATCTCTTCTACAATTTCCCAAACGAGCTGTACCAATTGGCTGCCGCGCACGAATTGTACCAACGAGAATGGCGATTTCATAAAGCCGAAGGCGTTTGGCTGACGCGTTCGCAGTATGGAGGGATCAAGGAGCAAACGGGAACCTATGAGAAAGGGCACTACAATGTTTTTGATCATTTGCAGTGGCGAAAAATTCCGAAAGAATTGAAGCTTGAATATAAGGAGCTTGAAGAAAGACCAAAGTTGCCAACGAATGTGCCGAACGCACCAACAAGTGGAGGTATAATTTTTAAAAAATATATTTGATATATCCTCGTATATAACAATTATTTAGTGTCTACTAGCCTCCTCTCGATGAATCTATTTCCAAATGGCGGTAGTGGTGCCTCGACGCCACCACCACTAGCGGCGGGTATTAATGGTATAAATGGGAGCAATAGCAGCAGCAACACAGTGGTAGCATCGCAGCCGTCATCAGCATCGAATGGAGGTGGAACGTGTGCAAGAGCAACACCTAACTAGAAAGGCCAACTAGTGTTTTTTTTTTCAAACTTCGCATTGAATTTCTTCATTCTCTCTCTCTCTCTCTCCTCTTCTCTCTTTGTTTCCCATTTTCATGTTCATATAAAATTTAAACATTCTTCATAAAAATTGATCGTCAAAACATGTTTTCCATCGTGACAAGTGCATTTTGATGATAAGAGAAACTGTTGGCCTTTTAGTTGAACAGCAATGAATGATATTGAAGCGGCTTGCCATGAAAAAAATATTATAAAAATCGCTGAAGGTAAGACGAAGGAGATTTACGACATTCGAGGGTTTCCGGTAATGCCGAAACAGAAAATCGAATTTTTGGTTAATTAAAATTAAGGATTTTGTGCTTATTCGCTCAAAAGATGTATTAACGGCTTTTAACGCTGAACGCCGAAATGAAATAAGCGGCAAATCGACAATTGCTAATCAAACCACAGTTCATGTTTTCAATTATTTCAAAGAATTGAACTTCGAAACGCATTTTGTTCAAGCAATCAGTTCAATCGAATTTGTCGCTAGAAAATGTGAAATGATTCCGATTGAATGGGTCGCAAGGCGGTGAGTTCGAAAAATAAAAGAAATTTTGATTTAAATAATCAATTCAGTGTCGCTACTGGATCGTTTCTCAAACGAAATCCGGGCGTTGCCGAGGGTTTTCGATTTTCTCAGCCAAAAATCGAGACATTTTTCAAAGACGACGCGCAAAATGATCCGCTGTGGAGCGATGAGCAAATTTTGTCGGCGATCATGATTGTTGGCGGTGTTCGCATTCGACGAGATCAAATCCAACTGATGAAGCGTCAAACGTGCTTGGTGTTCCGTTTATTGGAAAAAGCGTGGCAACAACACAATTGTGCGCTGATTGACATGAAAATCGAGTTTGGCGTGACGAACGACGGAAGAATTATTCTCGCCGATGTGATCGATAATGATTCCTGGAGGGTTTGGCCAAACAATGATCGAAGGCTTCAACTTGATAAGCAAGTGTATCGCGATATGGCAAATGTTACGAACGAGGGACTTCAGCAGATCATTCAGAATTACACAAAGGTTATGAAGCTCACTGAACAGTTTATTGATGATAAAGCGACTTGTCGCGTTGTTATTATCATGGGCTCGTCGGCGGATCGAGATTTTGCGCAAATTATCGCCAAAGAAGCTGAGAATTTGGGCGCTAACGTGATAACAATCGTCAGTTCGGCACACAAGGTATTAAAATTTTTATTTCTTCAACACAATGATACGATTCAGACTACTGAAGAAACTCTGGAGATTGTGCGTGATTATGAGGACACCCCAATGCCGACGGTGATCATTGCGGTTGCCGGCAGATCGAATGGCCTGGGCCCGGTGATCGCTGGCAACACAACTCTTCCAGTTATCAACTGCCCACCCATCGACAACTATAATGATGTTTGGTCGTCGTTGCGAATGCCGTCGGGAATCGGCTGCACAACGGTATTGGATCCAAAAGAAGCGGCGTTGGCGGCGGCAAAAATTTTGATGAGATCCAATCATTTGATATTTGGCAAAATTCTCACCGCCCAATTTCACCATCAACTCAATGTCTATGTTAGTTTGATTGGGAATTTGACTCGCCGTTAATTCATCTTCGTTTTAGGAAGCAAATATGGAAATTCAGAAGAAATAAGCGGAAAACGTGTTTATTTTTGGTCTGGTTTTTGATATTTGTAATGTTGGAAATGAATTAAATAATACGAGAATTATGCGCAAAGTCCGCAACATTTGCAGAAGAATGGGAGGAAGTCGGAAACTGACATAAGCACGTCACCTTCTCTGGTGAGATCCTCGTTATCTTCAAGGTAATCATCATTAGGACAAGAAAATTTGATAGAAATTACTTCTCTCTTGCTTTTGATGCGTTTTGAAGAGTTTTTTGCAATTGACACCTGCCGAGAGAACACCAATGACTTCTTTTTTCCTTCCGTTTTCGCGGATCACACCCGAGCCACTATCCCCGTCGCACGAGAGCCCGTCATTGTTGGCGGTGGTGCAGAAGAAGTGCTTGATAGTAAGATCGACAGAGCAATCATCAACCTTAGACGTGATCGAGCGAAGAACTCCCATCTCCTTACTGGTGCCCTCGTGCGACGGATCGCGTCCATAACCGTAAAGAGACGTTTCGTCTCCCATTTTTGGAGAGTATCCCCTTGCTGAATTGAGGGTGAAGAACATTTGAGAGATTTCGATTTGGAATTTCACCTACGCGGCAAACAAGCGGGCCAGACGTTCTTCGAAAATAGCACCGGATTTTTGAGCTCAAAAACCGCAATGTCATTTTGGGATTCGCGATCCTCGCATCCATCGCCGACATAGCCTTTCTTGATGTAGACATTGCTCACTTCAAGCGGTTCGAATCGGTCGGGTCGACGAAGGGTTTCACAAACTCCCGGCGCCGAGCAGGTGACATTCACGAAAAGCGCAAAATCATTGGAATTGTGCATGAATTTGGCGTCGCGCCTAGAAAAAAAAAAAGATTTGTTGAATACCATCGAATCCATTTACATTTCTCCAGTTTCACAATTCGGTTTCGGATTACTTGTGATTCCAACAAGATGTGCTGCAGTCACAACATGATAAGGCGATATCAAAGTTCCGGTTCCATGCGAATGATACTCCTCGTTGCCATAAATGGTCTTATAACGCTTCGCAATTGAGACAACCCATGGAGCCTGTCCGGACTTCATTTCAACACCATAAAGTGCTTTGAACGTGTCGTCGCCTCCTCGCTCATTTCCAGAATTGAATCCTAAAATTATTTTGAGAAATTATCTTGAATTGAATTTCGTCTAACCTGGAACGTATCGACCGCAATTCCTCTTCAATATCCAATTTTCTTTACTGCTCAATTTCACACCTTCCGCCGCCCAAAATATAATGAATGGAATTAAAAATTTGAACAACATTTCGAGAGATGTGTGCTGCGTTTTTCCTCACAGAATTGCCTATTTAAAGTGTCTTAAAGACTCGTAAAACGCATACCGTATAAAAATTTATGATATTTTTTATGAGCCTCGCGAGTCAATAAATATATTTTATGAATAATGTTATTATTGTACAAATGACTAGAGTTTGACCGACTCCTCTTCTCCATGACGATGTTGAGAGCCACGTTCGGATTCTTTGGCGCCCAGTGGAAATTTGCGACGTTTCACCGGCGGCTTCTTTTCAACTTGTGGATTCTCAATTATCTAAAGCAATTTGGTTCGTCAAAAAAATATGAATTCCAACGACCTGCGATCCTCTGGGATCCGATGATGAGGTGCTCACGACATCCGGCGAATTGCCCTCCGAGCTCATTTGCGAGCTGAGCCACGCGTTCGTTTTACTTCTCGGCGTCAACTGCTTCTCCTTGTCATCAGTGCTCGCCGTACTCGGATAGCTTGGCCCATTCGACTTGAGCATGTTCATCAAACGTTGCCGACTGCTGAGGAAAGACCTCAAAACGATTTTTTTAATGATATCAAATATTGAGTAAAAATTTACTTGCTGTTGAAAGCGCCACTGGAGGTCTCTGGTAGACAGCAAATGCCAGACCGCAGCCATCGAACAATCGCACCGCGCACTTTTTCGTTCATTACCACGTGTAGGAAAAATATGAACACTCCTTGGGTGCAATTCAATATCGTGAAAATCCAGGCGAACACTGTTCCAGTTCCACCTTTGACGGCGGTTAGAAATCCAAATATCCACGTGATACCAAGAAGGCACAACAATGTTGCCGAGCCTTTAAGCCATCCAATAATCCGTCCCCATTTCGTCCGATCGCGACTTTGCACAGAAAGGACAACTTTCAATGCAATTAGAAGAAAGATTATATTCATCGCGATCACCGCGATAATTGGTCCGACGAACGCCCAAATCGTCGGTTTTGAAGTGTCGATCCAGCAGCTAAAAATTTGGCAAATCTCTCATTTGTCTAATTGTCGCCTACTATTTCTCTGTTCCGTAATCCTCCCAACGAATTCCGGCAGATACGCCAACCACGATGGCGGGGTTTCCGTAGCAGAACAAATAGTAAAGGAATACACGGGTCCGATTCGGCTCGAACACCTGTATCAACATCATGTACAGTTGATATCCTTCGAGGAGCATCCAGCAAAACGAGGATAGAAAGAAGTAGTGAAGAATTATCGCGACGACGCCACATCCCACTCGATTCCCAGTGCGATCCATTCCGATAACGAATGTGAGCTCGGCGATCAAAAGGCATAGGCAAAGATTGCGATGAATCGAATTTCGAAGATTGTGAAGATTTCTGGAACGGCTCTTTTTTTCAATTTCCAAAATTTAGCACAATACCTGAAGCATGTGAAAACAACAAGACTGAGCACAAGGCAAACTATTGATATTGCGCATCCGATTGTTGAAATTACGTCTAGTGCTGAAGCAAGTCCTCCCGAAAATCGTCCAACATTTCCACTGACGTCCATTAGAATGGCAAAACTCGTCAAGTGGGTGCACGAGCATTTACTAGATGTCGCTGTTGTTGATAAAAGTGTACACCCAGTTGTGGACCATCGCCGAACAACATGGTCCCAATAAACGCATCTCGGATTGCTCACACCATCAACAGCAAGATGTTGGAATGTGAACGTAACCGGGCTATTCTCAGGAAGTCTGAAAATTGAAGGCAGTTTCAGAATGCCAATTGTTCGATATTTCTTACTGAACACTTTGCGTCGCATTTTCCACCGAGGCTCCGATAATCTGACTATTGATCATTGAATAATTATTGTTTGTGTTTAGAAGGTTTCCAAATCCACTGAAAGCGTAGTATCCAACAGCAATCGGATTCCGATTGAGATTCGCGGTAGCAAAACCCACTGGAACATCATCGTTCAGCGATGAAGGAGACGATTGACTTGGAGTTAGAAACCCTTGAAAATCGATCAGTTTTAAAAATCATTTTCAGCATTTTACTTAAAATCGACGACGTCGGCAACGTGATTGTCGGCGATTTTTCCAAATTGCGAAACGACACAGTATTGTTGAGTTCGAATTCATTCTGGCTGTCCGCGGATCCCAATGGCAGCATATCATCAAATGCCCCTCGATTGGCTTGATAAGAAGTTGCCGTCGGCTCGCTGAGTTCCACCTCCATTGCCCAATTCTTATACGCATAGTTCGCCTTGCTCTCAACCATGTAATCGCCAAGAAGAAGTACTGACTGCTCTAGAACGCTCATAAGACGAGAAGCGTGTTCAATCCTAACGTCCGTGTCAAGCTGACCCCATACCGGCTCGGCTTTGGAGCTCAAAAGTTGATCGCCAGATCCACCAAGGTTTTCGGTGAAATTCTTCGCTTTACTTTCCCTCACATATCGATCCATCAACACGCCAAACTGGTTTCTGGCAAGACTTAGCATATTATCGCTGAGTCTCACCGTACCAGTAATATCGCCACCGTAAAGCGTTTTTTCCAGTGTAGACCTCAAATGCACCTTTGAAGTTCAAGCAAATATCTTAAAACCTACATTAACTGCCGATTAATATGTCCGCTGATATCCTCGACCGGCAAATTTTGCCGAATTGCGTCTTCCATTTCAGCAACCCATTTGTGCATACAATTCGTCGTATTTGGCTCTTCCCATTTGCCCGTTTGACAATTACAATACCTCGTGACGGTGCCAATCACGTTGTCGGGGTCCGGACACGGTTGCTCATTCTGCATACAGGCTCGCGTTTCGGCATACCGTATCCCATTTTTCGTCTCTTTCTTGCAATAGCGCGGTTTCGACAATGAGCTCGGCACCTCAGCGCTGAAACAGAATAGTTTTGTGTTCAGAATTCAGTTTGAAGTGAAACCAACATTTTTTCATGAGCATCAATCAAGTAAAACGCAAAAAATACTATCAAATACTTGCACATTCCATTAAAAGAATCTCGCTAATATGACAAATGAGTCATTGCGAGAAGCAGAAGCGTAAAGAATGAAAACCGGTTTTTTCCCCATTGCGCGCACCACTATTTTCGTTTTAAATATATTTTCGATTGACATAGGGGGGAATCTGTTTCGAAACTTACGGTGGCTCACCGGTGTACACTTGTTGGGGCACGAGAACGGATTCCTGAACGGGCGCCGGTTGGGCAGAACGATTTGCGATCAAACTTCCAGTCAATGGAACGGTTGCACATATATAGTTCGCTCTAGTTGTGTCACAGTCGACTGATTCGATTGACGATTGCGATTGGCAAATTCTTAGCGTTTTGCATATTCCGTCGGCCTTTGAAAGCCAAAATTGATTACAAGGCTTTCGAGATTTTTGCGAGATCACAGAAATCAAATTCTCATCTGTATTCGATGGAATTTGGCCGCTCTGAAAAAAAAATCAGTAAATCAATTTCTGAAAAAATAAGCGATTACTAGAATCAATCGTCAAAAAAATTTTATCAATTTTTGAAATTTTGGCAAAAAGATTATAGCGTACGCGAAGATAAAATGTAACCACGCGCTCAAACTTGCAATTTCGGAGATCTCATTTTGCATTTCCCGGCACCGTTTAGTCGTTTGATGGCGACAAAATCAAAATTGAAAAAAATCGGTTGTTTCAAGATAAATTCAAGTTTTCAAGATACAGTAATTAAAGGCGCGCCCAAACAATTCCTATGATGAGTCTCTCAGCGCGCGCGAACTCTCATAGTCCTTTTTTTTTAAACAAAGATGAATCCAATGGTTTTTCACCTTTACTGCACAATTTTTCACCGCCTGATCGTAACTCATCATATTTTTCTCATTGTCCTCCACGGTTATTGAATAGCATCTCTCATTGTACAATGTCTCATCCTTCTGACATTCGGGAGTTTTGGGATTTTCGCAGCGAAGGCGCGCTTCCAAAAATAGTTCGCTCGGAACAGGACATGGAGTATTCAAGAATACAGTTGTCAAATTCGAAAACTCGCACGAGTTCAGACCGTAGCACGCGTTTATCATTGTCTGTAGTGAGTTTACATTTTGGCATGTTTGTGCGGAACTTGTGGCGTCCCTTGAACACTGAGCACCTTCCTAAAAAAAAAATGAGAATTACATTTTATTTGCAAATAGGCCTACGTTGGCTCCAAATGAAGCATATTCGACGACAATGGACAATCCAGGTTCGCAGGAAAATTGAAAATTGTCATTCGCGCAGGTGATTTTAGTCTGTGCCGAGTCCCTTTCGTCACATGTTAAACCTCCATATCCATTCGGACAAGAGCATTGAGCCACATATTGCGATTGTTCGACTTTTTGCGGTAATTTGCAGACTGTATATTTCAACACTGTGCACAATGCAGTGGACCATTCCTTGTAATAATTACGAGCCTCTAATGAGACACACACCTCTACAAAAAATCATTATGAACAATAATGGATGTAATTCCAATACCATCATAGTCCAGGTATATATTTGGCTCAAGGTAAGCCCAAAACGTTTCCGTCACCAAGAATGAACCAGGATAAATCACCCATTGCGGTTTTGTGTTATTATTGACACCATGAATTGCTGTCCATATTCCTTCGACGGGAGTTTTCGAGCCCATCTCGGCACTCGGAAGAATTCCTTGAAGATATCCCGAATAAAAATTCTGATCTTCAACAGACTGGATTGACGCCAACACACCACCATCAAACTTGTTACAAAAAGTGGCAGCCTAAAATTTATAATCAATATTTTTCTTGAAATGGCACAATCAGAGAACTATTTAATATTATAATTATTATATTATAAATTAGCATTAATCAATAGGCGAGTATGTAATAAAATTGTTAGTATTTACACACGCTTTCACTATACATCTTTCCAGTTTCGTGGAGTTTCATCGAATAAATAACAATATCCCATATGGTATAGCGTATTTTTCGGGCATGCTGAAAATGCGGGAAGCTCTGAAACGAGAATTGCGAAGAATCATTAAATATTTATTTTTAAATTACCGCTGGCTACCACGCAAATTCCATCATTTTCGCATACGTTCGATTGGCAAAAATTCGACTTGCATTCAATTAAATTCAAACATATTGAAGCCAATAGAAGTAAACTAATTCTCATTTAATGCTGAAAATAGAAGAAAATTTGTATTGATTGAAACCACAAGCGATCAAAGTGTAGTACTCTTTGCTAGGTGGGGGGATTCGCCGAACTCTTTGACAATTATTTCTGAAGTGTTGAAATAGATGTGGCGTTTCAATGAATTATTTGTTGACTGCCGATTTCAGAAACTAAAAAGCACTATTTTTTGAGTATTTAAACACAACATTTTTCCGGGAAGTCCTTCTTCTCATGATTTTTTATACCTCAAAATATTTTTTTACTTAAATTTTAACATTCATATCTAGTTATCTTGTATGTTAGAATCATCAACAATGAAAAAAGTGGTAAAAATCAAAATAATATGAGACCAAATGGCACTGGTGGTGATGATTTGTATTTGTAAAAGCTCTTGAGAAACCCCTCATCGCTCACCTCCCGCGAACAATCATCAAGTTGAAATTTTTAATCTTTTAATTAAATACAAATTACCCAGTTCTCCAAGACATGTATAGCGGTTGATAATGATCTCCGTCTCTCCATTCCTCCACGTCGACATTTATACATAATTGTCAGGTATCCTATTTTTTTCTTTGACCACCAAATCCTTCAATCACCGTTTTGTACGTAAACACTTTAAAAACAATTTGCAGACCAGCATTATCGTGTTGATAATTTTTTTACATTTAAATAATAATTATCCTGAGATATTTCCTGTGAATTGTTGGAATGTTTTAGCTGTGCATGGAATGAGTTCAACTAATTCATCCGAAATGTTCAACAAAGCATGCTTTTTAACTCGTGTTGTCGCCTCATCGGTAAGAGTTTCCGAAGCCGCTGGAGGAATCATCAAGGTTGGTTTGAAAATGTTAATATTGCTAAAATCTATTACGATTTTATTTGTAGAATGTCATGAATGCTGGCGATTTGAAAATTATTGACAAATCTGAGCAAGGTAAACCATATGATCCTCAAACGGAAGCGGATCGACGCGCCCAGTTTTGTATTGTTCAATCATTGCAATCGCGCTTCAAAAATTTGACAATTATTGGCGAAGAGGTATGTTTTTGTTTTTGCTATTTTCCGAGAGGATGCAATGAAAGGTTTAGGAAGATACCACCCAATGCCCAGAAGTTGAAATCGGTTACAGTGAGAGCGTTCTCAACATGGAACCACTTATGAGCCCTGATTTGAAAAGTATCGAGGAAAAAGACGTCGTTGTTTGGGTTGACCCGCTTGATGGAACCTCTGAAGTCGCTCTGGCCGTAAAAAACAAAAATGCCGGTATTCTTTTGAATAGTAACTTTATTAGGCTTACAAAATCTTTCTATAGCTCTACTTGAGCAAGTCACTGTGCTCATCGGAATCGCATATCGCGGCCGTCCTGTCGCTGGCATTATTCATCAACCGTATCATTCCGATAAAGGCCGAACGGTTTGGGCGATACGTGGATGTGGCGTCAATGGATTGACACCAATTAACGGTAATTAAATTCATTCCTCAATTCTTTCAAAATTGATTAATTTCAGCTGCCTCCCTAAAAACTGTAGTGACCACAAGGAGTCATTTGAGCGATTCGGTACAGAATGCATTGGAAGCGTTGAAGGAAAAACAATTGGCCGACAATATTGAGAAAGTCGGCGGCGCTGGATTCAAAGTGCTCAAAGTGCTGGAAGGATGCGCGGCTTACGTGTTCGCGAGTGCCGGCTGCAAGAAATGGGATACGTGCGCGGTTGAAGCCGTTCTCGAGGCGGCCGGCGGACATCTCACCGACATTTCCGGCCGTCAAATCAACTATGACAAGAATGTGCAATTGAACAACACTGGTGGCGTCTTGGCGACCGCATCATGGGTCAACCATCAACAATATGTTGACTCAATACCGCAGAATATCAAAAATTCCCTTCCAGAGTTTGCAGCGAAACCATAAAAACAATAAATTTATTAACAATAAACATTCAACAACAAAACGAAACAACAAAATTTCTACATTTCCGGATCTCCCACCATGACCTTTTTCGTCGTTGGACGATATGCTTGCTCCTCATCTAATCCTGCCGCTTTTGCCCGTCGCAATTCGCGTCTAGCTCGAGAATCACGAATAATTGCGTGCTCCTTGGCCGCGCTGTAGATGTGCCTTGGAATATTGCGATGCTTCGCAATGCGTCTGACTTCTGGATGATTCTGGTAGGTCTCTTTGAGTTTCGCGTTATAGGCGAACGCTTGCTTCTCGCGTTTTGTCAATGGTCCGAGTTTTTCCGATGCGTTTGCCTTCCACACACGAATGTTCATTTCATTGCTGCCAGATAGCACAAATTTCGCGTCAGCGGAAAACATGACAGAAAGGACGGAAGCCATTCGCTTTGTGAAATAGACATCTCTGAAATTTTTAGTTACGGTCTGGTCTGATTCTTTGAAAATAATGTCAGGTTACCTGCTAGACATATCCCTGGCTTTGAAAATTCGCAAAGAGCGATCGTAACCCGCTGCAACAAATTCCTGACCGGTTGGCGAATAATCAACATCGAGCACTGCTGATGTGAATCCTTGATGAGATTGGACTGGGTGATCAAGATATCTCATATCGAATGTGTACAAACTAAAAAAAATAAATATAAAAAGAAAATTAGAGGATTTCTTACTTATAATCTTCACTGGCAACCGTAAATGTGTACGCTTCCATTGGATTCCACGAAATTTTATTCGGCCTCAATTTCATTGTGACCGTCTTTAAAGGAACATCTTGTCTAGTGTCCAATACAAAAATTGAGCGGTCCGATCGCGCCCCGACGATGACATTTTCCTCGACAGGATTCGCCCGACATGTGTGGATAGTATCCGATCCAAGATTATAACTACGCACTGGTGTGTCTCGATATGGTTTCCAAACGCAAAGCTCTTCGCCGCACGTCACAAAATCTGAAGAATATGACAGATGTGAGGCGCCGTAGACGACGCCGTCGAGTGCCACCGAATGCGCTGGTGTTGTATAATTGTTCTCAACAATTGCTGGAAGCTTCCAATATTTCAGTTGGCTGTCCTGTCCGACAGTCACAAAGAAACCCCCATCTGCGTTGTCAACGGAAACATCTGAATTTATATTTAACCCAGGTATGCTGCCTCGTTTATCCTTACCATTTACGAGGCCTCGATGAGCATCGATGGTAGCTAAGCAAATTTTCGAGGATAAATTCCAAATTTTGACTTGACCATCTCTCGAACCCGAAAGAAATATTGAAGGACGACCTATAAAAACATTTAAAACAGTTCGAGAAATAAAAATTACTGGGATGCTTTGATAACACTTGTACTCCATCTAAATGACCATCGAGACTGCATACAAAGGGTTTTGCGAAGACTCTTTCAAGCTTTGTAGCATTTAACGCTCTTGTGTATTCGGTCTGCGATCGAAATGGATCCTTTGGAGTGTTGAAGTTTCGAACAACTGAATTTTCCACAATAATATTATTGAGAACAACTTGTTTTTAGTTCACTTTTATTTCGCTGATCCGTTGTTTCCCGTTGGTATGTATTAGGGTTTCTTGATATTGTTTTAATTTTCATGGTTCTGAAATTTGATCGTAAAATTACTTTTCGAAGTGAAAAAAAAAATAATTTGGTAAAAAAAAGAAAAAATATATGCGATCTCATTGCATTTAATACGTGCGATAAAATTCATGAGGAAAGTGCGCTCCAATGAACCATTTCATTTCTCAGCAAATCGCGCCGTAGAAACGGCGGTGAATAGCGAGTTTCGGTGAAACGGCGGTGGAACGATGGTTTACTAAACGCGCTAAACCGTGGGCTATGTGTAATATTAGTAGTGTCGTACAACCTTCTAAAAAAAACGAAAATTAATTTAAATTAATTTTCGATTTTATTTAAATTTCATTTAAAGTTTTAATTAAATTTCAAAATGAAGATTTATTTAAATTAATTTTATGAATTTTTTAATTTGTAATTAATTAATTATAATGTATTGATTGTTTTAAAACCTTCTATTGGTTTTAAGATTTAATATAATTAATACTACATTCTTTTTAAATTTGAAAGTTTGATTTGATGAGAATGGTTTTTCCAGAACGTTCGTTTCAACATGAAAAGGAGTAGATTGACGAAAGAAGAGAATGGTATATCTGTGATCAGCATAAAGGAAAAAAATTTTGTAGACGCGCGAATTCGGGGCTATGGAGTTCGTCTTTTACCTGTTGAAAACGTCAATGATGTTATTGAAGAAGAAACTGTAGATAATAAAAAACTTGTAATAATCGTCAAAACGCATGAATATCACCATCACATTCAGGTAATGAAAAATTCGCGGCTATATATATAATTGTATGCTTATTTTAGATTAATGCACGAAGTAGAATTTCTTAGAACTTCACCACTGCTTATACAATACGAAGGGGTCAAATATTCCGTCATGGTCGAGCCAGCTGTATCATTTTTGGATCTCAAGGCAAGCTTGTCTTGGTACATAATGAAACATTACGATATAGGGCATGTGTCAGATCTGTGGTCTTCCGAGTTGGGCAAGTACACAGGGATGCACACTTTGCACGATCATTGGTTCGAAATCGGGTCGGCAAGCGGTTTCTTTTTTTCCGACATTTTTTCCGACCCTTCAAGAACTGCGAATGATGTAATGAATATGATGAGAGCTAGCGGAAAATTAAGTAAGCAATTCCCTTCAAACCTACATCTAAAATATGAATTGTTAGACATTCTGTCAATTCTTGCCAGCCCATCAAATCAACCGTTCGATGAACTTCATTACCTTTCCGAAGGGTTTTTGAAAAATTTATTGGAACAAATTTTTGGGCGCGGTTCAAATTTGCCTCGGTTGAAAATTTCGACTAGGGTGGTTCAGGCACTTTCATGTTCTCTGATTAATACCATAGATCCACCGGAAACGCCCTGCAGGTTTGCTAGCCCAGAAAGATTCTCGCGTGCGACCGGTTCAGAGATAAGAAAAGTGAGCAATTTTAAAGTTGGGACATTTGATTATATTTTTCAGTCAGTTCAGTTTACTCTTGCTGCGTTATCAATGACATTTATGTTTCCTCGCATCATGGAAACCACGTTTTTGGCTTGCTTGTTCATATTTAACAACTTGCTATATATGGCAAGGACCGAAGCTCATCTCTACGCAATCCAACAACTTTCGAATTTCATAAAAGGATATATTGGACATGAAAATAGCGAATTCTATACGCTTAAAATGCATGTAAGAAAATTGACTTGTTTAAAACAGAAGAATGGTAGCAATTCCAGCTGATTTTTGATCACTGTGTGGAGTTGATTCGTAGATACGGCAATTGTTCAACAACTTCAACTGCAAGTTTTGAAAAAACGCACTGCTACTTATCGTTAATGACTAATCAACTATCGATTGCGGATATGGCGAAAAAGTTTATAGCGGACAGTTATTTCACAACCGAAAAGAGGTAAATTCTTAATGTAAATCTCTTAAACTTGAATTTCTTCAGTTCGGATTCGACTTTACAGTTAAGTAGTGATATTGAATTTTCGAGGAATTATAGAATTACGAATTCGTCTACAATTTCAACGTTATCACAGAAAGTGGCATCACACGGAGGACAAATTTAATTTTTTGCAGCCAAATGACTAAATAATTTTTTTTTTTTGTAATAAATTATTCCAGTTTTTCGCGAGTACTTTCAAAAAAACAATAAACGTGGTGAAATATGACAATAGTTTGAAAGTACTAAAACGAAGGCAGTACGACACTCCGCGCGTACGCGTGCAATTTCGAAGAAACGGCGGTGGAAAGTTGGAGGAACGAAAGTGTCTGTTTTCTTCACCGATCATCTGCCGCCGTTTTACTCGCTATTCACCGCCGTTTCTACGGCGCGATTTGCTGAGTTTGCCTTTTTCAATTTTTATGAATTTTTTTCCCATTCGTTTAAATTAACATTTTTTGCGATTTTATATTTCAAAATATTTCAGAGTAGTTGTCTGCCTCATCGATTGGGTTAAAATGGCGTCATCCTTGACCGCACAGCTACAAAACTTGCGGACTGCAACTGCGAGACACCTAACCGTTGAAAAACGTCACGTTTCGTTGCTTTTTGATCGTGTGGAAGCTGGAAAAATCAATAATGAAACTGCACATAGAATTGGTTTGAGAAAACCACAATTTTGAGACATATTTTTCAAAATTTAGGTGTCGCTGGATTGGAGCAAATGAAAAGGATAGACCCTATTTTTGATTCCGAAGAAACCAACGAACTGTTTTCTGAAGAACGTGTCAATTTCGTTCGTTCCTTAGTAGATCAAGAAGAAAACGATAAGCTTAATATGCAAATCGAGAAAATCCTTTACCAACTCTCACCATACCTGCAGCATTTTGCATGTCAGCAAGTCCTCGAATATCTCGTTCACACTTATCAAATTTATGCATACAATGCGGAGTTCTTAATAGTTAACTTTCTTCCATTTCATTCGACGAAAATTTACGCTAGGATTCTAAGAATTCTTGACTTCGACTTTAGTCGCTCCAAAGAATGGCAATTTCTTCAAGATTTCACAAAAAAGGAGGATCCGGTGCCATTTAGCTCAGTGAGTATGAAAGTCGCAAAAAATTGAAGACAAATTCAATTCAGATTGCAAAAGCTGCATTGTCCGGCTCTCATTCCGTTATAACCCGAATCACTGACCATATAAAGAAAGGAATTGAGGTAAATGCGACAGGAAGGACGATAGTGATTCGATTTTTTTTTAGATTGCTGGTAGCGATTATTTTGAAGCTCGTCATCCTATGCTTTTCAATTTTCATGCCAAAATCCTTCTCAGCTTATTCAATGATCCGAAAAAGGTGGACGAGACAATGCTAAGCAAGCTAATGCCGTTAATCGAAAATGGAACGAAGTAAATTTAATTACTTAAAGACGATTTAAAAATGATTCAATTTCAGAAGTTCTCTTAAATCATTCCGTTATACTTCATTCATGTTAATCTGCCAGCTGGTTTTGACTGTGAAATTGAAGCAGGATGTCATCAAATCGCTTTGTAGGCTTCTTATCACGGTAGAAGTCATCAAAATCGCAAAAATTCAAATTTTTTATTTTAAGAAAATCCGTCAAGAAACAATGAAGGCCACATTTTCGACCCTTATCGTTGTGTTCCAACAGCAAACTGTCGAAACATTGTCTAAAAAGTAAGTGCGGACCAATTATATCTAATTAACGATTCGGTTTAGGGTTATGAAGAAGCTTTTGGCATCGAACGCGGACCTTCATGTTTGGAAGTTTTTCAATGAGATTTCGAAGAAGACCGACACGTCAAAATTTTATATTTTGCTCTGGAAAGAACTTTTGGAATCGATAAGAGAAGGTTTGTTTTTGGCCGCTCAACAGTTATAATGATTCTGTATTTTTTTTTAGAAGAGGATATAACGGAAATTTATACAGCTTTGATTGAAACATCATCGGACCCGTCAATTTTTACACCAGAAATGGCTCGCGAATTTTTGGATTCGACCCTAAACGCCGCATTGAATGGGATTATTATTGAGGATGGCGGTTTCAAAGCAAATTTGCACGCGATTGCCTTGAAATTTGCGAAAGAATTTGATGAAGTGCACGCGAAAATCAAAGAAATGGGAAAGAAGAAGGTGAAAAAGGTCTTGGAAGCTTACAATCTCGAGAATGTTGTTCAATTCGTTGGTGATGCATTGACCTCGGAAGTTGTTCGCGTAACCGAGCCAATCGAACCCGAAAGCGTGGAGGCGACGAAGAAATCGATTGCGCAAAAATCGGCAATTGAGAAGGCGAAAGAATTGGCGAATGGCTCGGAGTTTGCCAAACGCGAAGTGTTCGTCGGTGATCCGATTCGCGAAGCGCTGAAATTCTTAAAGTCGGAGAAATGGGAAAAGTTGAGCTGGTGTCTCGATGAGATGACGAAACGCGGTGCGAATTATTTTCAAAGAAAACCGGACGATGAGATTGAGAATTTTGTCGTCGAAATCATCCGAGTGGTGGGAATCGAGAAGAATGAGCATATTGAAGCGTCGATTGCGCATTCGGCTCTTTCGGATGTAGGAAGTGAATTTGGCGATGTTACGATAATCTTGAAATGATTTAGGCAAAATTGAATCCATTATTTGTCAAGGAGCTTTTGCGAAATTTCGACGATTGTGAGGAAACGGCACCGAAAAAAGCGAAAACGGCGGGTAGTGGCAAAATCGGAGCTGCGCGAAAGGTTTTCAGCTCTCACATTATCTTCCCACAAATTGTATTTTCGAGTTTAGGCGTTTGGTCAAGACAAATGCGCGAAAAACTACCAACGTCGTATCAATTTTGTGCTCGAGATGTTGAATGCGAGACGGCAAATTCAGGCGACACCCGAACTCCTCAATTCCCTGTTCGATATTGTGAAACTGTAATTTAATTGATTAGTTTGATGGTCCCTAGTTTTAATTTTTTTTTTCAAAATTTTTAGTGTGAATGCCACAAATGGTGTCGATTCGATGGCATATCAGCAGCATCTTGCAATTAACACGATTCGAAAAATTTTGGACAATCCGGGAAAACTCAAAATTCAACCAATGCACATTGATATGGATTGTGTGATCGAGACGATGCGCTCAAGTCAGAACCATCATTTATTGCGGGATTGCCTCCGACTCACTGTGTCGGCCGCCAAACATTCTCCAGTAGGCTTACAGACTAATTCAAGTGATTCAATCAGAAATGTTTCAGACGTCGGTTGGAAAACATGTGATGTCTGTGTTCACGTTCATGGGCAATGGAATGCTTCGCAAAGACAATGAGTTGACACTTTCCGTGGTGGAAAAGACGGTCGAATCGCTATTTGCCACGATTATATCTTGCGGATCACAAGGCAAATCGACACAAGAGAAGCTCATCGAGTTGTCGAAATTGTTCGCTGCCAGCGCGATCGACATTCCGGCGCATCGAAGGGCGCGAATTGCGAAAGCGATCGCGCGTGCCGTTGGTCCGGAGAACGCCTCGACGGTTGTGTTGGTGCTGGTGTCAGGCTTCTGCTCGCGATGGCAACGAGCCACTGAGGCCTCAATTCAAGAAGCGGCCAAGAAGGGAAGCGATCAGGATGCGTATGATGATCTCTCTATTGAGCTTCTCAATGCGCTCAATCCGTTTGAGCAGCTCTCGTGCGTTTTGGAGATGATCGAATTTGTTTTGCGTCTTGGTGGTGATCTTCCAGCGGATAATAATAAAACTACAAAAATTGATGAGATGATTTTCGATAGGTATATACGATTAGTCATAATTTTCACAAAAAATTTCATAATTTTTATTTCTCCAGATCCGCCCATACACTTCCACGAGTTCGCCACTTCCGCTATGTGATTGTCATGCTGATTTCAAGAATTTTCTCGAGTCGTACCCTGATTGAAAAGGTTGGGGTGCGGTTTTTCCGTTGTCATGTATCAAATTGATTCAGCTTGCCGCCTACGACGATGACGATTTGCTCAAAAACGCGTTGCCTCTTGGAAAACGTCTCATCGAGTGCTCTGTGGAACTTGACGAGTTTGCTGCGCGCGAGGAGACCCAGCAAAACTTTGGCGATCCGCAATCGCAACGCTATTGGGTGGCGTTTGCCTCGCGAACCGAAGTTGTCAGCGAGAAACTTCGCCACTTGCTACCTGGAAGTGTGGCGGCTCGCCTCATCGCCGACGTTCTTCATGAATGCGTCAACGAGAAGATGATGAGCTATAAGATGTGCGAGAAGGTCCTTCAGTTGGCCAACATCAAACTCGGTCATGATGGATTTTTGATTGTCGACACTGGAATAAATGAGAAGGAGCTCATCGCGCTGGCGCAAGCGCTCAATCGATTCATTGTTCCCGAAACGAAGAATGAAGAACGAATGAAGTTGTGCCAAAACGCTGCCTACACGTTGAAGTTGATTGCGAAGCATCTGCCCAAACAAACCGAGTCCAACGTTCTTGAAGAGACGATGCAAAAATGTGTAGCGATTGTAAGAATAGTTGAACATTTCAAAAATTTTCCACATTTATGACATATTCAGATAACGAAATATCAGAAAATGGATGATAATCTTACCGGCAACGCGTTGCTTCTCGCTGGCGAACTGATTCGTAGTCATAATATGGCGTCGACTATTCAATACGCGATCACGTTGCTCAAGACGTGCCTCGCGACGGTCCATGAAGCGATTTTGAAGTTGACGCGCTCGTCGCAGTTTGATGTGAACAACTCGCCGGGATCATCGACGGGACGTGTGAATCGTGGACAACGAATCAGGCAGCAATCTCTTGGCGGATTGAAGTTTGGATCGGAAACATTGCTAGTATGTGTCGTTTTTTTTGTGCGCCATTTTAGTGAATTGCTTTAAACTAATGATTCTAGATCTGCTCATTGACTTGCATTCAAAGAATTTTCGATCAGTTTTCGACGTTCGTCTCGGAATATTCGTCAGACGTTATTGTTCGTTACTGTCGGCTTATCGCAAGGTTTTCATTTGTTCAAATGCGTTTTCACTTCTTTATCTCAATTTTATCTAGGTTTGGCGATCCGGCTGAGCTTCAGAGTATCCATCAGCCGTCATCGAGCAGCGCCGCTCAATATACCGGCGGTTCGCAGACTAGCGGATTCGGAAACAAATCGGGCATTCATCATCGACTCAATCTGATTCGTCGAGCGCTTCTCACAATTGAAATTCGCGTTTTGCCAGCGCACATTTCGAAGGCTGTTGTAGAGCTCAAAACGGAAGAGAGAGCTCTTGGAGCATTGTTCAATTTACTCTCGATGTTTATTGAGAACCAGCAAAATCAGAAGCCCGAAAAGGTTCGGCAAGCTGTTGTGCAAGTTCGAGACACGTTTGTCGAGAGCGTCATTCTGCCGGCGATGACGTTCCGCAGTGGCCAGCGTCGTCCGGAGGAGTTTGAGAATGTTGAGCGCCTTGAAAAGAGCATCTCCTCGTTCGTTATAAATCTTGCCAATGTGTTGAGCGAAGTCGAATTCCGGCCTGTCATCAATCAGCTCGTCGCCTGGGCCGAGCCGGGACTCGAGGCGAATGCGAGTTTGCCATTGAGAGTCCGACTTGTCTCGATTCTCCACTTCGCCAATTTGTTCTACGAAGCGTTCAATTCGCTGGCGTTGCCCTACTTTGGTCGACTATTGGAAATTGCGACGATTGTGCTGAAGCGATGCAACGCGACACTTTGGACGGAAGATTCGTTGTTGTTGAGCGGAAAGAGAGGGACCACTGAAGCTCTTGAGACGAATATGGTATTGACGATGGCGATTGATTTGATTGCAAATGCGGCTAGGCATAAGGATCTATTCACATCGTAAGCTAAACGGCTATTTTGTTTTTGAGTGTTAGACTGTTATTATTGTAGGGATCGTTGTGCTTTGGTGACTGATGCTGTCATTGATGAATTGGTGAACACAAAGGTCGAGGGACACGAGAAGCGATGCTCCGATAATTTGGTCAACGCGATTTACAGGTTTTTGAAAAAGAGATAAGCTAAAAATAAAAATATGGAAATTTCAGAATTGGCAATGCTGATCCTGATAACTTTGGCGACATGTTGAACAAGATAATGATGAAAGCGCGTGATAGTCGAGCAAAGGTATTTTTGTTTCTCGAAAATCAATTTTCACGCTTTTGCGAAAATTGATTACAGATTCGCTACCGAACTCTTCTTGTGCTTGAGCTTCTTATTGAAAAAATTGGCGACAGCATTCAGCCACACTTGGCAATCTTGTTGCCATATTTGAATGAGCTCGTAGAAGGTAAGAATTTGGGGAGAAAAATTAAGACAAAATGCGATTCAGATGAAAATAAACAAGTGGAAGCTCAATGTCAAAAGGTGATCAATGTGTTGCAACACAAATTTGGAGAAACTTTCTGGAATAGCTCGTCATAGAAATTGTTGTTTTGTTTTTTTTTATTTGTTAGAATTGTTGTTGATCTTATTTGTTTACATTGTTGTTTCGGCGTAAATTTTTATAATTTTGATGCTGTGAGATTAACAAGTGGCGTTTTACCCGTAAGAAATGATAAAATTACAAAAGGGGGAACGTATTGTTAACTTAAACATGATTCACACTCGAAGGTCATATAGGGTCTTAATGATTCAGCGGCTAAGTTCAAGACGATGTGATCCTCGTCGTTATCATAGCCGATGAAATTATCGAGTGGAATTGTATATTTCGACCAATATAAATTGCAATCCCGTCTTTTCCATTTATGGCATTGATCGCGAATTGTTAAGAATAGCTGGTTGGAATTATGATATCGAATTTTGACATGCCCTGAATGCGATGTGCGATCGCAAAATGGGGCTTGATAATAATCTGAAATGAAGTATAGAAGATAAAAAGGGGAAAACGAATAATTAGATACCTTCGATAATAACTTTGGCATGGGCAACCGGACGGTCATGGCAAAAAAATTGTATTGTTTTATGGCGCAAAATTGGTGAAGCTTCATTTAGGACCAACACAATTAGCAGAAGAATTATCGCGTTCATGATTTTGCTTCAGTTACCTCGACTTCTTTTTTATACTGATAGGGGCGATTGATAACGCATTGCTTTGAAGCTGGACATCTTGTCGCCCATAAAGCTAATTTTTGGGCAACATTGCTAAAAATTTGTTGCCTTGTTATTTATTCTTATAACAATTTTTATTCTCTATTGCTAACTCCATAAAAGGGCAAGTTTTGCGGAAGAATTTGCAATGAGAAATCAACAAAAACGTTTGATTTTCGATTTGGCTGCGTATCGAGCAAAAAGAAAAAATTAGAGTATGCATTAAAGGCGCATGCAAAAAGAACAGGTCAAAAAATCCAAAAAAATTGTTTTTACCTCAAAAAAATGAGCGTTTTTGTAACTAAAATCGACAGTTTATTTTTTCGCAACTAATGTTTTTTTTAAATTCACTTCGATCGAAAAAAATTTTTGAGAGGATTTCTACCCAGAAAATTTCTCTATTTTTCCTTTTCATGTTTATTTTTACCAAAAAAATGTTAAAAATTACATTAAATTTGTTTTTTTTAATGCCTGCACGGAAAAAATAAATAATTTTTACATTTTTATTGTATGAATAAATGCAAAACTGAGCCGAATCACTTGGACGTTTAAATTATTTCTTTTTGAATATACATACTGTCAATCTTATAATGATTATTCATTTCCGTTCGCCATTGCAAATGATAACTCTAATAATAGATATGGGCGGCAGTAGAAAGTGCAATCAAATTGCAACGGTTAACTTCCGTGACATCACATTCAGCGACTCATCGATTTGTCGAGACGCGTCAAGTGAAAAGCCGAAAACACGAGGAAATTCGGCGTCGAATTACCGCGCCAAGAAAAATCGGCGCGCCCTCAATTATGACATCTCCACCAAACGCGCACTATATCCTCATACCTACTGTAGGGCAATTAACTGCGGGAGACCGACGAATCCTTTTCAACATTTTCCAACCATCCAGTTCGCTATTTTCCGCGCACTCGCAAACTGCATATAATGTCCGAGGAGAGCACCAACGATTCGATATATTTTTCGACTATTCGCAGTCGTCATACGACTGATCCGTTTTTCACTGACGTCGACGCCGACAATGATCCGAAGCCGTCCGGCAAAATTCTACGCTATCCTGAGTACACCGAATGCCCTATTAAAATTCCCACAAGCGTTCCGTGTTTGACATTGTCGAAGTTGTCGTTCTCGAGAGATTTGAGGAGTTCCACCGATAAAGTGCTGTTGAGACTCCCAATATTGAAGCAGGAATTCTACGACATCAATTTCGAATTGCGTAGTGGCGATGTGATGGCATTAATGTATACAAGAGGTTTCTAACACACTATAAATATTGTCGGTGTCAAATGGCTGAATTTCAATTATTCTTTGAAATTTGAAATTTAGAGAGATTCGCGTAAACGCACAGTTCTCTTCGCCTCGTGACACATATAGCAAAAATTTTTTCTGAAAGTCATTTGAAACCGACAATATCATATAATTAAAGATTTTAATGCAAAATAGAGTTTAGAATCCGAAATGGAGTGCCTATTGAAGGTCATTGGTGGAAGTGCCGAGGTGCGCGGCAAAATAAGCGGCGAGATTTTTGTGAACGGCCATCGAATGAGCAAAACGCGTCTGAGTAGAACGATAGGATTGGTGTCTGCTGAAATGCCCAGCTCCTATCTTACGATTAGGCAGTATATGGTGGTCATGTGCAGCATGTATCCCCCACCATCATCAAAGCATTATGGAGGGACGAATCATTTGGTAAAATAATTATCAGCTTCGAATTATCCTATATTTATGTTGAATGTACGTATCCGCGTATACAGTGCGTTTCACATTTATAAAGCCCGGTTCGATCATCCAGCGAATTTTAAGGAATCGATGGTAGCTTTTTCGGCATCGGTGAGCAAAAATCCCCGTGACATAATCAAATGTAGGTTAAAATACGCGAAAAATAAAGAAAAACATCTTACAGTACTCTATTTCGGTTGCAAGTGACCAATTTTCAGTGTTTTCGATATCATTTTGAAAACTGGTAAACATATGTATTTTTTAGCCCTGAATTCAACTTTAAAAACAGAATTTAAAAATTTGCACAATTGACAAAGTTACACCCAAAAACAGGGGTGGCTTTATAATTGTGAAACGCACTGTATACTATGAATTTATCTAGAATATTGAAAGAACGCAAAACAAATAGATCAGTCCAATCAATCGACAATATCTAACTCAGAACAATATAGATACTAAGTTAAGATACAAAAAATAATATATAGTTATGCTATCACTAGTTTAACAATGACAAAAACACAAGAATTTCAAGCAAAACTCAAAAACAATGACAATTACTCCGTATATGCGCGTCAACTCGTGTGTGTGGTGCATACACCGCAATGCTTACCGTATACCGTAAAAATAATGATCGCGTTTTCGGCTCTTGATAACAATATAATTGCAGATCAATAAACTGATGACTGATATGGGTTTGATGCAAGTCGCGTCAATTCCATGCCATCGCGTCAATCGCTCACAATGGCAGCGTGCACGAATCGCCGCGCAATTGGCAAGAGATCCAGCGATACTCATTTGCACCGACATTTTGAAAGATATCGATTTACACGATCAATGCTTCTTGATCGACTATGTACGCGATTGGGCGTTGAAGACCGATCGAATAGTGATAATGGCAATCGCGGCGACGTCGCCGCAATTGCTCGCCATGTTCTCGACGGCCATGATATTCGCGTCGGGCCGCGCGATTTATGTCGGACCGCCGAAATACATGCAAGAGTATTTCGAATCGATTGGATGCCCCTGTCCGATGTACAAGAATCCGTGTGATTATTATGGTTCGCGAGTCAATAATTAATATTTCAATTATTTTTTTTTTTAGTCGACCTTGTTACACACGATATTCTTACGTCGGATGCTTCAAGAGAGTCGTCTATTCGAATTGCTCGACTCATCAATAAATGGAATCAAATGAAGCCGATAATTCATCGGTCTGTAAGTGGCAATGTGCTTCTCGATCTTTCGCGAGCGAATTTTCTCAAAATTTCATTTTCTCTATTATGGTAATTTGGCACACATTTTTTTTTCGCAATTTCCATCAATTTTCAGCCTTCATTGGTTCTATTTTCGTCGAAATCCCGAAATTTCAATGATTTTTGTGATTTTCATGATTTCCACCGTTTTATCATTCCATTTCTCGGAGATTTCGTTGAATGTTCCTCAAGCATTTTGGCAGCGATACGATTTTATCGAAATGGTTTTGTATGTTCCATCGTTGCTATTCGGCTTTTTGAAATTGAGGAGTTCAAGAAAAAAAATTTTGGATTTTCATCGAATACGTGGATTTCGAGACATTTCAGCAATCAATTTCGCCATTATTGAGGTTGCTTTTAACTATTCATTTTTTCTACAATTAATTTTTTAGCTGCTCGTCACATTCGTCAGCACCATTATGAATTCTGTGATATTTTTGGTCCCAATTTTTATTTTTATCGGTAAGGCCAATTAAAATCACTTGATTAATTAAAACACAATTTCAGACTTTCATAAAAAATCCGGCTTCATTCTCCCATTTCTTCTTATATTATTTTCTGCCTTCTTTTTAAACATGCTCAAAATTCAACTAATATCAAACGCTTGCTCAAGATTCCCTTCAGACACTACGGCATATTCCTTATTTGGTGCGATTAAAGCTTAATCAAAAAAATTGTATTTTTTAATTTTATTTCAGCGGTTTCATGTAGCGTCTTTTATTTTTCCAGCGGTTTAGCTATCAGATCAATGAATCAAAACGAGATAATTGATATTCTTCGGACGGTTAATTTGGACTGGCTTATTGGCCGATTTCTGCTCCAATTTTTATATAATGGTTACCTCGAAATTATTTTCTGATAATTATTGCTAATTGCAGAAGTGCCGGACTATTCTGGAAATTATTTGAACTCGCCGATTAGTTTATTAACGTGCTCGCAGATCAGAATTAACGTATAAAGAATTTACAGCAATTTTGTCATTCTTCTAGGCAATGATGATTTTCAGGAGACAAAATTTCTCAAGGGTCCTTGCTTCAAGTCGTCGTCTCTCGAAATACTGAAATTTTATGATTTCAAAGAAAACTCGCTAGAGTTCTACAAATTTGTTGATTTTAATGCGCTTCTTTCATATTTGCTCATCGTTGTTGTGATTTTCTCTGTTTCAAGTTTTTTGTTCGCATTCTATCGGAGTTATTATTGCAAAATGGCGCCGGCATTTCCGTAGAATAAAAAATATGCAATTTTCTCGAATGTTTTAAAATCTTAGCAATTGTTCATTCACTTTTCCATTGGAAAAGCGCCTGAAAATGCGATTAATGCGATCACTCCAATCTCCCAACCATGCATGATTATTGGATGGTATACGGTACGCAAGAAAAGTCCGCAGTACACTTTGACGAAATGTCGAACTACGGCATTCTTTCCCAAATTTTTTTTCCTTTTCCCTTTTCAGACTAATTTTGCTTACCATTTTCGTAATTCTTTTTATTAACATGTCAAATTAATTAAAAATATTTAATTTAGAAGCAAATTTTGCAATGGCACGTTCGCGACGGGATAAAAATGGTAATAAATTAATTTTATTGATTGTTCTACATTAATTTTTTCAGTTTCTCTCACAAAGGTCAAAAAGAAGACTAAAGAGACAAAAAACAATTTGATCAATGAGATTCGGTCTAGTGTTGACCAATACAAAAATATGTTGATTTTCACAATTGCTAATATGAGAAGCACACGATTTATCGCGGTAATCTAATGCATGAAATTAATTCTAAATCAATTTTTTGCAGATCCGACAGAAATACAAGAATAACTCAAGGTTCTTTTTTGGAAAGAATAATGTATCTTCGATTGCTCTTGGAAAACACAAATCGGATGAATACGCAAATGGATTGCATAAAGCATCAAATGATTTGAAAGGCCAATGCGGCTTGATGTTCACAAATTTGTCAAAGGAAGAAGTCTTAAAGTACGAATTGTAATATTAAAAAATTGAATTTTTTGGATCTATAGAGAATTGTCCGCAAACGCAGAAGAAGATTTCGCCCGTGTTGGAGATATCGCGACGGAAACTGTCGTACTTCCTGAAGGCCCACTTACACAATTCGCATTTTCAATGGAGCCGCAACTACGAAAACTTGGTCTTCCAACAAAACTAGACAAAGGAGTTATCACCCTCTACCAATCCTACGAAGTGTGCAAGGAGGGCGAGCCTCTGACTGTAGAACAAGCCAAGGTAGCAACGAATCATTAAACCAAAAAAAGTCACATTTTTAGATCTTGAAACACTTTGATATCAAAATGGCACAATTCCGTCTCATTTTCAAAGGCCACTGGAGCAAACAAAATGGCTACACTCCAATTGAATCCGATTAGAATCGTTTAAATTTCATCATTGTTATAATTGTTATCCCTTGTTGTTATTGTTCGATAAAAAGGCCTTTTTGAATATTTGTAGGAACTCATAATTAGTCTATTGGAATATGTTCCATACGTAATGTTTATATACGATTCGGTGGATTATACATATTAAAACGTGATGGTTTTAAGATGTCCAGCCGATTTTTTTTGACAGCAAGAAGGTGCGCAATTCAGAAATTCCAAGGTAACCACTTCACTCGAATCACTTGATCTATAATGTTTGAAGCAAGCAAAAATCACGGAAATTTATATTTTATTCATATCTAAAGGATCAAACTTTTTTTAAAAATTTAATTAGAAACAATTGATTTTTGAAATTTTCGCCAATTTTCCACAAATTATCGATGTTCAATCAAAATTTTGCGAAAAAATATGACAAAATTCAAATTTTTCTGGGAAACGAGATTTCATTGTAACAAATTAATCAAATGTGTGCAATTTTGCGTAAGATTGTCTACGGACCCCGCTTTTTTTTGAATTTTCTTCATCGCGCCTCTATTTTCTTGCGGCAATGCCGATTCTTACCAAAAATTTCAGGATTTGCTGCCAATTCAAATCGCAAACCTAAAGTAGAGCCGAAATTTACGCAAAGTGCTGCATTTCAGGTACATAACGTAACCATTTTTATTTTTTTTCTGCAATAAGATTAATTTAAGGGAAAGGGTGCTTCCGGATTTCGCAGTTTGCCCGGCGCTCAGCTAGACTACTACTCTTCAGACTCCTACAATAATAAAAAGATTTTCTCGGCTCTCGGCAGTCTTTTAGTTTTAATCGTTTATTTTGGATGGCTAAGGTTTTCAATTGTAAATTTTTGGCCAAAAATGCCATTTTTTTTCAGAGAACCTTCAGATCTTGACGAAATTTGGAATGCTCCACCCCACGTTTTGACGGCGAATTTAGAAAGGAAAATGTTGCGGGAACAAATTAAAGACGCAGAATCGAAAGGAAAAGACACGACGCTGCTTCGAGCTCAACTAGAATACGTCGACGTCAAAGAAGAAGCGCTTCGAATTCAATTTGATCAAAAAAATAAGAAAAAGTAATAGGATACGATTGAGTAGAAAATAAGTAGAGTAGTTTTATGTTTTTTTACGGGTTAGCTACCGTGGACAATAAATATCAAAAAATTATTATTGCGCAAAATGAAGCGAATTATTTTTTCGCGACTTCAATCGCGATGATATCAGAAGAAAAATTGCTATAAGGATGATTGTAAGAATCAAGAACACAGCCAATAAGACGGTAAAGAACAAATTATTCGAGCTTGGCGTTGTTGCACAATTTGAGCTTCTCGAAAAGTATTCGGCGTCTTCGGGTGTTTCGAGAACTCTCAACTCGCCAACCATTTCGAGTTCCGGATAGCCGTTTTTGACGACGAAACTCGGCCGCGGTTTATTATCGATGAGAATCTCTCTGCGATTCCGTTTCGGATTGTATCCAACCCCATAGTAAATCGTTCCTTTCGACGTTGATCCTTGATCAATCGTCGGATGACCGGACGCGTGGACAACATTGCGCACACCGTGCGCTTTTGGCGTCTGGTTCAAGCGTTCCTCAAGACTCGGACACGAATCGGGTGGCTGCAAAAATCAAACATGTTCAATTGGCGGAAAACCGGAAACCAATGATAAATTCGTACCGAAAGCCGCTTGCAATAGTCGCCTTTCATGCAAATCCTCAATTGGCAAATGAAACGGGTAATCGTTTTTTGGGCAAATTTGAACACATGCGTTTCTTGATAAGCAATCTTTTTATTTGATGTGTATTCGGGAGTTGGCATCACGTAATGATCAATGCCACATCTGAAAATCCTTTAGAGTCTGAGGCTGAAACAGGGCTCTCCATTGGTAGATCAAAACTAATCGGATTCGGGTATGGATCCGCAGCATGTTCGAATCGGATCCAAAATAGCAAAACAAGTCGCATTCGAGCAATAACCAATTGATTACGACATAATACTATTCGGACCCGACAAATCGGATTCAGCAATTATACAATATGGTTCGGAAAATATTTCAATCCGTTTGGTTTCGATAATTGGTATAAGGGACGAGTTGAAGGAAAATCTTTTCAATTTTGCGACTGCGGAAAATTCCCTTAATGGTGTGCGCCTTTAACCTATCATTAAAGGTAGGCCCGTAAATCCACACTATTAGTTTTGCGCCAAAATCACTAAAATGATTTTTTTTTGGCATTTCGCCTATTTTCCACACTCGCATGATATTTTCAAATAAAATTCACTTCAAGACCATTTCCAGCGAATAAAATTTCGCCTTAAAACCGGAAAATTGATTTCGGGATCCGAGAAAAAAAAACTTCATACCCATTTTGATCAATTATTAATATTCGATTTCCTTGTCCATCTTCCACGTGGCAATTTTGAACGAGAATTTCATTATAATCGCCATCGCAACTCCAAACATGAAACACGCTGTCGCCAATCGCCGCGTATTGAGTAACTGGACCATCTTTGGATTCTTTTCGAATAGTGTACGAGCATTTCGGCATTGACATCGAATCGAATTGAGGACTCAGCTGAGTTGGCGGAGAATCGCTGATGTCAAGACTCGATTCGATGTCCTTCATCACATGAGACTCGATATAAACGCATTGAGCACAGTAGCTGCGGTCAGACTCGGTGACAAATAATGGATGAAGCTGGACGGTTATGCATAGTCGCTTGATGCTTCCGTTCGGTTGCTCCTAGAATTTCGAAATCTCCACCATCACTATTTCACCTAGATACTGTTGAATCATTGATCATTCCGCATTTGCCATGAGCAACTTCGATTCTATTGAGATTCCTCGTGCCGCATTCTTCATCACTTTCCCTTCCATCGACGTAAATGTGCGATGGGTTGGAAGTGGTCGTTTTTATCTAAAATTGCTAATTTTATTTTATTTTATCATCAATTTTATTTAAGGATTCATTTAAGTGAACTTTCTTATGGTTAAAAGAATTTACAATTAATTAATTCTCAAACCTTAATAATAATGCGATCCTTTTCACATACGACAATTGGCGTATCAACAATTTCGTTTGGATACTTGAGCGCTGAAGACAAGCGCAAAATGAAGGATATTAATAAAAGCCGCATCACTGACAAGATGCGCCTTCATAATCGCCATTTATACAAGTGGGCCTTTGAAAAGTGAATAATGCTTGAAAAAAGTGGACCAGATTTTATTGTTGAAGGTCACAAAAAACGAAGAAATCGTCTAGTCATCAAAAATGATATGTTGCAAAATTCGAAAATTCTCCCAACATGAGTCGACTGAATTACATATCCTATCGCATAATTATTAAGGTTTGATTGATATGTAAAAATATTCGTTAAATTTCTGTTAGCAATGCAATTTACATTCCAACTATACTTGACTTTTGGGGGATTCAAACTTTTAATTATTCAATTATTTCAATTTTTGATAGAAAATTGAATGTTTAAAATAGTTCCACATTCCAATTGATCAATGCTTTGTTTCAATATATTCAAAAAAATTTCGCATTGGACCTCATAAAATGTAATTCTTGTACAAAAAAGTTCATTAGTTCATTTTTTACAACCCTGCATTGGAAAAAGTGTCAATATTTACATTTTTTTTATTGCATGAATAGGTCCGTGAAGAGAAAAAATTGGAGAGCAATTCAATCGGTTCATTGATTGCTAATAATAAGAAAAAGCGTTGATAAGGAACGATTTTTGATAACGATTGCCCAAATGTATACGTTTCCAACTTAAAATGCCGAAATTTCAGAAAAAAATGGAAAAAAGTTATCAAAGTCACGATTTTGATTGTGATTCAGGTTTTTTTTTTAATTACTTAGACTTTTTAATATCTAAAATGTTGAAGATGACAACACTTTTGAAACTATCGAATTATCTGAAGAAAAATCATCTATTGAAAAGGTATGAACTGAAAAAAAATGGCCAAAAAATTGAATTTTAGAAAAAACCATCTCGCGAGGAGAAAAATCGACTAAATTATTATCGATGTTTCGACAAGAAGATGCTCGAAATGCGCGATCTACAATTAATCATTCCACAATTGGAAGAGAATTTGAAGAACGAGAAGCAACGATATGAAAAAACGGTAAAAATTCTACTAATGATTCAAAAATATCAATTTTAAGGGAAACTGGTTTTATGAGAATTATGTAAAGAAATCGATAAATCCTGAAACTCGAAAACTCTATCGTCAATATTTGGAAAAGGAGGAATCGATTATAAAAGAGAGCAACCCCACGAATAACCTTGAATTTCAAAGATTGACATTGGTAAATAAAAATTCGATAGTTATAAATTTACGTATAAATCTATTTTAGGAAATCAATAACGGCGTGGATCAAATGAATTTCTTAATGAATAATAAGGAAACATTAATTCGTGTGGTGAGATACTCTTCAAATTTTTCAACGAAATTCAATTTAGATGGGGCAAGCAAATTACTGGAAAATTTGCGCGGGTCGGAAGAAACGAAGCGATTTTATTTATGTGAGAATAAATTATTTATATCACTGAAACTTTCTAATTGGGCAGTTTTTAGGGATTGATTAACGAAGTCGATAAGAAGCAAAAATTCGACGAAAGGGTAATAATTATGTACATTTTATAATAAAACGCATGAGAATTCTCGAAAAAGACGGCAATAGTGCAAACACTGAGTGCAAAACTCTGCGGACATGCGTTATAACTGACGCCATTTTTTTTTCTCGGAACATTTATTAATAATTTAAGAAAAATGCTTTAAAAAATTATTCCAGAAAGGTGTGAACACATTTGGATCCAGAAAAAGCCGTCTCAATAATCAGATAATGTTAGCAAAGTCCCGTCGACGAAAATTGGAGCTTCTAATTGTGAGTTAAATCCTTTAGACTTTAGATTTCGTTTTTCTGTCAGAATCTTGAACAAATAAGATGCCTTATTCAATTTCAAGACGAAATAATCACTTTGGTAAGTATATCCAACCCTTTGATGTTCCCCTTAACAATGTGACTCAGTGTACTCGTCGACTAGTCGGTCTCTTTGAATTTCAACAAACAAGCCAAGAAAATTGTGCTCTTGGCTCTTTCGACATTGTTAAATCAAACAGTTCCGAACTACACGATTCATTTTTGAGATGAATAAAAACAGAAATACTTTTCTTCTCTTTAAATAGGAAAGACAATCTAAAAACGAATCGCTAATACGACAAGAATTGTACAATATGAAAGAATATGAGGGGGAAGAAAAGCCGGATTCAAAATGTTATGGGTGATTAGTAATTTGATATAAATATATCTTTGTATGGCAATTTATCACAAAATTAAGTACGTATTATTTACAAAGCGCAATATGACTTGAATTATTATTAATATTATTATGATCTATGTGGGTTCAGCTACGGTAAACATATCATCAGCACTACTCGAGTGATAATCGTCAAGTGAGTCGTCGCGACTGCGCATTGGCGATAGAAACACCGGCGCTCGACGTTGGCGCTCACGGATTTCGGAAATCCCTCTCATTATTCGACACGTTCCACCACCACTGAACAATGACAATTTAATGCATATTGGTAAATTTGACGATCGACTTACGCGACTCCGATATTCAATAGCTCCTTCCTAGTCACATATTCGATTAAGTCGGCTTTCGAGTATTGCTCTGCAGCGATCAACGCGATCGACCTTTCGTCAATGTCAAGGCTTCTCAGCCAAGCAACTAGTTCCTCTTGCCCTTTTGTCAAATTGTAGTCGGCCCCCGGCGGCATGATGATCTTCTGTGTAACCGTTTGCGGTGATGTCGATGAAGGGAATTGAGGGGGATTTGTAGAAGACGCTCCCGATGGCTGCGACGCGCTAAATGGTGGCGTCAACGGCGCCATTGGTGGCGTTCGGAATGGGGGATACGTGTTGCGGAACATGGCCATATCTCGGATTCGTTGCGCTCGTATCAATCCCGATCGAAGTTGAGCGTTGAGCTCCCTCTCAACACTGATCAATCTTTCGAGAAGCGCTTCGTTCTCCTCCTGAATGCTTCGCAATTCTCGGCGCTCTTCCCGTACGCGCTCGTCGCGGCTCGGCGGACGACTCTCGATTATAATATCGCCTTCCGATATTGCCGAATTTCGCACGACGGCAATCGACGACGACGAAGGCATCGCGTCGTCCTGAGCGTGAAGAAGCTCCGATAAGTCGGGACTCAAAATTGAAATTGCGCATTGAACCGCCGACGAGATCAAGTTCGACAATGCGAACATCCAATGCGGTTTGATGTCCAATCGTCGAAGGACCGGCTGAATCGAATCCGAGAAATGATAGAGCGCCAAGTTGACTTGCGCAATTTTGGCGGTGTCATAATCCAGAAGGCATCGAATGTCATCAATCATTTTTCGCATGGTCCGACTGTCTTTCTTGGTGAGAAAGTCGCGCATTCCGTCGAGTAATGTTTCAAGCATTGTGACAGTCACAACCATTTCCGTCGATCCGCACGATTCGATCAGACAACTTGACCACGAATCAATGATTTGCTCCTTGTACTCGGCCATGAATTGCGCCAGAGTCCGACGCCGCTCCGAATCCTTTTGAAGCATGAAGAATCGCGACGCGTTCGAGCTCTCATCCGATATTGTTCGATTCAGAAGCGCTGCTGATGACAACGGCGATCCAAGATTCATCATGGTTATTGGTGAAACCACAAGATTTGGTTGAGTTGTATCATCAACAATCGGACTGCAATATTAAAATATGAATTATGTGTTCTAGACAATTGATTTGGTTGAATTTTACCTTGAAGGCTGACTCAGATGGAATCCAGGATGCGACATGTTCGTGCCCGCTGACGATTGACCGTCCGGTACCGGGCTGCTTGAAGAGAACGTGCGATTGCGGCTGTTATCAATTTTCAAGTGTAGCTTCTTCTCTTCTCGCGCCACGTTCAACGCATTCGACACACTATGAATATGCGGAAATCCGGCGTTCAGTGTGGCCGACGTCGGCTCGGGTGTTGGTGGCGATCTCTCAATGACGCCCATTCCTCCAATATGCGATGTTGAACGCAGCATCTCTCGCTGCTGCTTGCTCTTGTCCTTATTCTCTTCCGCCTTCTGCGGCGACACTGCCTGCTTCTTCTTATTAACCGATCCGCTGCGTGTGCGCGATATTCTACAATTATGAATTTCATCCATTCAATTCTAATTATTAAAAATTTGTCTTACGAATGATGCATTTGCTGAATAAACGGATCGAGAAGCAAGTCTTTTGCCGATGGTCTCTCATGGGCTTCTGGATGGAAGCACGATTTGATGAAGCTTCGACACTTTTCGGTGATTCCTGGCGGAATTGGAGGATGCGTCTTGAACATTCCGACGCGGAACATCGCCGCTTGCGGATTTTGCATTTCGACAAATGGTGGGCGCCCGGTGGCCATTTCCATCATCGTGCACCCAAACGACCAAATATCGGCTGGCGCGCCGTACCCTCTTTGACCATGATCGATAACTTCAGGAGCCATGTATTGAAGGGTTCCTAAAAAATTGAATGACGCAATTGGCCAATCAACAAAAAAATGAAATGCCAACCTGTGAATGTCTCAGTCACGGGATTCAATCCAGCCAAACGTTTGCACGTTCCAAAATCGGAGATCTTGCAGACGCCCGAGTACGTGTTCACCAACACATTGTCACCTTTGATGTCTCGATGAACAATTTTCTGCTCGTGCAAATACTTGAGGCCTTCCAAAATCTGTTTGCCGTACAACACCATCGCCGGCTCGTTGAGCGGTCCCCATTTCGAGCGAAGCAGCGAGCTCAATGAGCCGCCCGGCACGTGCTCCATGAAAATCAGAAACACCTCTTTGCCGTTGTCGAGCTGCGCGAGATCACATCCCAAATATTGCACAATGTTCTGATGGCTGAGTGTCGAATGCAGGCTGATTTCCTCCATCAACGGTTGAACTTCTTCGTCATATTTGACTTCGATTTCCTTGACGACAATTTGCCGCTGCGTGTCCATGTCGCGCGCCGAGTACACCGTACCATAGGTGCCTTTTCCGAGCACCACACGCTCGTTGTTTTTGTTCATTTCGTACTCGAATCGAATTTTCTCGTTGTCAGTATTACTGAGCACTTTTCCTTGATAATTTCCATCGGCCACGTCTGCCATCGCTTTCATGTCATCTAGTGCTCTGAATAACGTCCATTAAATGCTTAATTCGATCGATGAAGCTTACTTTTTGCAATGCGCTTTTGTCGGGAAAAGCAAATTGAAATCGTCCGAATTCTCGTGAACATATAGGAAAAGTTGGCGATCGTCTCTTTTCGCTTCGGTAACCGCTTTGATGTTATTTCTAGTGAAGTGCCAACGATGAATTCCCTTCAATTCGGCTTGATGCAACTTCTTCTGTTGGCTATTCTCGAGCACATGGCTCAGAATCACTGTCCCTTCTTGGCTGTTGAGGGTTAAGTAAGACGGAGTGAACTCCTTGTTCAGTTCCAATATCAAGACGGGATAACGAGGGCAATTAATGTCTGTGTCAGCCTCAGTCGCCTCCATGAAGAACTCGGACCAAAATAGAAATTGCTGTTTCTCTTTTTCGATGGGACTGATGGTCGCCGCGCATCGATTAATAAGCTTGATATTCTCCATAGTGGACTTCAAAAACCAAACCGGCGGTTTCAGTTTGACCATTTTCAGCGCCGCTTCGCAAGCCTTTTGATAGTTCTCAGCGAGCACCGACACCTAATAATGAGCGCATTGAATAATGAAGGTGTAATTTGGAGGGATTACCTCGAAATAGGTGGCAACATCCCAATATTCCGTCAAATTGTGCAGTGCGCCTTTTCGTCCGAGAAGCGAATTCAAAACCACCGCGATTTGTTGCATCTCGGCGTTGTTCTCAAAGTGCTCACCGCTGGCTCTCAAAAGCGTCGTCAAATTGATGCCGCTGTATTCCAATGGGGACATTTCAAACGCTTTTCGATACCTATAGATTAAATGTTTCTTATTAGAGCAAATTTCTTATTAGCTTCTGCTCACCATTGAATGGCGCTGTTGAGACTATCGCGATCCTCATAATTGCTTGCGATGAACTTGTCCTTGTAGATTCTTCCGGCAAGGCATATTATATCCGGACTCAGTGTTTCATTGTCGTTGGTATGATTGATAAGATTGAGTACAGTACTCAAAGCAAGGTCTCGATCTCCGTCGTGATTTCGCCTACAATTAATGGCTAATTTGAACGTTTAATGATTGTTGGTTACCGATTCAAAGCGAACGCGTATTGATATCGTATAACTTGCGCTTCCACGACCATGCAATCAGGGATTTTACGTAAATCATCAACTAACTGAATCATTCCACCGTAATTTTGGTTGTCTCTAGAAAACAATGCCCTCTGTTTATCATGTAGTTATAATAATATACTAACCTGTATGAGAGCATCATTTGGTAAACCGTATCAACCGACAATACATCAGGATTATCCAAACGAATTCGCATTTTGTCGAGAAAATCATTTTTCTGCTCGACGTCGGCAATCTCTCGCGCTTTTCGCAAATCGGACAAAAATTTCTCACGTGAGTGAGCGCTCGCCTCAACTTGCACACTTTTCAGCACGTGTTTCATTCGCGCCTTGAACGATGTCATTTTGAGTCCATTCGAACCGCTTGATCTATTGAATGGCGTCTTCGAGTCGTCGTCGCCCTTGCTTGACTTGTCATACGATTGCAAGTGATTCGATTCGGGATTATTGATGTAGACGATCATTGGTAGATGAGCATGTGTCTTCTTGAGAGCATCCATTATATGGTACTCGGAGTCTTGGGCAAGATAAGTGAGAATCATATTGTAGGATTGTCCCATGCTTTCACGAACTCCAATATGATAGCAAAGACTTGGCTGTTGATGGGTCACGGTAACATCAACAAGCGCCACATCAGCATTATAGAAGAGGTCCAGTGTTTCCGTTTCACCAAAGTCAAGCTTGTCAAAATCGATTTTCTGAATATCAAACCATATTTTTTTAATGATTCGTGATATGATTTACCGTTAGATTGACGTTGAGAGTGTCGGCAACTTTTTGAACGTCCTTTAGAGCCAACTCTCGAACGCGCAGATTCTTTTGGACCTTCTGATCGATTACGATCACCACATGGAGTTTACGCGCGTTCAGCGTCGGCTTGTCGAATGAACCGCTGTTCGAAGAAGCATTGATGCGGTTGTTGTGGTAGACGGCTGGAGGCGGAGCGCTTCGTGGTGGAAGGGGAAGCGGGCAAACCTTCAATTATATCAGGTAAAAGAAATGCAGCGGTTTGGTTTATTTATTTTATTTCATTCCTATCAAACTCTCGCCCAAACTAATATGCTTTTTTAAGCATCCTCACAACTCGCATAAAAATCTTCAAAAAAAAAAAACGCGATTTCGCAGTTTTTTGAAATCCATGCATTTTTTTTAAAACTTTCTTTTAAAACAACCACATCAATTCCAATCAATCTTTATCGATTCAGCTTTTTTTTCGAATAATTGTCAACATTTAAAGGCAAACCTCAACTGAGTTGCTTTCGCTGTGCGGTTGTGACTTGGCACCACACGACATTTCTTCTCACTGCCGATGAGGGCTGAATGAACTTCCACTGACACCGACCATCGATTGCCAAACAACAATCGATTTGTGCGGTTGTGGGGAGATTACTTCAACGAAATCTCTGAAAAAAAATTATTATAAATATAATATAAAAAAATTCGCATGTTCAGAAATAATCTTGAAGCATTTGAATTCACTTGAATTATATTTAGGGAGATTCCATATAAAATAGTCTTGGCCAGTAGAATCGAAAGAAGATCATGGGTTCCACAAAGAAATTCAGAATTAATTGGGTTTGGTCATCCTTCAAAGAACGATGAATTCTAATTTTACATATTCAACACAAATTCAGTGTTCTTTGGTTGGATTAATGCAATCTCTTTGAAAAAAAAATAGAATCTGCAATTTTTTTGGAAATAACAAGGAATTCAAGAATATGCGGTTGCTCTTATCTGCATACATATTGCAAACAATTTGATTATCAAGTAAATAAAACAAGGAAAAAAACGAATACGGTGGTTAATCGAAAAAAAAGGCAACACGCTAGCGTTGCGAATGTCGTAATGAGAGATCGCGCGTCGTTCGACAACGCAGACGATGAGAGACGCCGCGAGAGCGCGTCGACGATGAGACGCCGATGTGCAATCGATTCGTGATTGTTTGGCAATGAGACGCAGATGAATTGCCCGCTTCATTCCTATTATATGGATTCCTCCTCATGCGTTGATGTTGTTGTGGTTGGGTTTTTTTTGCGCGTCGCTGCCGCTCTCATCTAGAATTTCTCAAAATGAGAGAGCAGATGAACTATTTGGAGTGTTGGCTCGCTCGTCAGGCGGATTATCTTCGAGTATTATCACGAGGCAATTTTAAGAAAAAAAAAACAATCAACAATATTGACGTAAGAGATGTTGTGTGGGATTTGACATCGATTCCGGCGTTCAGCGAAACAAATTCTCGATGTTTAAAAAGGAAAATGCATAAAACACATTATAGACTACGGAACCGACTATAATTTATAGCCGATGACAAAAATTCCTTTTTTGATTATAGAAATTCTGTTGAATTTGTGAAGAAACACGATTCAAATTAAAAAAAAATGAAAGAATTGATTAAAGGCTCGTAATGCTGAAAATCAGCTGGGTCTCGTGACGACGATCGATTCTGGATTTCGTAAGGAATCAGACTATACGACTCCAAAATCTGAGGCGATTTCAAAAATTTTGCACGTCATGCCGTTATTATTGGAAAATTCAAGTTTCACGTTAATAAATAAACCGATCCACGCACATTTCTGATTTCTTAACAATGAAGAATACTAAGACCAAAAAGGTAATTTTGTGTCATATGAATGCATGTCTGAAATGAATTTCAGCCTTCAAAGAATAAAGAAAAGTCTAGTAGCTCGCAGTTTCAAAGACAAGTTTTACAAAGGTTCATTTTCAATTAAAAATGACATTTTTGCGAGGGATGATGCAATAAAAAAATAATTATTTCTTCAGTACATATAAAAAGTCAAACAGCTATAATAAAAATGATGAGTCTGACTCTAGTCGAAGTCTTCTCTTTAACCGGCCTAAAAAGAAAACCGCTCCGGTAGCAGAAAAGCCAGCGGCGAAGATGGCAGCGGAAAAGGTATCATTTTTAAGAAAATTCAATAATCGCGAAATTAACAAAAAAAATTATTTTTTCGTTATAAACCGATTCAATTCGATTTTTCGTTGGGCGAAAATTGCAACAAAAAAAAATCGGAAATTGGTTTTTTTTCAAGCCTCGCCGATTATCAAAGGAGAGTGTTGGCAAAAAGCCGATTTCGCTCAATAACAAGACAAGTCAAATGCAAACGACGCCTCCATATAATAGTGATCCCGAATCGAGCGCTTGGTCACAAGTGAGGGGACAACGAGCCCATGACGGATTGGACGCCGAGTCGGATCACGAGACGGATCGCCCTTATACAATGGATCGGACGAAATTGAGGAAGCCGCCGGAAACGCCAAGCATTTCACCGCATGACTCGCAAGATAAAAGCCTCTCTGAGGTCCTCCCAAATGTTTTAATCGAAAGAAAAAAACGAGCATCGTATTTTTTTTTAATTGGCAATTGATGGCGAATTAAACATTTAAATGGTGCTCGTTTGTTTTGCCTGCGACAATAATTAAAAATGTAAAAAATATTTAATTTTTAAGACGAAAGAATCAAAATCGCTTGTTGAAAATGAGGAACTTCGCGACAAATACATTGCGACATTCAAAGAGTTAGCGCGACAATCGCAAATGACAAATCTCGACGAGCAAACCGAAGAGTTTGGCAGCCTTCCGCTGGATCCAACCGACGCCGAATGCAAAGCGTTTCGTGATCCGGCGAACAAGAAGAAGAACCGATATGAGAGTAAGAGAAAAATGATAAAACGTAAATGGGAACAATGAATTGATGCAGATATTCGATGCCTAGATAAGTCACGAGTGAAGCTAACGTTTTTAGCAAAAAACGAGCCGGGCAGTGATTATATCCACGCGAATTATGTGGGAAGTCGCTATCTCAAACATCGATATATTTTGACGCAGGTTTTTTTGATGACATAATAGTATTATTCGAAATTCGAGCGGTTTTAGGGACCCAAAAAATCGACGATTATCGATTTCTGGCGAATGGTTTGGCAGGAGAAAACCACGGTGATCATAATGCTGTGCAATTTCATTGAGCACAATCGCGAAAAATGCGCCGAATATTTTCCGCGCAATCACAACTCGCCGATGCGTCTCGACAAACTCTCGCTGTCATTCGAAGACTCGACAATCGACAAAAGTGTGGTGACGACGAAACTTCGCCTCGAGTATCGCGGCGAGCATCGATTCATAACGCATTTGCAATGGATCGAATGGCCCGACTATCAGGTGCCCGGCTCGTCGGAAACCATGCTGCGATTGTTGAGGAAAATTCGAGAGAAACGAACACCGCCAAGTTGGTCCAAGTTGGTTCCAATTTTTTTTAATAATTATTTATTTCCAGTTGTTCATTGCGCTGCCGGCGTGGGCAGGTCGGGCACACTCATCGCCATCGAGATATCTCTAATGGCGATCAACAACTTTTTTGTAGTTCCCAATATCAAACAGGTGAGGTGTTAACGTAATCACTCGTCGTTGTTGTGAATATTCGGAAAAATTAAAGTAAGGGGGTGAATAAATTGGTCATTCATGGGGCTCTCAATATCTGCGGACAGTTTCCCGGGATACGCCACTCTCCATATTTTGTGTGAAACATGTGAAAAAACATTACAAAAATTATGATTTATTGATTTAATTATTATTTTTAAAGGCGCACGCGAAGAGTTGCGCAGGGTCTCACTTCGCGATGCCGAACCAAAATTTTCAAACAGTGGGGGAATTAGTTGTCTAGGGAATGAAAATGAAATAATCCAATTTTTGTAACTGATGCAGAATAACGATTTTCAGATAGTGACAAGCTTGCGAATAAATGGACGATGTAGTGCCGTGCAAACGCTGCAGCAATACATGCTCATTCGAAAAGTGGTTCTCGATTACGGCGCCATGAATCGATTCATCAGCGCCGAGCATTTTCGTGCGTTCACCAACGCCTACAATCGAGCGGTGAAAATGCAAGTGTCAATGTGAAACTTGTTGAAAATTTGCGGTTTTTTGCCTCTCATATTCTCGCGATAAATGTGTATATTAAAAAAATAAGTCGCAAATAATTCATTTTTCAGGCGGATAAAAATCGTAAGACGGCACATGATTATAGTGGGGATAGGTGGGATTATTGATAACCGGCATCAGCCATTCGTACATCGCAATCAATAAGAGCACGCACGTTGTGTAGATGATGATGAAGGTGTAGAGTTCGCGTCTGGTGAACGGATTCGCTTCGGTATAGTCGTCGGGTAGCGAATAGGTCGATGACATTGTTAGCAACTGAATGCACAGGTGAACTGCCTAGCGGCGACGAAGAGTTGCGATTAGCCGGACGGTAAACACAAGTCTGCGCGAATTTGAAATGCTCTAGACTTGTTTTTTTTTGAAATGTAAAAATATCAAATTTAAAGCTAAAACTTAGCGTTTTTACGGTTTGGCGGAATAGAAGTGTGGCCTAGAAAAATTACTCAAAAATTAGGTTCATCCACGGCCGCACTTGATGGATAAATTTAATCAAATAGAACTAAATGAATGCGCATTTATTGGGAATGTTTTCTATTTTAGAAATTGAGTATTAACGGCGACTTTGTGGAAATAAAAGAAAATCGTGATTAAGCAGTACACATCTTTTTTAAAAATTAGCCTGTAATAGTGTGCCGCACTTGCAGTCTTTTCTCAGAATTTGTGTGTTGCACTTGCATTTTTGCTTTTTGAAAGTGTCGACCAATTTTATACGTGCGTTGCGGCGTTTTCAGAAGCCGAAACTACTCTCTGTTTGTTGCAAAAGTACTACGGTAGCCCGCTCGGTGTAGGCACACATGTCAGAGTTGACGCGCAATTGCACAATTTCAGTGAATTTGAATTTTTTTTTGGTTGGCTTGATTTTCAGCTATTTTTCATTGTTTTTTAGCGTAGTTTAAGCGTAATTTTATAATGTTATATATATTTTTTATTTTCTGCGCTTGTGTAACTAATTTGTTTCATTTCAGCTATTTTTTTCGTCGAGCATTTTTTTATTGTGCGTTCTAATCCTTAGCTAAATCGATAAGCTTAACAATATATATTTATTTGTTAAAAAAACATAGCTCAAGAGGAGCTGATTCCTCCAGCCCATATTTCGTGAAAAATGAATTTTCAAATAACAATGCGTCATGGATTCCCATAGGCATTGTTTAATTTCCCAATTGCACCAATCAAGCATAATTAGTAAATTGATTTATTTACATCTAAAGTAATGTCCTAATAGAGAAATCACATTATATTCGTTTAACTAACTCGCGAATGTCAGAACAACTCGAAAAGGCCGTAAAAGGAATGTTATGAAAAATGTTATAATGAAATTAGACGATTCCGTGTGTGGCGCATCCAAATCCAGAATGTTTCTTTATAATCTCGTGAAGGCTGTTGAGGGCATTCTGCAATTGTTCGTACTCGACATCAAGACGGGCGGCACGCTGCTTTTCATAATTAACCTATAATTAGTCAATTGCATGGAGTTCATTCGTTCTCCACATCAATTTTACCATGTCTTCAAGTTCCTTTATACGATCCATTTTTTTCTGACGGCACTTGCTTGCTGCTTGCCGATTCCTGGCTCGTTTTCTTTCCAATTTCTTCTTCTCCTGATCGCCCATTGTCATCCTTAATGAAGCACGGATAATTAATTGGGAGGAGATTGAAAAGAAAAATTGAAAGTGCAATTTCCCACCATGTGAAATCGAGTAGCTGCTCGGTGACCGACATTTTTTCACACTCGCGCGCCGTACATGTTTTTTTTTTGTTGTCAAATTCTCTCGGTGAACGCGAAACGCGTCGCGTTGCCATGGACGGCGATGAGTCAGACGCATACAAAAAACTATGAAGGAGAGAGAGAGAGAGAGAGAGAGAAATTGATGCATCAAACGTGTTACATTTTGAAGAGATTTCGAAAATTGAAAACGTGTAATCCCAAAACGCAAATCTATTTTTTTTCTGTTCTGAGCCATTTAGTGCAATGTCCTTCCTAATCATTTAAACCTTGAGGATTTTTGAAAGTGCATTGGTATCATTAAGCAAAGTGCATTCTGCAGAGGAAATTGAGCGTTTATTGAACAATGCTCGGGTATTTTCAACGACGTCTTCTCAAGAATTCAGCCAATTATTTGTTATCGCCACAATTTGCAAACGAAGAAAAAAAACTTACTGCTCATAGCACGTGTAAAAATTCTGATACGGCGGATAGACCATACTAGGCGTCGGCGGCGGATGATGAGCGCCAAGATGTTGGTGGACGTGCGACGATTGCGGTTGCGCGTGCGGTTGCTGTTGCGGCTGGTACATGCTTGTGTGCTATAAAACGTGTGCGGGGAAGAGGAAGGCGCGAGGGAGCGTTGGCGGGGGAAGGCGCAGCCCTCCTAGAAGCGTCTCGTCTCTCCTCGATCGCGTACACTGTTTCGCCGTGTGAATCATGCACAAAAATGGTGAAGGAGGCCCCTCTTTCTTTTTTTTTGTTGTTTGTGCTGTACGCGTCTCGTACCAGCACGGCCAGTTTGAAAAATCCAATCAATATGTCTGGCTGGTGGGTGTGGTGGTGGGAAGATTGCACCATTACACCAATAGTTAATCCGATGACTCATGGGGTTCAGATACCTCTAAGAAGCCTCGAAAATTGAGGCAATCGCAAGACAGGTAATTTTTTAAGCAATGAGGCTCTAGGCTCTCAAAAATCCTCTAGAACTCTTGCGATAGGTTCCGAGCGATTAACTTACATATCGAGAGAGTCGCTAGAATACGATTTGCTCGTTGATGGAATGCTCGACGAGCTCGGCGAATTGAATCGAGCGGCAAACGAGGCTTCCGCATTCATACTATGCTCAATTCTCATGATATCATTATGCATCGGATGGACGTAGGCGTTCCAATTCTGATGATTATGATGATGATGATGATGCTGCTGCTGCATGGTTAGAGGGAATGAGGCGCTCACTCAGCCCAAAGCAGGCCAGCAGCAGCGGCGGCGGCGACGGCAACAGAAAAATAAAAAAAGATAGATGGATGAGAAGTAAGATGGTGGGCGGCGCCACAACATACGGCGACTGTAGGAGGAGGAGGAGGAAGGGAAGGAGGCGAGGGCAACGGCGAACCCGAAATAATCATAATAAAGAAACGGTCAAGTGTACATACGAGACTAGACGCAGGCGGATACCATCAAAAGCTGTAAATGAGTCATCGGCGGACACACCCATAACAACGCGTTTTGTGTGTACAGTGCGTTGATGAGTCACACACACACACCCAGAGACCAACTCGGATTCGAAATTCAACAATAGTAGATTTGTGAAGGCGAAACGCGTAGATCAAACTCACTCATCGATTCGATTTCGCGACGAGCATCGAGAATTTGAGGAGACGTTGCCGTCGGACTCGTCGGAGCGTTCGAAATGCTTCGATTGTGGCGGCTGCAAAAAATTGGAGATAAGACGTTGATATGAGATCAATTTGGACAGGCACAAAAAATGTTGAAAAGAAAATATTCAATAAAAAATGTTGCACAGATTTTATTAAATGAATTTTGTTAATTAGAAGAAAAATAAAATTGAATTTAGTCATCTGTGACGTAAGATTTTAGTGGAAAATTTGCAAACAAATTTTCACGGCTAAAGAGTTTCAAGCAGAAAAAAATTAAAATTCATCTCATTTTTTCACTTTTTTTGCGGATTGGAATATTTTCAATTTTTTTTTAAATTTTTTCCCTTTAATTGCCAATTTTTAAGGCGCCAAAAACTCGAAATTTTTCGGGAAAAAAATGAATTTTAAAAATTGGCGCGCAGTTAAAAAAATTAAACGTTGACAAAATTGCCCTAGTTATTTTCAATTATTATTATTATTAGCTTTGTCGCTCGCTCACCATACTGCTCGTTTCGCCAATTTTCGACGTCGTCGTCGTCGACGACGAATTCCAGTTGGCATTTCGCGACGTCGACGCCTCGTCGAAATTGTTGGAAATTTGCGAATTGGGCAAATTGGCGAAAATTGTGTTAAACGGATTGTCGCGTCTACAAGATGAAATCGTGTTCGACAAAAAGCATTCGCTGCCACCGAACATACTCAGCCGATGACTCGTTGGTGATCTGAAGTGCCGCCAGCGGCGAGCTGACCGGCGGAAACGTCGTCCCATTGCCCGGCGTCGTTGTGCTCAGCAACGACATCAGAATCGTCTCCATCTCTTTCGGCGCCAATGGTGTCATCATTGGACTCGTTGGTGGTATTGGTGGTAGTTGCGATGGTGTGACAGTGAAATTGAAGTTGTCTTTCGCTTGAGCGAACCGTAATGCATCTAAAATATAATAAAAGGAATAATAATAATAATAATTTTCTAATACCCAATATGAATTTGGTGTCAATACCCATGACTACAGAAATAACGTTCGTCTGCTATTCTGTTTTGAAGCTTTTGCCGTAGGCGAAGCTCCGCCTATTCCAGCTACCATAATTATAGGCACTTATTGTTATTCTCGAATGCTTTACTAGTTTGTACTATAGTGGACCGACACCAATATTCAATGAGCATTGTAAATGATTTCCTAGCGTGTGGTTTCCAATAAATTGAATATGCGTCAGATAAGAAAAGAATCGGCGGGTTGATCAGATGATTAGCTTTCTCATGAGCCATATTGAGTGGGAGCGAATTTGGATTGGACCCTTTTCAGTTTTTTTTTGGGATTAGTCGAAAATTCCGGGCTTTTCGCTAAGGTTTCGTCACGAGTGAACATTTATTTGGATATTTTCACATGAACTATAGTCTATTTATCTTTATCTCTGAAAAACGGGCTACAAAAATCGGCGGCTGCGAGACCCAGCTTCAAAAAAAAAAACAGCGTGCGCCTTTAAATACCGTCCAAAGAAAATGCCTTGAAATCATTGATTTTTCAAAAAAAAAAATAGCACCGATTTTCGAGTACTTGAAAATTTTAATAAATTTGTGAAATTTTTATAACATTGTTGTAAGCTCAAATTTTTTTTTTCAAAGAATTTACAAGAAAAAAAATTTTAGTGCAGATAAAACAAAAAAAACTTGATTGACTTATTTTTTCTCCATTAAAAAATTTCGTGTATTGCCTTTTAAAGGCGCATGACATCAAAAAATGAGTTGGGTCTTGTGGCGAATTGTTTCTTTTTTCCAAGGAACAGTTTTAAAATTTTTCATGAAACTTTGGCGTTTCGAGACCATATCGAAAGACGCATTCTCGTAAATCCACCAGGTTCCGATTATAAGTTGATTGGAAAGTATATTTTAGAATTTAGACAAGAAAAAAAAATTATTTTTTTGTGAATTCCCATCAAAAAGACCTCTTCTACTCAAAATTTTAGAATTTTTTTAAACACCATAAACAGTAAATTTCGCAATTGCTCAAAATGTCTAATCGATCGCTATCTTAGTCATCTTATCATTTTACGAGCGGGCTTATCGAAAAGTCATCGTTTGACAAATTTCATATTTGGCCATGATCAATGAAGTAAAAAAAAATATGATATTAACGAACCATAGAATCCTTGTGCGTATTGCTTCGCAGTTTCAGTAGTTGTCAATGTCGAGATTCCTGAATATAAATAAGATGAGAATGTATTGAAAGTATTAGCGAGCACCAAAAAAAAACATTAATCCAAATTTAATAGACAAGCGAAAATGTGATATAAAACAATTTGAGTAATTTTTCAATTTTCTATGATAACTCACCGTCCATTTAAATAATAGTGCGATATGAATGAAATGAACAAAAGCGCAATCTGCTTCCGATTTCATAAACGGAATGAGTAAGAGAGAAAGGGGGGGGGGTTTAAAGGAATGAGTCATTGTTGGAGGGGGGCAATCGCTACAACAGCGAGAAAGCGACAAACAAAACGACACAGCAACAAACACAAAAAAAAATTGAAATCTATTAAATCCATACCGTTAAGACTTGTGGGTCTCGTTGTGGATTCATCCGGCGACGATTGTCGACCCATACGTCGTAATTCGGACGAATCGCACGATGTGGATGACTCCTGCATCATGCGGCGCGCGAGGGAGGCGACAGCAGGCCCGATGAGTAGGTCTGGCGATGATGGTGGTGGTGGTAAAGGGGGGGGTAGTTGTGCGGCGCGGTGTCGCGGCGCTATTTCGTCGATATGAGTCATCGTGTGATGTAACAGAGAAGCGCGACGTTTCGCCGACGGGGGCCCGCCGACCGTAGAGGCGCAGGTCGATAGGCGGTTTTTCGGCAACGCTCGGCTGCCGGCCTGCCTATTTGTGTTAATAATAAACATTCGGCGTAAATTCATGCAACTAATTGCATCAAATCGACAAAGTTTTCCATTTTTTCTCGCGCTCGAAAATTTCAAATTTGCTATCACTGTGACTGGCGGGAAATTGCGTTTCAATGAATCAATGTGTGGATCTACGAATTTTAATGCAAAGTACGCAATTTTGCGTACTTATTTTTGCACAATGCCGAGGAAAATGCGCGCCTACTCATTATGAGCCTTGAATCGATTTTTTAAAAATAATTTCAATTTCGTGTTGAATTGAGGTTACTCACGAATGTCAAATAATTAAAATAATCGAAAATTGAAAAGAATGAATCCTAGATTAGTAGATTTTAAGAATATTTAAGGAATTTTCAAAATTCGAAAAACTATTTTTTTCCAGCTTTTGGGCGCAGTCTCCATTCTGATATTGTTGCGAAATGGCAAATGTATCCAGGTGTCGTGGGATCCTGCGTTTTGTACGCAATGTGATGAGCCAGTTACCGTAATCCTCGCAACGATTTGTAGATTTGTAGATCGCTGCGAGGATTACGGTAACTGGCTTATCACATTGCGTACAAAACCCAGGATCCCACGACACTTGGATACATTTGCCATTTCGCAACAATAGCCAGTTTTTCTCGGAAGAATGTGACCATATAAATGAATCGAAAAGTTGTTTAAACATTTCAAATATTTTATTGATATTTTGCTTTAAAAGACTTGTCTTGGACTCATAAACTCGTTTTGCCGACTGCATTGATTGTACTTTGGGCCAGCATTTTCAATGAACGCCACATCGACTTTCGGTTCAGATTTGCCGAGTTCCAGCGCGGTCTAATAAACCATCAATATAATTTGGGGGGCCCAATATCAAAAAAATTTACGCCAGATGTGCTAACAGAAGACAAAACCACTGAATCTGGCGATACTTTCAAACTCAATTGTTTATCGAGATCCTAAAAGGCGGCATTGTTGAAACGCTTAGGCTTTCGCTCGGTGCTTACCGATGTTAGTACGGAACCATTGAGCTTCACCGGTTTGCCGGACTCGTCGGTGACAATTAGACCCAAACGCGCTTCGGGATTTTCAATGACGACGGTTTTGAGAAGATCGGCAACCATTGAAATAATTTTGCCCTAAATCTCCCATATAAATCAGGCTTGCGAAGGCGAGTATACGAATTCGCGGTGGGCTTCGGAAATTGAAATTGGTGGATTTTAAATGATTTTTTTTGGTATAAAATTGATAATAATAATAGTTTTGATATAGAAATTCTTGAATATTTGATAATGTGACAAAAATTTCTTCGGACGGCCAAAGGCTGCCTTATATTATTATATAGTATAATTGAAAAGGTCACCTTTCGATGCGACACTGATTCGATAATGATTTGATCGTCAAACTCGTCGGGAATTTCAGCCGATGACACGTAATCCTGAAAATTATTTTGTTTTGTGCAATACTAAAAAACCCAGAAGGTCGGCTTACCAGTGAAATGATCACGAGCATTGCATGACTGAAACAACTGATACTGAAGACCGTTGAATAATTGAAAAGCATGGCAAACACGTTATTGTGGAAGCTGTTAATTTGGATTGGTGTTAGTTTAGAAAGAAGCCGAAAATTCGCCAACCTTGTTATATTATAGGTTCTAATAATAACAGAAAGGTTGAAAAAGAAAATGGCGAAATGCGCGCAAATTACCAGGCACCGAAGGAATATGTTTCGTTGGCTGAGTGTGGCCAAAAGTAGGAAAAACAGACCAAACTTAATTAGTCAATTATGTACTTATTCATGCAATGAAAAAAATAATTAAAAAATCAATTTTTTTTCATTTGAATTCCCTATGCACGCACGTCGAAAATTACAAAAAATTGACGCGAAATATCGTAATTCTCCGCTATTTATTTTCAAAGGCGCATGCAAAAAGTTGCGCGGGTCACGTCGCGAAGTCGGTACTGTAATTTTTTATTTTTCATTCTGTGTGCTATTTTTCCGTATTTTTCGAAAACTTTGAAGAGGAAATGAGTAACAGATTTAAGAACGAGGTAAAAAACCAATTATTGTTGGTATAATTACTTCTAATTCGACAATATGTCTATTATTTATGAAAAATAGTGATATTTGTGTTTGTTTGATGTAGACTTTGCTTGATGCCGCTTCTGATGAACCTTTAGCGTTTATTAAACAAAATACTTCTACAGATTTCCAAAAAATGAATTAAACGCTCAAAGAATAAAAATTCGAAAAAAACAGCTATTAAAAAATTACAGTGCCGACTTCGCGACGTGACCCGCGCAACTTTTCGCATGCGCCTTTGAAAATAAATAGCGGAGAATTACGATATATCGCGTCAATTTTTTGTAATTTTCGACGTGCGTGCATAGGGAATTCAAATTTAAAAATTGTTTTTTTTTTTAATTTTTTTCATTGCATGAATAGGTCCATTATTAATTGGAAATTAATTCCATTGATTTCTTTTTCTCTGAATTGCCAAATTTAAAATATTACTTCAATTGTGAATTGAGAGGCTAGCAAATATTCGCTATCGGTGTCCATTATGATATAAGAGTTGTACATGAATGCGCACGCCGCGTTTATTAATAAAACGAGCTCAAAAAATATGTTCCAATAAGTGCTGAATCCATCTTCCCTTGAAATGTTTGAGTTTTTTTTTCTAAATTTTGGAATGTCAATTTTCGAATCTTACTGTTTGAAGAAATTCAATGGCGCGCCGTCGATTCCTTTGTAGATCACATTTTCGGTGATTTTTTTGAGGCGCTCTCTTTTTGCGCTTTTTTTATTGGCCTCATCTAGACGATGAGATGATCTTCTACTGAAATAAATGATTCCACAAATATAATTTGCACTTGTTTCGAAAACGAAATTTACATTGAGCATTCGGTGCTCTTTTTGCTCGCGCATGAGTCGGTTCTCGAGCTCAATTGGCCGCGGAATGATGGTTGTGAACATTTTGAGTTGCTCATCGTTTTTCAATAATTTATGAATTCCGAAATAAATATTATTATATGGAAATTCGAGCATTTCGTTGGTGTCACGCATTAATTATTTTCATTTGTAGAATTTGTGTGAACGGTGTTTGCGGACAATGCACAAAGATTGCCGCGAATCACTTCAATTTGAATAAATTCATGTTAATTTTTCGTGTTTTCTTCTTCGATACACTCTTTTTTCAGAATGACTGTCAACGAAGCGTGCAAAAAACCAATCGAAGAGTTCAACTATAAAATAAAATCCAAGAAACGGGCTAAGAAAATGATTGAAATAGGTATTTGTCGATAAAAGTTCCTATTTATTTAGATTTCGAGATTTAGAACAAAACCAACTCCTTCCTGATGATATCTTTCGCGAGATTATCAATTTCTCGCTGAATTCAAAACATCTGATAACTCTGAAAAATCTTAATCGGAAATTTGCGTCGATGGTTGTGAAGCAAATCGAACTAAACTCTCGCGGCTCCCCAATTTCAATTGACATCGCCGAATTGTTTAGGGAAAATGTAAAAAATACAAGTAATTGATGTCTAAAAGTTTATTTAAATTGTTTAGAACCCGTTTCGCCAAAAGTTTTACGATAGTATGGAGAAGGGGGATGTAACTCGTTTGCACGACGACCTTCGATTGCTGGCCAACCTTTTAGAAGTTTATACCGAAGCTTTTGGTGGCAGCCATTTTCAATTAGGTAACAGGCTGATCGATTAAATTATTGCATAATAAATTTCAGTTAATTTGAATGCAAAATCATTAGGATGGTTGGCGAGGCATGATGAAGGCGAAATGAAGCGCGCGCCGTTCCTCCTTCAGCGAAGATTTGTGTACATTCTGAAGAAGTTCAATAGGTTTTGTATTGAATTCTTTTTTTAGAGTATTTAAATAATTCATCGTTTAGTCATGTCATTGAATTTTCGCCAGTTTTCATGAAACCTTCGCGATACATACGAACATTTAATCATAGATTCGAAACTATAACTGAGTTGAACTTGGGAGAAACAAAAGTAAAAAATTTAAAATAATGATGAAATGAAGAGCTTGAATTTTCAGCCATTAGCTGTTTTGAAACTTCGCGAGGTCGTATTTCCGGCTCTAGTGAATCTTGAAAATCTTATTTGGCACGTTGCCAATATTAACTTCATTTCGGTTAATCGCTTTATAAAATTTAATTAATCAATTATTATTTTCAGAAGCTTCCCAATATCAAAAATATGAAAAAATTGATACTAACATGCCATCCCAAAGGTCGTCCAACGGCCAAGAATTTTGAGATTTTGTCAAAATTTGAAAATCTCGAAGAGTTTTGGTTGGGTCTAACGGTGCCCAGAAATCCGTCGAGAATGATTATGGATATTGTGCTCAATTTGTATCAGACGATCTGGGAGACAAAATTAACCAATGAGAGGGTCCCATCGATGAGAATTAATGGAAAAATCATTCGGGACCATTATACGGCACTGCCGAATCTTAAAATAATCGGGTTCTGGAATAGTCCCGAAAAGGTGAGAGATTTTCGTTTTTCTTTAAACATCATAAAAAATTTTTTATTTTAGATATTTGTACGAATGGTGGAGCGGAATATTTCCTATAAAACTGTCAATTTTGGAATTATCACTCAAGATTTGAAACATTTGTGCTCGTTTGACTCTCTTGCTCAATCGTTGTTCAAGTTTGAGGAAGCTCTTGATTTGGCGGGAACGCCTAAAATTCAAAATTTGAATGTAAGCTGTTTTCTTGAACATTTTTGATTCAATTGGAAAAATCGAAGAATATCATATTCAAAAGGGATTTCGTTAAAAAAATAATCAAATGTGTGCAATTTTGCGTAAGAGCTTTACGGATTGCGAGTTTTTTTTCTTTCGCCAGACCTTCTAGAATTTCAGCTCAACCTTCACGCAATGCCAGTCGTTCCTCTTGAATATTACCTTCCAAACTTGATGAATCGCATCAATAATTATGAAAACATCAAACAATTATCGATATTCCTGAATTGTAATTTCAACGCACGAATGGATGGCTCGTGGATTCTCGACGGCAAAAAGCACACCAGCAATTACAAACTGAATTCGACATACTCAACATTTTCGCTTCACGTCAATGGCTACTGTGAGCTGAATGAGCTCGAACTACAACTTCCAATGACGCTGTCATCGTGCTCAATCTCCCTGAATCTACCCGAAGACGAGTCGTCATCGAAATGTGTTTCATCGGCAATCAAATTCATCACAAAACTTGGAGATATCAACGCGTTTCCCGATTTGGATGAGTTTCATATCCAAATTTGGGGGGTTCGATGCATGGAGGTATTCGTTTTAAGATTTCTGAATTTTGTGATTTTTTTTTAGGATATTGTGGATGCTATTGTTGAGAACTTGGCGAATTCGATTAAAAAGCTTTCAATCATCGCGATGCCAAAAGACGAAAATCGAAAAGTTTGCAAACATCTTGTGAAAACGGTGCGCAGAAGCTGCGAAAAATTGCAATGCGTCACATTTTCAATTCCATTCATTGAGATATTTTTAGATAGCGGTTGGATTGATCAATTTTTTGCCCGCAAAAAATAGGTTTTTGCAGAAAAATTGACGTCGCAATGGAAAGGGCACGTGTTGAACATGGCAAGAAAATGGAAATTTGACACTGAGAAATGTCAATTGCGCGTTGGCTGCGTTCCGATTGGCGACTATGAAGTTGAACCCACCTATTCGGTGAATTACAATAATGAATATCAAGATGATGATGAGGAGGAGCATCTCAACAATACTAGTATGGATAATGAAGAATGTGACAGCGATGGTATTGTTGACGATGAGGAGGTTGACGTTGATGCTTCGTTGGATGAGCTCGAGCTCATGGAGCAGCAGCTTGAGAATGAGACGAATCGGAGGCATAACAGATGGTCTAAGAAGCAGAGAGCCATTGATGTAGGAAACAATATTCGATGCAATTGATTTGTGAATTATTTCTAGGCGGATGAGCCAGTTGAGCTTGAGGAATCATCGGACGATGTTATCGATTTTGACGCTCTAGATGAAGAGGAAGACGACGAAGATGATAGCAACGGGAAAGCGGTAGATTGATTTTTTTTTTGCTGATCTTCCTAGACGTCCCGATTTTCATTTAAAGGGTGCCTTTTTTGATGATGAAGCCGTTGAATCGGATCGCGACGAATCGGAAGAGGAGGCGTTCGAAGAGGATGACAGCGACGAGCAAGATTTTGACGAAGTTGGCGATTCTGATGATGAACGGCTTTTTGTGAGTTTGTGTCTGTCGGCCACTTGAAAAGAATTAAAACTTGATACTGATCATTGCGAATAGTCGATCAGTGGAAAATTGTTGAAATATTGATAGTCAAATCATAAGCGGATTTTGAATTGTGACGAATCAATCGGCAATTGTGAATCGTCGAAAAAATTGTTTCCAGGACGCCGATCTTGACAGAAATAATCGTCAACGAAAGCGAAAACCAGAAGCCGTTGAGAAAAAGCCGAAACGGAGGCGAATTATTGGTAAGGCGAATTCGGATGAGAATATTTACTTGATATTTTTTTTTCTTGCAGTGTCCGATGAGGAAGACGATGAATGATTACTGTATTATGATTGTGTGTGTTGTGTTTTGATCGTTCGGATCAATTTTCAATGTTTCCCAATGTTGATTATGTTTGCGTATTCAACAATGTGTGTTGCATATAAACGGGTTTTGCCCTCTCTTTTTTTTTCACGTCGATTGCGCAAGTTTCGCGGACTTTTGAACTACGGACAAATTGGGCGATGTCTGGAGGATTGGGAAATTCAAAAAATTATGTGTTAGAAATATTTCTGATTTGAGCAGTTTGTATTTTTTTTGCACAGGGTTAATCGAAACGTTGGCCCCTGTGCGAGAAATAAAAACTGGCAAATCAAGATGATTGCTTTACAGTATCACACCGAACCAAAAATGATTTTTTCCAGAAAATTGTAACCATCATACCAATTTGATGTATGTCTTCATGGATTTGAGGAACAATGCCTGAACTTTTTGATTCTTCGAAATGTTCGTAATCCAATAAGGCGAGGATTGTTGAGAAACTAGTCGGTTCCATCATCATCACCATTTTTTGTTCCAAATGAGGCATGATGAAGCTCTCATCGTTTTTGGTGGGCTGTGGTAAACACGCGTTTTCAAAAGAAAATTGCATAACCAGGATTGGGGAGTGCTTCAAGGTCGACGGCGGGGGATATCACCGAATACGGCAATGCCCAAGGCACTCGTTTTTTTCCCAACCGCCATCACCTCGTCGTTGAATCTCTTTGTCACTTTTTATAAGGACGAACCACCCACTCATTTTTTTTGGACAGTGAAAAATATCAAACCATTGGTTGCTATTATTTCAGCTTCATTTTTTTTTGGAGGGGGGGGTCTTCATTATTCTGATTTTTACATAGATAATTTCTATTTCTAGTCTGTTGAAGAAGCTATTTTTCGATTTTATTTAAAATTATTATATAATTTTATATTATACTAGGTAGATTTTGGAGAATAATTGTCAAAAATAGTGGATTTTTTTCCCGAAAATCAGGATTCCGTCGAAATTTGAATATCTCGTTTTCGTGATCATTTGAAGAACAAATTCTGGAAAAATAATTCGCGAATACTTGAAAGAATGAATACTCTATTGAACGTGTGGCATCATCGTGAAAAAGAGAAAAAAAATCGCGGCGTCGATAGATTTGCACTTTTAATGAATTTCTTCTCAAGTCTCGCTGTCTAGATTCTATACATCCACTAACGCGGCGATATATATTATGTTAAATTATCTAATCCATGGAAATTAGCCAATTTTCTATCCTGTATCATTATCATCAGCTAATTGATTTTCTTTTATTATTGGCATTCTCAACATTTAAGGAATGAAAAGGCTGGTTTGAATTTTGTTTGGCAAATTAGCGAGCGATTTTCAAATAGAAAATTTTTTAGAAAAATGTGTGCAATTTTGCGTACGCGTGTACCACACTTTCTTTTTTTAAATTTTTTCTTGATTTGTGACGAATTTTATTTTTTCTAAAAAGAAAGTCTATATTAAAAAGTTTGCATCATATTTCTACATTATTTTTTGTTGCAGATGTCGAGATTGCATCCCGAGGAATCAAGGACGTGGGCCCATTGCGTCATCAGAATATCAACGGTTTACCTGCACACGTTTCTCATTTGCCTATTCTTCTTCACCGCTTCCATTCTGTTTTCAAATCGCGATTTGCGTGTTGCCGAAGATAATTTCGATGCCACATTTTTCGAACAACGCAAGGATTTTATCAATAGCAGCGTTGTGATGCTCGACGAGCTTATCGAGGCGCTGAATCCAAGCCATCCATTGAATCGACTCCACAAACGCGCCTACATTCGCTACTCATTCGGCAGCACGTTTTTGAATCACTGCAATGTGGTCCCATACCCGATTGGCATCAATTTCCCCTCACTTTTAAGGAAGTTATCATTTTTCGCCGATTCGCAAGCGTGCCTCCGAGCGGCAACGCTTATCGCCATCACAGTGCGGGTAATTAACCGAGCCGCCTCAATGAATTGATTATCGAATTTCAGCTATTCTGCTGCTTCTGTAGATGCGCTGATATTCAGACTCAAGGCCAATCAAGAGCTTTATGGATTCTTTGCATCATTTATCTGATTTCCGAGTTGAGCACATCGGTGTTCGGAATGCTATTGACGGCAGTACATGCGGAGAATGACGAAAAGCGTAATACTAGAATTTAAGAATGCAAAAATTCTCAAAAATAGTGTTTAGTGAACTTTTTGGTTTACAACTCTTTAATTATATATGGTATTTCATTTCTCATCAGCGCTTCACTCTACACGTTCCTTGAGAATTTCGACAATTCGAAACAGGTAAATTTGAGCGCTCAAAATTTTGAAGAGCGAGAGAAAAACGAATTTCAGCGCACATGGCTCCGATCGCGGGTGTTTTGCATTTTAGTTTTTGGATTCTGCTTTCCAGAAGTCTTATCAAACTATAGCTCATTTCTCATTTATAAACCATGCATGGTGTACGGTTGGTGAGATGATCTTTTAGCAGTCCCCCCAATCATCATTTTTAGTGTCATGGTACATCGCTGTTCGCGAATACGCGTGCATGGTGGCAATCGTCACCTTCTACTTGACGCAGTGGGAGGATTATAGGTGTTTCGAATTCCACCATTCCAATTGTTGATATAGCGATGAATTCAGAAAATTGGAGTTGGTCATTTCGACGGAGCGTGTCGAAACTATGGGATTTTGGCTGATGAATCATACCGATTCCTACACGCCGGCAATGCTCGAAGCGCTTCGACGAAAGCAGCATCAATTAATTGGGCAAAATCAATTTCGAAATGTGATATTTGTATGGTAGAATTTTGTTTTAGAATTGTTAGACCGCAATAATTGTTAATAATCAATTGTAAATAATAAATCAAAGAAAATTGAAAATTATGCGGAGAAGCGATTTTATTTTGGCGATTTTTATTATTGCAATGGTTTAAATCAATATAAAAATATAAGCAAGTGGTTGAAAAATATGAAATTCGTTGAAAAAAGCGAAATATCGATGAAGAGAACATTCAAAATTCAAGATTCAGTTTTTGTCTGTATACACACGGGCCCAATATTGCACACAATTCAATGCACAGTAAAAAATCTCATTATAAATTTTTTTTAATATTTCGAAAAAAGTCAAAGGAAAAAAATGTAAATTAATTTGTAACTTTTTCGAAAATAAATTGGAAAAATTCGAAAATTGCCAAAAATAATGCATTTTAAATTTCATCGTTTTTCGAATTGCACGCTGAAATAATTTTTTCCAAAAAAAAAAACAAACCTCGTTCAAATTGATAGTAAAATGTATTGAACAAATAAGAATAACGATTATTCTTTCAAATTTTTGATAATTTCCTTCAGAGGGGTTCGGGTAGACGTCGATTGTCCCAATCGCCCTGAAATGCCGCAAGTTCAAATTTTGGAAGCCGCCTCAAGACCCCTTAGTCTGAATAGTCCATGAGAGGGAGGGCTATTCCTTTGAGGTGATAAATAAAGGGAAAACCGTCTTCGGCTTTTTCTCAAACTAAAATCAATCAAAATTTCATTTTCTCCACAATGGTGATCAATCGAATAGAGGATCAAAAATCAAAGTCTTCAACTCCCCCTCTTGAACAATTTATCATCAAATAGACTCTAGTCGAATGTTGTGCATTTTCTGTTTATCGTTTATTGCATAGGACCTTCCAACGACCATTGACAAGACTCTAGTTTGCCGATCATATCTATATAGTATATGCATGCTTGGTATATAAAGGGCCGATTCATTTGTTTATTGCCCCCCTCGCATTCTTATCATCATTTTTGGGTTATCGCGTGATCGTTCGAATAATTGATTTTTTAGATGGGCATTCTCGAGTCGTTCTATTTCGCAATTTACAATTATTTTGGCGGCAATCATTTTTTGATCTAGTGAGTCGATGGATATGAGTCATCATCGCCAATCAATCAATCAATTATTTGTTCAGCGTCGTTGGCGGAACACTAGTGGTGAACTTTGGCTTTTGGGTGTTCAATCTATTCTTCATGTTCCTCGATGTCGTCCAACCGAGATGGGCGCGCGCCTACAAAATTCAGGACGAGAGAATGCCGACGATGTCGCGCTATTGTCAAGCGATGCGAACGGTGGTCGCGAATCAGTTCGTCGTGGGACCACTAATCACCGTGTTGTGGTACCACGCCGCCGAATGGCGAGGAATGCGATTCGAGGCGCCGCTTCCGACCGCCGGCGAATGCCTGCGCGACATTGCCATCTCGATTGTGAGCCAGGAAATTGGATTCTACTATTCGCATAGGTTGGCAGCAGAAATTTTGAAAAATAATTATTCCCCCCACCCCCACCCTACCCCCAATTTCAGACTCTTCCATCATCCGTCGATCTACAAGCACATTCATAAGAAGCATCACGAATGGACGGCTCCAGTGTGTAGGCGAAATGTCATTCAGCTCAATTGGGCGACATTCGAAATTCAGCCATCACCAGCATCTATGCTCATCCGTTGGAGCACGCCGTTTCAAATTTGAGTCCCGTTCTATTGGGACCATTTGTCGCCGGGAGTCACGTCGTCACATTGTGGATATGGGCGTCGATTGCGATTTTGTCGACGACGTTCTCGCACTCCGGCTATCATTTGCCGTTCATGCCGTCGCCTGAAGCGCACGATTATCATCATAAATAGTGAGTGCGAGTCGTGCGCCTTTAAATACCGTAGACAGATGAGCTACTCAAATTTGCTATTTGAGCCGAATGGCAATTGAAATTCGAGAATTGAATATTTTGAAATATTGATGAATCGCGCAATTAAAAAAAATATGGTTGATTAAAGGCGCATGAAACAAAAAATGAATTGGGTCTCGTGGCGAACTTTGTCAAAAACATAATCCATTATTTTTACTTCATTTTCCCTTCATTTCCAATTCGAAAATTGAATATTTTAAAATATTTGAAAATCACAAAATTCAAAAAAATAATATGGTTGATTAAAGGCGCATGACGCGAAAAATGAATTGGGTCTTGTGGCGAACTTTGTCAAAAACGAACTCCGTTAAATATTTTCGTTAAGCTTCAACGAGTGCTTCGGCACAGTGCTATTGGATCGTCTTCACGGGACGAACAAGAATTTCCGAGCGTCGATCGAAGCGAAACGAGATTATATGAGTTTGCGATTGACGCCAGTCAAGCAGCTTCATCCGCAAAAATAATTGATTTATAAATATACAAATAAATGAATGAAATGTTCACAAAATCTCTTTTGGCATCAAAAATGACGATTCGCCCGATTTTGAGTGCGACATCAATCGATAATAGGTGTCGGTTTTCGGGTTGTAATAGCAGTCGAAATCGATATCGTAGACGAGGCCCGAGATTTGATCGACGCTCAGATCACCCGATTTCGTCGACGATCGCATTTTCTCGTGTCGATATCCGGAGAGTCGGCTTTCTCTGGAAATTTGTTCGTAGCGCTTCCAAATTTGGCTTCCACTGTTTTCTACAGTATCCATTAAAGGCGCATGCAAAAATCCAAAAGCCTTTGGCAACTCCCAACTGCATTATATCAGATGGTAGACGCTTGATAAGAAGCGGAAATAATGTGTTGAGGGAAGTTGCGCCATTGTAATCATGTGCGGACATTTTCCGGGTTACGCCGCAAGCTATGTGTTTTGTGGCGGCAATTCAAAAACGGGACCAACGCGCACTTACGAATTCTTGATAACCATTGGCTTGAGACGAACACCAGCCAACGAGGCGTCCATACCCTCCTGCTCATCCTGCCGAACCATACTGCTCTTCCTCCGATTCCTCAACGCCTCCATCTCATCGTCGGACTCGTCCTGATACTCATGCTTGTAGAGATCATCGACCGCCTCATTCATGTCGCCATCCTGTTGATTTCGATTGATGCTTCGCAGCATGCTCAACTCGTTCGCATCGATTGGCACCAACGTCATCTCTTGCGACGTGATCGCCGATGAGCGTTGTACTGAAAATGATACTTGCAATTTTTTTTTAGTCGTTGTTGAAAACGCAAAAATTATAAATAACAAAATAGAAATTGTGGGTGACAATAGTGCATAGAGGTGTAATACAGAATCTTTAGAAATGGCGACGACGGAATTATTTTGTATTGGTTGAGTCATTCGCGTCGCGGGCCGGGCCGGGGGGGTCCTACAAAAAGAGGCGCCGTATTACTTTTCGGCCCCCTCTCACGTTTTCTCGTCGATGGCTCACGGTTTTTGATTTTACTTTGAAGCCATGATGATGAAAAATTGCGTTACAAAGTAATCGAAAAGCCGCGAGGCATCGGCACTTACGCGACGCCCTTCGCGTCGTGAGACCATCGTTGCTACTCTTCTGCGCCTTTAATATCGTTGACGGTCCGGCGAGCGCTTGCGAGATGCGTTGCTCAAGAATGAGACGAACTTTTTCCGCTGGAACAATTCGATAGCGGGGATTTCACTTTGGAGAAGCTCACGATCCGGTGTGGTGGGTTTTTCAATTTGAATTGCAACGCCGGCTAGTGGTGGAAGGAACGACGCTCTAAATTTCAAGGTATTACGCAAACTCGGCCACGGCCACGGCCACAAATTTTCAGGCCACCGCAGCGCCTTTAATCGTAGCAAACTGTTAAATCAAATTGTTTCTTGTATGCGTTGCGGTTGACAAGCCGCAACGCGTCCAACAACATTGACCCTAATAGTAATTTTCAGAAATGAATTACTTTGAAGATTTTCGGTTTTCCGTTGGCGGCGCACTATGGACCCGTGATCTTGGCGAATCGACGTTCGACGAGGTTTGTCGTTTCATTTACACCAAGTCGTTGTACTCCTACAATTCCATCTTTTGAAATCGAAACAAAATAAGAGGGGTAGAAGAATTTTTAGAAAATAGCTAAAACTAGATAATTTATATACCAATAATAACACACGTTTTAAGAGATCAATAAACGAGCTTGACGCATTTCATATTCAACAGGTGGAAATCGCCGAGTTTCGCAATTCGAATATCCACCCCGTCGTCATGGTTACGCCATTCGCGCTTCAGCGCGTTTTCAATTCTATTTTTTTTTTTGGCCGGCTAACTCGTATTTATATATATTGAATGTTTATGCAATATACTACATACAAAAAATGAATACACGTATGATTGTGTGCAAAGCGTGAGCGCATTTAGATGAAAGTTGGCGGCGGGTAGATTCCCAGTTCGGCTTGAAATTTGCGCTCGCGATGCCAATAATAATGCCAGAGTACGAATGTGAAAATCCAGTTGGTGACAAATCTGAAAACGCACAAATTTTCGCGCTGTTCATTGGGTGGACGCGGTCGCGAATTATCGGCGCGGCCGCGATTTATTCGGCCATGCCGCATTTCACGTCCGCCGTTATTTTCAAATTTTTTATTTATTATTAGAGTTTTTTTTAAATAATTTTTCGCCGATTTCTTTTAAAATTACATTAAATATATGAAAAATTAATTAAATTTTTAGGAAATCAAAAAAATTGCTTAGAATTGTTGCGGACGGACGAGTTTGAAGATTTTAAATATACGCGCTACTATTTCGACCAATCAATAGGATTCAACCTTTTCCATTCGAGGCCCACATCGGTAAATCAAAGATTAAAAAAAAAAGGTGCTCTGTATGCTCAATAATTTGCATTTTTTTTTCACAAGATGCATTTTTACAAAATAAACATAGCTATTTTCGGAATTTTGAAATGTGTGCAATTTTGCGTGCGTGTGTCTGAACTTTTCCTCCCACCATGTCTCAACTTAATTAAGAAAAATTGAATTTTTTCAACAAAAAAAAAAGAAAATTCTGAAAATTCGAATGGCATTTCACAATGAAATTTTCCACTGTTTAATTCGTCAAAAATTATTTTCAACCCACCCGAAGCAATAAACGAAGAATATAAGTGCCAGCTCCAAATCAATGACGCCACCGAGCGCTTCCAGAATTTTCGGCGCCGTGGCCATCGTGAGCACCGAAAGGCCGAGCGTATATGAGGATTGCATGAGAAGGCCGGGCCACAGAAGCCACAGCGGTTTGGCGACGCACAAAAGCGACACGAGCGATATGGTAAGAGCCGTCGATTGTTCGATGGTCCACGCGAATCTCATATAGCCGCCGTCGAGATAATTGGCGACGCACTCGTTGGTGCCGAGCACCCGATGCATTAGGCCGAAATCGAAAATGATAATGTCATGCGCGAGGAAATGCGTCGAGAAGTTCGCCGTCCGCATCGTGATATTCGAGTTGCACAAAAAAATGCGATTGTGTTTGTGCAGCGAGTAGATGTGCTGCAACGAGCGTCATTCGGAATGACGATGGATGATTGACGGGCTACCTGAAGAAATGAGGCGATGCATATCGACAATTGGAATAGCGCCAAAAGCACCGCCAACGGTTTGTTCGGAATGCGGATGCCGCAAATGCTCGTCTCACGCTCCTCGATTCGAATGAACGCCAACAAACGCATCAACGACGAATTAGCCGCGCTGAAGAATTTTGCTAGCTGAATGAATCCTTGGGAACCCAATGTTTTACGATAGAATATCTCATAAACTCGAAAATTTTTTGGGAAATTTGGATTTTCCAAAAAAAGAAAGCAGATTGAATTCGAAAAATTGGAAAAATGTGTGCAAACACCGCGACGCGAAATTGCGGAGACTCATTTGAATCGCTTTTTCGACATTTTATGCAACTATTTGACACAATAAATAATTATAATTTTCAGGAAAAAAAAATGCAAAGCAATAATGAAAAAATGGAATGTGAAATCGCCGGGTGATTTGACGAAAATCGACAGGTCAAAATTTTTTTTTGTTGGTGTAAACGTCAAATGAATCAGCGAAATTGGAAGAAACAGGTGAAATGGAATAAAAAAAATAAAAATAAAGGCGTTTGAGAGGAGAAAGCGACGAGCAAAAACATGGCGACTAATTAACTGGTTGTCACCAGTGATTAGCGAGTGAGACAATTGAGTTGGACGGAAGCGAATTGTCGAATGAGATGTGCCGAAAACATCATATCAGAAGCCGAATCAAAAATTTATAATATAAGACTTTATCATAATTTATTCATTAGAAGAGGCAGTACCTATATGTGTATTTTGATGTAGCGTGAAGCTCAACATCAACCTGAAATCAATTTATAACCTAATTGGTATCTCATAATTGCTCACCTCATAATGGGTCTTATTAATAAGATTAATTGGGAATGATGTAAGCAAGTATGGGATATGGCATTTCTGCAAAATGGGGAATAATTGAATATTGGAGAATTGATTGGCTTACTGTCATGAGCTTCACGTGGGCGGTTTCGCATTGGTGGCGAATTTCGAAATCGATTGGTGTTGTCTCGAACTCGTTGAATGAGCCGGTGTTGAGCCGGAAACTTCCGTCCTCTTGTGTCAACGCGATGGCGAGCATCGCGTCGGGCCACTCTTTAAAAAAAATGAGAACAATCAATGAGTGAGCGGAATGGTTTTGATCTACTCTTTGACGCCAAATACGGGCGCATGTATTTGGCGGGTTGGCCGCGACAAAACAATCGGCCGGTGACGATCACCGCGTTCGCCTCGCTGTTGGCATCGACGGGCTGGAAAATTGATTTGAAGCTTAAGCATTTTAGAGATCCGATCGGGGGTTTCAATTCTAAATTGAGGGCGGCGTGTAATTGGAGTGTCGTACTCGGCATTTTATCGTACGCGCATGCTGCAAAGGAAATACAGGGTCGAAAAAAATGGGCAAATTATTTTTTAAAGGTCTTGCATTTCTTTTGCAACAACCATCCGAAAAATTGAAATAGAACTACAGTAATCATTAAAGGCGCATGTAAAAAAAAAGTTTGCTCAAAAAAAAATTTTTTTTTGACCAGTTAAATTTGTGAAATCTTCGACAGAACAAAACGCAAAAATTAAGCATGTGAATTAATTTTTTTTTTTTTTTTTTTTTTGATAAGACAACTGTTTAATTAGATTGCTTCGCCAATCACCTTGCCGATTGGCGCCTCGTTCCAATGGCGCAACGATTTCGGCTCGTCGTCGATCAATCTCACATGGCTCGCGCTCGCTAAATCATTTCCTAATTGCTGATGAGCATCAATCATCAAACCTTGAAGCACAATGAAAATAATGAAGGGAAATTTGAGCATGGATTTCTGCAAAAAAAAATAATTATGATTCATCTTTTTTTGGAGAAATTGCAATTTTATGAAAATCTCCTCATTCGGCTTCTCTTTTATACCAACGGCAGGATACTCAGATGTCAATCAATGTGATAACGAGAGGAACTATCGCATCATCAGTTGACATTCAGCTGGATTGTACGGTAAGTCGGTCATACGGTGAGCAATGGTTTCGCCCATGCTCATAAGCATTTTTTTTTTGAGACTCGAGATTTTTCGGCGAAAAAATTTTTTTTTCAATTTTAATTTGATGAATTTGGGGCTCGCTTTTTTGAAAATTCCGAAGGCGACGAGTTGTGTACTCCACGCGGACAATGGGGCACTCGCGTTGCAAGACCCAACTCAATAGAAGGCTGCGTTGTCAGACGTGCCTGCAAAATGAAGCGCCCTCGTGTCTAACCACATTGGTCTCACAACGAATAATATTAATTAGGAAATTCTAATATCTAATATCCTAGAAGTTCACGGGTTTGGCCCTCAATTTTGAAAGCAGCGATGTCTTATTTTGAATTTTTTTATTCTAAAACCAATTAGCCCTCTTATATTCCAAATTTTGGGAGCAAAACAATATCATTGATTGAAAATTCATATTCGTATTGTCGTCAAATAAAATGTACGAGTCCGACTTTCTATAAATTGGCATTCAGCGTGTTTACACCGAATGCATTTGAATCGACGACTATTCAAAAAATTTGCATTTTTTTAGCGTTTCCTTACATTCTTTATAAGGCTAGCCCCTCCCTCTCTATTTTTTATACAGTAGGCAATTAAAGTACCGTCGCGTATTGCTAATGATGATATGAATGGGTGTTTCAAATCATTTTAAAGCAATAAAGGCTTATGAGGCCCTCAGAAGAAATCAAATCAAATCAATTCGAGACCGGATGTTTGGGCAATATCCCTTGAGATGTTGTTATTTTCGAGAAGCGCGAAATCAAAAAAAAATTTTCTTGGAATCGTCACATCGCAGGAAGTATGATGAGTAATATCAGTGAGAGAGAGAGAGCGAACCCCTCCCTTGAGAACTCGCGATAAGAATTTTATTTATGGCACAAAATCTAATGACCAGAGTTGATAATTATTCACGCCAAGCTGACATGTCGAGCGAGGTGATCGATGAGCACGGCACAGCGCGTGAGCCGTTTTCGATTTCGAACGCGTTCCGACCGATTTTCGACATGCTGCAAAAATCGCGGAAATTTTGTTTCACTCCACCCGCCCACGCCCCCCCCCCTTTAAAAAAATATTACTTGTCGCCGGTTTGACACAACACCCACGCCAGCGTGGTCCGACGAAGGGTGTTGAGTTGGGCCGACGTGAACACGCCGGGATTCTCGAAATAGTAGCGATCGCCGTCGCGTAGATTCTTGAATTGTTTGGCGATGATGCACGCGAACGTCGGTCCCACAAAACTGCCGGCTTCCGGCGCTTCCAGAATTCCGCCAACGTAGAGATCGACGTCTTGCGGGCTTCGATAGAGTTGGGCGACGCGTTGGCGAACCGCCGCGTCCGGCACCTCGCGCCACGAATTGAAGTCGGCCACCGTCGGCAGATTGCACGCTCGTCGATAATCGTTGTAGGGTCGAAGGCCGTGGTCTCGACCGCGTTGGATGTTCATCGCCGCCATGTCGAGAGCACCGCCGAACATTCTCTCCGTCATCGAGACGGTCAAGCGTTGCGGGCTTCGACTAGGCGTCGCCATCAAGCCCCTACATGTTCTACATTTTCGCCTCTCTCTCTCTCCTCGGCTCACCTATAAATCGAGTCCAATCCGTTCAGCATTCCCTCGAGTCGCATCATGTTCTCGATGAAATTGAGGCTTCCCATTCGTTGATAGTTGTGATTGAGGATTGGATACGACTCCTGGATCATTCCGTGAAGTCGGTAGGCGCTGGCAGCAAACTCGTTAAGGATACCGGGGTTGATCGACGGATTGTAGCTGGAAATCAATATAGAGACGTTTTCGAATTTTTCCTCTACCCATTGTAGGCGCCGAGTTGGGTTTGCGCCGCCGAGCCGATGAGAAGCGGTAGGAACTCTTGATAAGTGATCACCTGAATGACACCGCCGACAATTTTGCGAGCCTCTTGGAATATTCGATCGCCGTTCCAATGGCCGTTCATGTTTTGGAGTCTCGCAGCGATGCTAAAAAAAATATTAGAAAATGGTTGTTTGACCTCGAACATCAACCAAGGCTTACTTGTTGTGGAGTCTGAGGAATGTTGTGTGAAGCGCCGCCAGCCCGACAAACAGGTTTGAGCGCGAGTCACCAACGTTGAGGTTGTTTTGCGCCATCGGCGGAAACACTTTTCCATTGATCACTGATGATCGGAGCATCGCGTTGAAGCGAAGCGAACGAGCCGTGATGCCTTCGGAGCCGTAGATCTGCATGAGACATTTGTGATTGCTGGCGTCCACAATTCGCTTACTCCACTTCCATCGATGAATGCGGTGTTCTCGTTGAGCTGCTCACGCACCCGTCCGAATTGTCCCGTCCCGCAAATCGGGAAGCTTCTCGTGAACGCAATGCAACGACGGCTGAAACAGGTTGGTATGTATTGTTGGCTTCAAGCCGACTCACAATCGATCGGACGGCGGCGCCGGAATTGCGGCGCACAATGGTCCGGCCGATTGGCATCCGCAAATCGCCGCCGCCGAGTTCGCGGTGATGTCGTGCGAAACGAATTGGCCGAATTGCATGAGCATCGAGTTGGCGTGTCCGGGAATCGCTTTGCTCGACGTGAGCAGAAACATCGACACCTCTCTCGGATTCGGTCGATTGCGCTTCGACGATCCCACCAGCGTATTGAATCCGTCGTCATAGGCGGGCGGCAGGAGTCGCGCGAACGCTGTCAACGCCGCCCCTTCGGCGGGTCTCGCCAAATTATTGCAAGTGCCGTCGATCGAGCGGAACTTCTTCAGAAAGCATTGATTGACGGAGCAGTCGGGCGGGATTTGCTGCTCGGCGCACATCATTCGTTGGGTTCGTCCGCGAACCTGACCGATGGAGAAGATCTGGCGAGTCTCGGCCTCAATGGCCATCACTGAATTGCAGCCGTCGGGATTCGAGCTTGTCCGCGCGACGATCTCGTCTCGCTGGAATCCCATCATTCGGGTCGTCGGAGATGTTTGAGTGGTACGTGTAGATGGAAGAACGGGAGGAGGCGGGGGAGAGCAGGTCTGAAGAAGAAATTTTGAAATTGCCAATTTGATAGCCTTGAATTACCCCGCACGATTTCTGGCAATTTCTCAACATCCACTTCGGATTGATGGCGCATTCGCCACGTCGCGACCAGAACTCGCAGTTCAAATTTGAATCGCGACATTGTTGGCAATCAACTGCAACAAACACTTTCGGTATTGTACTATTCGGCTATTCGAAATTGGCGACGACCATAATTACTGGGATAATTGCGATCTCGCCAACACTGGATGACGTACCTATTGTTGTCACGAGAAGAAGAATCGACGACGCGAAGATCCGGAGGCGCATTTTTTCTGGGGCCTAGAAGATTTGACGGAATTTTGTCGAATATTTCTAGTGGGTCGGTGGGAGAATTCGAAAAATGAATAGTGAAAATTGAAATATTTAAAGGCGCGGTGGGGTCAATGTATGACCCCCAACCAGCACAAGGAAGTTTTGAAAGTGGTAAACCGATTATAAGCATATTGTGAATGCGTTGCATAATATACTAGAGGCGGTATTCAGGGGGGCTTCGACGGAGGGACAATGCGACGACGACGACACGGGTCATGTATGAACGAAGGCTATTCATCAAGGCTAGTGCGAATCGTCGGGTCATTTGGAATAGTTTTCAGAGAATGAGAGGCGAAAATCTGAAATGTCGATTTTTGAGATCCCCCTCTATATAAATCCAATTGTGTGGGCGGTGATATCTTTATTATTATTATTATTATTATATATATAAGATTTTTTGATTTTGATTTTTCGTGCTTCCTCCATGAAAACAATCCAATATTGCCAATATCGCGAGCGGCGATAACTATGCGACGGCAACATCATTAACTATGCGAAACCGCGAAGAGAGTTTTTGGCAAACACACAAGTGACGCAGAGAATTTCGTTGATATCGCTGATTGAGTCAATATGTCGAGACTGTTGTTGGCGGTCGCCGAATATTTCATAATGCTCCAAGCAGTTTGTCAATATTTTTCAAGCACTTTTAATCAATTTTTCAAATAATTCCATACAAGGTTTAATGGATTTCAATGAGTAGATCAAATTATTTTTTATGGTACAGAACGCCCCCCATCATTCCTTTTTTGGGGGTGCTTAATAATCGAGTCAAAAAGTGCACCATCCCCCCTCTAGGCAGCGTACACAATTCAATCGATATTTTATCTGTGTCTGTTGCCCCGTCATTCCATATATGTATATTTATACAATATTTGCAATCACGCTTATGTGTGCAATTTTTGTTTGCCGCGAGAAATCCGTTTCGCTCAAATTTTGTGTCGCAATTTTATTTTTTATTTTTTTTTTGATTTAGTTCTCATCGCACATCCATCATCATGGGCTACCAGGAAATGAAAACGATGCCGCATTTATTGAAGCCGGTGCTTCTGGTAAAGGACGAGCTTCACATTGATGAAGGGCGATGTGAACAATTTTCAGCTGCTCACACTTCTTCAAATCATTTTCATGGCGTCGCCGGGCGCTCGCGGCTTCTTCTGGTTTGTGTGTCTCACGTCGATTCTCGAATTTCTTGTGGCCATCGCGAATTTCGCTGCCAATTTTTTGGACTTGATGTTCACGTCGTCAAGTCAATATATTGTTATAGTAATAATAATAATAATAATCAGTGAAGACGTCGAACCCCCCATTTTTAGGAGTTGGCCGCCAGCGGCATTTTCTGCGTGTGCAGCGCCCTCAACACTATCTACTATTTCGTCAACATCTTCTATAAATTCAATTTTTGGTTTTTGCTGGCTACCGTAAAACGCTATCATATTTGGTTGCATCGCGAGAAATGAATTTCCAGGCCGACTCGGTGTTCCTTGTTCTCGCCTACGGATTGCAAGCATTATTGAACTGGAGCGCGAGAGGGATCGCATCAAGCTCGAACAACCAGGCGACGGCAATGCCACCGCCCGGATCGGCAACCGCCTATCCGGCCGGTGTCAATCCCGCATAATCCCTAATTCGTCTTCCCCTCGGCAACAATTAAATTGTATATTTATTTATTATTTATAATTGGTAATATAATTTTAAATAATCATTGTGAACAAATGATGTAAACGAGAATGTTGGTATTAATACGGGGTACCCGAAATTGATTATTATGCGATTGGTGTCGATCACAGGCAGAACGTCGATGATTTTCGCGCGTCGACCCAACTCACTGATTTCGGTTTGTTCGGCACACACGAGTCGGTTTTCGAGCGCGTCTTTTTCAGGTAACGCGGTTTCATCTTCAAAAATTTTATAATTATTTGATTAAATTGATGTATTTTGAAAAAAACCGCTCAAAAGTTCGAAATGGCAAAACAATTTGCGACACCTGCGATTTTGCGTCGCGGTGTTTGCACACATTAAGTTTTTTTCTGATTTTTCGAACCGCAAATGTCAACCGATTGGAAAATTTCGAAATAAAAAAAAACAAACAAAAATCGTTAGGATTCGAAAAAAAATTCGAAAATACATATTTTGGTAAATTAATAGTCGATTTACGTGCGGGGATTTTTACGCGTCGTCTCATCGTCTTGAGACCATTTCAGACTAAAAAATTTACAAAACTACCGTTCACATTAAAGGTGCATGCCAATAATTCATTGTAAATTGATATATTTTGAAAAAAAATCGCTCAAAAATTCGATGTGAGAAATGGCAAAATAATTTGCGACACCTGCGATTTTGCGTCGCGGTGTTTGCACACATTGTCGGCACGCCACCATTTTTTTCTGATTTTTCGACCCGCAAATGTCAATCGATTGGAAAATTTCGAAATAAAAATTCGACATAGACTAATAAATAGGCGAGGCAAACGAAAATCGTTAGGATTCGAAAAAAAAAATGTCGAAAATACATATTTTGGTAAATTGATAGTCGATTTACGTGCGGGGATTTTTACGCACCGTCTCATCGTCTCGAGACCATTTCAGGCATTGCCCAAAAAATTTGCAAAACTACCGTTTACATTAAAGGTGCATGTCATTGTTTGGATTAATATTGCGCAAACACCGGCGAATCGCATTTTTTTTCGAAAAAGGGTCCTTATTTTACCTGATTGCCCATGCAAATATCAATTTTCTCCTTCAGAAATGGGCATATTCCATCAGTTTCCAATGTTATCGAAAAAAGGATTGGATGCAATTCCGGAATTTCTTTATCGATGTCTTGAAGTAGCTAAAAAAAGAGGAAGTCTGAAAAGAATGGTCCATTGTTGGGCCAACCTTGGCTAGAACACGATCGCGAAACGCGGTTAAAATAAGCTTCTGACTATCAAACGTCGCGTCAAACTCGACTAATGGATAGCACATCGCCTGAATCGTTGGTATTACGCCATGTCGGAGTTGCTTCCAAAGACTAATTAAACCGTCAACGTTGGCCAGTAGGCATTCGGTGGTGAGATGCGAGCACACGAACGTCTTGAACGCGTTGTTCTCAATGATGCCCGGCGCGTCGCCGTCGATTTTGAAGAAATTGATGAGACGCTGCTTCTCGTGTTGATTGAGGTCGCCGATTTCGACGGCGCAATTCTGAATCTCGCCGCACGGCACGCGTGCGCCTTGAAGCGCCGATATCAGAAGAAGCTCGCAGCTGAAATCGATGCGTCAGGAGCAGAAAGAAGAAACAAAAATGATTACGCGACGGAGAACTCCGAAATCGTGCCACGCGGCGATGGCGTTCGCGGCGACGACGTCGACAAACTCGACGAGAGGCTGTCGATGGATTTTCTCGAGAGCTGCGAGAGCTGCCGCAACAGCGATTTGCTCGAACGCCGCTTCTGCTCGGCGAAACCTGAACAACAGCAACCCATTCGGTTTAAACATTTGAACTTTTGCGTCAAATTTCCTCATTCTTATCGAAATATCATGTGAAACAATTTGAGGGCTTTTTCTCCTACATAAATCATCTTTTACTGTGGCGTGATTATTTATTCAACGTGCTCAACATGATAATAATTATTAATTATTTAATTAACCCCAAAAATTTATTTTGTTAAGGGCCCGCATAATTTGTTGAGAGATATTTATTAAAACTGTGATTATTCTAAATGGGGACCAAATTGAGAAAAGGTGCCAATTTGGCAAGAAAAAAAATTAAGGCCCCCAATTAGACCTTGAACAAATGGGGTCACATGAAAATAAAAAAAATGCAAATAAAGGGTCCTCTGAGCAAAAAAAAGAAGCCTTGATATTTTTATTGAAAATTTTCTGTGGCAATCTTGGGAAACTGGGTTTTACTGTTTAAAAAAATGATTTTCAAAATGGTTCCTTAACCAACAATTTCTTCGCATCTGAATGTTAATTTAAAAAATAATAAAGGATCTTTGCTTTCAACAAAAATTTAAGGAGCGTGTTCAAAATCTTCAAAATTGGCCAATTCATTTTTTTTTGCAATTAGTCGAACTCTGATATTCAATTCTCGTTAGAATGTGCCCTCAAATTGACATGCGATAACAATTTTATTACGCTCCAATAATGGTTATCACAAAGAAGTGTGGAATTTGTTGCACAAAAAAATGTCTATGTAGTTTAGAAGGAAAAGAAAAACTCACATTGTGCTTCGCCTATAATAGATGAGGTTTTTCTGGATTTGCCGAATATCATTCTAAAATTTGGCGGTTTTTTAAAAGTTAGTAGGCAGGAAAGAAAATGCTCTTCTCTTTTTTTCGATAACCCAAAAATGAGGCGGGTTATCGGCACGGAATTATGCCGAGAAACTGGCGACGAAATTCACTTTTGAACTCCGTTTCGATACCCTTCAATTTGATTCCGCCTCTCCATGATTTACACACTGCCTCGCCTATTTATCACCAAATATTGAGGGTCGTCAGATAAATGAAAAGCACACTGTCGTCTTTTGCAAAAGATAAAAAAGTCAACAGATTCAATTGATGTGCACTAAGAAAATTATGCGAGAGGATCATTTATCTTCTGCAGAAATCGTATAATTTATTCAATGTAAATATGCAAGCCATAGCTGTTATGAGGACTCGAATACATGCTTGAAAATTTTGAGGGTATACGGTACACACTGTGGTGTATGCACACAAACACACGAGTTGACGCGCATATACGGATTTTGAGGATTTGTCATGGTTTTTGAGTTGTAGGCCGATTTTCAACGATTTCTTACATTTTCTTGTTTATTGTATATTTTGTTATGTGTTAAATTTTTGTTGATTGCAGATTAATCGAATTGCTATTTCAGATAAATTCATATAAATTATTGAGTTCTGCCAAATATTTAGTAGAATTCTTCAAGGACTTGAATTCTTTTTGGCTTGTTCTATAAATTGGAGTTGTGTCTTCTGCTGGTGTAGAAACCACAGAAAATATGAGACCAAGGGCTATCAAATATTTATGCATGCCTTTTTTGGTATTATTATTATTGGTTTATCAATCATCATTGTTGACAATTTAAGAATTTTTGCACATCGGAACCACACTACAAATGTATTGAGGTTGAATGTAATTCTCCTCCAATGAATGCACCATATCCAAAAATTGGTCGACAAGTTTCGCTTTCATCATTGTGCATGGAAAACTCAGAAATGATAATGCTTGTATCTTTGACACAATTTGGCAGGCCTTCTGAAAAACATTAACAAATTCTTAGTGAATCTCCATTCGCGTGTAGGTTAAAGGGCAAATTACGCGGTATTTGGCACTTTGCCAATATATTTTTTTTTCCATTTTCTTTAGCATCCATTTGAATCCGACAATAATCATACCGTTAAGACTATTGTGAGAAACGTTCTCATGCTGGTTTCGACATAGTGTATTCGATTTTTCAAAACCAATACATTACTTTCGCAGAGATCGCATACCAATTTTGTCTGAAAAATATTAATGTGCATAATATTTTCATTTCTTTGGCTCACCTGGTCTCCGCCGCGCTTTGGACTATTTCCCACGGTCGGTATAGGAAAACTGAAAGGTGCTCTGAAGGGCTCTATTCTCTAAAACTTTAACAGTCCGTCAGAAAAAATTATTTCTAATATATCTTACATTAGTTGCCGGAGAAACTTTAAAAATAAAAATAGCTAGTAATAAAAAAGCGAATTTCATGTTGAAACCTTCCAAAGTCTACTTATTGATAATATATATTTAACTGGTATCAAAACAAAATTTTTTGTTGTTTACAATGATTTTTGGTTTATGATTGAGCAAAGTTTGACAATTACGTCACAAAATTTAATGATAATAGTCATAATAAATTTAATTGATATGAATTTGATTTAGTTTTTAATTTTTTGGTTTTCGATGGTTCTAGAATAAATTGTCAATTTATTCATAATAATTCTCTCAAAGCAATGTGTGAGGTTTATGTGGTCCCACGATGGTGGAAAATTTTATAGGAACGATTTATTTGTATAAGACTACTTCCGATTACTACTCCATAGCTCAGGCGCAATATTCTGATCTATAAATCGAGAGAACTCAATGAAATTTGAAAGAGCGTGCGTTGGAGAGAGACGCAGACAGCGCGTCCAAAAACTACGAAAAAAATTGTGAAAACTTTCACAATATAATCTAATCACTCTTTATTAATATATAATAGACATGAATAACTTATTCTTGATTAGAATTGAATTCCAAGACAAAAACAACACGCATAAAAATTGGCACCAAAATCAGTTGGCTGTCTAGAGCTCCTTCTTCTCCTTCTTCTGCTCGTCCTTCTTTCCTTGCGGCTTCTTCGGCTTCAGCTTCTCGCCCTTCTTGAGTTCTGGAACCTCGATTCCGAAATGCTTGAGCACACTCTTCATTGAGTTGAGAATATCGGCCGGTGATGAATAGTAGTAGGCATAGTTCTTGTATTCAGCCTTCTTGTTCTTGAACTCTGGGAGAAGATCGCCGTTCTTGTCGAGGAACAACAAGCGTGGAATGTATTTTCCGTCCGGCCGGTATTCCTCCTCATATGGCTCATCATCGTCTTCGGTGTTAACCATGACGAAGTATTCGGACAGCTTCTTGAAAGCCTTCTTCGCGTTCGATTGTTGGAAGGTCTTCTTCAAAGCTGTAAACGATATTGATTAGAGCAAATTCAATAAGAAATTAGATTTTACCTTTGCAAGCATGACACCACGACTTGTGGATGAGCAAGAAGATTGGTTTGTTCTCATCCAACGCAGTTTCAATAGCATCCTCCCATTTGACCCATTTAATATCATCACCAAATCCTAGAAGCACAATATGAATTAAATAGTTTAAATCGAAAATTACCTCTTGCTAGTGGATTCTGAATTTGATCCTTAATTTTGTCGAAGCTGGCATAGGCAGTCGCACAAGTGATGGCGAGCACGAGAAGTGTCCGCATTCTGAAATTTGAAGAAAAAACGATGCCTAAATATGTAAGGAAGCAAAAATGTCGAATTAGTCGAAACCACAATGAGGAGGAAGCTTCAAAACAGAATCCGGTCCGACATGAAAACACGATGAGTTGGAAGTGCGCAAAGCGTGAAGACGTCGGACAGGTTTCTCTCGCAACGCTCTCCTCGATCTCACACTATTCGCCGCAAATCGCGATTCCCAATCTTGGCCAATGCGAACAACCTCCAAATGTTACGTACACGTGGAATAATCTTGGATTACTGTAGTGTTATCGGCGTTCCACACAGTTTATTAGTAGTGACTCGAAATTGGTGAATTTGTTGCACAAAAAATAAAACAATACCAAAAAAGGGAAAAACAACAGGACAAACGTTAATAATATGAAAAGAATAGTTAAAATAATTGAATTCCGCGAAAACCTTGAGCGTGTTTACACATTCCTTGAGAATTGTTAATACAAATTAAAGATACTACTTCTAGAAGTGTTAAAAACAAAGAAGATATACATTAGCTATTCGGTGGTTGATTTTCGAATGACACCCGTCAGTGGTGAGATGATCATTTTCGACAACTTGCGAACAGCACCCGATTTGGGCGGATCGCGCACTGCAGCGATGTAAGAGACGTCGCCGGAATCGATCATCGCCATATCGGCGGATTGCGCCGGCGGCTTTTTGCCAAACGCCGAATGGAGGAATGTCTGAAATGCATTCAATTTGGCTTATTAATATTCGAAAGGCTATTAAACCCCCCCCCCAAAAATCCAGTTTTAGCAATAACCCAAAAATTGACCTTGTAGATTGACGAATCTCGCGCGGACAGCATTGAATTGATTTGGCTCTCGATTTGTTCGGCGTCCTCTTTATTGGTGGTTTCTACCGTCACTCGACTCCAAGCCTCCTCATTCTCGTACAGTTGAGCAATGTTCTTCAAGCTCCAATCATTATCGCCAACAATGTTTTGAAGTGCCGTATCGCTTCGTTGCGGGAGCCAGAATATTGTGATCTGCCACGTATCAACACGAGTGGCTAAATAACGGTTTTCGTTATTGAAGTGCATAATTACAGTTTAAAAACTTTGGTTTTTTTTTTAATGAGGGATCGACGAAGCGGCCTCATGGCAGCCAATTGGTGGCCGAGAAAATAATAGGCCATCATCAATTAAGAAAATTGCATTGTTTTTTGAGTAATGGACGAATTTGGCAAATTTAAATGATGAAACGCGTTAGCCATTTTTGATATAGCGAAATCAACAAATGTTCATATACGATATCTACTGTAATTTTCAATTCATTCCATAATAGATCAATTCAAAAATGATTATAAGACCATGACGCCAAAATTTGAATAATAAGCAACGGCCCCCGTAAGTTCGTCCGACCTCGACAATACCACTTACGTTTGTACTCCTTCTTTTGAACTCGTACACCGCCAACGTACTCCCAAAAAACTTTCGAATGTTTTTGGTAGCCTTGTGGTAGAAACGATGTTCGGTCTGTCGAGTATCGCTCAATTTCCAAACATGTCCAGCGTAAAACTGAAAACAATAAAGAAACGAGAAATGAGAACATTACAACATTGCGAACTTAGTTTCGCCTTCCAGTTGGGCTTTATTTTATGCACTCGCGTCACTTTGAAACACGACAATTGGCCGCCATTATCGCTCCACTGAACCGGCGATGATAGTTCTACAATTTGGTTAACAACTTTTGCGAATTCTCGGAATTATTCGTCTATACTAAATGATGACTCTCCTTCGCCTTCTAACACCGTCGGAAGCGGTGTAGTTGAAGCGGCGGGAATCGGGCTATTGGGAAGTTTCAGAGTAAGCATCGCGCTCATCTGTTTTCCATATCTTGCGCCTCTCGGATGAAATCCACCGCGCGAGCCTTGAAAATTTCCAAAATTTTCACATATATAATGGGCAATGTTTAACTATTCTTCAGAATCATCACAAATTCGAAGCATCTCGTGCTCGCAATTGAGCTATCTAAGTCAATAATCGAGTCGAACTTGTCGACAGGCTCCATGTAATAATCTAAAACAAAATTGAGCCCATCCTCTTCAGTCGTCTTCTTCTTCTCGGATCTTAATCGCATTGCCTCATCTTTCAACCATCTCATCGGTCGTTCAAGGTTGTCAACTTCAATTGTGTACTGATCCTTGTCGACGAAATATCTATAATAAGCTTGCAATGTGAAATTCTTTAAAAAAAACGAAAATTTAAATTCTTACACCACTACAAGTTTCGTTGTATTCCGCTCCCTGTTCAACTCTCTCGTGTTGATGAGACCAAGACAATCAAAACCTAGCTGCCCAATAATTTTGGTGCTGTCAAGTGCCGGGAGTTCACTTTCAATTTCACCATCATCTTCCGCCAAAAAGAATTGATAATCATCAACTTCTCCACTAAAACATGAAAATGCGAATCGTTTCCTTATTTTTATTTCTAAAAAGCCATACGGCAAAGTTTCGTCAAACTCCATCTGATATCTCAGCATGCAATAGCCAATAACTTCACGAACCCTAGCCGTCGGGACCACCGAAATATTCAATCTTCTATTTGTATCCCCAAATATGATTGCGATTTTTTTCGATGACGTCCCATTTGAAGCGCCAAATTGCATAAAGTCTCCAAGCGAACAATTAAGATGGTCCGCGTTCTCATCAAGGTACCTTCAAAAATCGCGTCTAATTTTTCTTATCATAATTGATTCTCACTTTTGAATCGCTGAAGGACCATCTGGAATCTTTAACGGAAGGACCACTTCTCTTCGTATGAACAATTCACGAATATCGCCTTGATAGACATTATCTAAATTAATTCTATAAAAAATTGCTGAGATGATTTTTTTCTTTGCCTTCAACGCGCTTCTCTTCTTTTATTTTCTCCTCCGTCCTTTCCGCCATATTTTCATTTATAATATTTCTCGTATGCAATGGCTCTTCATAAAGAGGAATCTGATAATATGACATGCTTTAATAATTTCCATTGTTTCAACTTCTACCTCATATATATCATCGTAACAATCGTCATCCTCTTCAGCGTGCGTTTTTCGAAAATTCAACGGCAACCCTCCATGCTTTGCCCGCCTGGATGGCAACAATTTCAGATTTTATTGGCTAATTGACTTTCAGTTACCTAGATACCGGTAATAAAACGCGATTGCACAATCCTGGACCATCTTCATCTTCTAGACGCAACTCGTGCCGAATCACGTCGAGAAGATCCTCTTTATCTAAATGGCCCATTGGCTCTGAACGCAAAATCATAGTTTTGAGTTCTTTGCCAATTTTTAAACATAAAAAACTCTGTAAATTTTACAGATGTCTATTACAATCTTTTTATGATAATTTACAACAATTCATTTGTGACATAAAACAATGGAATATAAATTACAACAATAGACAAATAAAAAAACCAAGTAAGCACACTTAATTCGAATCGGTGCTTGAAGACGAAGAAGAGCCTGAATCAGAATCGGACGAAGACGACGATGAGCTCGATGACTTTCTTCTCCTACGACGAGGCTCTACAACTGGAGATCGATTCGGATTAACTGGACGATCATCATCGCTAGGTGGTTCGAGCTTTATTGGAACGCCATCAATGTCTTCCTAAATTTTCAATTCAGAAAAAACGTTTAAATTAAATGCGTTACTTCAATTCTCGGCTTCTTCGCTCTGTTATCTCTATCTGAATCAGATTCATTTCGTTTTCTCTCAGTGCTCGGAGATCTCCTTCTTGATCCTCGACTTTTGTGTGGACTTCTAAATTTTTAATTTTTAATATTTTTTCTTTATGGCCTTATTCAAGCATTTAAAAAATGCACATTTTCCAATGCAGGAACGTGAAAAAATAAATAAATAAAGTTCTAATGAACAAACCTGTTTCGCTCGCGACTACGATCATTTCGACTTCGCCTCTCATCGTGTCGAGAACTTAAATCAAAATTTCCATATAAAATTTTAACCACGATACTCAATGTTACCTTCTTCTCCTGCTCGAGCTTCTTTCATGTCGCTCACGTCTCTCACGACTATGATGTCGCAAACCTCTGAAGAATAAATTTTTCAGTTTTGATATTAAGTTTCTGCAAAAGTTGCCGTCTATCTGTTTAAAGAAACTTCGGTTTCAATTCGCTAATCATTTACCTGTCCTTTCTTTCTCTGTTATTTCTATCGTCGCTTCTGTCACGTTCATCGGATCTTCTACGCCGACTTTCAGAATGATTCTGATCTGAGTGATGCTTATTGATCTTTTCTTTATCATCTTCATCATGGCTGTATCGTCTGCGATTTTCTTCTGGTGATTCGGGTTCTCTTTTAATTTCCTTTTCATTAAGTCTGCAGTATGATCTATCATTACTTTGAATTAACAAAAAATGAACTTACAACTCCTTCTCTCGTCTTTTTGTTTCATTTCTGCGGTTTTCTAATTCCTTTCGAGATTTTCTTTTCTTCTGGCGTTCTTTTTTCTCTTTTTCGTCTTCGCTTTCGGACGACGACGAGCTTGAAGATGATTCTGGAGAGTATAAGAATGAAGATAATAATTTTTAAGCTTAAGATACCGTCAGAATCACTGCTTGAATCGCTACTACTGCTGCTGCTACTACTGTCGTGCTTGGACTTCTTCGATTTTTTCTGACTATTCAGCTTTTCCAATAAAGCATCTTTTTCTGATTGTTTCGCTACAGGTTCAGCATTTAAAGCAGCACCAACCACATCAGATTTGTTCATTCTAAAAAAATGTTATTTTTAGTTTTTGTTAAAAAGTAATGTTCACTTTGCCATTGAGCTTCCAGCCACAAAATCATCGCCCAATCCCAAAGCTGAACGCATTCGATCGCGATTTTTAGCCGCTGCTTTCCTTCGAGCATGAGTATCTCGTGTGTCCAAGTCTTCATCTACATCCAGCTCACCGGACTCGAGCTGTTCAAGCAGTTTTTTGCGATATTCTCCAACTTTCCGATCGATTTCATCTTCATCGAATCCTTTGTCTTCCAAAACTTGCTCAAATTCCACACATTTTAATTCAATCTGACGTTTCCTATTGTGATCAAGAATTTCCTCATTCGGTTTTCGGTTCAATTCAGCTTCCATGCGTTTAAGATCCTCTTCTCCATTGTACTCGATTTTTCTCTGAATTAAATCATTTTCTTTGAAACTAAAACCAATATTTACCCTTGTATTAAGAAGATGCGATAAATTTGATTGAACGTATCCATTGGTTCCAGAACCACGAGCGGTTTGAAGCCCAATACCGTTGTACATTCTAAAAATAGCAACTAAAGTATTTAAAATTAAAAAAAAAGCGAAGGGATAAAAAATGAAGCGCAAACGTAAAACATAGGTTTATTGTACTTAAGATAAGATTTTGACCTTTCGAAATAGCGAAAAACAACAGAAAACTGCACGCAAACGCTTAAAAATATTCGAAATGAAAAACGCGATTCAAGGCGCAGCCATTGCAGGCGACCGCGGGTCTCGCCACGACCTCTTATAAGAAACGGAGGGGGTACGAGCAAGAGCCAACTTACATGTTTTTTCCGTCGTTTATCTTTGTTTTTGTTTATTTTTTCAATTTTGTAATTGATTTCTAACAAATCCGAGTATCGAACTACATAATTATATAGAAATTGATATCAATAGTTGTCGCATTAGTTTAGAAAAACGCGGTATAACTGTCGTTCGTTTTTGGTTGCTTTATTCCATGTTTCACTGGCTATTGCCGAAGTATTTATGGTTAAAACTTTCATTTTAAGCATAATTTTTTATTACTATTTAATTCAACTAATAATTCCGATTAATATGTTTACTTATTTATAGAAAAATGTTATGAATGTTTACATTAACTGCGGAATTTATATGATCGTGTATCACGTTTTTAGCAACAACACATTATTTTTCAATTGCCTTAATGGAAACGGTTCTCCTATTAATTTTTCGCTCACTTTCCGTTCCGCGTAAAAAAATCAATAACGCAACTTAAGCTTTGCTACGATTCGAGCGATTCGATTTGCTGTTAAGCACCGAACGAACTTTCTTTTGTTCGTTATTGTGTGATGGATAATAACAAAAATTCTGACGAAAGCCAAAAAGCGCCGCGTCGGTAAGAAATCAGACGTATTCTTATTTATACGAATTATTGATTTTAGCTTAAAAGCAGGATGCGATGTTGGTTGCCAGACTGACGCAATAAAGCCTAGTGCCAAACCGGATGTTAAAGCTGAGAAATCATGGGTCGCCAATGGAAATCCAGCTGGGGTTGCTGGAGGCTCTACAGGTTTGTTAAAGTGCACCTTGATTTAAAATCCCATTTTTTAAATTTCTTAATGTATAATTTTTGAAAATTATGTAATCTGATAGTAACGCGAATTATGCTAGATTGGCTCGTTTCATTATCATACGTCATAGTTTCCAGAACTACCTGGAATTTACTCATTGAGAGAATATCCATGGCAACGCTATTTCAATTTTTCAATTTAATTCTTATAGACTTATTCTATTATTTTTATTTTAATAAGTATAATTGTTTAAAATTTTGAAATCTTTTTTTGCAATTTGCAATATTTAATACAAAAATAATACATTGTTATGGTTTTGAATTCTATGAGTGCGTTAAAAATTTATTAGTAATAATTGAATATTTTTCGTTTAGGCGCTCCGTCAAAATCATCCGCCTTTGTGGCGGCAGATGAACAAAAATCAGCGCCTGCTGGTGTAAAACCCAACTCTGTTGCCGAATATTTTGCCGATAAACAGAACGCGGCGCCTTCGGCAAATGCCAAAATGCGCACATCGTCGACGACGGGTGTTGTAGGCGAAGGCAAAAAATGTGTGCGCGCAAACACGACATCACAGCAGGCGGGATCGTCGAATACGAAAGGCGATGGGCCATCATGGGCTGATGAAAATTGCAAATTGCAACTTGTCATTAACCGATTTTCCCATTTGGATGAGACGATGTGTTCAGAAGCAAAGCTGATCGAAGGAGTTCAATGGTTAAAGAAAATAGTAGTATCGTCGAAATTTTTATTTTTCTTTGCAGGAAAATAATGGTCATGCCAAAACAACATCTTGTACAGAAAAAACAGCAAAAGTGTATGGGATTCTTTTTGCAATGTTCACCGGAGAAGGCATATTCTGAGTAAAAAAATTTCGTATTGCATCTCAAATAATTTGCTTATTCAGCACGTGGAGTGTGCATGCAATTGCTGATATGCGAATGCTCTCTCATGACAAAAATATTCCGCATTTTGCGAGACGGACTACGCATACGTACACCGCCAAGGAAAATGATTGGGGATACTCGTGTTTCATGACATGGGCGGTAGGCACAATGATATCACGCGAATGATAGGTATTAAAATTTTAGGATATTCTTGACAAAAACCAAGGATATATCAAAGATGACACTGTTGTTCTGGAAATAGCAGTAAAAGCCGAGCCACCTAAAAATATGATGTAGGAAAATTGCCTAAATCATAAAATATTATTTTTTAATTCAGGACATATGAAGAGTTTGTCGAAAGGATCGAGAAATGGATTGTTCTTGCGGAAATGCAAAAGAGCAAAGGGCAGATAGACTTAGCTCTTGAAGCCAACCAAAATGTATAATTTAAAAAATTAATTTTTTTATATCCACATTTTGTTTTATAGGCTATGAAGTTTTGTAATGGGAAGGATGATGACTGCTTTCAAAAATTGACAAAACAGCGGGAAACTTTTGTGAATGCGAAGCTTTTTGAAAGTATTGAGCGAATCGAGAAAGGAAAAACACCAACGGTTGCAACTGATACCAGTCATGGAAAGCCGACATCTTTGCGACAAGCGCTGACAGGAGCGCAAAAGTCGTTGAGTGGAAAGATGACGGCGAAGGTAAAATGGGTACATTTTAATTATATATAATTCTGATTGTTATGCTACAGGGTGGTAAGAAAACTCGCGCGGTTGTTACGGTTCAGCACATGAAAAAGAAGAAGCCTTATGAACAGTACGTTGTTTCTAATTTTTTTTTAAAATATTTATTTTATAATATGATGGATTTTTGATCTCGATTTCGAGCATATCTTTGCAATATGTTATGAACTGTGTCGTTTTTGTTGAAAATAACCGTAAAGATTTCTTAGGAATGCCCAGCGAACCAATAATGGTGGAAGTTCAACGGTCAAGGATCTCGTCGAAAACCGCAAGAATGCTAAATCCGAAGAAGCTGCTAAGGAAAAAATTTCGAAAACGGGTCAGGAACCTGATAACAAGCTCCTCGAAGATATTGCGAAATCAACAGAATCTTGTGAGCAGAAAAGCGCTGAAACGTATACCCACCATATGATAATTTAATGTAATTGAAATGTTTTTTTAAAGAAGCACCCCGAGTAGTATTTATGCTGAGGATGGGGATCACAACACAGGTGAAGGTTACGCCGACGAAGATGACGACGAATATGATGATGACGAGGTGTATAACGAAGGAAACTACGCTGATCAAGCGAATGACGGTGGGCAATTATTTGAGAAATTTGTATTTTATACCAAAATGTTCTAATAGTTCATTTCACTGCTTTTTTTTTTAAATTTTTTGTCTCAATGTGGGCTCATTTTTAACCGTATTTTTATTTTAATATTGTACCTATTTAAATCGTTTGTCCTTTATGACTTTACACATTTGGTATTCATTCAATTTTCATTTCAAGAAATTTGTAATTTAAACGAATTAGAATTTTTAGATTTCAGTTGAATATTTTATTATAGTTGTTATATTATGCAAACTATATTAAATCTTGTTTTTTTTCAGTGACAAATGCACCATATAGTCAAGACGGCGACTCAGAAATGTATGAGCGTTTTGACTTCCCACCAGAAACATTAGCTATTATAAATGGCTGTACCGAAATCGATGAGCAGTGGCATTCGAGCTGTGAAGATCTTATCAAAATGTCCAGGCGGTCATCACTCAGCGAATATTTGGTAGGGATTTTTGAAAGAAATGTTTGAAAGTAAAATGAAACTTTTCTATTCTTATTAAATTATTATAACCATAAATGAAATGCCTATTTTTAGCCCAACTATCAAGGCTACAACGAGGATGGAGTGATGATGTGCGATAGAAAAACTCAAACAATGACTGCTGAGGTCTTTGTATGTTCTTTTGCAATCATTTACAACGTTTTAAATTTCAGGCGCGAGAAATTGAAAAGATCATGAAGGAAAACTTTGACACGAATGATGAGACTGTCGAAACAGAAGTGGATACAGACTCAACAACCCAGACGGAACATCCTCCATTCAAGAAGACGAAGGAAGATGGAACGGCTGTGAAAACGCGCAAGGTAAAATTTAAAATGCGTATTTAAAAAAAAATTAGTTTACCACAAAATTTTAGAAGGCAGAAAAGAAGCGCGACAATCGCAATATGCACGAAGTACAACCATATTATAATATGATGTGGAGCGCAACACCTTGTGAGCGCATGGAGTTGCCACCAAACCCAGGGATGTTCACCAGATGGATGGAGGTGAATTTATTTATTGTCTGTTGACTGGTATTTTTATTTGTCACATTTTTAGGGAGATGATCCGTTGTTGAACTGTGCTCCTGTCGATAGCGGTGGCCCAGAAATGGAATTGGCTCAACGCTTTGCCAACTGCAAGCTCGACGACTTCCAACAAGTTTTAGCGCTTGGGGCTCTTTCTTACGACGGATTTCGAGCAAGTGTTGATCGGGTTTGTTGTTAAAAAGTGGGCGGAACTCATTGCTTCAAGTCAGCAAAAACCAAATTAATTTTGGAGTGAAACTAAAAGAAATTCTTGATTTGGAGTAAAAAAATTTCACTTGTTATTCACAAAATGAGAGTTAACGTTTAGGAAAATGCGTATCGTCCCGCATTCTCTGACCTAGTGATCAAAAGATTGCTGAACTTAGAAGGAGTGAGTTTATTGATGCGTAATCCCATTTATTATTTCCTGCTGTGATACTAATAAAATGTGTGCAGAAAAAAATCAATATAATTTTTCCGGAATTATTTTAAATTTTTGTTTGTCTCATTTTGTGTGTGCTTTTATAGGTGTCACTTTAGCAGGGTATTGAATTGTATATGCTTGTTAGTTATATAGCTTTGGACAGGTATGAAGTGAGAGAAATTTTGATTTTGTCGTCTTTAGATATTTCTCCTGCTTTGCTCCAATATTGCTAAAAGAAACTGTATTATAGATATTTTTTAAAACTTGACAATTGGCTGTCCACTGCAATAACTAATTGATTATATGAGTTTTCCATCTTCTAGCATGAAAATAGTGCGTTCCTCGATGCATGATTCCCTAGCATGTATTCAACAAATTATTTATTGTTAATTTTTTTTTAATAAAATGCGATTTTTTAGCTTTAGCTAACGAGGAGCGTGCTATAAACATAAAATATTCTTACTTTTTTTTAATTTAGGCACTGACGGACCATTTAAGTCCCGAAAGTATTCTCGGGCGGATGAGCGATGTTGATCAGAGGCAGCTGTTAGATGAGATCAATGAACGGATTGCTCCGCTTGTCGTTGCATTGGACGTTGATTACCGGAAGAGTGCTTACGCTGCTCAAAACTTTATGAAGCATTCACAGAATTTGCTGGAAGATGCACAGAAGATAGTGCGCGATTCGGAGTGCCTTCGTGAGACCATACAGGTGATTCACAAACGGAATGTGAATTTTTCTAAATTAAAGGCTATGTTTCAGGAGAAAGTGGTACCTTATCTTGGAAGCGATTCGCCGAAGCGCAGTCCAGATACGCGAGTAAAATCTCCGCCGACTCCCGCAAAAGAAAAAACTGTGACGAGCGCTGCAACGAGTTCGACGATGAAAAATTCGAAGGGTCGACCAACGGTGATTGCGAAGCGCACGATACCGCCGAGAAACTCGATGATCAAGCCAGCATCGCCAGTTGATATGACGAAAGATTTGACTGTAAGAAAGCATCATTTAGAAATTGCATTTTTATTGTGTTTTAGCTTCCCGAGCTTCCTCCGTATTCAGCTGAAGGTGGGCCTCAAGAAAATTCCTTGAGCTTTGTCAATATGAATAACTACATGACGGTATAGACATTTATATTTTCGTCAATTTTTATGGTTAATTTCAGTCGGTCATTGATAACATGAAAAATGCTCATGCTCGATTACGGCGAGTTATTTGGGTAAGAATTTTAGAAATATTTTTTAATCGGTCAAAATACGTTCAGGACTTCTTTGGTGACGAAGGTTTAACGAAGCTTTTGAATGATTTGAACGATGCAAGAGAAATGCAAGTATCGAAACTTGATCAAGAAACCAAAAAGTTGAGCGATCGCTTGGATGCTATGGAAGGTGAAAAGCACAAGACCGAGAAAATACTTCGTGAAAGCGAGCAAAAAGTCAAGTTCGAGGAAGAACGTAATGCGAAACTCTCAAAAGAGCTCAAAGACGTTCGAAATCAATTGAAGAAGGCGGAAAATCGCGCAACGAAAGAAGAGTATGCAGTTATTACCTAACATTTAGTGTATGAAACTATTTACAGAAACCGAGCTACTTCTCTTCAAGTGAATCTCAATGATCTTGATGAAAAGATGAAGACGCTGAAAAAGGAACACGAAACGTTGAAAAAGAAGACAGCTGAAGAGCGCGCAAGAGTGAAAAAGGAGAAGGAGCGTGACACGCAGACAATGAGGCAGCAAGTTGCGGAAATAAGTGATCGCGAAAACGAGCGTGATCAATGCAAAAAGGAGCTGGAGGAATGCACAAAGGCGAAAGAAAAAATTGAGAAGGAGCGACGCAATGTCGCGGCGCAACTCGCAGCGATGACGGAACGCGCTCGCGCTGCCGAACATTCAATTTTGGACTCGCGCAAAGCCAGCGCTCTTGAGGAATTGAAGAAAAAGAGAAAAGAGGCTGCCGCAGGATATTCGGAGACTGAGCAAAACCTCAATCGGTATTTTATGCAGGTTTTGTGACGAAGATCACAATATTTTGTTTTTCAGTGTTCGTCAGGCCAGCGATAAAGAAGTTTTGCGAAAAAGTCTCGCCGAATGGAAGGCGTATTCCGACCGCGTCGATAGTCTGTTTAAATCGGTTTCGCATGATTACGACGTTGCATTGGACAATGTGAAAAATGGAAGCAAAACGTTGGCCCAAATTGGAGAGATCAAAATTCCAGCATTGGATGCTCTTCCAAAGCTGGTCAAGCCTCCTCCCGTTCAAGTTGTTGCACCATCTTCGGCAGCCCTCGCACCGACAGTGATTGCTACACCAGCTGCTGGTGTGATAGGGCAACAACGAACGCCGGTTGGAAATCGCGCGCAAGCCTATAGTGGTTGATTTACTTTTGACGCCTAAAATTATTTGCAATGATTTCCAGGAAATGAAAACGTGTCGACATCGAACGTTTCTTCTTGCTCAACGCCTGCACGCGCTCGCACTTCTCGCCTTCCGTCACCGGTCGCTTCACCATCGAAGAACACAACGTCAACTCGTCCGGCTGATGAAGCCCCGGTTTCATCGCTATGGTCTTGGAACACCATTGGAAACCTCAGCGATTTGAGACCATCAACCCAAACGGACACCTCGTCGTTTGGAATGGATCCACTTCAGCGCGATATTTGGGCGAACAATGGAAATGCTGGTGGAAGTATTAACGTCGATTTTCTTCGGGTTTGTTTAGTTAACGACTAATTATATTTCATTTGGTCATTTTCAGCCTAGTGCTTCTAATCTGAGTTCGATTGGGTCTAACTCGTCGTCATCCTTTTTGCGACAGACTTCTGCACAACAATCGGCGCAAAATCAACCGCAAAATCGTGGAATGTCGTCATTTCGTCCGTACGGCGATATGTGGAGTCAGAACGCAATGTCAAATTTTCAAATGCAACAGCCCACACAACAAGAGCAGAATTATGGCATGAGAATGCAGAATCACGGTTCTGGAGATCACCCATCAACAGCAGGTTTTGCAATTGCTCGAAATTTTTTTATAATATTTTAAAAAGAAAAACAAATTTTAGCAAATAACTACGGTATGAATGTGGCGTCTTGGAGATCACAGTCAGTGACGAATCCAGTGCTGAATCAGCAGCAACAGCAACCGCCGAATCCGCAAACACATCCCGCACATCTACCGTACTCACATCATCAGTTCTTCGAATCAAACTAGCTAGTTTGTTGAAAACCCTACAGACTGTCCAATCTCGCATAATCAGATTATTAATTTTCTTTGTTCATATTAACTTAGAATATCAATTTCGAATCAAGTTACTAAATGTGTGAACCCTAGGGGCGTTTGAGATGCTTTATCTATACTGAATTAATTAATACAATTGATTTATGATGACTTTTACAATTGATAGAACTTCTATCCATTTTTTGCGTTTCTTTTCGTGTGCTTCTGTTTCTCTGACTTTTCAATTTCGGTCGTTTCTAAGTTTCACACCGGTCTTCTTCTGTTGAAAAAGGAAAGAGGTAGTATTTTCTTATTATGATTATATTATGATTATTTTAATTATTTGACACCATGAACTATCTGGTTTTGTTCTTATATTAATTGATGAGAACAAATTTGGCTGATCGATGTTCTGTTCAATAGTGATGTTTGGTCAGTGTCTGTGAGTATTCGATGATAAAGTGAGATTGTTCGCCTATAATCGGGGCAGTCTGTTCTCATTCAATTTTTTCTTTCCTTTCCTTTATCATCATCATTATCACCGTTTCTTTTTTTGCATTTTGGTTGATTTTAAAACGTTTCGGTTGGCAACGTGGCCGACTCTACGTTTGGTGAAAGGGCTTCATCTATTTTTCGAAATGTTATTTTAATAAATAAATATTTTGCGAATAGAAATTAATAATGACGACGAATTTTTATTCATTGTTCAATTGTCAATCTATTTGGTTATCTGTAGATCTTTCTACCGATTCTTCGTTGTGTTTTTCTGGGGAATCCGGATTAAGGTTTGATTCACGAGTGACTCTTAATATTTTAATTTTTTTTCTTTAAAATATTGGGAAAAGCTTACACATCAATTGAAACTGTGAGTACTACTGAGACAAGAGCATTGAAGACGTTTAGATATAGAAGAATCACTGATGGCGTCGTTGTTGGAGAAAATATAAGCGAAATGATTGAGGAGGCGAAGAGTAGGGAAATATTTGAAGAAAATCCATATAATGGAAAGGAAATGTATTGTATTAATCCCTAAAGTAGAAAAAAAAACTATTTCTAGCGTGATTTTGAATATAAATTTACCCATGAAAGTGCGATAATTGCTTCCTTATTCTTTTTGAGGCGAAATGATGAATAGAACACAATTGAAAGGGCCATTTCGATTAAGAATGCCTGGAAAAAGAATGGGTGTTCAGAATTGTTGAACACTTGAGTACTACCTGTAATCTCGAAACTCGTCGAATGCCCATATCTTCGACTAAATCGTATAATATTAAATTATCATTGACGACAGATTGATCTGTAAGACATCTGAAAATTGTGATCGCGGCGAAAAATGCGAAAAGTTGGACGACGATGAAGGAGATCGCGAGAGCAATTGGAATCTCGCGTCGAACGCATTGCACAATTGTGACCGCTTCAATATTATGCTTTGTTAGATGTTGTTGATGAAAAGAGCAATGACAATTAATTACCTGGATTGAAGTAGGCGGGTGTTGCGTGAAGAACTAGGGCTCTTGAAATGTATAGGGATAAGGCGGTGAATATTGGATAAGTGAACTCTTTAATGTGTGGATGTTGTCCGGCGAAGCAGCCTAATAATCACACAATTATTTAAAAAAAAAAGAGAGAGAATTTGAAGTTTGGGAACCTAGAAATGCAAAAAGGAAACTGCCGATGAGCTCGCCGATGTTTGGTCTTATAAGCGAATTATGAAAATCGGCATCCGATGATGATGTTGTTAAGTGTTGCATTACGAAATCGGAAATGTAGGGCGAATGGGGGGAGGAGGGTCCGAGCGTGAATGTGTTGCCTAGCAACCCTCGTTTTCTATCAACGCTTGCTTAATTGCACTTGCAGTCAACGTGATGGTTAGATTTGTGATTTCAGATGGCAAAAACAACCGGCTTACTAGACAAATCGTTGAGTCGTGGCAAATCAGAAGTATAATCCCTTCTTTAATTATTTTAATTAAAAAATTGCAATTTAGATCAATTTGTCGACGTTTGCCCTCCTCTTTTCCGAGATGGTTCAGTATGCGCAGAGTAGATCGGAAACGGTGTCGGATATTCATGACAAGTAAATTGTTCCTTCGTTTTTTGCCTGAAAATTCGCGTCTTTTCAGACTTGCCTCGTATGGAAAACAAGTCGGATACAGAATGTTTGATATTATTACATTGCGAGAACGAGGCTATAAAAGGGAAACCAAATTATTGGGTTAATTTTTCTGTGAAAATTAAATGATATGTGTTTTATTGTTTTCAGGAACACTTTTGTTTATCAAATCCGCAGTTTGGAAGAATTTGTTTGGAAAAGAGGCGGATAAATTAGAACGGTCGAATGATGATCAGTGCACGTGTAAGAATCACGATTTTTATTATTTTATTTTATTTCAAACGGGTCCTTAACGTTAAATATTTTAATAATTCTCGAAATTAGTGTAAATTTAAATTTATCGTTGACTGAATATTAAATGCGCGTACGCTATAATGTATTGTGCGCAGTCTCGCGTACTTCTCGCTGTTCTTCCAGTCGCAGTAATTTTTTTTTGAATTTTGTTCATTTGTTCGACGCCGACCGTATTTAATTTATTCCTTGCAATTGAATTTTTTTTTCAGATTTGATAATCGAAAAAGACCCGCTAGTCAATACATATATATCGGTTCCCAAAGACAAGGGGGTCTTGAATTGTGCGGCATTTGCCGCTGGAATTGTTGAAGCAATTCTCGAGGTATCTCAAATTACTGTACATTGAAACATTATTGTTTTGAAATTGTTTTAGAGCGCGTCGTTTAAATGTAAAGTGACAGCGCATTGGCATAATGGAACCGCATATGTCATACAATTCGAAGAATCGGTCATTGCTAGAGAGAATGCCCTTTTAGATGCATCTCGTTAATTATATAGCATATATGTAAATAAATTATTTATTTTTTTGCTAAACTCAATTGCTGAGAATTGTTTGTGTGAGACATTTTAATATATGTCTAACCCTGAATTGTTTTAAGACTAATTTTTTTAGATGAAAAAATCATTTGAACTTGTTCGCCGACGGATTTCGACGAGTCATTCGTTGGGGGTTCTCAATAAAGATCGAATAATTTTCAAATAGTTTCAATTTATAGTTTGAAAGGAAGAACATTGAAACTGTATGCCCGAAAATCCATCAGTATCTTTTTCCGGAAATTCCGGTTCCGTCATCGTCATCCTCAGTGAATTATGATATTGAATTTCCAAAACTGGAAGGAGAGAATTTGGCAGATCATTTTAGGTTAGAAAATTTCGCAGAAAATAGATATCGCTTGAATTTTTTAAAGAATAATCGCCGATTCGCAAACTCGACATTATAAGCGACTTCTTGAATCCGCGACAACTTTTGATTTGCAAAAAGCGAAGAGAGTTCTCAAAAAGATCGACGACAATGATTTGTGGAAGTTTGAAGTTGGCTGGACGAAATATCCGTTTGATTTGAAGTCGATAACAAAAGTGAGAATGTGCGCGACTAGTTGTCTAATGGTTCTGGCTTGATATTCAGATCGACGCTCCGCCTGATGATATTCTGTTCTTCGATATCGAATTATGCGTGTTGGATGGAAATCTGCCGACGTTGGCGATCGCTCTTGGCCGAAATGCTTGGTATGGATGGTGCAGTGAGCGGTTGGTGAACAACACCGATGTTCCCGATATGCCGACTAGGAAAGATTTAATCCCAATAGGAGGTATTGTTAATTTATGAAAAAAACGAAGTGGCAAGACCCAACTCATTTTTTCGCGTGATGAGCCTTTAATCGATCACTTCATTTAAAAACAAATTCCTTCACATTTATTTATATTATTTTTTTAAAATATTGAAATACCAAAAATGGGTGACGCTAAATGCCTGAAATTTGTGGATATTTTGAAGAATTTTTTTTGAGGTTTTGAATACGGTATGAAGTTTTTGGCGAAGTGTCTCGCAGCGACAGCTTACTTTTTTTTCAAACTTGATCATTAAACTCATAATGAGCTTTTTTGAGATTGTGGCAAAGAGAAAATCGTCATCGGACACAATGTGGGATTCGATCGTGCGAGATGTGTGGAGGCGTACGAGCTGAAACCATCGAAAATTCGATTCATGGATACCATGTCGATGTCAATTCCCATGTTCGGCATGGCGGATCACCAGCAATCGGTGTATGAGATGTTTGACATCGAGGAAACTGATGGAAAAGTTGGCGCGCAACTTTAGCTCAATAAAAATTTTACTATTTTTTTTCCAATTTAGACGGAATGGTTGAACACATGGAAAGGTCGAGTGTCGAAAAACTCACTAATTGCAGTTCATGATCATTTATATTCGGGAAAAGACAGTAATCCAGCGCGATTTAATAATGAATTGAGCTCAATTTCAGTCACCGCCGAGCAATATTCGAAGAAAACGCTTCGCGCGAGCTTCGTCAAGGATCCGATCGAGAAAATTCGCGACGATTTCCAACCGTTAATGTCATATTGCGCACGCGATAATATACTATGCGCTGAAATCTATGTGAAATTATGGGATGAGTTCAAAACGCGATTTCCGCACCCGGCGACACTAGCAGGAATGTTGAATATTGGAAATGTCTACTTGCCAATAAATTCGTACTGGAGAATGTTCTATGAGGTTTATTTGTTTTGTAAAATTTATATTCGGCGTTCGGCGACTGCTGTACTCGGGTAGATTTACGGGGGATGTGTCTTTATCTTGGTCTCGCCTGGACTAACTGGTTATTTTATGGGTTGGTTCGATAATTTTTAAATCGTACAATTTGAGTAATTTCAAGAAATGTTAAACTCATAAAAAAATTGTTCACGTAAAAACAACAAAATAAGCGTTCACACGTGGCGAGACCTTTTCAAGGCGCATGCGCGTCGGTCGCCGGACGCCAACTATATATCATACTAAAAAAAATGTTGATAGAAGAATGCGAGGATGTGCGAGGAGAAAAAGAACACATCGGCGCGGAAAATTGTCGAGACGGCTAAAATGGTCTATGAGGATCCGGAATTGTATAGCATCTGTTATTAAAATGAAAATAATTTCGATTTGTAGAAAAATGAGCGGAGATGTTTGGTTATGGGCACAAGACTGGAATTTGAGAACGAAACGCGATTATCCAGAGTGGTTCGCGAAGTTGTTCAAAGCGCGAAATTTTGCCGATTATGATATTAGCGTTATCGATAATGAGCACATAGTAAGCAATATTTGAATAATAAGAATTGATTCAAATTGCACATTGAAGGCACTTAAAAGCATGCTTATCCCATCGATATTTGGAATGATTTATGGTCCGTACCCGCTTGTGAAGTTGCGATCAAAAGGATGGGGATTTCTCGTACCCGATGAGCCGAAAATTGAGAAAGTCCTTGAAAATGACGAAATTCATTTTGTGAAGCTCAACGTTGATGTTGATCGCGAAACGAAAGTTGCCGATTTTCCATTGAGGTGTTGTATTTTTTTGTTTACAAATTTTAAGTTTTAAACCGATTCTTCTTTTTTTTCTAGAAAATTTTACGATATTGTGAAGAATAACATTTATTTATACGGAGAAATGCTAATTCCCGCTGAGAAGAAATTCTATACACTTGAGAACGATGGAATCTTGAAATATTATCAATTGGATCATCCAGTAACAATTTTTGTTTGAATCTCAGTTTTTGATTGTAATGATTTTCTAGTCAGGTGACGGAAATGTCGGAGATCCACTTACAAAACATTTTGTTAAAGAATTGAACGAGAGAGTTTTGCAGCCAACGAGGTTTTTTTTTGAATTGGAAGAATTTTGTTCCTAATTTGATCTACAGATATGTGGATCAGTTCGCCACTATTTTGGACTCATTGCAAACGACGAGGTTTTGGACCAGTTATAGGTTTTGATTGATTTCAATGCGATACCATTTCTAACATTTAGCCAATATGCAATTTCAGCAATCGCTATCACGCCGAGGTCACAATTTGGGATCCGAGCGACACGTACACGTCCGCAAATGGAAGTGCGATGTGTAGCGGCGTTATCGCGGCGGCGGTGGTTCCCGCCGGAACCGTGTCGCGACGATCGGTTCACAAATTGTGGGTGACACTCACCAATCAATCAGACGACCATGTCATTGGCACCGGCATCAAAGCGATGGTGCAGGCGCCGTCGGGATATCGGCTGATTGGCGCTGACGTCGACTCGCAGGAGCAATGGTTGGCGGCGTTGTATGGCGATGCCAGCGCCGAGAAGCGATTACGTAGACATTCGACAATTCGAGGCTCAATTTGTCTGTGTGTGTTTTTTTTTCAGCGAAAGAGCAGAGGAAGCCTGGAAGCACCGCGTTCTCGAATATGATGCTCGCTGGATCGAAATCGGACAACACCGACCTTCACTCGATTGTGGCGAATCAATTGAAAATAAGTCGTAATCACGCCAAAACGCTAAACTATGCGAGACTGTACGGTTCCGGCGAAGCGCATGCTCGAAAACACTTAATGCGTGTCGGCGGAATGAAGCAGAATGAAGCTGAAATGACAGCCATGCAGCTATTCAAATTGACGAAAGGTGATGTGGCAATGTAAAAATAAGAAATAAATATCAATTTGTGAAAAAAAAATTTGCTTGAAATTGTAGATATCGTAAAATCGATCCGCAATTCAATGATTTAGTGGATTTGTATATGAGGGAAAATGCGAAGGACTCGAAAATTTTGGCCCTTAATGGTTGCTACTATACACCGACTTATAATAGTCAATACGCGTATGCAGATTTGTTTAGAATAATTGAAAATGTCTTTTCATTTTTTTAAAGAAAAGACGCGATTGATTTGGAGGAATGGATTTTGAGGCGGTTTTCGGAGGAATTGAAAGAAATTCAAACGGAGGCTCTCATACCATTGCTTTATGAAAATTTTTCGGAGAAAAAGAAATTGTTTGTTGGCGGCTAGTATGTTATATTGTTGACGATGCGACGAATTTGAAACGGTCAAAAATTTCTAGTGAATCGTCGACATTCAATTTTCTTGAGCTGTGCGCCGCTAGCGATGATCTACGAACACCGATACTTGAATGCAAAATTGCCGACTCGTTGGGCAAACTGCCAAAAGGAACTCCCGACTCGCAGTATTTCGACAAAAAATACAAACGATCAATCATGAATTGGGTAGTTTAATGAGTTGATTTCGCTTAATTGCTTTCGAAAATTCTCCAGATCGTTCAATCATCGGCGGTTGATTTTCTGCACCTCCTCCTGGTTTCTGTGAATTGGCTATGCGAAAAATATGAAATTGAGGCGAAATTTGTGATTTCCATTCACGACGAGGTTAGTCCAATTTTATTTTTATTTTTATTTGTGCATTCAGGTTCGCTACATGTGCCTTGAAAAAGATGCTGCCCGTCTTGCGTTGGCTCTTCAAATTTCGAACATGCTCGTGCGAGCATTCATTTCTCAGCGCGTTGGCATATATCAGCTACCAAATGTAAGAAAATCGATTTGAGATTTGAAACTCGATGTTCAGACCGTCGCATTTTTCTCGCAAATCGATAATGATACGGTTTTGCGAAAAGAAGTCGACACGGAGAGCGTGAATCCCGATGGAACTAAAATTGCGAATGGAATCGCTTGGACAATCGATGATTTATTAAAACTAACAAACGGAAAAATGGATAAATTAAAACCATAACGATTTTAGACATTTTTTACAAATTGGTTTTCGGCACTGCGTTGGAACGTAGAGCAAACCGATCAATGATATGAGGCCCCATGGAAATGTCATTAGTGATATTATTAAGAGTGTAAGGACTACCCAAATTATTCGCAGTGTTCTAGTGGTCCGTCGGCGAGTGTACCGCGATCTCTGCAATTGTTGAATGAATGCTTGGCTTCAATTTTTTTTTGCGAACGTACGCATTCCTTGCAGAGTGCATAAGAAATGCTGTCATTCGTGCTAATGTCAATCGTCTCGTTTTGAAGAAGTGAATTTGTTTCGTCTGAGTTTGACGTTTCTGAAAAAGATTTCGCCTGATTAATTCTAGCCAGAAACTGGGGAACTAAAATGATTTCTTGATAATTTGGAACTCACTTTCAGTTGGAATTTCATCGATTTTTGGATACTGAATGGGAACAATCTGAAATTTCTTATTCATTTCTCTTTCTATAATTCGATTTCGACCGTTTCCCCCAATTTTTGTGCACTTCCATAGTAGGATGTAGTGATCCATTCATAGAGCTCCGCGCTTTTTTTGAAACTCACAGACGCGTCAATTGATTTTACAATTTCAATTTGAGATGGTGAAAATTGATGGAAATTGCCTACATGGTTCTCAAATGGATGATTGAATCTGAAAAATTGGTATCATATTAAAAGTGCATGCGGACACACCTTTGATGTTCAATCATAATGCTAAACTGCGAACAATAAGAGTAGTCTGATAGATAACGTAATGGTTTCAGTTATATATTTATATATACATCACGATGCTGATTAGATAATGATGGGTGGACAATGAGGGACTAACTAATAATAATAAATGATGTCAAAAAAAACAAGACCACCATAAATTTAAAAGTTTAATCTGGTGTATGAAAATTGGGAGAAAAGGTAAATCATCAATTTTTTGGAAATTTTTGGAATCCTGTTAAAATTTTATGTAAATCGCGAAAAAACGACTTTTAATAAGTTGCTTCAGATTTTTTTAAAGTGTATTTTGCACCTTATATATGAACATCCAAAACTGAAAATCCATGCGATCTCAAAATTTCTGGAAATACCAAAAAATATTATTTGAACAGCACCAAAATTCCAATTAATTTATATTATTAATAAATTGTCGATTTAATTTTTTTCTAAATTCGAAACTAACATGAATCATTCATTCCCTTCTTTATTTTTTTTTGTTTCTTGATTTTCTTCCTCAATGCTCGAGGCGCAAAATGCGCTAACCATCAATCATTGACGTTTTTTCGATTGACGCATTTCTTGATCTTTAACTTTTCGTGTGATTTTATTTAATTTTTGCTGGGGGTGATATAGACGCTTTATGGTTTTTTGGAATCAATGAATATTAATTTATTGCAGTTATGCGAATATGGATTTCCACGAAAACACATCACCTGATATTAAACTCTTCCTTCATCGAATTGTCATAGCCTATGAAGTTTTGGTTGTTAATTTTGAAAAATTAATAAATGATTCAAGGCGGAAGCGGCGACTTATTTCAATCAATGCAAGACGACAAAAAAATTTGGGAAATTCAACTTCAAAAATTTCGCAAGAAAGGTTTTCGATCCGTGCCCCACCGAAATCGTGAGAATTATTTTCTTCGAAAATCTTCATAATTAAATTGTTTAGCTCGGAAATTTGTACGTTCAACTATTCGAAACATCTTCAGAATATATGCATATGCATAGAAAAAGTCAAGCGGGAATTCGAAATGTGCCCCAATCGATTTTGTTTATTCCAGAGCTATTGATGAATGTTTGTATTGGATTTTGAAATTTATTGAAAAAAAAAATAAATTTAAGATTATTCTGGCATATCAGCTTCCATATCAACAAAAAGAGGCAGTTCCGCAATCGGTCGAAAAGTCTGAAGATGGTTCTTCTACAGCAGAGGAGAAAACGAGCCGGAAAAAGAAGAAAAGCGGGAGCAAAAATGTGATATAGGCACGACTGATGGAAATAATTGTATTATTCAGACAAAAATGGTTTCTGTTGGCCCTCGAGTAACTTTAACATTACAACAATCTTCTTTTCTGCTACAACACATGCTAATGGTGCCGATAAGCCGAGAAGCCAAAATCTGGAAACAAATCAAATATGTTCTATGCCCTACTGGAAACAACACAACCCTTGAAGCTTTTGGAAGCATCATAGCCAAAAGTGTTTCGTCTGGATTAATCAGGTATGATTGAAAATCGAAATGCTAGCACATTTTCAGTTTTTTGCAGCTTCAATGCATTGGAATTTTTCATGCGTGACGAGTTCATCAATAAATACTTGACAAATCCGGGCACAATTTTGCAGGCAATGTATATAGGACCGTTGAAAGCTGCAACTGTTGAAGTAATTTTGGAAAAATGACTATTATGCTCTAAATGGTTCAGTTTAAAATTTAGACATTTGCGACGAATCGTTCATCGGAATTCCGGCAGCAATGTCGCGAAATTCTGCGTGTCGCAATCGATGCCGCTCGAGATCCGCTGGTGTTCAGGTATCGATTAATCGATGCCATGATTGATTTGATTTTGGTGCTTCAAGTCTCCGCGATCCCGTCAATATCGCCCAAAGCCATCCGGACCGTTTATCATATCAGGAATTCGCCGCCAACACCCATCAGCTAATACGGGACTTGAAAGGATATTGCGGCGAGACTGCAATTCATCCGGGATGGGCGTGCGCGGCTCTCAAAAAGTTCGGCCATAAGAGATACGTTGAAAAGGTTCGAACTGCAAATTAATATTTCAATATTGTTTGAAAGGAGAAATTTTAAAAAATGATTGTTTCTCATTTTTGTTTTAATTTTTACCGTAATTGTGTAGTCCGGGTAGATTTACGAGTGAAATGGTCTCGCCACGAGTGAACTGTTTATTTCTTCTTGATGAGCTTCGCATTTCCGCGAATTTCTAACGTCATCATTTAAATTACCAATTATCGAAATGACTCTTAAAATGCGAATTAACCAGTTAGTCGTCGTGAGGACGCCGTCTATATAATGATTTAATATAAAATTTTTAGACATGGAAGGACGAAAATTTTTACGATTTGATTTGGACAGTTTTAGCGCAGCGACCAAATCTCAAAAGGTTGGCGGGATTTCAAAATGTCAATTTCAAAAATGTTGTGTCCGTTTTTAGTTTTGTTTGTAAATTGTTGGAATCGCAATACAATGACCACAACGCGGCGAAATTTTGGCGTCGAATGCAGCCGAATCAAATGTTGAAGAATCACATTCAGAACTCGTAAGAAAAACGAAAATAATTTGAAAAATTCGAATTTTTTTGCTTTTTTAGTAACGTGATCACAGAGGACCCATTAAAACCGACTAGCGAATTCTTGAATTTTCCCGGCACGGTGAAAGCAATTCGAATGATTTCGACGAATGACGAAATTGTCAAACTCGAAAAAACGATGAGGACCTGCTTGAAAGTTGACAAAAGCCTGACGGTTGGTCTCGACGCGGAATGGAGTGCCTATGTTTCGCCTAGTAGGTTGGAAATGGTTGAAATTGATTTTGGGTAGTAAAACAATCATTCAGAGCTACCATTCTACAAATGGCGATGCGTGAAATGGTCTACATCATCGATCTTGAATCCAAATCAATTTCTGACGAGCACTATGATCGTTTCATGACGTTTCTGTTCCGAACCGAGGAGATCCTCAAAATCGGATTTCAATTCGGCGAAGACCTCCATCAATTGCGCGCCACATTCCGATGTTGCCTAGCGCTCTATCGACCGCTCAATGTGATTTGTGTGGGAAGAATAATATCGGACCTTTTGGATCGAATTGACAATAGTCCCGACAACGAAATACTCAAAAAGGAGTTTCTCCCGACATTGAATGACGAGCCGTTGAAAGAATCGCTAGCGGATAGTAGTCTTGGTAGAAATTTTCGGTTTGACGTTTGAGAAAGGCCAACAATTTTTTAGACGAGTCAATTCAAACCGAGAATTCTGCGGCCACCGAATCGAACGAATCGATTGACGAGGATGAGGCAGCTGAAGAAAAAGACGAAACTAAAAAGGCACATTTCATTTTTGTTCGATTTTATTCGATTTTTCTCGTTTTAGATTCCAAAAGTTGACACAATACAATCGAAGTTCCTCAATAAAGGTCTTTCATTCATCTGCGAAAAACTTTTGGGACGACCATTGGATAAAACCGAGCAGTGTTCCGTTTGGGATAGGCGGCCTTTAAGGAATTTACAGGTGCCAACATTTTGGTCGCAATTTTTCAAGTTTCTTCTTTTGGTTTTCAGTTACGCTACGCTGCTATGGATGCCTACTCAATGCTGCTATTGCTGGACAAATGCACGGAAATTTGCAAACGAATGGGATTGCACATCGAGGAAATAATGAAAAATCAATCGCCAATTGTTGTTTCATTTCCCTTGTTGAGCGAGCATCCGCTGTAAAAAAAAAGAAAAGAAAAAAAAAACATCGTTCTTCTCTCGCTCTCTTCATGTTACGTAATTTTTACTCGTTTTTTTTGTTGAATTTTCGTAAGAGTTTAATATCATCTATAAACAATAACGAAAATGTTCATTTGGGTGTTTTTAAAACAAGTAATTTTTTTTGAGTTTATGAGTTGTGATCGAATTTCGCCTGAATTTGAAAAATCCCCCAACTATTTGTGAGATCATGCGAGATCGTATAGTGGCATAGTGTTGTCCCTTGCGGGCATTGCGGTTGAAGGTCGAGCTGCAAGCGGACCTGCTTCTTGTCCGACGTGCAATCGTGCCAAATCACCACGCTCGACTCATATTCCTAGATGAAGCTCAAACGCGATGAATCATTATCGATTGTCTCACCGACAACCATTGATCAAAATCCTGATAGCCACTGAGACGGAAGTGTTGTATTCCGGGTCGGAATTCACGATATTCGGGCTCCGATATCAAATCGTTGCCGTTTCTGAACGATTTTCAAATTACGTTTGACAGCGTCGAAACGGGGGGCGGGGCCAGGATTTTCAAGGTCCGGCGAATTTGCCAAATTTGATCTAATTGGTCTCGCAATTCAAAATATGTTCCATAATTGAAACTATTAAAAATTAAAAAATCACTTAAAAAGAAAATTATTCTTTTTTAAGCAAAACTCGCCCCAAAGAGTTTTTCCATGCGAGACCCAAGGCGGCAATTCAAATGCTACAATACTCGCACCCCCGTTCTTGACAATTACAGAGTAATTTGAATGAATGTTTCAAAAGATGGGAAAAATCGCAATTGTACCAGAGGCTTAATGTGACCCTGTTGGTACAACCCAAAATCGGTCATTTCTACCTTTCGAGCCATCAATGCATAATAGTCAAAAGCCTTACAAGAATCCGTCCTTGTCGTAAACTTCGAAATGAACACTGATCGTTGTTCGATCGACCAAATTGCATTGAACCGTCACATCGTATAAGAAATGGTCGGCGCTCACAAATGCTATCCAAGAAGCAACGAAAAACCAACGCATTGTGTCGTTTCCTTCTTTGGAATAGAGTTGTTGACTTGTCGTCACCAACACGTGACATCTTGAGTATTAATTTAACCGTGAAATTTTAAATCGGCTATTATTCAACTCCTCGCAGAAACATGACCGAGCAGTCATGGCCTAACTTGTAGGGCCGAAGGTGCACCAACGTTGGCGACCTTTATTCTCAACAACTTCCAAATATGAGCAATGTTAAAACTACTTCATTGTCATTAAAATTATATAGTCGATGTTTGGTGATTGTACTGTGCGTGGGTCGATTTACGAGGCACGCCTCTTTCGCTATGGTCTTGAAGCGAAATTTGTTCTTTCGTCCTTTGAAACTTTAAAAGGTATTCAAATAAACATTACTTCGGAACGCAATTTCACAATTAATCCTTACGAGACCATAACGAAAAGGACATGCTCGTAAATCTACCCGCCACACACGCACAAACTAAAATCACCGGACGCCGACTAAATGCAATTCGACAAGGGTACTTATATGTAGACACCTGTCTTTAAAATCACCGGTAAAAGGGAATATTAATCGTATAAGCGAAAATTCGTTGGGGCAAAAAAAGTAACAATTATTTGACACTAATCGGACATTCCAATGCCGAAAAACACCGCCAAAATTGTTCCAATCGCAATGAGAGCCAACACCGTCAGATAAACAACAATCTCGCGAAATTTCGTCGACTGGAAATTAGTTGATTGGAGAAAATCTGGGTGGAAGACAAAACAAAACACAAATTGTTGAGAACATTTGGAAAAAAAGACAAGTTAAACAAAGGAAAATTCTTCTTACTTCAGCTTCTTCGATTTTCTCAATTGTTGTCTTCTTGGTCGTGATGTTCCACGTCGTTCCATGCTCCGAAATTTCAGACGGCTCCATCGGCATTTCAAATATCTACAGGATAGAGGGATAGATAGACCGGACAACACGATTAGGAGTATCACTAGATGCATTGTCAAAGACGAATCGAATTTCTTTGAATTACGCGGACTGCTTTAGCCAAACTCGCTACGAAATGCTTTTCCCTGCGAGACCCAAAGCGGCAATTCAAATCATAGCACCCGAAATTCATTCGTCCTTGACAATATGCACACTACAAACCTCTTTTCCATTTTTCGATTCGAGACTCATTATTCTCTCGTAGCAAACGAAGAATACGCTCAAGCCAATTATTAATGTGATCGGGATCAGCGCAAGAACGAGCTGGACCACATTACGCGTCGGTGTGAAATGGAATCCAGCAATTGCGATCGCTGTTGCTGGAATGAGAAAAAAAATCAATTTTCTGTAAACGCTTTTGGACGGGAATAATTTACTTGCAAGCGCCATTGCTGAGACACCAATTCCGCGATGTACATGATTGAAGAAGGGCCGTTTGGGATGATCGGGTGCACAGCGGAGAGTGCTTAAAAACGGCTGAACCCATGCTAGTATTATCGCGAGCAATCCGCATAACGAGTGAACGCCTCCCCATCCCTCGCCTAAACGAGATTATCATTTTTTTTAATTCTCGGAAATGAATATACATTCTATTTTAATAAAAATCGAAAAAACAAAATTTTAATTCGCGAAAAACAAATTAATTTTTATATTGTCAGCGTCCAACGACTGAGGAAAATATGTAGTGTAAATTTAAATGCGTCATTGACTGAATATTAAATGCGCGTACACTATAATGCAATGTACGCAGTTTCGCGTACGCTGCCACGACACACATTGGCACATAGCCAATAATTTTTGACGCCGACATTATTTGAAACACAATTTTTCGTTTTTTTTTAACCCATTGATTTTCTGACTTCAATTTTTCAGAATACTTTGAACAAAAAAAAATAGACTAACTCGAATCAACAAATTTAAACTTCTTATTGACGAGCATCACAACGAACCCGGCGATCATCATAAGAATTCCGATTAAATTGGCGGTTCGATGAACCTAAAAAAAGAATGGCAATTTTCTCGCCATCGAGTAGCGACCAACATGGAACCATATGAGAAGGCCTCCTGGTTTAACGGTTGGGTACGAGGAACGCATTAGTCGAGCAAATAAGACAGCGATCGGCACCAGCACCATCCAAGCAACAGTCATGAGGACAGCTGAAAATCGAAATTGAGCGTTTCAGATTTTTTTTTTGAAAATCGTTTTATACCATGCGCTACAATTAAAGTCGCTCGAGAGCTCGTCTTATTTCCAGCCGCATAATCGCTGAGCAATCTCGCCGACGACGTTGACTTGCCGGTGGGACCATGATAGCTGAGGCCTTTATTCGTCGTCGTCCCTTTTGCCAAGAGAAGTTGATACTCTTTTATCGGATCATATTGGAATATCTCAAAAAAAATGGAATTTCTTTTGAAACATTTTAAAGGCGCACTTACCCGATTATCATTAACATCGGAAACCATCATGACGCCTTTACAATAAATTTCGCCATTTTCAAATTTGTATGATGGGTTAATTATGTGATCACGCATTTGCTCATTCGCTAACTCAATTCGCTCATTGTTTCTCGGCGAATTGTACGAGTATTTCAACGAGAGCTTCGCATTATTGATTGAAGAGCATTCGATCACCGAGGCGGGACCCATTGAGCCGGTTGGCGAGAAACCAACCGCCACGTAAACATTAGTGTCGGTTGGCGATTTCGAGCGGAGCTCGATCTCAAACATCATATCGGTCAATATTCTGATTTGAACTGATTAGAATTTTGAAGAAACGAATCGGATTACTTGTAGGTCACCGAATACTCATCATTCGGTTGAAAACATCCCTTCTCTATTCCACAAGCCGAATCGACTGGTGCAACTTCTTCGATCGGGCTTTCAGCCTGAAAAATGGAAATCGGAAAATCAATGTGTTTTTTTGCAACACAAACAACACAGAAATGATAATAAAAAATTACAGTAGCGAATATGCGACGTGACCCGCGAAACTATTCGCGTGCGCCTTTAAAAATAAATGAGGAAGGATTACGATATATCGCACGCTATTTTTTTGCATTAATGGGAAATTTTTTAAAAAATTGGGGAGGGGGTTTTCAAATTAATTGTTCTTTTTCTCGAAACCGCCTGATTTTCATTTACCCGAAGAAATCTTTTCATTATATTATTCATTTACTTCCATAATTTTTCAGCATAAAATCTCAATTTGCTCGTTTTTTAATGACCAACTCACCGATAAACTTCCAAATGTTGGTGTCTCATCAGACATTCGCGGCTCAAACACATTCAATATTATCGGATCTGACACTGCGCGATTGTCGCCGTGATATTTGAGCGTCACCGATGAGTCTGCAATAATCAATCCTTTTTATTTTCACCGTTCAAATTCTGCAATCCCACTAGCCGATTTCGTTTCGCCGCTGGCCATTATCAAATAATATCTTTGATCCGGCTCGTAGAGAAATACGGTTGGATCTCTGTCGCTTCCTTCGATATTGAATTGACCTTTGCATTTCAATACGCCATCATTAAATGTGGCTTGTGTGTCATCTTCATCATTGCTCTCGCCTCGTATGTTATCATATTTCCCGTTATGCTTCACATTGAATGAATACGCCATACTCGTGCGCCCTTGATGGGCGGCGCATTCAACCACCGACGCGTTGCCCATCTCGCCATTCGTCGAAAATCCAACAGCAACATACGAGTTTGGACTAGCATTGTTGAGTTGCAATTCGACTTCCATTGTTGTGTCGTCCAAAATTCTGAGATTGAATTCAAATTAGCATGAGCTTATTCGAGAGTTGTTGGGCTCAAATTACTTCACCGACGTCTTCATATCTTCACATTTCGAACATCCAATCGGATTAAAGCAGTGCTTCGAAACAGAGCATTCTGAATCATCGCTCGTCTATAACATTCAAAATTAGAGGCGAAAAATTGGCGAGACGCCGCCTACTTTTGATAGAATTGTCGGCGACGAGACTCCAATTTCCTTGTGCTTCCTTAGATGTTGACCTCCTGTTGTTCCATGAGCTAGCAAAATATAAATCGGATCATTAAGACTAATCAAATTTTGCTGTATTGAAACGGTTCCGCTGCAGTACACAGTGCCATCTTCGAATCGAGATGATCCACTTTGTATCAAAGCGTTCATTGACTAAAAATTGGGAAGATTGCATTTTTCGAAAATTCGAATCAAAAACCGAATTTCTTAAATTCGCTTTGCCAACGTTTTTCGACATCGCTAACACCGGCTTCGAATTTTTAAACGACGAACATTCGACGACGGGTTCACCTCCCTGAAAATTCGTCATTGATATTTTGTATTTGATCGTTTCCCACCATTAGCGTATCATTTGAGAAGCCAGCAGCAACGTAAACATTTTCAAACGTCTTTGAATTTAAGTAAAGTTCGATATCCATTGTTGAATTGTCTATGATCCTAAAAAAAAATAAAACCGCCCAATTTTCAGAAATTAAAAGGACGATTTGCAACTATCAACCTCCATGAGACTCCCATTTCTTTGCACATCTCCTCATCACAATTCGTCGGGACAATAAAACATTTCTTTATCGTCGCACATTCTTCTTCGTTGAAAAATGAGACGACCTAGAACGGTTCATTTTTTTAATTCATTGCAGAGGAAAAAAATGAAAAGTACGACCAACCGTGTGAGAACACTGTAATAGTATTAGTATCGAAAGTCCTGCATACATCGCGGTTCAAACCTGAACAATGGATTCCATTTAGAGTGTTTGAATGGTAATTGAATTGAATTGAAAGCAACTCACTATACAATCTTGAATTACAGAATTGATTATAACAAATAACAACTAACGTTTCCGAAAAATGGAATGATGATTATTGAAATAATCAAGGGCGTATAACACGCAATAGGTCAAAGAATAATTGTGCGAATCATTTTTCTAAGCGGTCAGGAAAATGATGACAAAATTAAGAACTCTCGGACCTGAGCCAACACCGAGAAAAAGGCGTCGCCAAAATCAGCGACCTTTGCTTAAACCCGTAATTAGAAAGAAGGCGAAAGAAGTGAAACGCTTCCTCGACAATGCATGAGAAACCAGAAATTTTCATACAATCACCTCCTCAAGTCTCATCAACGACTATAATAACCAAACGCAATTATTAACATACATATGTGAGAGAAATTGCATAAGTAGACCCCCCCCCCACCTCATCTACTACGAAAAAGTGAAATACGTGGAAGCGCTGTATTTTTTAGTATTGCTGCAAACCTGAAAGCCGGTTTATCGAACAACTTAAAAAAAATACAGGCGAAGGTTGTGTTTTGTTGCTTGCCATCGATACGATTGTCGGAATGAATTTTTACGGAGACGTTCACGAAAAAAAACCGGTTGCGATGACCTTTAGACGTCGGATATTGCGGCTTTTCGAGGCGTGTGTATTTCACGTTGATTTTCGAAACGGCCACTCGAACCAACTTCCTAGTTCGCATTATTGAAACAACGCGATTTTGATCTTGTCGGCGCCTTTAACGCCTACTGTAGTTTTCAAATGGTTTTCAAGTTTGATCCAATTGGAAATGATTACAAAACTATGACGCTTATCATAAGCAATGCACCCCCTACACTGAAATTCGTCATGCACAAATAAGGAAATTATCTCAGTTAAAAAAAACCAATCGGATTCGACCAAATTCGGCAACGAAATCAACCAGATCCGATTTTTCTAATTGTTCGATTTGAATTTAAAAAATTAAATCATTTTTGAGTTACTAGAGTGGAGAAATCAAAGGATTTGACAAATCCGACGGATAACAAATTTTTCGAATTCGATTCGACATTTTCCGTTTTGAGAATTTGTCCAATTCGAATCCGATCGGCCAGAGAAGAACAGAACAACAAAACAATTTGGACAGTTTGAAAAAAAAGGATCAAAAAAGTAAATTATGAACTTGAAAACTAAAGTGGCTCATAGTTAAGCAAATAAATGCGAAAATAGTTGGCAAATATCGCGACTTTGATTTGTTCGAAAAGAATTCACGTTTCATTCATCATCAAAATGAAGGTCAAATGATAATATTTTGCAGTTTCGAATCGTTCTTCAAACCGAGATCACAATAATGATACGATAAATTAAATCGATTAATTATGGGCAATTGCGACAATGTTGGCGAAATGACTCATTTGTACATTTTGCGAAAACGTAAACTATGACGAATCCGTTCGAGAAACGTTTTTATTTGTATTGCGGTCTGTCCAATTCAAAATTACTAACAAAAATAACATTTTGGTTTTAAACTATTCCTGTAGGCTGATTGATTTCCGTTTAATGACGTCAATCCACCGCAGGCTGAAACGGGATATTAAAGAAATGCGAAGTGCTCCTATGGCAACAAAAAATGAAATATGAACTCTTTCATATTGGGATATCCAAGTTTATTTACTTTTAGCTTTAAATAGCTCGTGAAATTTTACATGAAAACTTCATTGGTATAAAAAAAGGATGAAATAACTTAAAATAACGGAGGCAATAATTAAATTTGAAAAAAAAAACAAGTTCAAGAACCGGTAATCAATTTCCATTGGAGATTTCCATCGCTTCCTGATTTTGCGCTTCCGCCGCACTCGATTGGACCGGCGGCAACTCGGGGAATTTTTTGATCACGCGTGACTCATAAACGAGCAAATAGGCGCTGTGCCAATCGCCGCCGCCGGCAGTTTTGAGGACCGCCTCCTCGTCAACAACGGACACATCATCATCATCGAACAGTCTCCATTTTCCATCTTCCGATGAGCGAATCCATGCGACATAATGCCCGTCGTTCGACGATCGTCCTTTGTGAGTAATTATGCCCTACAAACGAACAATGGATGACACAAAAAATGTAAGCGGCAGCCAAAAACCTTCAGCTCATAAAAACCAGAATTATTGCTTCCTGGATCATTCTCGAATTCTGACGACAATGGAACTCCATCATCGAAAATTGCCTATAGAAAAAAATATATACACAAAAAAACAAAATTATGGCTTCTGTACCTTCGCCTGTTCTTTGTCGAGCGTCTTTTTCCTCATTTCTCGATCAAGCTTCGCATCCTCCTCAAGCTTGATATCGCCACGGCGTGCGCTGAGCTTCTCCTTCAGCTCATCCGTACACAAATCATAGACATCCAAAGAAATCGGGAATTGCACCGCTTTCAAGATTTTCGCGTTAATCTTCGCCTGCTCCTTGAAGAAGAATCGATTCAAATTGACCGTCAGATATTTCGGAAGCCGACTGATTCTGGTGTTTTTCTGCCATTTTGCGTCTCTTCCAAGTAAATTACTGTGGCGCTCCATTTCTTCATCAAAACCGCTCTTGATACCGGTTTGTAGAAAACGAACATCCTTATTGATGTAGCAGGTCAACTAAACTTTTAAATAATTTTAAAAATTTGGGCAAAATTTCACTTGATTGAAAGATTCGGTTTTAGATTCTTCCTCTCCTTCAGATTCCAAACATTTGGCTGTTGTTACAGTTTTCACGGTGAAACAATCCTTCACATCAACTCCAGCGATTTTCAATGTCCTTATAATGGTATTCAGAAGAGCAACAAAGCACTCATTAGCATCTTGCTGCTTGAATTGTTCGAATTGTGGAAATGTATTTGAAAGTGTCTGAAAATACCAATCAGAAATTGTGGAAAACAATAAATTACTTACAGCAACCGCTGCAAACGGCGAGACGGCAGAAATATTGTTTGCCTTCGCGTAATTTTTATCGCGTAGTTTTCTGAGAAGCTCGGCGAGACAGAAGCCGAGGCGTTCGTTCGAGTTTTCGACTTTTTTAACATTTTCATCAGTGAGAATCATTTCGTCAAACTCTTTGAAGAGTTGAACACACGAGTTGAAGTAGCAAGTATTTCCGAGATTGGTCATTCCAATTGGATAAAGTTGGCCCGAGTCCTTCTTGCCACCACCATTTTCAGTAGATGATTCTCCCGAAACTGGTTGTGGGGCTTTCATAATGTCTCCAACACTAAAAAAATTCATTTTCGACATTAAAAAATGCAAAAAACTCACTTTCCCATCATCATAATGGTCATATTATCGGAGAGTTTGATTCCATCCCAGGTTTCATCACCCAATGTGCGACCTTGTATTAAAACCTTCTGTCGTTCAGGAAGCACATTAGTCAACGTAAAAAGTTGCGATTTGAAGACGATTGGAGGCTGAGAAGTATCCACATCAACGACATACTTCTCTCTGGCCCACTTTACGTTAATAACGACCATCCTGAAATAAAATATTGGTAAATTTCGAAAGGATCCATTGAGAAATAAGTTAGTTTAACGATAATATGGAAGTAGTAAGACGCGCCACTCCTGCTAAACTATCATGAACAAAAAAATTTAAAATATAATTGAGGAGTTGAAAAATAATGCTGACATTAAAATGACGCCAGCACTAAAAATGCGCCAAGGAAATAACAATGGCGCATAACTCGTTTAACAAGAGTTTTATTAAATAAATTTAAAGCATTAATATTTTCAAAGGGAAACGTAGAAAAAAATAAAGGGAGAATATAAATCATATTTTGAATTAAAAATATAGGATTTCGAAAAATTCCTGGAGTAATGCCGAATTTAATTTTATGGGGATTACGAAATAAAAAAAAAGGTTTTCATCGAAATTCGGAGGGCTTAGCTAACCTAAAAAGCATTGACGATTATATTGAAGAATATATGAGCAAAGCACGAAATTATATTTCAACATACACTGCAACTGCGCTAACAGACGAAAAATAGTTAAAAAATAGTTGAAAAATAGTGCAGACTTTGGATGAAAGAGGGATCTGTAACAGATCTATTTTCAAGTCTATTTTTCATCAGCGCTTCATCTATTTCTCAGCCATTCTCTATCTATTTAGCATCTTATCTATTTAGCATCTCTATCTATTTAGCATCAAAATAGATGAATATCTATTTTTCATCCATTTTATGTCTTGTCTCTGTCCCTCGTTCTTGCATTTTTCATCAGTTTTCTATCTATTTCTCATCCATGATTCATCCTTTTTTTAACCCATTTTTGTCTACTTCTTGTCTCTTATTCATCTATTTTGCGTCTATTTTTCTTCTGGATGGTTTTTATGAAAAAACAACAGTAAACGGAAAACAACAAAATAAAAAAAAAGAAAAATACAATAAATTGTTTAACATTAGAAATATCAAATTTCAATTAAATAGAAAAATGCTGATTGAAATATTCAGCGGCATCGGGCTTCAGTTTTTTGAGTTGGTGCTCTTTTCCAATTTTGATAGCCAAACTATGCGCCATAACTTTGCTAGCGTGGTGAGATCCTTTCTGATCGTTATAATTTGAACGAAGGCGATCGCTAAAAGTACATGGTGTTATTTAGTGAAACATTCGCATAACTACATGAAAGTAATCGCAGACTCTTTGATTTGCACAGCAACTGAAGTAGCTTGATCCGTCGTTGGAGCAATATCTAATCCAATGAACAATGCTTCTTAATTTTTTTTAACATTGTTCACATATGTATGTATTAAACTTGAATTGCAGATAGCAAACAAGAAAATTTGAAGTCTGAATAACTATAAGAAAAATCTAAAACATTATATCTGAAACATACATCTAGTTTTTGCCTTCCGTTAGTGAGCAATCGAGTCAAATCGGCTCCTTCAATTGGCAATTGTAGATGTTTGTCGAAGTTTTCGAGCATGGTTTCATCGCATTCGAACATTGCAGATTTTTTCTTTGAACATCTAAACTTTTTAGGCATGAGCTCTGGAATTTCTGCCGTTTTTTTGGTCACACTTAATTTTGATACCTTTTAGTATCAACATTACAATTCCATCTGAACAAGTGTGAAGAACATCCAAGATTGTATTGTACGGCTTGACATATTGCACCATTTTCGCCGCAACAGGACCAAATCCATTAACACCGCGAATACTATCTTCTAGAGTCTTATCCCCAAATCTGTCCAATCGTCGATCTTAAATCAATATAAGCGATGAATAAGAGGGTTTAAAATTATTATTGATTATTACCGTTTCCAAGTAGTGGTTTGTGCAGAGTTCCGTGAGAGTCGCAATAAAAACAAGCATGTGGACTTGAAAAACCGCTCATTCCAAGAATTTTTCTTTTTGCCTTAAACTGAAATCTATAGAAATTTTTATCACTTAATCCTTACTGGTTGGTCAGAAACGAGTGACACGAGGTATGGAGAAAATAAAATATTGTTTACAACAAATGTTGACCCTTCGCCTTCCAATCGATTCATTATAATTTCCGTGACGGTATTCAAAACAAGGGTTGTTGGATTATTAACTTTTAATTGCAGCATTCCACAGACTACAAGATTAATTGAAAGTTGCGACTTCATTGTAGGCAAATCCACTAACTGTAAAGTAATTGGCCACAAACTTCCTCTAAATGGCACATCTTTAATAAACAAATAATAATAATACCTGAAATGTCCTCGGGGATTGACGCCGTCCAGACTTAGCACCATGCTCAGATCACAATGATTTTCATCCTCGTATTTCCATGAACTGGAAAAAGAACTTCCTTGAAGATTGTGTGTGAAGTTTGGTGCTTTTTCCTTCAATTTCTTTCGAATTTCCATTATATCGTCAAAGGACGACTCCACAATCCCGCGAATTTGTTCGGTGAGAGGCAGCATAAGAAAAGTCGCCAAATCGCCGCAACTGAAATTGATCATAATAATGTTTGAAATGTGGTATATGTGTTTACCATTCTTTCTCTCTTCGACATCCACACTTTTCGCATATTGAACGCTTCATAATATTCTTCTTGAAATCATACCACAATGAGCGGGCTCTTTCAATCGGGATGAAGTTTTTAATTGTTGCCAGTCGTCTCAAAAAGCCTGCAACCATTTTTTGTCTTTGGAAAAGTATTAGTTTTACCATTTTCTGTATCTTTTCCGAGTACCGAACTATACATGCACAATAATAGTTCATCGGCCAATTCCGATACACGATCATGTGCGGGGTAATTCGGTACGCATGACGGCCCGACTACTTCGGAGAATTCTTCAATTTCGCTTTCAGATCGTTCTCTCATGAGAAAGGATGTTGTTGATGCATCATTTTCATTATTTTCGTTGTTCGACGATTTGTTTCGAAGTGAAAGCCGGGCGTTTTTTCGAGCAAAGACCACACGTTTGGTCGGCATGCATCGCGAACCAGCAATTTGATCTTAAAATAATAAACAATCAGCAATATTAATATACGAAACAAACCTACCTTTCCTCAATTTGAGACCTTCTTTGGGTAATCGATGGCGAAGAGTTTTAGGCATTTCCAAAATTGATTTTTAAAAAAATTGTGATTAACATGGCGCCATCTGCATTCACATTACGATCAACTGCACAATTCCATCTATTTTTCACCCTTTCAGTGTCTATTTCTTATCATTATCTTCTATCTATTTTTTCCCAATTTTTCATCTATTTGTCATCCATTTATCGTATATTTTTCACCAATTTTTGAGATAATCTATTTTTCGCCCATTTTTCTCCTAGTTTTTATCTACTTTTCCGAGTAATCTATTTTTCATCCACCTTTTCACCATTTTTCGTCTGTAGCACAGTTGCAGTGTAAACAGATTTGGGGAGCGCGCGATTTTTATCGGCGCTCGGATCTCGTAAGCTTGTTCACCTATATCTTTTGTTCGAAGCAATTTTACGCTTTCATTTCCTTCTTGAAATCAATAAATGTAACTTGATTTTATTCTAAACGAAAGTTTTTGTGGCAAAAATTCAAAAAATTACAATGATGGCCGTGCAGTTTGTATGGTCGGCCACGGCCATTTTTTATTTCCACGTATATGTAGTCTCCTTTTGCGTTTGCTGACATTTCAAGTTTTTGTCAAATTCAAAACCCATGATTTCAGAATGCTGAAAAGGTCCGGAGAGTATGAACCTCCATTGGGAAAAATATGGAGCAGGTAAGAGTTGTCGTGCTTTCACATATAGTAAATTTCATAGTTGTTTTTCAGATCTGAAAGTCGAACATGGACGATTTTAATGTTTACTGGAACTTGTGTGCTGTACGCAGCGAGAGCTTCTCTACCGATTTGCGCAGCTGTAATTGCGAAAGATTTCGCATGGAACAAAACCGACTCGGTAGAAATTATGCGTTTTACTCATTCAAAGTTATAGCTATGCTCAGGGAACCGTTCTATCCTGCTTTTTTTGGGGATACGCCTTCACACAAGTGTTCGCTGGTCGAATAGCAGATACCTACGGAGCTGAAAATGCAAGTTTTCTGCATTAATACTCAAAAATTCGAACACGACTATTTCAGATCCTACCGTTTACAAGTTTGGCATGGACAATGCTCACATTCTTCACCCCGCATCTATTCGATCTGGCCTATTCGTCAGAATTTCCACTTTTCATTCTCTTGGTTGTTCGCGTGCTCACTGGCGTTTTCCAAGCGTTCCATATCCCTTCTTTGGCTTCAATCGTTGCCAAACACCTTTCGGCCAACGACAAAGGCCGCGTGTTCGGCATCGTTCTCGCCGGATCACATTGTGGAACGGTTTTAGCTGGCGCGTTTGGAAGCATTCTTCTTGAATGGGCCGGCTGGCGAACACTTTTTCATTTCGTCGGTAATTAATTGATTCAATTTTGTATTTATAGTGATTTCATAACTATTAGGAGTTATCTCTCTTCTATGGTGTTGGATGTTCAAATGGTTGTTGGATGATAGGAAAAGCTCATTGCGGCGATCTTCGCCAATCCCTGACGAAGAGATTCTCCTCAATAAGAAGCATGTAAGATATTAATTGTCATTTTAAAGTCTTCAAAATGATATCTTGTTAGGATTCCCACGAATCCCACCTGACAATCGCGCCGGTGCAGCCAGTTCCCTGGATGAAACTGTTCAAGCATCCAGCATTCTGGGCTGCGGCGATCGCTCAATACACCGGCGGAAACTCGTATTCAATTCTATTCAATTGGCTTCCATCATATTTCCATGAAACATTCCCCAATGAAAAAGGGGTTGTTTACAATGTGGTCCCTTCGCTCGCCATCGTTGTCACTTCATTAGTCGCCCCATATTTAGCATCGAAAACATTGGCATCGGGAAAATCGGTGACGTATACAAGGAAGCTTATGGAAGTGAGTATCAAAAGATGAAATTGTTCAAAAAAAAATTTTTTTTTCTTTTTGCAGGGCGCGAGCTTGATCGGTATCGCCGTCTGCCTAATTCTCGTTTCGATGACGTCATACTTCTGGATGACACTTCTGATTTTCACGTTGGCCATGGCCGCACGTGGTTTGCATCATGGTGGCGTCTCAGTGAACCCGCATGACTTCGCGCCAAACTACGCGGGATCGGTTTTCGGTAAAACCTTGGCCTCAAGAATATTCGAACCAAATCATTCCAGGGGTATTCAATGCTTGTGGAGCCATCACCGGTTTCGTCGGCGTCTACGTCGCTGGCCACATCTTAGAAGCCACCAATAATAATTGGTCGTACGTATTTATTGTCACCGCCGTGCAATGCGTCCTCGGCGCAATTGTGTATGTCTTATTGGGAATGGGTCAAAAAATTATCTAACGGTCTTCTTGTTCAATAGTTCCTGTCTAGAATACTAAGCATTTCTTCATTTTCCTCCCGGCTTCGACTTCTTTCAGCTCTTTGAAAAACGCATGTCAAAAAAACTTTTTTGTTTTTTTTTTGCTGCTATTTTACGGGCGCCTATTCTGTTTTAAAGCTTATCATCATTCCCAGAATTCAATTTTAAATGTGATAATAATTTCGATTTTGTATCGAGTGACTCAAAAAAAAATGTATATTTTAATACTTGTTGAAGAGTAAATTTATCCATTAAACATTTGATTGCGATATTTGAATACATTAGATTCCGAGATATTTCTTAGCCTTGGCGATGGATTCATCCTTGGACAATTGCTTCATGTTGGCGGCTTCCTCGCGAATATCATTGTACAAAACAGTAGAACTGAAATGCATAATTTCAGATTGCAAAAAAAAAAATGAATGGCAAGCTCACAGATATCTTTCGCCGAAGCTGTTGACGGTGGTGACAATGAGTTTGCCCTTGTTCTCTGGACGCTTCGCCAATTGGACGGCGGCGCACACGTTGGCTCCCGACGAGATTCCGCCGAGAATCGATTCCTCTTGCGCGAGGCGTCTCGCCATCGCGATGGCGTCGTCCGAATGAACGCGGAGTGCTTCGGTGAACAATGTGAGATCGAGTGTCTCCGGAATCATGCCGGTTCCCATTCCCTGGATTTTGTGCGGACTATGCGGAAGGCCGTTGATCACCGACGACTCGAACGGCTCGACGGGATACACTTGAATGTTGGGGTTCTTCTCCTTCAAGAATCGTCCGACGCCGGTGCACGTGCCGCCGGAGCCGACGCCGAAGCAGACGATGTCGACTTTTCCTTGAGTCTGTCGCCAAATTTCGGGACCCGTCGTCTTGTAATGCGCCTCCGGATTGGCGGGATTCGCGAATTGATTGAGAATGTAGGCGTTTGGAATTGCCGCCTTCAATTCCAAAGCGCGATCGACGGCGCCTTTGACGGCCGTCGCCGGATCGGTGAGAATGACTTCAGCGCCATAGGCCTTGAGAAGACTGCGACGCTCGATACTCATCGAGGCCGGCATCGTAAGAATCACCTTATATCTAAATTGAGATCGTTATTTATGGAATCGTCACGATCTGCTTCTAGAATACCCGCGAAGTTTTCCGCAATACGCCAAAGCAATTCCCATATTTCCGCTAGTCGGCTCAATGAGCACCGTTTTTCCTGGAGTGATCAATCCGGCTTTCTCGGCCGTGTCGATCATGTTGTAGGCGATACGATCCTTCACCGAGCATGCCGGATTCATGTATTCAACCTTTACCGCTAAAAATCGTACCATGACATTTCGAATCAATATTGGAATGTCATACCGATCGAGGCGTCAAGTCCCTTTCCGATCTTGTTGAGCTTGAACAGCGGAGTGTTGCCGATGAGGGCTCCGCCGTCTTCAACCATAACTTCACGAGACATGACTTCTGAAAAAATTAACGAATGACGTTGGACGTTGGACCAAAATGGTGTGGTTGCATGTAGCGCAAAATGAATGCAGTAGTGAGTCGTTTTATACTGACCGTGACGATGTTCGCGATTCTCCGCGTTTCGCACGCTCTCTCAATTATGATGACAATAATGGATCAAAACGAAAATTGGATAATTGACCGACGACAAGACTACGTGCAAAACTGAAAATGCAATTTTTCTTGTTATTCCGAAATTGATTGAATTAATTGGCTGTGAAGGTTGGAGTTCATCAATTTTCCATTTTCAAAGGACAAGTTTTGTTGAGGACGAACGAATATGACAAATTTTTGTGTAATGATCAAAATGTGTTTTTATAAGTTTTGATCTTTCATCAAGTTTGGCATTTTTTAACCTATCACTGTAATTAGATCAAATTTAAAATGATGCGATAACACAAAAATAGTGAACTGAGAACCTTGGGTGTTTGCGGACCATAATATTTTTTTTATTTTAATTTTCGATTTCAACTATGAAAATGTGAAATAAACAGCGGATGAAATATGGATCGGATTGTGGATTTTTCATCTCAGGTAAATGAAAATCAATCGGATTCGACGAAAAAATAAATATAAATTAACCTTTTTCGATTGAAAAATAATTCAAATTCGATTAAGACAACGCTTAAACTCGATTTGAAATCTTGGTTTCGATTTATTATTTCTCATTCTCAATTTTGAAATTTTCGAATAATTCGAAACAGATTTTAAAAAAATTATTTTCGAATCCGATTGATTTTCATTTACCTCAGATCCATTTAAAATTGTTTTGTAATTTTTTCTTCTCGTGGTGCTGTGGATATCTAGCAGAAAAAAAATTTTTTAAAAATATATTAAAAAAATATATATAATACACATCATATGAAATTACAAATTACAGGGTGCTCGTTTTTTTAGTGCCATTTTAATATATGCAACCTTCTCCACTAATTTCGTCCATGAACTTCATCTCCGGTCTTCAAATTTGAGTTTCAGATAGAAAATTTAGTTTTTCAGATTTCTATGAAAACCATTCCATTGGTTTTTTGTGGTTTGCGTAAAAATTTGAACGAGACCATGTAGGCATTTATTTTCGCGCTGACTTAGTTTTAACGATATGAAAAAATACAATATACATCAAAGGCGCATGCAAAAATTTGTTATTTTCGCGCCAAGAAAAGAAAAAATACTGAAATTGGCCTACTTTATTTTCAGTTTCTTGTCATCGACAAAAGTTTTTGGTTATTTGATGTTTGGTAAATTTAATGTAGCGCGATTTGGCCGAATGCAATAAGGGGTTTTGTCATCATGCCGGCCGCTGCCCCCTCGTATACCGCACGTAGACTGCCACCCTTGATGTGTTTACAGCCGAAAGGTTGAGTGCGCTGCTCGGATGCGGAGACTGTTTTGTTCGGCTCCCCATGCCGTCCCGCAACGGTGATCCGCAGATAAACAGCAGCATAGGCACAATGGAAGCATAATGGAAGCATTTTTTTGCGGAACCGCGTGTTTCGTATATGGAATGAGCCGTATGCCTTCCATATGGGAAAATAAGAAAACAATTTGATTGCTGTATTCAAAATTTATTTCATATTAACACATTTATTTAATTTAAAATAAAAAAACAACAATGAAATGAATTTCAATTAAGATATAATCAAACCATTAGTTACTGGCAACTGCCGAACTATTCGAATCATTGTCAGTACTGACATCGAGCGGGACGCTGTAATAAGTAGATTATAATGGGCCTATTAATTTGAAAAACTTGTAAACCATTGTTACGTAAACTAAATTTTTCGAGAAAATACAATCAGTTTTTTTACATCAATAATTTTCTTAAAAATAAAAATAATTTATTTTTATTGCATTTTTGGAAACCCTTTAGTGCACAAAATAAAAAGTGAATTGGCGGAAGAAAGAACAACTCCAAAATTTGAAGCAAAAAGGCATTTTGGTTAAAATTTCAAAGACATATGAATACTCACATCTGAGGGTTGCTGGTAGAATCAAGCAGCTTCCTTAATTGCGCCGCGAGCGCTTCCGGCGCTACACCAAATTTCCTTTGAAGTCGTTGGCGCATTCTATCGCTTAATCAAATAAATAAATTAATAGTCATAGTTCAAAATCTTACAGAAGATTATCCATGACTTCTCGAACCATGCGTAATGCTTTCGCTTTGAAGTCATTTGTCGGTTGTTGCCCAAAGCCATGGATAAGAGCATCTGTAATATAGATATTTGCAATAAAGTATAGGATCTTTATATAGTCGGCGTCTGGCGACTTCTGTACTAGAGCCCCACTTAAAAAGATAAATGCCACTGAATGATATTGGTACGAAGGCTGTACGGCAATCGGAAATTTCGGCGATTCGGCTAATGGCAAATTACCGATCGAAATTTTCTTCGGCAATTTGAAAAACCGGCAATTTCGGCAATCGGCAATTCCATTGCCGCACAGCCCTGATTGGAACCAAATAATCAACAAGCTTTAAACTTAGGAAGTACTTTATAAAGACTTCATTGCGCATATTTTTCTAATTGAAACCATTTCTGGAGTCGAACAGGCCAATTTTTGATGATAACAACTTACAAATTGGGCGTACGAAGGTTTAGGAATTGGCGTTGATTTTGTTGTTTGTGAGGACTGTGGAGAAAAATTTTTTTGCTGAGTTGGCGAGTAAATTGGACTATCTGGATCTGAAGTGTCGAGCGAATTTGGTTCCATGTTAGGGACTTCTGGTTCTTTGTTATTGACTTCTAGAGCAGTTTCAGTTATATCTGACAACACTCTCGATCTTGTCTTCATCTGTAAAAAATTTCAAAACATTATGTTTTATTAAAAGAAAAAAGCGAGCGATAATAAAAAATATGTTAAAGTAAATAAAAATAAAACGTATTCGATGAGAAATTAAACACAATTCGATTGAGAAAATATTTAAATTCGATTTTAAAAGTGTCGGAAACGATTTGAAAACATCGTATCGATTTTAAAATTTTCGAATGCTATCAATTTATTTTTGGTTTCGATTTTGATGATAAATATGAAAATTTTTCCTTTATTTTTTAAAAACATTTTTCCTTTAATTTTGAAAAAAATTCTTTAATTTTTGACAAAAAAAAAAAACACAAAAAATCTTGAAAATTCATTGAGAAAAAGCAAAAGGACAAAAATTTTGAAAACGAATTTCGAAAATGTGAGGCGTGGCCGCATTGTGCAAAGCGGCGCACGGTTTTGCAATGCTGCGGCACGCCTCTTCTACGCGCGTCTGCTACCAGTTTGGAGCAAATTGTGAGTAGTTTGCGATGCCAATTTCGGAAAAACCGGCAAAAATATATTAATACGACTAAATTGTAGTTGGCAATCTTTAAACAAAGTAAGGAACAGTTGACTGAATTAACATAAATCTGAGTAGCATAAGTCATTAAATGGTAGAAGCTAAATTTCGTATGTTGTGTATCATGTAATTTTCAAATTTTCATTGTTTATATGATAGCATAAGTTTTTTGTATTGATTTTTCTAGAAATTGTCTTGGTCTGCCGTCCAGACGCCAATTGTATAATGTGTAATGATATATGATTATTTTATCCATATTTCATCCATATTCGTTCCACGGCTCGCAAACACCGGAAGCATATTCATCCCGTTTTCATTCCATCCATATTCGTCCCATATTTCTTCCACAGCCACTAAGAATTACATTATGCTTCCTATATGGAAGCATTATGCTTCCGTTCCACAGATTTCCCACAATGCTTCCATTATGCTTGCGTCGCGCTTAATCAGTGTCAGGTCGCTTGATTCAATGTGAAGAACATACCCCTGACTATGCTGCCTTCCTTCTGAGTTGCGTTTTGCAAAAACCATCTTTTTTTATTTATTTTTGCGATGCACCCAGGAAAACACATATAATGAAGGGGCCTCAGTTGCACAACCAGCGCACTTTTAATAAATTATACTTGCGTTTTCCATCGGCTAATTCAATTATAATGCCGAGTGAGGGACGTCTCGATGCTCGTCGAATATTGTGCCGTTTCTACTGCCTCTTATTCAATTATTTTGGCAGGACCTTTGATAATGAAGATATGCGTCGCTGCTCATCCATTGCTTTCATCCATTTTTGAGCCTGCGCTCACATTTTCTCGTAAATTAATTATCAAATTATTTGAAGAATGAAGTGAACTGTAAGTTTGTAGGGAAGTGAAATTGCCACGTGGCACGTTTGATTGTCATTCCTCGAAAAGAGGCTTCCAAAAAAAAATAAAGAAGAAGTAAATGAATAGAAAATTAGGAGCACCAGCCCCCCCCCCCATCTCCCGAATTAACATTTTGATAGTGCCGGGGCAGAAGCAGAAGCTTCTCCTCTCGTAATGAATGAAGAAGGCACGGAGCCATTCCCTCCCCAACCGAAAGCAGACAAATGTATAATTCTCGCCAATTGGGTCGCTATTTTAATGAATGGAATCGAATGCAGAAGGGGGGGGGGGCAGCAAAAAAACTGGGAGAACAACGCATAGAGACACACACACACGCATTGCGCGACAAGTTTAATGAAATTGTCATTTTCGCGTCTGATACACTTGGTTGCCATCGGACCACGCCCATATATATCGAGGGACCACATATTTTGGGCCCCCACCATTAAATACTTTGCTCTCTCTCTCACTCTCTCCCTATTCTTCTTTATTTCACGATGATGCGAATGTGTGTGTGTTCCTACGGTATGTATATCTCGTAATTAGAGCCGAGTTTATGTGAAATTGAACCCAGCCCTTCTTCCAAGCCAGAAATGGCTTCGCAAAAACTTGAACATAATTTCGTCGTATTAAATGGGTCGTTTTATACGATTCTCATTTTTTTTTGCCGGCTGATTTTCAAATTTAATGGTCCCCCCCCCCCAACTTCGACATACTCATTTTTTGCTTGGTTCGCTGCTATTCGACATCTACTATTCTCGAGCATTTATCAAAGGGTGTTCGAGAGTTAATAATAAAACTCAAATGACAAGTCTATTATTGCTCGAGAATACCCTTTGAAAATTGCTTGCAAATTTTTGCGTGTTGTTTCCAATTTTTTTATTACCCGCGTGTCTTTTTTTTTTGAGGAGAAGGTGTTCAAAAAGAAAATGAGGCTAGAATTAAATATCATTGGCAATTGTTAATGGCGAGGTATTCGTTCGGGCTCGCTGAGCACCAATCAGCGGCGATTTGGCAATTTCCGCCGAAATTGTGCGATGCGCCGCTGGTTTTGCCTTCATCGATTGCCGACTGGTTTTCAGTGTTCCCTGACGAGTCGAGAAGCCCGAATAAGGCATTCTAGAAAAAAAAAATGGTTGATTTTAATTATTGCGCGATTTTTAGGTTTCGATTTGTCCTGACGCAAAAATGCAGAACACACACCAATTCCATTGACTACAGTATCCTTAATTAATTTCTACTAACAAGGGAGGTGTCTTTACTTAGTGGTTTGGATTTTTTTCTAATTTCGCACACAAACAGATCCAGAAATTCCCTATCGAGTGCGCTATGCCGTTTTCTGCAAAAGTTCCAAAATTTTGGGTCCGAAGTCCTTAATTAATTTCTACTAAATCATTATAATTTAAGCGCGTCTATTCTGCATTTAAGCGCCATTTTTTTCTTCTGCACATTTCAATTACTTGAAAATTGGGAGCAGTCCGAGCAATGTTTGACGATATCGGCTCGATGTGAAGCAATAGACCAAAAATGCGACATAGCAATTTATCAAGGATAATAAGTCGAGAACATCGGCAAGATTCAGATAGACCATTTGATGGAATTGGGTGGTGTACAAGGCTGAAAATAAAATTGAGATTTTTCAAGACAATTAATTGGTACCATTGAAAACCGCCATGATTCCCTGCGGAAGTTCGGTGATCAGAAAGACAGCCACCATGAGAAGAAGCCTGGAAATTTTTTTTTGGAGATTTGACGTTTTGGCTGGAAATATTTTTTTTTTAATTGATACAAACATACATGTAGGTCGTCAAATCTCCGCGACGCTTCGCTCGTTCCTCTTTGACGAGATTCTTGCGCTTCTCGTTGTTTTCCTTTAATTTCCTTATTAGGACAATTGTGAATGAGAAGAGCAGGAAGCAGGGAATCGCCTGAGTTTTCGATGAATAAATTCGACGTCGAGCGTTTTGGGGTTACTTTTAGAAAAATTCCTGTCAGCCATAGGTTGGCCTTCATCGGAAGACATCCGTGATTGAGCATCATTGTTGAGAAGCCGACGCTATCAATTTTTAAATATTCAAATAATATTTTCTTTTGAAATTTATATTCGAATAAAAATCGATAATAATAAAAAATGAGCGATTTCTTCAAATTGTGGACCACATTTTTGAGGCGGTAATTCAAATTTGAATTTTGACAATGGAAATTCAGGTACCGTACTACGGATAACCTGCGAATCAAACTCAAATTGAAAAGAAATCGTCATGCCTTGAATTCAACATTTTTTCATTAATTTCAACTTGGAAATTTCACCCAAAAGAATTTTAATAGTGCAAAATTGCGTCGGTGTGTACACAGACAATAATGGCTATGGCGAGCAAGTGCGTTTCATTTCGGGTGCCTTGTTTTTGAAATCTTTAACAAATGAAAATGAGTTGGAAACATCTGCGGACATTTTCCGGGTTGCGCCACAATCAGTGATGGCGGCAATTCAAAAACACGCGATTTTTTTTCCCCGGCAAAACTGCAAAAAAGAAATGCAACCCACTTATAAATATTACTAGTCTATAACAAATTTTTCCTTAGGCAATTCACTCGCCCAACACATTTCTCTAACAAAATTGAAATTTGAATTACCGCGCGCTGACCGCATTATTTTATTTTATTTTTTGCCATCGTATTATAATTTTTTAATGCAAATCACCTGTATTTGACGTAAAATCCGCGCGACGCAATTCCGCGAGCCGTCTCGTTAATCTGATGAGCCAAAAGTGTCGGAACGCACATTATAAATACAAACATGGCGATTAGGCTGGCGACAACTCTGCAAATCGCCAAATCACCAATTTCGGAATGCTCTTTCGGCACGCACAATGCTCGCGAATGGTCCAACCATTGCGATGTGCCGACATTCATCGCCGTCAATCGGATGAACGCCATCAGCACCACCAAATAGAGGGTGATGGCGTGAAGCGCGATTGAGATCATCGCGTGACATTTGAGAAATACGGCCCACATATAGGCGTAGCCTTCGTGATCGGCGAAAAACTCAAAGCGGGTAATGTAGGTCTGAAAGATTTATGGGTTTTCGAGCGAAAAAATGAGGCTTGAAATTTCGACTTTTTTGAAAGTGCAAAATTTTTCCGCGCAAGACCCAAGGCGGGAAAAAGATCGAAAATATTTTTTTCCAACAATAATTATTGGATTGCAACAACTCACCAGGTATGACGTCATCGTGCCCATATCACAAATCGCAATGCAAACTAGCACGGTGTGCACCGATGAGTGTCGCATTCTTGGTCGTGTCAGCACCAAAACGTGGACAACATTCGCGGCGAGACCCATCACACATAGCACCAGCGAAATGTATGGATGGACTTGGGAGTATTGGCTGAAAATGTTGGAAGCGAAAATTTTTGGTTTTTTTCTCTCTCTCTTTCTCACTATCGAAATTCGTAGAGACTTTCGATGAATCTCACGGTGGAATTCTTGGTGATATCGAATATTTCCGAATCATTGCACTGCATTTCGGAAATGTCTGAAAATTGTGAATTATTTTCAAGTTTGCGTTTTGAGAGAGTGTGCGCGAGAATGAGACGCAGACAGCGCTTCGCCTCAGAGCGGGGTCGAACCCACGACCTCTACGGTATGAATCCAAAAATTGCTCCACTGCGCTATTACGCTGACAAGCCGCGCCCACTATAAGACGTATATAACTTGATGGCGCCAATAGCAGGAGCTGCATTCGACAACAGCGTATTCCATTTTCGCGCATTATTTGCTCGATGCCTAATTTTCGATGGGAATTATGCATTTCCGGGAGAAATTAATTAATCAAATGTTACATATTTCGAAAATAATGAGAATCATGCGACCAACAATAAAGAATAATAATAATAATAGAAATATCGAAGCAGATGGAAAATAATTGTCGAATTAGTCCCAAAAACGACAAAAAAAGGAGCATTCGCCGAAACCAGTCAGGTTTGATTTTATTTTTACGCTTGAATCAAAACGAGACCGAGAAGAGAGAACACGAAAAAAAAAACTTTTTGTTATGTTCACCATGTTTTCGCCTTGGCGGCGAATTTCATTCAACAAAGTGCCAATTAAAATTCACGAGAAATCGTGCTTTTGGAATGGCGAAACCAAAAAAAACCAAATAAGAATGAAATTTAAAATTTAAAGACCATTGAAAGCAAAAAAAATGCGACAAAAAATGCATGATTGCTATCAAAACATTGTTTTCGTTAAGATAATGAATAAGAAAACGCTGTTATTTTTGTTTTTATTGTTTTCTGTGAATACGACGAAGAATGAGATGATGGAGACGAGAATTAAGAAGCAACGATAGATTCTTTATAATTAGATACTTGTGGGAAAAATAATATTGGCGAGATTCGCTTTGAAATTAAATATTGAATATTTGTTTAAATATACCCACCCAAACCCGACAATTTCATTTAAATATGAGAAATTCGCGCCAAAATATGGTGTTTGCGGACTTTTTTGTATTTTCTCGCAAATTTCATTCATTTTTTAATAATTGATATTGATTTATTAAAATTTGCAGTTTTAAAAATTTCGAAGAAATGGTAGCGCGCGAAAATGTGTGCAAACACCGTGACGCGCTTCTCACAGAAAAATCACCAATCCGATTTCGAATCTTTTTTTTTTGCAGAAAAATTGAAATTGAAAAAATTCCTTTTTTGCAATTTAATTCAACACTATTATTGGACTCATAATTAATCCCATATAAGGGTTTTTTCATTTAAGCTTGACTCATAAGCTACAAGTTTGAATTCTTTGAATTCCTTCTGCTTAAATTGAAATTCTACAAAAAAATTCGGGCCCCTAGCAATTTTCTTGAAAGGTTTTTAAGGGATTTCTATTTTCAAAAAAAAAAAACGAACCGCTAAACAAATTGCAGTTTTTGTTGAATTTTTTTCCAAGCCCCCGAAACAATTTGAACAAACCTTGTTTATTTTCGCAATGGGCGCCAAAAATTCATTTTAATATGTTTATATTTCATAATTTTCTCGTGCAAAGCTTCTAGCTAGTTCCGCCTCCTACGGCACCTAATAAATTTTGTGCACACGCTGGAAAAGGAAAAAATGGGGGGGGGGTAATAATTATTCACGAATGAAATATGGATTCTCATATAACATATTTATAGCCCCGTCGATGGAAAGAAAAGGTGGCAATATCCGGAAGGACCGCAAAAAAAATGGCGATCTCGGTTTTTTTTTCTCGTTCCGACAAAGATTGCAAACACTTGAGAATGGTCCTCAAGTAGTTCTAATGTAATTTCTTACCTGCCTGAATAAGAAAGGAGCGAGCCGGAGCACAATCAAGTTGTCAGAATGGGCTTCCCGAATACGGAATAGAAATGTCGGCCTGGCCTGCAACATTTAATAGAATTTTTTTCCGTGGTCCTCGTCACAAAGGTACGCGACATGTGTTTTTGAAGACATTAAAATTACACAGCGTACGCCTACAAAGGTGAGCCCGCTTCTTCTTTTTTCTTTTGTTGTTGAGAAAAGAAGAAGATAGCGATGAATGTGCATAGTTTAACGTACAATAGACCATTTTTAAGAATCGCGCGAAACTTCATTATTGCTTTGCCCTAAAATGGGAAAGAGCTGCGTGTTTTTTTTTGTTCACACGAAATTGCGTATATTGAGAGCAGTTTGTGTGAGGAGACACGATTATGAGAAATGTTGGAAACAAAATTTCTGGAAACTTTATGAATTAGTCGCTGCACCCAATTCGTCAAAACTCGCTGAAACGGAAACATGAATTTTTCATCGACAATGCTTACAACGCAGCTGAAGCCAAGCCATCATACCAGAAACAAAAATGAGGTGGACTTGTTTATATAAGGTTGCGGGAAAATTATAATAAAATAATTATCTGAATGAATAAAAAAGCGGCAAATAAAACCAAATAAATAATTTTTGTAGTTGCGCGTCAACTCTGGCATGTGTGTAAACACCGACTGCTTACCGTACACACAGCGTGAGTAGCTTTTTGTTTTTTGCTTCTCGCTCTCGTAAAGTGTTACGAAAAAGAAGAATAGCGGATGCTAATTAATATTTGAAAATGATACCCCCGTTTAAACCCCTCCGACACTTGACACCTTCGTGGCGAAACCCAATCGTGTGTTTTTTTTGTGGTCGCGATTTTCAGAAAAAAAAAATAAAAACACACAATTTGGATGAGAATTAATTGAGAGGAAGAAATGAATGAGTAAATAGATCATGGTGAAACTCATTTTACAAATCCAAATCCCTTCTAGATTAGTGGGAGACTGCACTCGAATTCTCGAAATTTCTCATCTCACCAAAAAAAAATTTTGAAATTTTGAATCAAGGTAGAGCAAACCCCCACCCCCAAATTGTGAGTTGCATAGTAGCTTTTGAGACTCATGAATAATTGAAAAGGGTTATACACACCGGAGACACACCCACCGGCAAAAAAAAAGAAATAAATGTCGATATACGACAATCCATTCAATTCCTTGACTGCACCGCCCGGCACTCATAAATTGTGGGAGTCGGCGAACACACAAAAAATTGAGAACGACGGAGTTTTGCAAATATGATTTGTTACCACCTTCTAAATGAGTCGCCGGACAAAAAATGTTTGGTTTATTTTTTTTTGTTGTTTCAGAAGAAAAATGACTTTGCTGGCGAGTAGTGCATGCAAAAGAAAAAAAAATGAAAATAATTAATTGCTCATTTTTTGCACTTGACATTTTTGCATTGGTCCGAGCAGGGGGAGATCAAACTCTCAAATGTGATATTCGATGAATTCAACAATTTATGTGACGTCATTAAATGGAGATAATAATAAACTAATATTATTGCCTCCAAAAAAGGGCAATTTGTCGTTGGGGGAGAAGGAAACGGAAATTGTTTCCAATTTGTCCTTCGTCGGGGGCAACAGTGAGCCATAGAATAGCAAAAAAAAAACACTTGGTGCATCCTGAATTGGCTCGTCTCAATTTATTTCTGAATTAGGCGCACGACAGCTGAGACCTTCCAAATGCTTCGGCAGGCAAAAGGGGGGAACAAAATTGTTTCGGTTGAATGGAAAAATTTTGAAGCAAAAAGGTTTGGCCGTCTGAAATTTGTTTCCAGACGAAAAAAAAACCGGACCCCAATTACAACAACAAATTTGTACTTGAGATGGTGATTCTTGATAGTAGAACAAGATTCGCGCATTGTAAAGCTTGATGGGTGTAAGCTTGCGACTAGGTAGTCTTTCAGCATTGGTGGTTCTCGACGACTGTTGCTTTCCATTTTTATTTTATTTTTCGAAAACGATGAAATTGATTTCCCTACTTTTGGCGTCTTTCATTATTTGCCACGCGTTTGGAATGCAAGAATTAAGGTAAGCTTCAAATATTGACTTGAAAAATACTATTAATAAATTTTAATTGGAATAGAACCCGAATAGATCCGATTCGCACGTTCGATATTCCGGAAGAAGCTCCTCGCGCACGTATACTCGCCGTTCGATTTTCAAAAAAGCCGGCGAAGATTAGAAAGCCTTACAAGGTGACTGGATGATTCATGGAAATTAATAAAAAAGGGAAACTTTGTAAATTTTAGAATGACCCTAAAATGGATGACTTCACACGATTTGGATTAGGCGATCTCACTGATCGAGATATGCGATCTAGCAAGGAAGTGAAGCGGACTGCTCATCGATATCAACATCGATTTTTGAAGACTTCGTCCTCGTCATCACCGGAAGACTTTTTCCCATAATTAAGCGCTTATTTATTTGTTTTCAATAAACAATAATCGAATGGGTCCAAAATGGTTCACATTTTTGATCGCGTCAGCCAATGATCGGCTTGCGGTTTTCGTTCAGAGTCTGTCGAGATCAACACATTGATAAGAGAGGGACCATCGGTTTTTCGGAACGCCTTCTCAAGAGAATCGCGAATTTCGGGAACCGTGCGCGCCAGGAATCCTTGACCGCCAAATGCTTCGCACATCTTCTCGTAGTTGCATTCGGCAGTCAGCGAGAGTACAGGAAGTCTGAAAAAAAAACCCAATAAAAAATAAAATTTTTAGCAAATTTTACCCAAGGGTCCGATCGCCTTCAATTGCCTTGTCGTCTTCGGGAAGCAAGCCTCGATAAATTCCGCTGTTGTTAATGATCACTGTCACAATTGGCAATTTGTAGCGCGCAATCGTTTCGAGCTCCATTCCAGAGAAACCGAAAGCGCTGTCGCCTTGAACAACCAAAACTTTGGTGTTTGGTGAGTGATCGCGAGTCCAGAGTGCCGCCGCAAGAGCATAACCCTGTCCGACGCCCATTGTCCCAAATGTGCCCGCGTCCAAACGACGCTTTGGCAATCTCGACGGCATCATTGTTCGTCCAATATCCATTGTATTTGCACCTTCGTTGATCACAATCACATCATGTTTCGCAAGGAAGTCGCGAATCTAAGTTTGAAATTGCAGAAATTCGGCAAATATTAAAATAAACGAGCTCTTGATACTGTAATTAATGAATGTCCGCAAACACCGACGGTGTTGCGAGACTACCGTAACCAATAAATGTTTTTAAAAATCCTCAAATTGTCTGCAAAACCACTATTTTGGACATTTTATTTTCATTTTCATACTTGAGTAAAAAGAAAAAAGGTCTATTACGATAAAAATTCTGGTAGCCGCTTTTTTTCAGAAACAAACTATACCGGATGATAAGCAGCGTAATAATTCAACGGCGTTGAGTGATCTTCGGCCATTTTCTCGACAAGATTTTTGTTCTTTTTAGCATTTTCCCTCAACTTCACAAACCATTCGCTATTCTCATTATAGCTCCATTCTCCCAAACGAGGATTCATCTGAAATTGAAGCCCATAAATTGTTTCAAATCGTTTCCCAAATTTACAGCCGCCAACGTCTCTCCGATATCGCCAAGCAACGCGACCTCGGTTTTGACATTTTGATGGAATTCCTCAGGACAAATGTCGATTTGAATGACTCGAACATTCTTTTGAAAACGCGGCGGCAGCCCAAAATGGAGGATCCAGTTGAGTCGAGCGCCGATCAGGAAAATAGTGTCGGCCTCGCGGAGAGCCAACGAGCGAGCTTGTCCAATGAATCTCGGATGAATATCTGAGCAGACGCCTTTTCCACCAGGTGTGGCCAGCCAAGGCAGTTTCGATTTTGTCAGAAATTGTTGAACTTGTGTGGCACCGCGTTCCGACCAGGCGGCTCCTTTTCCAACAATCACCAGCGGCTTCTGCGCCGATTTCAGAACGTCGATGGCATTTTGAATGACGGTTGGTGGCGGTATTGAAACTGGCGCGGGAAGCGCAACTTGCGGTGGGTAATGGATGTCGTTTTCAGTTGAGGTGAGAACGAGATTTCCTGGCAAATCGACGTACACCGCTCCAGGCCTTCCGTACATTGCACATCGAACCGCCTAGATTCAAATGAGAGCCGAGCATTTAATTTATTTTCTCACCTTCTCAATGTGAGCCGGAATAGTTTCCAATGTCGTTGGCCTACTCACATGCTTGCACGAGTTTCTCACGGATTCCTGCTGAGCCCACTCTTGAAATGCTCCGCGATTTTCGAACTCGATGTCAGCGGACCCTCCAATACAAATCACCGGCCAACAATTAATTGTGGCGTTCGCTAGGCCGCCGATTGCGTGAAGAATGCCGGGTCCCGAAACGACAAGAAGTGCAACCGGTTTTCCGGTGAGATATCCCATTGCTTGAGCAGCATAAGCCGCCTGAAATTGGTTTCGTTGAATTTGAGATTTCGAAATGTTATTGCGTACCGCTTGCTCATTTCGACACCCAATGAATTTGATTCCGTGCGCTTGTGCAGCCATTCCGACTTCAATTACCGGAAAACCGACAACGCCGAACATGTACTCAACTCCCTAAAATTTAAATCTCAAAAAACTTTCCACAATCGCTATGGAGATTTTAAACAGGATCAATTACGTTGAGAAACTATTTAAAATGCATTTTTCCCAAAATTAAGAGCACCATTACTCGTGGTCTTCATCAAAACAGAATATCAACTTGCCTGAGATTTCAGCGCGGCTGCTGTAATTGAAGCGCCATCCATTTTCAAAACTTGCAGAATGCGTCGGCCTCTTATTGTCCAACTAATCGCCTTGCACAACGTGTGTTGTCAATCGATCGTCTTGATAAGGCTACGCTGTGCGAAGATCGCCCTTTGGACCGCCACAATGATTGATCACACCAGTCATAATTTCGTAGTTTAATCGAGGGCTAAACGCTTATCAAACTCAAATAATAAATGTCTTATTTTGAGATTCCATCAGTAAAAAAATTGTTTGAAACGAAACAATTCAACAAAAATCAAACGGGATCAATCATTGCACACAGACAATTAAAAAGGAAACACCGGAATACAATAAAAAAGGGCAAGATATAACAAGAAGAGATAATTGTTAAAAAAAAAAAGAAAGCTCATTCCGAGAATGATGATAGATTTTCCGAGTCATTCCAATCTAAAAAATGTCAAAAATTAATTTTCTTTTTAATTTTACAAAAAAAAACCTGACTCTTCCGTTTGCGATTCATTATTTGATTCTGGTGCTTCGATTTTTGCCGATCGATTTTTTACGTTCGGCCTGAAAACGACGTTATATGAATATTCAAAAATAATTATTGATATTACTCTGATTTTCTAGATTTGTTTTTCCTTTTCTCATTGTCCGAATGATTTTTAAACTGAATTGGAAGCTTCTCTTGAGTTAGTTGCTTATGTTCCCTTCGCGATTCTAGAATTCGAGGATTTTCTCTCAATTCTTCATCTCCTCCTTCCAGCCACGCCACCATTTTTCCAATAGTTTTTCGACCAAACGTTAACACTTAAAACAAAATCAACAAATTATATAATAATTAGGAATCATCAATACATATTGGCTCGTAGCTGAAAAACGGTGTCCTTATCCTTCCAACCATCAGAAGCTCAAAAATGCACAATTTTGATTTATTATTATTTTTTAAATACCAAAAACACTGTCATAACAATTTGAGCGAGCAGCGGTGCACCCTCATACAAATCTCTGGAAAACAATTTTTTCAAAGTGAGATTTTTTTTAAATAATTGTTCCAAACCTAAAGAATTTGTTTAGATGTGTTCCAATTCCTGAGAGAAACGCAAAAACTCCACCGGAAATGGTTTCGGAGACCACTTCAATTATGGAAATTTCATGGAATATGGAAATTGTTTGCGACTAGAAGTATTTTTTGTGATTTTCCACAAATTAATATGAACACCAACCTCGATGTATTTCAGACATTCACTTTTCTGCTTATATTGAAACGGGCTGGCGACAATTTCAAAAAACCGACTAATAATTCCCTCGGGTTCGCATGCGTGGCCCCCATTGGCTTGAACTTGAGCGAAACGGGCAAATCGCCGAGATTCGGCTTCCTTCAAATGATTTTTTATCATTTAATTAATACTATCCTCCTTACTTGGTATTTTTTGTTATATTTTGAATACACCGAGGTAAGTAATGCTGATGAGATGATTAAAATCCAAAAATTTCGAGGTTTTACCAAAGCTCGAACTACGATAACAAAACAGAAAGGAAGTAGTAAAGTGTTTAGTGAGAATACTAATGGTTGATAACTTTTCCATCGATACTCCCATGAATCAATAATCTCATCTGTCTGAAATATTACTATTTTCTATATCCTATTATTATTTTCCAATTATACCACAGTGAATATTCCACTCAACGCGGAACGAACGTTTTCTCGAGTTTCGGCAGTATCTTCAACTTCTCCATTCAGAAATTTCGAAATTGTGGAAAGTGACTGCTGTTTGATGGTCACACTTCAAGCAAATACATATGTTTGTTCATTTTCAGCACTTACAGTACGTTTTTGTGGATTTTCGAAGATCCATTTAGGTCCACATTTAATTCATGAAGCATTTGTCGCAGAATAAGCCGTAGGGATGAATCGCCAATCACATCCAATTTCTGCACTTTATTCGAAATTTGAGGTTTATAAGACGATGTCGGATCGTTAGGATCTATCCAATCTTAAATCACAGAATTAGCTTTGATTAATCGATTAAAATAAATATTACTTGCAGTAATGAAGGGCAAAAAAATAATGAGGGTGTGTATTAAATGCATGATCTGAAAAATATTAAATTAAAATATTACTGTTCAACTTAAAAAGGCATATAAATTTTCAAATTAAATATAAACACTTTCTCAATAAAAAATTCAATTGTTTTTCAATCAAATCAGGTTAATTTAAATTTCATTTTCCTTCGAATCCAATTGATTTTCATTTTGATTTTTTACTTGAAAATTAAAAAAATGATATTTTAAAATTTCCCAGCGATTGGGCACGAAGGATACGTTAGGAATCCGTCCGAAAAGAACTGTTTCATATAAATAACTTCACTTTCAGCCACCGATTCGTTTTTTCTTAAATATAAGTTGCACTATCGTTGTCGTACCTTAGTTTGAAAAACTCGTTTTAATTTATCTTGCTGGCAACAATTGCGCTCTAGCGCACAAAATATTGTCGGCGTCTCTCAGATTTGCATATTTCTGACTTGCAGTGCTTCAATTCATAATTTAGGCTCAGTTACGTCTCATTTTCTATTTTTAGATTACTTTCAGACCAAAAATTAGGTATTTCACTTATAAAATAATTAATATATAGCATTGCTCATTGAAAAATAAAATGTTCTTCACGTATAAACTTGTTGTTGTTTTCCTTCGCAGTAAAGTTTGCCTGACGTTATTTATTGTTTTATTACAGAATGAAACTTTGGGATTCACCAACTACATCATTCCCGTATACATTCGATGAAGTAGTTTCAGCTTTTTGGGATAGGTGGGAATTATATAGTTTAGAAACTGCAATTTTCTTATTTTTTAGATATCCTAATAATTATGCAAAACACATTATTAGCGAGGATGTATTGGAGAGAAAGATTACTGAAGATGCGATTGTGACAAAGAAGCTCATCGTCAAACAAGGTTGAAATAGAAAATAGCGAAAATGTTTTTTCAATATGATTTCCAGGGAGTTCGATTTTAAAGCGTGTTCCTCGTTGGATTTCGCGAATGACTGACATACGGGTTGTTCCAGTAATTGAAGAGAGTTACTATGATCGAAAAAGCAAAAAGTTGTGGACATACACTAGGAATGTGGCCCATATACCATTGTTTCAACTTCATGAGCGATGCGTTTACAAGCCCACCGAGAACCATGACGCAATTCAGACCCCATTTTTGACCGACGTTCTTCGAAGTGTAACCGTCAATATTGATTGCGGTCGGATGAGCTCAATATATGAGAACGTTCTTTTGATGGGATTCAAAAAATCGGTCTGTTTGCAATATTTTCCCTATATAATTAATTTTCTTGTTTAGATTAGCAACACCACAAAAGGGATGTTCGAAAAGCTCGAGGAGAAGTTTGGGCCAAGACATATTGCCAATGAGAAAATGAAAGTTCTCAAGGAGAAAATCATTAAATCATCATCAAATCTCGTAACACACGTGAAATGCGACGAGGATAGCTAATTTATTTAATTTGTTAAAAATTTCGTTACATTCTTTTCATTCGGACCGTTCCGCCATATCCAAAAAAGAAAATCCATTAGGCTTAGTTTGTGTTTCTTTGCATTTTCTATTGTTCACAAAATAAATGTACATAAATTTATTGTTATTATATTATTTATATTTAATGGTTTTTAGCCACTAAATTTTTTAAAAATTGAATTTTTCATATAACATTTTTCTATTTCAGAGCAGTAAATACTATAAACCAATCAATCTACGACCAACGGAACTTCATCCGTCATGTCAAAAAATTTGCACAGTTTTATTACTGTCGCCGCGCTTCTCTCCCTTCTTCATTGTGCCTATTCTGCCGCTCAACATCGCTTCTACCTTCGTCTCACCGAGCAACAGTTCAGTCAGCTTCCCCTAGACGTCGTTGCACAAACGCTCATCTCATTAATCGCGTTGATCTACGGGACTTCATTTATTGCCAATCCTTTCCAATTTATCAAAAAAGATCAGGTATTCCTTTTTTCAATATTCTGAAATCATTTTTGTTTATTGTTCAGCATCACGATAGAACATGCGACGAGGCGCTCAATTGTCCATCGTTCATAACATTCGACAATCGAATCAAGGCAATTTCTTCAAACCTTGCTACCATCAAAACTACCTTGAGGGTATTTCTTAATTAAAAAAAAATCAAAAAAATTTTGAATCGCTTCATTTTTAGCCAACTTCAAGTGCGCCGGCAGATTCGGATACCGACAATTAATAAAACAGTCATCTTCAGTTCATAATTATTTTTCTCAATTAAATTATTCCACTTCTCCTTTTGTTAATAAGTCTCCAAACGATAGTAATCGAAAAGCTTTAGATTTTGGAAATATTCCAGCAGCAAGGTGAGTTTTTTCTTTACGGATTTAGTTCAAAAAAACATTTGTGAATTTTCAGAATCCCTAAAAACACCAAAAAAGCAAAAGTACATGAAATCACCAAAAAGCAAGCAGATGAGGCGTTTGAAAATTGCCTACAGGTTTGTAATGACTATTCAAATGAATATAATGACAATTTTTAGCTTGTTAAAAAGCACGATGTCGATAATTACCTCTCAATTTTGACAATGCCAAAAAATGTTCAACCGGAATTTGTTGCGATTGACGCTTTGAACGTCGAAATCGCTCAAATTCGTGAAAAGGTTGATACTCGACGCGGCGACACGTCGGCAATGTATCGTCTTCAGTTTTGGAAAGACGCCATTATGTCTATTTATGGACTTTCGACATTGACAATTCCAAGGCATATTCAATTTAAGCGAATTGAATTGAATTCAGCATTCCAGGCAGCCTGTAGCAATTGCACTTTGCGTTTTTGCGCCGAATGCTCGCAGTGATCTTCTTTTAAAAATGATTGAAACTAGGCAGGCTACTATAGGTGATAGGCAGTTTGAAAATATTGAAGCGGTATGCTGCCTTATGGAAGGATTTAATAATTTTCAATTTTTTTCAGCTTATCGATTATGGCAAATCGACTACTGGTTCTCTATTACACTTGAAAATGAGCGCGCTTGCTCGGCAGACGAGCACCACCCTACTTCCAAATGCGATAGAAATTTGTGAAGAAGTTGGTGCGGCGTATGCGGTGGCGAATCTCATCCGATCGACACATCCGCTTCTTGCCAGAGGGATTGTATTGATTCCAGCAGATGTGATGGGATTGAATGGAACGAATCCTGATAGTATTTATAACAAGAAGAAGGTTGAAGAAAGTAAAGGTGTCGTCAAGGATTTGTTTAAGGTTTTTTTTGCTGAAATGTCGAATTGAAATGCTTTATTCATTTTGAGGTGTCTGAAAATCTGCTCAACTCGTCGCGTTCAAGAATTGATGAGATTCCGAAGCATCTACGTCCCGCTCTTGTCTCCACATGTGCCTCCATAGATCATATCTTAAAAATTACGAAAAAGGTGACCGGAAATACATCAAAACGTTGTTATCTTTGATGACAAATCAAGTCATTGATCAGACGTGTCTATATTTAGCCGATTTCAGGTTGATTACGACATCTACTCGCCGCTCCTTCAACGTCGCAATCCCCTACTGCTTTGGTCGCTATTTTACCGCAAACTTGTCGGAAAATATTAAGAATTGACGTTGTTTTTGTGTTTCATTCTTTGGTTTTTCGTTTCTCCCGTTTTGCTCTATATTTTATTTGAAAATTCTTGAACAGTCTATTTGCACAGTTTTCGGGTGTTTTGCTGCGGGCGCGCCTCTCCGCGCATGCTTCACCACAAATTGCATTCGATTGTACTCGCCATCGTGTATGGCACGATTTCGACAAGGTCTGGCATTCGCGCGAGCGATTTTTTCGGTTCTGGAGGGGGACAATAGCGAATTGATAAGATATCGAATCTCCTTTTTTTGTGGTGTTCATCAAATTCACTATTTGTTGCGTTTCTAATCCGGGCGCCCCCACCCAAAAAGAAACAAAATATTTCATTATTTATTTTTTAGTTGAGATTACTGTAGCTCAAATTGAGCTGTGCGACTCGGTGTACGCACACAATACATAGGATATCGCCGCATTCGTCATTTTTCCGCAAATAATAGTAGCCATAATTTTGATTGTCCCGATTAATTCGTGGACATGGTAAAATTTGTTTGTTTTCGCGCTCAGTCGAAAATAGTTTCTCACGCGCTTCTTCAATACAGTACTCGAAATTTCACAAAACGAGAAAAAAAAGAACGAGGCCGGTGCGGCCTGCTCGTCCCGCACGCCGCGGCGAATATCCGACTCACTTACACACACATATACAGGCAAACAAACACGCGCACCAACCAACCAACCAACCCACCGAAGCCTTCCATTCAATAATACACGAATTGTATACAATTACGCCTTCTTTTATTGATTTCACATGTTGGGCTCTAGTCTCGTTTAAATGGTTCGTATCGATATCTATCTCCTTGCTGCACTCGGGTAGATTTACGAGTGCGCCTTGAGAAACTGGTCTCGCCACACGTGGAACCTTATTTTGAATGTTGCTGGAAGCATTCCTTTGAATAATTCTTACCATTGAAACTCAACAAATGATCTCTATGGCCAGTCTGTGCGAGACCATGTATGTCAAGGCGCGCGCGCGTAAATCTACCCCTACTCTTGATTTGGGTCTCGCAGCACAGGTGTCGATCATCGCCTCGAAACCATTTCTGGCATTTAGCCAATTTGTCGCTGGCGCGCGATTTCGACAAAATTTCAAAATCGTAACGAACTATTCAGCCGAGTACCAACTTGGTCCCAATTCTTCTAGGTACCATACCATTTGTATATCATTTTGTATGGCGGAACTTGTTAATCATGATATCACACAAAGATTTATCAAATTTACGTCGTCATTGGATTCTGGTCAACGTGTTGTCGATTTTGGGCGGTCATTGATAGCAGACATTTATAGTTTTTTTTGTAGTTGGTTGAAAAAAATCTTTCCCATTTGGTCCTCATGGTCCCACGTGAAGCTAATCGCGCTAAGAAGATTTTTGAGAAAAACTATATAGTTTGAACAGTTTTTCGTTATTTATTTTGAAGAAAAAAAAAGTCGTTCACTTCTTGATACATTGGCGCAATTTTTTAGCATTGTACGAATTTGAATTGCGCGGGCTGCTATTAAAATGGTCCCGTAAAATGAAATTGCACTCCTTTATTTAACAATTTTCTTAATAATCAATCATTTAAAAAATTTATATTCGATTTCATATTAAGTTGCTTAATTTTCTTTTAAAAATCCTGCTTTAAAAATTTTTTGAATATTATTTTAGGCTTGAAATCTTTCTTTCAACGTCGGAATTTTTCGAATTTATTCTTAAAAAATTGATAATTATTTTTAAAACTTTATAATTGATATGAAAATGTCACAATCTCTTTTCATTTTCATTTCAGTCAAAGAAAATCATTTAAAATGGAAATTGATGGGTGTTAAATGAATTGTGTGCAAAATTGCGTCAGTGTGTATACAGACGAAAACGAGATAAAAACTGACGACCATTTTTTTCTTCAAGCAGAATTAAATTTAACAAAAAAAAAATATAAGAAAATTTCTTCACGAGTTCTCAATTTTCTTTGCTAGTTCTCGGAAAACCCTCACTATTGCCTTTTTCACCAAACCTAGCAGTTGGCGATTTTTTTTTCGATTACTCTCAACATAATTAATGCGATTTTCTTTAGTCAAAAAAAAACCGGTAACCCATTGACCTCGAGCGGGTTTTTTTTCGTCGTGGCGATATGCAAAAACTTATCAGAAGCCCACCAACTTACTAGTTTCAATTGTCTTTCAAATTCAGCGTCTCATGCGTGTCGCTGGTCTCACAGCATTGTCTATCATATCGCATTGTAAATTACAACAGCCCCACGCTATCAAAAAAAAAAGTGTCTGTGTGTTCTTAACTGGTTACAGTCTAAACACAGCTTGGTCAGAAGACGCCCCGCCCCGCGCATTTTTCGCCTCGAAACTTTCAATGTTGATTTCATTCGTTTCATTTTTCGTTTCGTTTCGAGACGTTCGCAATTCAATTTCAGACAATGGATTCGTTCGTCGCCATTGAAGGCGCTTCGCAATCCGAGCAGATTATTCCAGCCCATGATTTTTGCAATTTTTCTACAATCACACATCATGAGCATGATGAGGTATTTTTTTTCGATTTTCAGACATTTTATTTTACATGAGTGTATTTTTTTTTGCAGGAATCTATTAGTATTGTATGGTGGAGTAATGTCGTAATTCTGCCGATAATCGCCTTCATTGGATTGGCGTGCAATTTATTGAATATTGCGGTGCTGACCAGCAATAAAGCATCGCGAAGGATACCCTCGTGGTTGGTTTTTCCCCACAAGACCCTTCATCTAATATTTTCAACCATTTCAGGAATCTTCTACTAGCATTAGCCATTTGCGATTGCTTCTTTTTGCTGTTCGCCACGCTCGACGTTACACCGCTATCAATTCCGTCGCTCGCATTCTCCACCGAATTCAATCACGTCTACTCGCAACTTGTGCTCTACATTCGGACGTTCGCTTCGACGTTTTACAAGAGCAGCGTATTGTGCGTTTAGCTTCACGTTGGAATCTTTGAATAATTCGAAATTTGCAGAATTGTGTTCGCGTTTAACGTTGAGCGATACACGTGTGTGGTTCATCCGCTGAATTCGCATCGACTTTGCACAAATCGGAATTCGCGACATGCGATTGTCGCTGCGTATGTTAATTTATTCAGAAAATTTGAAAACGCATATTGAAATTTAAAAGCGAAAAAAAAGAATCGAAAATAGGCATGTTTTTGTTGCGATTCGCATCGAGACCCATCGCATTAATAAACGGTATGCGTCTTAAACTACCGTACCTCTTCGCCGGATTTATTTTTAGAATTTTTTTGCTGAAATTTTTTTGATTTTTTGACGAAAAACGCAGATAAAATATGTAGTCGGTTTCTGAAAAAAATTAAAATTTTGTTAGAAATTCAAAGTCCAGAAATATAAGAACCAAAAATTTTTTTCAATGATTTAAATTTCAAATGAGAATAAAGAAAAATAATGGTTCTCTTATTTTTATTTCTTTTTTTAAATATTCCCTGCATTCCCCAATTAAATAATATAGGGCAATTGTAGTTTGATTTTTTGGTTCGAAAATAACTCATCTGATTCGCAGTAAAAAAAAACGAGTACGGAAACTAATTTTTCTCCATCGTATGCCAAATGGAGAACCCTAATGTCGGAAATAGATTTTGGCGAAAAAAAAATCACGTGTCTGCACGCGAACCGCGGTGCGTCTGACGACATAGAGAACCGCAAAAGCAGACTAACAATTGTCATATATTTTAGATATTTCATAGAGAATGTAGTGATTTTCAGCATTTCAATCGCATTCATTTGCTCAATTCAGTGGCCTTTGGCTTACGATATCAAATATTGCTATGAGCACAATTCACAAGAATACTATTACGTGATTTTAATGTCGACGAGCAAATTCTTGCAGGTATTGTTTTACACCATTGAACCGTTTACCGAAAAGTTGGCAATTCAAATAGTAAAGTTGTTGGTAACCCGAGACTAATTGCCAATTTTTGCTCTTCGTTAAACCAATACAATAGGCGACTGTCAATAGGGTCTTGTGTGGCTTTCTATTTTTAGAATCAATATAATTTTATTTATACAAACCATACTGTGCGACGAACTGGTCACTATATGATCACATATTTGTTCTGAATTCAGATTTACTATCGATTTATGGATTACGTGTCATTGTTTGCTTTCAACGTCCTTCCAATCGCTGGTTTACTTTACATGAACTCGCGAATCATCTTCACACTTCGTCGAGTTGTCGATGAGGATTCGCGTCGTGACGAGGAGGTGAAATTATCGGGAGTGTTGGTTCAGAATGTGAGAAAAGAAAATTCCATTAAAGCTCGAAATAAATGTGTTAAGGAATCGCACTCGAACAAAACGATTCACGCGAACGCCATTCTTTTCGCTGTTGCTTTCATGCTTCTCATCTGTGTTGGACCACAAGCTCCCGCGCGCATCCTTTTCGACTTATATGGTCAATACCATCCGAAGGCAATATTGTACACATGCATTACACAACAATTGGTCTTCTTGAATGCTTCATTGAACTTTGCATTGTACTGTGTCGTCTCAAAACGATATCGCACGTTGATGAGACAAACGCTGAAGAAGATTCTTCACAAATTGGAAGGTGAGGATAGATTATTGTGGAAGAAACCCAAAAATATTGAAAAATGGAATACACGTTTGAATTGGCGCCAAAATATGGAAAATATGTGCAGGAATCGCGACGCAAGATCGCAGATTTAAATCTTAAAAACACGATTTGAATGGATATTTCCGTTTCACTTTTTTGTTTTTTAGCTCTGATTTTTATTAGCTCCAACTTTTAAGCTGTTGAATTTCAGGCGTCGATCGTCCATTCCAAATCAGCTTGAAGCAAACGAAGAGCAGCTCGGCGCACGTCACATCCTTAGAAGATCATCACGCACCGTTGACATTGAACATATAAATTTATTGCAATTGCCTTCAATTTTGTTATACCGTCCTGCACCCTCCTTGCCATGTGTCATAAATTTCCCTCAACAGCCAGTATTGATAATGTGTATATATATAAATGAATGTCGACAGTTGCTGTTTCAAGTTTTTTTTTTCCCGAATCAGTGTCCCCTTCTCGCTGTCTGCCGGTATGGTAACAAAACATCGTTTATCACATTACATTTGCGCGGGACAGGTGTCTTCACAATGTTCTATCATTGATAGTGGTTTCAACGTATTTTTCGATTTTCATTTGAGAGAATTGAAGAATTTATATCGTCGTTTTCTCGCAAACAAGAATGCCTAATGCCCAATCTTGACTAGAGTTGCGTTCAATTTTTTTTCTAATAGTTTCGTGTTTTAGAAATACCGGAGTATGACACTTTTGGATTGCTTCTATTTGAATTTATATAAAAATTATTTTAAAGTTGCTAGAAACATTTTTATTTTGAACATTTAATTACAAACAAATCGTCGTGCGCTATAAAAAGGTCATAAAAACAATAATTTAGGTGATTGTTTCCAAACTTGTTAACTTTGCTCCATTTTTGCTAGTTGTGGAGCGACTTGTTTTGAGTGCATCGTGTGGATTATTGTTAAGTAGAAGAGATCTTCTTGATAGGACCCTTTTTAAATGTCTTGCACACTGTTTAAATGTTTTTATCCGACGTTTCGATCTTTAGATCATCATCAGGGAAGGTCAATTTACCTCAAACTTGAGTAATTAAACCTTTCATTATTAAAAGGGTCATATCAAGAAGATCTCATCTACTTAACAATAACTTTGCTCCAACTTAATTATCGATCGATTGACCAACGTTAGCACCAGTCTTTAAGATTGGCGCGCAATGCGTGCAAACGACGCTGACGCTTTATGCGTGCGCGCGTGTTTGTCAGATGATGTGAGCGCAAGTGGGGCCTTTCTCTCCTTATACACCGCGTTTTAGATTTGTTCTGATGTTTTAAATGAATTGATCTTTTGATAGTTTAAAAAATTGTTTTGAAATTGTTGTGAAATAAAAGGATAACACTCTCAGTACTGTAGTTTATAAAAATCTCCATGAGTTTGATTCGCAGGTTATCCGTAGTACGGTACGTAATTTTCCGCGCTAAATACATACTATTGTCCGCAAACATCCAAGGTCTCTTTTTTTTCGATGATAATCGCTATAATCGACGCATTACGAAATACGAGGATTCCATATTCCATCTTTTTTTTTACCTTGATAGTTTTTTAATTAGAATCAAATTTTCTGTGAAGGTATAAAATACGATTTTCAGTAGAAAAAACAGAAATCATGGATCAAAACGCTGCCGAGAAGATTGAAGAATTTCCATTGGAAGACTTCAATTCAATGAGAGACAAACACATGGCGGAGAAGCAAAAAAAGATTGATAATTACATAATGGAGCTGACCGCAACAAAGAACGAAAAACTCGATGAAAGTGAGAATCGCGAAGAAAATGATGCGCAGGAATCGGAGAAGAAGATGGCATCGCTTCAGCCGAATCCATTGAAGCGCACCAGTCGAAAGTACTTTGAAAAAGTGGAGATATCGCAATCGGAAAAGGATAAAGGCGACAATAGTGTATGGAATCTTCTAGATTCGGCTGCTGCCCAATTGAAAGCTCATGTAAATCATTTCACTATTTTCATATTTTCATCAATGGTATTCAGATTGGATCGAAGAGACGCTCGCGTTCACGAACCGCTGATAAAGACGTTGCTATAAAGAAAGATGACAATGAGAGCAAGGAGAAAGCTGAAGACAAGGTCCCTCAAAATAAGGTATTTTTTTTTATGAAAGTGTGATAACACTAAAATATTGTTCTCATCGTTCAGAATCGTCCAAAACGTTCTCGTCGATCTGAAGTCGATCGTCTTCTTCGAATGGATTTCGGACCAAAGGAAGGTGGAACACTGCAAGAACTCGAAGCCGCCAAAGGGCAATTGTCGATGGTCCCACGTCGTGCCTCGCTGCCCGACAAAAGGCTGACGCCGATAAAAGTTGAGCGTAGGAGTGGCGAAAATTCGGCTCGAAAACGTCGTGCTCCGCGTCGTTTCGCCATCGACGACGATGACGAGTCGACGGCGAAAAAGAAGAAGACTCAAGAAGTGCAAAAAGCAGACGTTGCCGTCAATCAACCGGACGAGCCAAAACCGGCGGCGGAAGAGAAGAAATCGGTGTCCGTCGAGGAAACCGTCCCAGTTTCCGAGGAAGAACTGATTGCCGCTAAGACCGCTCGTCCAGTGATTGTGAAGAAGCCACCAACTGTTGAATTAGTGGACCTGGAAAAGGAGGAAATGATGCGAATGTTGGAGGATGTAGCGGAAACTGTCGAAGATCTTGTTCTTTTCGTCGAAAATGAAATCGAGCCGCTGATGACGCCGTATGATCAAGTAAGAATGCGACATTTGCTTGACCAAGAGCCCTCAACAAGCAACGGCCGAAGAGCGAATGAGGTATGATTGATTTATTTAATTAATGTGAAAATACCTTTTATTTTAGGAGCCATACGTGCCAAGCACTACCATTGAGATGAAGGCAATCACATTTGTTCCAGAAGGTGCGGGTCCAGATTTTAACACCTGGACGGTAGGCGTTAAGAATGACAATTCGGCTATTTTCATAAAATGAATACTTCAGGTTAAGCAAGTCCACGATTGGGTTCTTTACCTCACTAATTCAAAACGCGTCGCCGACATATTCCTCGACGAGCTGATTGACGGTTCAATTTTCCCAATATTGTCGTCAGACGAGGCGAAAAACGATCTGAAATTGCCATTCGGACCGCGCGTCAAGATTATCGCCGGAATTCAAGCGTTGCAAAGAGTGCGCGACGATCGATTGCGTCGAGGAAATTGAAGTGTCTTGGAAATTTGTGCCGATTTCATTCACTTCCACCCTTTGGACTTGTTAGTGGCGTGGTACCGTAGAAACTCCTCATCTCTCGTTGTATTTTTCTATTTTAAACATAATAATTGCATTTAATTGTCTAATTTGGGACGTGTTCTAATTTTTGCAACAACAACTACTAAATAAATCGCTTCCCTTCTGCCCAAATCGCTTTCATATTTGAAAAATGCTTAAAAAGATTGCGAATGCTGTTCAGAAGCAGGTGTGCGCTTCCGTTGATTTCATTGCTAATCGATTTAGACTGGTAAATTTCGTTCGCGGAGTAAAAGTGTTGAGAAGCGAAATGCAAGTAATTATGATTACGTGTCGGAAAAAAAACTTTTGAAATGGATTTCAGAGGAAATTGTGAAGGAGTCCACAATTCAAGCAGCTCCCTCTACAAGAGAAGCGGCAAAAACGGTCCAAGCCGCAGGTGGATCAAATTGTTATCCAGAAAATTAAGAAAGGTTTTAGGCCAGACAATTAATCAGCTAATGAAGGAAGCAACAACGTAGTTCTCTTCGATTTTAGTATAAATTTGAAAATAAATATTTAATAAAGGAAAAAAATGTGCGATAAAAGAGTTTATGATTAAAACGTTATTGCAATTGAGCTAGGTGGCCTTCATGAGTAGAATGACTTCTCCTTGCTGAGCACCGGCTTTGAATGGAGCTTGCGCATCGGTCTCGTCAGCTGGCACCTCGGCCCACTGGACAACGATCTTGTCCTCTTTCGGCGGTCCCTCCAATCTCACAATCTCCAACTTGGCCTTTCCTTTGGCGTCGACGAATCCGTAAACGGGGCGAACTCGATAGTGATCATTGTTCGATGATTTTACCTGAAGCACACGGCTTGTGATTTGGAGGCGATTGAAAAATTCAATGGCAAACCTTGAAAGCCATTCGCGAGTCGGATTCTGAGACAATGTTGTGCGTCGAATTTCCGCCGGAAGCGGGGAACGCGGCAGTCGGCGGATCAATGTTGAGCATTAGAATCGATTTGAAGGCACTTGAATATTATCAAGCTCAAAACGAGACTTCAATTTATTAGACTAAAGGTGCCGCGCCATAGATTGCTCATTTTATATGGCGGCGATAAGAGATTAGGATCATCACGCGAAAAGAATATTTTGCGCGTCGAGTCACGGTCAGGCACATTTCAATTTTTTCGAAACTCTGGTGTTGTTCGGAATAAATTTGCACCGAAATGGCGGACAAGGACAAGAAAGATAGTGCTGAGTTTGTGCTCAAAATTGATGTCGACAAGGTTGATTCTATTGATTATGTCTAATTGTGCTGGCCGAGTTAGATGTGGCCGTGGCCGAGTCGCGCCGGCAAAAAAAAAAAAATTAGTCACGTGGCTCGAAAAGATTCAAATGTTTCGTGCATTTTTGGTTTTGTGCCTTAATTTGGCTGAATTACTCAAGTTTGAGGTGACAATAAAAAATTTTACTAAATTCTTGAACAAATAACAATTAATTTGACGTGCTAATTATTGTTGATTGAATTAAATTAATTAAATTGCAGATTATTTTTGCGGGGAAGAAGCTTGGAGATGAAACGATATCGACGACGTTCAAAATTGCGAATCCGACGAAGGAACGGATAGTGTTCAAAGTGAAGTGCACTTCGAATGATATGTTCAGGTATTATTTAAATGGAGAAAGAATGGATCAAATTGTTGAATTTCAGAATTCGTCCTCCCGTGGGATCCATCAATGGTGGTGAAGATTCAACAGTGACGGTCTCGTTTAACGCCGGAAAATCGATTCCAGACTCTGGAAAGCACTATTTCGCAGTCTACTACATTAAAACTAGCGATAAAGAAAAGGTTGGAGAATTTTTGAAATGTTGAAATATATTTTCCAGGCGGCCCGACAAGTTTGGGGTGATCATAAAGGTGATGCGGAGGGCACGAAACGAATCTATATTGATTTCAACAAGGAGAAGGATAAGAAGGATGAATCGAAGGATAAGAAGAAGAAGGATGAAAAGAAGGAAAAGAAGGAGGAGAAGAAAGAGGAAGAAAAGAAGGAGGAGAAGAAGGAGGAGAAGAAAGAGGATGAAAAGAAGGAAGAGAAAAAGGAGGAGAAGAAGGAAGAGAAGAAAGAGGAGAAGAAGGAGGAAAAGAAGGAGGAGGAGAAGAAAGAGGAAAAGAAAGAGGAGGAGAAGAAGGAGGAGAAGAAGGAGGAAGAAAAGAAGGAATGAAACTATTTTAATAAAATATTTATGATTTTCGTACTAGAGTTATAGCAAATTTTGGATTTGAATTCGTAGATTAATAAAAATTAAATCTTTTATGTAAGTGGTTAAAATATATTGAAGAGGAAAAACTAAAATATATTATTCTCCCAAATATGACAACTCCGCGTCATATGCATCCTCCTTGCCCCATCTCTGAGTGATATTTCTCAAAATCTTATACTGACAATGTCGGGACATATGGCATTTATAAGGTATATGAATATTGAGGCGGACCTCCTTTTTGTCGCTGGTACAATCATGCCATATCTCCAAATTGAATGAGTATTCAATCTAAATCGATTTTTGGTAGTTTGTCAGACGACGAATGATACACTGAATTTTTCTTCCATTGATTCGGAACCTCTTATAACGAAATAGGCAGAATTGGGTGGTTGGAGACTGAATGAATACTTCTCGCCGATTGGATCCCACCAACTTCTATAAATGATACGAGCTGCTATAACAGTTGGTTTGCAAGAAAAGGTCATACAGAAAATCTTCTTCGAATACTTGAATTGTTCCGTTAAACGTGTCTCGGCCGGCGAAACTGCATGCGAGCCATCCAACAAAAATGAATTGACTTGCGTAGGCGATAGTGGAAAGAAGAAGAATTAGAAAACCGTGGCAAAGCATATTCCAGAATGTTAGGTGGAGTATTAGAAAAATATGTTACATATATTATATTTATTCATATGTTTCACGTTTAATTTATGTTATATTTACTCGGTTAAACACATAAAAAATTGTTTGAAATTTTAAGTTGTTGTTTTAGGATATACGAGATACACGATTGTCCAGATACTCGATTATTTAGCAATCCATGATTTCTTGAAATTTTATACTATTCTTAACCTCCTCTTCGAAATAAATAATTCAGACGTTTAAAAGACCTCCTTTGTGTCATCTTCAATTATCTTATTTTACAGATTTATATTTGACTTTTTAAAATTTTGAAAATTAATGGAGTTATACTTGATGGCCGAGTTTTATTTTTGGCCGTGGCCGGCCAATTTGTGTAGTTTTACGTACTTCTAACGGACGACTGCTTTATTTTTAGATGTTGCCTCCATAAAATCTAAGCATTTAATTTTTGTATATTGCTGTGAAACTGGCTTATAAAATTATTCAACGTGTATTTTCAGTATTTGTTAACCATAAATTTCAATTCAATCTATTCAAATTCATTTTACAGATGTCGCTTGCGAAAAATTTGAAAAATTTAACGCAAAGCGTGCGTAAAAACGTCATCACTTGGGATAAGGTATGCTTTTATTGCGAATTGCATTTGATATGGTTTATTTAAGGCCGAGAGAATTCGCAGGAATGAGGAAATCTTCAAAAATCCAGACAGTGTGGTCCATCGCCTACCAGATCATTATAAGCGAAGATATTGGAACAATTTATTATTGGACCGAACGCCGGTGCATTATAGACCGCCAACATCATGCCTTGCATGGGATGCGGTGAAACAGACTGAAGTTGAACTCGAAGAAAATCCAATCGTTGGAATTCATCCGCCGGAAGCTGATAACGGATTATGGGGAGGTGAACGAATCGTGAAAGGATGGATCGAATCAGCGCCATACACGAAAAAGAAAGTTTTGCCGAGATATTGGGTGCCAAAACTCTATTTTCCCTCATTGAAAACGGTTGTCTTGTTCTCCGAAATACTCAACAAATACATGAAGGTGGGGAGAGCTATCGATTTATTCTTGATTTTCCGGTGTTTTGCAGGTCACAGTAACCGAAAGAGCCATGCGTCTGATCGATGAGCATTATGGGCTTGACCTCTATATTCTGGAAACTAGCGAACTTGACTTGGATTCGAAATTTGCCAACAAATTGAAGAGGGAGTTGCTGCTCACACTGGCTAGGAAATCGTATTACACCGACGACGAGGAGATGAAAAATTATATTGAGAAAAAGTTTAAACAAAATTAATATCAACCTTCAAAATGTAAATTTGAGGTACGCGCGTTTCGTGATTCCTGAAGAAGAAGCTGAATGGGTTGGCCTTGATTTGAACGAAGCCGCGCGAAAGCAGCAAGATCTTGAAGATTCTCAAGCGCCAGTCCCACTGAAGTACAAGTAAGCCGAAAAAATTGAAGCAAGAATTGTTTTTCCAACAACATTTATTCTTTTCAAGATTTGAACATGAATTGGTGAGTCGCTTGCGCGAAGGAAGTGACGAAAGCTTAAGCGAATTGGAATCTGAAGATGCTCCAGCGTACACCGAGAGTAAATTTGGCGAGAAGCTGCTCGGCAAATATATGAATCCGATCGGGAAAAAGCTGAGATCGGCTACGCGATGAATACGTTTTTAAAAATTAAGTTAAAAGTTTTGTTTTTGTTACAATGTAGGCAAATAATAAATTAGTTTTTCTTGCGTTAAGAGCGGAAAATTGAAACCGGTAAGACAGGACAGAATATGCTACAATGATATAAATTATACAGGTAATGTATATAATAAGGGTTTTTAGTTTGTCTCAGTCGACGTCATTGATTCATAGGTGGTGCTCTTTGACAACTTCTCTGCATTCTCGTGCTCCTCTTTACTATGATAAATTCCATATGAGAAATATATAGCAAGGCCTAAAAAATAGAAAAATTAAAATTAATTGAGAATTTTAAATTATACCAATAGCCATCCATACGAATAATCGAATCCATGTTATTGGCGCCAAATGGACCATCATCAAAATGTTCACTAAAAGACTAAGGGCCGGAATGAAGGGAACAAATGGGACCTGAAGAAAAAATATTAGGATTTGAGATGTGCAACGTGCAATACTTTAAAATCGAGAAGTGTCGAATTTTGATAATGGCAGCTTATGAAGACGAACGAAAGAATTGATGAAGTGATTGTTGTGGCCAGTAGAAATTTTTGAAAAGTTGTTCCAGTGGCAAATTCTGAATGATATTGAGATTGACGAATAATTGAAATTTTACCATTTGTTAAAGCGAATCCAGTGAAGAAGAATGATATAATGAGAGTTGAAATGCCATAATAAATCGATTGTCCTGGCTCAAGGCTGTCGAGGAGCTTGAAAAATGGAATCGAGAATCGAAGTTTTCCTCCATTATCGAAACATCCGTCTTCGGTATTGTAGGATGGCTGATAGCGGAGGACAATCACACACGCCGAAACTATTGAATAGGCCAATAGGGTACCAATTGAGAGGAATTCGACCTGGAAGATTGTTCGGTTTGCCTTCAATGCTTCTCAAATATCTACCAGGGTTTCGACGTCGAACAGCAGCGAAATGACGGCGGTGATGGCTCCAAAAATGACGAGCGCTTGAATTGGAACCTGAGTTTTCGGGTTGATCGTTGCCAACGATTTGAAGATGAGCCCGTCTTCGGCCATCGCGAAAACGCATCGCGGTAGCGCGAACATGCCGCCGACGAGGCTCGTCGTCATTCCGAAAAGCGCGCCAATCGACACGGCGTATCGCGCGAAATCGGCGCCGCGCATTGCGAACGCGTCGGAAAACGCGGCGGTCGGATGGACCTGATCATAGGGGATCATGAGGGTCAATGAGGCCGACATGAGCACGTAGGAGAGTGTGACGATCGACATCGAGGCGAATGTGGCGATCGGAATTGAGCGAGACGGATCTGAAATTGGACTATCATTGGAATCGCAATTTATTTCGTGGATACTCTTGGCTTCTTCTCCGGCCGTCGCGAGACCATCGAATCCGATGTAGGCGAAGAAGCACGAGGCGGCGCCGGCGAACATTCCCTTGACGCCGAACGGAAAGAATCGCGACACGCCGAGCTCATTGACGCCGGTCCACAGCGAAAAATCGGCAAATGTGATACCGTAGAAGACGACAATTATGACAACCTCAAAAAAAAATCAGTTGTAACGATTTTTGGCTATTTGAATTGCCGCTTTTTCCATTCAAAGCGGCAATTCAAATATTGTTATTTTTGGATTCGAACCCCCATATTTAGAAGAGTGAGGAATGAATTGAAATTGGTGGAGACTTTCGAGCCAAGAGCGACGAAGAAGGCGACAATTGTCACCAGCAGAAATGCGATGAGGTCGGGATAGTCTCCGAAAAACGATGATGTCTAAATCAAATCTAAAATCGATGAGCGAGAATTTGATCGAACCTCGCGTAAGCTTCCGATTCTCGTAATCGTCGAGTTCGACACAACATTGCCCATCAACGAGTCGAGATAGCCGGACCAACTGCGAGCGACGGCGGCCGCGCCAAGCATGTGCTCCAAAATAATGTTCCATCCGATGACGAACGCCCAAAGCTCGCCGACGCCGACGTAGGTGTAGGTGTAGGCGCTGCCCGCTTTCGGGAATCGCGATCCGAATTCGGCGTAGCACAACGCCGAGAGCAGCGAGGCGAGACCGGCGAGCAGGAACGAGACGACGATCGATGGTCCGGCGGTGTTACGCACCACCGAGCCGGTGAGCACATAGATGCCGGCGCCGATCATATGGCCGACGCCGAGTAGGGTGATGTCGATGGTGGTGAGGCATCGTCGCAACGGTGTGCTCAATTCGCCGGCCGGTATATGCTTCACGCGAAACACGCGCTCGCGCAATTTCGAGAGACGCATTGGCCGGAAAACGGAAAAGCGAAGCGGCGCGACGAAAAACTATAAAACGATAGTTATATTTTATTAGTTTTTCCATTTTGGTTCGGGTGAATATTATCGAAAAATTGGGCAAAATCGAAAGAGAAGGCGACAAAATGAGGAAACCGCGAAGAAAAACAAATCAATAGAATGTCAATGCGCGCCACTGGGCAAACAAACCAAAGAGGATATTCATTTTTCATCCGTCATTTCCGTTTCGCAAATTTATTTCTAGACGCGCAACCAAAAAAAATATAGCTATAAAAATCTTTGAACAAAAAAAATATATATAGATGAATGAAAAATTCCAATAATCGAATTTTTGGTGAAGAGAAGAAAAACGAGACGCGATGCTCTAGGCCTATCCATCCGTAAAAGGGGAGAGCGAGACGGCGAAATTTTCTCCGACACACTCTCTCTCTCTCTCTCCAGGCTTTTTCCATTTTTCTATTAATTGCAGAGCGACGACATTGTCGGAAAAAAAGCCGATTATTTTTTTATATATAAAAAAAAAATACAAAATGGTTAACAAAATGCGATTCGCTTGCAAATTTTCTCCGAGATTTGGCGTGAATTGTCATCGGCGAGGATTTGTTTGACGACCTCGTCAAGTTTTGCCTGCAAAAAAAACTTTAAAATTCTTTATGGTCCGTTGCGCCAAAGAAAATCAAATATGCTACAAGAATTGATTGCGAAGTCGTCAGACGCGTTGCGGTTCGCGTCGCGTGTTTTTATTTAATATATGAAAAAATAGTTTTCAATTTCTGAAGAAAAAAAAAAACACGGCTACCATGATTTTGTTTCAAGACACTTGGGAACGAGTAGGGCGTGCTCCTTTAAATAATATTTAGTATGAATTGAAAAATAGACATATTCCGACCCAGCCGCTCTCTTTCACAAAAATTCATTTGCGAAAACGCTGTCAGAAACAGACCTGAACCACAGTTCTGCAAATAACGCCACCGAATTTGACATGAAGCACCGTTGAGAAGAAGCTCTCGCAGAAATGAATCGCGGCTTTCTCGTTGAGAATCTGAATCCGAGACCATTATTATTTCAATATTTATTTTTGGTTTGCCCACAATTTCCCCGTCGACAAATTCGATATTGTCGGTTAGAATATCCTGGCATAGATGGCATCGATATTTTTTGAAAATCTCCTCGGTGCTTTCGGGACGCTTGAGATGATGGATCGATGTACACAAAATTGAAGAAGCTAGGAAAAGCAGGCCAATCGCGAGCATACTTTCAACAAACAAAAAGTGTTTTCATTTTTAATCAATCTCAAAACATTTGAAATTCTTATCAACTTAAAAGTGCACGACACGTGCGACGTGCAACGAGCACACTCATTTTATCAAAGAGAGGCTCGAAATTAAGTGGATCTTATTCACAAAAGACAATATTGAAATAAACGCTAAAGTCATGAGCAAGAATGAAGTGATTATCGGTAAGGCATCCATGCGGGGCTCTTCATCCGCGGCCGCCAATTATTCGGCCACGGCACAATTCACGTCCGCCGTTATTTCGAAATTTTTAAATACATTTTTTTAGGTTATTTTCATTGAATTGAGTATATTAAAAAAAAATTGAATTAGTCAAATTTTTAGATGAAATAAAAAATTGAGAAGAAATGAATTTGAAGATTTTAAATGTGCGGGCTATTTGGCACATTGAAATTCTCCAGAAAATTAAGATTTTTCACAATACGCCCCCTCAATTAAATCGAATAAAATATTTTGAGATTCATTGAGAAACTAACGTGTCTCTAAAATATTTTAAATTTTTCTCTATAAGATTTTAGAATTTATCGAGATAATTTAGAATTTGCTCAATAAATTTTAGAAAATCTTATATGATTAAAAAAAACATTTTTTAGTTTAGCGATTCTCAATAAGTTTTAGAAAGTATCAATTATTGAATATTTGATTCTTAAAATATATTATTTGATTTGGCTGAGCCATACAAATTTTTTTCGTAATGACACCAAATTAGTCGTTTTTTTAATCTCCCGCATGGATGCCTTAATTTTCGCCATTGCTCCCACCGTCGACGCCTCAAAAATTGTTGTATTCAGGATGTAAAAACGAGCAAACTTTTCGGCGTTGTAACAACACCCGACGGGAAGAAGGCAATGTCAGCTGAAGTGTGCCGAACGGACGAGGATAAAGTAATCATCCGCAAATAAGGTGACGACCAATATGACCGTCAATGACTTTCAGACGCTCGCCGAAGATGATCAGAATGATAGTAATTCGGGAAACATGGATCAGAGATTTGAGAGAATCACAGTGCCGATTCAAATGATCAAAGGCAAACGATTCGGACTCGGGATAATGCTGGTGCATCAGCGAATTATTGTGTGTAAAGTTGATGATGGTAGGAGAGAATTTTCGAAAATCGCGAGAATGTTTCCAATTTTTTTTTGATTTTCAGAATCCCTTGTCTCCGGAATCTTAAAAGTCGGCGATCAAATCACCCAAATCAATGGGGATACGGTAACCGATAAGGAGAAGTGCAGAAAGCTTCTAATCAGCAATTTACACGTAATTTTTTGCATTCCTCATGAGTTCCCAACGAAATTCGCTTGTTGACTTCAGAAGAAGGGAAAAGCTGATGTCTCATTGATTCGACCAAAAACCAATGATGCGATTTGTACAATAATGGTTAGTCTCTTTCAACGAGGCCCCCACTAGTCGAAAAATTTTGCAGGAAGAGATCCAATTGAACAAAAAGCCGAGCATAATGAAAGAGGATCTGAAAAAATGAGAATAAATGTTTGCGATTTTTGTTTTTCCAGACTGCCCTCCCAAAAAGAAAACTAATTTTTTCATTCCAATTTTCATTTATTGGGGGGCCCATTTTTGGCAAATATCAAATATTGGTTTGGAAGCGCTCGATTACGGTAATTTTCGAAACGAGACGAAAAATATTAACCTCATTTTTTTGCCTTCTTTTACGAGAAATAATGACGGCATAGTCCATCGAGAGCCAAATTAGTTTTGACACATTTTCCTTCCTATGTGTTGTGGGGTCCTCTTTAGCTTCAACTACATACACTTGTTTGGTTCGACGTTTCGCAAACCAGCGCGGTTTTATTCAGAAATGAAAGCCCAAAATTTTTGCACAAAATTCCAATTTCCCCTTCTAGCACGGTCCAAGGACCCCCCTCGTCTTTTTTTTTGTACTTCTCTTGGCTACAAAAAATTTCAGCCAATTTCCTGTTGACTTCTCGCCTCTCGATTTTTTTTTGCGCGGCTCTTTGCCGCATCCTCTCGTATGACATTTGATTTGATTGGGGGGGGGGGGAGGGCTCGAGATTTTTTTTTCGGGTGTGCTTTGCTTCACGCCTTAAGATTGCAGGCACAAAATAGAATTAGGTGTGCCATCAATTTTTGTGTGTCGCGCAGAAACAAAAAAATCGTGTGCGTGCGCCTTTTAAGGCTTCTTGCTTACCGAGCAGCGTCGGCAAGAAATTTTCCAGCCGGCCGCGGCCTCCAAAACTTGAAGCTTCTTCGCCTATATAGTTTTTTTGCCGCCTCTCAACCACTTCAAAAAAAATGAATACCAACAAATACATAATAAAATTATGAAAGCGTTTTGTGTTTTTTTTGCGGCTTTAAGTAGATTGAACAAGTTGTTTGAACTCATTTCGAGCATTTCTTTTTTCGTTTGAAGGTCCACCTAATTGGGTCTCGCGTGGAAGATGCTTTTTGAATTTTTGTGACAGGAAAAAGCTCAAAAATCTTTTTTTCTAAAATCGTAGGCCCTCGGTAAGTTTGATTCGCAGGCTATCCGGGGGTACTGTAGACTACTTCACACAGTTTAAATTCAAATTTGAACGTCCTCAAATGCTCACCGTGCTTGTTTCATTTTTTTAAAGTAAAATGCAAACCCCCAAAATTTGAGGAAGAGGTCTTGACACGAGTTGTATGCGCCTTTAACCTATCCTTTTGTTTCGCCCTTAAATCTATATATAGTCTGCGTCCCAGAAAGATTTATGGATTTCGCCTTTTGCCATATCCTTATTTTGACGTGTGTGAAATTAAAAATTATCAAAATTGGTCATTGAATTCAAAATATCCAGCGAAAGGCTCGTAAATCTACACCAGTCAATTGTTAAAAATGATATTATTTTCTTATTGAGCTTCATTCAATTATCATAGAAACCAGTTTTGTGAGTTGTGGAGCGACTTGTTTTGAGTGCATCGTTATTAATTAAACTGGTTTTAATTACCCAAGTTTGAGGTAAATTGACCTTCCCTGATGATGATCTAAAGATCGAAACGTCGGATAAAAACATTTAAACAGTGTGCAAGACATTTAAAAAGGGTCCTATCAAGATCTCTTCTACTTAACAATATCATAGAAACCCACAAAGGTTCATTTTTGATCTACTCGGTAGTAGTAAATTGCCTAATGGTTTGTGACCGGCATTCTGGAAGACGTACTCGAATTTTTTGAATTGCAAATGACGCCGTTTTTAATTCGCGTTGAATTCCCATCGACATCTCATGCATTCATTCGAACGCCATAATTTTTTTTCAAATGAATTTCTGCACAAAAAAAGCAACCTCATCATTTATTACCGAATATGAGAAGGCAATAGGAGAAACGGAATTCGGCGAAATTGAACTCGACTCAATTCCAGATCAAAAACGGCGCACATGTTTTTCTATTGGCCTAATCAGGCAGCTATTCTCGAGGTTTAACTTCTCGCCATTTTTCTCACACATTTTTTTTCTCACCAAATCACACCACCCGAAAAAAAGCAGCTAAGAAGTGGTTTTTTTCGTGATTTTTAGCTTCAACTAAAATTCAAGGTTGTCGAATTTTTATTTGCCATGATGGGATTGATTTGGGTCTCGTATGGAAGCACCCTTCGCGCAGTTTTATCATAAAAGTGCCAAAAAATTTAAAAAAGATGTCTCGGTGTGCGCCTTTAACCTATAAGCCCGTAAATCTACACTTACTTTTGTGCCAAGACCACTGCCATCGTTTTTTCCAATTTTTCGCCAATTATGAAAACGCGCGAAATTCAAATTTTTCCGTCCAATAAACGAAATTACGTATTAATTCCTTATTCAATTTCAAGTGGGCCCCGAAAAGCCGAAGTTCCCATGTGCTTAATTAATTCATTGAATCGCCATCTCAAAAAAAAAACTCGTTAATGGAATTTTGCAGCATTGATCCTTTCAGAGAATGCCCGAAGACGATGATGGTTATCTGACGGCCGATGAGTGGTGGGAGCTCAATTGCTCGATAATTCCCCCAGAATTCAATCGGTTGGTTCGCATCCATTTCAATTCCATCCGCCATTTTAAGATTGATGCTCGTCGGGGTAATCGGCGCGCTTATCGCTTCGATTTCGGTATGCTTCAACACATTCCTATTTATTGTTCTTCTAAGGTAATTTTTGATTCAATCAATAAGAAGGAAAATTTAATTTTCAGAAATCCACGTCATCGACATTCCCATCTAATTTATTTGATGTTTCTTGCGTTGGCCGACATTTTTCTATCAGGTATTTTATTAATTCAGAAAAAAAAAACGTTCTAAAGCGTTCCAGCGGCTTATATTCTCCTATTCCCAATCAATATATACATGGATTATTTCAATTCGGAATTGCTTGCCAGCGCCTGGTGGTCCTACATGAGAATTACTATCACAATTTCCCACGTTTTCATATCAATGTCTGCACTTTTGATTTGCGCCGCCGCGTTTGAAAGGTTCCAATTAAGCGAATGAAAATTGATTTGCCGATCATTTCAGATATGTGATGATCTCAAAAATAACTTGCCAGTTTGCTAGGCATCATCGTCTAATCATCTGCCTTATCTGCTTGATAGTCGCCACTGTTTCCAAAGGTCCCATGTATTTTGAAGTTGAGGTGGTGCCGAATCACAATTGCACTGGTGTCACTAGTCTAACCGCTATTCCATCCGAATTTTCCGAATCGGAGCCTTACAAAACCGCCTATAAAGTAGGTGGCGTCAATTAGAAGCCGATGACGCATCGTTGAATTCAGTACTGGTTCCGCAATTTGATCAGCATCGTCCTGCCATTTGTGATATGCTTCTATTTGAATTTCGCTATAATGCATCGCCTTCGAATTCAACACCTTGGCGCGAAATTGTTCCGATTCGCAACGTCAGAGCATCGGGTAGGTTGTCGGCCACGGCCACGTCTAAATTACCACAGGTTTTATTGAATCGCTACAAGAATCATAAAATTGTATCATATGCGCCAACATTTTTTCGCCATTTTATTTTCTCAAAAGTTTTTTGTTCTTTAACGTGGCCGCCGTCGAGGTTTGGGAACTTCGGCCGCGGCCACGCTTTCAATCAAAATGGGGATTCTTTTACAACCCATACAACGTTATAAAAGCTCAATAATGTTTAGAAAAATATTCGGGCAGCCACATTGATGCTGGTGGCGGTGACTTGCACATACCTCGCATCGAATCTTCTAAACGTCGTCGTCTATACTTGGGAGCTGATTGATAAGGATTCGCTGCTTTCTGCCAACATTCGACCCCTCTACACATTGTCGTCGGACCTTGTCTCGTTGTTCACCGTGTGTGCGAGGTTCCTGAAACAATCGCAAATTTATTTGATGCTTAAAATTCAGCGCTTGCCGCCTTCCAATATATCTTGCTTGCAACAATCGTATACGCTGTGAGGTGTTGGATTACGTGGACACTTGCGTTCTCACTCACTTTAATATCAAACCGTACAAGGTAATTCGATTGCGTTGTGGCGGACAGACGAGTTTTGGGTGTGACTATTTCATAATTTGAATTGCCGCCGAACTCTTTGCATTTTCTGACTGCTATAATGTGAAAAAAAAGCATAATTTTTGATGAATTTGAGTTATTTATGAAATCAGCGGGACCAATTAAATAAATAGAACAAGAGAAAATTTTAGTTGGGCTCAAGAAAATTGAAAATCGGTGAAGAAATCATTCGAAAAATCGCGGTCCGTAATTGCGTCTTACGCAAAATTGCACACATTAGATTTTTTGACATAAAAATTGTTTAAATAAATTTTTTCAATTTTTCCTCGAAGAAAAATGATTGATTTAGCAATTTTTCGATGTTCTATAATATTTTCGTTGAAAATTTGAAGAAAAACTTTGAAAATTGTCGAAAATTGTCGGCGAAATTCAATATTCTCAACATCGCCTGTCCACGCAATAATTAATCCCCGTTCAAAATTGTTGTGTTATGTAACGATATAGTGCATTTCATTCAGAACGTCGCCAACAATCGGTGTCGCGCAACAACCGTCCGCTATTGCGACACTGGCAGCGGCTATATGATATACGACGTAAGACCCCAATTTTTCTTCTGGCGCATTTTTTTTCGCAATATTTAATTGCCGCATTATATTCTGAACTCGACACTTCAGAATGTGCCGACGGAGAAAACTTTGAAAAGCGCTCTCGCATTGCTGGTAAATTGCAATTCCCGCATTTTTTTTCCTCATTTCGATCGGTGTAAAAATGTCGTCAACCGTTTTACCGTTTTTTTTCTTCTCTTGTCTCGTCATTAAATCTCTGGCTCGTAATTTATGTAGTACTCATGAATGTTTCTACAAATTCTTTTTTTTTAAATTTTTTCTATTCTTCGCACGTCAATTTTCAGTAGTTGGGAATCGAGTGAAATGTGCGTTGGGGCGAGAAAAAAGAGAGATGTCGTCGATATTTTCAGGCGCCTAATAAACGAGGTGAAGCTCGGATACGATCGATCGGCACCGGATTGGATCGCGTTGTGCTCTCAGTGGCCATCGGGAATTGCAAAGGCGCTCCAGGGTTGGCGGCGTTTCCATGGAAATTCCATTGTGATTTTTTTAGGTCGAAATCGCAACGAGCTCAAGTCACCAGTTTTCTCGAGGTCGACGAATAATTTAAAAAAAATATATATATATATTCTTTGAAAATATTCAAAAATTGGAGATGTTCATTTGCTGAGCGTTTTTCAATTTTTCGCAAAAAAAAATTAATTTACTGTGGCCGCGCGGATTGTGTGTAAACACCGCGACGCAAACATCACACGCAATCCATGTGGCCAAAATTTTTGCGCGAATTCATTAAAAATATCCATAGAAGACGATTGCAAAAAAAAATCCATATTATTAATAATCTATCAAATGAATATTATATAATATCATCACATTGCATAATTTTCAGAAATTGACAAGAAAATGGTATAAACTAATAATACTGACGCGACGTTTTTTTTTCTGGATTACAGGGTGTCATTTAAGTTCCCGCACAAAAGTTAGACGCCATGAAAAGCTTGGCTGTCGCACATTTCGTGCACCAATACAATTTATTTTTGTTAAATAAGGTGTATTTTACTTACTTTTCAAGTTTCACTTCATTCGGATGTGTTTCCGAGAAAAGGCGAAGGCTAACATCCATTGCGCTTCCATTATCGAACTTCATAAGCGAAATGAGCGCCCGACAGAGATCATTCAACGCCTCGGTGTGCCTCGTAGAACGGTTTATGACACCATCAAACGATTCAAGGAGCTAAATACGACCAGTGACCGTCCCAGACAAGGAAGACTCGTCTCAGTAATCACTCCTCAGAAGATCAACGCCGTCAAAACGAGGATCAGGCGAAAACCGCACAGGAGCATAAGAAAGATGGCGTCAGACATGGGAATGAGCATCTTCGCTATGGAACAAATGGTCAAAACGAAGCTTGGACTGACCCCATATCGCGTCCAAAAAGCGGCAATTCTATCGGCCGTCAACTAGCAGAGACGCTTCGAAAAAGCAAAACGACTTTTTGCTCGCACGCGGTCTGGAGAACACCTCGCCACTGTCTTCTTCGACGAGAAGCTGTTCACTGTGGAGGCGGCATTCAACTCACAAAACCATTGAGTACTTGCCCAGACATCCCAGAAAGCTTCTGAGAAAGGAAGAACAATTCATCCAGCCTCACATCCTGCCAGTGTGATGGTTTTCGGTGCCATCTGCTCAACCGGGAAGTGCCCCTGGTTTTCGTGGATCAGGTGGTGAAAGTGAACAAAGAAGTCTACGTTCGGGACATTTTGGGGAAGCATATGATGCCCTGGGCCCAAACGCATTTCGGTGGGAAGATATGGGTCTTTCAACAGGACGGAGCACCCGCCCCTACTGCCAAAACTACTCAGGAGTGGTGCCAGACCCATTTTCCCGACTTCATCAAGTCATCCGAATAGCCTGCTTGCTCCCCAGACCTGAACCCGCTTGACTTCTCCGTGATGGGGTCTTGCAGGAGAAGGTCAACGCAAAACCCCACTCAAGTGTAGAGGCTCTGAAGAAGACATTACTGGCGGAATGGGACAATCTTTCCATCGAATACCTGCGTACCACAGTCACATCCTACCCGAAGCGTCTCCGCGAAGTCATAGCTGCGAAAAGAGGCCGAATCGAAAAGAGTTAATAGATAATTATTTGTTGTACTATAGATAAAAAATATTTCGAGTCTCGTTTGATTTGGACTTTTAGTTTCAGAAATATACGTCTTCAAAGTTGTGCGGGAACTTAAATGACACCCTGTAGCTGCAAAATGGGGAAACGACGATTGGAATCACACGGTGCAAATGTGTTACATAATTAAAGCTAATTTCCAATTGTGGAATTGGGTTGGGGGCGGGGGTGGCTTCAATAGGATTGCAGGGGGGGGGTCTTTTAATGTACAATCGACTAGGCATGATCACTCAGCTACAAACAAAATGGATAAAATTGGATGGGAAGGGGGGGGGTCGAAAGAAATAAGGAACACTTTGGATATTTTTCACAACCGATTATTTTCTTATTGACAAGTGAATTTTGTTTTGTTTTTGTTGGGAGTTGGTGGCGAAGAAATCGCATATTGAAAAATTCTAACGAATCAATCCTGCCGCCGACGGTGTTGTTGATGACGGCTTGAAGCATATTTGAAGGGTCCGACTACCTAATTGGGTCCCGTTTAGCGAGACCATCGCATTGTAGGCTTCAGTGTAGCCACTCAACGATACGAACGCGTAGCCTTTGCATTTTTGCGTGCTGAAGTCGCGAATAATCTGGAAATCAAAAAAAAAAATATGGTGAAGCTCGTCAGAAAACGTCAATTCGTCAAAACTCACCTTGACACTCATCACACTACCAAACGGTGAGAATAATTGCCAGAGAAGGCTGTCGTCGGTGTCGGGGCCAAGATTGTAGACGAACAGGCAATAGCCAGCGGTGTCGGACGCCGGCAAACCGGCGGCGACTGTCGCCGAAAGCGCCGCCAACTGCGCCTGAGCCTGCACAGCGGCAGCAGTCGACGGCGGGCTGGCTGTCTGCTGAACAGCGGCCACCGCGTGCTGCTGCTGCTGTTGCTGTTGCTGCTGCTGCTGATGGGCGAGCAGCGCTGTCAAATCGGTCATCGGCGACGCCATCAAACCTCCCGGTAATCCGCCGAATCCGGCGAGCGCGTTCAACTGCGACATTTGGAGAAGCGCCGACGTCGTCAGATAATCAGCGGGAACGGCGGCGGCGGCGGCGGCCGCGGCCGCCGCCGGCTGAGCCACCGAGATCGCGCCCATCGGAGAATACCTAAACAGCGATTCAACATTTCGTTGATCTCAACGACGCTACCGATATTTCGACGTCATCGGCGTATGATGAATCGGCCCCAACGCTGATGTTCGCGGAAGCGGCGCGGCACCAAGAATGGTCGTCAGCGGCACTAAACTCGCCGCTTGCTGGACAGCTTCCAGCTCTTGGAGCACATTCTTCGCCGTGTTCGTCGCCGGATTGTTGGCGAACTTCACCGTGATCTGATCGGTGCAGCCCGCCGGTATCGTGCCGTTCAGCGTTCGAATCGCCTCATCCGCCTCATCCTTCTTATCGAAACGCACAAATCCAACGCCTTTCGAGAGGCCTAAAAAAAATGATTTTCAACAAAATTCAAATTTTCAATCTTCTTCTACCGGTCACATTATCCGAAAGAATTCTTGAGGTGATAATTTGGCCAAACGGTCGAAATATTGATTCCAGCTCGTTGAGCGTCATCGATTTCGGTATCCCCGAGACATACAAATTCGAGCCTTTGATCTGATCATTCGACGGACGCGCATAGGATACCTGCAATCGTCAAGCGTGCTGATTTGATTTTTGTTGATTAATCGATTGCCACACACATTTAGTAGTCGAAACCAAGTAAATCAACCAAAAGAGCCATTGATTTTCAACTAGGTAGAAGAGGAAACACCAACCAAATATATCAGAACTATATAGTCAATAGAGGCAAAATCATAATCAAAAAATCAAAACTAAGCCTTCACTCGGTTTCTTTCTCTCTCGATCTCTCTATAGGGGGGTTGAGTAAAATATAAGCCCTGCTTAATTCTTTGTGATTCTGTGTGTGTGTGTGTGGATGTATGGGTGTGATTCACCTTGATCGTTTTGTTCTGAAGTCTGAGCCCGTTGAACGATGTGACGGCTCGAAGAGCATCCTCCTCGCGCACGTAATTAACAAAACCGTAACCAAGGGACTGTCCTGCAAAACAACGAGAACAGCCATTTGCCGAAGAAAAAAAAATGATATAAAACAATGATTATGGAATGCTTGCAATTCGTTTCTTTTAATTTTCCAGCGAGTGATGATGATAAAAAAAAATTGAATAGCGTGGGGCCTCCCCCCACATGGAATATACATAATTTTCGATCATTTTTGCATGACAGACGAAAAATAAAAAGATGCTCACAAGAAGCCACTAGAAAAAAATTCGAATTATCGGTGATACAGAAAAACACGAACAAAGTGGTTAGGGCAACAGAAAGTCGAAAAAATAAAATAATAAATAAAAAATTAGAAAAAAAATCAAATCAAACAAGTTGTTGGTGGGACAAAATTGAGCACTACGAATCGAAAATGGAAAATCAACGATTTCCGGGGGAGAGTGGGATGCGGCGTAATTTCAATTCCAAATTCTTACCAGTCATTTTATCGCGCACCAATTTGCATGACTCGATTTCGCCGATTGATGTGAACAACGATCGGACTTCTTCTTGCGTCATCCCTTGTGGAAGATAGTTGATGATCAGGTTGGTCTTGGATTCGCCGATGTCCACATTCGGCGCCGTACAGTATCGCTGGTGATTCGTGTAGGTCGGCTGTAAAATGAAAAATTGGTCTTAAAAAGTTCAGGTCTTTCCTCCCCTTCTCACAAAAAAATTTTGCTTCTACAACAACCATCAATTTTCTTGGCAAAAATTCATATTCCAAAGTGTGAATCCCCTTGGGGCGAATGTCGACGGCGGCAGAAATAAGATGGATTTCACCGTTGCGACGAGCCATACACACACACACACATACATTCAACAGGAGCAAACACACATTCGCGTTTTTTTTCCTACCAAATATGTGGCGAAAATATAAAAAGGGACGAAAATTGAGTCAATTTTCGTGGTGCTGAAATTCGACACGGTTAGTGCAAATAAATGGCCGCAATTCACAATGGATGTATGTGTGTGTGTGTTTTGTGTTGGGTTAGTTGGTTTTCAAAAGTAGAATCCATTTACAGCGCGATGACGGATTTTCTATTAAAAAAAATATATATAGTGGACGAGAAAAATGTGGCCGTGGCCGCGGGAAAACTAGTCCCTCATAGTGTTTTTTTTCACGACTTAAAAAATTTTCCCTTTTTTTTCAAAATAAAATTTTTTTGCAGATTTTCAACAAAAAGCATATTCATCCCATAATTATGCAGTATAGCTCCGTTATTTTTCACGCCTATATAGTCATGAAATTAATTTTCTCATAGAACAATAACAATTTTCGTGTGTCAACAACAATAACAAATGCATTCTATTATTGCTTTTCGCAGTTTTTTTGAAGACATCAAAAAAAAAATCGGGGCGTCCGTGTGCACAAAAAAAATTTTTGAGAAGGCGATGAGGAAACGAACCTGTACGTGCGCGGCGGTGCTCGGCATATTATTGTTGTTCGGCGTCAACAATTTCGCTTCCATTCTAGTTGGGCTGACGCCGTCGCGTCGAGACTCGCCTGGGTTCAGAATGACTAGATCGAACGGGAACGGGCGACAAAAAGAAACCCCCCACACGCGAGACCTGCAAGAAGAGGAAAATTTGAAAAAAAAATCAATTATTCATTTTTTTTCATTGGTGTATTGTGCACCAAACCAACGCCACCATGGTTTTGGCGATTTGAAGGTTTGCCTCGACCGGAGCAGGTGGGAAAACACGAATGTGCAAATAGCGAGAGGAAACACGTACATACAATCAAACAAAACATATGGGTGGGAATTTCAGATCGATTCGACCGACGCAAATATATGTACATGGAAAAAAAATATGAAATAAAGAATTGGCGGGGCGGCGAGTGAGAGAGCAGGTGAATGAATTGAATGCGACTCAATTATAACCAGTGTGGCCGGCCCCCCCCCCCCAACAACGCACGACTGACTGACTGACCTCCGGGGGCCAGTCCGCTGCCACAATAGTGTGCCAACAATGGAGGTTCAACACCATCCGTCCAACCACCGTAATTGCTCCTTTCGAATACGGTAGAGGCATCGGGGGAGACCAAAAGACACAATACGGTTCGCGTGGAGACCGATGAGAATTCAGCGGCGGCGCGCAACTAATTGAGTTGTCAACAACCACCACCCCATCGAAAACGCGTGTAATATGCGCATAATTGGTATATTATCTGATAATTCGCATTTCGCCCAAATTCGGGTGCGCCGCGCGGCGTCATTAAAATCCGACCTTCGCCACCCAATAAACCGGATTTGTCGTCATTTAAATTGCGAGAAAATAATTTCAACCAAAAAAAATAATAATGTTGGTTTTTTTTTCGGCCTCAAAATGATTTATTGATTTTTTTTCCGGCACGCGGTGTACGCCGAAGTCAAATTCGATTCACTATGGAAACCCACCATCGAAAGAAAGCGAAAACTGCGCCCCCCGCCTAATTATAATGGATTATTAGTCTGAAATCGTAGGAAGATCGTGTCGGGCCCCCACCTCCCCCCTAGTTAATTATGGATCGTCGTTGAAGGTTGGAATCGACGCCAAGAATCGAAAGAATAAAAGTGGGCGTGGCGTGGGTCCTAGAAGAAGAAGGAGAACGAAAAAAAAACGTCTGAAGATGGGACCAACAGCAACACAAAAAAAATAGTTGTTTCTCGGCTTCTATGTGCGCTCTCGAAATAATAGTGGACCCCCATGAGCATACACATACATACATAGGACTCTCACAACGACTTCCTATCCATTATTCAATGGAAGAGTGCCTGAAGGGTGGTGGGGTGGAGTTTTTGTGGTGGTGGCGGCAATGGTGGTGTTGGTGGAAGAATTGTTGGTTTTCCTCTCTGTCTCTCTTTCTGCGCTACTCAATTCACTATTTCGTGACGTGTTTTTGTTCATGCTTTGACAGGCAGCCAAAAAAGGGAAGAGGGTGGGTGCTTTTCAAAAAAAAAAAGAAATGAGGAGAGTTTGGCTGGTTGTTCGCTCGACTTGTTACATACCAACTTTTCGCATACTAATCAACTTATTCCTCCCATTCCCCTTCTATTCCAACAGCCTTTATTGTTGTTGTGCGGTCCGCCCCTCAACAATGAATGCCACTGGTGCGGAAACGCCCCCCCCTTACCTTTTCTGTCTATTTAACTATGCCGGGGGGGGGGGTTGTGTGTGCCTTCTTTGACCCATGGCATTAATAGAAAAAAAATTTTCAAAGCGCAAAATTTTTGTGAAAATCGCGCTCGCTATGTATCTCGGGACGCTTCGCATAATTTACATAATTATACACACACATACACATACATACACTAGTCTGCACATTGCATACGACAGAATAATAATAGGAATGGGGATGACACAAGCATTGAATGAGTGAGAGAGAGAGAGAGAGAGAGAATTCCATATTGGGATTGCAAATTACGTGTCCCATTCTTTTCCAATTTTTTTTCGTTGGTCTTTTATGGAGCGAAACACCATTAAATCGAGATGAGTTGAGATGAATGGCTCACAGTCCATTAGGACGCCTGCCCCCCTTCTTCTTCCGAATATGGCAAAAAAAAGAGAAGCGAGCGGAATATTGGCCCCGGATTTCGCACGCACAATTGCACATATAAAAGAGTGGGTTGAAAAAATTGGAAAAGCGAATCGTACACCAGAAATTGCTCATTTGATTTTATGAGAAATGCGATGACTTGAAATGGATCGACAAACAATGATGGGCCGAGGATTTCGCATCGGGGGCGGGGCGGACAGGAGAAGCAAGCTTTCACGCAGCGGGCAAGAACGTATCAAATAACCCATGGTGAAGTGGAACGAAATCAGATACTTCGAAAGCCGCCTATTGATTTTTGAGGAATGAAAATGAAAACAAAACATTTTTGTTTCGCGCAAAGTCAATTAGAAGATGTTTCTCGAGATAAATGTTACAGTAGTCCGTAGAGGCGTGCTCCTCATTAGTGCGCTTTTCACAATGAGACTAATTTTCTTGGTTGGCGGAGAAGATGGAAAAGACGATGGAGGGAAAGGGTGGGCGGCGAGCAAAATTGAGGCAATTAGTTGAAGAAGCGCAAAAATAATATCGACCGCGGCAGGACTCGAACCTACAATCCCCAGATCCGAAGTCTGGTGCCTTATCCATTAGGCCACGCGGCCACGAGTGAGGCGGCCTGCAGCGGCATACATATGCCTCGCTGATTCAACCGCCCACCCCGCACATGATCATTATTTTGAACAAAAAAAAAACGGCCATGAACAAAATGAGAACAAACAATGATTAGAATAGGAGTGAAGAATGTGTAAGTGTCATTGAAGTGGGGGGCCCAAAACCTGCCCAATAAGTACCTACCTAGAGAACCTTGCAACAAATGTTCTTCCCTAAAAATCCTTCGGGCGGTTTCCTCGTCTTCCCTTTTTCTAATAATACCAAACCCATATTCTATTCAATTTTGAAATGAAAAATGAAAATCGGCACACACACGCGCTCAAATAAAAAAAACGAAGAAGAAGAAAAAAGAAAGAATGGCCAAAAAATGAGCGGAGCGTTTTCTTTTTGGAGCTTGAACAACAAACACATTAAAATATCAAGAAACGGAGCCCATTTATTTCCAAAAAATTGAAATTCAAAAAAGAAAAGAATTATATAGAACAACATTTTGTTGTTTTCAACAATTTGGTGTTGAATGCGCAATAAATGGAAGAATTCAACCAAATTAAAATAGGCCACGATCGTTGATAGGTATTATATGATATAGTTAGGCGTGTCGTTCGCCGAAAACCAGTTGGATCATTAAGAAGACGATGCAAAAATATGGCAATACATCAAATTGAATGGGATAGAATAGATCAAAACAAAAAATGGAAGGAGAGAAGCGAATTTCGACTTCAACATAGTTGATTGTCCGGTTATCAACATGACGATTTCGAATTTGGGTCGCGGACACTAATTTGGCGATACAGCAGAATTGCGATCGATTGAAATCCGGGAACAACGACATTCAATACAAAAATTTAATATCGACTCGATCTATTGTGCAAGCGAGAAGGTGGGGGGGGGGGGTCCTCCATTGTGAATAGTATATTCAAAAATGTATATAAACAATTTTCTTGGCGTCAGCTGCCCACCCACGATAATTTGTTTATATCACCATCAATAAATAAATTAATAATGCGTTGAAAGAAAATGGAAATAAGAAAAGCGGTGTGCGGAAAAAAAAAGAACTTGAAATTCGTTCGCTACCGCCGCCCTTCGTATATAGAAGCTTAACGCGTGAAATAGTGCGCGGTGGGATGGAGGTGAAGCAGGAGGGCGACGGCAACCGCAGGGAGGAGCACCAACCATCGAATTGAGCCGATCAGTTACACAAACAAAATACACCACATCAAACAATTGGTACAGAGAATGTACATTGAAAATGGCTTCATTCAACTATATACATTGCGATGTGTCAAATTGAGTATTGAAGGAATGGGAAGGGAAGCGAGAAACATTGTTAGGAAGTTCAACCAGAAACATTTGTTTGGCTAACGGCCTATTGATCAAATCAACAACGTGACTGTCGGCGAAATTCCAGCGATGCGGTTTTTGTGAAGACGTCGCTGCGAGACCCGACCTACACTTTGTATAGTTGGCGGCGCACTTTGATAATTGGTGATAATGAACAAAATATGGGACCATTTTAGTTGTTCGAAGACGACAATATCTTAATTTAAAATAATTTAAAGTATAGCGAAAAAAAATTTTTTCAACCCCATAAAAAATTCTTAAAACCATATGAATATTGCAAAAAAACTCGACTTTTGAATTTTTCGAGTTTTCTTCCCCAAAATAAAAAATTGCCCTATTGTAATTTAAAGGTGCATGCAATTAATTTTCCGAGGCTCTTAAAAGGAATGTTCTTTGAATCCTTTTATTTTTTAGATATTGATTATTATGATGAGAATTTTGGAAAAATTCAAAACTGGGGAAATCCAACTATAAATTACAGTAACGAAAATTTTGGTTTTTAATTTGCGACTATAATAGTTACATATAGAAACAGTATAATTAAGGGAGCTTGAATCTCGAGGCGATCGATTTTTCCTTCATAAAAATAGTATGATAAGCACGATGTTCGGGCGGAAGTTAAAGCATCGTCGAGCCCATTTACACAACGAAAAGCACAAGCTATACGTCCACATAATCATCAGAACTCAGGTTATTACAGCAGCGAGCCGAAAAAAAAAAACGCTTGAAACTGAGCCTGACAGACATCGCACACCGGGCGGAGAATCTCGACCGAACGTGCATGCTTCTCGCAATTGATGATAGAAGTCGAGATGAAGCGGCGAGCTCACCAACGAGCTATAGGTGTGGCCCATCACGAGAAACAAAGAAGAGATTATTGAACTTTGAGAATGGATTGAGACGAACCGAAAATGAAGAATGCCAAATGGCGACTAATTAAACCTCGAATGAGTGAATCGCCTTGAACGACAATCGGTTTGGTCGAGCGACCGTGAAATGGGCAAATGGCGGAAAAAGCGAGAAGGCAAATTTTTGTTTTACTAATTAAAATGATTTCGAAGCCTTGTCAGACAAATCTATTCCATATAAGGCATAAGGCATTGATAGGAAATCAATCGTTGTTTTGAATAATAGGCACCAAGATTTTGAAAAACATTCTGATGGTATCTTTCAGTTGAAATCGAAAATGACTCTAAAATTTTTTAATAGGCGGAGATTGCGGTTTTGGCGAAATAATGTTGGCGAGACGAATTTCGGGCAGATGTTTTGTGGCGTTGTGAAAAGAGAGAACCGGTTTTTGAAATGGCCCTAAACGAAATTAGTTGAATGACGATTTTCTTGGGAAATGCGCAAAAAAAATTACTAATACAAAACATGAAATCAAGCGCCATTTTTTTTAGCAAAAACCTTTTAAGTTTAACGATCTGAAAATTTTTAATTCGATTTGAAGAAAAATCATAAGAGACAATTTTTTTCTTAAATTTGGTACTCTAAGACTTTTCAGAAAAATACAAAAAGTGTTGTTTTCTGCTATAAGGAGCCAAAATACGCGAATATTTTTCGAGGGTATACGGTACACACTGCGGTGAATGCACACATACACGAGAGTTGACGCTCTTATTCAGAGTTTTGGTGTTTTTGTCATTGTTTTATAGTTGGAGGCTGGTTTTTGAGGTTTTGCTTGATATTCTTTGGTTATGTCCTTGTTAAACACGTTTTATAACATTTTCTAATCTAAACAAGTCGAATTTTGTTTTCGGGGACCCTATTTTTTGATTACTTTTCAAAAGAGTCATACTTTGTTGGTGAAATAATAAAGCACTTATTTTCTTTATTGAATTTTTAGGAAAAAATTAAAGCCTGATTAATTTCTAGAAAATTTCAAAATAGGCATGCATGAAGAAATTAGAGAATTGAAAAAAATAAGTTCCTAATCAAGGCATTTGTCGTGAAGAGCATTAAGTTGTTGGCGACCAGTGTAGATTTGTTCCATTATTTCCTTTGTCGATTGTTTGCAACTGGAAATAATCGAAATATTATTGAATTATTAATTATGTCCAAGAAAATGTAAGAAATCAGGTAATTTTAAATAGATGTCTGTGTCTCTTTCCACCACGTGTTCTCTATTTCTTTTGCTCTCTGCACACTCTCAATGGCATGCACTATCTTTCAGGTCAAAAATAATTCTGAAGAATTCACATCCGAATGGCAACAGAAACTCACTCCTGAGCTAATGGGCAGCATTTGGCAAGAGATGAGCACACCGAATGAAGGTCCCTGGTCTCGACGCGACAATTTTCCATGCGATTCTGTTTCGAATTGAGCGTCGCTTCGAGAACCTCGCGCGTCGTCATGCACTGTTGGCGCTAAATCACGAATAATTGTTTCAATTCAATGCCATTTTCACAGCTCAATAAATGGAAACGCGCGAATGATTCAGTTTTCATCGGCGAACACGAAAATCAACCTCAGTTTCGCTAATTGTCGATTCGGCGATGCCGGCGTCAATCATTGATTTCTGAGCGCAATCGCGAGCCAATTCCGTTCGCCTTCAACCGGAAAAAAATTGATGCATGAAAATTTCAATGCTCTTCTTGCCTCATGTGCAGAGTTGTCAGCTCAAGTTTCTTCTCCCATTTTTGAATTGCGCATTTGTGTGATTCGAGCGGCCTAACCAAATTTGGTTAAACGAGAAGAACAACAAAAACAAACCTTATCGATTTGTCAAATTCCAGACATTCGTGCTGCTTTATCTCTAATTCCTCCATACATCTTATGTAACTCGTACAAAATAGTGGTTCGGTCTGAAAAGCGGATTAGTTGGACACCGGTTGGGAGGGATGACAGGATTACTTGAACTGCTGTAATTACGATGGCCGAATAGACGAGTGTCGGCAACATTATATGTTCATGTAACAATATTCTGCAAATACCACACACATACACACAAAATCAATAATCGTTTGATCGACAAATGCAAATAGTATTTCCAAATATGGTAGGTGACACCCCGACAACCGCAACAGGAAAAAAAATGCGGTGTTTGCCCCCCAAATTGCCTAAAATTTGCTGTAGAATCTTCAATTAGGTTTTGTCTTCTTCAACAAATGTACATAATTTGCCGCAAAATTCCCATTTTTGGTGAATTGAAATTATTAGATATGTTGTAATCTGGAGCGAAGTGAATATTTGAATGTCAGAGAGGAAAAAATTGGAAATGGCGGAGGAAGGGGGAATTGGTAGGCGGAGCTTGACAATTTGCCGCCATGGTTAAGTATTAGTAGAGGAATGCTCCTTTAAATATGGTCTCATGCTGACTAGTTCGATTTATTTCAATAGTTGAAAGGCCAAAAAGGAAAAACACCAAATTAAGTATTTCTTTCCCTGGATGTTTACGGACCATTGAATAACAGTTGGAGAAAGAGTACCGTACTAGGGATAAATTGCACTCTTGAGAAACTCTTGAGAATCGCAAATTTCAGTAACAAAGACGCTCATTTCTGTTTGAGATGGTAATAAAAAAGATTGAAAAAAAAATTTGCAATACTCATCATTTTTCCGTGTGTTTTGTGAAAAGCCGAATTAAATATTTGGTACAAAACGCGACTTATGGAACAATGGGACCATGTATGCAAATGAGAGCCAAATGAGCCGGGTCTCGAGAGAATCAATTTATGGCGAGCTAAATGCGCGACGGCCATGTTTTTGGCGGCGGCCGATGTCAAGAATTAAGCGATACGTTCCAAAAATGGAAGAATGAAAGAAAAAGAAGAAAAGAAAGAAGCTTTCAACGCTATGTGATTTATTTGCTGGTGAGATGCTTCGTTTTTTTTCTTCTTCTTCTTCTCAATTGTGTGATGTGTGGGCCCAACAATTCCCAATGGAAAGGATGAGATGATGATTATGGACTTTGTTAGTAGTAATAAGTTGAGCAAGTAAACGGCATTGTCGCGAATTCAATTTTTTCTCGCTGGCATTCTAATTTATTCGGGCAACGAAAAAAAAAACAGTGGACAACAACAACAACATCAACAATACAATGAGAGATCTTCGGCGTTATTCGTGTGGTCCCTATTATTTCTGCAAATTGAATTTTGAAACTACTTTTTTTGCGAGAAAGCCTAGAAAGTGTCACCTCGGCATCCTCGGCAAGCAAATTCGGAATTCCTTGACGAATTGGAAACGAGCGGCCAGTTTCCGGGCAGACGAGCTCGCCCTCGACGATGTCAATGCAGAAGAGCACACGATGAAGCTGGAAGGTTCAGGTGGCAATCAATGATTCGATTTTGTTACCTCTTTCAAAATCTCTGGATGGTTTTCAACATCTTCCGGCAAAATTTCCGGTAGGCTCACTTCCTCGTTCAAATCCTTCAACGCTGATAGAAGGGCAGTGTAATCGCACTAGAAAAAGAAAATATACAAAATTTTCTATAATTCACCCAACCTTTTGAATGATATTGACAATGAAATCTTCATTCATCTCCACTTCATTAGTTTTCACAGTTTTGGCGACCAATTTAAGCGGATAGCCATTTTTAACCTCCTTTAAAAATCGCGAAGAGACAAAGTTATGAGTGAGAAGCTTCATCCTGAATCCGATTATAGCTTAATCAATTCGTTGGAATTGTGCAATATTAATTGGAAAATTGACCAATTTTTGAGGAAAAAATAACAAATTAAAAGTTACAAGTTCATTTTGCGCGATTTTGCACAGAATACAGTAGTATCAGTCATACAAGTTCAAAACATTTGTCGTGAGTGATAAGAAAGAAGAAAAAAAATCGTTGAGATAATTTTAGAAATATCACACGCATTTTGGAAGAAAGTGAAGAAAAAAAACAAAAAATAATAATTAGAAAAAAAACGAAAAAAAAAAACAGTACAATCGAGATTTGTGATACAAAACTGAAAATGATAAATAACAAGATAATTATGAAACAAGCAATAAGTCTTGGAATGCACCTACATGTCACCCCTTTATGGACTGTTTTGCCCAATTTTTGGCACTATCGGCGAAAGTTCGAGCATGAAATCGCGGAATCTTGACTGCTTCACTTCGACTCGCCTCGGCGTCCAATCAAGATCTTCGTGACGCGGCGTTACTTCCGATGAGCTCGATTTGTCAAGCATTTCATATTCATTATAACCTTTAAAATATTCCATTGCGATATTTTCAAATTGAAATCGCTTACTAATATGCCTATCGTTATGAAATGTTCGATTCTCGTCGTTTTCTTTGTTGTCTTCGGCGTTGTCTTCAGAATTTTCGCACTGCTCCTATAAATATTGACCGATTTAATTGAAATATGATACGCTTTTTTTGAAATACCATCGATTGCATCATACAATCGTTCAAAATAGAGATATTAATAGCAATTTGCGAGCTTTTCTGCTCATCAGGCACAATACTTTCATCATTGTTGCTCGGAACCGGCGAAAGTGAGTCGTTCTAAACAATACGAACAATATAGATGTCAATTTTTTTGAATAATGACTCACGAATCGTTGAGAATCGTCACAAGAATTCATCGAAGCATCCGCTTCCTCGTTATCATCATTGCTAGACTAAAAAATGATAAAAATCCAAAAAATAATAATTTGAAATGGGCAAATTTTACCGAGAAAAGTCTTCTTCTCATTGAAAAATTTGACGACATCGAAACATCAAAAATTTCTTCAGCATCCGCATCGTCAGAAGCTTGATGAATAAATTCATCGCCTAAAATTTTCTTCAAATCAATGTCAGCATTCGGCGGAATTGTGATCTCGGTTTGAGAGTTGCACGTTCGCATTGTTTTAATATTTCTGAATTATTAAAAATTAAATTAAATTTTAATTTAAAATTAAAAAAATACCTTTTAATTGGTCTTTGCTTTGGCGAGGATGTTGCATAAGCTGCTTTCGCTGCTTCTCGTTTTCTAACAATATTACTTAGCGATGGAGTCAATTCTTGCTTCTGTTGGGGCCTAATTGCTGATACAGTACCCTCCGGACCATAAACTATCGTGGTGGTATTTCCATTTCGATGCGGTAGGTGTACCTAAATCAGCAAAGAAATTCTATAACAGAAATTTTCTGTGAATTCCTACATATCTAGGTCCATCTGGAGACGGAATATAGCTGACGTTTTGAGACCAATAGACATTGAGAACTTCCTGAACTTTTTCTTCAAGCTCCGGCACTGGCGAATGGTAGCTCGCAGCAATTTCGTCTTCAGTAATATGCGCCGGCTTGAGGACAGCGAGCTGCTCGACACTCCATTGGAATTTTTCATCTTGTTGATTTTCCGACGAACTTGAACCTTCTTGCTGAACATTTTTTTCAAATTTAATATATTGTCGATGTCGCGCTAGAGAGATCTTAATGTGCGGTGTGCGCTATTAACTTATGAATTGGCCCGTAAATCTACTTTAGTTTTTTTGGCACTTAGCCAACTTTGAACTTTAAGAGACTTACTGAAAAAACGACCCGTGGACTAAAATTGACACACTTATGAAGTGAATTGATAATGATTGAATCGAACGGATTCAAACTATTGCTCGCAATTAACGAAGAGAGATCAGTTGCTAAAGACATTGAAGAATTGACGTTGTTTCTAGAAGGTGTCGAACAAGACGTATCATTATTTTCTCCCTCTGTAGTGCATTTCGAATCATAACCAGCATCTTCTTGCTTATTTAACTAAAAATAGAAATATTTAAATTCAAACAATAATACGAGCAAACTCTTACATCTTGAGTTTTCAGGGGTGTCTTGAAGGTAATTGTTGTTGGCGTTTTTCCTTGCTTTTTGAAAATTGGGCGTCTTGATTCTTCAGCTACAATAGGTGAAAGCTTCCATTCTAAAATATTCGCATTTTTGCCATTTTTTAACAAAAAAAAATCAAACTACCTTTTTGCTGGTTGCTACAATCATCAGAGTTTTCATTATCTAGCGCAGTACTATTTAGTTGATTCTTCGTCGTTTGGTTCGTGTCTTCACCATCGTAGAATGAAGAAACGTTTAGCTCCATGTATATATTTCTATAAAAATTATTCAACTTAAAATTTCAAGATACGAATAGGAATGCAATGATAGATGGAGATTTCTTAATGAATAGCATTTTTATAAAAAATTGATTGTGTGTAATATGTTTGCGCGGTGTCTGCACACATTGCATACCGTAGTTGCCGGAAAATTGAATTTTCGAATTTCAAACGCGATCATTTTTTTGCCTTGCATTTTATGTTTCTTTCAAATATTTTGTAATATCAACGTATTTAATAATATCTGGTTTTTTTTTCAGATTTAATGTCGGGTGGCCACAAAAAGTCAGGCAGACGTGAGTAGATTTTTTTAAAAATTAATTAGAAATAAATTTCCCATATGGTCAAATACTTTAATTTGGATTTTTAGGCGAGACCTTTCGCAGTAGAAAACGACATCCATCGAATTTTGCTCCTGGCGGAACAGAAACAGATCCTCTTAACATTGAAGTTGAAATTGCAGATGTTCTCGACCCAGTACGATTTATCGTAGTTTTTCAAAATTCATTGAGATTTTCAGAGCCGTGGTGACGCGAAAAGACGAAAGATTGAGCATGACGAACGTGAGAAACGTGCACAGGCATCGCCAGTGAAACCTGTGAGTGTTGAATAATTATAAATATGCTTCAATAAGTGATTGCAGCATCGAAAGGAGCACTCATCGCCGATTAAAGGCAAAAAGAAGGAAGAGAATAAAAAGGAGAGCTCAGCCCACGAAGAAAAATTATCCAAAAAAGAATATTTCAACAGAAAGTTGATATATTGATGTGTAATTTTTGAAAAACTTTCATAGTTTCAGATATCGCTATGGAAACTTTGACCGCTATTACGGGATTCGCCTAAATCCTGGAGAAACTGATACTCGCCTGTCAGTGTTTAAAAAGGAATGGTTCGAGAAAAAGTCGGTTTTAGATATTGGTAGGTCTAAAATTTTCGTCAATATAAAAATAAATGACTTATTGAATTCAGGCTGTAACGTCGGATTCCTAACGCTATCGATTGCAAAGAATTTCGAGCCCCGACGAATTCTGGGAATCGACATCGATGAGCATTTGATAGGTGTTGCGCGCAAAAATATCCGACATTATTGCGACTATGAAATTCCAGTACGCAATTTTCATAAATACCTTTAGCTAGAAGTGAGTTTCAGCTTCTCGGAAAGTATCCAGCATCGTTTGGTTCGCAATTTGGTCCCGTCACTCAAGAACCACGATCATTTTCAACAAAATTCCCGGATAATGTGTGGTTCCGCAAAGAGAATTACGTGCTCGACAATGAGGACGAAATTTCAATGATCGAAAATGAGTTCGACGTGATTCTCGCGTTAAGCATCACGAAATGGATTCATCTGAATTGGGGCGACGATGGAATGCGAAAGTTTCTCAAACGAGCCTATCAGCAACTTCTTCCAGGTTCAACAACTTTTTTTCTCAATTCTTTACACTTTTTGTTTATTTTCAGGGGGCAGATTGATCATTGAACCTCAGCCATTTGAAAGCTATCGAAAACGTGCTAAAATGAACGAAGAGCTCAAGTCGAATTATTCGAAAATCGAGTTTAAGCCAGAAGATTTTGAAATGTATTTACTCGAGGAGATCGGGTTCGAATCTGTCGAGCATTTGGGTGCCCCATGCGCTAAATCCAAAGGATTTGAACGATATATCGATGTATATCTGAAGCCGCTCAAGCCTGCTTCAAATTAACTAATTAATTAGTGTTTTATTTGTATCATTTTGTTTTAATTGAGGTCGAAGGGTGCTTTTAAAGTAAACATTTACATTTTACTTTTAAATCACCCTAATATTAAATGATCTCGATGGGAAAAATAAATGCGGTTTCAATCAATATATTTTTTTGTTTCAAAAACGTTGAGGTGTTTTGGAAGGTTCGAGAAAATTCGCGGTCTCGCTGCATTGCACGCTTCCTCGTCTTGCTCTGCTTCTTATTCCATGTTTTTGGTGGGTTGGGCGTACTAGTAGGCGATATGTGACCCGTTGCCGCAATTTTTCGTCGCCGTCGCTATCTCTAACGTCTCTTCTTGAAACATTGCATTCCATGTGGCATTATGTGCGCTTTTTCTCGTTTTATTATTGCTGAATTTTCGCGAAACTGGTGTTTTTATGCGAATTCAATTCAATTTTCAACAATTTAATTAAATAACATACGCAAAATGTAAACTCGTTTTGAGACATTTTTTTCACGCGCGTCATGCTCCTTTAAACGAAATCGTAACCTTTCGTTAATTCATTTTCATTTTCTCTCTCTTGCAGAACTTGGTGATTTTTACTCGTAACAACTACTAAAATGTTTGATGACGACGATTTTCCGTTTCCATTCAGAACGATGAATGCAATGGGGTAAGTGTTTTGTCCAAACTTGCTCTTAAAATAAACCAGGCCTTTTATATGAGCAAAAATAATAATTGTCTTTTGCGCTTTCAATATTTGCGTTGTGAGAGGAAGTTTTTTATCGCTCAAATACAAATCATTTGATCATTGACATTGAATTTTTGGCGAAAATTATCAGCTGACGTGTTCTGCAATATGATAAGCAAAAAATTGAAATAGAATAGCACTTTCGAGAATTTTCTTTTTCGCACTACAAAAGTATTGAATTTTAGACAAATGCATCGTCAAATGATGCAAGATATGGATATGATGATGGAGGGAATGCTCGGCAGATCAATGGGTTCTCCATTCGGCGCGTTCCCACGCCTCACCCCATTCGGATTTGGCGGAAATCCATTCGGAGCGATTACCGACGGATCGGGACATCGACCATCAAACCGCCGTCAAGAATTGGAAATGGATCCGTTCTCAGGCTTCGGCGGACTTCTCGGAGCCATGGTAGCCCAATATTGAAGCGCTCTGTTCAATTGGATGATTAATTTCAGGCAAATGGCGGACTTCCTGCATCAGGAAGTAATATGTTTGTACACTCTACGGTTATGACAATGGGTCCTGATGGTAAACCGTGTGTTGAACAGAAAACGGTTAGAAAATCTGGAGATGTCACAGAAACCAAAAGGTGAAGGTTATTTTCAATGAATCATTTATCATTTTTTAATTTTTCCAGGAAAGTTGAGCGGGATGGCGAATCAACTATAACCATTGGGCATACGATCGGTGATCGTCAGCATATTATCGAGAAGAAGCGTGACAAGGATGGAAATGTCCGAAAACAGCAAAAATTCAGAAATCTTGACGAAGGTTTCATAGAATTCTCTATTCGTATTAACCTTGTTTTAATTTCAGAACAAGCCGAAGAATTTGACCGCGAATTCGCCACCAGAATCCGATCAAATAATGGATATTCATCAAGGTAATTATAGTCAAATTCAATTTTTCGATGATATTTACATTAATTGAATTCTAGACTTCCAAATAGCTCGGCAATTGAATTCGGCTCACGCTCTCATCACGCTCCAGCGCCACGAGCTTCCGGCAGCGGTGCTCCAATCATCACACTTCCGGAAGAGGAAGAAGGCCCAGAAGTCGGTCATTCATCGTATTCTCGCCGAAACAATGATGGTCCAGTGATTCGCGAGATCAGCGACGAGGAAGCGGAACAATCAATTCCAAAACGCCGTCGCGGATTGTTCGGCGGTTTCCGTGCCGAATAATTTATTAATTCCAATCACTACGCTTTTGATATGTCAAATTTGCTTTTTCATTGAAAATGTGTGACCTCTTCGATTTTCGCGTGTTAGTGAAGCTAGAAGCACTTACCAAACCTTATTTAGTCGATGCGAAATTTCTCAATCAACATATTTTATAATTTTTTGTCGCATCGGCTACCTTGGCTATACTGTAAATTTGTTGTCTGAGGTCGCAGAAAACAATAAACACTGTATGTATAATTAACAACAAAAATATAACAACAACAACAACAACAGCTAAATCGAGTCAATCATCATTATCACTCCAATTCTCCAAATCGGCGAATTTGTCGGGAAGAGAAGCATCCGCTTTCTTGGCAGCCGCTCCAATCTTGGCTCGCTTTCGCTTCTGCTTCGGCACTTGATGTTTTTCTTCAAGCGACTCAACATCTTCCTCATCATCCGCTTTTCGCTTCTTGTTCTTCTTTTCCTCCTTCTCTTTCTTCTCAGCGGCGTTCTGCAACAATTATCATAAATTTGGATAATTGCCGATGGCGGATAGTAATTACCTTGTTCATAAGAGTTTCCTGCTTCGCCTTCCACACCTTTTCCCATTGCCTATAGTATAATTTGATGGGAGAATCCGGGTTGTTCAACTCGAATCGGACAGCAAGCTGAAATTCGATTAAAATTATTTTCTTCTTTTTTTTTTAATTCAAATCAAACGCACCACTTGCATTTCATCATTCACGCGAACATCCTTCCTGGCCAAAACTTCAAGAACAAATTTCGAATGCTCCGTGATTTTCGCGATGAGACCCTTGAACAGATGAGCATAGTCGCCATTTTTGATTTCCGCGAGCAAGCTATTCACCTAAACATACGGAATTTCGACAGCTAACTTCTGATACTGCGACATACGCGATGTGTGAAAGGAAGAACGACGTCTGGGAATGCGGCTTGACTCGCCAGTAGATGTGCCGATTGCATCATCACACGGAACACACTTTCCGCTGTGATTTTGCGCCATTGCGGCAAATTCGAGTATTGCGACGAGATTTTCAGCGTGCATTCAATATCCGGCAATTTCACAACGCCTTTCGAATGCTCGGGCTTTTTTCGCAGCTCTCTGCAAAGCTCGTCGAGCACCTAAAAGAGAGGCGAACTTCGCGCTGGCATATATCGGCCGACTCACGTCACACGATAGTTGAAGAATTGGAATATAATTGGTGCAACTCGCTTGGAGTTGAATAAGCAGCTGACAGCAATGGATACGAAGTGGCAAAAACGTTGGAGCATTGCACAAACTGAAATTTTTGCAGGTAAATGACTTGCAACAAAAAATATTCTTCGGGAAAATTACCGAAAAATTCCAATAATAATCTGAATCAGCGGGTAGACGAGCTCTCCAATCGCTTCAGCGCCATTCACCGAATGTGCTTTTGCAATAACCCGAACCCAGATGTACATGCATTGCATCATTTGCCAATTATAAATGGAAAACACCAAATCCTGAAAAAATCAATGAAAATCGGAGAATCAAGTTTTCGTTTTCAGCAGCTTCGGTTCGTTTTTAAAATTTTCGCGCAGACCCCCGAACCCACTTTTCTTCCTTTCGCAATCATCGCATTTCGCAAATGAACTCCTGTCTGACGGATATACACAAACGCATATTTGTAAGCTTGATCGGGATACTGAATTGTCAACTCCGCAAACGTTCTGAAACAGCAAAATATATTTTAAAAGGACAAAAAAAAACGGTCTCAAGTAATAATCACCTATGCATAAATTGTAGAAGTGGCCACGTTTCGTTGGTGACAACCTTAGAATTCGCAACAAACGCCACATAAGCTGCCTGAAAAAAAAAGAATATTTTTAATATTCTAAATAATAACCTTATAAAGCATAACAAAATGTTGCGGATAATTTTGAACCATCAAATTCATGCAAACATAAGCGGCAACTCGGCATTCAAGCGTTTTTCGACTCCAAATTCGAGTTGTCGCCTGAAAAAAAAAAAACATTTCATTCAAAAACAAGAATATATTAGATACTTTGACGAAAAGTTTTGCCATTTTTGTGAAATTCGCATAAAAATCGATAAGCCGAGTGATTGCCTTCAGCGTCGAAATGATCACTTCATTCGTTTGAACCTCGTTCAAAAACTGCAAAAAAATCGAATTCAATTCTTTGTTTCTGCTCAATTATTTCAAAAATCGCATACCACAATTACAGCATGCAAATATGTCCTAATATATCCTTGATATTTCCGCAACGCGCTTTTCGAAAAAATCGTCTTCTTTTCAACTTTCTGCATAAAAATCTTAGTTATTAAACAAAAACTAATTGTTGAACCTTGGCTTTCAGCAACTTATTGAATGCATCGGGCATTGTTTGAAAGCAAAGACGAACGACTGCTTCGAAAATTGTCTGAAAATCCAGAATATTTTCAATTAAGCAGAATTTTTGAACACCTGCTCGTTGATAACATATTTTGGGGCTTCAATGTCGGCTCCAACTCGCGCCACACAAGCAACGAACACGTCGATAGCCATTCGGATGTCCGATGAGGTGATCTTCACATTCTCATCAGCAGGATCGAGGACTTGTTGAAGATATGCGTAAACTCTCGAATCAACAATAAACCTTCCCGATGCCGAATCGACTTTTGCCTTGACCACTAAAAATTAATTAGTAAATTAAAAACCCAAATAAGTTTTATTTTAATTCTACTTTTCTTCACATTTTTTGCTTCATCCTCCTCGTCAAGCTCCTCTTCCTCCTCATCACTTTGTTCCCCATCATCACTTTCATCATCATCATCATCGTCGTCGTCATCCAATTGCAGTAAATCGGCATCTTCCTGCTGAAGGAATTTGAAGAATTCCGGATCCGTTTCTTTAAGCCTTAAAACCAACAGTTCATTCTATTTCCAGCGTCAATCTCTCTCACTTTTCAAGATCTAATTTATGTTTTTTCATATTCTGCGGCGCGACTTCTTCATCGTCAGACGATTCGCCCTCCTTCGAATCTATAAAAAAAAATAAACTTCGATTTTGATTTCAGCAGTTCCCCCGAAATACCATTACTTAATTTCGACAATTGTGCTTCATCTTTTTGCTCAACAATTTTTTTCGACAATTTTTTGGACGAACGCACTTTTGTCGTAGAACTCATCCTGCAAATAGAAAAAAATTGAGGATTTCGGCATAAAAATAGTGAAAGCGACACGCACTGTTTCTTTTCGAGGTCATCTTCAATACCAGCACATTTCGCTTAAACTTTTTTTTCTATAATCTCAAATACAAAAAATTTGAAGACACACATTCTTAAAAATAATCAAACGAGTGCAAGACACCTAAAAAAACTATTTTTCCATCATTAAGCTTCAAATTTTTGTGTTGAATCAAAATTTTCTAAAAAAAAAGTGTTCATATACACCATATTAATGCCGTCAGCGCGTTTTATCAGACATTCCTACACTATTCCATCTCCTTTAAACCTTGAAATCTATTCAAGGTTGTAGGACACAAGACTACAAAGTTTCGCGAACTGGTTTCCCTTATAAGCTACAAATTACAAATTGTGTTATCTTATATAAACCTAGGAAAAAATCAGTTTTTCTGCGATTCCTGAGAAAAAATTTTAAATTTCTCAAACGGTCGTTCAAACCGGAAAACCAAATCCGCCTCGCGCAAAACTCGCTTTTTTCACTTTTCAATCGTTGAGCGCGATTTTCGGCGGCGTCTCCCCTCTCACGCCGACAAAACCATTCTCATATCTTCATCTCTCTTTATTTTCCTCAGTATGTATAACTATCTCAACTGATATCGATGAATTAAAAGTGCAATTTCGTTTCAGATGATAACTCTTTCGTATGCGGCTCACACGATTCTCTCAATATCACTTCACATTCTTGGAATCCTAATGGGCCTATTCGTCTGGTATTTGTTCCCAAAATATGTAAGTCATAAAACAAAAAAATGACGACGTCGATTTCAATTTTTCATATCTCTAGGTGCGAACTTGAACGAGGAATGCTCAGATTTTGTGCAAAATTTTCAAAATTTGCAGCCGACACGAACAATTATGCAATTACCCAGCGAACGCGTCGCCATTCACATTTCACCGCCAACCGTTCATGAAGAAGTCGTTCATGAAAAACTTATCGATATTGATGAGCCCGAGCAGCAAATTCGACAATTTGGTTGAAAACCGCTCAACAACAAAGAAAAACTACAACGGGATGCGTGCAATTTTTCAAAAACCTCGGGCGTAACTTATTAATAAATTATTTTCATTTTTTATAATTATTAAATTCCAAGAAAGAAATATCGAGAAAATATAAAAACTGCAAAAAACAGTTTTTTTTTCAAATATGAATCAATAAAGAAGTAAATAGCTTCATAGATAATTTATTGAATAATAAAAATAATATGTATCAACCGGCGGACCCTTTTGCTAGCCGAATAAGCTCATCCAATCCAATCGGTCTCCAGACGAAGTTCACCGGATCCATCACGAACACCATTCCGACATCGATGTATATCGAAACGGCACCGAACCAGAACACTTGTCTTCCGTCTTTTAGACGTCCCACTTGCGGATGATACGTGAACCCATTTCTCGCCGCTGTCATTTCAATCGCATCCTTCAGCGATAATTGACTATTGGCTGTTGGCATCGGCCGCGGAATATGTTGGGGCATCGTTGGCTGATGAGTTTGAAGAGGCGGCAGATTCCCGACACGAACGCCTTGCATTGATTGTCCGATGGCGATGAGGCAGCGACGTAGGCTTTCTGCAAATAAAATTGACATTTTTGACAGTAACCGTTAAAATTATACCATTAATCATTGGGAAATTCGTAAGTTGTACTGGAATTCGATTCTTCCATTCGCCATACCACATTTTGACTTCCTGAATATTGACACCAGGTGAGTCGAGCCATTGACACAAAATTCGGTACATCTGAATTGAAAAAAATATTATTATTATTCCGACTTTCAAACAATTCCTACCCTTGGGAAAAAGCTTTTCGCCACAATATTCGCAATTGCGTCGGGATGGATCAATTCAAGCCAATCCATCACAGCGATCCATTCATCGTATTCGGGATTAACCCTCGGATCAAGTTCCATCTCTTCAAGTGTTGTCGACAACTAAAATATATGCCATTTTTCTAGACGTTATAATAGTTTCCTCTACCTTGGGAACAATATTCTGCGCCAAGAACGCTGTAAACGTTCCTTTAGCCCACACATTCTTCCACGGCCGCAAAATTCCGATTGCGCTTCGATCCTTCGGATCCCACAATTTCAACGCCTTCTGGAGTTTCTGCCGAATCGGCGGCATCACTGCTTGAATCCGATCACCTAGAATGACAAGCCACGGGACGAGCCATGAGTGAATCGGCACAGGATCGCTCGTCGGATCCCAGTTGCTGACGCGATCGCTGATCCTTGGCACTATGAGCTGCTCCAAGATGTTTTCCTTGATCCAAATTGGCAAAATTGTCATCCAAGTCTCGATGAGCTCGATCATTTGATTCATTTCATCTCTCGGATTCCATGTAAGGGTAGCACGCCGCAAAGCCGGTAGCCATCCATCCCAAATTAGGCGATCAAACGCGGGAATCTCGTCCGAATTATTCCGATTCATGCCAAACGTTGATTTGTCATTCCCAATAATCGTCTTCCATTCTTTCATCAATTCAACACCATAAATAACATGGTCCGGATCGAGAGGTTTCCATTTTGAAAAATATTGACTAATCTGAATATCTCAAATTGATTGTTTTTATAATTTGAGTGAAATTCTACCAATGGAAGAACACATGGAATGGCGACCGATTCTAATTGGTACATTCGATATTCTTGCGGAAATTCGTCGCGAAGCTTCAAAAACAATTCTTGACATTCGTTCATCGTCGGAGAGGACTTCGCAGTGAACCTATAATTTCGAATTTCCGGAAAATCTTGCACAGAAAATGAGACGAATAATTACCCATCAATTAGATCGTAAACTTTTTTCATACGACTTGCTTCTTCCTCCTCGTCTTTTAGAGCTTTTTCAATTTGTTTCATGTCATATTCTAGTGCAGTTGATTGGTCCTAAACCCTAATGCTCAATTAATTCCTTCAAAAATTGGGCCAAACCTTTAAGGTAATTAATTGATGATTATTCCTTCGAATGCCTTCTTCGGTGAGATCAACGAGCAAGTTCAAATTGTGCAAAAGTTCCGGCACATCAAATACTTCCCTTTTTTCCGTGTCAATTTCATATTCCGATTTGGTTTTCATCGAAAACGAATCATAGCCGGAGTAAACTTTCTGCTGGGGCCCCGTCATATCAATAACTTTGGTTTGCGCATGGGTACTTGATGCTCGATAGCCGGACCCACTATCGTTTTCTTCTAAAACATCTTCAATGGTCCTGTAGCGAGTTTTGACCTAAAATTAAGTCTTATTTCATGTTTTTAAGTCGCTTAAAGTACCTTTTGCGATTTTTTCCATCCACCTTTCGTTGTAGTCTGCGAAGTTTCCCCAACCTCATCATTATCAATATTCGATGAGGATTGAGCATTCCTCTTCTGAGCATCGGCCGCAGATTCCCCGAACTTCGGCCCAGTCATTTCTTTTCCATACGCGCCAACCGCACCACGGCCTTTTCGCACAGCGGCTTGCACCGGCTCAATAATTCCCTGGCCCGATGAGCCGAGACCTTCGCCAGCTTTGTAACCCATCGACTGCATCATCTTCATAACAACACTTCCTTTTCCGTGCTTGAGCCAATCGCCAAACTTTGCGGGATCCGTTGCACCAGATGTCGTCGAGGTTCTCATACCAGCGAATACTTGCGCACCAGCCTCCTTTTGCGCTTTTTTTGTTCTTCTATTAAAGTCGATCTGAATCACTTCTTCCTCAGGCTCTCTTTTCGATGAATATTCGCCAGCGGCTAATGATTCAGGATCATCTTTATCAATCTTGGAGCCTTGTTGAATTCCGCCGCTAACAAACCCAACAGGAGCTGTATATTTTCCCTTTTTCCTACGAAAAATAGCAATAATTTCAAATAATTGAAAATGTTTTATTAAATACCTGTATGGCGCTTTAGAGTCTTCATCGTCACTATCCTCTTGTGCCCAGACACCTAAAAACCCAAATAAACTACTCGTTTAATAATTTTTCGCGCTAAATTTTTGAGTGATTTTGAAATGCATCCATTTTGCCGCCGATATTTTTAATTAACAAATCTCACCCCACCATAAGTTGCTTGTTCCTTTGATTGAAAATGCCGTCTGCCAGGATTCATAGCATACTCAAAATCCGTATCATTAATTTCAAAAGACTCGTGACCTTCATCGTCGTCCATCTGAAAAAAAATGCGTTATTTTCATTGTATTGAACCAACAAACGAGCGCTGATGACGCTTTACACTATCCACGTGGGCACATGTTCCAATCGTTGAGCTTTTTCTCAATCTCTATTATTTTAACTACAATATATTGTTGATGTCTCGAAATTTCCGGGTTTTCGATTTTTTAACACATTTTTGAGCGGTCTCTCATGGAATTTTAATCGCTTTCCTATTTACTATATAATAATGCAGACATTAAAAAAATAAATTGTAGAGTTTTCTTTGTAAATGTGTAGAAATGAGCTCGAAAATATAACGGCAAAGTCATCGGGCGAAACAAGGGTCTTCCATGATCGGTGAAACATTTTTGCCAAATTTTGAAAGTAACAAAAATAGGAAAAAACAGCAAAAATAATGAAAAAAAAAAAGATATTTTCTCTCAAATCGATAAAACAGTGAAACTTACTTGTTTCATCCGATGCGTTGCCGAGATATGAATTTTTACTTTTGTTTAAAATTGCCCTAAAAGTCTCACACGCTCAAAATATTTATGAAAACTTTCTTTTAAATAATTTTTGTATTATTTTTCATTAATTGTTAATTAGAATTAAGCGTAATATAAAAAAATATAAACAAAAATGAAAAAATAAATTGGCAAATTAAAAAATTCGAAATATGTTGCAACGTTGCTCCACTGCTAAGTATAGGGCAATCCATGCGCGCGAGTTCAAATCTTCACTTTTTATAATTCAGATGTTGCATCGGATTCTCATTGTTTCTACTTTGTTTACTATCGTCTTTTCAAATTCCACACAACCTAACGCATTATGGAATTTGGAACGAGTTTCAGAATGTGAACTTCATTATAGCGCTTTGGTAATCTAAACAATTTCATTGAAAAGTTTATTCACGTCAGATTTCAGGTTTACAATAATTATGGTTGCTGGTGTGGAGTAGGTGGTTCACATGAGCCTGTTGATGGAATTGACAAGTATGATCTAAATTATATTTAAATATTTTAAAAATGTAATTAAAGATGTTGCATGCTTCATGACAAATGCTACGATGCCGCAGTGGATAAGAAGATCTGCTACGATGTGGAGATTGAGTACGTTGATGACTACAAATGGACATGCTCGAACTCAAAAGCATTCTGTGCAGGTAATTCAGAAGTCATCGATTAACGGTTTGATGGAATATTCAGCATCAAACACTGGGTGTAAAGCTGCTCTTTGCGATTGCGATGTTAAAGTTGTGAATTGTTGGGCTCAATACGAGAAACCGGAAAGGAAAAAACACTGCAACGCAATAAGAATGGTTGATTCCACATCACATTTTCAGCATTAAATGCTTAATTTTTATTTCAAGGGAAGAATAAATATATCATGATCGAAGTTGAAAGTTAAGCCAATTTCTTGTAATATGTCATCGGCGGTCTGGCCTCCAGCGAAATTGTCGGCATGTATGAATGGTAAAAAAGTTTCTAAAAAATTTAATTGAAAAAGTCAGATTTTGAAAAACGAACTTCTTCATGCACTGGTTTATCCAGCGACTTCATTGGTCCAATTTCACCATCATGTGAAAGTTGGATTGCATTAGTATTTTTAGGCAAATTCTGTTAAATAAAATAGTTAAATAATGGTATATTTCTTCAATTCACCTCTTTAGAATCCTCGATGATTTCTTTTTGCTCTTGGCTATCTGGTATTTCTATATGGGTTTGATAATCGCTTTCTCCTTCTGTGTTCTTCACAGAATAGTGAATGTAAGCTTTTTTGGTGAAATGCGGAACATGCTCAACTTCTGGATGTCGGTGATGATTCTCTTGGGCGTCACCGGCAGAATACGTCGGGTCCGGATTACTGGCGATTGCGAAACAAGATGTCTCCGATAATTCGACAAACATTCGTTTTTCCGCGTGAATCTCGGACACCGCTGTTGGAGGCTGCATTTCGTAAGCGTCATAGTACGTTGGAACTTCAATCGGCGATTTTTGAAGCTCCTGCTGATAGTTCTCCTTGTGAATAATGTAGTGGTTTCCATTTGGATCCTTTTCAATATTCTCTTTTGCTTCTTCAGGAAAATAGTCGTCGGACTTCAGCGATTCTTGTCGTCGATCAATATCTTCCATTGGTGGTGAATCATATTTGACGTCAATCTTTTTATAATGCCCATCATTTACCTCCGGATGTTTGAATAGCTGAAATTCCTAAAATTATCATACTAATATGAAATTGAACAAGAAATTTCTTACAACTTCATATGTCAGTGGGGTTCGATTAGGCTGATTCAATGTGGCATAGTGATTCTGGTCATCGGGAGCTTCTTTAAACGCATCAATAATTGTCTAGAAAAAATAAAAGCTTGGAAAATTTGAATCAAAATCGAATTCCAAACCTCTCGGCCTTCTCGTGTGTGCCGTCTCCACGTCATCAATTCTCTTTCTCGCTCCTGAAGTCGTTGATTCCGAATTCTTTCGCGCAATTCCTCCTCTTCTCTCTGTTGAAATTCATTGATTTCATATGTTTTAAACTAAAGCATGCAAAAATGAAAATAGGACTATTTGGTGGAATGTTACCTCTGATTGCGTCTCCTTGCTGATACGTCGGACTCCTCGCACCGGGCCTTTTTCGTCATAATCGCCATCCTTCAAATCGTAACTTTGACTTTGTCCCATATCTAAATATTAAAAGAGGGTTAATATTGGCCAACTGGTAAAGAACAAAATGCAAAGTGATCGTCGATACTGTTTTATCTATACAAATAATCGGGCGCAAGCGATTTAAGATAGAAAAAAAACCGCGGAATATGCATACATTTATGTGGGAAATATGGGTGTTTTTGTTATGTTGAGGCACTGACGTACTGCGCATATTTGTGCTGTCTGAATATATATATATATATTGTGTGATAAAACATTTTGAGAGCAAACAGTTATGCATGTATGTGCGCTCGTGATTAAGCTCGCATAGTCGTCAAACGAGCGAAATTCAGTCACGTCGGTTTTCGAACCCCCACGCTTCAATTTAGAGAAAAAAAGTGATGAAAATGAAAATTGGGAATCTAGAAAATGTAGAAAATCGTACAGCGAAAAACGGAGAAAATCGACGTCGTAAAAAAAATGTTAATACGTTTCTGTTTACATTGGACATTATTTTGCACGATTCGTGGACGTTTCAAGAAAAATTGTACAGCGAATTGAAATCAATACAATATTCACATTATTCCTCGACTTTTTTTTGTGGAGTGACATGGAACAATAAAAATTTGAAATGTCAATATTGAAGAGGCGAGTGAGAATGATTCTGATATGCAAAAAAATAGTTTTAAAACTTCTTATTTCTTATCATAAACTTAAATTTCGAAATGCGCTTGAAAAACTCTGAGTCAGCACCATCACCGGAACTATACAGTGTGTTTACATGTTTATTTGGTTTCCATTATTTATTCAAAGAATGAGCAAAAAAATTGAACCCGATAAAACATACATAAATAAAAACCAATTCAAAGTTTCAATTTTCCAATGGAATGACTATCAAAGCTGCCAATGTAAAGGTTGTTTTTGTATTCGGTTACCTAAAATTCCAATTTTTCAACATATAATTTGACTTTTGCGCTTACTTGTGATACATCGACAATTTTTCCAGATTTATCATGAAGCGATTGAATAATGTTCCCATTTTTGTCTAATTCGATGATAATTGCATGTGATCGTTTGAACGCGCCGCTAATGACGCCCCAAAGTTTCGCAGGAATCACCTAAAATTTGACAAAAATAAAATTTTTAAATTGGAAAATTTTGAATTACGTCAATGAGGAACTGCCGAATTCCCGGATACGCTCCTAGAAGATCAACGATTGATGGGGCTTCAGAGTGCCGAACGGCTGGAACGAATTTTGATTGATTTTTTTTTTGAGATTTCAAAATTTACCAGCAAGACCGACCCAGAACGTCCCTCTTTCAGTCATTCGGATATTGTCGGGCATTCCTGGAAGATTCGCAGCGAACATTTCAGCCTTCTTCGATTCCAAATTCAGTTTTTTGATTCTCGCGTAGCTGCATTCGGCGAAAAGAAGCGACTTTTTATCAGGCAACAATTGAATTCCATTGGGGAAGTACAACTTGTCGATAAGAACTGTTGCGGTTTTAGTCGAAATTTTATAGTGAATAATTCTAGAAACATTTGAAATTATTTTTTGTTTGTTATAGATTCATAATTACCTTCCATCACTCTTATGCTCCAGAATAGCTTCCATGAAATGACGGCGATCGTGACGAGTTGAGCTGTCGGACACCACAAACTCATCCTCGTTGATGATGTCTAAGTCGTTCAAGAACTTTGGGGTTATTCCGTTAATTTTAATTTTCGAACTGAATATTTCTTCATGCTTCGCTGAAATGCCGATAGCTGATAGAGAACAACTCTTACGCAAAATCTCACGATTTTTTTCATCATTGAAATCTATAAGATATACACCCAAATAAGCATCAGCGACAAGGAATTTCAGAGATTTTGAAGAAAGTTGACGAATGCCCAATGGTCGACCGCATGTTGGCTCAGCGTCAAAATTTCCTTCAACAGTTTTTTTTTCGGGAAAATAAAAATATAACATTTTCTTTATACCACAATCTCTGAAGAATTGCGCACGCTCGGAATAAGAAACACTTGCGATAATCTCACCATCGACGATTTTCACAACTCGAGCATCATAAAGGGAAGCATAAATTGCATCTAAAAAATTATTTTAGATTTGATTTGGATTCTACAACTACCATCCACTATTGCCATTGATTCAGGTCCCACAATTTTATTCTCCAAGATTAATGATGCCTTTGACAGTTTTTCGTTGAGTTTGAGGGCTCCTATCAGAGCTGGGGCTGGATCTAGCCTATCAATTAAATGATTGTTGAAATATCATTTCAAAAAATCACCTGTATTTTCGAGCATTTAATTTATTTTCATCGCTGTATATGAAGTGAAGCATCAACCATGATACAACTAGCCCCCTAAACGAGATTCAGTCTTTCATAACACTTTTTAAAACTTACAAAAAACCAAAAAAGAACAGTTTGCCCATCATCTTACACATTAACCATGAGTTCGATCAAATGAAAATGTTCAAATTGACCCCAAAAAATAAATCAGGGTTAGTGGACGCAATTTGTCGTACGGTTCGGCGTATACACAAAAAATTCATTATCGCCTCTGGGGGAGCGGGTTGTCGAGTCATTGGAAATTGACGGAGATACCAGTTTTCCACACGAATTGATCGATGAATTGAATGTTCGCCTTATTAATTTGTTGGTGAAACAATCGACAAACTGGTATGCAGAATATGAATTATCGAATTATAAAAAATAAAAAGGCTTAATTTAAGCTTTTGAAGACCACCGATTTTTCCATTGTTTTTCGATTCCAGAATTTAATATTTGACAATATTGTTATCATTCATGAATTCTATGACGTATTTCTACTTAAGAACATTGAAAAAAAATTATGATTGCCTTATCTTTGGAATTAATAAAACAGCCATGCTTTTTTTCGATAAATTCATTTTTTAACTTTCAACTTGGACAGCTAATTTCTTCAATAATATTGCCAAAAAATGAACGGTTCCAGTTGCCAAAAAAGGTAGAGGTCATGTTGATCAATCGGCCGGCGCAAAAGATAAAAAGTTCAAGAAAACCCGACACTATCTAATCACTTTATCATATGGTTTTATTACTAGATGGTTTACCGAAATTCTTCCTTCAAACAATACATTTGTTTGCTTATAGAGTGCAACCTAGTGTTTATTTAAAAAGTAAATATATAACATTTTTCGAGGTTTTGGAATTTTGGAAATACAGGTCACTGATAAATCATAATGTCCATGATTATTGCCGAAAAATCCGCATTATCATATCAATAGTCGATTCGGCCAACTATCATCAATGCTATCAATGTTTTTATTTCACAGTTTATCGTCACTTACTTACTGTCTCTTATCACTATTCGTTTATCATATTACAAAACAGTATTCAATTTGTCAACACATTGATTTTCTTCGGCAATCTTATTCATTCAATAACTTAGTAATAAACCTGTCGTCGAAAAAAAAAATGAAAAAAAATATTAATTTTCAATTTTTTTTTTCACAACGGAATCTTCGTATTTTTTTAATCACATCTGTTGTCCTCATATCTCTGCTCCGGGTCCTTCTCAATTGATTTCCGCATTGCTCTCTGCTGTTTCATTGAAATGCCCTCTGTTTCGATTTTTTGACGTATCGAAATCGAACAAGAACTTTATATCACTTTTTCCCCGTCTTAAAAAAAAAGAATTTTCTCAATTTTTAGGAAAATGTCAACCGAAGAACCAAAACAACACAAGTTGCGTGAGCCTTTCGGCAAAAATCGGGACGATCCTTTAACGGAAGATAATCTCAAAACCGATCTTTCTCATGTGCTCACAATGATGGCCATCGATTTTCCCAGCGATGGGACCCTTCAAGACTTGTTGAGCATCTCATTGGAGCCCTTGATGAGCGCGTGGAAGAAGAGGGACTCGAAATCGGAAATCGCTTTCAAAGTGCCAAAAAGAGACATTGCATTTTCAAATAAAATTTTTTTAGGGCCTTCTTTTGATTCTTGAGTACTGCCTTAGCCACATCTTTGTTGGACATGAGAGCTTTGAAATATTTGTATCATCACTCGGCTATAGTACGGTACAATTTTGGAGGGCCTCGATAAGCTACGTGTTCGATTCGGACCTCTCATATGGCACAAAATTTCGAGACGCTCTACTATTTTCGCTGACGTTGTATGATGTCAATACGGGAAAAAATCGATTGAGGTAGGAGTCAAAAATTGAATTTAAAATACAAATGAATTGCAGAGAATTGTACGCGGCGGTTCCGGGCATCCGAAAATCGTTGCTGGGCGTTCATGCGAAACAATTCAGCGAGCGCTACCATCATTTACAGAAGAAGCTATCGCGTTACGGGTCACATTCATCGCTGTGCAGCAATTCAAGCAACGAGAGCGATTTAGAAGAAGGTAGCGTTGAACAAAATGAATCTAGATCGGCGAAGAATCATATTTTCAGGATATGGGGTGCCGAGGAGGCTCTCGAATAGCGGCGACGAGTCGGAAAACGAGGCGAAGGTGCCGAGCGGCGGCCTCGCCAGCAGTCATTTTCAGCAACGGGTCATCAATGTGTCGAACGCGCCGCCAGTTTCGCTGAAACGCGAGAAAACTGGCGACTGGGAGATCAAGCAAGGCTCCGGCGGTCTCGTCGCCTGTGTGGATCCGGTCATGTCCAAAGATCATGAGAATGTCTGGCTAGCGAACCTTGGAATGAATATCAATGAGAAGAAGAAAAAGTGCGAAACAATCATATATATATAGTTGTTGGCTGATTACCTATTAATTTCGTTAAGGCGCGACTCTGTAAGCTCGCTGGACACAATGGCGCCGGCTACGAACACCTTGGGATTGCCGCTGATAAAGCAGACGATCGCTGAAGTGTTGTTCCATGTTCTGGCCGACGACGACATCGACAAAGAGGCTAGCGAGAATCAGAAAAAGGCCCGCGAGGAAATGTCGCTGTTGGGAGTGTTGAACAATTATAATCGCGGAAATTATATATTGAATCCGGTGGTTGTTCAAGAAGACGATTATAACGTTTACTATGGCGGAATTAGTAATGGTTAGTTGGACGTGAGCAATTCATTCATTTTGCCTTTTTAATTTTCAAGGTCTTTTGTGGCCAGCACTTCACAATCTTCCAGAATACATTGTTTCTGAATATGAAGATGTCAAGGTAAACTTTTTTGTCAAATTTCACTTGGCGCGTCAAGACAAAAATAGCATGGCCGAGTTATGATGGCCGTGTGCGAGCTCGAGTGCTCTAGTAATTCAAAACCAATGAAATCCGGCACAATTACAGATAAGATTGTAAAATTGTCGGATCCTATTCGAATTGAAAGATTAAAACAAATCGGATCCGACAAATAAATAATCCAATCGGATTCAAAAATTGTCCAATCTAATCCGTAGAATTTCCAATCGGATAAGGTCGATTCCGGTGCCGAATTTTGTCGGATCCGATGAGTTTTGAGTTACCAGAGAGGGCGCAAACTTGAGCAGTCGGCCGATTTCTTCGATCTCTTTATCTAATTAAACAAAAAAAATCGAAATTTAGATCCTTCGTGAGCATTGGTGTGCCTATGTACGCGTCAATTATCAATTCGCGCTGGACGCAGTGCGAAATAGCCGCCCGCAAGACTTCATCTGGATTCATGACTACCATCTAATGCTCACCGGAATGATAATGCAGAGTCTTGACCCGAACCTCGAAGTCGGATTCTTTTTGCACATACCATTCCAGCCGCCGGAAAGCTTTTTCACCAAATACGCGACGGTCGGATTCGCGGTGCTTCGAGGCCTTCTTCGCTTCACAAAAGTCGGATTCCAAACGCATCGCGATCGTTCCAAATACATCGAGCTGGTGCAAAAATATTTGCGAGGCGCCGTTGTCGTCTACGACGACAAAATGGACATCTTCTCGGTGACGCATGAGGGCTGGACGTGCTCGCTCGGCGTTTTTCCGGTCAGCATCAAAAACGACGATTTTCTCAAGTTCATCGATCTGCCGGAGACGATCAAACTCAAACACGACATCCGCAAAAAAGTGTTGGGCGAGAATCCGCCGCCAGACGCCCGATTCTTTTTCTCGGTTGAACGCTTTGACTACACCAAAGGCATCATGGAGAAGATGAGGGCGTATAATCGATATTTTGAGAAATATCCGGATCGAATCGGAAAGGACGTCCTTTACCAGGTGCCTATTATCGCCAGAAATTTGAATTTCGCGCGCTTTCATTTAATGAACATATAATTTTTTGAAAAAAAATAATTGCTGTAATTTTTTTTAAATTTCCATAATTAGTAACTGCTTGACTATTTTGCTAAGGCGGCAATTCAAACGCACCCCAAATTCGGTGTGTAGAATAATTGATTCAGATTGCTGTCACTAATCGACGGAGTGTCGACACCTACCGAGTCTATCAAGATGAATGCATTGACCTTGCTGCCAAGATAAATGAGACCTATAAAGATGCAAACAACCCGCAATGGAAGCCACTGATTTTCCAAACTGATGGTTATTTATTGCACTCGAATGGTTTGAGACAAAATCGATAATTTAGGATTGCCGAGAAGCGAACTAGTCGCCGCTTATTTGGCAATGGATATCGGTGTGGTGACGCCGAAAAAAGATGGAATGAATTTGGTGGCGAAGGAGATGCTCGTCTGCAATCCGAGGGCCGGATTGGTGCTCTCAACGGGCGCCGGATCGGAGATCCAATTCACCACTGCTGGTTTGTACAAAGAGGATGGCGAGAAGAACTATCACCGAATCGAGAATGTGTTCGACGTTGAAGTAATCATCGACACTATATTTCAATTACAATGGGGGAATTCGTTTAGAGCTACTGCGACGCCTTCCATCAAGCCGCTTTAGAGTCCGAGGAGGTTCGAGCCATTCACGGCAAACGTCTGAATGAGTTCATAATGGCCAATGACATTGAGCGATGGAGCAGCGCGTTTCTCGATCCGAGTTGGACGCATGAAGTGATTCGTCCAACGCAGGTATGCTGAGAAATCAATCAGAATTGAGAAAACTGATGTTGCAGATCAACACACTCGACGACTTCTTCTCGCTGATGATGAAAACTCGCAATGTTCGTCGTCAGATTGTCAGCCGTGTTCTCAAAGGCATCCCAATTCGATCGCATTTTGCGATCAGTTTGAGAAACGCAAAAGAATCATTGGAGCAGATTTGCAAGCCGGGAACACATACGGCCATATTGAAGTCGAGCATGAACTCGCCGGACACCGCGCAATTCGAAATCGACAATGAGCTATTGGAATTTGAAAGGGTCCGATGAAACGAGCCAATCAAAGCACATCAAATAAAAATCTTTCAGGACTTGTCATTTATTCGATATGTTCAAAGTGAAGATGCTGATAATGTTGAGCAATTCGTTGATGTAAGTCCCAATAGCGTTTTATAAGCTCAATAATTTCTCAATTGTCGTCTCATTCGCGGCGACGACGACGCTCGTCGAGTTTCCGATTATTCCCTGAATCTTGTGCCGCCGCTTCGGCGACGCCTCGTTGTCGGAGATTGCGGGAAGCGCAAATTTTTTGCACATTCTTCGAAACGATCGGCACGCGTAGTGCTTCGGGTACTTCTCGGCGCACGTCTTCTGATATTTCAGACAGTGCTCCAAACTCTCCTCATGAAGCTGCAGACAAAAAAAAATTTGGTTTTTGTTTTTTGAAAGATACCGTTGAGTTTTTGACGTGCCCCAATTTGGGAAGATCAAGATTTTTGCATCGTTTTCGGAATTGCTTGCACGAAAAATGCCCGGGATACTTTTGATGGCATTTCCTTTGGAATTTCAAGCACTGCTTCAAATGCTTCTGATTATTCTGCAAATTGAGAAAAAATGGATAATGAATGCCGCAGGTGCGCTCTCGCCACCTTGGATTTCCCCTTGCTGGCAATCGTCTCGTTGTACTCGCAATTCTTCTCGTAGAAATAGCAGTGCCCATTGTATCCTTTATTTTGAAGGCAGTTGCTCGACAAATCATCACATTCAAACGAAATGCTCGCCGTCGCGTTTGACGAGCCGCTTTCAAGAATATTGAGGATGGTGTCGTTTTTGCGCACATGCGGACACCATGACGGACACGAGGCCTCCGTCGAGTTGTCGGATTTGTCCGGTGAACACGCGTCGCATTGGCACAACTCGATGTAGCACGACGAATCGGAAAAGTAGAAGCAATAGTTTGCATCACTAAACGCGCGAGATTTTCGAATTCTAATACACAACTAGGAACCTACAGAATGTCGCAGATGTCGACCTGTTGGGCTAGCGGAATCCACGAGAGGAGCACTATAGCAAGCGCGCACGTTGAGACCATCGCAATGAGAGAATGACGGCGAATTTCACTACGAGGCCCTGGTGGCCTTGAAATGCATTCCTTTTTTCAATTTTGGTCACCAAATTTGTCCGCCTATGCACTGGCAACAGCCGCATGACCTACTTTGGAGGCGTCCTCTACAACTTTATTGTGTCCCGTTTTTCCGTGATTGCCCTATGAGGAAAAACTAAGAACGAAAAGGGAGGACATGTTGGTTTTTTTTCTTAGAAATGAATCGGAAATTTGGTTTTTAGACGTTTTTTTTAAAGAAATAGACCGTCTGTAGATCGATTTGAATGTGCAAATGGGAAAATTCACCAAAAAACAAATTTAGAATGTTCTCTTTTCAAACATTAAATCAATTGTTGGAAATTCAGACAGTGCGAGAGGTCTTGACGCGAAGATAAACGGCGTGTCGATTTACGGGGTTTGTGCTAATGACATTTAGTACGTGAATTTAAAAAAATGGCATATATCTTCTCTCACAGAGTTATTAAATTAAATTTTTCTGAAAGAAAAAAGAATTTGTAAGAAAAAATCAATTGTGTGCAATTTTGCGTAAGACACTGTTACGGACCCCGCATTTTTGAAGATTTTTTTTTTCAAATTTTTCTGGAAATTGTGCATATGAATTTATAATGGCTTGCCGAATTTAATGTAATTAAAAGGTTATAACATAATTCATTCAGAAACTCCATTTTTTCTTTTCTCAGAAACATTTTAGGAAAACAAAAATTATTTTAAATTCCGTACCCCAGAATTGATAATTGATGATGTCCGCGCGAGCATTGCGATGCGTATTAAGCCCTCCATGCCCCCCCCCCCTCCTCCTCCTCCGTCTTCCGCACTCACTCAACAAGTCGCCATGGCAACTCGGCTGAGCTCAGCGGTGGCCAAAACAACCAATAGGAAACACATTCGGGCGTATTGATCGAAAAGCCGACATTACGAAATGGGCTTGCTCGAGATCATCAAATCGTTCAAATCGCCCACCGGTCGCGAGATTCGTATTCTGCTGCTCGGCCTCGACAACGCCGGCAAAACTACTATTCTCAAGCAATTGTCGACGGAAGACGTGAGCAACGTGACGCCGACGAAAGGATTCAACGTGAAGACGGTGGCGGCGGCCGGCGACATTCGCCTCAACGTTTGGGACATCGGCGGGCAGCGAGCGATTCGGCCGTTTTGGGCCAACTATTTCGAGAACACCGACGCGCTGATCTACGTCATCGACAGCAGCGATAAGAAGCGATTCGACGAGACGGGCGTCGAGCTCACCGAGCTTCTCGAAGAGGAGAAACTACGCAAAGTGCCGGTGTTGGTGTTCGCCAATAAGCAAGACTTGGCGACGGCCGCCAAAGCGTCCGAGATCTCGACGAGGTAGCTTCTTGATACCGACGATGGTAGTTGTTGAGCAAAACTCGTGGTTGTCCTAGGCTTAAATTGACGGAGATTCGGGATCGCAGCTGGCACATCCAGGGATGTTCGGCGTTGACAAATGAGGGCGTCACCGAGGGAATCAATTGGGTCGCCGAGACGATCAAATCCAAACCAAAATAATATACGATTCTGTTTCTTTTTTTTTTGAGTGATCCTAGTCGTTGTCCAAATCATAAATTTCTTCGTCTCACTCTATTCCATTGGAATTTTTTTCTTCTTTTAACTCATTTTTTAGACCTTGATTTCATCGCATCCGATTTCCATTGATGTCTACAAAAAAGAAGTGGAAAATGTGAGTGGAATTCAATTTTTTTTCTTCTTTGAATTCTTTGATTTGTACAGGCTGTCGAATTGCTCTACATGGCCGATCATTTTCATTATTTTTTCACCGATCGCGACGGCACATTGAAATCCTATTCGTGCAGCTATCCGTCAAGCATTCAGCCCGCTTATTCCGGTGTGATTCAGGTCTCGCCTCGCGATCGAATTCAATTTGGGCAATTTCTATTTTTTTTTGCAGGCTCAATTCGCTCGCCGGTGTGCTCAGACGTGCTGCATTCTCACCACCGCGCCACTCATGCACATCGGCGTTCTCGACGTGTCGACGATTCCGCCGGGCTATTACTATTTTGGCGCGTCGGCTGGACGCGAATGGTTCGTCGATCCGACGAACAAATTCAAAGACACATCGATACCGGAAGGCACTCTGAATTTGTTGGATCAAGTAGACGATTCGATTCGATCCAAAAATAATTGAGTGGAATGAGTTTCAGGTGTTCAAAAAGATTACCCATTTGCTGGAATCGCATGACTTCAAAATGTTCACCTGGGTTGGCTCAGGATTACAGAAGCATTATGGGCATTTGACAATCGCCCATCAGGATGTGTACAAGTCGGTGCCGGAAGGAATGAGCAACCGGATCTATGAGGAAATCCAATCGATTGTCGATGAGGTGGATGCCGAGGGAAACGTTCTTCAGCTGAGTCGAACGTCTCTTGATATCAAAATTTATTTGAAGGTACTCTGAAGATTAGCCGGCTTTGTTTTTTTTGAATATATCGAAAAACACAAATTTCAGACGAAAACTGATGGCCAGGTGTTCGACAAAGGCGACGGTCTTCGAATGCTGTGCGAGAAGATGAATTGCGATTTGAAAGACGGCAACGTTCTTGTGTGCGGCGACTCGGCGACCGATTTGCCGATGCTTAAAGAATGCCTCGATAGAAATTCGCCGGGCGTGTTCACCATTTGGGTGACAGCCGATGAGAGATTGAAAGAGCAGGTGAGATGGCGATGAATAATCACGCGTTGTTGGCGGCGGCGGCGGCGTCGCATCGCCGCTTGACGCCATTTCACTTTTCATTCTTCATTAACTTGATCCGACGTTCAATGTGTTGTTATGAATCGCGGCTATCAGAGCCTCGAAGTAATGAATCAAACTCATCCGTTTTTTTTCTCGACATCACTTCAAAGCTTTCTTATCAATCGAGAAGGCTGTGATTGATGGCGTGTCATTCTACAGTAACCGATAACAACCTCCCCCCCCCCAGTATGGATTCGCTGAGAATGTATTTTTAGGTTCGCGCGATGTGTTCAAGCTACAAAAACGACCAAATCGCGTTTGTTTCATGTCCGGAAGTCCTTCTCGGAGCAATGGCGCAGGCGACGATTCGCGAAACGAGGATTCGCAAAATCTCGCGACCTGAGGAATTCAGCTAAATGTGCTCAGAGAAATTTCTTCAATCAAAATGTAATAAATGCAGAACTAAAAATGTTGGACTCTGTGTGTGCATCAAATATATGAAATTATACCGTATCGATTAAAGGCGCATGTGATATTTTTTGCGCAAAGAGTTTCAACTGGATTTGACCCAAATTATTGAAATTCCCGACAGTTGCCTGTCATCAACAATATGTATTATAAAATCAAAAGCGAAGAGGCACTTCTAGTCGGTCTTCGGTTCAAACACCATTTCTCGATCTCAGCGATTCAATCGGAACGAACAGCGGTTGTTTTTGGGCGAACCCAAAAACGATGAACGGCCTTCCCTCGGGGTCACACTGGTCGTCCCAAAATGTTCCGCGGGTTAACCCAAACGACGGGTGTACGCGCGGAGTGTTGTAATCACCCTTGTTTTAGCAGCTCATAAATTTTATTGGGTAATGCGCGTTTTATTTAAATAACATATTTATTCGAACCTTTCCAAAATCAATAGGTAACAAATAATGCAAATATCGATATTTAAAATAAAAACGTTGACAAAAAAAGAGGAAAGATTACAATAAAACATGAATAATTTAACATTTAGGATAACAAAAAAAAAACAAGGACACTCTGCTAATTCGTCGAATACTAATGAATGATCGAATGTAAAAAATTTAGAATCAAATTCGTATTGCTCGTTTCACAATCGAACTACATTCCAATTGACTTCTAATGGAAATCGATTGATCATTTAAGATATTGCGTTGAATCGAAACAGATGAATTCTATTCGATTCGACGAATGAGCAGAGCAAAAAAAAATTGGGATTAAAGCAAATCACCGTTATGTTCAATGTCGTTGTTGGCTTCATCCTCATCGACGTCTTCTTCATCCGAAATCGGTGTCGGCGAATGGCGGAAGTCGTTCGATGTTTTCTTAATAAAAAAAAGTTTTAGTTATTTCATGACTCTAGAAAACTGTGATTTCTATTACCTTTTCTTTCCTTTTTAATGCGTTTGGATCCTGTTCGAATCGTTTGCGCACAACTCCATTTTGACCTTGGGTTTCCACAATTTTTTTGTTCCGAAGATCATTACTGAATATATATAGCTTATTTCTATATATAAAGTATTACAAAAAACTTACAAAACTCGGTGAGCTTTGAAATAAATAAAGTCCACCATATTTGCCACATCCATAATCAGCTTCTCATAATGTTGACTTATTTCCGCTTTATTGTCTCCCAATCTTGCTGCCAACCTGAAAAAAGTAAAATAAAAGATTAATGGTTAATATACTAACCTCGCATTTTCATTTTGAAGATCTTCTACTGAATATCCAGGGAATTGCAATTTTACTGGATATCCGTAGCTTTCCAGAATGAAGTCTGAATTAGGTTCCATTTGGTATTGACTCTTTGATGATTACCTCTGATAGCGTCAATAACGTCCTCAGGGACTGGTTTCAGCCCTTCTTGCATTCGTTGACCGGGGCGTTTCGCAATCGAATAGCTTTGGTGCGCTGTTGGAGAGTCCATTATCTAGAAAATTATTTTTTTTAAAGTCACGCGGCTATACTTACAATAAGAATTAAATTTCTAAGACACTGCGCGATCTCTCGTTGTATACTTGTTTGAACAATCTTCATATTCCGCAAATCGAGGAATGCATGCTTCTGAATAATTATTTTTTATTTCTTTAGTTTGGAAAATCTCTTGTGCAAAAGATACATGTTCTGATTACTTTTCATTTATCCTTATCGAACAAATATACAAACCAATCCGCATTAACTACATGTGACGAAAAACCATTCATTTTTTGTTCCGCAATCATCGTTTTCACTTCTGCCAGTGAGTATTTAACATTATTTGACATACCATTTTCTTCAAACGTTGGCCTTCTTCTTTTCATTCCAATTGTTGCGTTACCGTGGATGACTGCGCTAGAACTAAAATTAATTTTTCTTTACATAATGATGAAAATTATATAGAAATTGAGTAAACGTTAAAAAATTTTCAATAATTCCAGTACGACACTCCAATTACAAACTGCCCTCCGTTTAGAGTTTGGGCTAAACCGTGGACGACTTTTGTTTTGACCGAGTTCAATGTTTCCCGTGTTTGCCCCAAATTGTTCCGCGGGTTATCCCAAACCCAAAAACAACCGCTGTTCGTCCCGATTGAATCGCTGAGATGGTTTCATTTTCGTCATTTGATCTACGGAAGGGTACACTGCGTCATTGGATTTGGTGGTTTAGAAGCACTTGGATTGAAATTCAACTTCGTTCAAAGTTCATAGGTTTCGTTCTCAATTATTGTCGAGAACAAACGGATTTATGGATGGGCGGTGCTTAGGAATGACGTTTTAGCGCTATGATCTTGTAATTATATTCGTTTTGATCTCGTTTCAAAAATACAGTATGCATCAAAGACGCATGATAGAAATACGTTCATTTTTCGTGGTAAGATCAAATGTGGTTTCCTCGGTCTATGAAAATTGAAACGAAAGGAAGAAAATCATTTTTTTAAACGAGCACCTTGGCTAGATTTTTTTGTGAGTTTGATTCAGATTATACGTAGTACGTTACACAAATTCCTATTGTTCAACTTCAAATTTGAATTTAAAATGCTCAAGGTGCTCGCTTTCTTGTGATGAGACATTTGCAAAAAAATTTTTTTGAAAAAATCCAATAAAATAAATTCTTGCGGACAATACCTTTTATTTGACGCAAATGTGCACAAATTTTTCTTATTTACAAATCGACAACGACATTTAAAATCGTGAACTTCTATTTTGTAATATAGGAAAAAAAGAGGAATAAAGAAAAAAACAATTTTTTCAGTATTTTAAGGTCATCAAAAAATGTTTAAATTAGAGGAAATATTATTAAAGCAAAAATGGATAAAGGAAAAAATATTATATTTTTTTCTTTTTTTTTCTGCTTTCTATATGATTTTTTGGTTTCCTTTTTATTATAAAATTTCTTTTTTTTTTATTTTCTGGCCCTTAAATAGTTCATTAAATCCAAGAGTTCTATAAAATATCCAAAAGAATCCAAAAGTTCTATAAAATGCTTGTTTGAACCCTTGAACGTCTCCTTTGCCTTTTTCGGCATCTTTAGCAATTGATCATGGTTCCGCAAGGCATCGAAGATCTACCATCTTTCCTACGGTAATCTAGATTGGAAACATTTCGTACTGTACCGATCAAAATGTAGCCTATCAATAAATTAGACTTTCCCTTTTTTTTTGGGGGGGGGGGGGTTCTGCTTAAATCCTAGACATCTAATTTTCGACCCCATCCTCAACACCAGCTATCGAATTCGGCCAGGCTCCGCCCACAATTTCTTTGTCGATCTCATTGGATTCGTCCGAAAGAGATCCATAATTGAAGATGAACATCGATATAAAACTTCTACTACTTCTATATTATAGTTTCTTTCTATTTTCACAAGGTATTGAATTTCTTTATGACTCCAATGTATTTCTAGAGAATTATATTCGATTTTCTAGGCGAAGGTTCGCATATAGACGCTGAAGACCTGGAAAAAGTGAAGCTCGACAAAAAAGGATATGAAAAAGTGAGACTTGAATCTAAACTATTTGATCTCAATGATGATTTGAAGGTTAAAACAATCCACATGAACTGGTATATCCATTCAATGAAGGCTTTGATTGCCCAATTGTCGAAGAATCTCCTACCCAAACTCGATCGCAGTAAGATTTGGATTTCACGCGTTTTTATTGCTCCATAATGATTTGCGGCGGCGTCAAAAATTGTTAATTATCAGATATCAAAGAGAATCTGCTCGGGTGTTTTTCGCGAATTTACGACAAAAAGGACCTCGTCGAATCGTCGAAGTGCCTCTTGGAAGCCAAACAGCACTACGAGTTGGTTAAATTGAGGCGACGAGGGTTGAGGAGAAGGTAAGGGGCGTTGATATACGCACTCACTGCAAAACCACCGGCAGCGTAAATAGTGCGGTGGTCTGGGCGTCGGGTTGCCGTGCGATTGGTCACGTTTTCGACGCCCCGTGCGATGAAGGTTTGGATAAGTTTCGGCTGAAATCTGTGATAGACAAATTAATTTGCTGAGCGCGCGCACTTTTGCATTTAATCATTTCTTTTTTTTCCAGGAAACAATTGAAAGCGATTCGCCTGTTTCCACAGTTCTGGCGGCAGCGTCGCGCGAAGCGCAGCCTCAAACGCCTTGTTATCGATACCGTATCCAAAAGCGATTCGCACGGATACTTTGTTAAAAATATGGACTATATGCCAAAATTAAAAACTGCAAAGGAAGTGAGAAGTCCCGTTCAAAAAGTTACAAACTTGATAATGAGTCTGACAAATAAACGGAAAGAAACGAATAAGTAGGGCACAAATTTCTGATAAGCAAAACGCATAGTAAAATAGTTTAGTGGGGGTTCATGGATAGACACATATAAGGCATTGCTAACACTCAAGAAGAAGATGAATCGGAAAGAGAAGGAATCTGGAGCACGCGTCTACAATCAGAGAATGTACGACCTTGTGCTGGACTTGCCAGTAAAAAAGAGCGTCGAACTTGAAGTGTTCGATAAGGTTCGAGCGAGAAGCGCAAATAATCAAACGTCCAAAGAGTGAGATGTTCAGGTGAAAATGTCCGGAATTATGCGGAGCGCGTTTGATCTGATGTCGTCGATTGAAGGAAGTGCGAAGAATGGCGGATCATCGAACTTTAAGTTTCTCAGGTACGACCACTTTATGATCAATGACGCCCTAATTATAAAGTACTATTGGTGGCGGTTAGCCGATAAGTTTAATTAATAGTCGTTTGATCTCATGATTGTTTCATCGTTCGCGCCTTTTTCTTGCAAAACCCAGCGATGGTGGACGGAATTGAAACGTTTTTGATGGATGAGAGATAGGTCCTATCATACACATGTGTTACCATCGCATATGATATGAATGAGAACAATGGATGAGTGAAAACGAATGCCGAAGCCAGGGCAGGATGGGGCAGAAGCTTGAATTTAGGCCAATTCGTTTTCAGCCCTCGATTCGCGTCGATAATGCCGGACAAGAATGAGAATCGCGGGAAGTTGTCTCCATCGATATTGTCGTTTTATAATGATGATTCTGAAGACCAAATTCTGCCTATTCCAAAGGTTGTCCATTTTATTTTCTTGAAAGACATTCACAAAACCAATTTTAGTTGATGGAAAGCGCCGGTCTCGGCGGCAAAGATCGCGATTCGGTGATCGAGTTGGCGATGGAGCTATCCGGCGCCAAAGGAATCGTCGACGAGGCGCTGAAAATTCTGAAGAGCGTCGATTTGCCGGAACTCGACGTCGCGGTGACGGAGCACGCGAAAAAATCAATGACGATGGTCGACGAAATCAAAAAATCCTACAACGGACGCCAGAAGAAGGAGCTCGACAACAAAGGGTTCACACTAATTGAGCCGCATCAAATGCGGAAGCTCATGGCGGAGCAGGGAATCGCGCATCGCCGCGACATTTTCAACGTCGATGAGTACGAGTCGATGACGCGCGTTCAACGCAAAAACATGGTTTGGGATATGGTCCGTCAAATCGCCTATGGAGGGAATCACACGATTCGCCGGAAGCGGCAGAACTTCGGACCGCACTTCCTCTCCCCTACCGTTCTCTCGCCAGTTCTATTCACCCCGATTTATGGATTGAATGTTCTAGGCCCAACGGTGCTATCCCCTGGTTTGTTCACACCGCTGATCCTGAACCCCTCGGTGCTTTCGCCGTATGTGTTCTCGCCGACCGTCGGCATCCCATTCATCGTCTCGCCATACGTCCTCTCGCCGTACGTGTTCTCGCCGCTAGTCATGGCTCCGTTCATCCTAACCCCCTATGTTATATCGCCAAATGTGTTTAACCCATACGTGTTGTCGCCGTTGATCCTATCGCCGTTGGTGATTTGTCCCGACGTCGTCTCGCCGATGACGCTCGGCGGAGCAATTTTGTCGCCCGGTGTCTTGTCCCCGTCGGTTTTGTCCAAAAGCTATCTAATGGCTAGTGTTCTGTCGCCGTCATTCCTATCATAGCAATTTTTAGAAAACAAAAGTCAATACTAACCCTATTATTGTTTTATTTGCGGAGCTTTCAGGTAATTAGGTATTAATTGTTATAATTGTTCTCAGCAATTCCCGTCGAACGCGTTCAAAACTTTAATATGTTGATCATTGTGAATGAATAAATATTTTAATAAAAATACTTTTTTTGCACTTATTGTGTTGAATATTTCGGGAAAATTGCAAATCCCTAGTGGTTTTTCATTTTTTTTTATCTGTATAGTCTAGCTCACTAGTCTCAACTTTGCGCTAAAATTTCAGAAAATTCGGTAAGAATAAAATATCCAATTCAGTGCACTGACCTTATTTTAATAATTCTTTTCTGTAGCGTGACAAAAAAGAAGGGAAATTCCAAGTTAATATTTGAAAATTTGTGCATTTTCGTGCCTGGCCTAGAATTTTTCCCGTCCAAGGCCGCCTCTTTGAATTGCCGCCAACGAAAACCCGAGCGTATCGCAAAGATGTTTTCAATGAAAATAATTTTGTCCCTGCCATCAAATAACTCTTTGCCTATTGAATTTCGTTGATGGTATAGAAAATAAAAACATTTATACGAAGAGCCAGAAATCGAGAACAATGAAAAATTGTGATCCGCGCGTTACGCTGAAGAACGGATCGACTAAGTAACTATTGCAGAATTGAAAATGAAATCGATATCTCAACAAAAAATTGATCAAAAATGTATGAAATTACTGAAAACAAGCACTTTTTAGTGGTCCAAGAATTGATTTATTTCATGTTTTTTTTTTTGAAAAAAATAATGAAAATGAGGTGATTCTAGGAATTTCGAGTATAAAAACATTTTTATCCGTCATTCCTATACTACTAATCGAACCGGCCATGTTTTGAGTGTGATAATCGCGAGATAACCCCGCCTTCAATCGAAGGCATATCAAATGCCGTATGCGTGTGCCTTCTAGAATATTGTCCATGACTAATCGGACTGCTACGCTCAAGGGTAACTGCCGAAAAACGGCGGGTTCGAGGCGCTTCAGGTTGTCGAGCAACTTTCTCAATCGAATGTTTCCTTTCCAATTTTGGGCTTTTTGATATTTGAGGCTCATCCGGTTCCAAGATTTCCTGAAAACTTTCTATTTTTTTTTCGATTATTTGTTATTTCAAACTTCTGAAATAATCGAAACTGGCGGTGACGGCACTTCTTTCTTTGCGTGCTGCTTATATTTTCGAGCGATGTGCGCGTATGACGCCTGCGGAATGGTTTGACGGCGTTGTCTCATTCCAGCTCCGAACATGTCAAAAATTTTTAGCCTCAAAGTTCACAATCGAGTCATATGAGATTTGAGGCGTGCTTACCTGATATCTTTGCCAAATATCAAAAGCGAAATTGGCGCAGAAAGGGTTGCGATGATCACACCATGGTGATTCGTCAACAACGCCAAATACCTTGAAAAGCAATGAAGCATAAGCATTTGAGGAATCAGATTGGTGATGCCAAACGTTCCAATAATCGAAAGCGAAATCAGAAAGATGTCCATATCGGAGTGTCCATGAATCGGCACCTGATTCGCAACGGCGATTCGCACCGAAAACACAACGCCAGCGAACGTGGGAATCGGAAGCGCATATTTGATGACGGTGATTAGTTTGGTGAACAGATTGGCGAGAAATCCATCAGAAATGCAGGTGATTCGCACACACGTTCTCGTGACCAAATGAGCGTCGCATTGATAAATTGAGCTGACAAGCGCGGTGATAAAAGATACGAAACTTGAGACGACAATTATCGGAACTATGAATCTTCTGGAACATGACTATTTTAATATAAATTGATTAGAAAATTGTTTCAAACCTTCCATATAAGGAATTTTGTTTCGCATCCCTTGATCGATAATAAATCGAACAGAAAACTGAGAGCACAATAACCAAAATTGTATAAAGAAATCCGAACATGTTGTCAAAGAACGCGATGAATGCGAACATTTGAAGAACCGATTCTCCACTCTGAAAAATGTTTGTCAGAGCAAAGAACAATTTTCAGAACGCTTTTTCTGGTGTTTTTTCCCACGCACTCAATATTTGTGATTTCTAGAAATATTCGACCACACCTGAACTTGACTTATCAAATGTAAACCATTTGTGATGAAATGAATCGTGTTGGAGATGCCCAGAAACAATCCGGCAATGCATAAATTCCAGAGAAGGGCGATTTTCAAACCCTAAAACATTTTTTTGTTGTAAATGTGAACATTTTTGAAACACATATTGTTGAGAAATGACAAATGTATCCAGGTGTCGTGGGATTCTGCTGAATAAATTATTAAACTCGGTTTCTTCACAATTTAAATAACAAAATTTCGAAGGGAAATACGAAAATTGAGCGAAAAATAAAAAATGATTATGCAAAATTAAAAAAAAAAGTCTCGTAAATCGCTGCGAGGATTACGGTAACTGTCTCTTAGCATTGCGTACAAAACGTAGGATCCCACGACATCTGGATACATTTGTCATTTTCAACAATACCCATTGCATTTTTATCAAGGCCACCGCTGCCAAATTGTTGAGAACAAAAGAGAACATCGCTATGAGAATGTAGATAATAAAGCTCCAATCCAATATGGTATCGTTTTGAGTTTCTGACAGGGTGGTGTTCTCGACATACGGCGGAAATGTTTGGCCGTGTCCCCAGGTCTCATGGCCGTTCGGATGGCCATCGTTGTAATCCCGCGGATTCTCATGGAATCCATTCTCGCTGGGAATTATGATGTAGGATTCTGTAGAAGGCTGATATATTCAGACGGAAAAATGAAAAAAAAGAAACTCGCCATTCCATTTGGAGTCGTACGGGAAGAAGATGCTTATAATTCGTCCAATATGCTCCAACATCGAGCAAGTAACCAGTCACAAGAACTGCAGTGAATAATAACAACTGATAAGTAATTTTCAGTCACCCGATACTCCATGGCAACAGCGCTTTCATCAAAAAAGAAAAAATCAAATCACGCATTTCTCAAGAGCTCGTTATATGTGGCGCCGCGCCAACAATAATTGAATTGGTGTCTGGTTTTTCATTTCGGTTGTAAAAATAGATGAAGAAAGACAAAATCAAATTAACAAATTTGTTATAAATTGAATCTTTAATGAATATGGAAATAATATTGACAGGCGGGGGATGTGGCTTGACATTTGAATTTCGCGGGCTCGATCTCATCGCGTCGAGACCGATACTATAAACACTTTTAAATTTCAGACTGCCTGTCTCCGTTCATTATAGAAAAGAAGTTAATCTCAACGAGGCTTATATAAAACCGGCGGCGCGCCGGAATTTCAATGTAGTAACGGGATTTGAATATAAGAATTGTTTTTCTTAAATTTTTGCACATTTTTTATCTGAAATAAAAAACAGATATTTTTTAAACAAAAAATTTAAAATAGATTCACAAATAATTTTTTAAATTATATTTTAGTGGCCTAGTTTTTTTCTCGGTCATGTCGATCCGTCCACGTGATGGAAATAAACGAGACGTCATTTGGTCATTTGGAATGAGTCACACATTGGTCACTGGTGATTAAATGGAGGTCAACTACAAGTCTATACGGCGAATTGTAATCGTAATGGTTTAAAAAAACAAGTTGAGAGGAATTTCGCGAGTAAACTCAAAAATATCAAAATTAAGTACGATGTTCCCGAAAAGGAACGAATCCCAAAATATGTCCTTTTATTTTCGCGTGGTCTACTATTTTTCATTCCATCAATCACAAAGAAAATGTGACATCATCGACATCGGCAAAATCGAAATAAATATCACAAAGGCTGTTAGAAAATATTCCGCGACTCTTCAATATTTTAGAAATCTTTCTATCTAAAATTAAAAACATTTTTTTTAACTTTGGAATTGTCTTGATAAATATTAGGCGCAATTTTGAATCTTCTAAGATTTTTGATGATTTGCTTATCAAAAAAAAATGGCCATTGTCTCCTTCTAGAAAAAACTCGACATTGTTTGTGAGTGTTCTCGCTTGGCCACAAAAACGGAAGGTCATTCGAATCGAATTGGTCATTTCACTCTTCATTTGTGTATTTTGTACACAAAGAAGTAGGCGTTGTCAAAAAAAAAAGTTTAATTTTACTGTTTTTCGCTTTCTCCCTTTAAAAATGGAGGCTATAAACTAAAAACCCCCTTGTTACTTCCCAAAAAAACTATTGATTTTGACGTTATTGTTGGCCCGGAAAACTTGAATTTCGCCTCCCAATTTTTTGTGTTGGTTGACCCTCTCATATGATCAAGGCTGTCGTCGTTTGGCTGTTTGACGAACAAAATGGTTTCCTCACAAATTCGATTCGTTTCCCCCCTCCGAAAATCCTTCACTCCAATAAATGCCAGTTATCATAATTTCCCTCATCGTTGTCTCGGTGTTCTATGCCTGCCAAAAACGGAAGCACAACGGTTTCGCATTTTTGTCGATGCTTAAATTGGTTGAAACAACTTGATTCTATTTCAGAAATGGGCACTAAAGAGACGTCATTTGTCACGAGAATGTGGCACACGTTGAGCTACAAAATAGGGACCACTGTGGCAAAATGGCCCATATTAACTATTGTGTTATCATTGGTCGTCTCCACAATATGCGGAATAAAGTTAGGATTGACAAAGTAACTTTTTATTGGATTTTCATTTTGAAAATCAAAAAAAAATTTTTTTAGAAAAGTTAGCGCAATTGATGGCTATGCTGCGGATGATTCCATGTCAAGATACGAGTTTTCAACATTTCAGGTAAATATTTTCGTTAATTTCATTAAAAATTGTCAATTTCTAGCAATTTCTTGACTCCGATGGTCCCGGAATCACATTGGCTTGTATGATACGAGCTGCGGACAATGGTTCACTGTTGCGAGAAGATCACCTCAAGGAAGTTGTCAAAGTCTGAAATTTCATCTGCTAAAAAGAAAAGAAATGAATTTGCCTTATTTAGGTCGTCGATTTGATATCGAAAAATTTCACAATGAAAACGAATGGTGTTGAGAAGAGCTTCAACGAATTCTGCCGCGGTTTCTGCCAGGCCAACGAACCCGTCCGCCAGTTTTATGTAATATTTGCAATATTTTTTCGATTTTAACAATTCTAGAAATTGACAGAATGGCTTGCAAATTCTCGACAAGAATAATACGGACAAAATCTCGCGTCGCATCGATCTCTCCTATCCGACGTCGAACTTCTTTGGAAGAAAATTTAGCTTAATTGTAGGTTTTTGCAGATTTTTCATCAAAAATTCTCCATTTTCATTTTCAGCCCAACTTTTTCGGAATCAAATTGAGTTCTGATGGGAAACACCTTGAATCGTCGCGACTAATTGTTTTGTATTTTCGCGCCGAGAGATACCCTGACTGGACAACACAAGGCGTGAAAAAATGGGAATTGAATGTTCGCGACCACTTTGTTCAGTAGGTTTTTTGATCATTGAGAATCATTTCGTTGATAAGGAAAAGAGAAAAGAAGAACGTATGCTTTTAAAAATTTAGAAGAAAAATAATTAAAATGAATTTCAATTTTCCTGATCTGCAAGCACACCGACGCAAATTTGCACACTTTTCGTTTTAAAATGTATTCTTTCAAAAAAATCATTGATCGCTCTCAATTTTTTTTAATTTAGCGCGCGGGCGATTTTTGTTTCAACTAATTAAAATTTTTTCCCTTTTTCATTTACCAGAATATTCCACGAGTTATACCTAATCAAAAATAGCTGGTTCATTTTCGTTTTCACACTGACAAATATAATTTTTTTTCAAATCGCTTGAACGCATATCCAATTAATTTACAGAAATTTCAAAAATGACAAAATTATCGTCGAAGTTATGTCACAAACAGTGGTTGAAAGCGGTTAGTTCGTTTTATAATATATTTTTTCAAAATCTTGATTTTACAGAAATTGTGCGAGCCGGTCTCTCCCTTCAACCATTCATTGCTGTCGGATTTGTGATCATGTCGATCTTCACCACGACCACCACCCTTCTAAGCGGTGTTTACATCTACGGCCAACGGGCCACGTTCAACAAAATCTCCCTTTCGATTATTGCCTGCATCACCCCATTTATGGCATGCGGCACCGCAATGGGCACTCTGTTCTTTTGCGGTGTGATTTTCAGCCCTATCATGTGCATCACCCCATTCTTGGTGCTGGCAATCTCCGTCGACGACAGCTTCCTTATGATCCACGCCTGGAACCGCATCGAATCCTGGAGGAACAAACCAATGACGAAGGAGCTCCGGATTCATATGATGGGGGAAGTCCTCGTTGAAACCGGGCCGGCTATCACAATTTCGGCTCTCACTAACATTCTGGCGTTCACTATTGGAGCGATCACCTCTCCTCCAGAAATCCGTATCTTCTGCTATGGGAATGCCGCCGCGATATTCATGGATATGTTCTATCAAGGTTGGGACCCACTACGGTTGTATGCCAATTTCGGAAAATTGCAGCCACCTTCTACATCGCTTGTATGACATTGCTAGCCGACGAGAAGACCGCCGAGCTCGGCAAGAAGACCAAACAATTGCAGCAGAAAATGAGCGCAATGGCGCAGAAATTCTTGCGAGGCTACGTCGATTTCATTTCAAACATTTTTGTGTCATCCACGATTGTCGCCATCTGGATCATTTTCATCGGATTCGCAGTGCTGGTAGGCTATTTTCTCAACTATAACATTTATAGAGTTGGAATTGTGTTGTTTAAAGGGACTTAGCCAATTGCACGTCGAATTGCGACCGAGCAAGTTCTTCCTCAAGGACTCGCCAATGTTGCGAATGGATCAAGTCAAGAATGCGGAAGTGGTCCCATTTTACACTCCAGTTACGGTGGTCGTCAATAATCCCGGCGATTTGAGCAATGCGAGCGTTGTTGAGAAATTGGAGGAGCTTAAATCGTCATTTGAAAGAATGCCGAACGCAATCGGACCAGAGAGCACCAAGTTCTTCCTTGAGTAAGATCAGACCAGATAGAGAATTTTAAATTGACTTAATCTTGCTGGCATAAAAATGAAATTTGATTCTAAATCAAAAATTGGGGCGAAATTCAAAAAATTTCAAGACTGAACAAACTCTAAACTTCTTTGAATTTATTCAATTATTTCAGCGACTTTATCTCATTCCGAGAATCGTTTGCTGAAGAATTCGATATGGTAGACGACAACAACAGCACCGAGCCAATGTCCGACATTGAGGCATTCCTTGAATGGCCTGAATTCTCATTCTGGCGTGGATTTTTGCGATTTGACAACCAGTAAATCATTTTGTTGATTTTTTTTTTGGCAAACCAGTGATATTCTAGGTCGCATCCGCAAAATGTGTCGAAATTCATGTTCACCACCGGATTTCACGGGCAAGAATTGAAGGAGTGGAATCAGCGCGGCGATTTGCTGAAGAGTTGGCGAAAAACCGTTGACAAATTCAAAGAGTACGACATTTTAGTTTCTTTACCCTCTCAACAAAATTTTCCATCATTTCAGCGAATTCAATGCCACTGTCTTCAGCGAAGACGCCTTCTTCCTAGACATGATTGATGTAAGTGATGAAACTCGACACCAGTGTAGTCTAGACACCGAAAAAAAAGATAATGACGTACTAAATTGCACAAATTCAGTCAATTCCAACGATCACCTGGCAAACAACGCTGGCGACGTTCGTGTTCGTCTCGCTCGTCTGTTTCATCTTCATCTCCGATGTTCTCACAGTTGTGATCGTCTCCATCGCGATTCTTATCACCTCAGTTGGTAACGCAAAATGAATATCATCTTCAAGATGAAACTAAATTAATTCCAGGGGTATTCGGATATCTAGCCCTCTGCGGTGTTAGTCTTGATCCAGTCATCATGTCGATTGCGATTATGTGCATCGGATTCAGCGTTGACATTCCAGCCCACGTGACATTCCACTATTATGCAGCGAGTAAGAATGTCACAAGATTCAAAACAAGAAAACTAAAAAATTAAGAAGCGAAGAAGCAAAATCATGTGTCATCGAATCAAATAACGGCCGCGGATCTTGTAGAACTTCCTCAAAAATGTAGTGAAGTTGAGCTAACTGGACCCGAGCCTTCCAGCTATCGTAATTGGTAACCTCTTTGATCCGTTGACTCATTGATTCCACCATTTTCAGCTTGTCATTCGCTCTATCCTCGGTAGGATTTCCAGTGATCCAGGCTGGAGTCTCAACCAACTTCTGCGCTTTGCCACTCGGCCTAATGGATCTGTACATGGCGAAGATGTTCGCCGCCTCACTGACCCTCTGCGTCACATTCTCGCTTCTCCACGGTCTTGTCGTCATTCCGGCGCTTCTCTGTGTTCAAACCACCATCGTCGGCGCAATCAAGAAATTATTGAAACGATGATTAATTGTACCATAATTAGGGTTTGCATATAATTTATGGAAGAAAAAGTAACAACGGGTACATAAATTTCGAAACTAACTCCACAATTCTTTCAAATGTTTCATATGCTCTTCTTGTGTCTCAAATCTCGTCGTAATCTGATTGATCGTCTTCCTGCGAACAATTCCAATCCGTTTTATTCGGTAAATCAGAAGGGCTGGAAGGGAGACGGCGGCGAACGGAACAGTCTAGAATTTGTGTGTATTTTTTTTGTTGGTCAACTTTTGCAAACTGGTTTTTTGTAGTTTTTATGTATGTTTTGATGATGACTAAAAATCAAAAGAACCCGGTTAAAACGACTATATGAAAATAGAGCTTTAATTGGAAGTGGTAACGCCTTTGAAATTTTTAAAATAACAGTAGGCGTCTGTAGGTGGCATTTTAAAATTTAACATGGACCGTTTTAACCTTAAGGAATGTCAGCTAACGATTCCAAATGTCTCGAAGTCCCTTAACTTACATATGCCCACCAAACAATATTATGGTACATCGAGACTGGTATAAATTTCTGGTGAAGTCTCAAGGTCAGGACAAGACTACTGTAGGTGATGAGTCCCAGGAATTGCGCCACCGCAATATAGCAAACAACTCGTGTCGAGACCAATGTTTCCCTTTTTTGGTAGCGTTTTTCGACGAAGAATCGAGTTCTAAAAGAACAACAAAACTCTATTGAAAAAACAAGAAAGACGAAGAGCTAAACAAAACTTACCGAACTTCTAATTTTTTATTGATCACAATTAGAAGAATGTTGAGAAAAATGCAGACAATGATGACGACATTGCAAATAATGAGGAATGTGTTCGCACGCGATGCCGAATATTGTGGAAAGAAAAAACAATTGGGCACCGTGTCGACGTATGGATCATTCCAGACGATTATGATCGGCGATAGGATGCTTGAAATCACGACGAGAATCGATAGAACAATTCCAGGCGAATATTTCGTTTTCGAATAATGCAATGGAAAAATTGTGGCAATTAATCTAAAATTAAAAAATTGTTAATAATTGTTTTGGTTTTTTTTCAACTTCAACCCACCTGTCCAAACTCAGCGCACTTTGGACATAGATCATTCCAGCAATTCCGACAATTATCATCTGATTCTGATATTTACATTCGTAAGTGCTTCTCATTATTTTACATGGCTCATTGCTCAGAGTGATACTCCGGTAAAATGTGACAACCTAGAAAAATTGAATCATAAAGTACTTCAAAAGTATTTATAGCTCGAAAATATGTAAAATCTGTTTGTGAAAAAAAAAATGGCTAACACAATTGGTCGCTGCGAGACTCAGCTCCAAAAAAATGTTTGCGCCTTTAATTACTGTATGAAAAATTAGGGATTTTTTCCCCAAATTCCCATTGTTTTAATTGAAATATTTTGACACAATTATTCACCACTGACGTATTATTATTATTATTCTATTATTTTAAAATAAATGAAATGGTTGATTAAATGCACATATAGCAGAAGATTAATTGGGTTTCAATGTATTAATAAACGATTTTGCTCGCCATTTTTCTCCGATAGAGAAAAAATGAGAAGGATCCGTTTTTGAAAAGCCAAAAATACACTCGAGAATGATGACTTTGCCGAGTATACTTTTATTCGAGAAAAACATAAAACATATTGGCGCGATAATTGAATATTCAAAAAAATGCCAAGAATTGATGACAATAAAATAAAATGAAGGCTCACCTGTACAAACATGAACACGATTTCATGAAAATTAACAAATACTAAGCTGGTAATAAGGAGCAATTTCGTCGATGGATGGAATATTTGATAAGATTTGAGCACTATTAAGGCCTTGTAAGACAAGAAAAACGTGCATATCGCTATAAATGTCATCAGCACAATATTGGATCGAAGTAAAAATGAAGTCTGAAGGGTCATTTGCTCATCACTAGCGCAAGTCGGAGCCATTTCTGAAAAAAAATGAAATGAAGAGGAAATGAGCGATTTGGCGTTTCGTGACATTAAAGTTTCATGTCAAAAAAAGCTCAAAGAACAAAAATATCTGTTTGGGGGGCTTCACCTAAAATCAATATTTTAATTAAGCGTGCTTTGCACCCAATTTTCGTGCAAGTATTCTCGAATGATTCTTGCAGACGGCCAACAACAAAAAAAAGAACGAGAAGCCTAATTAAGACAAAGGCATGCGAAATCCGAAACGTTTCGTCCACTTGTGTAAGCTAATATGACCCACCAAATTATCAAGTGCAATGAAAAAAGAGAAAAATTGGATGAAGCGGGGGGGAGTGAACGACTTGAGCAAATAGTGAACATTTTTTAGCTTAAACTTCTTAATCATTTATTTAAAGGGGATGTTGGAACTTAAAAGAGTATAAAAATATCATACAAACATGATAAAAACCGAAAATTTAACGTAATTGGTTAGCGGAAAAAAAAACGAAATGTCGTCAAATAAAATGTAAAAGTCCGCAATGTAGCTTTCTTAATTACCTAGTTGGTTTGGAAATATGCTTAAAACCTGAAGCTGTAAAGCGCGAATTTCCATAAATAGGCATTCCGTGTGTTGCACCCAATGCATTTTATTCGGCGCCAATCAACATGAAAAAGGTTGCCCAATTTTTGGTGCTTCAAATTTGAAGAAATATTTAGCTAAAAAGAAAAGGAAGCCAAAGAAGAAACGACACTGAAATAATTGCGGACCAATACATTGCATTTGACGACAATTAGTGTTTTTATGCTCTTTAAGGTCACCTTACTCCAATTTAAATTAGTGTATAAATTCCTTGGAAATTAGCATATAAGAAACCGAAAATTATGTCAAATTTTGTTGGGTGTTGAATGAAAAATACACAGCTGGAATTACTTTTCACATGCTTGCAAAAAATAATTTCTTGTCCAATCCGCCAATGCATAATTTTTGTGAGAAGTAGACCGATTCGCTGTAAGATAATTGGCGCGCCGGGAGAGCGCCGCGGGAGGCAATCCACTCATTCATTCTTTCCTTCCTCACCTACCTACCTACATTTCATGAACCAGACTTTATTGATTCATGGATTCTAAACATGTTCTTAAATGCCAATCAATCTCCTACATGACAGCGATTTCGACGGGAAATTGGTAAGAAAACCATTGTCATTAATTTTCAAATATTCATTACCGAAAACACGCTAATAATTCGAGGGTATACGGTACCCATTGTGGTGTATGCACACACACACACTAGTTGACGCGCATATACGGAGTTTTGAGTTTTTTTTTTCATTGTTTTTTAGTTCTGTGTTGTATTTCTAATTAAATATATATTGCGGATTTCGGGTTACCCCAATTGCTGCTTGCTTTTCGTTGCTAATATATATATACAACAATTACTATTTTCTATAAAAACATTTTCAGTCTCTCAAAAATCTACCAATCGCCTCAAGTGTTCCAAATTCTGAAAAATGTCACATTCACAGCAACGTCCGGTGAGGTCCACGGGATCCTAGGGGTCTCAGAGTCGGGAAAAACCACTCTACTCGAAGCGTTGGCCCTCGGCGCTGGAGGTGAGATTGGAGGGATTGCGATGCTCGACAATTTCATGCTCACAAGTAAATCGAGCACAATTGTATTATTTTGAAACAATTTCCTTATTTCTAGAGCGACGATTCAACAAATATTGCTCGTATGTGGACTATCGGGTTTCCTACCCGGAATCCCTTACAGTACACTCACTGCTGTATTTTCAAGCTCAGCTGCATTTGGCGGGAAGCTTGACAAGCCTGGAAATCGAGCATAGGGTAATAAAATGATGTATCAGAGAATTTAGAAGGAATTGTGTTTTTTCAGTTAACCGAACTGATGGCAATGTTTGACATCATATGCTATGCCACAACAAGCATTTGCAATTTGACAATTAGCGCTCGAAAACGGGTTCTCACCGTTTTTGAGCTCGTCAAAGATCCAATCCTAACAATCATTGACGATCCGATAAGCGATCTCTCGCCTCTCTCCGCATTCCAATTGATCTACGCGCTTCAGTTTTACGCGAAAAAGTTCAATCGAATAATTGTTGCGAGTTTTCGCAATGTTCGCAGTGATATTTACCATCTAATCGGCACTCTTACATACCTTTTTTATGGCGAAGTTGCCTATTCAGGTGAGCAAGGACTATATTAAAAACTCCGCATTCGCTGCAGGACCCACAAAATCTCTGGCGTCATATTTTCAAAGGATCGGGTACAGTTGTCCAACAAATGAAAACCCAGCATCTTATTACTGTACGTGTTTTTTTTTTTTGACAAATTACTACAATCTATGAGTGTTTGCGGACCATAAAATGTTTTCCTTTCGGGCGGAAATTCAAATTTCGACAGTAGAAATTGCGTAACACAAAAAATTACAGTGCTCGTAATTTTTTTCGCGATTATATACACTAATAGAAAACGAATTTTCTCATTTTTCCAAACGAAATTCGATCCCGTCAAGTGCATTTTTATTTGCAGTATCTCTCATCACAGTCGACAAGGAAAGTATGGAGCGGGTACTCGAAACGCAAAATCAAGCGATGAAGTTGGTCAATTTCAAATTGGTATTTTTTGGGCAATAAGTGAGAATATTTAAAAAAAAACCAAAATTAGGAATTTGACAAAGAAAATGAGGAGTCCGAATCGGCGGCCGGATCATTGGAACTATTGGATTCGGCGTTGTGCGCCGGGCCGAAGCCATCAATTTTGAAAATTTTCTCAATTCTTCTAAAGTACATTTTTAAGCATTTTAAAACATATTTGAAGATTTATATTTTAGAAGAGACATGGCGATTTTAAAATCGAATCCTGGCGAGGCGATCGCAATTATTTTCACATTTCCAGTGATTGCTATATTATTTTCATTTTTCGGGTAATTTATTATGGTAAAACCATATTTTTAAAAAAATTATATTTTCAAAACAGACCACAAAACGTCAAATCGCCGACGCTTCCAATCTCGACGTGGAAATTTGTAGAACTTTCTAATTTTTTGCTAATCATTCTGCAGTCTTTAATTATATTTCCATACTGTAAGGAATTTTCTCAAAGGCGGTGGGGTAGGGGAGAGAAGTTTGAAGAAAGGAAGCATGAAAAATGAGAAGACAGGCCATATCTGCACGGTTTACATGAAAACTCATCGCAATCTTCGAAAATGCTCAAAAAAAGAATTATGAACATTGATGAGGAAATGCAGAAAAACGGCAAGTTAAAAAAAATTGCATTTCCAATTTTTGCGTATTTCCAATTTTTCCAAAATCCAGGAAACTGCATCGTATCGAAAATTGAATCATGTCGTTACTATAGTAATATGGTCCGACATACCAATAAAATCAGCAATAAAATTGCGACCAATCTTTTTCTTTATGTAAAAAAAAATATCTATTTTGTTTTCTTAGCTTTCTCGCGCTTCCTTTGCTCAATTTTTCTTCATTTCCTCCCCCCAACCTTTTTTTTAATAAAAAAAACCAATATTCTAGATTCAAAAATTCGATATTTCTCTATAGTGGATCAATCAAGCACAAAGCCAATATTCAGCTACGCAGTTTTCAGCATTGTTTATTTTTTCTTCCTAATTATTCAGGATTTCATTTTCAATGCTATTATAATGTGGTAAGAATAAGTTTCAATTAATAATGGATTTCGGAAAATGAAAAAGAAGAAAAATCAAAAAGAAAAACCAAGTTTTCGAAATAAAATATGTGCATTTTTGCGTGCAGGGAAATATCGTTGCAGGACCCTTCCCTCAGCTGATTTCCAAACTTGGCTTCGAATCAGTACAACAAGCTTCATCCTCTCGATCCTCTTCTTCTCAACCTTCTCAATATTCTGTAGATTCTTCAAATCATTCTCTTCAATAATCCTCCTCCAATCCACAATTGTCGGATTATTCTTTGGCAATTATTTGCAAGTGTTCAAATGGATTCAATATGTCAATCCGTTCAATTACTTCAACTCTATTATTATTTCAACTTATATCGATGAGGTGAATCCCAGAAACTGCACAGAATACGGCAGTATGAATCAATTGTGCAAGTAAAATTCGAAAGAATATAATTTTCAAATCAAAATTAAAACATTTTAAAGGCTCACGTCAAGTTTGGAATCTCAACGGTCGATTATCTCGGATTCAACAGCGGCAATTCTCCTTCTCGCCACAATGTCAGCATCAACCTACGCATTGGCTTTAATTTTTCATTTGATTGAATATTCAACGCAATACCAGAAGCATTTTAAATATAATTATTAAGCGTCCTTGTTGGTTTCATCAATTACATTCCTATTAATTGGTGATATCCGATATCCCTGAAAATAATTATTAAAGAATTGAATAATTTTGACGATATCTGAAAAAAAGAGAAAATGCATTTTAAATGCAAAAAACAAAATGAAATTGTGCATATTGTGCAAATTGTCGTCGAATAAAATGTACCATCCGCAAAAAAATTTCAAATGTTTTTCTCCGCACTTTTTTTTTCAAATTTTCCAGATATTTCTTTTTACATAAACCTTATGATCATTCCAAAGCTGTAGAGGAGTGTACATTGTCTGAGACGTCTTCTCCGACGCAATTAATCGAAGTCTCGCAAAAAGCGGATTATTCAGCTCCGGAATTCCCGAAATCCAGTCCCAATCCCGTTTTGTCCAGTCTTTTTGGCTGAAAAATGCGCGAGCGTTGCTCTCAGCCAACGCGGTCACGTGCTCCTAAAATTGTCAATTTTCAGAATATGCCGAACCCATAAAAGAAACCTTGGCAACGGCGTCGAATTGCTGATTCTCGACATTCTTGTAAGTCTCGACGTACTGGCGTTGAACCAATGTGTACTTGTCGCACATTCGACTACAACATAACACTGAAAACTGATTGTGTGGCTTTCTATTAGAATGTAATAGAGGGGTAGTGCGACAATTCGATTTTTTTGAAAATATTAACTATTTAATTATGCTTTTAATTCATAAGAATAAATATTAAAAAAAAAAAACTATTTTTTTTTCTATATAGGAAATTTTCAACTTTTTTCTTCGCAAATAATCGATGAAAACGAGTAAAACCTTTAATAAATATATAAATTCGTGAAGGAAAACCTGTAGAAGCGCGTATTGTATTGTTATGAGGAGCCGAAAACACGCTCATAATTTCTAGGGTATACGGTAGACACTGCGGTGTATGCACACACACACACAAGTTGACGCGCGTATGCAGAGTTTTGTTTTTTTTGTCATTTTTTTGGGTTGGAGGCTGGTTTTTAAGTTTTTGCATGATATTCTTCGTTGTGTCGTAGTCACACTAGTGATATCATTACTATATATTATTTATTGCATATTTTACTTAGTATCTATGTTGTTATGTGTTAGGAATTGCCGATTAAGGACTAATCTATTTGTTGCGCGTTCTTCGTTGCAAATCCAATATTCTAGATAAATTAGTAGTACGGAGAACGTTTTATAGCATATATAAATTGAGGAATTTGAAAAAAAAATTAAATGTGTGCGATTTTTTGTTCGTGTGCAGTGTGTGCTCCCGGGAAATTTTTTCCCGGGAATTATGAGTTGCGGAATTTTCCCGAGCAATTTATTTCCCGGGAAATGTTGAAAATTTCCGAGAAAATCCCGAAGACTCCCGGGAAATTTTAAGGATTCTGTGCCGAATACCCGGGGAAGTCCCGAGACATTCCCGAAGACTCCCGAAGACTCCCGGGAGTCTTCGGGAATTTCCCGAGACTTTCCCGGGAGTCTTCGGAAGTCTTTGGGAATTTCCCGGAAGTCTCGGGAGTTTTCGGGAATTTTGTGGAGATGAAAATTCCCGAAATATTCGGGAATACCGGGAATCTCAAAACGAATACTTCCCGGGAATTCCCGGGAAATTTCCTCCCGGGAGTACACACTATTCGTGTGTAAACAGACAATGCCGTTATAAGTACGGAATTCACGCGTTTCAATTTTTTCGAATTGAATTTTGCTGAAAAGCGTCCGTTGTAATTAGAAATACACAAATCCCATTGCCGCGCACACCCCGATGTGGTTTTTCTTACTCAAAAATCCCAAAATCCCGCAGAAAATGACGAGAACCCACGCGTAGATCTGCGATTCGGCTTCTAAAAACGAGGCGTCCGTCGGCGGCGGATTGCAAATGCACGGCGGGCATATTCGTCCGCCGTCGCTGATTTTCTCGAAACTCGTCGACGCCAAATACGCGTTGAAGATCGTGGTGTTCTTGCACAACTCGGCGTCCTCCATTTTGCAATATTCATGAGCTCGCAAGCATCGAAAATATCTGAAAGAAACGAAACTTGTTGAAAAACGAGGGCTGCGTTTCGAAATTTGAATGAGAACCCGCCATCGAGAAAAACCACAAAAAGCCATGCAAGTGGGGCGATCGATGATTGCACAATTACCTCGATCCATGAAACACACGTCGTTTTCCAACTATGTCGGGTTTCATTCACCCTAGGATTGAGAAAAATGCAAAAAAAATGGGGATTGCGACAAAATACCGAAAAAATGCGCCGTGCGATAATTTCCACGTGGTATTATTAACCATTATCCCGATCAATAGAAGGGCCGCGGTTGGTCCGAACATGAATACCAGTGAATGATAAATATTAAGCGGGTAGGCACATGGACATGCAAACGTCAACTTACGGACCAGCTAAATCGGAAGATTTGAAAATTGTGGTATGAAGAGCATTTTACCGATTGTCCACCAATCGTCGTTGCTATCAGAATGCCATTGAGCAATGAGCTTCCATGATTTGTGAATACGTTTTGGAAAACGGTCACCACCGAATTTATGCTAGTAGTCATTCACTAAATTTTCATCAATTTGTTTTTTTTTATTGAGAAAAAAAAAGAAAATTGTAGAAAAGAATAATAGCCAGCGATGTGTTTCCAAAAAATTGAAGGTATTTTTTCGATTCCCAGTCGCTGGCTTGTAGGAAATGAGGGGTCTTCAATTTTCAAGGAACCTTCGAGAAGTAGAAAATAAACAATGGTTGCCATTGACAACCAAAACCAGACATCGTATAATATCTTTATATTGCGAACAAGTTTATTGAGACATAGAGATAAACACACTAATTTCTGATGAAAATCGCGAGAGCCAACGCGGCGATTGGAGGGAAGATATTGACCAGTGAGCCGGAGCTTTTGCGTTTTTTCACTGGAAAGAAAAAATCAATTCTCGGTGTTTTTACACATTTTCTTCACCTCCGCTCACATCCACTGATCCAACATCGCTGCGTGTCTTTCCGTGGTACGAGAGATTGTCCTCTAAAAAATTCGGATTGCGCTTTCAGGCTTTCAAAGAATTAATATCAATTACTCATCCAAACTCCTTTCGACATCAGAATGTGAAGCTTGGTAGTGTTGAATTCGTTGACAATTGGGTCAATCTTGTGCCTGAAATGGATAAATCCACCAGAAAAAAATGTTAGCGCGAAATGTAGGAATGTTGAGAGAATTAGTAAGGTCCAATCTCAGCCTAGAGCCTCTGCTAGAAATAGTAATTTCTGATAAATTTTCCACATTAGGCTAAAAAATGCAATAATTTACGTGAATTTGCAATACAATCCTTGATCCTCCAAATTATAATCCACCATTTTCAAATCGAATCCCATATCGTTGTCCTGAAAATATGCCGAGTGAAATATATTGAATGAATTGAGGCCCGATAATTTTTGAGAAATTTCGATCCAATTTTTCACACGCAAAAAGAAAATTCCATTTAATGCTCCTTTAAATTTCTACAGTAATCACGAGTTCTAACCTCGTTCAATTCATCGATGGTTCCAATCAGCTTATTCTCATGCTTCTCGTTGTAAGCTAATCCTGCGAGTGATTTTCCAGACTTCTCGCGACCATCATCTCGAAGGCAAAACACGACCAAATCGTCTTCCTAAAAAGATAAAAGCAATTTCATCAAAATTTGAGCTGAACATCATTTCTACCATATATTTGTCGGTGGAATAGGCAATTGCGAGCCATGTCCTGTCAATGATGTTCTTTCCGAGAAGCTCAATCTCCAAATGGGTTCCGTTTGACTGAAATAGAAATAGATAGCAATTAATTAAAGTGGAAAAATTGTCACAATGAAACTGTAGGCGAAATGGCATTGTGCTCCGATGCAATTCCGCGGAAGACCCAAACAATATTTGTTGTCGTCGAGGCAATTGTTGAGCTGCTTCTTGGCGAGCCCCGTTGAGCACAACGAAAGCAACAGAAGCGCGACCTTCAGCATCATGCCGATATGAGATTCAGCCCATCGTCGAGCGCTTCCATTTATACAGATTCCTCTGGCGAGTGTGTAAAGAGAAATAGCGCGCCGACTCGGAGGCTTTTCATAATAATCAGCCCACTCACTCAACATTATTAAAGACGAGCCAATAGATCAATTCAATTTTATAAATGTCTTGATAATTGTTGGAGATTGGTTATCAAGCCGTACACAACGAAGAATGTGCCGAGAGTGATGCAGAACGCATCGAAAATTAGATCGCACACATTCGGCACGCTGAATTTGAATTGCGGCAGAAAGATAAGCATGTGGAATAGCGACGGGAACACGAGGGCGAGCAGCATTCCGGCGGTGACGCCCACCAATGGCACCATGTCCGAGAGGCGCGGAATCGCGTAAGCGAGAAAGACTGCAATTTTTGAAAATGAAATGTGTGCAAATTTGCGTCGGTGTGTACAGACAGAGAACATTTTTTTAGTTCTTCGATATTTAATTTCTCAAAAATTAATTCATTTCAAGGTTTTTTTTGGAAAAATCTTTTGAAACTAAAATGTGTGCAAATTTGCGTCAGTGTGAAAACAGACAGAGAAAATGTTTGTGGAATTTCTTCAAATATTGAAATTTTTTTTTACTCACAAACTAGGAACACAATAAAATATCGAAGTCCAAAATGGCATATCCTCTTGGTTGTCGGCGAGACTCCGCAGCTTCTCTGCAGCTTCCTCTTCAACATTGGCCAAATCATTGCGACAATCGGAAATATTTGAATCAGAAATCCGGTGTAGACCACCAAAAGGAGGATGGCTTTCACAAAAATGCCCAATGTACTATTCGGAAGGTTCAATGTGATTGTGTCGTGCACGTCATCGCCGTAAGCGAGGAATCCGAAGAAGCCGGCGATCGCGTAGATGACGACAACCGTTCCGACGCCGATGCTCAACACTCCGCATGGTCCCGTCATGTCCTGCGGACGCTTCATTCGATTCTCCAATGGAAGGACCATCGCTTGACCCTCGAGAGCGTAGAGAACATCTCCAGCAGCGGTGACCACACCAGGCAGATCGGTTACAGCGGGCAGGTCTGATAGATTTTTATGGGTTGTTGTGAAAAGCTCCTAAAATGTGGAGATTCGGACAAATTTCGAAAATTCGAAACTCACAAACATAATCAAACCAAGGGCAATTATCATTAGTAAATTGCCGAATAATGAGACCAGCGAGAGAGCGCGCATCGATGAGAGGGAGCAGAGAAGAATAAAGAATGGGAGAAGGATGGGAAATAGGGTTTCCCGCGTCGGCGGGCTCTCCAAAAATAATTCAAGAAGCTGAAAAAGAAAAATGATGGTCCGAAAAAACGAAAATCATGGAACCTCGTGAGAATGATAAACGACGAAAATGTAAAAAACGCAGCAAATGCCTAGTTGAAGAACACACAACGCGACATTGACGATTAATCTGTGAGGTCGAAATTGGGGGGAAAAAATCCGAAACGCGAAAATTGTACCTTGAAAACGGCGCGATTTTGTGAAGCGGTTTGAAACTCGCCTTGGTCGCCTTGTACGCCATATTGCCATAATCCAGTGGGGCTGACGATTGCCTTAAAAGAGACGTTTTGCAATTTTTTCGAAAATCCATTTCAATTTTTGATAGCTGATCTTGATTTACTTACATTCGAGGCTTAGAAAATCCCAAAAATTTAAATAAATGATAGCGCTCGAAAATGTGTGCAAACACCGTGACGCAACGAATCACAAAAATAAAAATATAAGTCTCATTTGAATCTTTCTTTTCCATTGGTTTGGTTTTTTCGCAACTTTTTTATCTACTACCATTGGGTATAAAATTTTAAAGGCGCATCGAGTTCGGAAGGCTTCTTTAAAGAAATGTAACCCCGTGTAGGTTATTCGACATGTCTAGGGATCATTGAGATCGAGAGAGGGCAAGACAGCGAAAGAGCTTGCAATAGAAAGAGACGCAGACAGCGAAACACCGTGCGGTAGAGCGGGATCGAACTCACGATCTCTACGGTATGAATCCAAAAATTAGTCCACTGCGCTATTGCGCCGCCCGTGCCCTTCATAAGACGACTATAACTTATATCTTGATTGTCACCCACCGCAGAATCACGGATAAAGGGAGTCAAATAATTTGGGACGCAGGATTTTAAATGAAAATCGATATTTTGTTTTCTTTTAATTGGAAATTGATGTGAAATTTTTAAAATTTTGCCAGAAACCGCCACTTTTTTTTCATAGCTATTCTAAAATAATAGCTTACTTATTAGATAAATATGCAGAGCACTTGACCAGCTTAATCATACATAAAGCGGATAAAAGTCCAAGAATAGATATGATTCCAAGACCGACCTGGAATTTGAGATATTGGCTAGTTAAAACAGCTTTTGTTCCACTTGCCGCATATCCAGATTGCTTGAAAGCAAGGGGGACCGAGAAGCATCCAGCGCCTAGCATTCCTTTCATTAAATTGATTAATGCGAATTTGGATCTGCAAAAAAAGACAAATATGGATCATTTTAAAAAAAATTGCAATTTACCCGCATTTGTCAACATCGAAATCAAAATTTTGCGATTTTCTCGCGCAATTCTGATTTTCGCATACAATCGCAACCATTTTAACAATAATGCGAATAATAATTGATAATAAAAGGGAAAGTTTGTCCCGACTTTTATCTTTGAACTTATGATCCCTTACGATATCTTTTCCTTCGTTTCCAAATATGTCAGCTTTCGACGCGGTGGTCCTAATGCGGCTTCGGTTTCGGCCGCGTTCAACGCCTTCACGTCGAGATTGTATTCTGACATCACGTTGTGCATTCCTACATCGTGCAAGTCCAAAAGTCTCTGAAATTAAAGCTTTGAGACATTACTGAAATTTGTGTAAAGTGTCGTCGATTAAAATGCATAGTCCGCAATCATCTTTTCTCCTTTTTTGCCTTAACCCTTTAAAATGGTTTGACGAGATTTACAAAGATTGACTGCGGACAATGCATTTATTTTGACGACAATTCATATTATACAAGAGAACCTTGTATTTCAATTTTTTTTCGAAAATCTGTGTTTTGAGAGATTGTATACAAGCGAGAGAGTGTATGACAACGATAGAGCGTGCCGTGGAAGGAGACGCAGACAGCAAAACACTTCGCGCTAGAGCGGGATCGAACTCACGATCTCCACGGCTATGAGTCCAAAACTTCCGCCACTGCGCTATTGCGCGCTCTATTCGGGGGGTATAATTTGATGACAAGTGCCACAAAGAGCAGCACCTGCCTTACGCGGCTTATTCACGCGGCTAATAATGAAGTGATGACTTACATCGGTTGCAGCAATCTGAAGGAAGCCTTCAGACATCCGCCGAAGGCCATGTGAAAATCGGCGATCCATTTTCAGATGTTGAAAATCTTCAGAATTCGACTTCTAAATAAAAAAAATGAAGGAAATGACATGTTCTTCAATATCGTAATGAATTGGAATGACTGAAACAAGTTTCGTCAATTAACCAAAGAACAATTTTGGCCAATTTTGGACGGGTTTTTGTTTTCGAGTGGTCATGAACGAATTATCTGCTCATTAAATGGTTGGGTTTTTGAAAAAAAAAACGATAAGTCGAAAACTGATTTTCAACCAATGATCGGTTTTTTCGACGACGCACACGTCTTACAGGTGAAGGTCAGCAGAATGATCATAGAAAAATAATTGAAATAGATCAAAATATTCTGCGGACAAGGTTCCGGTTCGACTAGTTAATTTTTCAACGAGATTTATTCTTCCAAAAAAAATTAACAAAAATCTAATCTTTTCGCATATTTTCAATTTTGTTGGGGGAAAATGTTAGGTTTCTTTATATGTGACAAAAAAAACCAATGAAAAATGCAATTCAGAAAATGTTATTGGAATTATTGAGCCAACATTTTTTTGTTTCCAGAACTCGCAGATAAAATATGATTTCCAGGCAAAAATAGGGAAACATTTAAAATATTGCAAAAAAAATTTTTTTTTAGTTTTTTACCAAATTTTTTCCAAAACGAATTTGCACAAAAAATGTGGGTATCTGCAAATTTCGGAGAATACTCGTTTCTCTTTCAAATTTTCCACAGAAAATATTTCATATTTTGAGATTATGAAACTATTGAACAGTTTAAGCCGATGAATTTTTCCAATTTCTCCCTGAACTTCTGTACCAAAAAAAAGCCGCAACGAACGTGTGGCCTAGAAAAAATTTCCTCAAAAATTGGTTCGGCCACGGCCACACCGTGATGGATTTGTTAATTTAATTAAGTAGAACTAAATGAGTACGTTCATATTGCATATTCTTTTAAATAAAAAATCAATATCAAAATAAAAGTCACAACTAGACACAATTAAAAAAAATTAGTCTGTAATAGTGCACTTGCAGTTTTTTTCTCAGAATTTGTGTACCTCACTTGCATTTTTGCTTTTTGAAATTGTTTAACTTTTCTAGGCCACACGCGCATTGCGGCGAGCTGTGTTTGTCTCAAGTCTCATTGAAAAAAGTTCATACACACTCACGCAAAATTGCACACATTTTATAATTTCCTAAAATGCGCTCGAAAAAAAAAATGAATTTTTCTAATTTTTTATTGAATTTGAATCACCAAATTGATTTTACGTAAAAATCAATAAAAATTTGCCGCAACAATTTTCATTCCCACTTTTCCAAACTTTTCAATTCAATTAATTTCGATAATTTATTCGATATAAATAAATGCTACATATAATTTCAAGGCATTCTTCAATATTCCCATCATTTTCAATTTTTCCTCTCAATTCCAATCAACTGTCCCTCAAAGACGTCGATTCTATTTAATTCCATCTACCGTAATCCTCACTAATCCCAAAGTACGAGTCTCAAAAAAAAACGGTCTCCCGAACCTGCCAGACCATCCCGTACATGACCGACCGGTCTCTCAAAATTTGTGTTGCGTTTATTTGTCTCACCGTTCCTTGTATTCTCTAGACGCAATGTCGGGTCGTTGCCCCCGCCGTTTTACCCTCCAACATTTTTCCTCTATATTCCAACTCCTTTCAATCATATTTACCCAAAAAAAATAATGCATTTTATATATGTATGATTGTATAAATGTTTCTCTTCTCTCGCAGCAACCCGCCAAAAAAAAACACAAAAAAACTCAATTTTTAATTTCTCCAAATGGACCCAAATTTAATAATGCTCGCCCCGCATCGTCCGATGCTCGTCGGCTCATATGAGATTTTTCATTTCGTTTTCGATTTTGCCGCCGATTCAGCTTGCATATATCGCCGATGTCTTATCAAAATTTTATCCATTGTATAGGTGTAATTTATCGCACAATTTTTGTGGGAAAAAAACCCTCCACAACGACTCACATGCAGAAACGTTTAAGATAAGATCGTTTTTCGTTGTCTTGTCGTCATGATTTTCGCTCAAAAACCTTTCCCCTCATTTTTTTTGCCATTTTTTGGAGGTATTGATTTTATACCCCCAAATTTCGAGAATTTATGCAGAAAATTTTGTGTTGCCACTTTTTTTTTCAAAAACTTCCTGCTGATAATTTTCCATCAGAATGAATCACTCGAAATTTTTTTTTCTCGTTCACCCAATTTCATCATCACGCGTAATTTCTGGATAAGGCTTTGGAAAAAAAAAACAAAATTTTTTATTTTCCCTCAATTAAATAAAAAGTGCTTTGTTTAATTTTTTTTCTTATTAATTTCTTCCTCTATTGTCAAATGTTTCATAACTTTGTTCTGAATTTTGAAGAAATGCATTTGAAAAAAAATGTGTGCAAATTTGCGTCGGTGTGTCAACAGACAAATAAAATTTGAACCTGTTTTCTCGTTTTGATTTTTTTAAATAATTTTTTCGGTCCCTAGAAATTGAAAAACTCACATTTCAAGAAATTTGAAAATCAAAACTCATAACCAAGGACCACAATAAGAATTTTTTTTTGGTGACCGCAAACCATTTCTTGTCAATACTTTATTCGATAATAATTATTCTACTAGGCCGTCGCCTTTTGATCGATGATGCACCACGGCTCGGCGGGGCCGGGTCATCGCAAAACGACGACTGTAACGCCGGCGAGCTCGCTTCGCGGCAACGGCTACACGAGCGCCGGCGTCGCGGCGACAAGCCGCGCGCCTCTCTCGCGTCACCACGAAATGGACTTTGGCAAAATGTTCATGGCGATGGAGCGCGGTCACAAGGTGTGCAAACTCGCCGTCCTCAAGAAATGGGATCCGGCTTACAAGTTGCTCACACTCGACAAAGAATCCCGCCAAATATTTTTGTTCAAGTTGGAGCCGACCGCCGTGCGGTGTAAGCCGCAAGTGCTCGATATTCGCCAGATTCGAGAGGTTCAAACGCTCGATTATAAGCTGAACACAATCAAAATTGATGACAAATGGAGAAAAGATCGCGAAATAATGGCGTTCGATCCATACAAAATCCTCATCATTTCCTATGGAATGTCATTCGCCTTGTCCTATTGGGTCCTACTCTATGAGACCGCGGAGGCGTGCAAGCTGTGGTCGGTCGGTCTTCACAATCTGATGATGGAAACCAGAGATCGGTTGGAGTCGAAATATGAATTGATCTATTCTAAGCTTACTTTCAGGGATTCCTCACCTCATCCATTGCGGATTGAAAGGTTCATTCATAAGCATTATTTGGCTTTGATGTCGCCAGGAACCGAAGCGTAACATTTTCAGAAGAAAGCTCGCTGAATATCATTTTTTTTACCATTTCAGAGTTGCCCGAAAGCATATGAAGCCATTCGTGCAGACCTCCCTACAGTTCAATGTACAATCCAAAGAGCTTCAAGAGATCACCGAAGATCTGATGACATTCGAGCAATTCAGCAATGCGAGTCGAATGTTGATTCATGTTCCCGAGGTTCTACAATTCCAGAAACAAATAGAAATAATCAATTTTGAAGCTATTCAATTCGAGATTCGCCGATTTGGCCGAGTATTGCGAAAAGCGCGGCACACAAATCGTCACGTTTCAAAATTTTCTCCGCTTCCTCGACAACAAACAATTCGACGAGCTCGCGTCGAATCGAACACGCGCGTTCGAATTCCTCAATCGCTACCTTCATCAAGATCATTGCTCGCAGGCGGATCGCAGTGAGCCGCTTCTCACGGTGCCCGAGTTTTGCGATTTCTTGTTCTCCAGAGAGAATTCGTTGTGGGACCCGACGAACGAGAAGGTGACGCACGATATGACGCGACCATTATCGCATTATTGGATCGCTAGTAGCCATAACACATATCTAACCGGCGACCAACTACGCTCTGAATCGTCACTCGATTGTTACGCACAAGCACTTCTTATGGGTTGTAGATGTATCGAATGTAATTCGTGAATAGCCAACATCAGAAATCGAAAATTGAGAGCAAATTTTCAGTAGATTGCTGGGATGGCCAGAAAAAGGCGGGACAAAACGAGTTTTACGACATTATCATATATCACGGGTACACAATGACATCGAAAATTTTCCTTCGAGACGTTCTCCACACAATTCGACATTACGCGTTTGTTACCAGCGAGTGAGTTGGCGTTTTTAGCCTCCACAAATTTGATGTTATGCAGATTTCGAAAAAAAACTTTTTTAAAAATCCAAACCTCGGCCGCGGCCATGTTTTTCTTAGCCACCACAGTTTGTATTATTATTCGCAGCAAGAATCACGAAATTTTATTAAATGTATAAGCGTGTAACCATAATAGAAAAATAGGAACCGAAATAGAAAAACATAGATTTAAAAAATTAAGTCGTTACGGTTAAAGGCGCATATGACAAAATTTATTGACTTTTGCAGCGATTCAATAAAACTGTGGTACTGTAGGCTTCCAAAAATTCGCTTTACCATTTTTTTTTAAGTTTTTTTGCGAAATTTGCGTAGTACCATTAGAATTGGACAAATTCCAGATATCCGGTCATCCTGTCGATTGAGGATAATTGCTCGGTTCCAGCGCAACGACTATTGGCTCAGGAGCTCAAGGAGATCCTCGGCGATTATTTATTAACACAGCCGGTGAATCGCGACGAGACGTGCCTTCCCTCGCCAGCGGCGCTCAAAAAGAAAATTATTGTGAAACACAAAAAATTGCCGGTTGAAAGTGAGGATCTCGCGGTGATTGTGAAGCCTGACGAATGTGAGAAAATAATACAAAAATTTGAATTCTCCCTCAAAAATAATGATATTTGTAGTCCAAGACACGGATATAATTTCACGAGAATGTGTCAAAAAAGGGATTTTGTCGTTAAAAAACAGCACAAGTCATGAGTGGACATCGCACGTGTTCATATTGTTCGCCGATCGTCTTTGTTATCTGCTAGACACCACTGACGAAGATAGTCTCAAGGAGGACACCATCAGCATGAGTGGAGACGATGATCGTGAGGAGGAATCGCCGACGGGATTCGGAGTGAAACCCGAAGAGATGCACGTCACCGAGGAATGGTTTCATGGGCATTGCGAGCGCGTTTCACTCGATTCCTCGAAATGCCCCACGTTTTCAATTCAGGAGGCGAAAAAGAGGATTTTGGATCACAAAGAAAAGGGCAATGGATTGTTTATGATTCGCGACTCCAATCTTTTCATCGGCGATTTTTCACTATCAATTTTGCATGAGGGCAAAGTCCATCATGTTCGAATCCGATCCAAAATGGTTGACAGTAAGTGGCCATTCGTATTGTTTTGCCTTGTAACCAATCAAACCAATTCCAGAGGAGAAGAAATACTATTTCATGGAGAACAAGATGTGCGACACACTCTATGAGCTTGTTTCCTATTATACTAGGCATTATCTGACGACTGCCTCCTTCAAAATGGTGCTCACAACACCCTGCCCCCAACCTCAACCCCATCTGAATCAGCCTTGGTTCTCGCCGACTGCCGACAAGGAGAAAGCTGAAGAGTTGTTGAGTTTGGCGCCGGAGGATGGAGCATTCCTTGTGCGCACCTCATCAACTGACAAAACCGTTTTTGTGCTCTCCTTGAAGTAATGCTGCATTTCTAATGGAAATTTTTACTATAGTGATTTCTATGTAGGGTTGACGGCGAATTTTGGCACTATCGACTGAAACGCGATGGGCGTATTTTCGTGGTCAATCAGAAGGTTTTCGAGAATCTTAACCAAATTATTGAGTACTATACGAATCGTGAATTTGTTCGCGGGATAAGTTTAAGATTTCCGGTAAGTCGATCATAAGATCATGTGCCAAATTTTAATATATTAGGTGAATGAGAAGGACATAAGCCATTTGACCGCTGAGATGGCAGAAGCTCGAACTCCGGGATGCTATATGGAGCTCAAGGATTTGGACAAAGAAGTCCAAGCGCGATCATTGCGGCCTTACCGTGGGACCGCTGACGACGAGCTCTCGTTTCCAGCGAATGCGACTATAACGGTGCTGAGGAAGGAGGAAGGATTATGGCGCGGCCGGTATGGATCAGCAGTTGGATGGTTCCCGTCGGCTCATGTGCAGGAAATTTTGCCGGAAAAAATGACAAATGGTATTTGAGAATATATATATGAATTTTAGAGAAAAAGGATTTTCAATTTAGAAAGTAGCAATTATAATACGATTGAACTTGCCGGGACCCTTATTGAAAGGATTCACGATGGCGATCGGCCGAATATGATCAAAATCTCGCAAAGTGCTCAACCATGGCTCAACAAGCAACATTATCTACTTTCGGCGTCTTGTGAGAAATTTTGCGGAAATTTGAATTATTCTCAAATTTTTAGCTCCTGAGGAAGCCGACGAATGGCAAAACAATCTTCTGGATCTGACTAGAAATGTCAATAAGCAGATGAGCATTTTGCGAACGAAAGAGAAGGAGAAGCGAATTGCCGCTGAGTTGTCGAACCTCGTCGTTTATTGTCAAGCGGTGCCATTTGAGCCGGCCCATATTTACAACAACTCATTTTATGAGATGTGCTCATTTGTTGAAGGAAAACTTGAAAAATTGATTGAAAAAGTTTCAATTTTATAGAGAATTCAATGAAATTTGAACAATTTGAAGGGTTTGATACCATTCAACACTCGAAAATTGTCGCGGGTCTACCCAAATGGAAGTCGAATCACCTCAGCAAATTACAATCCAATGCCGATGTGGAATGCTGGATGTCATATGGTAAATTGGTCATAATTTATTACCAAATTAATTTTTTTGAATTTTTAGGTTGCTTTGAATTATCAAACCGGCGATAAGCCAATGCAGCTCAATCAGGGCAAATTCATGGCAAATGGACGATGCGGTTATGTTTTAAAGCCTGACTACATGATGGCTGATGATTTTGACCCAAATAGTTCTGAGAAGGTAGATTTGAAAAACGAATTTTGAATAGAGAATAGAAATTGTATTAAAATTGCATAAAAGTTAAAAGAATTGAAAAAAAAACACGAAAATTCAATGAACATCAAGTCTGAAATTTATGCCTTGTGCAAATTGTCATCAAATAATATGCATTGTCCGCAACACTGTTTATTCAGTTTTTTTTAAATTTCCATAATTTTACTGAATTTTTCGAATTGCCTACTGTACATTTTCAGTTTTCAACCGCTTATCCGATTCGTTTAAATGTTCAAGTCATTGCTGGAAGGCATCTCTCAAGGAAGGACAAAAACAAGGGAATTTGTTCGCCGTTCGTCGAAATTGAAGTCTGCGGAATGCCGTGTGACTCAAAAACGTATCGAACAAAAACAATTGGTTTGTTGTTATTAAAATTACAATTTTCAAATTCTATTTTTAGCATCAAATGGACTGAATCCAATCTGGAATCAAACGTTCACTTTCGAAATAATGTGCCCAGAAGTGGCTCTTCTTCGGTTCTACGTGGAAGATGGCGATTTTGTTGGTCCCAAAACGGATCCTTTCATTGGCCAAGCAGTGTTCCCTGTGGACTCAATCCGGTGCGGTTTTCGATCTGTTCCACTCAAAAACCAGTGCAGTGAGGAGTTGGAGCTGTCCGCGTTGCTTGTAGATGTTCAAATGTGCTCGAGAGATGGATCAAAACTAATCCGCTCATCATGCAATGTCCTACAGGTTCAATTCCTTTCGGCAACTAAATATCTGTATTGAAAAATTCAGGACTCCCGTTTGGCGCAAGTATTTGTAAATCGCAAAGCCACCAATGGCGATAGTATTCCCCGTGAAATGGCACCCAGATTGCGTGGTGCCGAACGATCAATCGAATCCCCAACACATTCCGAATCAAGATTGCCGCTACTCGAAGAAAGGCAATTAGATAGCCAAGATTCGACAGAAAGTGCTGAGTAAGATAGAAGAATTCCACTGAATTATTTTTATCGGCCAATATTGCAGCAAAGCTTCAATTGCTTCAAGCACCGTCGGCAAAAAGAAGCCGAAATGGCTGTCGAAGCTTTCGTTTGGAAAGAGTCGCAATTCTTGAAACGCTTGTCATCATGTATTGCTGAATGATCTCGCATAATTTCATTATTTATGGCTTTAAAAAGTTTATTAAATAAAATTGATATAGATTTGGAAATTTAGAGAAAAATGAAAGGATCATAAACTGCATATAATGATATATAACCAAACGTGACCGAGAAATATAGAAACCATTTAAAGATTCCAACTTCTACTTCTCAACAAGCCGACGGAAAAAATGCTCCAATTCATAATTCTCGGCTATTTGGTTTTCGAGGTAAGGCTTCATCGGCCTATAATTATCCATATGCGCATGTCGTCAGATTTTGCGTCTCTCTCAGCTCCCGGACGTCAATAATGTGAAATTTGTGCCACCAACGGTAATAAAATTTCAAGCAAGTCTAATACGATAAAAATTGAGCAATTTCAGACAGAAGCACCAAAAAAGACAACAAAAGCCGAATGAATTGTTCGATTTTAACATGAATAAATGCCTTTTCTCTTTTCAAGTGCCTTTTGACCTACTCACTATTTCATTTCCGATTTTTTCCGAGAATGACGAAGAAAGAAAAAAAAAACAATCGTATAGCTGACGTTCGGCATAAATGTTTTTTTTTCTCTTTCGTTTCCATTTTGTTTTAATTTCGCCATTGTTTTATTAAACATTCTTGTATAAAACAAAAATAAAACGCCTACCCTACCGTAAAAGCAATTCAAATATTCTCGTCGTGGACCGCGTCTGTCTCCGGAGTTGCTTCGATTCTAATCCGGCTTACACACGGGTGCATTTGAAATCCGTTTTCGGCTTGAAATTAGACACCATTTTGCGTTTTCTTCTTCTTCTTCAAACGCCGCCACCTTTTTTGTTTATTCTTGACATTTCAGGACCAATATGTCATATCGACGTAGTCAGCACCGACAAGTGCCAGTCGAAAGGCGTCAGTTTTCTTTTTTTTTTACCCAAAATTTCAATTTCCATTTTAGGCCATCGTTCGTCCCATAGCGTTCCATATCATTCTTTGGTTGAAACTTATTCCAAAGAGGTTACAACAAGGTACAATATTTCTTCAAAATTGCTCATCCCAAAAAAAAAAAGGAAAAAATGTTTTTAGGCCGTTAGTACGTGACGACTGCGAAATATACGAGGAGCCGATGCACGAAAAGTGGCGCGACAAAAAACTGCCAAATTTCCAATTCAACTATCGAATTTCAGGTATTGCGACTATCCAATTGTCAAGGTGAACACACCAACTCGCAATTATCATCATCATCATCAACAACATCATCAAGAAGTCATCGGCTTCGACGAAGTTCAAAGCTATCGTCAGCACACGAAAAATGTGCCCGTCTGCAATGTGATTCCGCCGACGCCGAAGATCGATGAGCCGAAGGTGACGGCATGCAAGCGCCCTTCAACGATTGCAGAGAAGTGCGTTCGAAGCGATTCCAAAGAATCGCGCTACGTCTACACCCACGACGTCTTCATTGATCCGCAGAATGGAAGACCCTACACGCCGGGAAGACACGAAACAATCGATAGTAAAAATTGTCACAAATTGAAGATTAATGTAAGGAAGAAAAAGCAAATTATTTATAATTTATGCATTTTTAGGTGTACTTTAAACCGCCACAACTTCCAGTTTCACCAATGTATACTTTGGATGAGGTAGAGATCGAAAAACCGCTAGAATGGTAGTGAAAAATAAAATATCGAAACGATTTTCCGATTTTCAGTCCCCCAGAGCCACGCCCAATTAGCCGCGGGACTGTGAACACGACATCGTTGAAATCCGATGTTTTTGATTTGTAAATTTCCCTTCGAGACCTTCAAACTCCACAATTTTAAGGAAGAATGATCGACGAACTCCAAGCCGCAGCACGATCCTTCGGCGAACTTCCGAAGTCGGCTACGCACCTCTCCCGAATCCCTGCGATTACACATCGATCAGGTCCGATTCGCGTATTAGCCACAAGACGCCGACGAGAGATTTGCCACTCATCGACGACATGTGTAAGACGGATGAGAAGAAAGCGTCGAGCATGGAGAGGTGAGCGCAATTCGCATTACGAATATCCATGACAACATTGAAGGTGTCGGACGACGGAGAAAATTATACCAATTACTGTGAGTGAGAGTAGTAAGTCGTGCGAGCAAATCCGGCACAAAACTCCGAGTCCGGACTGCAAGCCTCGCGCCCCTTCAGTTCAGAAGGCGAAGGAACGCTGTCCGCCGACAGAGGAAGTCATTCACATTAGGGAGCGTTACGAGCGCGACGAGACCATTCGAAGATTCTACCCAACTACTACAAGCGTTTAAAACGATTGCTTTTCATATTCCGCTTGCTTTTTTTTCGGAAGGACGCTGCCTTTTAAAAGTGAAATGCTTTCAAATATTACAGCTTGTTTAATAATAAACCGTTTGAACGCAGTATTTACATGTAGTCTATTCTCGGCGAAGTTGATCAAGTCGAGCTTGAAGATCGTCGTCAATATCGGTGGAAGCTCCGCCTCCACTAGTTCCAGCAGCACCACCTGCAGCCACAGCTTGTCTTCCAGACTAAATCGAAAAATTTATAATTTGAAGAATATAAAATGGAATGTTATACCTTCTCCCCTGCCGTTAATCCTCCCGCCGCCGATGGTAAGCCGGCCATCTCTTCGCCCATTTGGATACCGAGCTCATCGAGCACTTGATTCACAATCTGTTCGCTTTCCTCATCGTCGCCGGCTTCGCCGAGCGCATCGTCAATCGCGTCACCCATGATTTCTTCCTTCATATCCATGATTTCAGATTGTTTCTCGAACTGAAAAAAACGGAACACTTAAAAATTTTTCCTTTGTGCATTTTTTGAACCTCCATCATAATTTTTTGAATTTGTGGCAAATTTAATTGTCGATTCATCGATTGCATTGCGCGAGTCACACCCTTCATGGCGCTCGCCATCGCATCCTGACTTTTCAGCGTTTGAACTTTGAGAGAAACCGCTTGAATATTAGCCTTCATCATGATGAATTTCTTTACATATCGTCGAGTTCTCACAAGATCTTTTGCCATCACTTTAACAGAGTCCTACAAAATTCGCTAATTAACCTAAAATTAGCCTAAAAAATCGAATACCATTTGATTTTTCTTCGCCATTGCTTTAATGTCCGCGATGATTTTCTTTTCTTGTTGCTCCATCCTTGCTCGTTCGCGATCAAGCTCACGAATCGCCTTGTTCAATGCTCGTTGATTTTGCCGGAGCATTTCGGCGGGAGTTTTACGACGACCGAATAGGAAATCCATCTTAAAATGCTACAAGAAAAATTTTTATCAATGAATCAGCATTGATTTCGCAACGAGTTTATTATTCGATAAATTTCAAAAATAATCTCAGCAAATCGCGCCGTAGAAACGGCGGTGAATAGCGAGTAAAACGGCGGCAGATGATCGGTGAAGAAAACAGACACTTTCGTTCCTCCAACTTTCCACCGCCGTTTCTTCGAAATTGCACGCGTACGCGCGGAGTGTCGTACTGCCTTCGTTTTAGTACTTTCAAACTATTGTCATATTTCACCACGTTTATTGTTTTTTTGAAAGTACTCGCGAAAAACTGGAATAATTTATTACAAAAAAAAATTATTTAGTCATTTGGCTGCAAAAAATTAAATTTGTCCTCCGTGTGATGCCACTTTCTGTGATAACGTTGAAATTGTAGACGAATTCGTAATTCTATAATTCCTCGAAAATTCAATATCACTACTTAACTGTAAAGTCGAATCCGAACTGAAGAAATTCAAGTTTAAGAGATTTACATTAAGAATTTACCTCTTTTCGGTTGTGAAATAACTGTCCGCTATAAACTTTTTCGCCATATCCGCAATCGATAGTTGATTAGTCATTAACGATAAGTAGCAGTGCGTTTTTTCAAAACTTGCAGTTGAAGTTGTTGAACAATTGCCGTATCTACGAATCAACTCCACACAGTGATCAAAAATCAGCTGGAATTGCTACCATTCTTCTGTTTTAAACAAGTCAATTTTCTTACATGCATTTTAAGCGTATAGAATTCGCTATTTTCATGTCCAATATATCCTTTTATGAAATTCGAAAGTTGTTGGATTGCGTAGAGATGAGCTTCGGTCCTTGCCATATATAGCAAGTTGTTAAATATGAACAAGCAAGCCAAAAACGTGGTTTCCATGATGCGAGGAAACTTAAATGTCATTGATAACGCAGCAAGAGTAAACTGAACTGACTGAAAAATATAATCAAATGTCCCAACTTTAAAATTGCTCACTTTTCTTATCTCTGAACCGGTCGCACGCGAGAATCTTTCTGGGCTAGCAAACCTGCAGGGCGTTTCCGGTGGATCTATGGTATTAATCAGAGAACATGAAAGTGCCTGAACCACCCTAGTCGAAATTTTCAACCGAGGCAAATTTGAACCGCGCCCAAAAATTTGTTCCAATAAATTTTTCAAAAACCCTTCGGAAAGGTAATGAAGTTCATCGAACGGTTGATTTGATGGGCTGGCAAGAATTGACAGAATGTCTAACAATTCATATTTTAGATGTAGGTTTGAAGGGAATTGCTTACTTAATTTTCCGCTAGCTCTCATCATATTCATTACATCATTCGCAGTTCTTGAAGGGTATTGAATGTCGGAAAAAAAAGAAACCGCTTGCCGACCCGATTTCGAACCAATGATCGTGCAAAGTGTGCATCCCTGTGTACTTGCCCAATTCGGAAGACCACAGATCTGACACATGCCCTATATCGTAATGTTTCATTATGTACCAAGACAAGCTTGCCTTGAGATCCAAAAATGATACAGCTGGCTCGACCATGACGGAATATTTGACCCCTTCGTATTGTATAAGCAGTGGTGAAGTTCTAAGAAATTCTACTTCGTGCATTAATCTAAAATAAGCATACAATTATATATATAGCCGCGAATTTTTCATTACCTGAATGTGATGGTGATATTCATGCGTTTTGACGATTATTACAAGTTTTTTATTATCTACAGTTTCTTCTTCAATAACATCATTGACGTTTTCAACAGGTAAAAGACGAACTCCATAGCCCCGAATTCGCGCGTCTACAAAATTTTTTTCCTTTATGCTGATCACAGATATACCATTCTCTTCTTTCGTCAATCTACTCCTTTTCATGTTGAAACGAACGTTCTGGAAAAACCATTCTCATCAAATCAAACTTTCAAATTTAAAAAGAATGTAGTATTAATTATATTAAATCTTAAAACCAATAGAAGGTTTTAAAACAATCAATACATTATAATTAATTAATTACAAATTAAAAAATTCATAAAATTAATTTAAATAAATCTTCATTTTGAAATTTAATTAAAACTTTAAATGAAATTTAAATAAAATCGAAAATTAATTTAAATTAATTTTCGTTTTTTTTAGAAGGTTGTACGACACTACTAATATTACACATAGCCCACGGTTTAGCGCGTTTAGTAAACCATCGTTCCACCGCCGTTTCACCGAAACTCGCTATTCACCGCCGTTTCTACGGCGCGATTTGCTGAGATGCTAATTTTAATCTAAGAAATTATTTTAAATTTTAAGAATGCGTAAAAAAGGGTAATACTTTTTTATTACTGCACAAACTCGCCGAAAAACCAAACGAAAAAAGTGTTTAAGTTTTTACAAAAGAAAACGCAATGACGCGCAATGGTTCATTCAGTGTTTGCGGACCAAACACCACAACCAGCGTCAATATTCAAATTAAAAATAACAATTCAAATTTTTCTCTTTATCAAAACATTAATTTTCAATTTATTTTTTCTCCACAAATAATCAATTCATCGATGATTCACCGATCGGGTTCAATTGTGATGCAGCTTCTCCCATTGATGATTTTGTCTTCTTCTTTCCCGATGACTCTTTCTCATCCAAAACGAAATACTCAAAATGCTAAAAAAAATGTCATTGAGTAAAGTAATTCAATTTTCCTACCTTAATCTTGGAATATTGCAGTGTGGGTCTTTTGTAAATAAAAATTCGCGCCCCATTTAGGCCGATCATTATAAACGCCGTTAGAAAAAAGAAAGCGCATCCAATCAAATTGTAATAGCTCAAAAGCTGGATATCTAAAGCTCTGATTTGCATTAAATATGCTTATAAAGTTTAAAATACCTGCAATCGTCTCGTCGACTATTTCGCCCATCGTTTCTTTGAAATAATTCGGTGAGATCACGTTATTTCAGAAATGTCCACGTCAACAACTCGCTTTTGCACCGACTATGGTAAACGTGTGGCGAAATGCCAAAAATGTAAAATGCAACTCGAAAAGGGGGTACGATTTTTGGCAAAACTAATTTAGAAAATGTGCAATTTTAATTTTTAGTCTCTTCGTCTTGGAAAAATCGTTCCCAATTTTTTCTTGGCCCAGAAAGACGACAGCAAACCGCCACCGGATATGAAACAATATTTTCATAAGAATTGCCTTTTCGAGATGTTATTCAAGGCTCGTGCAACCACAAAAGTTATCGAATCGACAGAAGACCTCGAAGGGTTCGATGATTTGAATGCGGAAGATCAGGATGATATTAAGAAGCTAATTGGAGAGCTAATGGAGAAGAGAAGCAAAGATGGCGATGTTGTGAAGACGCCGAAAAATGCGAAGAAGCCGCCGAAAAAAAGTGATGAGACGGAAGAAACGGTCTGAAACTCAAATGGTATTCAATGGGACATCACATTTGCAGATGGCAAAAAAACCTGAAAAGCGTAAAATTGACGAAGCGAAGCCACGAGAATTCGACGAGACATCGAAATATAATTCGTTATACAAATTTTCCAAAGCTTGCGAGGTTATTGGATCCCTTGACTCCTCGAAAGAAAAGAAAGCGGCGATTAATGCAATGGTCTCGAAAGGTATTTTTTGAATTGAGCATTTTTTTTTCAGATTTTCAAAAAATTTGCAGACGATTTTGATGGCGACCTTCGCGTTTGGTTGGTTCTTCTTCTTCGCGAGAAAGACGAAAACGATTATCATGTCAATGAGGAGAATTTGAAAAAATATTTTGCCAAGATTCTGAACACTGAAGAAGATGAATTGGAAGCTGGTGATAATGGGGATTTGAGTCAAAAAATTCGCGAAAAAGTTGAAAGTATTCGAAAAAATGGCAAAAGTGACTGGAGCATTCAAAAAGTTGGATTTTCTTCTAATTTTTAAGTTTTAAATCGAGGTTTTCAGGCATTACGATATCTGGAAAAACTCGCAACAATTTCTGATGATGATCAAAGGCAATCGCATTTTAAATTTGCCACAAAAAGGTGATTTTACGGTTTCTTACATTTTTATTTTTTTTTTTTTGATTTCAGATTGAGCCCCATCGAGCTTCAATGTCTTATTCGACTTTCACTAAAAGATTTACACACTAACCTGACTGTTCGTGAAGCATTTGATGCTATTCATCCAAACTGTTTTAAATTTTACGAGAAAAATGGCGAAAATATTGAGAAAACCGTAGAAAAGTAGGCAACAAAAAAATCTCAAATTTCATCTGAATTTTCAAAAATTGTTAAGGTATTACGCGGGAGCACTAGAGGAGCCGAAAGCGAAAAAATCGAGTGAGCCGCCATCGAAAAAATCGCGAAAACCCAAAAAAGAAGAATCCGATGACAGGTGAATTCAGTGTTAATTCGCTTCGTGTCCCTAGATGTCTTTTAATAAAGCTTAATTAATTATTCAATTCTTTTCAACAATATTTAGCGAAGCAATGTCTGAGTCTGAAGAGGAAAGTTTTGTGAGTGATGATGATGATGACGTCGATTCCGACGCTGATTCTGATGATTTGGTTTCCGACGGCTCCAGTGAAGACGTGAGCAGCAGCAGTAGTTCGGAAGACGATGACAATTTCGAGAAAGCTCGCGAGAAACTGAAAGTGCCACGTGGCACTCGGTCGAGACCTCTCAGTAACAAAAATACGGAGGAAAAGTGCCCGCCTGGAATGACTGCATGCTGGTGGGTGTAGTAAAACTGAAGTGTATTTTGAGTGCAAATTTTAGGTATGGTGCTCAATGTTATCGTAAAAATCCGGAACACAAGCAAGAATATTGGCATCCCACTGCGAGCAAATAACACATTGCACCAATTTCAATAAACTCATTCATTTCTTTGAGCATTATTGCTAGTAGTGTGACTAACATTCGCTGTTGAGGGTGGCGTATCGAAAGTAGGCGTCATTAGAGATTCTTCCATTTCAATTTCTTCTTTCTCACACTCCATGACATCTGAACAAATTACAACCATTTTTGGGAAGTTCGGTTTTTATAGAGGATCAGCCCCAAAATTCAGCTCGCGAAGGCTTGGCTTCGGCGGAGAGCACCAGCGTCAAGAAAAACTCTATCAACCGGCTTCGCGCTCCAAATCGAGCCCGCGTTCACCATCCCTCTAACTCAGAGAATGGATTGAGTTTTCATCTTTTCCTCTGTCTAACGCGTTGCGACACCGCGCGTAGCATACAACAAGTTGCAACAGACACTTTGCGGGTTTCGCTACCCTCTATGAAATGTGTTGCGGAGACTCCGCCCACTCCGCCCGCATTGCCTAAAGTTTCATTTTGAAAAATCGAATACCGTACTCATTGGCATGCAACGTGTTGTGATCACTGGCAAGTTGGTATTAGTTAAAGAGCCGGAGTCGTCTAATAAAAATTTCCTAGAAATTAAATGGAATCCTAGCCGAATTCTGCCCTAAATTAATGTTAAAAAAGGGGAAAATTAAAATTTTACACCTGCAAAAAGTACATTATATGATTCGATAAAATATCCATTATTAAAAATACGACCAAGTAGACAAAAATGAAAAAGAATAGCTCATTTGGTGTAACATCTCCTTGAAAAAGCGTAGGCTTTTCATGAAAAATCGTCATTTTCACCTATTCCAATAAGCATAACTGAAATTGCGTTGAAATATAAGGCCAATGGATACGCTAAATCTTCAACAATCTTGAAAATTTTCCCTCGTTTTAAAATTTGAATAAAACGGTCTCACAGCGAAAATCCAGCTAGAAACGCAAAAAATCGAAAAACATGAGCAAATCGATGCGGTAAAAATGATATAATCCCTTGGATAACTCCCAATTGAACTATAATCACGAGTAATTATATCATAATCAACATAATGAAGGCTATCCCATGTCCGCCGAATACTGAAATATGAAATATTAATGGTAGTTTTGAGGCTTGAGTACAATTTATAAATTTTTTTAAAATACTCGACTCCCTTGTTGGCAAGGAAAAGCATGAATCGCGCAATCAATGTGCCGAATTCGAACTGAAAATGTTGAAAATGGTGATTTTCCAAAATTAAAACCTTCAAGGCGATATAAAATGGTATAACTGCGACGGCATAAAGGACACTCCAAAGCCGGCCGCCGGCGGTATGTGGATACTGAAAACGTATTTCTCATCAAATTTCGACAAATTTCAAAAATGCTTACAAAATTTCCATACCCAATTGTTGAATGAATTGTCCAAGAAAAGAAAAACGCGCGCTCGAATGAATTAATTTTCGATATTCTGCAAATTTTCAGATTTTTTGAATGAAATTCAAAGCAAAAGCTCCGACGATTTCAAGCACTCGTCAAGCTCCTCAATGATATCTTCAAACATCAGCGACGAGTTTTGAGCAAATCTGAAAATTCGAGTAAAATTTTGTGATTATCTTTTTTTTATCCAATAAACCTGATACATTTCGAGTGCGAAAACTCTTCTGTCGAATCCCCGACGTTTTCAATAAGCTAAAAAAATATTATAAAAGAAAAATGGATGAAATTTCCATACCAAAAGCATTGCAGATCCAAAAATGGTAATAGCAACAAGTGTGATCGCAATCATTCCTGTCACCAGAAATGCTGTCTTCTTTTTAAATTTTTCTCGACTCGCTGGTGATAATCGGCTATAAATTGACTCAAAATGTTCAATTTGTCACTCTTCAATCAATATCGTACGAGAAATCGACTTCTCATACCAAAAATGGGGAAAATTCGAATAAAAAACGACCGCTTTTTAGCCCCCCGACACGCTAAATTGAGGGCGATGTGTACATGGAGTGTCGTACTCGTAGAGTAAAAAAGTTTTGGGAACCTAATTTTATCCAATTTCAAGAATTTTGCGATCACAATTTCAATTTAAAAAGTTGATTCTCGCGAACATTAAAAAATACACTGGAAAATATATGAAATTAAAAAATCAATAGAAATTTTACCTCAAATTCGACAAGCGATCCGAAATTGAATTCAATTCATCAACTTTATTCTTTAATTATGCGCGAATTTGTACAAAAACAAATCACAAAATTAACGATGAAAATAAAAAAAAATAATCACACACCTCTTGTAAACGATACATCGCACTCATTATTGTTAAACTTTCGATATGTTTTATTACAACACAAAATTCTTAAGAAATGGACATTTTCAATCGTAAATAGAACGATTGGCGTCTAAATATTCTTTTTTTTACGAGTTTTTGGTTTCAAATGATTGATCGATGGCGGGAAATTCAATTTCGCAAATTCAGAGTAAATATGCAACTTTGTCAATTGGTGCGCGTACGCTAAAATGCAAAGTCTGCAGACACACAGTTCAGTTCGCTTTTCCTGGAGACACGATGGTCATTAATTTTTTGTAAATTTCGATCAGTCGTTTGAAACCGACATTATATGGTTAAAACAACACAAACTTATGTACAATTTAAGGAGCACCGGTGTATATGGAAAGGTTAGTGAGAATTGAAAAAAAACAAGTAAGGAATAAGAACATTACTAGCAAGTAAATGATTCCACGCTGCCTTTTATTCGACTTTCTTCGGCTCTTTTTTCACTGATCCAAGCGGATCGCAGCTATCTTCGTCCAATGCCTGTCGTTCATGCCCGAAAAATCCATCAGATTTCGCCATGGCGATCGTCAAATGGGTGTTGTGGTACTCCAAGAACGTTAATCCACCAACTAGGAATGATTTCAGCAAAAATGGGACCTTGTGGTCTTGGCAGAGAAGGAAGAAGAGCAAGTAGCAAACTGGCAAGTGTCTGAAGGAAATGTAATTTTACAATTTTGAAGTGGTCTCTAATACCTAAAAAGGAAAAGGCATAGCATATTCGCGTTAATAAGGGCATCCATTAGATCAGATTGCTTTTTCGAGCCATATGCTATTCTCACCATTGTCCGCAGATGGAGGAATATTGTTTGAACCTGAAATAAATTTTAGTTTTTTCCTGGAAAACTTCTTACCTCAACAAGAAGCGCAATCATGGCAAGCCCAAATAGTCTTCCCGTCATGAGAATAATAGTAAACGAGATAATCACCTACAAAATTGAGTAATTAATGGGCAGTTAAAGAAAACGATTTTTTACCAACGAATGATGCACAAGATACTCCTTCGAATTCTCTAATTCCCCGTGTATATACATATCGGCAAGATCATAAATAAAATAACCCATCGAGAACAAAAATACATATTCGGCATAATGCTTGTGATAGTCATAGGGTTCTCGAACATAATTCCAATCAGTTGCCAAACTGCACAGACATCCCAATGCCGAAATTGTGGCATGTGTGAAGGAGACGATTCGCACTGTGAACAATCGCACCTAAAGAAAATTTCACTGATAACCACCACCGTCAAAAATAATTCATATAAATTGCCGTGATCTGATAACTAAACCTTATTATCATTCCATTCCGGCTGCTTCTTTTTCACAATAATTCGAGCAATTAGATATTCGATACGGAGAATTATCGAAATTGCGCCACATAGAATTATTTTGTTCATTACCTGAAGGAAAGAAATTCAGCGTTAAAAAAATGGAAAACGCGGGAAAAGAAATGGAAAACAAAATGAGTAAAGTTTTAAACAAAAAACCGGTTCAATTTCGACGCCATTATTTAAATATGAAAATCAATAGGAAAAAGTTTTTTTAAACATGAAAATTAACGTTCCAGACAGCGTCAGTTGTCGGGAGGAGCCGAGATAATAATAAAAAAGAGAAAATAAAAAATAATCGCGATCTAATCGCTTACAATGATTGATGGTTTTGAGCGCGCCGCGCGCATAAATCAATAAATATTCATGATATTAGGCATCAGTGGGTATGTGTACCTTTACGATACCATTTCGGAAAGACAATATAAAATCTTTCCGTGGAAAGATAAAATCAACAAGTTGGTAAAATCAAAAACCACAAATTGTCTCTAAATTTCAGTATTAAAGGTAATAAAACTAGAAAAATTATAAGTTCGCGCCCGAATAAATTAGTTGACCAACATGGCCGAGATTTGAAGATGCGGCCGTCGGCGACGCCACATTTCTTTCAGTTTTTGTTGCTTATCTAATCAAACATCGATCATCGATGAAATGGGACCGTAAAGTACTTCGCAACATTTGCTTCTTCTTTTTTTTTTTTCGAATGACATAAATGGTCAAGCGCTATCAATAAAACTGGTTTGATGGACATGAGAGAGCTTCGTGATTTTTCGTTTTCAATCATTTTGAAGCACAAATAAATTAAAAATCATTTCAAAGATCGTGTGAGAAGAATATTGCAATTGTTATGTAAAATTTGTATCAATTTTCAAAATAATAACTCAAAAAAGTAGTTTTTAAAGAATTACATACAAATTCAATTGCCTGCGCTGAAGAAATTCCAAATTCTTGTGAAATGAGGCGTAATTGATCAATCAGTTTAATACTTGCGGGTCACGGGGTTAAACAAAAACCTAGCCGACAAACAGTTAAAGGATGAATTTTTTGACGCTGAAAAATGAGCGAAAAGCTCACGTGATATATTATCGTGCGACTTTGACAAAAAAAAATGGCGAGAGTTGTCAAACTCAGAAGGAGAGGGAAAAGAGGGCCGAGGTTGGAGGGAAATGAGGGGTGGCTACGCAAATGTGGGCATCCCTCCAGGTTGTTTGAACTGTGTTCACTTGGCAAACAGAGAATAGAAACACGATAACGTTTGGCGTCAATCTTTATGAAAAGCGGAAACATAAAACAACAAGGAACAACGATAACAATATAAATCAACAATTCGGCGTTTCCAATTTAAAACTGCACTATTGCCGCCACAATTTCAATAATTTGTCTTTACCACCGCTGACGACTTTCGTGCCTTCCGGACTCCAATCAACGGTGAACACCTCGTCACCATGTCCAGGTAGATCATAATAAAGGCTCTTGGTGCGAAGCTCAAACACCTGATGGCGCAATTATTATAGTATCATTGTCGGTTTTTGACCTACTTTCAATGTCGAATCAGCAGAACCGGATACGATCAAACGACTGTCCGCCGACCATGCAACTTGATAAACAGGGCCCACGTGGCCTCTGGAATTTTTCAAATGATTTATGTCGCAATTTGACAACTTTTTCACCTTAAACTGGCGAGATATTTGCCTGTCCTTCCGCACCAGAGTTTCACCGATTTGTCAAATGATGCCGACGCGATGTAGCGTGTGTCCGGCGAGAAAACCACCTGAATTAATTGGTTTTTGTTGACGCTTCTCGCTAAACGCCAATCAAAAAATTTCGCGATCGAGGAACTAAATACCTGATTGACTAGCTGCATGTGTCCTGTCATTCTGGCAATCGAGTGTTTTGTCTCCTTCGGATTCCATAGAAACATTGTAAAGTCATCGGAGCCACTGACGAGACGCTCGCCGCCAGCAATTTTCAGCGCGGCTTGATATCGCTCCTCAGCCACTTTTTGGCACTAAATTAGTAAAAGTTCCAGCCAAATTGAAATTCTAAATTTCAACCTCTTCGATGGTGTCAGGCTTCACACACCGCTTGCTCGGCTCGAAGCAAGCAGTCCTCAATGCGTAATCCGTGTTCAGAGCCAGTGTGTTAATCCAATGGGCATGCCCACTCAGGGTTTTGCAGAGAACACCATCTTCATCTCTCCACATTTTGATGGTTCGATCCTGCGATCCCGAGTAGATCAAGCCTTCACCACCCCAACGAATACAAGTCACACAGGCAGTATGCCCACTGAGTGCTCGAACCACACTTCCCTTCACGATATCCCAAATGAAGATGTTTCCATCTTTTCCCGACGACGCCAAGAATCGGCAATGGGGATCTTTGTGCATTGGTTGCCATGCAAGTGCCGTAATCCATTGTTTGTGTCTGCGTAACGTTTTTCCGATTTGCTCGCCGGTTTTTGCGTTCCAGATGTTTATCTCCCCATTCTTGCAAGCTGATGCAATTTTAGTGGCGTCCGGAGCCCATGAAATACATAAAACCCAGTTTTTGTGGGCTTTTAGTGTATATTGGGGAAGCTCGAGTTCGATATCCCAGATTCTGACGGTCGTGTCTCCGGAACCACTAGCCAAGTTTCTGAAAGTCTTGGGTTTACCTTTAAAAACGTTGCGGTATAATACATACCGCCCATCGGGACTGAATTGCGCAGAAATTACAGGCTCCCCATGACCAGGGATACTGGCAGAACACCTGGTGACAGGTCGAACGCGAAATACAGCCTGCGGCTGATACACAAGCTTCAGAGTTTTCTCAAAATCGATTTTCTCGAGTGATTTGGCAATGGTATCACGTATTTCAACACCGCCTTCGGTATAAAATGAAATTGGCACTGGATCATCACTTTAAAAAATCAATAAATTGAATTCAAATATCAAATGGATACCTGCTTTCCAGAAGTTGATTACACAATATTTGAAGCTGATTTGTGGAAATGTCGGTAGGGACTAGAATTCCAGCACCTCCAAGCTCTTTTCCGTCTTCACCGACAAAATTTACAGATACCTGGGGTGATTCATTTTCCTCTGTCATCTGTAAGAAAAAATATTATAAGGTCCTAAAAATTTCAATTTAGCGCTAAAAAATTTACTTCGCGAGCCACAATGAATAAAATTGGTTTTTAATATTAATTTCCCGTGTCACAGAATTAATTCTAGTAAAATTAATATTCTAATGCACTTCAAAAATTAGAAATAGTGGAAATTTTTATTAATTTGATATATAATATAAATAATGGAGAGTGCAGACATGGAGACATCATGTAAAATGAAGAGAGAGCAGACAAAATTTTCCTATAGAGCGCGTTTGCGCATCGCAAAAGTCTTCAAATTCTTTAAATTTGGCGTTTTTATTTTCTTATAGCGTTTTTTTTTCAATTTGTATGTAATTAATGGAATCAATCCGTTATCATCCTTCCATTAAAAAAAAATATAATTATATTGTTTTTATTTTTTTTCTTGTCAGGAAAAATGCCTCCCACAGTTGTGTCCAATCGCGAGGAGGATTCAATGAACAATGAGCCATCATTGTCAGGAAAAACAATTATTGGACTTATTTATCCGCCACCAGATATTCGAAGTAAGAATAAGAAAATAATTCAAATTGTATTTATTGAAATTGTTCTCAGCAATCGTCGACAAAACGGCGGCGTTCGTAGCGCGTAACGGAGTGGATTTTGAGAACAAAATTCGCGAGAAGGAGTCGGACAATCCGAGATTCAACTTCCTTTCTATCACTGATCCATATCATGCGTACTACAAAAAGAAAGTTTTTGAGTTCGCCGAAGGCAAGGTTGAGCAGCCGAAAGCTGCGGTTCCAGAAGCTGTTAAGGAGCACGTGAAGAAAGCTGAATTCGTGCCAACTCATCCTCCACCAGCATTTGAATTTTCTCATGATCCTTCAACTATCAACGCTTATGAATTGTAAGATTTTAATTTTTAATTTTTATTTTTGATGTTTTTATTTTTCAGGGATCTCATCCGAGTCACCGCTCTCTTTGTCGCCAGAAATGGAAGACAATTTTTAACACAATTGATGACCAGAGAAGCGAGAAACTTCCAGTTTGACTTTCTGAAGCCCGCGCATTCAAGCTTCAACTATTTCACGAAGCTTGTTGAACAATACACAAAAGTCATTGTGCCTGCCAATAATATCGTCGAGCAGTTGCGAAATGATGCAACCAACAAGAAAAAATTGATGGAGGATATTCAGTATCGTGTCGCTTGGGAAAAGCATCAGAAAAATTTGAAGGACAAGGAAGAAGCCGAGCTCGAGAAGGAGCGAATGGCATACGCTCAAATCGATTGGCATGATTTTGTCGTTGTACAGACAGTCGACTTCCAACCAGGAGATAGCGGTAAAACAATTTTTGTTATTAAAAAAAAAATAACGAAATTTGCACATTTCAGCTAAATTGCCTCCATTGTGCACTCCAAAAGACGTCGGAGCTCGAATTCTTCTCGAGGCTCGCAACGAGCAACAGAAGGCTGCCGCTGAAATGCAAGAAATGGATATGGAGGATTCGGATAGCGAGGAAGAAGCTGAAAAACCCGCCGAAGCTCCACAGCCTGTGTTCACTGCGCCACTGCCTCCGACCAAGCAGAAAGACGTTATCGTTCGCGACTATGATCCAAAGAAGGCCATGGCGAACAAGTCGAAGCCGTCGGAGAAATGGCTCATCTCCCCGCTCACCGGAGAACGAATTCCGTCTGACAAGCTTGATGAGCACGTTCGCTACAATACTGTTGATTCGCAGTACAAGGAGGATCGCGATCGTCATTTGGGTGAGAGAAGTGCGGAGGAGCCGGTATTGGCGTTGGGCGCCGACATCAGCAGAAATTTGGGACAATTCGCCGAACGTCGTACGGATATCTTCGGTGTTGGCGGCGAGCAGACGATGATCGGAAAGAAATTGGGCGAGGACGAGGAATCACAACCCGCCAATAAGCTTATATGGGATGGTACTGAGGAGAGCCGAGAGGCGATAACGCGTGCTGTGCAGAACCAAGTCACAATAGGTATTTTTTGGAATTGCTTATCTTAAACATTTAATTTGAAAAATTATAGATCAGCAGATAAATGATATTCATCGTCAACACGGATTTCTTCCGGATCCGTCGAAGGAAAAAATTGCGGTTCAACAGCCGACGGCAACTACGAAAATGTCTTCTGGATCGATTACGATCACTCAAGGAATTGCCTCAAGTGCTCTTCCACAACCGCCACCAGGAGGATGGCTTGGAGCGCCGAAGCCGAACACTCATGTATAATTGAAAAAAAAATTCGATTTCTAGCAGTGTAGGAATATTTTCAGATTATGCCGTTGAAATCTGAAGGGCCACCGGCTAAACGCCAGAAAACTGAAGAGGAATTAGAGCCAGAAGATGTTTGGCTTCAGAAGGTAGCCACGTTGCGAAAAAGTATCGTGAATTTCAAATTTAGGTTCGAGGAAACATTGAGCTTATCATCCAACTTCCTGTTTCTCCGGAATTCCAAATGGATGGCGCAATTGTGCCATTTGTGATGGATGTTGCAGCGCCGGTACGCTGAAGAATTACACTTTGCGATGACATTATCTTTTTCTTTAGATTAGCGAGTTGAAACAGAAAATCCAAGACACCTACGGAATGCCGGCGTCAAAGCAAAAATTAGTCTCAGAGGTTTGAAATTTAATTTTCCTATTCGAAAATTTTTTATTTTTTTCTCAGGGCTTCTTTATGAAAGACAACTTGAGCTGCGCGTTTTACAACTTGAACAATCGCTCACTCGTTATTCTTCAAGTCAAGGAGCGTGGAGGAAAAAAGAAATAAATTGATCGTTGTTTTTTTCGTCGTTATTATTATTATTAACTTTGTATTTTACCATAAATTATCGAACATTATAGAAAAATTGATGAAACAATGATTTATTTAAACGTATCATTGTGGAATATTCGCTACAGCGCATTCACTTTCATGACTTCTACTTTTTCTCGAATACATTGTTGTTAATATTGTTGAGTGTTTGATAATTCGGATCGAATGTGCCAGCTTTTTGGCCCATGTTCTCAGGAGCCGATATTTTTGGAGGTGGCTGTGGGCACGGCGTCTGATCGCTCCTTGATGTCGAGCTACACACAGCTTTCAGCTAAAAAAGGGGAAAAAGTTAGGGACAACTGAAAATAAAGAGAGCATGAGATCCAATTTGATCGGAACCTTGAAAATGTGAGAAGCCGTTAATTCAGTGAAACATAAAAAATCCAGAGTTAGCACATATTTATTCGGTTTAATCGGCAAAAATTTCTATTGGGCCGGAGGAGCCGATGACGAAGCCGGATCTCCCGGAGCACCGCCCTTGTTCTTGCTCACTTCATAAGCTTCAATTCCAAGTTGGCCGACAGAGGCGAGCACGTGAATGAGGACGAACAGCGAGAAGAAGATGTGGCCAGAGACGCACAGGAAGACGAACACTCCGGCAAACGCTGGCACAAAGACCACTGAAATTTTGTATGTATCAATTAATAGGCAATCAAAGAGAATTATAATATTACAGGCAGCAGAGCGGCCGCGAACTTCATTATCCGTGGATGTCATCACCTTTTTGATCTCCTCGCGTCCATCAACGTTCAAAGCTCTGCAATAGAGATAGCAGTAATAATGAAATCTTCTTTTGAAATGAAAAAACTCACAAATTGTGCGCTGAGACCGCTGCCGATGCTCCAACGAGTAGAAAATAGATGAGCTTCGAAACGAAGCCGCTGTCGCCGAGCGCGCCGAACAGAATGAGCAGCACTTCGAAGGCCGAGCACGCGGCGACCGCCGATCGCGCGGCGAGCACATACTTGGTAAACTCGTACGGCGGTATTTGGTCCATTTTTCGCGAGCGCCTAGTCAATGACGAGTCAATTTACTCAAAGGTAATGGCTAGAATATGATTGGCAGACGACTCGATTTTTGGCGTTTTATATTCATTTCATTCGCGAATTCTGGTCACGTTCACGGTCCGAAATGCCTGTTTCTGACAAAAACAATGCGCTGAATTGTTTTTTCGACGAATTGCTCGTTTCTAAATGCACCTTTAAATTGCTATTTGGTACTGTTGTCATTAATATCAAATTGAAGGAATTTACAATGCGGTTATTAAGCTCAATTATAAAATACAGTCAGCGATTCAAATGGGACGAACAAGGGAAAAAATATTAATTTGTAACAAAAGTCGCCCGCGGTTTTTCACGACACGCTAAATTGAGGGCGATGCGCGAATGGAGTGTCGTACTGGGAGAGTGAAAAACGTTTTGTGACGAACATTTTTTGGGAACTTCCAATGTTTTTTTTCGAATTTCGTCAATCGAACTGAATGTTCAGCGAATCAATCGGGACAAACAGCGGTTGGTTTTGGGTTTGGGATAACCAGCGGAACATTTTGGGACGACTCAGGCTAATCAAATAAAATATTTTGAGAATCAAATATTCAATAACGAACTCTAAAATATTTTGAGAAATTCTAAAGTTTATTGATCCTTTCTAAAACTTATTGAGAATAGATAAATTTAAAAATATTTTTTTTCGGTAATAAGTATTTAGATATAGATAAATCGCATTTTTTTTTTCAACGAAGAATGGTGATTTTAATTGGTGGACTGCTTCATTGGTGCCCAATCGCGGTTAGAAAAGATCAAATGGTTGATAGTTTAAATATACAAAAATGCTTCTTAGCAATGCTTGGGAAATGCGTATATAATAAATGAAATTGATATTTTTTTCATTATTGATGGAAATCATCAGATTCCTCTTTTCCTAATCAACCATTCTGAAAAGAAAAATGCTATTTAATTATTTTAAATGGTACGGTAGACAAATCTGCAATATCGCTGCACAGTTTTGAAGTTACCGTAATTTTGATTCTAAATTATGACAACTTTTCAGCGTTCAGTTTACTCATAGTTTTTCTTTATTCTCGGTTTATAAATATTTTGCGTTTCAGATGCTGAAAGTTTTCGCTGCACTTACAACAACTGCTCTTATTCTTCCAATTATTGGCGTATATTTCTTCGGAAGAAAGTTAACTATTAAAAAGGCAAAAGACGAAGACGAAATTGAAATCATTGATGATAATAAGCAATATTTTCTTGGAATTCCCTCTTTTGCTATTGGCGCGGTGATTGGGAAAAGAGGAAGCACTATTAGGAAAATTTCAAGCGAATCAGAAGTAATTTTTGTTTATTTTCAAATTTTACTTTAATTATTTAATTTTAGGTTGAATGTATAATCAGCTCATTATCAGAAGACCAAGCAGAACGAGCAAAATGTTATTTTCATTATTGATATCTTCTTAAAATATGGCTTTCAGTTTGGAAATCATTCAAGAAGGCTGGGACGAAAGTCCGGGGATTGATGAATGGGTTGAAAATGAAGAGAAGCCAGCAGATGGAAAATACCATTTTTTAATTGTTCGAACGAACAATAAGAAAAAGGTATTGGTTTTTGCGTAGATATTTCTCAGATAAATTTGTTTAGTTCGAAATGGTCCGACTCCGTGTCGCTGAGATTATCGATCACTCACGTGGACCCGTGAGAACCGTTGAACTCCTCATCGATCAGGAATTTGTTGGAATTTTTATTGGAAAATATGGAAAAAATGTAAAAACAATTTGTGATAAATACGATGTAAAAATTCAAGTAGAATAATTTTCCGTATTTCTTTTCATTAAATTACAAGGTTTAAGGTTGAAGAATCAATTCCCGAAGATCCAACAAAAGCGCGAATCAAAATCCACGGAAAAAATTTGGATTCCCTCGAAAAAGCAGGAATCGTTGTACGAAATGCGGCGATTCCGAAATTTGTCGCAATTGAAGGATCCGTCGAGCGAGATATTGAGGATCTTAAGAATGTTGCAAGACTTGTTGAAAATATTTCGTTTTAATAAAGCCTTAAATATTTAATTTTCGCTCAATTACGCTCAATATGGTGGTTTTCGTTAGATATTTATAGCCACGTTTGGTTGTGTGTGATGTTGGATACGGTAAAATAGACTAGTTGAAAAAAATCAAACGGAAAGGAAGAATATCCCCGACCTGCGTGTGTGTCGATTAGCCTGACTCGACCCACCATGAAGGAGAGTCGAGTCAGTTGATCTCCTTCGCCACGTAGAGGCTCGACACATGAAGGAGAGGCTCACCAGCATCAGGCCGAAACCTGATGTGGGTCATCGCCGATCCCACCATGGGGATCACCCAAGGACATCCCACAACTATCATCCGAGGATAATAGATGTGGTTGGGCAAGCCACATCTGGCTGGGCCCCGGGTCTACTGGTGATATGGTAATGTGGTTTTTGTGTTCTCAGCACAGCAGCTTACTACTAAGTAGTAGCAAGCCACTACAAAGTAGCAAGCCACTACAAAGTAGCAAGCTACTATGCCAAGAAGCACGGTCCATGTGCACCCGAAAGGCTGGACATATTGACATAGCTGGCCAATCCACGTCAATATAGGTCTGGGCCAGATGCCATCCTGACTAGTATGGAGGACACCCGGTGAAGCAAATTTCTAAAGCATAACCATCCATAACGCCCCGTAGCAGTTTCCAAGCACTCGAAAGTACTTGAAACGGGGGCGTTTGGGTAGGGTTCGATTCCCGGCTACGGAATCAGGGCTGAAGGGCTTGCCAGGCCAATCACCCGAATTTAGGATTCGACGGATAAGCCGCCATCCAGCCAGCGCTTCGGCACTACGATTGTGAGGGACGGGAAGCCTCGGCGCTTTTGGGGAGTAGCCGACTACGACTACGGGTGGCCGACTACGACCTAGGGATTGCCGACTACGGCGGGTTTAAAAGTTAGGGAGACTAGAGGTACTTAGAGACTTAGACTTATTGTGGGATGTGTGCCGGTGAGTCGATTCACCGGCAAGATCCTTCCATCGGCGGCGGCGGCAACGTCGATACCTAAACATACCTAAAGATACAAATTAAAAAAAAAAAGAAAAAAAGAAGGGGAAACCAGTCATTAGTGGAATGACTGGCGTGGCCGTAAGTGGTACGACTTTCCCCGAAAAATACGAAGAAGTGGGTGGTCCCAAACTGTAGGACCGGAAGGATGTACAGACGTAAGTGGTACGGATGTACAGAAAGAAGAGAGAGTGAGAAGCCGCAAGTGGTACGGCAGGAAGGAGGATGGGGAAGCCGGCTTTCCCCAGAAAAGAAGGGATGGTCCCAAACGGTAGGACCAGGAGAAAGTACAGACGTAAGTGGTACGAATGTACGGAGAGAAGGGGGAATCCCAAGTGATGGGAGAAAGAGGGGGAAGCCGTAAGTGGTACGGCTGGTGCAAGTGAGTGATAATAAAAAATTAATAAATAATAAAAATAAAAATAAGGCCCGGGCCTAAAACTACCGTGATCCGCGGATCAAATACTTCTCACTGGTGTCATTCTCCGTCGCTTCCTCCGGTCGTCTTCTCTCGATCCGTTCATCGAAAACCCTGCAATGAATCGAATTATTCCGATCGATTGTTGCTTCTTCGTTACCATTTGAATCCGCTTCCTCGCTCTACTCGACGCCCCGGGCAGCGTCGACCTTTCGTCGCCTCTCCATCTCTTCCTTCATCACCTCGATGCCTCAGTGTAGGTTTAACGTCACCTCGAACCAACACTGCAGTACGCCCATTGAAGGGTGAGCCCTGACTAACGGAGCCGGTCGAGGCGAGAATCCCTCACACCTTGAACACTTCTGATCCGAAGGTGTCGATGGAGAATCGACTGTGGCTCATATCGGATCTGCAAAAAGAGGAAATCAGGAAAAGCGACGGCGATGAATGCGACTTACCTAGTGGATCCTTGGCCACAGCGAGCCCGCAGGAGATGCGGGCTGCCCGCAGGTTGCGCGGGGGCACGTGGAGCCCGCAGGTTATGCGGGACACGAGGAGCCCGCAGGCGGGTTGCTCGCAACTCGGAGAGCTGCGAGAATGACCAAATTCTTCATTCAGCCGGCCTTTTATAGTGCCACTGGGCGTCGGTGCGAGACCTGCGACAGAGCGCATTTGACGACAAGAACTTCAAATTGACGCTAAGTGTTGGCACATTCTCTCATGTTAGCACACTCTCTGCTCCCCGACGCGCTTTCCCGATCGACGCTGTATTGCCCTAGAGCGCATTTGCCTCATGAAACAAACGCTGGAGGCGGAGTTTAGATTGCGAATTCGCGGCTACAATGTAGCAATCTCAACGCGAATAATAATAAATAAATCTAGAAATTCAATTTATGGAAATCAGATTTTAAACGAGAAATTCAAAATTCGTTGAATTCGCGGTACGTGCTTCGAGAATTTCTTTTGCCGAATGTTACTTTCCGTGGGTGCTTCAGAATTGCAATTACTCGAAATGAATCCCAATGCCATCGTTATTGTCCTGCACGGAATTCCGTCTTCCGGCATTTTTTACTGTTATGTTTTCCGTCAAACACAGTTTTTATTGCGACTACCGTATACCCTCTTCCGTCAAAAAAGTTTCTTCTGTTCTTATTCTATGGCCCACCAAAAATCATTTCTAATTGTGTTTGTTTTATTTTTAATTTATTTTGTGTGTTAAGATTGTCGATATTACGAAACACAAATGAAATCATTCTTTTATTTTTTAAATTCGCTTCTTATTTACGTTTTTGAATTTAAATTGTATTTAATGGTGAAGAGAAGATTATGTGGAGACTACTTCTTGATAACTGACAAAATGTGGAAGAAATTCTCAAGTAGGCTCGAACTGAACTCCGTTTTCCGTCCCTTTTTTGTTACGAAATTTTTTTCGTGAAAAAATAAAAACGCTAAAATCTTCTAGTACAATTTCAGTTTTCAAAAAATTCAAGTCCCGTGCATCTCTGGTGCAGACGGCAATTATGATTTTTCAAATATTTTTCTAATTTTCACCTTGTAGATTTACGGACAACATCTTGCCGCCGAGGCACTTCTTCATCTCCTCCAAACTTCCAAATGAGAGCTTCGTCTGGTTGTTCGGTATATTATTGCGCTTCAACGTCGGCTTACAGAAAACCTCCATTGCGGTTTTCGTCTGCAAAAAAATTGAACGCATTTGCGAGTGTTGTCGCGAGGCTTACAAATGTGTGAAGAGCGACTTCGTTCGCATCGCTTTCGAACGCATAAACACTCGGAAGGCCGGTGGAGAAGCCGATTTCGAGGACCGATTTGCCATAGAAGAAGTCCGACTCCATTTCAATCTCGACAATTTGATCGATGGCCTGACACAACGAATTGACACCTTCCCAATCTTCGTACATTTCCGAAAATTGGACACAATTGAGTTATATAGAGGGGCTTCGTCACCTGTATGATGACTATTCTTGCCGGAGTGATAGAATCAAAGATTTCAAGACATTTCAATTCCGTTTTTTCAGAAAATACAAGAATCTTTAAACACTCAGATTGCTCTTTTTTTGGCGATGGTACAGTCTTCTTCTGAAACCCAACAGCTACCAGAATCAGTCGCCTCAAGACCCAGCTTATTTTCGATTTTGTTGGTGAACTGCGTTTCTCCGCAATTTCATAAAAATTTTCATTTATTTGAATATCAAAAAATTTTTTTAATGGAAGAGATTTTAAAAAAACGCCAATATTGTTTGGGGGAAATCGGATTTATTTGATGCTGTAATTCAAGACGTATAGAGTGTTTCGAGTCGAGTCACGAGAACATCAGGAAAAATTTTGTGTCTGAAAATGCGTATTAGCTACTCAAAAAAAAATCGGCCGCGTCCAATTGCCAGTGCGTTAAAAACGAGCTTCCTCTGCCGATTTACGGTGAGTTTGATTCGCATGTTATCCAGAGTACGGTTGCCGAATTCCCACTGTTTTAATTCGAATTTGAATTGCCGCCTCGAAAAAGTGCGATGGTCCACAATTATGCAAGGTGCTCGCTTTTTTGTTCTGAAAAATACAAATCACCACAATTGCCGAAGATGCTCACCTTCTTTGCGAATGTAGCACATACTTTGATTAATTTGAACAAAATTCATACACGTAATAATTCCGAATGAAATGACAGCAGCATTATCAAAAGTTCACATTTTCATATTTTCGATTTCAGAAAAAGAAATTCAAAATTTTTAATCCGCTAAACGAATTGAAATTGTTGATCGAAAATGTCAATCTCGATCGAAAAAACTGTAATATTGATGATGGTGTTAGAATCGACAGCGTTTGAAGAGGGTAAAAAGGGGTTTTAGAAATTCCAAGATTGTCGCTCATTGGTTTGCAGTATGCTTGAAAAGTGCAAATCTCATGACCAACTGCGGCGATAAGAATATTTGCCCGCCGGGTTATACCTGTTTCAGAGACACCAACTCAACCGAATTATTCTGTTGTGGTAATTGATATTTGTTGTTTGGCGGCCGCCGTATATGGCACAACTCGAGATTCCCAATAAACCTGCAAATTATTTTATTTCAGGAAAAAGTGTCAGCATGTGCGATTATTATATTTGGCCTTATAAACACATTGACGCACAAATGTTTGAAAAGGAGAATCAAAATTGCTCCGAGGATTTTTATGAAGAAATTGAAACGAATCGATGTTGTCGTGAGTCTCATTCATCAGTATTCAAAAAAAATCTTTTCATGTCAATTAAAAACCACACCCACTATTAACTCCTCTACTATTATTATAACATCAATTCCCAATTTTAACACCCTCAACTTCTACAGGGTGGCCCAAAATTATGGAAACACATTCAAAGTGATGTAACTTTAAAAAAATGATCGAATCAACTTGAAAATTCACAAATAATTTATTGAATCAATTATAAACAAAAATACATCAACATTACTCGATTCGATTTCCTTTGTTCTTCATTACTTCCTTGAGTCTCTTCGGGAATGCCTCGACTGTGGCACGGAGGTATTCTGGAGATAGTTTGGCCCACAAACATTTCTTTAATGATTCCAAATTGGTATAGGGATGTGCCTGGACATTCGATTAAAGTACACCTTAAACATAATAGTCGAGTGGGCTTAAATCCGGCGACGACGCTTCTGAACAAAAAATAAAACAGCAAAATTTGCGGCACACTGGGATTGAACGACTTTTGCTTTGTGAGCCGGTACAGAGTCCTGTGGGAATGTCCAAACCTGGTTTCCAAAGTGTGTTTGGGTCCGTAGATGCACGTGTTTCTTAGAATTTCTTCTAAGTAGTATTCCCGGTTGATTTTGACTCCGGGATCCACAAAAACAAGCGAAATCTTCTCATCAGACGTGATCGCCCCAAAAATCATGACTTGTTGAGGATAAGACGTTCTGTTGATCGTTCTTCCGTGCTTATTGGCTTCGTCTGTGTCTCCTGTAAGCACCCGATAATTTTGCGAGTTGAATTCAGCCTCCACGGTGAAGAGCTTCTCGTCCGTAAACAGCGTCTTCGAATGTTCATTTTGGCACTTTTACATTAGGGCTACTTTGTTCTTTTCAGATAAAACGGCCGCTATTCGAACACGATTCGGGGTCAGTCCAAGCTTCTTTTTCAGCATGCGCTCCATCGAAGACTTGCTCATACTTAGCTCCCAGCTCATCTTTCTCATGCTCCGTTGCGGATTTCGGCGAATTCGTTCTCTGGCGACCTTTATCCTCTCCGGAGTGATAGAACTGCGAGGTTTTCCGCTTCTCGGACGGTTTTCAAGTGTGTTAAGCTCCTTGTATCGTTTTACGGTTTTACAAACTGTTGATCGAGAGATTCCGAGAGCTTTTGCAATGCAACTGTCGCTCTTTCCTCACGTCGCCATTGGATAATGGTACCTCGGTGTTTTGAATTGACTACCATTCCAGTAAAAATGACGCTAAGAACTAGAAAATTTGGGAATAGGGTAACTAAAACATGCTGAAAAATAAAATAATAAAATTGGTGCGCGAAAAATGCGCCAGCATCTGCCAGAAGGCTTCAAACTTGCGTTTCCATAATTACGGGCCACCCTGTATATACATACATATAGTCGACGTCCGGTGACTGCTGTAGATTTACGCGCATGCGCCTTGAAAAGGTCTCTCCACGCGCGAACGCTCATCGTTGCTGTTTTCACGCGAACGGCATTCTTGGAATTTCTAACGTCGTTCGATTTGACCACCCATAAAAGGTGAAATACCCAATTAGTCGTTGCGAGACCAAGAGAAAGGAGCATCCGCGTAAATCTACCCGCGTACAGTAGTCGCCGCACACCGACTAAACACTCCAGTAAAAACTTCACAATGATTGGACTACTTGGTCAAAAGTTATGACAAAAAATAATGATTTCGTATATTTTTCTGCGGTACTGTGTGTTTCACCCTTGCTAATTTTTTAATTTCAATTTTACACCGATGATGCATTTTCTCTTCTTTAACGACACTTTTAAAATTTTAAACATAATTGGCTAGTTTAAATTAAATTTGATAATTTCTAATTGGCAAAATTGATGATTTTTTTCTGAGTAATGCGAAATGTTTGAAATAACCAATTAAGATTCTAGTTTTTTTTGTCTTTATAACACTGATATTTTCTATTGGAAATGCCCAATTCATTCCGAATTGCCAAAAAACTCGGTGTGAAAAAGTGAGGTTGGCAGCAAAAAAAAATTATGAGCAAAGACTAAATATGAAGTTGACATATCGGACCAAAGGACTTTTGAATGAAAAAATGAATGTCGAAACAGACAAACGAGTTGTTGCTCTGAGAAAAGCGAGATGTTGAGAAAATTATATTCATTCACAAACCGTTCCAACCAACGCCTTATTTTGATGGACCTATTCATGCAATGAAAAAAATTTAAAGAAATCGTTTTTTTTTTCATTTGAATTCCTTATGCACGCACACATCGAAGATTACAACAAAAATCGACGCGATCGTAATTCTCCGTTATTTATTTTCAAAGGCGCATGCGAAAAGTTTTGTGGGCCACATAGCGAAGTCGGTACTGTAATTTTTTTAAATTTTTTATTTTTTGAGCGTTTAAAACGTTTTTTTGGAAATCTGTAAAAGTATTTTGTTTAATCAACGCTAACGGCTCATTAGAAGCTTAATCGGGCAAAATCTTTATAAAATCAACACAAATATCATTATTTCTTATGAAAATTGGTATCTAAATGACAAAAACTAAACATATATTGTCGAATTTGGAGTGCTTATATAGTCGGCGTCCGGCGACTGCTGTACGCGGGTAGATTTACGGAAATGCGTCTTTCGAAATGATCTCGCAAGGACTAAAAGGTTGGTTTAATTTATGGATCATTTTATGGATCAGTGGGATGGATTTTTTTAAATTTGTTTCATTGCATGAATAGGTCTATTAAACATGTCTCATTCACTCAGGAAAGCATTATCAAATCCGCAACAGTGGTTAAAAATACGGTTTTTATAATAAAATTTAATAAATCATTTTGGCTTCTTATGCACTTATTAGGCTCAACTTCTAAGCACACCGATACAATGCAAAAAAAAAGATGAAGAAGAAACGGTTCTCGAAAAGAACACATGAAGAAATTTTCAGCAATTCCATATTCTTTTCAATTTTCGTTTATCAAAAAGACACTACCTTCTGGTGTGTATCAGAAAACGCATAGAATGTGTATAAGTTAATATAACAGGCTGGCCAAAACTGAAAATTTGCAAAAGCAACGAAGATTGTGTGACCGATGGCGACATGTTCGAAAAACCGGCGTTTTGCGATTATCCTTTTATTCCACAAATGGATGATGAAGTGCGGAATATAAGACCTGCTAACACTAAATATTGCTACGATAGTATGTTTGCATTTGGGCTAAATAATATTGACTAATTAATTAATTAATTGAGTTCCTTCGGAACTTACGACACATGTGGACATTCAGCTTGACGAAAAATTGGGTTTTCAATTTTGCAAAAAATCGGTTGAATGCAATTCAGCCGAATTGTTTTGCTTTCTGCCATATGAAAATCCATTCCGGAACGGTGCCAATGATACTATTAGCGGAGTATGTGCGAAGAAACGCGATTTGTGTAGAGGGAGTCGAACTATTAAATCATTTCCAATTGGACATTTATCATTTGCCAAAGCTGATTGCACTGAAGACATTCATTGTGAAAGGCTAGATGATATAGAGAAACACATTACGTAAAAGCAAACCAATTAAATGACAATTAGCGATTCGATTTAATTGCTCTTTAGACCTCATTGCGAAATGATTCATGGATTGATTGGAAAAAATGTTGGTCTCTGCTGTTACTGTGAGCACTGATGAATAGTTTGTTTCTGAAAAAGAGAACATGTCAGGCCTTGTACACATTTTTGCTATAAAAAAATTAACGTACGCCAACCGCGACGCGCCAGACGACGTCGATCTAGAGTTTGGTTTTTTTTTCCAGAAACAGACTACGTGTATATTAAGACGAGAAAAACGAAAAGAAATTTTCAGACCAAACTGAGGGATTTTGCGAACATGGTCAAGTTTTGACACCAATCAGAACGTGCAATCGTATAGAGGATTGTAACGATAACGAAGACATCGAAAATTGGTGTGACGAAAAAAGTAAATACTGTTGCAAAGGCAAGTGATTCTGTAAATAATTGTCAATGATTTCCGTATGAATTAAAGGCGGCCAAGTAAATTCGTATTGTCCTGACCTTCAAACTCCGAGATTCAACGAACCAAAATGCATTGATTACATCGAAGAAGCTGAAGATTCTGGGTATTGCATAGCCGAAGCGAGTGGAATTTGCTATCATGGTCGATGTTGTCCGCAATTGGTCACAATGGTCAGCGAATTGGAAGAACGAACATACATTTTGGGCGAATTGCCATACGTCGTCAATATTAAATGCGATCCGAACAAGCCAATATCAGCAAAATCGATGTATTCATTCTGCGATCCTATTCTGAAGAAACTCGTTGTTATTGGAAAAAAGCAGCTTAACTTGAAACCAACTGTCAGAACTAATTATGAATGCAGAATTGTCGCGTAAGTAATCCGCGTGTGTCTCAAACAGTTTGACTATTTTGCATTTTTCAATTGAGCAATTCAAAAATTGGTTTAAAAAATGGAGTGGCAACTTCAAAAATCTCAAACATGATTTTAACTGGATAAGAAATCGATAAAATTCAAAAAAAAAATGAACGAGAATTCTGCGTTACTTCGTTGGGAAGAAAATCGCTCGAAAATTCAAAAACGTTTGTATATTGTCGGAATAAATGTCGTGAAATCTCACCTCTTCTGACCATCCTTTGATGAGTCCCCCTCTCCATCAGAAAACTTAGATATTCTTAAAAGAATTATAATTTCAGCTCCGTTCAAAAATTAAACACGGAAACAAGAATTGAATTTCGAAAATAAAAATCTGTTTATTTTTGCGTAATGCCCACTGCGGATTTCGCTACCGTAACGCGCAAAAAAATCAATTTTTGAAAACTTCGAATACTCGGAATTCGCTTTTTTGACGGAAGACGCTTATTTTTTTTTCAAACCCTCAAATTCCGCAAAGATTAAAAAAAATTTTTTACCCCACCTCGTAAAATTTTCGTTCTTATTCTTTTGAATTTATTTTGAAATCTTAAATTCGCAAAAAAATTGTTTGTTCGAGCTTTAAAAATCTGGCCAAATGACAAATCTCTATTTAAAAAAAAACCAGCAATGCAATTAAACATTAGCCACAATCAATTTCAGAAAATATTACTAGAAATCGTCAAAGTGTTAGAAGGGTCCAAAGGGGTCCGAATTCCTAACTTTTTAAAATAAACAATGGTAAAAAAATTATGAGAAAAAGAATATAAAACCAATTAATTGCGAGTAACGACTACATGAAAGTTGGCCGGAAACATTTGAGAGCAGAACAGAAAATTTGGTAAAACAAATTATATTTTTAACAACATTTTTCTGAAATAATTGATAATTAGGATCATTTTCTGAAATTGTTAAAACTTTCGAATTCGGACCTCTTTGGACCCCTACAACACTTTGACGATTTCTAGTAAAATTTTCGGAAATAGATGGTTGCTAATGTTTAATTGCATTGTTGGAAGGCGAGTTCCACTCTGGGGTGCCACCCTTTAATTGATTTCCCTAGATTTTCGTTTTTTAGCGATTGCCCACGGAGTTACCATGTTTGTGTGCAGCATGAATCGGTGTCAGTATGTTACAACAACCCCATAAGGGAAAAGAGTTTGTTCGAAGGAATTCCCATTCCTCTTCTCATTGCCACTCTTATTTGCATCACCATAATCATTGTTTGCATTTTCGTTTTACGCAGAATTAAACGGAAAAATCGCGAAATAATTGAAGAATCATGAGAAATAAGAAAAGAGGAACGCACATGTAACGCCATGAAAAAACAATGTTATTCTTATTATAAACACTTTATTTATTCCAGCATCTATTTTGAATTTGGAGCTGACGAAACTAGTTCAGATTTTGAAGCCCCCGCCGTCTTCTTGTCGCAAACATTACGAGATCGATAAAACATATAAGAGACAACGGAAAGAATGGAAAACACAATGGAAAATGATGCTAAAACGTAAATCTTTTTCATCAAATTTTCTGTTCTGCTCGAAGGTCAAAATTTACAGTTTCTAACAGTAATTGGCTAACTTTGATTTTTCAAAAACTGTAGACTATCCTTATGAAAGAAAATTTTTACAAGAAATGAACTATTCACGGAAGAGCAGGTTCAGATAGACTTCAGGTTCAGATTCGGGGTTCAGATAGACTTCGTAAGCGTGAATCTATTCCCACAATTTCCAATATTTCACGTATCCAATTGTGCAATTCTGTATCAAGCTTCTTTGCAAGCATTGCGCAAATCAAATACCTAAAAACAATAGTGGTAGTCAAATAGGCTTAAATTTTTTGTATAATTTAACACATTTGAGGAATATAAATTTATTTTAGGAAAACAAAATTAAATTAGAATGGAAAGGGAACAAAAAAAAAATGGAAAAAATTTACCAAACATTACAAAAAAAAAACCAGCGAATCGAAGAAAGGATATCGATGGCGCGGGATTAGCGTCAGACGAAGCCTGAAAGACACATAAATCATGGAGTAATGTTGAATATACGAAAAATAAAACAATCCTAAAAACTGGGAAAATATTAGGCATTTATTAATTTCAGTCCTAAATAATAATCACTAGTTTACAAATATATAAACTTAAAATAAAACTATAATTCATTTAAATCCAATTTTAAAAGAATAGATCGCAAAAAATCGTTAAAAACTTTAAAAATTTTAAATTTTGGGGGTGGAAAATCAGGGGTAGGAGTTGAAAATTGGGGGTTGATGGCAATGGGCCTCAATGATGTGGCATCCTGTGGGGCGTCACATCCCCCTTCTCCCGCAAGCCAGTGTCCTCACCGCTTAAAAATGGAAAAACCGAAGATACTGTCTTGCAGAAGAAGGCTCATACAATACAATCCTACACGATAAAGAAACAATATTAAGATGGTGGTCATATTGTTACGAGGTGTTACTTCCTATGCGCAGATTCTGTTGCCTATTTTGAATTCTAGCGGGCTCTCGTCAGATTGTTATTAAGCGTTCCTTACGCTCTAGTTGTGATGAAGCGTGCGTTTAGACTTAGATTACTGTTTACTAAACAATGGAATTCAAAAGAGTCTGAAGATGCTCCAAATTTTTTTGCAATGTGTCGATGTATTCGTTCAGTTGGTCGGTGGGACTAACACGGAATTGTCGTTTTTTGAATCCAATTTCTAGCCCTTTAAGGAGGTCTTTAGTTGGATCAAATTGTTCACGAGCCAATTCGATCTTGTTTGAGAGATCCCACTTATCCAAATACACTTTTGCGATCTTCAACCAGGAGTTGTCGTCGTGTTGATTTTTCACAGCAGAATATTGTTTTTTCCATCCTTTGTGTGGAAAAGTTGTGATGAGTTCGCTTTTGATATCTGGATAAATCTTGAAATCGTTTGTAGGGGCAAAGTCAACAATTGCGGCGTGCTGTGTCCCTTTCCACCTTCCTAAAATCAATTATATTATAGTTTTCAGACTCTAAAACACACCGCAGTTCTGTTCATGTAGATCAGAAATGAATAGGAGCACTCTAAGCATAGCCAATTGAACAACGACATCCGCGCAAAGGCTGTTCCCATCAATAACGTTTTCAAGAAGCTCAAATCTGTCGTCCCATTGAGTAGCAATGTATCTGAAATATGCAAAGATGTATATGTATACGCAAAGCTGTGAAATCCTTACGTGCTTGTTTTGGTTCCAGTCGATATACAAGAAGGGATAATATGAGATTTGGGGCAGACACCGATTAATGATAATAATTTATAGCAATAGAATTCGGAGACGTCCGGCACCTGTCCTGAGCTCGAGCCTTTTGAGCCATAATGATGGCATCTAAACAGAAATGGATCTTGAATGAATGAATAGAAAACATACTTAATGTTGTACTTCGAAACCGAATCTTCTCCATGAATCTGGACAAAAGCAAGTGTGTTCGTTGGCCTTCCTCCTAAGTCCGCGTCTCGTTCTTCAAAATAACAAGTGAATTTGGAATCTTCATTTCCTCTCTTCTGATCATGGAGGTTGTGGAAATACTGCTCCGTCGCTTTACGAATCAATCCCACGTCACCATCGGTCCAAGCAGCGACTTTAGTATGATTCTGGCTTCGAAAAATGTTGAATTGGTCGTAGACATAGAAGAATCCGCTTTTGGTTAAACGTTCATAATATTGGACAGCTTCTTTTGCCATTTCAACTTTGTCCGAGCGCTGCTTCAACACTTGCTCAACGCAGCGTTTGTACTCGTTCCACCATGGAAGATCTGCATGTTTCAGAAAAAAAATCTTGAGACCAATTTTACAGAATTCACTAGCTATAAAATAATTGCTTGATTCAATTTTTTAAGCGCTAATAGAAACCTTAAAGTCTGCTGTATGTCCGCCAATTTATCAACATAGTGTAAGTGAGTCATGCGGGCAATATCAGGTCTAACAGCGACCGGAAGGAGATTCACATATATCAACCCTCCGACCGGAAGCAATAATCCAATCCGATTGGTTTTTTGGGTATTTTCGTATCCGATTGGTAATTTGTCGTATCCGATTAGATTTTCTTCGAATCCGATTGATAATTATTCGAATCTGTTTTGTTTCAATATTTCAACTCGAATCGGATTCGACAAAAAACCAATCTTATCCGTAGAATTACCAATCGGATAAGGTTAATTTCGGAGCCGAATTTTGCCGGATCCGATTGGTTTTGAGTTACCAGAGTATTTGCTCGGGAAACGAACGAGGAGGTAGGAAGCCGGGAGACACGCTTGAAGTTCACACTATTTCGTTACTCATTCCATCGTTCATAAATAAACTCTTAGTTGTTTATTGTTTGTTTCCAACACGAAGCCATGAACATGGAAAGAGTGGGGGATATGGCCCACAAGGCCGGGGTTTGCGCACACCCCTCAATTCCCGCACAAAGCCTTGAGAGCAATCTCCCTTCTTTTGTCCGTAACACCCGATGTGGTCATTCGTTTGATTTCATTTAACATCTGGATGTACGTCCGCCAATTTATCAACATAGTATGGCACTGAAATCAGTCAATTAACCTCAAAAATTACGTTAAGTTATATTATTAATTATCCATATAATAATAATGATTTAATACTATTTTGAATCTCAGAAAACGTTAAATTTAGCCTCAAAAAAATAAAATTCATGTTTTATTTAAAAATCAAAGAAAAATTAGGCTCATTAGGCTCAGTGGAGGCCAATGTTCATTGACTCATACTTTTTGACTTGACTAATGATTTTTGACTCATAAAAATTTTATCGTGATTTTTTATTCTTTGACTCATGATATTTGACTATTTTTTTTGACTGACAATTTTTGACTAATGATTTTCTGAATTTTTTTCTGATTTTTAAGCGCTTAAAGTCTGCACAAATAAAATTACACATCCTAACAATAGATAGTAAATTTTTAATATAAAAACTCAACTTACCACAACAAGCTCTTCAGCAAACTTGATGTCTTGAAGAGGACGCTCAACATCGGGTAGCTCATCACCACGGAATTTGATTTCTTGAAATTTGGGTAGAATATTCGTCACACTCTCAATCTCCTTCACCAGGTCATCGACATGAATCTGAAATTAACGTAAAATCAATTATTATCAACCATCTAAGTAAAAACCTGTGGATCCAACTCAATTCGTTTGAATAATCTATCTTTCTCTTCACCGACCAAACGTATCGTAACCTTAACCATATCTGAAACCATGAAATTATTGAAATACGTAAAGCAAGAATAATCACGGATGGGAAATCACGAAATCAACGCGAACTACAAAAGAAAAAGAAGTATCTTTTCTATTCACAAAAGTTAATGGGAGAATGCGATGCCGGCAGTTTCTCGTCTTCCTCTGCGTCTCTGCCATCCACTCTAGCCCAACGCGTTTGCGTGTGGCGTTGTGTGCGTAAACAGTAACATTTAGTATTGTTGAGAAATGACAAATGTATCCAGGTGTCGTGGGATCCTGCGTTTTGTACGCAATGCTAAGAGACAGTTACCGTAATCCTCGCAGCGATTTACGGAGTTTTTTTTTAATTTTCTCTCAATTTTTTTGCTGAATTTTCTTATTTTCTTGAGAAATCTTATATTTAAAACCTGTAGAAACCGAGTTTAATTATTTAATTTTCGGAATATGCACTTTTCCATTTGTCCAGTTGAGTTGGGAGTTATTGTGAAGATTTTGTCGCTCTAAAAATTATTTTGAAAATGAAGAATACAAAAACAAGATAATAGAAACGCGTTCAAAAAGCAAAACACGAATAAACAATTTTACTAACGACAAAAATGTTTTCTTTTAAATCTCTGCTGTTTTTACCAAAAAATATCGTTAAAAAGTGCTTATTCTGCTAAATAAATTATTAAACTCGGTTTCTGCAAATTTAAATAACAAAATTTCGAAGGGAAATACGAAAATTGAGCGAAAAATAAAAAAATCTAATATGCGAAATTAAAAAAATAAGTCCCCGTAAATCGCTGCGAGGATTACGGTAACTGTCTCTTAGCATTGCGTACAAAACGCAGGATCCCACGACACCTGGATACATTTGTCATTTTTCAACAATACTTGAACAATATTTTTAGCGAAGCTACGGCTTTTATTGTAACACCAGGCCGAGGATGCAATAATTCTATCATTCTGTTTTGAAACATCAAATACTAAAAGTGGATAATATTAATAATAAACATCTTCTTCCATAAAAATTTAATCTTTCACTGATTCATAATAACTATTTCTGAATTCTTTTGCAAAATTATATTGTTGAACTGCATTAAATTTATCAAAATCACTTATGAAAGGCCTCCTTTCTTATTCTTCCACAATGAATAAACAGAATATTTTTGGTTGAATCCAGAGTGGAAGGGGATGAGAGTGACGCTTGAGCTGAGACGCAGAGGAAGGTGAGAAACTGTCAACATCGCATTCTTCCATTAAACTTTGTGAATAGGAAAGAGACCTTTTTTTCGTCTGTAGTTCGCATTGTTTTCGTGATTTTCCATCTATGATAATCATTGTTTTTATTTCATTTTTCAGTTCCACAACAATGGAAATAGGTTTGCTTCTCATTCTTCAAGATCAAGACGGAGTATCCCATCGTCAGAAGCCAATAACATTCGCTGATGAGGTTTTTTAACAATCATATTCTAACTAATTTGAATGATTGTTTTAGACGACAATCAAAGAGTTGAGCAAGGCGATCAATTCCTTTTGGTGTATTCATCAAAATTATCAAGAATTATATCACAACGGGAAGCAGATTATATCGCTAAAGTCTACATTAAAACAAATTGGTGTGAAGGACGACGATGAGATTGTGATCGTAAGTGTTTTTATTATTATTTTTGTTCATTTAGCATTACTAATCCAAAATTATATTAAAGGTTTTTTATTGGATATACGTAGATCTTTTCATGGGTAAATTTAACGATTTTTGAGATTCAAATAGTTTTACACCATTATTAATTAGCTAAGTGAAGCTTAATCTTTTTATAAACACTCGGAGCTTCCGTGGTGGTCACAGTATAAAAAGGCTGTTGGAATTGCAATGAAAGCAGGACCCGAAAGAATGGAAAATGCCAAAGAGGCCGTCAAGCTGCACACGCGATTACTGGAGAAAGGATTTTTCAACGTGTACAGCAGCTTCAACGAGTTTCGCATGGAAAACCATCACAAAGTGGCCTCTTGGACTGATGGAAACACAGAACTAATGAGAGAAGCCACTGTGAACCATTTCCGTGCCCTGCATTTCAAACGCGGAGCCGACGATGAGTCTGACTTCGTTTGTCGGTTTGAAGCTCGACCAAGAGATCTGGGAGGTTCACGAAAAACACACTTGCTTATGTCCAACTTCATGGAGAGAAGGAAGAGACCAAGTACAACGTGAAGTAAGAATTTTCTCTAATTAGCGACAATTTAACTATCGTGTTTAGATGTCATCACTTCGGGTCATCGAGTAACTCTGCAAAGGGTCAATCTCCCGATATTAAAGAGTTTTTTTGCTACAAACTCCTTGAACTCATCAACGTGGGACCGCATGCGCAATTCATCCTACCGAACAAATTGACTGGCAGACGAACATCTATGTAGTAATATTGAATTGTTTTTCCGATTTAAACGTTACTTAAACTTCAGGTATATCGCAACGAAATGGTGTGACAATTTTGTCCCTATTTCCCACATCGAAGAAGAAGATGTTAGTGCAGATATTCTTGTGCAGATTCTCTTGCTTGGCACTTTTCTTTTTATCGACGATTTACATTCTGATAATTGCGGTCAGTTTTTCAAAATATGAATTTTACTGGTTAAAAAACAAATAATTATTTTCATTTAGGTCAGTGGAAAGGCACCAAAGAGGCGGCTATCGTTGACTTTATGCCGAGAGCATACACTTCGTACACGAATGTTAAGAAGGTCTTAAATTTTCAATTTTCTTTTTCCTTTGTTTTTTTTGCTTGTTTTATGTTATTTTACCATTTCCAGGCTCTGCTCGACAACAGTTCATCGGTGTATTGGGAAGCGATTCATATCGACGCGTTGGAAAAATGCAATGAGAAATCGCGCTTGGAGATGGCAAAAGAGTGTCTGAAGAAATGGGATCTGCTGTCTAAGATCGAAATGGCCAACGAACAAATCAAGCTCGAGAAGGATCGAATGAAGCGACAAGACATCGGCTTCAAAGGCTTCAACAGTCCTACTGAAGAACTCGATCAATACATAATCGCTGTCAAGGAGAACCTAACGAAATTGACTGTGATGTTAAATGAAATTGACTTCAATGAATTGACTTTTTCTTGATTTTTAATACTTCGACTAAAGCAAGGAGATCTAGATTTATTAGCGCAGGCAGATCTTTCTCTAGCTTCACCATTTATTGAGCATTTTTTTATTCACCGTTCTAGCACAATATTTCGACCATTTCGACCACATTTTTAAGGTAGCGCATTTCGACCTTTTTACCATTTTTGAAAATTGTTGAAAATGACACATTCTTAATGATCGAAAATTAGAAATCAATGACAATAAGCCCTAAAATGGCTTAAAAAAAAGAGAAAATTGAGGATGAAAGGTGCGCTAGAATGGCAAAATACGTATATGAATTTCAAAATATTTTATTCGATTTAACTGTGATAAATTCAAAAAAATTATGAGAAATTTTGAAATTAATTGAGAAAAATTGAAAATATTATAGAGAAATGTTAGTTTCTCAATGAATTTCAAAATATTTTATTCGATTTAACTGTGATAAATTCAAAAAAATTATGAGAAATTTTGAAATTATTTGAGAAAAATTGAAAATATTATAGAGAAATGTTAGTTTCTCAATGAATTTCAAAATATTTTATTCGATTTAACTGTGATAAATTCAAAAAAATTATGAGAAATTTTGAAATTATTTGAGAAAAGTCGGAAATTAGTATAGAGACATGACAGTTTCTCAATGAATTTCAAAATATTTTATTCGATTTAACTGTGATAAATTCAAAAAAATTATGAGAAATTTTGAAATTAATTGAGAAAAGTCGGAAATTAGTATAGAGACATGGCAGTTTCTCAATGAATTTCAAAATATTTTATTCGATTTAACTGAGAGTGTGACCCGTTCATCTTTTTCGGGTTCCAAAAACAAAACTGCCTTCCCGATTGATTCGCTGTGTATTTCTTTTTAAATAGTTATTCTCTTTTATTACGATTGCAGGATTAGAAAATGCAAAAATAACAATGTTGTGAAGCGTGACACAAGTCTGTAATGATAAAATCAACGCGTCCTCAAAATTGAATCGCGTGTCATTAATCGTAAAATGCGCTGTCTCATTGCGTTGTCAACACTTATAGTCGCTTCATTTGCTTCGACTCATTTTATCTTTAACGGCGAGCTCGTCTGCAATTATCCAAAACGGGACAAGTTTTATGCGGCCATTCAATTCCTTGATTCCGACACTATGTTCGTTATCAATTTCGAATCAATTTTCCTGGATGCTATGTTTCAGAGGTCCGTGGGATCCAATCGGCGATCAGAGATTCATTGATGGGCCAACGGAGGGTCCCGTCAAATTCTCAGTGTCGGGATCTTTAGACGGCGATGAATGGTTGAGTGTAAGACACAGAATCCAGTAGTTCAAGCAAGTTGTGGCATTTTCCAGTCTGGATTTTACATTTATATGGAAATTTGGCACAATTGCGTTGAAAATAAAGATGACGAAAAGATGCTGAAAGTCGCACTGATGCCACCGTGTCCGATTGAGGACAAAACGTGCACCTATACGTTGAAGCAAGACATAACCAATAAATCGGGAGATAGCGAGCTCAAAGCCGATATGGTCATAACATAATGTTGTTCTTTCGAAAATCTTACTTGTTATGTGACAAAATGAATTTTTATTTATCAACTTCAATAATTTATTTAAAGGCGTTTGTGTGTGAGTGGCTTTCTTTTTTTAGATCCTTCGGGATCAAGCGATGATCCACTTCAGGTCTTCTACCTACAGCTGGAGAGCCTCCTCTTCCCGTACAATCCAATTCATTCGAATCCCAATGGCCTCCTTAAGGGTCTTTTATTTGAAAAAATAAATATAAATAATTTATTCAGACTTAAAATTCTAAATTTGAAGATATAGTCGGCGTCCGGCGGCTGCTGTACGCGGGTAGATTTACGCGCATGCGCCTTGAAAAGTTCTCGCCACGTGTGAATGTTTATTCATTATTTTAATGAGTTTAACATTTCCTTGAATTTCCAACGTCATTCGATTAAAAAATTAGCGATCCAAGGCTAATTTTTTTTGTTTTTTTTTTCAAGGCGCATGCGCGTAAATCTACCCGCCTACAACAGTCGCCGGACGCCGACTATACAATTTTTTTTAATCTAGCTTACTCTTAACAATATTCTCAATTATAAAAATAATAAAAACTGGTGAATTTAAATAATTATTAAAAAAAAACGTGAAATCAATTGAATGCAATTTTCCATTATGGAATGAAATTCCTGATATTCTTGTTCAATGCCGTCGTCGCGACGTTTATTCGATTCGATGTTCATTTCATATGCTCGTTGAAGACCACCAAAGATTTCAATACTGAAATCCGGTTTTTTGACACCGACGTCATGTGAGCGATTAAAATGTTATTTTAAAAATTAAAAATTATTTTTTCATAGATCTGGCGATGATCTTATTGGTGGCACCTTTGATATAATCGGTTCAACCGAAATACTTGATAATCATTTGACTGCGACGGGTTACTTGGATTCCGATGAGCTATTCAGCGTAAGTTTCAATTTTTGCCATTTTCAAATTTATTTTCAGTCAGGATATTATATAAAAGCTCTGATCAGGCACGACTGCACTGATGATAGAAGTCTGGCGAAATTGGTTTGGCATATATCTCCGCCGTGCGAATTCCATATGTTTGAGAAATATTCAATTTTCAAACTAAATTTTGTCGTATATTTCAGTTTTTGTCGTTATACTATTAAAAGAAATATCACAAACGAAGCAGGAGTTCACTATATGACAGCTGAGTTCTATTACGAATAAATTTATTTGTTATATACAATGCACATACTTGCGATAGTCATTGTCGTCGGTCATATTCAGAAAAATTCGGCGTCCTACGATTCCCCAACTATTCTCCAGATTTGCTTGAAGCTTATAGTGGCAATCCCTGAGAATCTGAAATTTCAAGACCTGAATCGAATTCCAACCTGTAATGTTGGCATAATGGGGTGATATTGATAATCAGTTGAACACTTTGATGACTCTCAGTGCAATCGTGAAAAATTTTCGCATAAATTTCGTAGTTCTAAATTCGGAAATTCGAGATTACTTATCTTTCAGACGACTAACATAATTGAAAAACTCGTCTTCTGTTTGCGATCCAGTGATTCGGAACTTCGCCGTTCCCGGCCGATGGGCGTGATGTATTTCCGGGCCAACTGAATCATCAGGGTTTCTGAACGCCACTATTTCGGATAAATCTCTAAAAATACACTCACAAAAAGCTGTCTCGATCAAAAAACTGAACCGAAAACGTCCAAAAAGCTCGATTTCGCAAATTGCACGTCAATTCAACATCGAAAATGAACTCATCAGTGTATTTCGACGAATTTGTTATATTGAAAAAAATTGCGAGCAAAAATAGGAACAGCATTCTAGCAATGAGTTTTCCAAAGAATTATGCGTGGTTTTCTTTTATTAGTTCAAGTTGTCCCCTTTTTTTTATAAAACTAGATATTCAAGACGAAGCAAAATATCACAATCAGATTTTCCCACAATAAATATTATGCACAAAATTATTTGGTTTTAACAGTAGTCGGCGTAGCGACAGAAGTTGTCGCCGTCGTCACAATAACCGAACTCGTCGAATTCGTCATGACAATACTCGAAGAAAGCGAAGAAGTTGGGGTAATCGTGGCATTTGTGATCGCTGCAAGACCAATACTCCTTTAAAAATCATCATAGAAAGAGATATGTCCAACCTTCAATGATTTTCGCCGTTGTTGAAGTCACATCTTCACGCGAATCCCTCTTTTCCGTCAAATGCTGTGTGAGATTTCCAGTGGCGGTGTTAACCTGAATCAAGTCCATTCAATCATCTAATTCGTTGCCTTGTTTTTTTCTTCAAACCTGCGGTGGAGCCACCGGAGCCGAAAAATTGCCCGAAGTCGTTGGATTCTCAATGATAATTTGGTCAGGTTTCGGCACTTTCGGATGCATCGCGTCAAAGTAAAACTCCTAAAAGAAGCGACTAAACACAATTGTGGCATGAAAACCCAAAAACAGAGGATAGAAGCGTAACATTTATTAAGTGGCAGGTGCAGTTCATGCAAAAAACGTTTTGTCAAAAAATAAAACCTTAAAGGTGAAAGCGAGCAAAAAGTGGAGAATGAAGATAGTGGCGATCGTTCCAAAAGAGACCTGCAAATTTTGGCGTGAGGTTTTTTATTAAAAACCCAAAAATGATACCAATTTATTGCTATCATTCTGAACAGCCGGCCAGATTGCACGAATCAATACGGTACCGGAGAGTCCAACCGATACCAAAATTAAAGCCCAACGGAACCAGTTAAGATCAATTATCCACAAAAACTGAAAAAAAGAGGTTAGATGCATTGTTGTAGAAATTTACATACCGTAACAGGAATGAAAATCGACAGAGAATAGCCATAAAGACAGACCAGATCGACATATGGATGCATAATTTCGCTTTTTCTATTCCACAAGAGACCATAAATCAAGAATGGGACGACGACGACGTAGAGAAAAATGAGAGTTGAAGCTGATGTCACTGAAAATCCAAATTGGAAAAACAATTTTTATAAAGAAATGGAACGTACCCATGCGAAAATCGGACCCATATGAGCCTTTGCTTCCTTCATTTTCAATAAATTGTGCGAGATTGCCGAAAATTCCAATGGCAAATACCAGGGTGACCGACACCCAGAACGGACCCCAAAGGTCTGGAATCGGTTGCAAAAAATCTTGAATATAATTGCGATGGGTTGGAATGACACTGTTCAATAAGCGTTTTAAGACCTAAAAACGGGATTTTGAAAAAGAATGAAAATGAATTCTTGAAGTAACCTGGTCTGTCTCAACATCGAAAAATTGCTGATAGTACTCAATCGAGAATAAATTACTTTTTCGAGATGATGTCGTTGAATCATCAAAAACTGTTCTTTGTGGTGCACTTGAGCCACCAACAAGCTTGAAAATTCGAAAAATTTAACTTTAAATGAATTTCTTTTCATTCTTACATTACTCTGATCATCAATACTTCCTGTAAATCCTCCACTTTGAGCATTCGTCGAATTTATCGACTCAAAATCTGAAAATTCAGGAAAATTTAAAGAATATTTCGAGAAAAAAAATATGTCGACAGACTTGTTCCTAAGTCGATTTCTTTCCACTCCATTTTGAATAATAAAAAATGATGAAAACTTACTTTGAAAATTCAATTCCATCACGATGACACCACGTGTGACGCGAAAATGCTCTACAATAATAAATTTAGAAAAGAAATTAGAATTAGGCAAAGATAATGAAAATGGCAGAAGGAAAACCATTAAAATAGCAAAATCAATGCGCTATTTTCCAATAATTTACTTAAAGTTGCAAAAATCATAAATTATCCGTTTGATATGGTTAAATTTTGAATTTGATTGCGAAAATGAGTATCTAATAAAACAACACAATGAAAAAAATTCAAAAATAAAATGAAGGCACTTAATATCGTCTATTCCTTGATCTACTTCGCTTGCGATCTCTGCGTCTATCATCATCACGTCGCTTATCACGCGAGCGGGATCTTGTTCTACGGCGATCACGGGAACGAGACCTCGTCCTTTTCCGCTCCCGCCGATCTCGACTTCTGCTCCGTTTTCTGTCCCGACTGTGTTCTCGACGACTTCTTTCACGACTTTTTGAGCGAGTGCGTTTTCTATCATTTCGTTCTCTAAAAACCACTATAGGTTCGAAAAATTGAATTCGCTTTTACCTGTCTCGCTCCCTCGATGATTTGTGCACTTTTCGTCGATCATTGTTTTTTTCGTCCTCACTTTCCGGGCATGAGCATTCGCCACCAGAGCAGGAACAAGAGCAGCTTAATTAATCCAATAAATGATTATTTGAATTAAAAACAGAATATGTCTTACTCGCTTTCGTCGCAAGCTGCATTATTCGTGATCGAAATAATTTTGGTTTTGATTTTCTCTACTTTTTCAACAAGTTCTGGATCAGAATCAAAATCGAAATTGTATTTTCCAAGGTCTTCTTCATCCCCATCATCATCATCTTCTTCTTCTTTTTTCTAAAAATGAATTTGAAACTGTTAAAAATGTTAAATATTTACATTGTTTTCCATTTCTTGATTTTCACTACCACTTTCTTCCCCTTCCTCACGATCATTGTCAACTTTTACCTTCAATATAATAAAAATAATAAAACAAATTATAAACCAATAATTACATCTTTTTTCTTTCTTTTTCGCCCAAATTCGTCGAATTCTTCATTGTAATCTCTCTTGACATATTCAACATCTTGTCTATCCATATATCCACCACCATATCCTAATAAGTTTTGAAATAAATTGATTAATCATAGTTTATACCTGTTCGTTTTTCAAGATCTCCTAATTTTGGCGCATTGCATACGTTACACGTTTTTCTTCGAGCCCAGTTGACATTCCCGCATCTTACAATACAATATTTTATTCAAAAAAATTACATTTGAAATTTTACTTTGAACAAACCCAATCTTCAGCAGCGAACAGGCCTTTCGACTTTTCAGCCATTTCCTTTCCTATCTCTTTTCCAACTTTCGCAGTAGCCTTGGGTTTCGCTTAAAATAAATAGAATAAATTTGGAAAACAATAGGAATTTTCATTACGTTTCCCACAATCATCGCAATATTTGCGTGATTCATCATTGATTTGGGCACACTTCGCATCAGGGCATGCCCATTCCCCTTCTCGAAGTGCTCTGCGTTTCGATTCTCGTTCTTCTTCAAGTTTAGAAGACATCCTGAAAAAATAAAGTCAAAGTTACCGAAAAAATATACTAAAAAAAATTCGAGCCGTCAATATGCAATATGTTACCTAAAAATTCATGAATATCTTTCTTTAAATCGTAATAAAACTTGCTTATAGCAATACATTATGTAAAGTAATATGAAATCAAATATTATGAAAGAAAAAGGAAAATTATTTGTGACGTTATTGGCAATTTGCCAATTTCAAAAAACTCGCGTTTCTTGAAGCGAAAGCGCTGCGTAGCAAATACGCCCTACTGTACTTTCGAATACCACGTATTCAGATATTATCCAGATTTCAATAGAAATCTTATCTTTTTAATAAAATTTTGATATTCGCAATGTCTTGAATTTTAAGGCTCTTCTTTATAGATACCATAAATTCCTGAATGTGCGAAAATATTTTTGCAGTGGTTTACGTCGAAATGGCGTCCGGCGAACATCCATGTTACACTCTTATTCATGTGCCTAGTGATTCGGAACTTCCTTCTGAGTCGCAACTCAAAGAAAAGTTTGAAAAAGGAGGGGACAAGGAAAGAATTGATGCTCTCAAAAAGCTTATTTATTTGATTTTAAATGGAGAAAAAGTGAGCCAAGGAATGCTCATGTATGTCATTAGATTCTGCCTTCCATCCAATGAGCATACATTGAAGAAGCTACTTTTAATTTTCTGGGAGATCGTCCCAAAGGTAATTTTGATAATCTAAGGAATTTTATCAACAATTCAATTTTAGACGGATTCAAATGGAAAATTGCTGCATGAAATGATATTGGTGTGCGATGCGTACAGAAAAGATCTGCAACATCCCAATGAATTTGTGCGTGGATCAACTTTGAGGTTCTTATGCAAACTCAAAGAGCCTGAACTTCTGGAACCGCTCATGCCTGCCATTCGCCAGTGCCTCGAGCACAGGCATTCATATGTTCGTCGCAACGCAGTTTGTGCAATCTTCACAATTTACAGTATGTTTACTTCAATGTGCAATTTTAATGTCGTGAGTTCCAGAGAATTTCGAGTTTTTAATTCCCGACGCGCCAGAATTAGTGACCAACTATTTGGAAAGTGAAATGGATGCTTCGTGCAAGAGAAACGCCTTCATGATGCTCCTTCACGTCGATCAATCCCGAGCCCTTGAATATTTGTCTGGTTGCATCGATCAAGTCGGGCAATTCGGCGATATTCTCCAGCTTGTCATCGTCGAGTTAATCTATAAGGTGTGTCATTCGAATCCAAATGAGTGTGCCAGATTCATCCGCTGTGTCTATAATCTTCTTCAATCGCAAAGCCCTGCCGTCAGGTAATTTCCAAACGTAAAACTAATGCTCAAATTTTTCTTTAGATATGAAGCTGCTGGAACCCTCGTCACTCTTAGTACTGCACCAGCTGCAATTAAAGCTGCAGCTGCCGCTTACATCGATTTAATAGTGAAGGAGAGCGACAACAATGTGAAGCTCATCGTTCTCGACCGCTTGGTGCAACTAAGAAACACATCCAGCAATGAGAGAGTGCTCCAAGGCCTTGTGATGGATATTCTTCGTGTCCTTTCTTCGCCTGGTCTCGAAGTTCGTCAGAAGACTTTGAATCTTGCACTGGATTTGGTGTCCAGTAGAAATGTCGAGGATATGGTGATGTTTCTCAAAAAAGAAATCAATAAAACCGCTACCGAAAGCAACGATGAAAATGGAAAATACCGGCAAGCACTTGTCAAGACTCTGCATGCCGCCACAATCAAATTCCCTGACGTCGCTTCTTCAATTGTACCGGTATTAATGGAATTTTTGTCGGATTCAAACGAAACCGCTGCGTGCTATGTGCTTCAATTCGTCAGAGAAGCCGTCCACAAATTGCCAAACCTTAAAGAAGCGATATTGAAGTCGCTGAAGGACGGAATTCTATCAATTCAAGCTCCAGAGATATTCATGTCGGCTCTTTGGATTCTTGCAACTTATTGCGAGCCTGAAAACAATTTGGAGATTTTGAAGTAAATTAACCGTATTAACAAAAGTAATATATTTTCTTCAGACTTATTAAAAATTCGATCGGAGAATTGCCAATTGTTGATTCGGAAATCGCCGAGCAAGTTGAGGGAGCCGAAATTAAACATGACGATGTGCCAGTGAAGAAATCTACTGCGCCAAAGGTTACTGCTGATGGAACCTATGCTACTCAAACCGCGTTGTCGACCACACTGACATCGAAGCGAGCTGACAAGCCTCCGCTCCGCCGATTCCTTCTCAACGGAGACTATTTCCTCGGGGCTAGATTGTCCACAGTTCTTACAAAACTCTCCCAACAATTTACGATCTTGGAAGGAGCTGGAAGTGAGCGATCGAATCGCTTCCGGGCTGAATGCATGCTCATTTTGGCTTCTATCATCCACTTAGCGAAGAGTGGTCATGTTTCGCATCCTGTTAATGAAGATGACTTGGACAGGTTTGCATAAATTATTATTTTCGTGGTTAATATTGAGTATTTTTTTTAGAATGGGAGCTACAATAAAGGTTCTAGCTGAAGGAATTCCAAATCTTGATAAAGAATTTGGAGACGAGTGCAAGAAAAGCCTTGAGCTTATGCTCAATTCGAGATCGACGAGCCGATTTGAAGACGCTTCAGCGACATCTGGCAAAAAATCGAAAGACTTCCTTGAAGTTGACAAAACGATCACTTTCACGCAACTGTCGGCGAGAAATAATCAACAAGGAGAGAACTTGTTTGATCTTTCCCTCTCGCAAGCTCTTGGAACTGCTCCGAAAGCACAGAAGTTTGATTTTTCGAGGTAAATTTTTGATTCTGACGAATATTATCGGAAGTTTTGGCATATTTTTAGCTCGAAACTTGGAAAAGTTATCCAATTGGCCGGATTTTCCGATCCAATTTACGCAGAAGCTTACGTTAACGTTAACCAATATGATATTGGTAAGCCAAAAGATTGCAGCATTTTATATGTGCTGTATAATTTTTTCAGTACTCGATGTATTGATCGTCAATCAAACTGCTGACACCCTTCAGAATGTTTCTTTGGAACTTGCAACTGTCGGAGATTTGAAGCTCGTCGACAAACCAACTCCAGTGACGCTTGCACCAGCCGATTTTTCGAATATCAAGGTATGTGTCAAGACATTAAAAATTGCTGAAATTGCGCAACTTCAGGCTACTGTCAAAGTGGCATCGACTGAAAACGGTGTTATATTCTCCACTATTTCGTATGATGTTCGCGGCTCAACTTCGGATCGTAATTGTGTGTACCTTCAAGACATCAAAATTGATATTATGGTTTTTCGCGGATGTTCAAATGTTAAAATATAGCAACATTTTCAGGATTACATTGTGCCTGGAAATATGAGCGATACTGATTTCCGTCAGATGTGGAGCGATTTCGAGTGGGAGAATAAGGTGAACGTGATGACACCGATTCGAGATCTTCGTGAATTCTTAACACATTTATCGAGTTCGACAAATATGAAAGTTTTGACCGGAGATGCAGCTATTGGTAAAAAAACATGTTTTAATTTAAATTGTATTTTTCATTTTTAGAAGGAGATTGTGGCTTCCTTGCTGCAAATTTGTGTGCACACTCCATTTTTGGCGAAGATGCGCTGGCAAACATTTCTGTCGAAAAAGCGTTGCCTATGGATGATGCTTCGCCGATTGTGGGTCACATTAGAATACGCGCGAAGAGTCAAGGAATGTGCCTCACACTTGGTGATAAAATCAGCACGGCAATGCGGTCTCGAAAAGACGGCAACCCGATTCCCGTGCCGACTGCTTAAATGAGAGACTGTACATTTATTAGCATCCATTGTCCTAATTTATTTTTCTTTTATTTCGTGTGAAAAGAATGCGCTATTGTGAATTTATTTATAAAATGGGTACATAATTAATTTCAATATGAAACATTAATGTGGTGTGAACTAACAAGGGAAGTCATTTTACCTCCCGTCTTAGGATTTTTTGTAATTTTGCACACGTAAACTAGGTCTTTTGAGTGTATTCACAAAATTCCAGCCTGCACTGGGTGGTTACAGGCGAGTTATGGCCGTCTGAAAATTCAAGGTGTTTTTCCATTGTCAGCGACTATTTGGGCAAGGGGTTACGCATACGCCTCTTGGGGCCCCAGTTTGGCATCCAGGTGAAGTGAAGGGGTATGTGTGCGGGGCAGTGACTTTATGATGAAGGTTTGCACCCGGCTCACGCATTTTTGCATTTTTTTTGCCACAGAAAATTCCGCTGCAAATTGGTTTCTAACGCATAATTTCATGTAAAAGTGTCGTTTAAACATTATTTATTATTTTTTTTTTGCATTTTACAGTTTTTCGTTTTTTTCAAAAATTTTCTGAACTCTATTTTTTTCCACAATTGGATGTCGAAAAACTCACTTCTGATCGTTTAAACGCATAATTTTATTCTTTAACATATTTAACAATTTACTCTTTTTCGGAGTTTATTTTGCAACACCAGGTCAGCAGCGGGCCAGGCAACCAACAGTTCATGTGATTGTTAATAACCATGAGTTCGAAACATAAGAATTTTTCAAAATACAAAAAATGAATGAATGAGTTATATCAATATATTGCTACATTCTGGCGTTTGGCATTCTCTGGCAACGTCTCTCGAAAAGAGTTTCTGCGCTGGAGTGAGGTATGGTGGAGGCCGTGCAAACATTATATCGATTGTCTTGCACCTGATAGGTGACCTTTTTGATATTTATTTTGATGTACTTATTGTAATTTATTCTTGCGTCGTATATGTCATAAAGTGGGTTTAATTACCCAAGTTTGAGGTATCTCCCTTGCTGAAGACTTTGGAATAAGAATTCGTCTCAACCCTGAGCGCGAAGTATAGTTCTTTAGATAGCTCTTCTTTGTTGTTATTCTGAAGACACACAATCTTGACAAAAATTAATTACTCACATTTTGTAGTTCGTTGAATCTTTCTTCTCGTTAAGCATAACAAAATCTCTGGTCATTGAACACATCTTTCACCAATTTCGTTAACTTGATATTGTAGTAATGAAACCTGCAAATAATTAATAATCTAGTGTATCAAACAGAATAGACTTACCAGTTCTTACAACAAACAAAAACAATAACAACACAAAAACAGAAGAAATTCTGCGACGCAAATCGTTCTTAAATGCGACACTTTGTCCTTTCATACCTGTTTGCCAGCACCTTCGAGAAGGTATAGGTGTGACCAAACTCATCGAGTTCTAGATCTTACAGATTGACCACTCTCTCTTTCTCCTTCTGTTCTTTTCTTCACTAGGTACTTCATAAGGAAGCTTTGCTTTCGCTGAATGTCTTTCAGATCCTTTGGTGTGACGTCTTTGCCCTAGCAATTTCTCTTTCTCTTTGTGTGACCTTCTTTTCTCTTCCTCACTGTGAGAGCACAATAACACATTTGCCCCAGTTGAACTAGGCGCACGCGACGCGACACGCAAACGCGTTGGGCTAGAGTGGAAGGCAGAGACGCGTGACCAGAGACGCAGAAGAAGACGAGAAACTGCCAACATCGAATTCTTCCATTAACTTTTGTGAATAGAAAAGATACTTCTTTTTCTTCGGTAGTTCGCATTGATTTCGTAACTTCCCATCCGTGATTATTCTTGCTTTACTTATTTCAATAATTTCATGATTTCAGATATGGTTAAGGTTACGATACGTTTGGTCGGTGAAGAGAAAGATAGATTATTCAAACGAATTGAGTTGGATCCACAGGTTTTTACTTAGATGGTTGATAATAATTGATTTTACGTTAATTTCAGATTCATGTCGATGACCTGGTGAAGGAGATTGAGAGTGTGACGAATATTCTACCCAAATTTCAAGAAATCAAATTCCGCGGTGATGAGCTACCCGATGTTGAGCGTCCTCTTCAAGACATCAAGTTTGCTGAAGAGCTTGTTGTGGTAAGTTGAATTTTTATATTTAAAATTTACTATCTATTGTTAGGATGTGTAATTTTATTTGTGCAGACTTTAAGGTTTCTATTAGCGCTTAAAAATCAGAGAAAAAAAATTCAGAAAATCATTAGTCAAAAATTGTCAGTCAAAAAAAATAGTCAAAAATCACTAGTCAAATATCATGAGTCAAAGAATAAAAAATCACGATACAATTTTTATGAGTCAAAAATCATGAGTCAAGTCAAAAAGTATGATTTAATGAACATTGGCCCGTTTAGCATTACTAAGCCAAAATTATATTAAAGGTTTTTTATTGGATATACGTAGATCTTTTCATGGGTAAATTTAACGATTTTTGAGATTCAAATAGTTTTACACCATTATTAATTAGCTAAGTGAAGCTTAATCTTTTTATAAACACTCGGAGCTTCCGTGGTGGTCACAGTATAAAAAGGCTGTTGGAATTGCAATGAAAGCAGGACCCGAAAGAATGGAAAATGCCAAAGAGGCCGTCAAGCTGCACACGCGATTACTGGAGAAAGGATTTTTCAACGTGTACAGCAGCTTCAACGAGTTTCGCATGGAAAACCATCACAAAGTGGCCTCTTGGACTGATGGAAACACAGAACTAATGAGAGAAGCCACTGTGAACCATTTCCGTGCCCTGCATTTCAAACGCGGAGCCGACGATGAGTCTGACTTCGTTTGTCGGTTTGAAGCTCGACCAAGAGATCTGGGAGGTTCACGAAAAAACACACTTGCTTATGTCCAACTTCATGGAGAGAAGGAAGAGACCAAGTACAACGTGAAGTAAGAATTTTCTCTAATTAGCGACAATTTAACTATCGTGTTTAGATGTCATCACTTCGGGTCATCGAGTAACTCTGCAAAGGGTCAATCTCCCGATATTAAAGAGTTTTTTTGCTACAAACTCCTTGAACTCATCAACGTGGGACCGCATGCGCAATTCATCCTACCGAACAAATTGACTGGCAGCCGAACATCTATGTAGTAATATTGAATTGTTTTTCCGATTTAAACGTTACTTAAACTTCAGGTATATCGCAACGAAATGGTGTGACAATTTTGTCCCTATTTCCCACATCGAAGAAGAAGATGTTAGTGCAGATATTCTTGTGCAGATTCTCTTGCTTGGCACTTTTCTTTTTATCGACGATTTACATTCTGATAATTGCGGTCAGTTTTTCAAAATATGAATTTTACTGGTTAAAAAACAAATAATTATTTTCATTTAGGTCAGTGGAAAGGCACCAAAGAGGCGGCTATCGTTGACTTTATGCCGAGAGCATACACTTCGTACACGAATGTTAAGAAGGTCTTAAATTTTCAATTTTCTTTTTCCTTTGTTTTTTTTTTGCTTGTTTTATGTTATTTTACCATTTCCAGGCTCTGCTCGACAACAGTTCATCGGTGTATTGGGAAGCGATTCATATCGACGCGTTGGAAAAATGCAATGAGAAATCGCGCTTGGAGATGGCAAAAGAGTGTCTGAAGAAATGGGATCTGCTGTCTAAGATCGAAATGGCCAACGAACAAATCAAGCCCGTGAAGGATCGAATGAAGCGACAAGACATCGGCTTCAAAGGCTTCAACAGTCCTACTGAAGAACTCGATCAATACATAATCGCTGTCAAGGAGAACCTAACGAAATTGACTGTGATGTTAAATGAAATTGACTTAAATGAATTGACTGTTAAATGAATTGACTGTGGTGTTAAATGTTGGCGAGTAGTTGTTGATAAATTAGTTTCTTAGTGATTTTTCCTTCTATTTTTATTTTATTATTTTTAGTAATTTAATGGTTTATTTAGATCTCCATTTAACTTCTAATGATAAAACTTTTGAATGCCAAAAAAAATCTTAAAGAAAAATTATGAAATACCAACTTCTACTTCTTTAATCCCTTGTGGTGGTAAAGTGTCTCGCATGAATATATTGTGGAAAAATGACGAATGTGAAAAACTGCAGTGATATCCTATGTATTGTGTGCGTACACCGAGTCGCACAGTTAAACAAGAGCTACAGTAATCTCAACTAAAATTTATTTATTTATTTAATTTTTTTCGTTTTTTCGTGTTTTCTTGGCGAATTTTTGGTTTTATGTATATTTTTTTGTTGGAAAAGTGTAACAGCAATATTTTTTGTATATTATTAAAAAATAATTGTTTTACATAAAATGAAACTATCAATTTTTCGAAAAAATCGTTTAAAATATCATTTTCGACAATTTTTGCCTCGAGCTTATCAACTTTTTAACGTTATTGCAACGTACTTGTTTCTTTTCTTTCTTATACGTTTATGCATTCATTATTTATTTGTTTCAGGTGAAGAAACACGTAACCGGCCGAATAAAGATAGCCGAAAGAGCAGCCAGTCAACTATTTCGCAATTGATCAATTGTAATTTTTCCCCGAAGTCTTAATTTCTATCAATCCTTCAAGTTTATGAATTTTCTATTCTAATAATTCTATTTTATCTTTTTTTTGGTGTATAATGTAACTAGTGATCTTCTAGAGCGATACATTTCTTGTGAAAAAATCTGAAATATGCGAAGGTTTCAAATAAATAGATATAAGTATATATAACATGTTTATGTTTAACAACAAAATAAGATGTTTGTGGCTCTTAGGGGAACCGTTGGGTTTCTGCCGACGAATTAAATCACCAATATTCGATCAGATGACGAGAGCGACGTCGAAACGAGTGGCTTTCGTTTATCCAATGATGAGCAAACTTGATAATCTGAATATTATTTAATTAATACGTTCTATTTTTAAACTACAAACCATTTTTTATTCTTCCTCTTCGTCGACGATGACTGCCGCATGATCTGCAATTTAACCACAAAGCACGCATCTTTTTCAATTTCAACAAACTTATTTTCTTTTCCAGTCATCTCAAAAAATAATAATTTGAAAGTTTTAAAAATCTTAAAATAACTTTTCTTTCAAGCCAAAAGGTGATAAAAATAATAAAAACTTATCTAATAGCGGAATAGTTGACTGGCTGCTCTTTCGGCTATCTTTATTCGGCCGGTTACGTGTTTCTTCACCTGAAACAAATAAATAATGAATACTGTTGTAAGTCGGAAAACTCGAATTACAATTTAAACTTTATCTAAAGTAAGCGTTAGACAACAATAACGAACGAAGCGCAATTTAATTAGTTAACGGATAATAATAACAATAATGGCTAGCCGGGGGAATGGATAGTATGTGAATAAAAATAATAATGAAGCCGCACGGTAGGAAAATATAAATAACAACGGAAACCAATCAAGCAACTCGGGTCCGGGCCTAAAACAATCCAACAACTCAACTTCGTGTATTTGCGCGCCAACTCAGGTGTGTGTGTAAACACCGTGATATTCACCGTAACCGCAGGATTTAAATTGCTAATATCTTTCTTCATATTTTCTTGCTCCTCGCAACATCTCCCCCGACAAAAGAAATTGGGGCATCCTTGCTTGGTGTTGGCGTTGATGACGTCGATGATATGACGATATAGCGACTGTGCACAATGACCGTTGACTGGTTGCTGACTGATAACTATGGCTGCTGACTGATATAAGTTGGGTCTTCATTGTGGACTGGGATCAAATCGTACGATGGGTTTCCGAACTCTTGCACTGCGTCGTAAACTGACTTCTGGAGCGTCCTGGTTCCGCTTTAGAATGCTTGCGGGTACGTCCTTGGCACGATCCTCAGGGCCTGCCTGGGTGTTCGGTTCAATCTTGGGTTTAACACACACCGTACGCTGGCTACCTAGCGCGTCACATACATTTGACATAGATCTACTATCCTCAGGGGGACCTATACAAGGGGAAATATATTGTCTCTGACCTTTTGTACGTGTTGATCCTGCTGACTCCTTTGCGATTGCTACTGGTATTTGACTGTGACGATGTTTTGAACTTGAGGGTTGACTTTGTCCATGGCAAGACTTCTGGTTGGGATGTTCGTTTGACTTTGGCTTGTCCGGTGGCGAATGGGTATTGTCGTTGTCACTGCTTGAACTCGACTGATTGGTGCACAGATCATTCACTGGATTTCCTGAAATTATTTCATGTGATACGGGTAACATGAAAATATCAGTCATTGTCTCAAACCACCTCTCTTCTGGACTCTTTACCAATCTATTTGGTCTCATTTGATTGGCGTGGAACTTTTTTATGTGTCCTTCATGATCCACCATGTAGATCACTGGTCCCACCACCTTCGTCACTATACCTTCTTCCCAAGTCCATCGATTTCGACGATAGATTTTTACGAAAACTCGATCATTTACCTGGAAGTGTTTCTCTTTAACCCCCCTCCCGTCAAAATGTTCCTTCATGATCCTTTGTTTGTCCGACAAGTTTTGTTGGGACTTTCCTTGATCATTTCCTGGTAACATTAGTGAGAGCTTAGTCTTTAATTTCCGACCTAAATGTAATTCTGCTGGTGAGATACCTCCAATTGAATCCATCGGTGTTGAGCGATAGTATAATAGAAATTTGTCCAGCGTTTCCTGTGATGTGATCCCTTCACACTTCAACTTCCTGAGTCCGCGTTTGAGGGTATCCACAAATCTTTCTGCCAAGCCATTACTTTGTGGATGATACGTTGGTGTCTTGATATGTTCTATGCCATTCTCCAGGCACATTCGTGTAAATAATTCTGAAACAAACTGGGTTCCATTGTCTGATACTATTGTATCTGGCAATCCATTTCTAGCAAACATTTGTTTCAACAATGCGACTGTTGTGGAAGCTGCAATCGATTTTGTGATCGATACCTCAGGCCATTTAGACAATGCATCTACTGCTACGAGATACCAAACTCCATTTTCTGGTCCCGCAAAATCGATGTGGATGCGGCTCCACGCTCGATTCGGCTTTGGCCATGGTTCCAACGGAACTTTCACCGACGTCTTCTGGTTTTCTTGGCATTTCCGACATCTGGTTACCGTTTCGGTGCATGCTTCATCGATCTTTGGCCAATATACGCATGTTCGGGCTAATTGCTTCATCCTCTCGATACCTGGATGATTCTCATGAAGTTGCTTCAATACCTGGTTTCGCAATAATTTTGGGATGACAACTCTATGTTTCCATAACACACATCCTTCAGTGACTGCGATATCATCTTTCCTCGTGATAAACGGTCTTATCGTTTCATCGACTTGATTACTTCTTGGCCAATTATTCGATTTCCAGTATTTGATGACGGTCTTCAACACCTTATCCGTAGCTGTCGCTTCCTGAATATCGGACACTGTTAATGGTAATTTTCTTACCCCTTCAGCCAAATAATCCACATTTAACACCTTGACTTCGGCGATTACGATGTCTTCGTCCTGAATTTGTGCTTTCTGCATCATCCTGGATAGTCCATCCGCTTGACCGAACCTGTCGGTTTTTACATATTCAATAGAAAAATCATACCCCATCAACATCGTTGCCCATCGAACCAATCTGTTTTGTGAGTAAATCGGCAAATCCCGCTTTTCTCCAAATATGGCCAGCAACGGTTTGTGATCTGTCCTTAAAATGAATTTTCTACCAAAAATATACCTGTGGAATCGTTTGATTGCAAAAACTAAGCCAAGTGCTTCCTTTTCGATTTGAGCGTAATTCTTTTCGGCTCCTGCTAGTGATCTGGCAGCATGCGCAATCGGTTTCTCCGATCCATCTGGCATCCTGTGTGAGATCACTCCACCAATTCCATATTCTGACGCATCGGCCGCCACAATGATTGGTAGTTGTGGATCGAAGTGGGTGAGATTTAAATCTGATCCTAAAATATCCTTTAGTTCATCAAACTTACTCTGTTCCACATCGGTCCATTTCCAAGGAGTGTCTTTCTGTAAAAGACGATCCAGTGGACCTCTCAATTCTTTCATCTTTGGGATGAAGGCACTATAGTAAGTGATCATTCCCATGAATGATTGTAACTTCTTTTTGTTGTCGGGCGGTAGCATTTCTCGAATGACTTTTGTTTTTGCTGGGTTTGGCCGTCTGCCGTCGCTATCTAATAGAAATCCCAGGAATTCTATCTGTGGTTTTCCGAATGTGCACTTTTCCATTCTTACTCGAAATCCATACTCCTGGATTCGTTGGAACAATTCTGTTAGATTTTTACTGTGCTCTTCTTCGGTTTTTCCGACGATGATTACATCATCAAGATACGCCGCTACTCCATTTAGACCTGTGATCATTTTGTCGACCACTTGCTGAAAAATTGCTGGGGCCGTTTTCACTCCGAATGGCAGTCTGTTGTATTTGAAAAGACCTAGGTGTGTATTTATTACACACAATTTCTTCGACTCCTCATCCAATTCGATCTGTAAATACGCATCTGCCAGATCGATTTGGGAAAAGATCCTTCCACCATTCAGACGTGTGAAAATGTCTTGTGGAGTGGGTAGCGGGTGCTTATCTTCTTCAAGATTATTATTTAATCCTGTTTTGAAATCGGCGCACATTCGGGTTTTACCGTTGGCCTTTTTAATAATAACCGTCGGTGCGGCCCATTGACTGTGTGCGATTTTCTCAATGACTCCCAATCCGACGAGTCTTTCGATTTCTGTAGTAGCGGCTTCTAGCGAACCATAGGGGACCGGTCTGGCCTTCTTGAACACCGGGGTTACCCCTTCTTTCACTTCCAGGTGGGCCTTCTCCTTGACACAAGTTCCTAGCTCTTCCTGGAACACGGTTGGGAATCTTGTTTGTAATTCTTTGGCCCAATCCTTTTTACAGATTCGACCTGGCTTACCATTCGCTCCATATGGTACGCCATATGTTCGGATTGATTGATAAAATCTAATCCAAGCAGGTTTCCTTCTTTTCGAACATATATCCAACCTTGACCGGTGGATCCTTTTAGTTCAAAATCAGTATGGAATCGACCGTCTATTTCCATTGTGGATCCATTTGCACATATGACTTTGGCGTCAGCTGTTTCCAAAGTTGGTTTTCCCAACTTTTCCCACTCGACTCTACCGATCAAGGTAATGTCGGCTCCGGTATCCACTTGGAAATCGATCCACTGGCCCTTTACCCTTACCGGTAAGAACTTCCTAATAGTGTTTATCGTGCAGCTCGATACGACGCTAAACGTCCTTTTGGGTTTTGCAGCGGATTTACGACATTCCTTCTTGAAATGCCCTGTTTCACCACAGTTCCAGCATTCCCTGGTCTTCGATACCTTTCTTTGTTGCCGACTCCTGCTCCGATTTGTCTGCTTTGTTCGCTGGTCTCCACCTTTCCACTCGGGCCTCGAGGTTCTTTTGTGAACTTGGCTTACCTCAGCCATAGACCTCCTTTCGATTTCTTCCGAGTCTTTTTTTAGGCTTAAGATCCTCATCCACTCAGCGAATAAGTCCTTTATTGTCGTTTGCTTCTGTTCCGTGGTCCTTCGTTCCATGAAATGCAGAAAATGAGTCCGCATTTTCTCATCGGCGGGGCGATCCAACCCTTTTATAAAGAAAAAGACCTTCCAGTCCTCAGCGCTTAACTCTTCCAGTCTCGCTTTTTCACACATTTCGTTCACTCTGTTAGCGTACTCCGTAGGCGTTTCTTCTGCTTTGGATATTTGCAAACATGCGAACCGATATGCAAAAAGAGACCGTTTAATGTCGAATATGTTCGACAAAGTTTCCGTGAGCTCCTCAACACTTAGCTCAATGCATCTTTTCGGTCTTAGCGCAGCCACCAGTTGCTCATAGCAGGGTTCAGACAGCTTCTCCAATAGCAGTTGGCGCTTCCCGTCTTCCGATAATCCTTTTAACATTTCTGCATAACGATTGTACCATTTCGGAAACGTGCGATTATCCTCAAGATTGAAATCGAATGTTGGTATCCGCTCAGCTAATGATGCTATAATGGAAGCCTCGCTAACCTCTACCTTTTCCAACTTTGTTGACCGTTGCGCGTTTCCGGACAATCGCTCCACCAACTCCGCAAACTTTGCCGTTTGCTTCCTCCCTTCCTCCGCCTGAATCCTCGTTAACTCCATTTGCTCTTGCAGCAATTTCATCATTTGCAACATCGCCGTGTCTTTGTTATCTCCCATTTTACGATTATCCCTTTTTTGTTCTTGTTCCTGATCGCCACTGTTGTAAGTCGGAAAACTCGAATTACAATTTAAACTTTATCTAAAGTAAGCGTTAGACAACAATAACGAACGAAGCGCAATTTAATTAGTTAACGGATAATAATAACAATAATGGCTAGCCGGGGGAATGGATAGTATGTGAATAAAAATAATAATGAAGCCGCACGGTAGGAAAATATAAATAACAACGGAAACCAATCAAGCAACTCGGGTCCGGGCCTAAAACAATCCAACAACTCAACTTCGTGTATTTGCGCGCCAACTCAGGTGTGTGTGTGTAAACACCGTGATATTCACCGTAACCGCAGGATTTAAATTGCTAATATCTTTCTTCATATTTTCTTGCTCCTCGCAACATACATAAACGTATAAGAAAGAAAAGAAACAAGTACGTTGCAATAACGTTAAAAAGTTGATAAGTTCGAGGCAAAAATTGTCTAAAATGACATTTAAAATGTTTTTTTTTTCGAAAAATAGATAGTTTCTTTTTATGTAAAACAATTATCTTTTAATAATATACAAAAAATATTGCTGTTACACTTTTCCAACAAAAAAAATATACATAAAACCAAAAATTCGCCAAGAAAACACGAAAAAACGAAAAAAATTAAATAAATAAATAAATAAATTTTAGTTGAGATTACTGTAGCTCATGTTGAACTGTGCGACTCGGTGTACGCACACAATACATAGGATATCGCTGCAGTTTTGGCCAATCATTATTAACTAAATATTTTTTAACTAAATTCACTAAATATGATTTTTAACTAAATATAATTATTAACTAAATAAATAATTTTTAACTAAATTCATATTTTTCAACTAAATAAAATATTTTTTAACTAAATATGATTTTTAACTAAATAAATCCAATTTTTAACTAAATATAATTATTTTTAACTAAATAAACCTACAGTAAAATGATACGAAATAATTAATTTTCTTCATAACTTTTAAACGAGTGGTTCAATCGAGCTGAATTTTTTAGCACTTATTTTCATTGACTTAAATGTTTAAAAGTTATATATTATGGAAATTAATTTTTTCCAAGTATATTTCGCAAAAAAATATTCAGTCAACGAAAAATTTAAATCTACACTGATTTCTCGAATTTTAAGGCCCCGACTCCCTTTTGTCGTTTGACGCCGACAATATACTTCTTAAATTTTGAGACGGACAGCAAAAAAGACATCCCTTGTCAACTAGGTTTATTTAGTTAAAAATAATTATATTTAGTTAAAAATCATATTTAGTTAAAAAATATTTTATTTAGTTGAAAAATATGAATTTAGTTAAAAATTATTTATTTAGTTAATAATTATATTTAGTTAAAAATCATATTTAGTGAATTTAGTTAAAAAATATTTAGTTAATAATGATTGGCCGCAGTTTTTCACATTCGTCATTTTTCAACAATACCTCTAAAATTCTTGATTTCCAATACTTCGACTAAACCAAGGAGATCTAGATTTGTTAGCGCAGGCAGATCTTTCTCTAGCTTCACCATTTATTTAGCATTTTTCTAATTCACCGTTCTAGCACAATTTCGACCATTTCGACCACATTTTTAAGGTATTGTTGAAAAATGACAAATGTATCCAGGTGTCGTAGGATCCTGCGTTTTGTACGCAATGCTAGGAGACAGTTACCGTAATCCTCGCAGCGATTTACGGGGATTTTTTTTTAATTTCGCATATTCATTTTTTTTTTATTTTTCGCTCAATTTTCGTATTTCCCTTCGAAATTTTGTTATTTAAATTTTGCAGAAACCGAGTTTAATAATATATTTAGCAGAATAAGCTTTTAAATGATATTTTTTGGTAAAAACAGCAGAGATTTAAAAGAAAACATTTTTGTCGTTAATAAAATTATAAATAAATAATTAAACTCGGTTTCTACAGGTTTTAAATAAAAGATTTTTAAAGAAAATAAGAAAATACAGCAAGAAAATTGAAAGAAAATTAAAAAAAAAAACTCCGTAAATCGCTGCGAGGATTATGGAAAATACCGGCAAGCACTTGTCAAGACTCTGCATGCCGCCACAATCAAATTCCCTGACGTCGCTTCTTCAATTGTACCGGTATTAATGGAATTTTTGTCGGATTCAAACGAAACCGCTGCGTGCTATGTGCTTCAATTCGTCAGAGAAGCCGTCCACAAATTGCCAAACCTTAAAGAAGCGATATTGAAGTCGCTGAAGGACGGAATTCTATCAATTCAAGCTCCAGAGATATTCATGTCGGCTCTTTGGATTCTTGCAACTTATTGCGAGCCTGAAAACAATTTGGAGATTTTGAAGTAAATTAACCGTATTAACAAAAGTAATATATTTTCTTCAGACTTATTAAAAATTCGATCGGAGAATTGCCAATTGTTGATTCGGAAATCGCCGAGCAAGTTGAGGGAGCCGAAATTAAACATGACGATGTGCCAGTGAAGAAATCTACTGCGCCAAAGGTTACTGCTGATGGAACCTATGCTACTCAAACCGCGTTGTCGACCACACTGACATCGAAGCGAGCTGACAAGCCTCCGCTCCGCCGATTCCTTCTCAACGGAGACTATTTCCTCGGGGCTAGATTGTCCACAGTTCTTACAAAACTCTCCCAACAATTTACGATCATGGAAGGAGCTGGAAGTGAGCGATCGAATCGCTTCCGGGCTGAATGCATGCTCATTTTGGCTTCTATCATCCACTTAGCGAAGAGTGGTCATGTTTCGCATCCTGTTAATGAAGATGACTTGGACAGGTTTGCATGAATTATTATTTTCGTGGTTAATATTGAGTATTTTTTTTAGAATGGGAGCTACAATAAAGGTTCTAGCTGAAGGAATTCCAAATCTTGATAAAGAATTTGGAGACGAGTGCAAGAAAAGCCTTGAGCTTATGCTCAATTCGAGATCGACGAGCCGATTTGAAGACGCTTCAGCGACATCTGGCAAAAAATCGAAAGACTTCCTTGAAGTTGACAAAACGATCACTTTCACGCAACTGTCGGCGAGAAATAATCAACAAGGAGAGAACTTGTTTGATCTTTCCCTCTCGCAAGCTCTTGGAACTGCTCCGAAAGCACAGAAGTTTGATTTTTCGAGGTAAATTTTTGATTCTGACGAATATTATCGGAAGTTTTGGCATATTTCTAGCTCGAAACTTGGAAAAGTTATCCAATTGGCCGGATTTTCCGATCCAATTTACGCAGAAGCTTACGTTAACGTTAACCAATATGATATTGGTAAGCCAAAAGATTGCAGCATTTTATATGTGCTGTATAATTTTTTCAGTACTCGATGTATTGATCGTCAATCAAACTGCTGACACCCTTCAGAATGTTTCTTTGGAACTTGCAACTGTCGGAGATTTGAAGCTCGTCGACAAACCAACTCCAGTGACGCTTGCACCAGCCGATTTTTCGAATATCAAGGTATGTGTCAAGACATTAAAAATTGCTGAAATTGCGCAACTTCAGGCTACTGTCAAAGTGGCATCGACTGAAAACGGTGTTATATTCTCCACTATTTCGTATGATGTTCGCGGCTCAACTTCGGATCGTAATTGTGTGTACCTTCAAGACATCAAAATTGATATTATGGTTTTTCGCGGATGTTCAAATGTTAAAATATAGCAACATTTTCAGGATTACATTGTGCCTGGAAATATGAGCGATACTGATTTCCGTCAGATGTGGAGCGATTTCGAGTGGGAGAATAAGGTGAACGTGATGACACCGATTCGAGATCTTCGTGAATTCTTAACACATTTATCGAGTTCGACAAATATGAAAGTTTTGACCGGAGATGCAGCTATTGGTAAAAAAAACATGTTTTAATTTAAATTGTATTTTTCATTTTTAGAAGGAGATTGTGGCTTCCTTGCTGCAAATTTGTGTGCACACTCCATTTTTGGCGAAGATGCGCTGGCAAACATTTCTGTCGAAAAAGCGTTGCCTATGGATGATGCTTCGCCGATTGTGGGTCACATTAGAATACGCGCGAAGAGTCAAGGAATGTGCCTCACACTTGGTGATAAAATCAGCACGGCAATGCGGTCTCGAAAAGACGGCAACCCGATTCCCGCGCCGACTGCTTAAATGAGAGACTGTACATTTATTAGCATCCATTGTCCTAATTTATTTTTCTTTTATTTCGTGTGAAAAGAATGCGCTATTGTGAATTTATTTATAAAATGGGTACATAATTAATTTCAATATGAAACATTAATGTGGTGTGAACTAAGAATTTTACTTTTGATTGAGTTCTTTCAAAATTGGAATGTCGACGTCCACGGAGCCTTTGAAATTGTTATCAACGATTTTCTCCAAATATTGGATATAGTCTTCAGGTAGTTTGTGCTCCTTGGCACCTTAAAAGGAGAGATAAATATATTTTTTAAAAATGATTAAGATTAGAACCTTCCAGAATAACGAGTTTATAGTGGGGAGATGGCTTCTTGGATTCAGCAGTGAGATCAGAAAATTGATATGTTCGGCAATCAATAATTCCATGCTCGGTTTGAATTGGAACTGAAGTTCAAAAATATTAAAATTAAAATGAGAATTTTACCAGTTAATCGATGATATCCGAATTCTTGTTCATCGAGAGAATCGGAAAATTCGTTGGGAATCCGCCAGACGCATCCCCAAACCTGCGAAAAATAATTAAATAATTATAGGGACCAATTAATTACATGTTGCGATGGGTCTTGAAGTATTGTTGCTAGGGCTCCTTTCCATCGTTGAGAATCGTGGACGAAATCGAGCCGATAGCCGTCTAGTTTCCCATTGCAGAAATATTCGGCACCCTTTTGCTTAAATTTGCAAGAAAATCGAAAATAGATTGATATTCAAAAGTTACCATATAACGAATTCGATCACCTAATAAATTGCTGCCAAATGAGAAATAATAGAAAAATGGCTTTGTCATAATATCTGGAATTCGGAAATAAAATGTCAAAAGACTAAAAATGAACAAAAATCCAATGGTTGGCGTGTTTGCGGTGAATGCGCTCGACTTTACGACAACCTTGGCAATGGCATCATATTAGTTTTTTTTAAATGTAAATAATGAGGTAAAAGCAAGCGGAGAATCAAAGATCAAAACTTCTTGAGGTTAGATAGAAGTATAATCTTTGGATTTGATAGAATTTTGCGAGCATTTTTCTCAAATTTGAAAAAAAAATAAAATTAAAGAAATCACGTCGAAAATTAGATTTATTGGTATCGAACAAAAAACAGAATATTTACATAAAAATTATGAACCAAATTGCTCGCTGTCAGGATCGATTTTCTCAAACTGATAACCTCCTCGGCCGTCCATGTGCAGTGTGTACTCATGATACTTCCATAACGATTTTCGATGCGATACGGTGAACAGGGTGATGTTCATTTCGCGACATAGGCGGTACATGGCGCCTTCGACGTCGACACTTACTGCCGACGTGCATTCATCGAGAATCGCGAATTGAGGTTTATGATAAAATAGTCGAGCCATCTATAATTTTAAGATTGTTTCAAAAAATTGATTCCAATTTACCGCGATTCTCTGTTTTTCTCCTCCAGATAGCACATCCATCCAATCTTGCACAGCTCCCCAGCCGCCTTCTCGTTCCAGTATGTGCAAGAGTTGCACATAGTCGAGCATTTTCTCCAAATCCTTATCGCTGATTCCCTTTTTCCTCATTTCAAATACGGTGTCTGGATAAATGACTTGATCGCGAAGGGTTCCCAACGTCATATAGGGCCGTTGGGGTACGTAGAAGAGTTTTCCTTTTTTGGGTTTTGTGAGTACACCTCCAAACACGGGCCAAAGTTCGCCAAGGGTTCGGAACAGCGACGATTTTCCGCAGCCATTGGGTCCGCACACGAGGACATTCGTACCCGACGGAACTTCAAATGATAAACTCTCGATTAAAACGTCCCCGTTGGGTGTGACAAGTGGAACATTTTCGAATTTGATAATATTGTCCTGGCACACAAGACGACCCCCTTCATGGCTCATCAGAGCCTGCGAATCGCCGACAAGAGATTTCTCGTATTTTCCCGACGACATGTCATCAAGCACTTTCATCAATGTGTCGACGCGCGTTGTGAATCCACTAAGCCGCGTCAAGTCTCTTCCAGCAAGTGTCAGCCTTCCCAAAGCTTCCGACAATTTCAGCATCATCCTTCCGTTATTGTAGAGCTCCTGCATCAGCTCGTTTCGGTCCATATCCTTGTATTTCGGATTCTCGGTGTCGAAGAATGTTCGAGCGCACGCAATCCATCCAACAATGTTGGTCACATATTTTCCAATGATATTATCGACAAATCCCAAAGTGAATCTGATAATTCGAATTTATCGAATATAAATTCTAAAACGAGATACCTCAACATGATAGTTTTCCTCAAATGCTGCACGAGGTTCCCAAAAGAGCCCATGAGGGCAAGCTTCTCAGGATTGTTACCCTGATAGAAAGCGACCTCTTCGGAATTCATAATTAATCTTGAGTTCACGTATCTGTATTCGCCTTCTAGGGCTTGCTCTTCGACGGTTAATTTTGCAATCTTTAATTGAAATTAATTTGTTGCATTCATTTTCTTTTCGATTCTACCGGCTTCCTCAACTTTGTGAGAACCACCATTGAAGCTAAGAGATAGGAGAATAAGAGACCTGGGCTTCCCCAACCCAACGAATTTCCGAGTTTGTACACGTAAAGGAACACATCCAAAATTGGTTTGGAGAGATTCGAGTATAAATCAACGATTCCCTCGCAGAATTTCTCGACGTCTTGCGTCAGCAGCTGGTCGACGTTTTGAATTCGATTGTCGAGGTTCGATATTTGGTAGAATGTGAAGCCGCTGAAAGCGATTTCAGATTTTCGTTTCAAAATGAATAGCCTCCCGCATACGTGAGATATTTGTTGTAGAGATGTCTGGTGAGATTCTCCCTGAATCGCAATTTCAATTCAGACAGACTGAACTGAAAACAAAATGTTGAAAATGTTTGATATCAATTTTAGCCGATTAAAACCCCACTTTTAGGAGTGCGTTGATAAGCGAAATAGCAGGAAGATTGAGAAAATATTTGACGACCGACAGGGTGAAGAGCATCGGACTCCGATCAACGATCGATCTAGAATAAAGAATTAATTAAGGGTCCAATTTTTACGGGAACAATTACGCTTCAACGCTAGTCGCATTGGTGATCATGTAGACATCAGCGGCTGTTCTGGCAAGCAACACCAGGGCGATAACTATCATATAAAATACTTCCTTGGAAAATGGTCCTGAAAATTTTGCGCATTGCTTGAATTGAAATTTAACGTCAAATGGGGTCCGATCTTGCTTGGAAACATATTGAATTTATTGTTATTTTTTCAAAAAAAGTGAAGATTTTATTAATTATGTGGAATCAAAATTATGCGATTTAAATATAGATTAATATTTTTATATGAATTTAATTGATTTGGCAGATCCAAATTGAATTTTATTTAAATCAAATATTGTCAAACGGAGACGGGGCCTTCATATTTGCGAAATCAGTGGGGATTTAAGTTTATCAGTGACTCAATTGTAAATGCGCGTACGATTTAATGCAATGTACGCAGTCTCGCGTACTTCTCGCTGACACATAGCCAATTGTTTTTTTTTTTAATTTCGTACAGTCGTTTGACGCCGACAATATTAAAAAAAAAACACTAATTATCAAAATTTAGATAATTAAAAAATTGCATTACCTGGAATTAAAATTTTGAGCAATTTTTTGAGTTTCTGCAGGAACGCGCTACTGACCGCCTTTTTCGCTCCTTTTCGATTTTGGACCTTCGACAACGCCAGACTGTGTTGCGTCGGTCGAATGCCGGCGGCGTAGAGTTTCGCGATGAGCGCGCATCCGCAAATGCCGACCAACGCCGGCGACCAATTCTTATAAGTGAGCGCCGAATTGAGGAGTTGAAATTTGGATAAAACACCCATCACTGAAATTAAATGGTTTGGCTTGGTGAGGTGCTATAAATCACAAGTGATGGCTTGCCATATCAAAACTGATAAGGTGGTTCAAAAGCAAGGCGGAATTCAGGACCGACATTTTTTGGCGTGATAACGGCTCGTCATTCCCGGATTCATTCAAATGCGCTTCCATTATTCAATTAAAATAGAATGACGATGGAAACATATTTCAATTTATTTGAAAGATTTAATCAAATTTATGATCTTCAACTCGATTTGTGTCCAAAAAATCCTGCGATTGATAGCAAATATCCGGAATATTCTCGAAAACTGAATAATCGACAGATCCCGGCTTCATTCCAGCAAGCCAATATTCTTTGCGGAAAAGTCCTGTCGAGCCATCATTTGACGCGAAAATGTATTCCCAGCCGTAGTCAAAAGCTGAAAAGAAATATTTCGACAACGTTTTTTTAAAGCATTTTCTTAATGAGGGAAGATGTTAAAAAGAGACAAAAACACGCTCATAATTTCGAGGGTATACGGTAAGCATTGTGGTGCATGCACACATACACAAGAGTTGACGCGCATATACGGAGTTTTGAGGATTTGTCATTGTTTTTGAGTTGGAAACTGGTTTTGGTTAATTTCTTATATTGCGTGTTGTATTATAGTTACGATAACATAACTAGAGAAAGGTTTATCTGTGGTACATTTTACTTTGTATCTATTTCGTTCTGTGTTAGAAAATTCTGATTTCTGACAATTCTAATTGCTGGTTGTTCTTCGTTGCTAAAACCCTATTATATGAAAATCTGTCAATATTGAAAAAACAATTCTGAGAGGTTCTAACTTATTTGATAGAGCTGACTCAATTTAGTATATTTTCTCAGAAAAACTATAATATTACTGTTTTCAATTGAGGAATAAGCTCGAATAATTGCTGGATGTCGTCCCTCAATTTTCACGTCAAGCGGCGGCTCTCCCTCATAATAATTGACTTTGACAAAACTGTCCTTGATTTTGAACGCTTCCGTTCGATCCTTTCGGATTTGTTCAAATCCCAAACTGAAAAATCAAAAGGCAGAGTTGAAAGCTGTCAGATTTGGGGAATATACTTTGCTAGGAACTGATCATATCCGGTCGGGTCTCGTCGGCATCCAGTCTTGTCAAGGATGAAAGAATGATTAATAAAGACATAGAATGAGTTGATCCAATCCTTATCATTCGGTTCGAGACCAATTCGATGGAAAAGTCGTTTTCTAGAAGCATCTTGAAGCCAGCTGATTCCAACAGATATTTTCTTTAAAAAATTGAGAATGAAAAATTGAGAAGGTTGGATAAAAGTTGGTTACGTTATAATCATTCCTTGTTCCAGTTCGGTTCGTCCATGTTAGTGTTCCTTCATCGCAATATTGGCTCAAATCGTATGGGAAATACATCGAGTCCCCATTGTTCGGGTGAACATATTCATCAGCTAATTCGAGAAAATTCCAAAAACAAATATTTTTGGAGAAACTCACATGTGAGAACCGAGTAGATAATACAACCTGTTGCGAATCCGATAAAAAATAATCCAAGGCATATTTTGAAAACTATAATTCCTAGCTGAAAATTTTGATGTTCTAGCTTGAAATAAGTGAGTAAAAAATCACATTGGTCTTCTTCGAGCGTTCCCTAATCGAAACATCGTCGCCAAATTCATTTTCGCCGCTTTTTCTGAAGCAACAATAATCTTCGAAGATCTCATATAAATAAATTCCACTGACATTAATACCGTATTCCGAGTGTTGTAGGACATCCTCTATCGCATCTAAAATCAAATTACGAGGTTTTAATGTTATGTAAAAAGGGTTAGAGAACAAAAGAAAGAAAAGTCTATTACGTTATCGAGCGATTTTAGCGTTGGCATGCCGCTTATCACTGCTGCACCATCTTATCGCCATAAATGGAAACGCCAATAAATTGCAAGGAAAAAATAAATAACAAATTTATTCTAGTAATACCGCTTATTAAACAATTTATTTTAGTTCGACACTTGCAGTTTTACAGCTCTGTTGTAGGCGTTATTGAAACTCCGAAAATGCTCCTGAAAATATATTGGTCATTGGCATATAGGATCATAAAAAAAGTAATGTTCCTATTTCACAGGTCCTGTTTTGAATACTTTTCTAAAGAACAATTTGGCTTGGCTTAAAAAATGAAAATAATTGAGGAAAAATTTTAAAAAACGTTCGGTCCGCAATTGTCCTACGCAAAATTGCACACATTTCATTAATTTTTAATAAATGCTCTTTTCGCAGTGAAAAGATTCATTTGATAATTTATGAGGCAAGACCAATGGAAAATTGAACAAAGTAAAGAATTACTGAAAACGAAACCTCGTTGATAAACCTGTGTGCCGCGCCAAAATCCAGAACAACTTTTCGAATAAGCATGTACTGCTGAAGTGTCTGAACAGCACCGCATCTTCCATTCATTCGCAGGCTCGTCACAATCTTCAACAGTTGAAAATGTTTGATTTGTGGTATTGTTTCACAAATTGCCAACTTGCTTGAAATCGGGAACAAGATGGAAATTGTTGATCGCCATTAGGGCAATCTCAATCGCCATCAGTGTGCCGGATCTTCCAACGCCGGCTGCACAATGAATAACTGAATTGAAATGGAATTGGGAATAATTGAAGATCGAAAAACCTGGCGGCATTTTTTTGCCGCGAATTTTGCGCAACAATCGAAGCATGGTTTCCGATGAGCCAGGAACTTGATAATCGGGCCATTCGACCCATTGGAAGTGAGTGATGATTCGCTTCTCGCCATTGTACTCTAGCCGCAGTTTTGTCGTCACTACGCTTTTGTCAGTTGTCGAATCTTCGAACGACAAGCAAAGTTTGTCGAATTTCATCGATGTGCTATGATTTCTGCGGAGACATTCATTAATAATTTTAAAAAAAAAATCGAAAAAAAAACCGAAAACAAAAAATACCTTGGAAAATATTCCGAGCATTTCTCACGATTGTGCTCAACGAAATTGCAAAGCATCACGATTTCAGTTGTCTTCTCTTGCCAGATCATTCTCCAAAAATCAACAATTGTGAATTTCTTGGGACCCTAAGCAATCAATTTTAGAAAAAATAATATTTCAAGAATATTCAACCTGTGTTAGTATATATCGATGTTTGAGATATCGGCTAGTCACATAATTCGCATGAATATAATCACTTCCCGGCTCGTTTTTCGACATGAACGTTAATCGAACTCGCGATTTATCAAGACATCGAATATCTGGAAAAAAATCCACTGTGAAGAACTAAAATTCAATTTCTACTCTCATAGCGATTCTTTTTCTTGTTTGCCGCGTGCAAAAATGCCGTGCAATCACGATCAACCGGATCGAGAGGAAGTCCAGTGTATTCTTCTCGTTGCTCGTCGAGATTCGTCTGCTCACTTTGCCGCGCCAGCTCTTTAAAAGTGAACGTGTACTTCTCTCTTAGCTCCTCATTCTCCACAAGCGATTTCGATTCCTTCTCCGACGAGCTTCGGTCTTGCGATTCCACACTCGGCGATTTCGTTTTCAGCCGCTTCTTTCCCCGTTGCTTCATTATTGTGCACCCGGGCTCCGTCTCGATATCCGATTCCGCGTCGAGCCCATACAAATCAACCGCTGGTTTGATTTTCGATGCCATTTTACTATGAGAAGCTTGTGTAGTGTCGATTTCCATTTTTGGCGGCACATTCGCCATTGGATGTTGCCCGCTCGACGATGTTGTGCTCGGCGAGCACGGGCTCGCCTTGAACATTGGCGGCTCGATTTTCGGAATGTGCAAAAAATTTTTCGCCGGGCTCGACCGTCGCGCGTTCTCCGGCGCAACTTTTCTCGCATTCTCCACACTCGACAACGAGTCCGAGTCTTCCGTTTTATAGTAGTTGTTAGACTTTTTGTTGGCATTATGTTGTAAAACTTTTTTTTGATACTGAGGACTACTCTGCTTTTCTTTAACCTTTGAAGGCTGAAACTGAGTGAAATGTTGATTTTATTACAAACTTCCAACCTTTTTGTTCCTCGTACGTTCCATATTCAACTAATCAGAAATGAATTATGTTTGGAGTGAGCCGTCACGCAAAAAACAAATTCTTGTCAAAGACTCCTCAATATTCGTATTTCTTTGCGCCTCCACCAAACACACACTATCTCACTCTCTCAACACCCTCTCTACTAAACACACTATCTCGTGGATTAGTTGTAGCTCGCAGGTTTTTTCTAATAATATTGTTTACATTATGGAATAAGCTAGTCTCTCTCGATTCAATGACCTATTTCCCCCCAAAATCCTGTAATTTTAGGCCATTAGCATAGAAATATAGAAAATTCCGTTATTTATTCATGATATGACTAGAATTAAAGAGAAAAGATATCACAGATTGTACAGACTAGAATAAAACCCGTGGGTTGTAACCCGAAGTTAGATTTCGTTGTATACAGAAGAATCATTATTATTCAAAGATTGTGTCGCCGAATCCGATCCGCCGCTTCGGTACGCGTCAAACATAGCATTATGACGAGGAGCTAGAAGGTAGGTGGCAAAGATACTGAGTAGAAGCATCTCACACGTGATCACAAAATTACAAACAACTGCAAAAAAAATATGAATTGGGAGGAATGGGAAATGAGCGCCACGTACAGTAGGCATTCTCTTGGGCGCTGAGCAGAGGCCCGCATGAAATCAAATTGAATCGGAGAAGAATGTTTTGGAAGAGCATCGGCTGTTGAGCGGAGAAAAACAGAAGCGAAATATCGACAAGACGAAACATTGACATGAAACAGTAGGCTGACAGCTTATTCTGAAAAAGAAAATTGATTGCTGATATTGGGATTGAGTATTGGAGATATTACAGAAGTTACACGAGCTAGAGTATGTACACCAAATATGGCGAGAAGAAGGGAGCACAAACAAGTCATGTCGGAATAGCGAAGAAATCTGGAAATGAGATAAAGCTGACTGAAAGCTTGATGGAAATCTTTCTTACGGTGTGGCTTCTTCGCGCAATTCAGCGACGGCGATGACATCGGAGAAGATGAGAAGCGCGCGGACAATCGGCGCTTGTAGAACGCACCATTCCAATCGTCTAATATTCTTTCTGGAAAAATGAAAGAACATATGTCGTTCTTAAATTATAGCACATACTCGGAGCTTTCAATTTTCGGCATACACGGAACAAGACAGCAGAATGGGGGAGATCGGAGATCAATGGGCCTACTGTCATACTGTAAGCATGTGGAGAATGAAGATCGGCCTCCAAATAAATGTCTGGCTAGTGAGACGAGAACAAAAAGACACATTAGATAGTATAAAATGCCGATTGCTGTGAGGATTAGAGAAGTTCGAGGAACACACATTGCTATAAATGAGCAGCTACAAGCAACCTGAATGAAACAAGTAAATTTTTGAATTTTTGAAAGAAAAACCGTACCGGAAACACTGCTATCAACCAGTACATTTTGTTTCGCCGCTTTTCAATTGAAATATAATTATATACATAATACCAATGAATAAGGGATAATACTAGAACTACTAATGTGGATACTGAGGAAATTGTAATCATTGTGACTTGAAAAGGTTGTAAATCTGAAAGTTCGAAGATTTTCAAAAGATTTTCAATGAAAAAATACGTGTTAAAAACTCCTTAGCTGATGGAGTATCATGATCCGAAGAGCAGTTTGAGGATTCTTGAGGCAGAAACAGGGAGCCGATTAGACGCAGTGTTGATCGAACGATGCCTGCTTCGTGAGCCATTCTAATGAAAAAATGAAAAATAACATCTTTTCGAGATTAATATCTGAATAAATTCCGAAAAAGGAGTTGACGGAATAGAAAAAAGGGGAGTGTAAATAATGAATCATGTCGATAAAATTTGCACAACAAAAAATGTGCAACGATGTTGAACTATTTGGAAACGAGTCTGAGTCATGAAACTGACCAAATTTCTAAGTGAAAGTCGTTTTTTAACGAAACGATGATGGAAAGTGTTGGAGATAACAAAAAAAATAGCCATTTTCTCGCAAGGTATATGAAAAACGAGGAGACACAGATGGTAAGAGTGATGATGTGACCTGTTGATGGAAATATCGACTGTGTTGAATAACGAAACACTAACCCACTTCGGTTAGTTTTTAAATAAATATTTGAGTTGCCAAAAATTATTGACATCGCAAATAGTCTCTTTAAATACAGGTAGGTAGAGGGGAAGGGGGGGGAGATTTTACATCACACGGTGGCACATGATCGAATTAAGATTAAATCATGAAATCGAAAATAAAACATTTATTAATCTAAATTAAAACTTCTATGAGATTCACATTTTGCAATCGCACACAGAAAATTTTTAGTTCACAATCTAACGCACTACGGGATTTTCAAGTATCAAAAATAAATTATTAATATTATGCAGAGTTCATTTGGTGGGAATTTGGGGAACGAGAATAAATTAGTAGGCTAATTCTTCTGGAATATCTTGCTCGTCGAGCTCGCTTGTTTCAACTTCGAGCTCGACTCGACTATGGTTCGGCGGCAATTGTCCCGATTTGACAAATTCTAAACATTCTTGTGTGTAAATTGTTGGATGCGTTCTCAGATGTTGGCAATGAAGAGAATCCAATAGTCGCAATTTTGAGACATTCAGCCCACGAGATTCCATTATTTTCATGTATTCTTCAATTGAATCTTCCGAGCATACCTTCAATAATTACATTTCAAATTCTTTCTAATTTCAAAGAATTTACATTATCCTCTGGTCCATAAATGTAAAGCTGCTTTGACGGCAAATCTTCAAACGTCAACATTTTGAAATAAGCATAATGACGAACGTAAATGTCTTTTTGGAGCAGAGAACGAAGCCAGATAACACCTCTGAATTAACGTAAAAATTATTATGGTAAACCTTTTTTTGTTTTTACTACCGATGAAGCGAAAAGAATGTGAACAAGATTGCACGGTAGGATTCTCGAAGAGCACCATGATAGTGTTTTGGTGGCAAAGTGGCGAATGATACAGCTTGGGCGGATTGCGATGGTGATGTGAATGCAGGGCAACTAAAAAAATAGTCATAATTTAATAATATTATGCAGATTTTTGAGAAAAATTGGCTAAAATTTGTTTTTTTTTCTGTACTGACTTTTTCGAAATCAACGCAATTCAGTAAAAATCTACCTCCGTCTGCAGACACGTGCACGCAAAATTACACACATTTTTTCTCGTCCACCATTTTTTTTTTTCAAATATTTCGGCATTATTTAAAAGTTTCAGAGTTACTCAGATTTATTTTGAGATTTCCTTATGCTATAAACGCAACAAATAAATAGATGTTTAAGAACCTGTCAAAAATCAATCCCTTCGTTTTCGCCTTAACTTCATTTCCATTTTCAATTGTTGTGCCAAGCTGATCCCAATAGGCCGCTAGCAGTGAGCACCCATTCATTGAAAATACATGAAAGTATATTGTTGAAATTTGCTCGCTTGCGCACACTTCTGTCAAAATCTTATGGAAACTTCTGGCGAATGGACGATACGATGCAAAACTACGGATTTGAGCGATTGGCGCGGTGAAGCGAATCGATGAGATTCTGCAAAACAGCTGTAAATTTTGGAGAATTTTTTTTTGAATTCCGACCCTGCTTCGTTGTAATAATTGGCATATTTCGATAGATATCGATCACGGCTGCCAGCCCATCCAAACAAAACGACTAAGACTTTCGAACCAGTGACCAAAGATTTTTTAGCGGATTCGCTGTCTTTTCGGCTTAAGCCTTCTAAAAATACATTAAAATGCAATAAGTTATGATTAAGAGTTACAATTCATTTGAGAAGGAAATCATTATTTCATCGTTAATTAAATTGTGTTACGTGAACATCATTAATTACATAAATCAAACCTTTGTTAACAGTAATCTCATCGGCCTCCTTATCAGTTACCTCCGCCGGCGCCACCACAGTCATACTGAAATGTGTCCGTTAAAAACACGAGGCGGCATGGGGAGATTTTTTTGCATATTATATATTATATTATACCAAACTGAAAACATGGCAAACTGGCAGTTTTAAAAAGACGACACTGTCACCATATAAAGCGCGTCGTAAACGAACCAACCCAATGTAAGTGAGAACGATACAAGAGATGACTCCAACGACGGTTTCCAAAATCATGTTGCTGTTTCGGCGAAAACGAAAGTAGATCTTAAAACGGACACACAACACCTCACGAAATATTGAAAAAACGAAAACATTCACACACGGCGACCCAGATTTGCAAAAAATTGAATTGAAAGCGGAGGTGAAATAACATTGCTTATGAGGAGGGACGAGAGATGAGCAAATTTCACGTTAAAATTTATTTTCTGTAGGCTACATCGTGAACTAATTTCGTAAAGTGCACTATATTTACAGAATTTTGATGTATGAATCATCGCTTTTCTCCATGGCTCTTATTGAGTTGGGAGGAATGTGCGCTCCATGGAGAAAGCTTGTAAATTTACAAATTTTCCTCATGCTATAGGCGATTTTGATTCGAATTTCATTGTCAAAGAAAATTATGCGTTTTCGGCGACCATATAGCTCAAATGTTTCAAATAAGGTTAGAGGAATGCTATTTTAAAAATATTGAAAATTGAATACCTGATTTGTTTTTATGAACTCTTGATTTATCGAATATTCACCACTTGTTTTGCCAGGAGACTTGGAATTTTGGCTAAATGTTCGCGGCGTATAGAACCGATAAAGAATCGTCTTCACGTGGAACAGTTGAGCCGAAAACCGAAGGTTGGAATTAGTTCACGTTATCGAGAAAATTCAATTTTTTCAGTGGTTGATGATGATGATAATGTCGTGGTGGTGGATGGGGTGCTTATGACCGAAGGTGAATATAAAAAGGAAAGAATCAGGGAATTGGAACATAAGGTTTGAAAATTTCGTACATTTTTTGTTTGATATTATCAATTTAAGCACAAACTGGTAAAAAAGATAGATGAAAGACAAGAAAAAGTAAAAGAATTACTTGCTCTCCGTAGAGTAGGCGATATTAGCTCGGATTCTAGCGATGAAGGACCATCGGTAATAATAAATCGTTTTTTTTTAATTGCGAAATTTTCAGACCAAACTGCCTGAAGTCATGCAAATCACTAATGAAGATTTGGCAATGCTAAGAGGATCGATAAAACCATTAAAGTATTCCGAAAATACCTTTAAATTTTGTAGATTTTTGAGGTTTTTAGAAGACCGCTTCGATTTTCTTCGTTTCCTGAAGTTAAAAAAGAGGAGGACTCGTCTTCAGATATTGAGAGAAAACGAAAGAAAAAGGAGCATCGGCGACGATCGCCGGATGATTGGAGGAAGCGCGAAAATCGGAAAAAGTCTAAGAAGAAGAAGAAGAAACGATCGAGAAAGTCAAGCTCGTCAGATTCTTCTGACTCCTCCAGTGAAGATCAACGTAAATTTACAAAAAGAAATTTAAATAAATTACCCCAATTTTCAGGCCGAGGCTACATGAAGATAATTAAGGCACTTTAAATTTATAAAGAAAATTTTTAATATAATTAATTCAGCCGGAAAAATACGAATTCATTTCAAATCAGGAATTGAGTGCGATTCATCTTCTCAGTTGCTCTTCTTGGATTAGTATTATTTTAAAATCTGAAGTTGAGAAAATTTGTTCGTTTTTTCTTCAGTTCAACAAAGGAAATGCGATGTGGAGAATTATACGATTGGATTCCCGGTTCGAGAAAAATCGAAAGTTTTCTACAATTTCCGATATGTTCTAGGAAGCTCAAAAGAATCATTATTCTATGTAAGACAATTCGTTTTGTCAGACATGAATTATTTTGTAGGAAATTTATGCGAGAGATGTTCCGCAACCGAAAAAGAAGAAATCGTTACGCTCATTTTATGAATCACTTGAAGCCTCATCGAAACATGTTCCTCAAGAAACGAAATTTCGGAAGAGAATCTTCGATATTTATCAGAATATTGGGGTTGTTCCAATTTCGCAGCAACCATTTCTCGATTTCGATTATGAGTACGAGAGAAATGAAAAAGAGCAAAATCAGGAGAAAATGCGCAAAGAACTTACCAACGAGGGATATGTTGTTGTGGTTTGGCATTCTTTTTTATGGGATTTTTGAAAATTGTCGGGTTTAGGATGATACGATTATCAAAGAAATTTCGGATCTCGACATGCGCGGTCAAGCAATGAACGTAAAGTTGAGCAAAGAGCCGACGAATGTGAACCTATGGATCGATTTTGTGAATTTGCAAGAAGAAATTTTTGAGAAGCGAAAGAGGCAGTCGATACAAGGGGCGCGACAGACACATTTGGAACGGAAAGAGGAGATTCTGAAAAAAGCGATCGAGAAGAATCGGCGAGTCGCCGCGCTTCAGATGATGAGAATTGATGTGATGATTGAGATGGGAAAGGATTCAAAATTGGTACTTGACGAGTATAAAAAGGTAGAAATAGCATATTTCAGAAAGAAGAATTTTAATGGGTTTCAGGCAGTTCATATGTTTCCCCACGAGTCGCTGGTATGGGTACGGTATCTGGATTATATTCAGTATAACAATAATGTATATCGATTTGATCTATTGGTAAAATGACAATTAAAGAAATAAAAGAAATAAGTGATATGATTTCAGGATAAAGCATTTGGGTACTGTATGGAAAAACTGCGGGGACTTATTGATGGGACCTTACAGTATGTTCAGATTTTTGAATGAAAAATCTCACTTGAAATCACTTTTTTTTAGATCTCATGCGGCTTTGGTTAAAGATTTTAAGAAACTCCACAAATTTCAACTTTATGTTTATATTCGATATTTGAAATGGCTTTTGAGCAGTGGGCAAATACCATTGGCGATTGCGAACATTCAGGTTTTGATCATTTTTCGATTTTCCTATTTCACTAATAATTTGCTGAAATTTAAGGCGTCGCTCGAGGCCAATTTTGGGTTTGGTCCCGAGTTCCGAAAATTGAAATACACCGAACAACTAGAGAAATTGAAAATGTTTTGGGACTCGAAAATGCCGCGAATTGGTGATTCTGAAGCAAGAGGCGCTGAGAATGAGCTGAAACGGGCTGCTGAAATGCCGAGTGCTTTAATTCAGAAGCTGGAATTGAAGAATTATGAGATTTTTCTGTACGATGTGAAGACATGCGTTGACTCGTAAGAATCAGTTTTGTTTTTTGAAATTATAAATGTTTCTTCTTAAGATGTTTGGAAAGGAATCGCGAGATTTCAGAAAATTGGGTTGATTTTGAGCGTCAAATGATGAATATTGATGGAAGAGTGAAACGACACGAGCTTTTTTTATTCCAGGAAGAATATAAGGAGGATTTCGAGACGTTTAGTGTACGATTGAATAATTTTTTTTTCGGAAATTCAAAAATGATTATTTTAGCTGTGGGAACCGATTAAATTCGAGATGTTACGCGTTTACTTCAACCCTGAATCGGATTTCGAATTTGTGCAGCCAATTTTGGAGATTCTTGGACTAAAATTCCAGAAAAGTGTGAGAAAATCGTTTATTCTTGCAATTTTTTACTATTAAACGTTCAGAGCGGTGTTTGGAATACGACAGAGCAGATCTTGAATGATTGGATTGTCAAAAAGAACTATGATATTGCTCAGAGTTGCGAATTGCCAATCATTTCGTCGCATTTTGAGAAGATTTGTAAGAAAGTGGCGCTCAATATCGCCACCTATCTAGTAAAGCATAAATTTGGCACCGACAAGGCAGATTTTGTGCCCAATGAATACGGAATTCAACTAATTATGGCTGTTGCGATGACGTGAGCGAAATTTTCGATTCATGATATCCAATTTTGTGTTTTAGAGAGGCTGGAGAACTAGAAGCCGAAGAAGAAATGTGGAAGATCAATAAGAAATGGCTGAATCGACTGCTTGGATCATTGGAAGAGTTTGATGAGGATATTAAGATTGGCAATAATGTGTTCTTAACGACCATCAAATTATTGATAACCCAGAAATTCGTTGAGTGGCTGAGAGCCGCGCGGCAGGATTATTCGAGAATTAAGCGGGAAATTGAATGGTTCAATTCGAGAAAAATTTTGACCGAATTGTATGTTGATGAAAATGATGAAAGTCGAATTTTCAAAAAAATTCCAAAATTGATATCAAAGGTTTTGGAGAGGAGATTTGAGAAATATTTGATATTTGAAATTTTCAGATTCTTGAGGAAAATGCGCCGATTTATCGAGTTGGAGAAGAATCGAGATTTAAAAAATCGCCAACTTTATTCAATCTTCAAATTCATTTGTTTGGATTATTGCTTCGTGTTTTTGTATTCATTTTCCGGAAAGAAATAATTGAAATATTATTTTGAAGGTTTTATCCTCGGCTGAAGACAAGAAGTCGGTTCAAATATTAATTTATTCGCAGTTGATGGAGAAATTGTGCAATGAAGTGACAGACGAGCAAACAGCGGAGATGAAGTCGTTCCTAGGGAGTCTGCACAGCCATCTTTGCGAGAAAGAGAAAACGGAATTGGCCGGGTCTCCAGATGTAAGACGAATTTGTCGTTTCCGTGTAAATACTCAGAATTTCAGGTTTCTATTCGCATTCTTCCAAACGCGAGCACGCTTTGTGTTTGTTTGGTAATTGCCCATGAATTTGCTTTATGTTAGTAAAAAGTCCCCATTTTCTTTGTGAAAATCAATAATTAATTTTTAGTTGATGAGAACAAACATGGGCATTTTATCCATCTTTCAACCGATGTTATTGAGCAGGCGATAAATCTTCGGAATACAAAGCCTTCTGATTCCATTCTTCTCATTGACACTCTTCTTTACTACTTGACTGAAGTTAAAGATCGCCAAAAATTGTTGTTTGATTGCTATAAGTATGTAGTCGGAGCCGCGCAAAGTATATTCCCTTGTGAAGCGAAATATACAAAGAGGTACGAAATATGGATTTGATTCAAAATTTGAAAGTGTATTCCATTTTTTAGATATGTCGATTTGAATTGCTCTTCAACTGTCCAGCACATTGAGCTTTTGAAATCGATAAATTTGCAGAGGCAAAAGCTGAATGATGAACGAAAATTGGCGTTTGGTATCGTGTTTTTCATTCTTTCTCTATTTTAAAGATTTTTTAAAGACATTTATCATGAAAATTCGTTGCTTCAACTCGCCATTGCTACCATTTACAGCTCTTCTATGCGATTTTCTAAGGTTCGATTTTTTTGTTGGATTTTTCAAACATTCATTTTTAGCTGAACGAGTTAGCTTCATCGGGATCTTTGATAAAGAAAGCGAGAAGTGAAGCATTGCTAGCGCGCGATCCGACGATTTGGAGGTTGACTATGCAATTGGCGGCGAGATTCAACAATATGGATGAAGTCTCGCAGGTTTCTCTTACATTTTTGTTCGAAAATAAATTTTATTTTGAAGTTGCACGTAATGGCGAATGGCCAGTGTCCATGGTCGCGCAATGTTCATATAGACAATGTTGCTATTCAGAAGAAGACTGAAGTACTCGAAAATATGATGTACGTTAATTTATTATGCATTTCGACTATTAATACATTTATTTCAGGCTTCTTATGCTCGAGGGTGGTTCGATGCATACATCGTTCATTGACGACGTTGAAGTTCTCACGGCTTACAAGGAATCGGCACTACGCCCTCAGTAGATCACGGTAGATGGGCAGACAATGTATTATATTAAATTATTAACGGTGATTTTAACATGTTCGTTGTTTTCCCGCCAAAAAGGCAGAGCCAAACATTTGAGTTACGCAGGTTTCATTATTCGGCTGCAAATTTGAATTGTATTATTTTTTCGGGAAAATAATGGTATTTTTGAATAAATTTATTGTTTTTTTTTTAACATTTTATTGATTTTTTAGTATATCAGTTTCACATCTGAATCATATTGTTGAATTTGAGAAACTCTTTCTAGAATATTGTTATTAGAATGCTGCGAGCGTTGCGTTTCGGCGCTGATTTGTTTGGGAACGTGATAGGATTGAATCGAAGGCCTATTCAGACAACGAGGTGATTTTTTTTTTCCTAATTTGATGTTTAAAATTTTTTGTTGGTTTAGGTTATTTTCCTCTGCTAGCACTGCTGAAGCTAGTGAGAAGACAGTAGAAGCTGTTGAGGAATCTCCGACGGATGAAGTGGCTCCGATGAAGGAGCAAAGATTCAAGCAGCCTTATAGTATTGAGGCGATTCAGAAGCTCAAGCTGGATCAATATCCATTGTAAGTGGCGGAAGTTCGCCTTAATAAATTTTGTTCGAATGGCAGGTATGTGGAGCGAGAATGGTGGAAAACCGGAAAACGAATGACGTTTTGGGCGACCTGGCGACAATTGCGCGATGTGAAGCGGCGAAAGCAAGTGCAGGTAACCCAAATTAAAAAAAAATAACGGTCCTTTGCAGATTTTGAAAAAGCTAAAAAGAAACTAGTAAAAAGTGGTATTTTCTGTTATCTGCATAGGGTTTTTAAGCATTTTCTTTTTGAAATCGGCTATTGCATAAAAAATCCATTTGAAATTTTGATTCTTTAGGAAGTTGGGCCTGATCGAATGCGCCTTAAAGCTATCAAATTCAACACAATCCTCCCGCAGGCGATTCGCGATGAAGCCGCTGAGAAGCTTCTCCATGCGAAACGTTATGATCATCCGCGGCTCATTCTCAATATGTGCCAGTTTACCGGAAGACAGCGCGGAAAGATAAAGCCGTACAGATTGAATAGACACTTGTTCCGTAGATTTGCGGACCGCTCTTATCTTTGCGGAGTCCAAAGGGCCATGTGGTAGATTTTCGATTTAATTTTTATTGTTTATTGTTTATTGTTGTAGAATAAATAGAAGATTGTTTTTGTACTGTTTGTTAGAATTTCAATTGGTTTCTTAAACTATGGAATACTTATATTTAAGGTTTTATAGACTTAATAAAAAGTATTTTTAAAGAAATTATGGAATCGTGCCGTTTAAAAATTCAGGATCTCCCAGAGGAAATTATTTTACACATATTCTCGTTTATCCCATCAAAATTTATTATTAAACATGTGAGTACTTCTAATTATTTTTGTTGCAATCAAAACGGATATCTTATTTTTTCAGATTTCCCTCGTATGTCGAAATTATTATCGATTAATTAAGAATCAGAAATACTGGAAAGTTCGGATTGTAAGTCATTCAAACGAATTTAGTGGCATTGTATATTTAAAACAAAACATTTTAGAAAAATGAGTTCGGCATTCAATTGGCACCATGTGAAACAAATCATCAAGATTTTGATGCGACCAAATCGATAATTTCGATCGAGAAACATCGAAATCGCTGGAAAAAATGGGAAAAACAACAACGGAAAGTTGCTTTTGGGCATACGGCGACTGTTGATAGTTTATGCATGTTCGAAAAGAATAGCACCAAGTTTTGCTTTTCTGGAAGCAGGGACAGGAGTATTCGGTTGTGGAATGTGGACAACATTATGGTTTGATATTTCATTTTTTTTTTCAAACAAAATGTGAAAGTTGGTGGCATTTAGGCGCAAATTTTTTTCGAATTACGCTCCCATTTTGTTTTTTTCGAAAATTAAATATCTGTGCAATTTTGCGTGCGCGTGTATTACACTTTTGCGGACATCGCGTTTTAAAATTTTTGTGTTAGAAAAAATTGATTGATATTCCAAAATAAATTATTTTCCCGCGTTATTTTTGGCCACGAACGTTTTCTGATTGCTGAAAAATGACGAAAATTTATGGAATTTCAGCGTGGCTCTGATGAACCAACGAACAAATGGGAAGTTCTCGCGAAAGACGACGCCCATCAAGCGTGGATTTGGAATATGACAATTGACACGGACCATAGTTTCTATACGACTTCTTGGGATTCAACACTTAAAAAGTGGAATTTGGGAGAAGCTGCAATAACTGTAAAATAGTGTGTCTTGTATGTCCGAAAATTTATTGAAAATTTGTTCCAGGAGCAAAATTGTATAAATTTGGGAACGGCTGTGCATTGTGTCGCACTCACAAACCGCAATGAGATTCTCGCGACGACGTTTGGCAAAAAATTGTGCATTGTGGATCCGAGGACGTTCACGATTTCTGCTGAGCATAATTTCCATAAGCGAGCTGTCATTGGATTGGCGGTTCATGGGGATATGATATACACAACTGGCGAAGATAAACTTCTGATGATGGTTGATCGAAGAATGATGAACAAAATTTTTAGATATGTAAGAAAATTTTTAAAAAATGATTTTTATATTCACAATTTCTTCTAAAAATTAAGTATTCAACGAAATTTCAGCACTACACTAATCATGGATACATTCCTTGTGTCTCGTATAAAACTGGTCAGTTATTGTGTGCTACTTCAAAAGGTTACGTCGACTTGCATGATGCTGAGAGCTTGAATGTTATTCATAGCTATAAAGTAAATTTTCAAACAAAATTTTTAAACAAAGCTCTAATTTTTAGGTTGGTGTATATACTAGACAAGTAATGGCTGATGATGGTGCTCAATTAGTGCTTCATAAAAGTCAAAGTTTTCAATTTAGTGTAATTTGAAAAATTTTAATTTGGTTGTAATGGAAATTTGAATTTTAGGCGTATAATCCGGGCTTGCATAATTCGATTATAAATTTGTCAAATGTTTTTGAAATTGAGCCGTCGAAATTTGATTTTTCGTGAGTTTTTTTTTGTTTCTGAAATTGTTTGTTTTGCGTTGTTTTTTATTTCAGACCTTCCTCGGAAATTCTTGTTATTGGCAATGGCGACAGCTCGCTGGTATTTTATGGAAATGCAATCGAATAACGAAGGTTTGCCCCTTGATTTGTAAAAAAGACGAAGAAAATTTGTGCGCAATCAGCTTCTTCTTCTTCTTCTTCTTCTTGTTCTTCTTCTCGTGAGCCACGGTTTATTTGTCTTTTGCGCGTTATACAATGCCAATCTGTGTCTGTTTCTTCTCTCTGTTTGAAGTATGTACGCGCGCATAATATAATAGTAATAGCTTTAGCTGGGTGTGATTAAAAGCGTTTCCAAGTAGGTTTGAGTACCGTATTTGGCTTATCTCCTCCACTTGTCGGTTTTCGCGCGTTTTCGTGTTTACCTATCATATTTCACATAATATTATTGCTAAGGAAATGATCATCTTTGAAATGTTTTCGATTCGAAAAATCTATTTTTGAACGAATTTTCATTAAGTTGTGAAATTGATACTGCGGGGATATTGGTATAAGCGAAAGGAGATTTTTTTTATTAAAACATATTGATATTTATACTGTTTAAATTATTCGGCGCTTTTTGGACAAAGTACAAGAAGTTTGCAGAATTTGTTTTGGGGAGTACCCAGAATTCGATGACAAGATCTTCCGAAGAAAAATTGTTGCAAATTCCTTGGTGGCCTAAAAAAATGTGGCCTCGAAAAATTAGTCCATCGAGTTGAAAGAAAAAATATTAATTATAATTGTTTATTTTTTCATTTTAAAGTGGATTTTTAGACATTTTTTGGGACTGTGCAATGTTTTGCAATAATAATGTATTGGAATCGCAAAAACGATATTTGTAGTTCGATTAATACCAGAGTTTGCTCTATTAATTTAAAATTTGAATTATCGCCCTAGAGAATAATTTCGATGGTCCACAATTATTCGAAGTGCTCTGTTTTTTTTTACGATGGTAATACTATGATAGCGAAATTTTCTAACTAATTTTTCCTTCATTTATTTTTGTAAGAATAGGCCGTCTATTTTTTTGTAAATGCATTGAAACAAGTTTTGAAGAAAAAAATGCCTTTATAACTCATAACGGTTGCAAACCAAAAAATTGCGACACTCAAACACATTTTATTTGAAAAATAATTGGCAGTTTGTGAACAACACAAAATGGATGAAGGCAAGAAGTTTTATATAGGTAACAATGGTTTGGCCGAAAAAAAAATTTAAATGCAATTATTATTATAAGGAGAGTTGAAAAATGACACCAAAAAACAAACTAGGTTCTAATATTATTTTTTGGTTTGAAAGAAGTTGTGGGATTGGAGTGGTGAAGGAACATTTATTATACCTATAATGGGAAATTGTACCGGATTTTAATGAGAGAAAGCAGCGAATACAAAACACGCGCAAACATACAGCAAGAAAAATCAGAATTATTTTTTTTTCTTCGATTAAAAAAATGAATTTGGGGGACGTCATCCCTTATTTGGAATTATAGACATAACAATTTGTCGAAATAATTATGAGGAAAATCGAGAATGAGCAAACAATACAGGACACCCAGATGGGTGTCGAATTACGGCACACACGAAATTTTCGATGTTTGAAGTTGAAGTTGAACCCTGAATAATATAGCATTTTTTAGAACGTGTTCGAATCGCGCTGGATTGATGCAATATTATTCTCTATGATGTATATATTGAAATAAAGCGTTCCTACCTAATAAAGAAGTCGATTCGATCTACCGCGATGGAATGTTCCATCTGCATAAGAGCCCAGTTTTTTCTCTTCCTGTGTAAGGCAGGCTTCACTGCACGGAACGATTCCGTAAAGATGGAAGATGCCACTGGGCTCAGTTGACGTCGCTTTTCGGGTTTGGCGCTTCCTTTTGCGTGTATGATCGTAACCCTTTCGGTACTGCCTTGCTCGTTTCTCCAATACGAAGTAGAAAGACCACCTTGAAGCAATTAATAGGATTATCGTTGATGGTTTTGGGTTCATACGTGTCTTTTTTATGGGTCCATGGCCGCAAATAGGTGCATCCCTGCTGATCGTCGGGATAGGAGAACTTGTCCAGAGTGCAAAAACCGCCTGTCGACAATTGACACGTGTAGGCGTGAAGTCTGCAATCAACAATTGTTTCGCGCATTTCATTTATTACTATTATTAATTGCTAGTCAACTAACTATTTGTGACCGGGATGTCTGACCAATTGGACAAGGATCGAGCGATTCGCAAGCAGCAGGATGAAGAATATGCGGCGAGTCTTGCCAAGGATAAAGCGAGACACGAGGAGAAAGTCAAAAAGCAAATCGCCGAGATTGAGAGTAATGAGCGTCGAAAAACTATCGAACAATATCGGGAGAAATTGACAGGTTATACGCTTTAGTTTTTTTTTTGAATTGTGCCATTCTTAGACTTGAAAACGTCGGGAAATTTGCGAATTCTGGTTAGATATCCAAACGGGTCCCGCGAAATTTTCCATTTCTCTGAAAACGATCCAATTGAGAAGTTGTTCGATGCGATTATCTCGAAACCATTTTGTCCGGCTTACTTTTACGCCAAGTCTATTCGGCCGAGCTTGCCTATCAAATGCTACCCGAAATGGTATACAGAAGTGCTTTCGAAGGAATTTCCCGAGCAGAATGAGAATGTGTCAGCGAGTTTGGCTCAATCAATGACAATCGGGCAGCATTCAATTCAAAACGATTTCATTATTTTCATAAATGCGTTTCATTAATTGCTTATGATGATTGTTTGCATTCAGCGGGGTCTTGGCACGAACGTACACTTGTCGCAATATCGCCCGGCTCATCTTAGCACACAATCACGCAATGGTTTGTATAACGCCTAAAGCGTTTTAAGCTCATAAACGTTATGTACACATGACGACATATCACATTATTGTTCTTATTCTTCGCCTTCACCTTATTTATCAACAGATAGTTATGAGGTGGGAACGCAATTTACAACCGTCGAGCAAAAAATTTCGTGTCTTAGACGCATGATAGTGGGCTGACGTTACGAAATTGTCAACTGCACACTTTTTTGCATCTTCAATTGTAGTTATTAGATGAAAAAAATGAAAATCGTAGACTTATTGAATAAAAATGTTTTTAAAAAATGAATGCATAATATTGACAGAAGTTCACTTTTGCGTAGCCGTGTATGCACTAACAGCACACTACAGTAATAAGCAAAATATAAAAAATTAAGTAGTTTTCCTTTTTTATAAGTGTCATTTTTTCGTCCTGCATTATGAATCTATTTCCCTGGATGAAGGGACAATATTATTTTTCTATCTTTACGACCACTTTTAAAAAATCTATTTTCTTACAAAAAATTTAAGGATCGTGCATATTTTGCCGAAAAAAATGGGTGTCCCTATTGTTATCAGCGCTCGCCATAGTGATGAGTCATGGAAAATGAAGAGAACAAGAAATATGAAATGACAATTTGATGATGCTGCTTGGTGCCGGTGAATCAGAAACAAAAACGTGAGGAAGCGGAGGGGAAAAAAAATGGAAAATGCAGCGCGACGGGTTTCTTGTATAGCGAACGTACCTCACTCGGCGCTCCTTCAGACGAAATGAGTATTGCACGCACATTGTGTAGTTGAGCTCAAACTCCGCGGACTTTACAAAAGTCTTCGGCGTGAACGCGGATATCGTATAGGTGGTGCCATTGAGCTCGGCGTCTTCCGGAATTTCCACATAATGCTTTTTTCGTTCGGCTGACGCGACGGCGGCAATACAAAATGCCAGCAATATCGCCTTCATCTGCAAAACTGATTATCATTGAGTGAGTGACGATTTTGAGGAAGCGAAAAATATCGTGGAACAAAGTTATGCGGGCTGCAAAGGGGGAGAAGCATGCCCGGAAAACTGGGCGGCGTCGAACACTTGACTCCGCCCATATTGCGTGCGACATACACACACACACGGACAGACACTCACACACACACACACACAAACACAGAGACACACGGTGCGCCGAATGCCAATAGAATGCTGGGAATTCGAAAATTTTGTAAATTTTGTTTGTTTTCGTCGTGGAATTCGTGGCTTGAGACCGCCTAAGCTATCATTAACATCATGAAACCGAAAAACCACAGAAAATTTTATGGAATTTGCAAATTTCTCGGGAAAATCACCCCATATGACTGGTGTTTTCAATGCCTCATTTTAATTTATTTTTGTGATATTCGAAAAAAAAAAGATTTTTCACAAAAAAACTAAAAAAGAAATATCGTTAAAAAATCGAGAATTTCCAACTATAGCTTTTTCGCTGCAAAATATTTCAACTTCGTCCTCATGTGCGCCTTTAATCGCCTACAGTAATCCTTGCTTCCCAATTTCCTCATTCCTGTTCGATTTCATTTTGAAAAGCGTGGGCAAGATTTCCGATTGGTTTTTCATTACGAAACTAAAAATATTGGAATTCAAAAAAACAACAATTTCATGTCAATAATAATTATTTTATATTACAGTGATTCAAATAAAACGAGTAGGATATTTTTCAAAAACAAAAAACCCATTAAATTGGCGCATTTGTTGGCTGAGCATTGACAAATACTTTCGAGACATCATATTTCGGAGGGAACGCACTATAAGTGGCATATGAGAGCGCGGTCTTGTTTAATGGGCAATTTAGGAATGGAGCGATCCATCTGAATTTCAGCATTTTGTTGGTATAATGACGGCCGACTTACGAATAACTTCCCGGGTGTTGATCGTGCGATCGAACTTGAAATCGCCAGCATTTTTCCAATGGCATCTCTTTGAGAATACTGTTGAAGAGCGCTTGAGCAATTTGTGTCGAATCGGCGTATAATGGTTGAATGACGCATTCACCCGACGGATATGCGATGACTGCCGCAATTCCGACAACATTCCCATTTTCATCGTAAGCGACCTCAATTTCAAAAATTGCATAGTTAGAATAAATACAATTAGCACTTTTCCCCAGCCATTTTTATCTAAAAAGTGGCGGCTCATATAATTCTTTCGATCATATGGAAAAACCAATTCATCGTATTGGTGAAGATCATTTGGTGGGACGTCTCGAAAATTCTGAAATCTGAATTCTTATGCGCATTTACCAATGCTATTTATCAAACCTTGACAGTTATTCCGTCAAATGGTCCATCAATTGGTTTGAAATTTTTGGCATCGTAGAAGGAAATGAAATAGGTGTGTTGGGTATTGAAGACACCTCCCAAAATATTGGTCACAAATCTTTTCAGCGTTTTCACTGAACAATTTAAAATTGTTGGGATTTATGGTCCATTTCTTACTGCTGCAACCAACAGTGTTCAATCTTCCTTCTCTTATCCATGTCTTAATGACACAGTTATGCATTATTTGCATGATTTTCCTTCCCCGATATTTTTCGTTGGCCCAAGCGAGACCCCACATGAAAATATCTGGGTTGTCGGGCTTCACACTTCGATAGCGAATCAGATGACTTGAGAATATCACATCAATCGAGTCTGAAAATCGCACAAGTCAAATTGAAAATTTCGACGAAACCTTTTGGGCATAAGAAATTCAACATATAGTCTTTGCCAAAAGCGGTCTTCCACATTTCGATGTCCTCACTCTTGAAATCCGGCCGATTCGCGCCGTGCTTAAAAATTTGGTTCGATCGGCGACCTTATTTGGAAGTACACGTGTGCACAATTATAATTTTCCCCATTTAATTCAGAGATGTCTCTTACTCACCAATTCGATGAATTTGTCAACATATTCCTTGCTGGGATTCTGAAGGAGCTTGTGCCCCTCGGGCGTCCATATCTGTTTTGATCGGTTCAGTATCGAACGAAACATTGATATAATAAACGCCGTACAAGAAATAGTCGGGACACTCAACTGGTTCAACGCCAACATTTTCTCACGTTTAATTGATTCTTTATATTCTGAAAAGTTGGGAAATTCTCGAAAAAAAACCTGATTTGTTGCCCATTGGCAAATTGCCAAAAATATCTTCAACGGGTTGTTTTTGGTTAGAATGATGGAAATCAAAATTGTTTTTAGTAACTTGAAAATTGCCAAAAATTTTATTGATTTTTCGTGAAAATAATTAAACTCTAAATAATTAAAAATCAATTTTTCATCAATTTTTTGAATTGTTGCATTCTACCCTTCCTTGAACTTATGGAGTGGAGGCCCATACCATATTCATACCATATTCTAATATTTCATGCCTTTTTCGTGAAGACACTGAAAGCTAATTTGTGAATTATGGTTAGAAATCATAATTACCCCTCATTTGACAGCTTTTTTTAAAATTTGTCTTTATGATTTTCTTTCATAAATGAGAGAAAAAAGAAAATAATATTTTTTTCTTTTTTTTCTGAATTGAAATTTTATATATTTTTTTTTCTCCTTTTTTTCTTTATTTCCGGCGTCAAACGACCTATAAATAGCGGAAAATTCAGTTTCGCAAAATTAGTGTAGACGAAAATGTATCGAAGTTGTAATTTTTGCGCGTAGGTTAAAATGCAGAGTACGCAGACACGCGCGCGTTTTTTTAAAAATTTTTTTTTTTAAAGCGCGCCAATATTTTTTAAATTTTCGTTGAGTAATATGACGTCGATAATATTGCCCCCATGAAACTTTAACGTGGGCCCAGTCAAATGCAGATGGTTTCAAAATGCGTTGCCATGGTGATGTTCGCTCTCAGCCGACCCCGTTTGCCTCGGCTCTTTTAATCCAATATGAGGTCGAACGGCGTGACAACGAAAAAGGAGTTTCGACATGTCTATCGGAGTATTTCTGGAAGTAGCAAGAATCCGACCGACATCAAAACGGCTTATCAGGTTCTCGATTTATTATTCAGTGTTTTATTCAAATTTTCAGATTTTGTCGTGCTGCGGAAAAACGGTAATTCAGTCGCATTTACGAGCGGAATGGCCACTAAATTGCGGTAAATAAAAAATAAAACACATTTCTGGAAGTTGGTGAAAATAATTTCAAATTATAGAGACCATTTCGCTGGATGCGCTTTTCGATATTTATTCTCGTCTCGGCGATCTTTGTATTGAGGAAGAGGAGTTGCGTCAGATGAAAAATCGTAATATTAAATTCGATCAAGTCGTTGACTCAATAGTACAATACATTCTAATCGAGAATTCCGATGTTAATATGATTTTCAGGAACCGGAAGGATTGATTAGCAAACAACTTGTTGAAGATTGTCTCAGAAATTATACCAATGAGGATGGGACCATTGACATTGAGAAACTGGTAAAAGCTTCGGAAGAAACGAGAGATAAGCTTTTGGTAAATCTAATGTCGCACACAGGTTTTTAATTTGAAAATTAAATTCTCTAAAAAATTTTTGAAGATTCTCCAACGATATCCGAACATTTTGAAGAGGTTACCGTCTCAAAACCAACAGAAGAAGTGATTGAGAAATCGGACACCTTTGGACAACTAAAAGTAATTTTTAGGGTCCCTAATTTGATATAATTAGAAATTTTGTAGGCCCAAGTCCGCGGAACGCTTGCGATTTCCCCGAGACTTCAAGCCATTTTCTTTAGAATCGATGTTGACGAGCCAACCGAATGCGAGCTAGTACTTTCACTTTCAAAAAATTGTATGAATTGGCATTCCCAATTATGAAATAAGAATTACCGAATTTCAGCCGATCTTCCACCTGGTCATTTTGCTAATGATTTGTTCCTTTTCGTCGCCAGAGATGGCGAAAACCCAAAAATGGTTGGAGTCACGAAATTCGTTTTGAAAAATGTAAGAAAATCCCGCATCAATTTTCGTCTTCAATTTTTTTTTTAAATTCTAGGAACGATATAGTACCGGAACAATTGAAGTAGCGAGAAACGACCAAATTATTATTCTAGGAATGGGCACCTCGTTTATTAGGAGGAAGTCGACCAGGGAGCGTATTACCTTGATTGAACCTGATGGAAAGTTGAGCAAGAGATTCAAGTTAAAAATCAACTATTTGCATCAAATATTTATTTTTAAATATATTAGGGTTACATTAATGAACATATTCGACGCGTTTGATTCCGATCAGGATGGGGTTCTGAAGCGAAATGAGCTTAACTTTTATACAATTGCTAGTGGAGATACCGCCCTAACCGACGATGAATGGGCTCTGTACCATGACAATTTCGATTTTCGCGATGGCGGAATGACAATGGAAGGATTCATTAAAATGCACCAGATCGAAGCTTCCGACACTGGGGATCATGTGCTTGCAGACTTGTGGCATTCGTTGAATATCCTTGGATACGACACTGAACTCCAGTCAATATATGTAACAAATTACTCCTAATTATTTTCGAAGATGAAATTTATATATAGGGTTGCTCTTATGACATTTTTGCACACGCGGAAAAAGATGTTCGATTGGAGCCTTATTTCCAATATGTGACAGTTGTTGAAAGGAATTTGTAAGTTTTTCGGATTAAACTCTATTTTTTCAAATCTAATTTTCCAGAGTTCTTGAGAAACTTTATGACGCTGGAATTGAGCAAGATTTGTGTGTTCTCAAGCCGCATTTATTTCAAACTGATTACTTTGGTCTACTGATCGCCAGATGGAGTGATGTTAGTTTAAAAAAAATGTTTTAAAAATAATGATTTATTTTAGGAACATAGGGATAGGCGATTCAGATTGAAAATTGATGATACGGAAAACGTTAGATGGAATTTCCCGAATGGCAAGGAAGGTTCAATCAAATTTGACGAATCCGATGGAGAATGGGTATATTTTGAATTTGAAACTGGGAAAAAGGTTCTAAATTTTTTTTTCAGATTCTCGTGTGCTCTTATACAACAACCAATAAAAACGCAAATGTTAAAGTTGAACTTATTGACAGCGAATAAAGCATTTAATTTTATACATACGTTATTAATTCATTATAATCCAGATCATTTATATTGATAACAATATATACGTCTGAAAACCTAATCGAGTTTAATTCACTACCGACTTATGATCTGATGATGTTGGTAGATGTTCCTTGTCACCAACCAGCCATGCCATTGGATCTCTAACAATCTTGCGGTAATATTCTGCAATCATATTGACATTAATAAACTCAATTTTAAACTCATACCGGCCCATTTAGAATCCGGGTTTATATCCGTCTGAAGATCAGCGTATGTGATGAGGAATACACTAGCAAAGATTCCAATTACAGCATTCTAAATAATTCAAAAATTATTTATTTAAGGACCTATATATTTTTTCAATGCATGATTTTAAAAATTACATTAAATACATTTTTTTTGTAATTCATGAACATCTCCCGCTCCTCCCACGAAACGACATTTAAAAAATAAAAAGGCTTACATTTTTGAAACTAAGTTTTTTACCGCCTCTCGGCAATGTTTTTTCGGTGATTTCCTTCCAAACTGGTTGGCCATCACTTCCTCGAATTAAAACTCGCAGTAAGTTAGATAATCTCATATCTGAAGAGAGTTTAAATGGAAAAAAGCCTAAATTTATATTAACTGAAAACAGAAAAATAAAAATTAATGTCGTGGACTAACGCATGCGCGACTGAGGAAAAGCTAGGCCAGGTTAAAATTTAAATTTTTTAAAAATTTTAATTCATTCTGGAAGTTGTCGCTGTTTTCCCAAACTTTTAAAAGTTTCTACAATAGAAAAAATAAAAAATTCTAATAAATTGCTCTCGATTTTTCCCGAAATAATTATTTGTATAGCGTCATATAACATATGAGCATAGAAAGTTCAATGCAAAGCAACGTTTTAGAAGCGATACACAACAAATTAGCCGCAATCATCTTCACATGACAATGCTGGCAAATGTGAAAAATGTACACCCACCGTCTATTTTACTATTTCATCCCCTAAATTTGCTATGTAATGAACTCGACCCACAACGGCTACCAACAGGTCGACGAGGATTTTGTCATCGAGCTTCACGATTATGTATCATTTCATAGGTAAAATAACAAAAAAAAATCGATTTTAAATTGCTAATTTTAGAATGAACGTTTTCTTCGGTGCTGTATGTTTCGCGCTCAACGTCGTTTTATTTTCGGTGTTTCTTTCCTCACCAACAATGAGAAAGAAACATAGAAATCGGGTAAGTGCGAAATAAAAACATCATCGTGTTTTATGAATTTTGTCAGATTTTGATGATTCTTGCCCTAGCTGACACTTCAAACACGTTGGCAATATTTTTCATGGGTAAAAATCGAGTGGAACTTTACACAGAAATCATCCACACTCATGAGATTCCGATTCGGACGGCTTGGCAATGCGCACTTGAACCATGGCTAATTTTAAGAGGCATAGGTCCTTAAAACTCTACATTTTCACATTTTTTAATTCGGAATGTTCATAGGCGATATATGGCCTCCAATAATTCAAATGGTAATTGGAATTCAACGAAGTCTAGCCGTTTTCACGCCAATCTGGTTCCACAAACATGGGAAAAATCGATCGACTTTTCTAATTTGTTCCACATTATGTATACTATTACCCACACTTCTCATTGGATTTATAATAGCGTACATGAATAGAAAGAAGCAGGTTTGAAAATTTTTGAGCTTTTTTTTCTAAATTTTCAAATAAAAATCGATTTAGGTCATTTACTATTGTGGAAGAAAAGCAGCTTTTGGGAAAGATTATGCCACATTCATCTACATTATCAACATTTTCGGATATTTGTTCAGTTTTGCGATTAATTGCATAACCATGATCAAGGCTAGCTCAACGATCAACAAGTAATCATTTTCAATTATGGAAAAAATAAGTAATGGAAAATAAAAATTTTAAGGCTTGTTCGACGTCAGATTTATAAGGTCCGATACAGTCTTGTTATCTCATTTCTATCATTCATCCTTGTTTCGATACCCAATGCAATTTCCTTGTTTTCTGTTCATTTTAAAGAGGTATTTTATATTTTAATGAAACTAATAAATATGTTGGTTTTAGGTGAACAGCTTTATCGCCAAACCATCGACGTATTTCACATGTGTCAACTCAGGAATCAATATATTTGTGTACATCGCGCTGAACACCGAATTCCGGCACCAATTTAAATACCTTTTTTGCAATAAGAAGCACGTTGTAACTCACAGCGAATTCGAGCGATCGAAATCAAAGTCGAGATCGCGGTCGAAGAGTCGAATCGACGGTAGTTTAATTGTTGCATTGTGAACAGCAAGAAATAAAAAATTTATTTGAAACATTTATTGATCGACACTGTTTCTGCCGTATCCGTGCAATATCCGTAGCAATTTCCAATATCGATAAATTATTTTTAAGGCGAAGATTCGCGCAATAAACCAGAGGATCAGCAGCGATCCCATGACAATTCCAAAGGTTCGTGCTAAATGATAAAAAATCATTTGACCTTTTCTTTTTTTAATACCATTGAAATGCCCTCCTTTAAATTTCACATCATGGTTTGAGTATGCATTTGGGAAAATGGTAAGGCCGAAGAAAATGCAGGCCAAAACCAAATCATATATAAATGTTAATGTCTGAAAAAAAATTTTCTGGAAAGAAAATCAAAAAAATAATACTAGAAAAACGAGATGAGTCTGCAAATATTTTGGATTTTCTGTTAGAACGCCGTAGAAGATCAAGAGTACTTGAATTGTGAGAGTGAGGAGGCTAACTCCGGTGAATACCGCGGACCCTTGAATTATTTAAATAAACAAATTGATATGCTAACGTTTTTAACTAACATGCTTGTTGGTGATGAATTATTGCAAAGAATAGAAGAATCAAGTAATATGCCCAATAGATTATTTCAATTCCAGCGATTGTTAAACACGCGGTCTGGAATAATTATTATGAATTATTAAATTCGAATCTTTTCTGAAAAAAAAACGGCTCAGTCAAAAATAACACGAGATGTTTAATTTCGAGCAAAATTGATTATTGATGCTAATTAGCCACGTTAATTTTTCTTCAGAAATAGACTATACCTTTAATTTCATTCGGCCGCAGCATACCCGCTTATGATCCTCGTAGTAAATGTCCCGCGAGGGAGTCTCTTTATAGCGCATCAAAGTATCGTTCATTTTTTGTGAATAACATGAAACTGCTAACGTTAAATAGTACGGGATTGATAAGGATTTGAATGAAAAGACTGTTCAATTAGAAAAGAGAGATACAATATTCTTTGAAAATGCTGTAATAAATCAAAAAAACCTTGAAATAAGTATCAGTGATCTTTATTTTCAATTCGATAATATGTATTGAATGCACTGATATGGGAGTGATTCATTGTGCTCTGAATAAATAATATATGTAGTGATAGGAGGAAAATGATTATGACAAAAACTGGGTAAAATAAAATTTGAAAAAGGGAATGAAGAGATCCAAATCTTTTATTCAAAAATGGAAAAATACCAGTTCTCACTTATATTCCATCTTCGTTTTTTTTTTAATTTTATCAAATTATTTCATCATCTTCGCCGAAAATAATCGCAGCTCATGATTTATCATTTGTTCGTCATTGTTAAACACAAATGCATTCTGCTTTGTTGCTGATTTTCCCATTTCTCGTTGTCGGCTACCCGCAAAATGAGAAAATCATCAAACTTCCCGACCTGAATTTTTCGCCAAAATTTGACCAGTACTCTGGATACCTTCAAGCATCTCCAACAAAATTTTTCCATTATTGGTTTGTGGACATTTTTTTCAGAGAAAATTTAGTTGGATTCAGGTTGACACTGTGCCCAGATGAATCGAAGCCTTTGGTTCTTTGGCTGAATGGAGGTCCAGGATGTTCTAGTCTGCTAGGCCTTCTTGAAGAACTTGGCCCTTTTAAGGTTAAAGATGAAGGAAATACACTATTTGAGAACAAATACAGCTGGAATGCGGTAATCATAACATCAGATTTGTTTCAAAATTCTATAAATTTAGTTTGCCAATATTTTATTCCTCGAATCTCCCGCCGGCGTCGGATTTTCCTATTCGACCGATGGAAACGTCACAATTTCTGACGATGAAGTTTCTCAACAGAATTATCAAGCTCTTCTCGATTTTCTCAACAAATTCCCGGAATTCAAAGGACGCAATTTTTTCATTACCGGCGAATCTTATGCGGGTACCATAATACATCTTCAATTGAATCAGATCACTTCGAAATTTATTAGGAGTTTACATTCCAACATTGGCTGTTCGAATTCTCGCCGATAAAACGAATTTCCCCAACTTCAAAGGTGTCGCGATTGGAAATGGCGCATTGAACTTTCCTAATAATTATAACACAATGGTCCCATTTTATTATTATCATGCGTTAGTGAGAGATGGGCTTTATAATCGGATTAAATCGGATTGCTGCGACAATAACATTGAATCCTGTGATATTTTTGGGAAATTCAAAGATCCGCATTGCCGCGAAATCATTGTTGAAGTGAGTTTCTTTGAAATTTCAGCAAAAAAAAAACAACAGCAACCACTAATTTCAGGCTCTCGATGGTACTAATGAGTTGAATATGTATAACTTGTACGATGTCTGCTATTATGATCCATCGGGTCTTGAGAAGAAAGCGCATATTGAAAGACATATGAGAAGAATAGTCGGGCTGCCGCAGAGGAAAATCTCCAAATCTACAGTATTCCATAGAATTTTTAAGATTTGAGCACGCAATTTTCAGAATTTGCCACTCTGTGCCCAGACGAACAACACTTTTAATTATTTGAATCGTTTGGATGTTAGAAAAGCATTGCACATACCCAGCAATGTGCAGTTGTGGAGAGATTGCAGGCGATTATTTTTTTTATCGAAAATAATTTTCGTATCAAATTTCAGCGATGATGTCGGAAACAACTACCAAGTCACCCATTTTGACGTGATTCCAGAATTCGAAGCGATGATCAACTCGAAAATCCGAATTTTAGTTTATAATGGAGACGTTGATACTGCTTGTAATTCGATTATGAATCAACAGTTCCTGAGCTCATTGAATCAAACAGTTTTGGTAGAAAATTGGAATTTTGAAACAACAAAAGAATATTTTTTGAATATTAAAGGGAGAAGCCAAAGTGAACGATCCGTGGCATTACTATGGAGAAACGGGAACCGCCGTGGCTGGTTTTATCACCCAATTTTCAGGGAGTACGGCTTTCTTAATCATTCTCAAAACCTCACTGTGCGGTTTTTTAAGACCTTGACTTTCTCACCGTTCGTGGAAGCGGTCATTTTGTGCCCGAGGACAAACCGAGAGAATCGAGACAAATGATTTTCAATTTCATCAACAAACGCAACTATTCGACACCTATTGAAATTTGAACAATGTCAACAGCAATGTTTACTTTATCTTATAATGAAGACAAATTTTTGTCAACGCATTGCTAACGCATTTCTTTTTCACAATATAACTATCAAAATATATTTAGATTCAACATTTCAACGTTGAGTTATTTTAATTGTATATACAAGAATTGGCTATATGAAGGTAGGGCATGCCGACCGGTTTTTAGTTTTGTGCATTATGATACAAGGATTTTAATAGATTGATATTATTGGTAGTCTTCGTTACTGTTACATTCATCGGACGGCATTCCGTTAGTCGTTTCATGCTGAAATTATTGCAGATTTTTAGGCTTTTTCTGAGAAACATTCGAGCACACCTGCAAATATGATTCACTATCTGTCGACTCTGCACGAATTACAGTCATTTTCTTTCCGAAGATTTTTTCGTACCATGGCGAGTTTTGGGTTACGGTATTTACAGACGATGTTCGAGTTTGAGGTCTGAATGTTTTTTTTTCAAGTTTTTTCTCTAGAATTTATCCAATTACCCATTTCTTGTTGACACTGGACCGGATTGAGATTTCTCGGAAATCGTATCCTCCTCACGAATCAGCGATAATTCTTTTTTAGGGATCACCTTCTGGCTGGTTTCCTCAGCGGCGCCGCGAACAAGAGCACTATATCCGCGAATATTTTCCAGTTTACCGTACATTTTGCCGTTCGCCATTGCCGCTTGATAGTCTTCTTGGTTAATCATCGCTGGAAGCGATCGACGGCTGCTTTTTGGGTTTGCCGTTGCCATTTCGATATTGACGACTTGCATTGGTGGATAGATCACCTTTCTGCGTTTCGATTCCTCATTTTCGAGATGATTGCTCAGATTACGACGGCTTGGACGCCCGTAGCCGCTGTCCGACAAGTCGTAGCTGCTGCTGCTGCGGCGTCGATAGGATCGATGAATGCTCAAATCCGACTCGTCGGGATTCACAATTTCTTCGTCGCGAGCCGGCGAAATTGCTCCAGCAGCTAGAGCGCGGTTGTACTCTAGCAGTGGAAGCCCCTAGAAATGAAAAAAATCACTGATTATTGTAGTATTTCAGACTAAAACCTTCTTAAGTTTGTGGATAAATTGACATCGTGGTCCATAAGGACATTGACCGTAGGTAGAGAACTTATCGCATAGTTGAGTTTTGTACTTGGGATGAGCTTTTCCACGAGGCTAAAACACCACTTCTAAACATATTTCGTTTATTCGGTTCTCACTTGTAATGGCATTCGAAGCTCATTTTCGCCATGTGCGAATCGGCAGTTATTTCCATATGGACAACTTCCAATCCGTTTATAAGAATCACATAGCGCGGTTTTAAAAGCTTCCTCCTTTCTGAATAGAAATCTAATATCTGAATATCTTAAACTTGGTATGCACCTCTTCTGCCTTTGGACTGACTCGCGTTCGTCATCCGTCATTGTCTCCCATAATGGAGAATGCCGGCGAGGCAAACTCGACACAACGAGACCATCGATCTTAATTGATTGATCTGTGTAAGCAAATAGGCTATGGAATACGTCTGATTTTATAATTGTTGGTGTAGATGGTTTAGTCGACTTTCGATAGTTTAGCGATCCAGCTTCAATTGGCTCTTCAATCGCTAATTTGTCCAAGTCGGGAATTGAGCAATGCTTGGTGTTTTTGAAAACCGTCTGAGCCGGGACAAGAAGATGTGGTAACTGTGACGGCACAACTAATAAATTGTTTATTTTTTTCCCAAAAACTCAATAACTTACGCGATGGATATACCGTTTTTGGATAACCATAAAGGGTTTGATAAGCTAGAAAATTTGGATCACATTGCGCGTTCACAAGGAATTGTTCGGAAACGCTTGGGGTCTGCATACCTAAAAATCTACAATCTATTAGAAAACTTAGACCGAAGAAAATTTTTTGAAATGTTTGAAAATGATTGAATTTTCGCTATTGAAAAAATTCGCGCCGTTAGTAGAAAATAATTGCGGTACAGTAATATGTCGAGACCTTCAAATGTTTAATAACTGCGCCTTTAGGATACGGTAGTTTTTTATTTCCCAAATTTGTTATGCATTAAAAATTTTTTTTCGAAAACATTTTCGCGGAATTTAATTTTTGTTTGAAATATTATAATTCTCACGTCTTTATGTATTGTATTTTTATTTTCAGCGAATTCAATTGCATTGTTCTTCTCTTTTCTTTATTGCAAGTTGGCACTTATATGGTTCTGTTGGTTATGCCAAGTTTTTACACTTTCTTGATGTAACACAGATACTGCGCTCTTCTTCAATTGAGTGTTGCATGTTCGCTCTATTGCCCAACCGCTCCGCGTGCCTAGCTTATGACTGATGTACCCTCTTCGTCAGACATGCCCAATTCTCTCTCATGAGCGCCCTTTCTGTCACATGCCAATGATTCAGTTTTCGCTTTCGTCCTTTCAATTACAAATATCGTTTCAGAAAGATGGAAGGTGCGGCACAATACTCGGGTCGCAATCAGCGCTACAAAAAATCCCGTCCTGGTAAGCTATTTTGTTAGTTATTCAAATTCGTAGTCATTTCCAGAAAGAAAACACCATCACAATAACAACAATAGCAGTAATAAAGGCAAGAAATTTTGCCATCAAATTTATTATCCAATCACCAATATGGAGCCGGTGCCGGTAGTATTTTGATTAAAAATTTAAAATATAAATTTAATTTCAGGAAGACAATGAATTAGATAAACGCAAGCAGTTAGTCGTGATCTGTAGAAATAATCCATTGCATGTCGTCCACAAGGATGTTCTTCAATACCATCTAGATCATGAATGTATGGAAGTTGCCTGGCGACCAGGACAATTAAATCTCCCAATGCCGTTCAACTCCCAGTCTTGATAACAAATACATTTTTCTGTACATTACTAACGTCACATATCGTGTAATTTGTTACTAATCCTTGATACAGGTATTTCAAATAATCTATAAAAATAAGTGTCTTGTGAATTTGTTATTGATTTGTTGATACGCGTTATTTCGCCATACTATCTTATTTCGCAATGCCTCGTAACACCTAAATATTTTCTTAATATTTCAGGAAAATGTCTACTGCTCGCAAGAAGGCCCTTCTCAAGGTGATCATCCTTGGTGATTCTGGAGTGGGAAAGACCTCACTCATGAACCAATATGTAAATAGAAGATTCAGCAACCAATACAAGGTACATTAGGAATTTTTCATCATAGTAATAGATTTTTTAAATTTAGGCTACAATTGGAGCCGATTTTCTCACTAGGGACGTTCAAATTGATGATAGAACTGTTACTCTTCAGGTTTGCCACAGATTAAATTGTTTAAAATCATGTGATTTTTTTCAAGATTTGGGATACTGCTGGACAAGAGCGCTTCCAATCCCTTGGTGTCGCGTTTTATCGTGGAGCCGATTGTTGCGTCCTGGCGTTCGATGTCACCAACGCCGCATCATTCAAATCTCTTGATTCGTGGCGCGATGAGTTCTTAATCCAGGCTAGGTACGTATTTAGTTATATAAAAAAAAGTCAAATTACTGATATACTTCAGCCCTCGAGATCCCGAACATTTCCCATTCGTTCTTCTCGGCAACAAGGTTGATTTGGAGTCGCAGAGAGCTGTTTCTTCGAAACGAGCTCAGTCTTGGTGTCAAACTAAAGGAAACATCCCGTACTATGAGGTATAACGAACCTAGTGGTAGTTTAAATCAAAAATCGATTTTTTTATCAGGTTTCCGCCAAGGAGGCTTTGAATGTTGAATCCGCTTTTCTTGCCATTGCTCGTGATGCCCTTGCCAGGGAAGCTCAAGATTCGAACGATTTTCCCGATTTCAACGATCAAATTCGCCTCAACACAAATCAACAAGGTTCGCAGGGCTCCGGCTGCAACTGCTAAATGTTTGTTGAATATTTTCTCCCCACATTTCGATTACGAATACGGTATTCATGTACCGGTCTCCCCCACCGTCCTACATTAAAACAATTTGAAAACTTTCCAGCCTCAAATACTAGATTCCAACACAAAAAAAGTCCAATTCACTGTGTATATTTTCAACACTATTATGTATATTTTGAGCATTTTCAATTGTATTAATTTCCAACACTTGATAGATAAATAAACGTTGCCATCCGAATCGATTCGAAGTCGCTCAATAAGTTATAATCATAACCAGTCGTGTCATCAATATCCAGTCTTCTCTGGCAGCCTCTACGATTGGCGCGCAATCTCGACAACCCGCAGTCCATGTACATGTCGATTTCCGAATCGCCCGTTTACGAGGTCAATTCTCGATTTTTGGCTTTGTGTGTCAAAAAACATAACAGATAAGGCGATGTATCACACTTTTGCGCGCGGTTCTCAATTGTTTCTTAATTTGTTCATTTCAATCGCTACCACTGATTTGGTATCATTTCAGGTAATTTCGAGGGCCATGATCGACGCTGCTCAATCACCGGAATTGGCGAGAAAGTCGGACGCGAAGTACACACTAACTTATTTGTAATATTATATCGAATGTGTAATGCGGCTTTCTTTTTGGTTTCATCAGGAAATTGGTTGTTTAGTTTCCAGAATAAATTTTATATAAGAAGTGAAACCTGACGAGTCGAAAAGCTTTTTCTTCAATTTTTCAGTTTTGCATGCTATCACTTTTTAATGGACATTAAATTCCAGATGTGCCGACTGCAAAAAAAAACTAATTTTTTTCAAGGGCTTTTTAAAATTAATCAATATTGATATTTTGTCGTTTAAGATCCGATTCGTCTGAAAAGGGAAGCGAATCGCCGAGATCTCTTCGAGAATATCATCACGGAGGTTTGGCCTAACTCAAAATTTCATTCGATTCCAAATTTTTCTTGATTTCAAGGAAGCGGAACATTAACCGGCGGTGGCGCTCAAGTTGTCATCCGCCCGAAACCGGTTAGTTTTACTGAAAATATGTATCGAAACTAATCAATCGATAGCGTTCACCAGTAGGCGTTGTCTTGAAGTGAATTGATAAGACCATTCGGCAAGTGGTGGCCATTAGGCAACATTTGCGAGAATTTCTCAATGAAGTTGGGTTTGATTTCATGACAACTGCTCATCATCGTTCGCCCACAAATCTAACATCGATGAGCAGTGGTTTTTTTTGTCTATTTTGTGTCTGTGTGTGTATGTCGTTCTCAAAACCTCAGACGAAAGTAAGCAATGAAGCACTCTCTTGAATGAGGGAGTGAAAGAAGTTTTCGCTCAAGAGCTCATATAACACTTTGTTTGCCATTGCGAGAACCGTTCAGAATTGATGATCCAAACATTTTTCGTTTCTTTTCTTCTTCTCCCCCACTTTTAAATTTCAAAGTTCCTTCAGGCAACGAACCTAGTAAAATGGTGAACAATCGATTCGTAAGTGTCGATGTTGATTTGAATACTATCCGATTCTCTTGTAGGATCTCAAAAAGTATAAACGAAAACTTGACAGCCGATTAGGAATTGTTCTTCTATTATGCCTCGTCACCATCACAGTAATTCTTGGTATCATTGAAAGACTCTGATCGGATCCTTTACGACAAATAATTGCAGCGATCTATGGAGCCATGCATAGTACAGTTCATGACGAACTCACCACATACGTTAATCGAACCCATCAAATTGCGTCTGTAAGTTTGAAAAAAAAATTCAAATTTGTGGAAAAATGAAAATTGGGCTGAAATTTAGGAGCCTCAAGATTTTGATGATGAGGTAAACATGAATGAATTCTATTCTTTTTTTGGGTAACCTTCTGCCTGACCTAAAATAATCCAATTATAAAATTTCCACGAGTTTCTGGTTAATTAAACAATTATCGACATAGTTAAGAGGTTTAAGTTTATGTGCAAACAGATGGCCGCGAAATTTCAAAAAAAAAAAAAAACGAATGAATCCCGATAACTAACTTTTTCTCGCATGTCTTTCACATTTCAATTGTCCCAGTTGTAAAATGTTATTTGTTTGCTCTAGGAGCTCAAAAATGCGATGGATGAGAACTATCCCAAGGAGAATCAGACCAATATTGACAAGCATGGAAGAGTTTGGATGACTGTTGAAGAGCTTGAAGGATATGCGTACCTGATTTCAAAGGTGTTTGCCTCATTTCGATTTAGCAATAATCATCATCAATTCCAGACACATTCGACACTTTGGGGACTCTTTTGGTGGAATTTGTTTCTCTCATTGCTCCTTCTTCCCGTCGTTCTTGCCATTCACTTGGAATGGATTCAAGGGAATGGCGCCAAGATTGCCTATCGGGTTTTGTCAAATTTCGTATGAATATTGGCAATTGTTACCTGTGTTTAGGTGGTTCTTGCAATTGGACTTCTCTTCTGCATTGCCCAATTCCTCTATCTGGTTCATCCAATCTTCTGGGGATCGGTGAAATTCCCAAGGGTACCAATTTTCCCAATGCTTCAATTAAATATTAATTTTTTCGTAGATGCTTGACCGTTTGTTCCTTGAAGCTTACCCAAGGGATGAATATCAGATCAACGGGATTCAGGACAGATTTGCATGCGAATTCAAACCACATGCTACTTTGGTGCAGCTTGACCTTCAGGTAATCAATCCAATGGCTTCAACTATCAGCCTTGAGCGAAATTCTTTTCAGACGCCATGCGTTCCGAAAATGAAAAACTCGCTTCTGCCAACCTATTCAACATGCCTTCTCATTTTCATTGATCTTTTCCCGTTCTTTTTCGGTTTCTTCGTGTTTGCTTGGACGACATGGTTCAAGAATAGCAAATATATCAAAGAGGCTCGCACTCGAGTTCAAATTAATAATTCACGACGGTAAAAATTTCTTTTGAGATCGAATGTTGAGAAAAAATAATGGGAAATTGCAGAGTGCCATTCCCGACCCAAAACTTCTACACCCCACCGGATCGTCATAACAAGTTGGTCGAACTCTAAAAACTCGAAATTTACTTTTGTTTCGCTTATTCGATTTTTCGTTTGCACGCGCGATATCTCTTTCCTATTTTCAGTTTGTGCCTGACATCAACCAAAAAAAAATTCTTGCTATTTACAGGTAGTTCCCATCATTGGCTACACCTTATATTTCTTCAATTTTTATTGTTTTAAATTGAATGAATAATTGAGATGCTAAATCGAAATTAATATCCTGGTGCTGTTCTTGGCGGCGGGCAATGATCGCATCCTCCTCCGACACCTGGGACTCCTGGTGATCCTGGATCTCCGGGCGCTCCCGGGTTTCCTGGCGCCCCATCGAGTCCTGGATCTCCTGGTGGTCCTTGCGGCCCTGGTTGCGCGCTTCCCGGTGGTCCTGGCTGACCCGGCAATCCTGGTGGCCCAATTGGGCCTGGTGGTCCGGCAGGTCCGGTGGTGCCAGGCACTTCGATAACCTGACCAGGGGCACCAGGACTTCCCGTATTGCCTGGAAGCCCATCGTTTCCTGGGGGCCCTGGCGGTCCGGGCGGTCCTGGTGGTCCTGGTAGCGCATTTCCTCCCGGGTTTCCAGGAGCACCCGGCTTTCCAGGCGACCCTTTCGGTCCTGGCCGGCCTGGCGGTCCCGGCGGTCCAGCGGGGCAGTCAAAACAAAAATCGGCAGCCGTTGGTGGCTCATCTCCAATCGCATCCTGTCCTGGGTTTCCAGGTGTTCCCGGCTGTCCGTCATTTCCAGGATTGCCATCAGCACCTGGTGGACCAGGCGGTCCAGCTGGTCCAACACCACATGAGCAACATGATCCTCCAACACCGCCACCTCCAACAACAGCATCTTGTGAATAGGTGGTACTGTAGGAAGCAGCCCCGCGAGCTGTGGCTCTCCGCCGCTGCGGCGCGTGCGGATGAAACCGCCCGGTAACTCCATTGGACTTCTGATATGTGGATCGTTTGATTCGGCCGTGGATGCCAGTGGCAGCTTCAAACTGAAATTAGAAACTCGTCGCATGTCGCAAATTAGGTAAAAGTGGGCCAAATTACACGCTAGAATGTTGTTTTCGATTTGCGCGAATTAGATCAACCAGTACCTTGCTATATTCCTCCCACAATCCATTTGTTCGATGGCGGCAGAAATCGACCTATTATAATGAAATTGTTCAAAAATCGCCCTTGATGGGTACCTCGGATTGGAGTGATGATTGAACGTGTTGCATGTAATTATAAAGCATGGGAACCGCGATGATCGCGGTAAGAGTGGCTATTGCAGAAACGGCAATTCCTGAATGACAAAAAAGTTTTTTTTTCTAATTTTTTTATCTCACCAAAAAAGGCGAGCTTTCGAAGCGAATCTGCTTCAAAAGCGGCCGCCGCTTTTTCGTCGGACGACATCTGCAAATAAATGCAACATCAAAAAGTCGGAAGATGTTGAAGTGGTTCGCGAGATTATTATGAATCAAAGTGGATTTCAAGTTCAACTTGAACGCTTAAAATTGTGTGGAACGAGGCATTTCAAACAAAAGACTTAAAACAATGCTGGCGGCTGTCTCATTAAAGCGAATCCGGATTTCGGAACGAAATAATTAACAATGAAATCGAAACGAACGAGCGCGCTGAATTATAATTGTGCGTATTCGGGGCGAAAGTTTTGTTTTTTGAATAAACCGCTGAAGAGACGATATAATGAATAAGTGACAAAATTGTTGGGCGTTTTTAATATGCATGCCGGCCCGCTTTGAATTACGAGTGGCTGGGAAGGGGCGGATCTTACGAAGTGATCATTTAATGGAAACGGCAACATAAGTAAAATCTACTTAATGAATATAATCTCAAATCAACAGAATGGAATCTTCATGGTTTGAGACTACTTATAATCAAATGATAGACCTCTCCTCTTTTTCTTTCTCCCAAAAATTGTTCAAAATCTTCATTGAAATAGTGCCATCATCACAGCAGGAAGCCAATCTATCTGAAATTCCATCAAAAACAAAAGCGCTTTTTCGATTCGAGAAACATCCAAAAATAAAAATGAAGTTAAAACCATTCATTTACAATAGAACAACCAGAAAAAATCGAACAATGAGTATCGTTTAGTTATTATTACGCCGTGGGGTGTAGATTCCCATTTTCTCCTTCTCTTTTTCAATGTCACCACCGATTCCATAGCGCTGCTTGACGTCTTCGAGTTTGGCACGCGCTTTTTCGGTGTCCATTCGCTTCCAGGCCTTTGTCGCTTGGTAATAAAGTACGACAAGATACCTGAAATAATATATAGAACATTTATTAATTCAATCCGTTTTTAATTACCTGTTGGAAACATTAAAACCTGAAAGATGCTCGCATGCGGTTTTTGCGTCGAAAATATCTTCATATACAACAAATGCGGTTCCTCGAGTTTCTGGTGTATTTCCACTAAATAAAAAATATATGCGAAATGTGAGAAATTCAAATTACACTCTGATTTGTCGAATTGCTCCAAATTTGCCAAAAATGTCGTACATTTCGTCAGTTGTAATTTTGTATGGAAGATTTTTGATGTATAAAATTCGATTAACCTCTGGGGGAAGTTTTGAAGTGCGGGAAGCTCTATTTGCCATCGCCATTTTGACTGAAATGAAAAAATCAATGTTGCAAACGCATAAGAAACGAAGGAAAACAATAAAAGTGTGAAATTGGTCATAATATCCGACGCGTATACGAAATATTCAAAATAAAACGTATTCGAACGATGCTCCGCGTGACAACATTTGCCCGCAGTTTAACCTAATTCTGGCACTCCTTTCAAACTTTTTTGCACCGGCTCATTTCTTACCTATTTTTCGATTCCACGTTTTAAAATTAGATAAACATTAGTTAATGATTATTAATTGCATTTAAAAATTAATATTTGTTGAAATTTTTAAAATTTTCTATAAAAATGTTAGACCAATTCATGAAAAAAATGTATATAATGGATCAATTAATGAAATGCAACTTTTTACAAAAAAAAGTGCATTTAATGTGAATTTTTAAATATTGTTTTACATTTTCAATTTAGTTAAAATTTCAGGAATTTGCAATAATGTCTGCACGCGATGCAATGGCGGCAATGCTCGACGAATTGATGGGCCCGAAAAGAAATGTCGAGCTTGGAGAAGACACCAAAGTTACTTTTGACGACCCCGATATATGTCCATACTATTTGGCTGGATTTTGCCCGCATGATATGTTTGTTAACACCAAAGCAGATTTAGGTAAGGAAATGTGCATGTAGCTAAATCAATTGCAATTTTCAGGCGCTTGCCCATTAGTCCATGATGACAATTTGCGCCGAATGTATCCGACATCTCCGGAATTTGAAAAATTGGGCTTCGAGAGGAAGCTTCTTCGTTTTTTACTTGAATTGGAAGAAGACAATATGAGAAGAATCAAGAAAAATAAGGATAAATTATCAGGAATGGATGACCAGGGAAGAAAGAAAAATGAGGAGGAGAAGCAGAAGATTGAAAAGGAAATGGAGGAGTATGAAGAGCAGCTGAAACAAGTTATATTGGACGCCGAAGAGGCAGGAAATCGTGGAAATGTTACGAAATGTCAGGAGTTGGTTGAGAAATCGGAGGAGTTGAAATATTTGAAGAATCAGTTGGCAGAGGTAAGATTTTAAAATTTCGATTAAAGAAAAATTAATTTTGTCAGAAATTGGAACAATTGAACGCAGCTCCACTCCATCCAATGGTTCCACCAATGATGGAGGAGCTTCAAATGAAGCCGATGGAGGTAATATAATCGAGCCTTGCTTCGCAATTTAATGTCATGATTTCCAGGTATGTGAAGTTTGTGGCAGTATGCTGATTGTCAATGACGCCGCAAATCGTGTCGAGGAACATTTGACCGGAAAAATGCACACAGGATATCAGAGAATCCGACAGGCGATTGATGAGCTAAAGGTATGCTATAGATGCAAGAATGCGAACCCCAAAACCGAATTCTCAATAATACAATCTCTGTTCTTCTCAATTCTTTCCCGCATAAAATAACGGCTGAAGAACATAACGTTTTTGTTAGATACTGTGAGGATACTGACCACAGCCTTCCACTCATCCCCTACACAAATTAGCGCAGGTATAAAACTAATTTTTGATAGAGATAACAAAATGGTTGGGTTTTCATACCTTCTCAACGAGGTTGGTTTGCTAGCGTATATAATGTGCGTTTTGTTATTTTTATTTTGAAAAAAAATAGTGGAAATTATGTGCACAATATATGGAAGGTATGAAAACAAGCGGCGCAGTGATGGCGGTATTTTTGCAAAAGGTGTTCAACACGAGGTTGGGATTTTCAAGTGTAGAATAGAAGTGATTTGAGGAACAAAATCATGGTTGTCATACCCAACGTGAATGTTTTTAGGAGCGATTGAAGAAAAAGGATGAAGCTGAGGCTCATATAAGAGAAGAGAGAAGAAAGTGAGAAATTTTTCATAATTTGATTTTCGTAAAATGTTTGATTTGTTAAGAGAAAGACGCGGTGGAGATGGAGATCGTGAACGTCGTCGGAGCAGATCGAGAGATCGTGATCGAAAGCGGTTGGTGTTTTTTTATAGTCAATTTTCCTTCAAATTTAGTTCATTTCAAAATTAACGCCAGTTAAAAAATTGATTTTTCACTAAAACCTCGCATAATCGACTGATAAGGGTCGACGATGGAAATAGAAAAGAACGCGGGGGGGTTTTTGATGATTCGATTTTTCTAGCTCTCGTTCGCCATACCGCGGTTCGCGTGATCGTCGCGACCGTCGAGACGACAGACGACACGACGGTTACAGAAGTGGTCGCCATCATCATCGTAATTCTTACCGTCGCTACTAATCAACTCATTGTTAAACAATCTCCTACTATTTCCGTACAGGTAGATTACCACAGAATGAACCGAATTCCTTTACATTTTTGCTTTTAATTCCGCCAAATTTCTTTTTCGTTTCATTTTTCTTATCTGATTCCTTGTTGTTTTTCTTTTTCATTTCTTCTACTTTTAATATTCCTATATATATATATATATATATATATGTTCTTCAAAATTCGTTTAATAAATTTATTATTGATTCCAAATCGTTGTATTTTTATTGCTTTCTCCAAAATTGGTTATAGTTGACCGATGTACTTTTTTGCAGAATTTTTTCTAACACCATTACCGATTTGAATCAATAGACGGGTTAGAAAATTGATAATGTTTGTGGAATCATGGATGCCTCAAATATTTTCGCGGAAACATCGCCTACTTCATTTGTCGGTTTTGTTCTTCATGTTACCGTTTTGGTATAGGTGAGTTATTCGTAAGTGTCTTACGATTTTATATATTCAAATTGTGATGGTTCAATAAAATTTCTAGTTAATTGGATTTGATATATATGATTTTACGTTTTTAAAAGTTTGTATAGTCGGCGTCCAGCGATTGCTGAACGCGGGTAGATTTACGCGCATGCGCCTTGAAAAGGTCTCGCCACACGTGAATTCTTATTTTGCTGTTTTTACGTAAAACTGCTTCATTTTTCTTGATTAGTTTCGCATTTTCTTGAATTTCCAACGTCATTTGTTTAAAAAAATTATCGAATCGGTCTATAAAATTTGAAATAACCAGTTAGTCCGTTCGAGACCATTTCGAAAGACGCATTCCCGTAAATCTACCCGCGTACAGCAGTCGCCGGACGACGACTATAGAAAATTTTAACCCAAGCCGACAAATTGAATTTAATCGCAATGAGCAGTTTTCCAAAAAAAGCAATATTATGTATCCTGCAGTGCTTATAATGAACAATTCCGAATGGCTTCTTATTCTGTGGAAAAGGCGATGTTCATGGCTTGGGAGAGGGCCATTGTCAAACCTGGAGCGATGTTCAAGAGAGCTGTCGTCGGATTCAATTGCAATGTGGATCTGATTGTGAACGGCGTCAAAGTGATAGAATCGCTAAACACTTCAATAAGCGATGGAAAAGATCACGAAAGTCTTGTGAATTTGAATGATTTGTCTTCAACGTTTGCCCATTTCTTTAAACGCGGGGCCGCCGCGGAAAGGTTCGAACATTCTTACCTTCTTAAATCAAGTTGTAGAAGTCATATTTAGATATATGTCTTCTGAAGATGACTTCAATGTTCTCGTGAGAGAAGCGGAATCATCGTCGAGAGCTCATCATCATATTGGTGGAAATGCGGCGTTGATGGCGGATCGGATTGCGGCGAATTTCCCGAGAACAGAGGTTTACCTTGTCGGGCCTATTGGGCCTCGAAGTCAAGCTTTGCTTCATCCGGCTGTTAAACGGGCGAATTCTACGAGAATTGTTAAGGTATTGCATTTTTTATTCGAAAAATTAATTGTTCATAAGAAATTGCGTAGGATGAGCTTCACGTTATTCTGGAGTATAAGCAGGGCGAGATTCTTGGCGACTGGGTGGCGCCGAGTAGCAGTCGGTTCATTACCAGCCACGATCATTTCAGTGGATCGATGGTGGTTGTTGAAATGTTCTTCAAGGCGATAACCCAATTCAAGCCGGACCTTGTCATTATCACTGGTGTGCATTTGCTGGAATTTCAAAGCAAAGAAATGCGGCAGGAGAAAGTGCGAATGATCAAAAGGAATTTGCTTCAAGTCAATCCGAAATTGCCGATTCATCTCGAATTGGGAAGTTTGGCTGATTCGATGTTTGCTGCCGATGTTCTTAGTAAAGTTGGAGCAAATTACAGATTTCGTTTGTATTATATATTTTAATTTTTTAAAGATTATTCCATATGTCGATTCTCTTGGAATCAACGAACAAGAGCTGACGTTTCTTTCCCACATTGCTAACGGACCTTACATGGAAGAACATCCGGTTCAAGCGGGAACTGTCCATGTTTATAAGGTTAGATTACGAAGAAAAAAAGAAAATTATCTGAACAAAATTAAACAAATTAGGTCGTAGAGATGCTTCACTGGCTTCTGAAGACTTATGGCAAGGATCCGACCAACTCGAAGCCGGCGAAGACTGGATACCGACTCAGCCGAATTCATTTCCATTGTCTCACGTTCCATATAATGGTGAGCACTGGAACGGATTGGTCGAATTTGGCTGCCGGCCTTGCTGCCGGTGCGAGAATATCGGGCCGATTGTCGTGCAACATCAATGCGAATGTAAGAATTGACAAGATTCGAGTCGGATTGATCTTCTCTGAAATTTAAAGACTCTCGACTCGGAACTATTGGAAATACGAACTGCTGCGAGTTTTGTACTTGATAAAACGACAATGAGAGCCTATCAATTTGAAGCGCATAAGTGAGAAAAGGAAAAAAAGTCCAAAATCTGATTAAACGTTTTTGTTTAGCCCAATTGCTTCCTGGATGAGAGATGATGTTCTTTTCGTGTTCACACCTGTTTTGGTGTGCCGAATCCCGTCGAAAACCGTCGGATTAGACGACGCGATTTCCGCAACCGGATTACTCTATTCGCAGTTTTTCCGACCTGTGCACCCATCTCATTGGTGATTTCGGAAAATTTTCAATTGCCTAGTATTTTTCATTGTCTTTTCTTGTAGATATTTCACATTTTGTTTTGTAAATACCCCAACGTTTTGCCGGTAGTTGTCAAATAAGCACCAAAGATTTTCGTTATATGCCATGCCTATTTCTCATTTTTTTTTGCCATATTGAGATAAAATTTGTATTTTTTCTGCTTCTAAAATTTGTATATTTTTGGTTTTCGGCCGATTTATTTGATAATGGAATTTCAGCAATTGGAAGAAAATTAAGTTTAGATGTCTTGGGTTAGACAGCTTCCATCAAAAGTTTCGATTGTCCAAAATTCGGCAAGATCGATTCGGAAACGCCCGCCTGCTACAGTATCAACCCTTAGTTTTATTCTTTCAAAATGTTGCTTTTTCAGATTAGCTCGAATATTCTAGACGAAGGTGTCACTTTTGCCGATGTTCATAATGTTGTTCTCGCACCTACTACGAAATTGCCTTATCCGGAAAAAGAGCTTCTAAAACATATCGATAAGACCTCAAAGGATTTATTGAAGGATAAGAATAAAATGAAGTGGGATAAATTTTTAATTTAGATTTTAGAAAAATAATAAATTCAAATTTAGGTATGGCGGAAAGAAAAAATCGAGCGGCAAAATCGATTTTATGCATATCCCTATTGAAGAGCATGTTGTGGTGTTGTTTCCGGGTCAGGGGGCCCAGTTTGTTGGAATGGGAAAGAAGCTGATTGAGATACCTGCCGCGAAACGGGTATTCGAACAAGCTTCCGAAGTTTTGGGCTACGATATGTATAAATTATGCCAAGAGGGGCCGGATTTGAAGTAATTTTTCAGGGGTGTTGTAAAAAATTCAAATAATTTCAGACTACAGCAGACTTTGTACTGTCAGCCAGCTGTTGTCACATGCTCGGTTGCCGCATTCGAAGCGCTTAAAGAGATCGATCCGAGTGTTGGCGAGAATTTGACCGACACTGCTGGATTTTCAGTAGGCGAGTATTCAGCGCTGGTTGCTGGAGAGATGCTCAGTTTCGAAGATGGTAGCCCAATGAATTAAATCAATATTGCTCTTTTTTGTTTCAGCTATTAAGGTTGTTAAAGCCCGCGCGGAAGCAATGCACGAGTGTGGGCAGCTAATTAAGAGTGGAATGTTGACGGTTCGCGTGAAGGCAGCGTCAAAAATTGAGCGAGCCATGGCTGATGCGAGAAAAAAAGCAATGTTCGTCGATTTTACCATCAAACCCCCCTAAATCTTGTTTTAGTGAAAAAGGAGAACTTGACGTGTGTGAAATTGCGAATTATCTTTATTGTGGGGTTCGTGTGATCGGCGGAAGTGAGACTTGCCTTCGGTTTTTGGAGCAAAATCAGGAGAAATATTTCATCCAAGTTCTCACCTTTTTTTTTTGCTTGAATTCCCTTTTTTGAAATCTCCGAGTTTAGGCAATGAAGCGGCTGCACGTGTCGGCGGCATTTCATACGAAACAAATGCAGCCAGCCGTGGAGAAAGTGATGCTCGCGTTGGGAAAAGTCGACCTGCAAAGGGCCACTTGTAATGTCTACTCGAACTACACGGGACACATTTTCGCGGCGAAAAAGGTCGTCGGCATTTTTGTTTTGTTTTGTTTTGGAATAACCCCGGCCTGATTTATTCGCGGGTTTCTTTCAGGCAGAAGTTCGAGGCGCACTAGCGAAACAAGTCAGCGCACCCGTCAAATGGGAGCAGATTCAGCAGCTTCTTTATCGCAAACATCAAGATGAATTGTTCCCAAGATTTTATGAAGTTGGTCCCGGCAGGCAGCTCGGTTCTATGCTCCTCCAGACGAGTAAAAAAGCTTACAAAAATTATAATCACTTTTTTGAATAAATTGTTAGGATTTGTGATTTATTCAATTCGACCCGTAAATCAGAAAAATAATGATGAAAGGAGGCAGATGAGAATTGGAAAATTGAAATTTGGAAGGATTGAATTGCTGAAGACACTATATTCGGAATGCGATTGGGAAAGGGCGAATTTGGAATGATCGTGGGCGTTGATGGCGCGGCGTTGAAGGGATAACAGAGATTTGCAAGCAGCTGGGAGTTGATCGGAGATTCCGAGCTGTGAATAGAGTTGCTCGAAGCTGGAAAAAATTATGTTCGAAAAATGCTACCTTCGAATTCTGGTAGGTCTTGTTGGTTTCTTATATGTATTTTATAGATTCTAGCTCTGGCTACAAACCTCGTGAATCCTACAGTAATGAAGCGAAGCATCATCTTCGCTGCTTGATCCCCACAGCCCGCTCTTGTGACTGGTTCAACACACTCGATCATGGTCCCAAGCTTTCTTCAAACATTGTCCGATCTTTCAGGTATCTTTTTATCATTCAATTACTTGCAAAGTGACTCGAAATGCGGCCTCAGATTGTGGTGCTCTTTTCGTAGGACTGTCATCGAGAAACGATTACTAGCCGCGAGTGATGAGTTGATTTGCGGCCGGCATTGATCCAGCGCGATGCGCTCTTGCCTAAAAATAGAGATGACGAATGGTGGTGGTGGGGATTTCATGAATAGGGCGTGGGAATCATTCCGCCTCCCTTTAAACAATTGGCGTTTCATAAACAATTCTGAAGAGGGCTGTTCCCGCGCTGAAATATTCAAAACTCACTCGGCTAGGCATGGAAGTGACCGGAAGAATTCTGAAATGATTCGCGGATTAGTGTGCACTTTTCGAGTGGCTCTCATTTTTTGTTTGGCGGTCCCTGCGGAATGTGCGTGACCGCCAAGTGACTAATTGCTTTGAATTATAAGCAAGACATCCGTGCGTCACAAATGACGCGACATCATAAATCATGCGCCGCGTCTCGACACGAATGGACTCACCATCGCGATGCTCGACACAGATGAAGCGGATACCGGCGTAGGTTTTGCGAATGCTTGCTGAATGTTGCGAGACCTTTTCGCATGAATGAAGGCACAAGTCGACACGAGTATATGCGCTGCAACAAATCTTTTCCTTTTTGACACCTTTTCCCCTTTTGGAGGACATGAATAATTTGCTCAAGTTCTTTTTTTTCGCGAGCGCGCGCGCGGGCGCAAGGTTATTCATCATCAAGCCTTTTTCTCGTGGTCGAGTGGCACGCTTTTGCGCGATTTATTGCGTTTTCGTTTTCCAGAAATTTATAATAAAACAAGAAGAACTAACTGGCAAATCTCGTGAAAACTCTTCTCGGTTAACTCCTTGCTGGCCGACGTCGAGACGAGCGATGAAAGCGACAATTGTCCCATTTGCTCGCTCTGTAGCAGTGGAGTTTCCTCGAGTGACTGGAATGCAGCACGACACAATGCACACAGTGCGAGTGAATATATATATATATATATATATATTTTTTTTTTAATGAAAATACTTGGAGGGATTCTTTCGGTGCGAAAGATTAAGAAAACGTTTTGTTGAAAAGGAAAGCACAGAAGCGGACAAGATTGAGTGTGCGTGTGAGAGACTCACCTGCTGCATTTCGGCAATGCATGGCTCGATGCAGTCGCCTCCAGGAAATGAAGCGAAACTTCGGCAAAAAACTTAAATGAAATTTATAAATAGTGTATAATCGAACTTCTGCGGGATTGCTTTTTAACATACATTTAATTATCTGAAAATGCGAGTTTTTCCAAGAAGGCTGAAATGTGAGGGTTGATTTACGGGCATTCGGCGCTTTTTTTCCAGTTTGAATTTTTAGAAATGCGAAAAAAGTTATCGCCACGTGTCAATTCCAATTTTCTAATTTTCAAATGATTTTGTTATTTTTAGCGAGTTCGCGCGATACCATGGAGAAAGATTGCCAAAAAGATTTCCTACATTTTCGTGTCAAGAAAAATAACATCCATCTTTGGCATTAATGAAGCGAAAATTTAATACAGTGCTCTGTTAATTCCAAAAAAGGGGGTATATATATTAATATAGTTTTAATATATTTTTCCAGTTTTTTTTTATGAGCAACCGAAATGGTGCATTTTTTTTCTCGCGCAAATAATATGTCATCGGGATAAACAAGAAGTGTTCTCATAAATTGAATATTTTGTGGGTAGTTTTATTTTTCTTTTTTTTTATTCTTCATCATAACTTACTTGCCGATAGAACGAAAACGAGCGAAAACATTATTAGGTGAGCATGACGTGGATGAATAGCTCGAAAAATGTCTGCAAGTAAAGAAAATGGGAGTTTAATGAGGAAAAAAAAATAGAGAATCAAAATTTGTTTTGCCACTATTTTTGTACAGAAAAATTGACTATACGAGAAAGGTGAAAACAATGGAAGTTTACGTTCTCATTTCAGCCAACAACAGCTTGCGAAAATCCATTTCGAGGTAATTGCTCTTCTCACTAGTTTTTTTTTTCGCGCCTCATTTTCGTGATTCACGAGGAAGAAGCCCGGCAAAAGGCAAACGGAACGTGAAGAGGTGAGAGGGGGTGCCTATTCGGGAAACCGGAAATTGCAGGAATTCATGTTGGTCAGCGGTGGCAGTCATTTTTCAAAATTGGCGCCCTCGAAATTTATTGCATTTCCCATTTTTTTTTGCGCGGGGTCGGTGGGTTCGCGAAATTTAAGAAAAACGGCAGGCAAATAGAAAATTCATTTTTTGTTGTGCTTTCTTTTATTTATGCAAATTTCGAATATTAATTATATGTAAAGAGCACGCCCTCCAGAATAAATTCAAAAAGTTGATTAAGAAAAAGTGGGGAGTGCGGAGAGCTGACTCTCTTCTCGTATTCTGAAGTGCTCAGACGCCCCGTGTGCCAAATGGGGCGTGGCTTTGAGGGTTGAGTCTTACAAAGTGGAAATACGGAATTTCGAAAGTTGCGCGCATATTACTAAATTTGAAAATGAAAAGGTTCATACACGCGCACGCAAAATTGCATACAATTTTTAAATTTTCAATTCTTTTCTACAATTCTTTTGATTTTTATACTCGATAAAATGTCATCAAATGGCCTATTAAGCGAAATTTATTTCTTTAAAAAATGTTGGCTTCATCTCGCCACCAAAAATTGTTTACCGAATCTGCAATTTTGTTTACATGCCCTTTTTTGTTGGCGAATTCTACCATAATACGATTCATGGAGCAATTTTTCGTCGAATTAGCGCTCCATCTCCGAAAATCAATGCCGACGTGTCAGTCAGTCAGACAGAAGGAATTGCCGGCCCCCATAATTGGTTAATGGATTGCTGATTGATTGCGCGGCGGCGGCGGCAACGACGGCAGCAAAAAAAATAAGAAGGGTTTGGAGGGGCGCGAAACTTCGACAAAAGATAATTTGTTTGTTTTCGCCGACTTGCGCTGAAAACCGTGAAAACGTGATCTAATGATAATCGGACTATTTTAGCGGGCAAATAGCGGTGAACAAGGATTTGAAAAAAAAAAAGGAGATTGTGACTTGCATAAGCACAAGCTACCAAAAATACGAGTGTTGCGAGGAGCAAGAAAATATGAAGAAAGATATTAGCAATTTAAATCCTGCGGTTACGGTGAATATCACGGTGTTTACACACACACCTGAGTTGGCGCGCAAATACACGAAGTTGAGTTGTTGGATTGTTTTAGGCCCGGACCCGAGTTGCTTGATTGGTTTCCGTTGTTATTTATATTTTCCTACCGTGCGGCTTCATTATTATTTTTATTCACATACTATCCATTCCCCCGGCTAGCCATTATTGTTATTATTATCCGTTAACTAATTAAATTGCGCTTCGTTCGTTATTGTTGTCTAACGCTTACTTTAGATAAAGTTTAAATTGTAATTCGAGTTTTCCGACTTACAACAACGAGGTTTGCATACTTTTTGAAATGCTAAAACATTTTTTTCGGATCTCGGTATTTTTCAATGGTAATTTTTACAGGATTTTCTGCGAGAACACTGAGAAAAAAACAAAACATGCCCTTTTTTCCGTTTGAAAAATGGCAATAATTTCACAAAAACAAACATTTTGAAAATTATTACCACATAATAATCTAATTTATGATCATATTAAGAATTTTGCTCGAGAATGAAAATTTTTTTTTTTGGAAATTTCCAAATTTGGAAATTTTTGATTACACTTGGGAAAACGCGCTCGCACCGCGGTGTTCAATTTAATTCTCCTTTTTTTCTTTTTGTTTTCATAATGTCAAAGCGAAAACGACAGGATTTGACAAAAAAAACTTACCGCACTCAGGTTTGGCGGCATATTTAAAAATTTGTTGAAAACTTTCCAACTGCTTTTTTTATAAATTTTATTGCAGAAAACAACAATGCAAAATTCGTCAAGTGAGCTAAACGCCAAAATTGAGGTTTTCGAACTGCACATTTCGTTTTACGCCAAAAGCCCTCGTTACTGTAATTTATAAATAACGGTGAGTTTGATTTTCAGGCCATCACTAGAACGATACAGGAAATTCTATTCTTTAAATTGAAATTTGAATTACCGCGCATATATCCTAATTTAGGCACATTTCATTTTTTCAGAAGCGTCTTTATACGTTCCTTTTTCCTATATGCCGTTGAACTTCAATTCGACGTTCGTCTGAACCTTCAACTCGCTGAATGTTGTCACAAATGTGCTAATCCGACCGGTGCGATTCACCACCGCCATGTTGTCGTCTGCTTCTGCTACTGGCGGTGCTCATCGTTCAGCAACATCCTCGAAAGTCGAACAGCAAATATGAAGAGTTTTGCAATGAACTTTGCACACACCATCGACGGACACTCTCAACCAATTTTGAAAGCATCGTTTTCGGTAAAAAAAAATTGCGAACAATGGAAACCGAGCTCAAAAAAAATGTAGAAATTCACAAACAAATATAAATCGCTTTAGTTATTTTTGGAAAATTTTCGAATTTGTTTGAAATATATTTGGGAAATTGTTTTGCCGAAAAGAAAAGATCCACATAATCGCGAACAAATTATAAGGGTAGCTCTGGTCTCGTGGCGATTTTCTTCAAAGGCACAAACATTTATTTTTTATTCCAGCTAAAGACTCCAAAAAATCTTCATTTTTACGATTTGAAAACTCCGCCTTTGTTTCGTTGAATTCTCGAATTTGATGCATCCCGTCAAATCGGCGATCGAAAAAATTCAAAAGATGACCGCCGCGCTAACCATCGCCGCTGGTGTCAAACTCCTCAAGTATTTAGGTACATATACAATAAAAACAAGCAAACAAAACGAACCACAAACCGTTCCGATTGACCCATCCCTTCCTTTGCGCGCTGGACACACACACACACACACAGACCTTTAAATCCTTTCTTTACTGCGGGTTAAAAAAAATAGCTGCGAGAGAGATGGGTGAAGCTGAATGAGTCAAAACGAGTTGAATCCGATATTCAGTTGGATGTGAAAATGAATGAATATGGAATTGAATGATGTTCGACTTTGGGAGGTGCGACAAAATATTTGCATAGGATTCGCGACCCACGCACCAATTGTTTCGATTCGTCTCGCAATTCGTGATTTATTTGCACTTGACCTGTGTATAGTTGTTTAGATTGGTCTCCAATAATTATTGGTTGAATATCGAAATGTGAATGAGCAGGTCAAAAATTGAATTTTATTCATGCTGCATGTGCAAGTTTGCTCTTGGGAAAAGTGCATATTGAGAGCGAGTATACCATTTTTCGAATTCCAGAACTGGGAAAAAATTCACAATCGTGAGAAACACTACCATCGCGAAGAAAAACGAGCGCTCTAGGTATGTACCTTAGAATGTTGTCTGGCGCGGCAATTCAAATTTCAATAAACTCTGGGAATTATCGAACCCGGACAACTCTGTAATTCAAGCTCAAATTTTTCATTGTTAACAATTTCGAAAATTGTTCACCTTTAAATAATCAGAACAAAAAAGTTAGGCCACGACATTATAAAATATTTTTTTAAAAACCCAAATCCGCTTCCAAAATGAAAATTTTTGACCTAATATAATTAACGTAGATATAATTTTTAAATGCAAAAGCAATTTAAAAGGTTTGATCTTCTTGCAATGACGCTGAAATTTAATTCATAAGCAACACCCCGCCTCCTAAACTCGTCCATCCTCGACTATATGTAATTCAATATCTTAAATTGAATAGTTTGAACAAGTTGTTGGTAAATAATAGATGTCGTGCGGTCTGTTATTTTACATCAATTATCTTCCTGGTAGCCAGTCGATCTTTTTTTGCATCTGTGTGCCAGCGATAATCTCGCGAAAGATTTCTCGCGTTCCACCAATCAACCAACAAGCTTGTGAGCACACACCGTCGGCCGGCTCACCGTACCGAAGTGACCGAAGCCACGCCCAAAAAATTGTGAAGCCGCCCCGCGCGACGCCGCAAAAGGCCTCGTGCTCATCGCAAAGAATCGGCGTTTTCTCGCGCATCATTTTCGAGTCGAGTTTCACCGCGATGAACAACACCCTCGTCTGTCTTGTTGCATTCATTGCAATCCTATCAGGTATTCCTGTCCATCAACATTTCAATAATATTCAAGTTTTGTTTTAAGCTGGTACTGAAGCTGCAACCACTGAACAACTTCGCCAATGGATTCTGAACAATCGCGAGAGTCTTAGCGGACAGAATGACATTGCTGGAAGTATTTTAAGGTGTGACATTTTTTAAATATAGTTTTTTTGTTGTAAAATATGGTGCTTAGATTATTCGGATGGGGTAACGAGAAGTCTACTGAAGTGCCAACAACCACAACACCGCTGCCGTCGACGACAACTCAGAAGAAGACGAAAACTGTGGAGGACAAATCGCAAGACCGCGATGGTATGTGCCCACCGGCCTCCGTATGTATGCGCACCTACAAATCCGATATTCATCACGAAAACTAACGCCAGCGTGCACACAAACAATTAGGCTGATCGAATTACAGCCATGTCTCAAGTGGGGCGGCATCGACATGAATTGTTTCTTGACCAAGGTTTTCAACACCCATCGAGTCGCAACAAATTTGAATTCTCAAATATTTACTAATTGAAAGCAGTTCTTTTTTTTTCGTTTAACACTCTAACTTTCCCATGCGTTTAGTTCCTCGTGTTATTAAAATCAACACGAGACCCGATCGGCCTATACTGAATTAAATATTATCGCACGCATCACAAACACGAGGGGGGTGCGAGAGATGTCAAAAAACCAAACGTCGTTACAGTGTGCCCGTTTTCCGCGGAGCCGCTCGTTCTCGCCGGCGATTTCGCCTACTGTCGGCCGTCGTCGGTTGGCGATTGTCCTGTCGGATTTCTGTGCGATCAGTCGTTTAAGCTTGGAAGATCGATTTGCTGTCGGGACACTCGACGCGGAATCGCGCCCATTGGACGGCCAGTGCCTGGTTTGCATCTTCTATTTAATTATTAACAACTATAACGAGACAATTTGATCGTTTTTTTTTCAAAATTCGATTGAAAGATATTTTTGGTTTGCAGCCAGGCCAGCTTCTCGTTTGCCATTGAGCTGGAGCACAGTGACCCCAACAACGGCACCATCTCGTCCGATTACATCGGCTTCTACGCGTAAAGCGCCATGGTACATCAAGGTGGTTACTAGTGAAACGCTTGAATAACATAAATCTAGTTTAAATTTTTTTTAGGATCGCACCGCGTGGCCGGTTTATAATCGAGTTGCTCCTGAAAAACCGGCAATGTCATCGAGTACGAACACCCCAGTTACCACAACTACCACAACGACAACGACAACCACCGAATTGCCAACGACTACTACTGAAGCGACGACGACGACGACCACTACCACAACGACGGCGGCGCCGACTACGAAAAACTCGTGGGCTAGACTTTGGACCTCCACCGAAGAGCCTAAATTATTTGCGAATGTGACTGTTCTTCAAGCGGGATCAGTTAGACCATTGAAGGTAATTTTCTACAAAACCCTTTAAAACTATCACTGTGAAGTTTAGGAGGGACAAGCTGAAGCTGTTGGAGCCATCACCTTGATTAATGACAATGGATATGTGGTTTTAATCGACACCGGTTCAAGCAGCGATACCGAACGATTGCTTCATAGTGAGTTTGTTCTCCCAAATTTGATGAGCCTCTCCAAAAACGATCGCTCTTCGGGAGTTTTTTTTATTGTTTTCCCTTGAGTTGAAGCTGAAGAAATTGAATTGAATTGCCTGCAATCATCCAGGAAATTGGAAGCGAGCGGTTTTTTATGGTTGGACGAGAAATGAGAGAAACGTATTTCATAATAAAAACCCCCGTTTTTCGTTTCGAAATCCGTTTTACATATTTTCGGATGACAATATGTGAATAAGGAGAAGAAGAAGAAGAAAAAAGAGATGCAAATGTGTCTCCTCCATCTTCATCTTCATCACCGTAATTTCAATAGACATTTTCGTTCTCCTTGCGCTCTCCTTAGTTGTGTGCGTGTGTGTGTGCTCGCCCTCCTTTAATCCATTTTGGGTGTGGCTCGCCACTGCGTTGCCTATAAAAGGAGAGCGATGCGTTTCGAAGCCGCCGATTTGGAAATGGACACCTCGAGCGCGATATGCGCGTGCTGTTCGCCGATCCGAACTCGAACCGTCGGACTATTCATCGGAATTTTTGATTTCCTTTTTCATTCTCTAACGTTTGCCAGAAGTGTTCAATTCCTACAGGCAATTTTATTTTTCTAAGAAACGCCCTCCTCAGCTAGCTCTTTCAGCATTATGGATTTAATTTTTTCGCGACCGCCGCCGTCTCCTCTATCGGCGTTCTTTATTCCATTCACGTGCTGTGCATTCTCGCGTGCTGGTACGGTCTGGCGCGTCGGAAGTCTAGCTGGCTGGTGCCGAAGATCGTCCTTAAAATCACCACCGTTTTTCTCTGTGTCAGCCTCACATTGATTCTTGCATTTTTTGTCTCCTCGAACTCGCCAACGATTGGCAATCTCATCGCCGACGGCTTCAACGCCGAATATTACGATCACAAAGCGGTCATTGATATGGGTTGCATGGTGATTGTGTTCGTCTCGGCGATTTTGAGCTTCGCGCAAGCATGGCTCCTCATTCTCCTCGTCAATATCTATCGACAGATTCGCGCCGAAGAGCTCGAGCGACTCTGCGAGCGCGCGATTCGCAAATTGGAAAAGCGCGATATGAAATATGCAAAACGGCGGAAGAGCGAGGCGCGTCGAAAGAGCGGCGCCCTTCAGCAGATTTCCGAGAGCCCTCTCGACACGTCCATGTCGTTCAATTCATATATCTGAGCTCTAGGTGAGCTTCAGTGTTGTCATTGTTTTTGACATTTTTACATTTTTACAAATTTAATGATTTTCAGGTCTTGCTAAGGAGTCAGTAACTCTCGATCAAATCGATTCCGTTGTTATCACTCATGCTTCTCCAGGACATATGGGTAACATGAACTTCTTTGCTCAGAAGCCAATTCTTTACCATTCAATGGAATATATTGGACGTCATGTGACACCAACCGAACTTAAAGAAGTATTCAACATTTTCTGAAATGGTTTCAATAACATAATTCATTTTTAGAGACCATATCGTAAGCTGTCGACAAACGTGGAGGTTTGGAAAACGCCAGGACACACTCAACACGATCTCTCGGTTCTTATTCACAATGTTGCGGGTTACGGCACGATGGCGGTTGTCGGAGATTTGATTCCGAGTGAGCATTTGCTCAGCGAAAAGGTTTTTCGCAGTAGAATACATTCGCTTAAAATATTTTTTTTCTACTCTTCAGAGGGATGTAATGATGGAGGAAGGTGTTTGGGATGCGGCTATTAAGCGACAGAATGCCAATTTGATTGTCTGCATGGCTGATTGGATCGTTCCGGGACACGGACAGCCATTTAGAGTTTTGCCGCACTACAGGTTTGAACGAAAAATTCGCCTCCGAAATTAGTCGATTTTTAGACAAAAAGCTGGGTGCACGAGGCTACTGGCTCAGAGACACCTCCACAACCAAGTTTAACACGAGTTTATTAATTGCAATTACCCCCCATTTATTTATGATCTACTTTGTTCAGTTGTATTTTCAACATTTTGATATCTTCATGGTGCCGCCACGAAGTTCCTGTGCTTTTCATTGTATTATTGGTCTGCAGTACGCATACTAATCGCCTAAGTATGTACTATGTACGATATTGCTCATGTTTTGAGGAATTACCCACACACACACGCGCGCAAGCACCCTACAAGCAGATACACAATCATCACCCAGCAATGTCTGAGATTTTTCTGGCTAATAAACCCATCAATTTGCTTTCTTGCGTAATCCGACAAGAATTCGACGAGATCTCGTTTTTCGCCCTCGATCGTCGCGTCGAATTTCAAGTTTTTTTGGCGGTGTCTCGCCTCAAAAAATCGTCATCCTCAAAACGGCGACTGACTTGCTTCACATAATCAGTCTGTTATTCACCAGACAATATGATTCGATCCATTTGGGTCCTTCTATTATTATTTGCGATATCTCAAGCATCAGGTTGGTTTTTTTTTTCAATATGAGGGGCATTATTAAACTACAAATCTCTTTGGTTTAATGCGGCCGTGGACGAGGATAACATTGGAAACCTCGGCCACGGAAACACGTGTTGTTTTCAAACTATTGTTTTGACGTGCCTTTATTTATTAAGTTTTAGGCGCAAGATCATTATTCCTAGTTATTTTGTCAGTTTAAAATGTTCGCACCTGGCAGTTTCAAAAATTGAGAAAAGGTGTTCTCGTGATTTATCGATTTAATGACATTTAATCTTATATTGTAAGTGTTTATCGATTTCTTTGACTTTATATTGGCGAAGTTAACCGACTTGGTAAAATTTCAAAAATTATTGGCTATGTGCCAATGTGTAAATAATTTAAAGCTACACTGATTTCGCGAATTTAAAGTCTCCGCCTCCCTTCAGTCGTTTGACGCCGACAATATTTACAATTAAGGTAAATTTGCAGGGGCGCGAATTTTGCTATGTTTTTTGTAAGAAATCACTATTTATTTCTGTCTCACAAACTATTTTGGTCTTTTCCTCAACTTTTCATAGCCACATGATTTTTGAGTTGATATACGAGTTCGCGGACGCAGATTTCCCACTGCAGAATATCGGCCACGGCTGTCCGCGCTATTATTAATTGTTTTTATTCTACCGTATTCCGGATAACCTGCGAATCAATCTCACCGTAAATTTGCGCAGGGTGCTAATTTTTTTCAACTATAATAATTATATTTAACTCGACTAATTTATATTTTTCAAATAGAAAAATATTAGCGAAGCATTATCGCTTCATACAAATTGAATGGCCTTCCTTTAAAAAAAGCTATTTCCTGCCCGAAATTTATCATTTTTATCACTATTGCGTTGAAACCTGTTCCCGCGGGATCTTTAGAAATTGCAGTGATTCGGAGTCGTCGAGAAGCGGTGGCACCTGTTGCGCGCTCGCTTTCAAGAGAAATCCGCCGAAAACCGCCGGCGCTTTTGCGGCTAATTGGTTAGGTTAATTTAGCGATTTTTATTGTCATTGTCATTTGTTGTAGGCCCATTGGCGTTCGGACGAAAAGATGGAGATGACATGAAATATAGTGTTCCGCTATTGGGACAGTTAGGCGCTGGAGATGTCAGTCAAATGACAGCGAAATTTACGCCAGGTTTCGGAAACAAGATTTTAAAAGCAAAAAAAAAAACGACAGCGGAAGTAATTTTCAGAGGGAACTGAAAACCAATCACCAAATGGCGGAACCTTCGATCTGAATGAAAAAGGTCCACAGCTGGGTTATATGGATAGAGAAACCACGATGGGAGAACGATCGGGTAGCACTGGAAAGGTTGGAATTTTTAAATTTAAATTTTGAAAAAAAAAAACGAAAATTTTAGATGTCAATTGCTGGTCTTGGAAAAATTGAACTGGGAGATGTGAATGAGCAAGGAACCGGTCTTTTGGATTTTTCGAAAACATGTGAGAGTTTTCGAGAATTTTAAGCAATTTCTCGACATTGTTTTTTTTAGTATTCCCTTTTCTTCAACTTCCACCATTGAAAAATGAAACGGGAGCTCCCGAAGAGCACACGCAAGTGGATCAAACCTACACAGACTATTATTATCCGAAGCCGCGATCGTACATTGGATCCGTCTATGACATTCAGCGACCCAATTTGGGCAAAAATAAGGAGGAAATCGATTTTCCGAAATTGGTCTCGACACCTGAGCCGAATTTCAATATCGAGGAAGAGAAGAGGATTAAAAACCCATTTGATCGTGTCTCGATTCGTCCAAGAATGATGGCGGCCAAATCGTTGTCGGAAGAGCCGAAGGAAGGATTTATCGCGCAGAATGGTAAACAAGTCGATCCCGATGAGGCGCCGCCGATTCCCGATTCGACACTGCTCACAGCCGAGAAGAAAGTGCAACAAATTACGGAGAGAAAATCGATTCATGAAGTCGGATTATCGGCGAAGGAGATTTATGCACTTTGTGCGAAATTTGCACCGGTGGCTAATCAGGTAATCGAAAAATGTTCCGTTTTTGGAATTGTGAGAAAGTAGCATTTTTGCGGCCACTAATTTCAATAGCTGCTTTATTTTTTAGAAATGGGCTTTATTTCATTTTTTTTTCAGCATTGCTATAAGAACAAAGTGGAAGAGCAATACATTGAGCGTTGTCGCGGATACCAAACCGATTGCGTCGACTTTATTCAAAAGGTATTTTGCATGTTTCGTTTTGGATTTTTTTGCATGTTGAGTTAGGCTCGCCCGCTCGGCGCAATTGCAAACGCATTCTCATCGGGTGTCGGCTTGACGTATTATGATTGGAATGTCAACGGGATCCCGTTCTATCCGGTCAACGAAGAGGGATCGATCGGGAACGGCCATCACGGAAAAGTCGACTTTGGGTCATGGGGAGGCGGCTATTCCGATAATCTCGGTGTTCGCGATTTCTGGTCTCAAACACAAGAATATGGCGCGAATTGGTATGAGGGAATGTATGGTTACAAAACGGGATGGAGTATTCCAATTGTGCAAGGAATAGGCGTTGAAGGGGGACAGGGAGCTCAGGTATCAATTTGAATTTTAGAGGATCTAGAGAATCGCTCGTTTTTCAGGTTCATGTGCCGATTAAGGAAGGGGAACTCGGAAAACCGCTGACGGTGACTAATGGTTATCACGTCGGGCCTTATTTTGGACTAGCTGATCGTGTTGGTGTCGACTGGCTGAACGGAGGAGTCTCATGGAATAAGGGAGTGGCTGTGCCATTTGTGGGCGTTGGAGTCAACACGGGAACTTCTGTTGGATTCCCGTCCGTCGGAACAATTATGAATCGAATGGGACTCAATGGTGTGGAAACACTTAATACGATGGCTCGTGCCGCTGCCGCCGAGACTGCGAAGGTCGCTGAGACGCGATCATCGACGACGATTGACGTTGGGAATCTTTAAGCTTTATGAACAAAAAAACCAAAAGTATCAGGGGTTTTACGCGAGTTCTCTAATTGGACTTATAAGCAAAATTTCGATATTAATATTTAATAATAAATGCAATCATTGTCTTATCACATAAAATAAAAACCGGTAACACAAAAAGATTTCGACCACGGCAGGACTCGAACCTACAATCCCCAGATCCGAAGTCTGGTGCCTTCACAGATAAACGGCGGCATAGGCACAATGGAAGCATAGTGGAACGGCTGTGGATATCATAGGAATCTTATATGCAAGTTATATGGAAGCATAATGGAAGCATTTTTTTGCGGAACCGCGTGTTTCGTATATGGAATGAGCCGTATGCCTTCCATATGGGAAAATAAGAAAACAATTTGATTGCTGTATTCAAAATTTATTTCATATTAACACATTTATTTAATTTAAAATAAAAAAAACAACAATGAAATGAATTTCAATTAAGATATAATCAAACCATTAGTTACTGGCAACTGCCGAACTATTCGAATCATTGTCAGTACTGACATCGAGCGGGACGCTGTAATAAGTAGATTATAATGGGCCTATTAATTTGAAAAACTTGTAAACCATTGTTACGTAAACTAAATTTTTCGAGAAAATACAATCAGTTTTTTACATCAATAATTTTCTTAAAAATAAAAATAATTTATTTTTATTGCATTTTTGGAAACCCTTTAGTGCACAAAATAAAAAGTGAATTGGCGGAAGAAAGAACAACTCCAAAATTTGAAGCAAAAAGGCATTTTGGTTAAAATTTCAAAGACATATGAATACTCACATCTGAGGGTTGCTGGTAGAATCAAGCAGCTTCCTTAATTGCGCCGCGAGCGCTTCCGGCGCTACACCAAATTTCCTTTGAAGTCGTTGGCGCATTCTATCGCTTAATCAAATAAATAAATTAATAGTCATAGTTCAAAATCTTACAGAAGATTATCCATGACTTCTCGAACCATGCGTAATGCTTTCGCTTTGAAGTCATTTGTCGGTTGTTGCCCAAAGCCATGGATAAGAGCATCTGTAATATAGATATTTGCAATAAAGTATAGGATCTTTATATAGTCGGCGTCTGGCGACTTCTGTACTAGAGCCCCACTTAAAAAGATAAATGCCACTGAATGATATTGGTACGAAGGCTGTACGGCAATCGGAAATTTCGGCGATTCGGCTAATGGCAAATTACCGATCGAAATTTTCTTCGGCAATTTGAAAAACCGGCAATTTCGGCAATCGGCAATTCCATTGCCGCACAGCCCTGATTGGAACCAAATAATCAACAAGCTTTAAACTTAGGAAGTACTTTATAAAGACTTCATTGCGCATATTTTTCTAATTGAAACCATTTCTGGAGTCGAACAGGCCAATTTTTGATGATAACAACTTACAAATTGGGCGTACGAAGGTTTAGGAATTGGCGTTGATTTTGTTGTTTGTGAGGACTGTGGAGAAAAATTTTTTTGCTGAGTTGGCGAGTAAATTGGACTATCTGGATCTGAAGTGTCGAGCGAATTTGGTTCCATGTTAGGGACTTCTGGTTCTTTGTTATTGACTTCTAGAGCAGTTTCAGTTATATCTGACAACACTCTCGATCTTGTCTTCATCTGTAAAAAATTTCAAAACATTATGTTTTATTAAAAGAAAAAAGCGAGCGATAATAAAAAATATGTTAAAGTAAATAAAAATAAAACGGATTCGATGAGAAATTAAACACAATTCGACTGAGAAAATATTTAAATTCGATTTTAAAAGTGTCGGAAACGATTTGAAAACATCGTATCGATTTTAAAATTTTCGAATGCTATCAATTTATTTTTGGTTTCGATTTTGATGATAAATATGAAAATTTTTCCTTTATTTTTTAAAAACATTTTTCCTTTAATTTTGAAAAAAATTCTTTAATTTTTGACAAAAAAAAAACACAAAAAATCTTGAAAATTCATTGAGAAAAAGCAAAAGGACAAAAATTTTGAAAACGAATTTCGAAAATGTGAGGCGTGGCCGCATTGTGCAAAGCGGCGCACGGTTTTGCAATGCTGCGGCACGCCTCTTCTACGCGCGTCTGCTACCAGTTTGGAGCAAATTGTGAGTAGTTTGCGATGCCAATTTCGGAAAAACCGGCAAAAATATATTAATACGACTAAATTGTAGTTGGCAATCTTTAAACAAAGTGAGGAACAGTTGACTGAATTAACATAAATCTGAGTAACATAAGTCATTAAATGGTAGAAGCTAAATTTCGTCCGTTGTGTATCATGTAATTTTCAAATTTTCATTGTTTATATGATAGCATAAGTTTTTTGTATTGATTTTTCTAGAAATTGTCTTGGTCTGCCGTCCAGACGCCAATTGTATAATGTTTATTGACATATGATTATTTTATCTATATTCCATCCATATTTGTTCCACGGCTCGCAAACACCGGAAGCATATTCATCCCGTTTTCATTCCATCCATATTCGTCCCATAATTCTTCCACAGCCACTAAGAATTACATTATGCTTCCTATATGGAAGCATTATGCTTCCGTTCCACAGATTTCCCACAATGCTTCCATTATGCTTGCGTCGCGCTTAATCAGTGTTATCCATTAGGCCACGCGGCCACACTGCGGTGTGGTCACAATTGGAGTGACATGTTTGCGAAATAATCCATAGTGAGAGTGTGGGAGAGTGAGAGATGACAGATGGTGAGAGAGGAGAAAGACGAGCTGGCTAGGTTTTGTTTAAGAATTTTGACAAAGCTGAGGCACTTAAAGCGAATTTCTGTTGATAATTATCCAACATTGAACGTGATTATTATGAAAGCTCTCTTCTCGCATGAGCCACGGCAATTTGGAGGCAATGCAACCATTCTTCGGCGTTTTTTTCATCTTTTGCCTGCAGATTTAAGTTGTTTTTGCACTGTTTTTTAAACCAAAAATAACACCTTTAATATGATAGACGTGTTGTCGGAGGTAAAAATTTCGAATGCTTTTCGCAACGACTTCCTTGACTTTTTACCTCTTCCTAGAGATCGGACGGAGCGAATCGAGCGTAAATCAATAGAGGGTAGAAGGGCGCGAGAATCGGTCTGAAGAATGCACTGTCAATTTGGTATGTTTCGTTAAAATGTTTTACCGGCACATTGTGCGCACTGTAATTTAGTGCTGCTGACGATAGCGTGAAGTATTTGGTATTCCATCGCTTCAGGAACCTCCACCGGCCCTTCTTTTCCTTTAATTGGCCTTCTAGAACCTTCTCAGCACCGCCATCTTCAACGAAACATCGCACCTTTTCCGGATTCGAGCAGCTAACGCAATTCCATTGATTCGTCGATGAATTGAACGAGAAGCACGCGAAAAATCCCGACTCGTCTAGCTCTTTGGCGAGTTTGTCTTGCTCTTTGTTATTGGGAAACGCTGCGGTGATCATCGTGTCGAATGGAATCGATTTGGTGATACCCGACGGCAGACATTTCCAACAATGCTCAAGCGTCTTGAATTTACCCGATGTTTTTTTTTAGAGTTTTGTGCTGAAATGTACCTGATACTGTTGAGAGTCCTTTCCGACAACTTCTCCGAATTGATTAATTGCGGAACATTCCATCTGGAGGAACATTAGATGAAGCCAGGTGGCTGGGAATTTCGTTTTGAACGCGAACAAATAATCGCTGGTGAACACACAGCAATCCGAGTTTCGGGCTTGGCAAGAGAAATGTATCACCATTCTGTGCTTGGAACCTGCAAGTTCTATTTGGTAGGATTTGGTTTGTTTTTGATTTGAAAATCAGCTCGATATTACTTTTCGATCCTTCGACTGTACATTGAACGGGAACTGGGAATCGAGTTGTAAGATCACCGATGAATCGCCGAATTTTATTCTTGCGATGCTCGACGAACTTATAAACCAAATCGTTGCGGTCATTCTAGAAGATTTGATAAGAAAAAAAAATGCGTTCAAACAATTTTCAGCTCACATTTATCCATTTCTCATCCTCTTCGTTCAACGCGCACATTTTCGACGTTGTTATCGGGCCTGGATAGGCTGGGAATGTGGTTTCGGTTGAACCAGCTGGCCATTGAACCGGTCGGCGGCCGCCAGCCACTGGCCTCACACGGCCATCTTTTCCCATTTGGATTTGAGTGGGCGGTGTTTGCTTCAGATGAACTACCAGAGGTTGAGCGACGATATTGGACCTTGAGCTTGATGGAACCGAGAGAAGCGACGGCTCAATGGCATCGCTGATCAAAGGCCCTTGGGCTCCTAGGCTTTGCGCGATGCTGGCATGGCTCCGACGGCTCAATGAGCCGCTTGAACGATTATTTTGGTATTGCATGGCCAGAGAATGGGTGTTCCTGTCCAGCTCACATAGCTCGACTGTTGGTGATTCGCAGACATCGAATACCGTACGGCCACCGCTCGTCATCATATTCACGAATCCTTTTGAATTCTTCGACATCAATGAGTCCAGCGAGTTGTCCTTGTTGTTCAGACGATAATCGGAGGTGGCGATCTCTTGAGAAACATGTCGAGAAGTGTTTTGCACACAGGACAATATTCTGTCGATTGTGCGATTTGCTGGTAGCGTTTGGAAATAGGAAATGTGCTTGTGAAGGGATGTCGGATAGTAGGATCCGATGCCTAAATTTTCGATGGAATTTTGAACGAAATTTGACATTTACCTTCGATTTCATTGAAAATTGTCTGTTGAAGTTGCGGATTGTCCATATTGTTTCTAGACATGAGTATGAGCTCATCGACCGCTTCAGAAGCCAACGATGAGGAAACTCGTCCAATATTTGCGATAATTTTGCAAATTGTCGCGCGATTATTGACATAATCATTTGATTGAGAGGCTAGCTTTAATGTTGGCAGGAATTGAGCAAGAGCTTCCGAGCGATTCTAGAATATTTTTTTAATGAGAAAATTCAAATTCAACAAGTTCTAAGCGTTTACTTGGGAGATCAATGACATGTAAATGTTGAGGAGAGCTGTTGACATTTGCGGTGATAGTAGGTAGACATCAAAACGCGGGAGATATGGGATGAGCACGTCGGGCTTCGTGCTAGCCACCATTGATGAGAGCTGGAGAAGCGACAGCTTCTCGCTGCATTCAACATTCTCGTTTTGCAATACCTTAAAGGATTTTGATAAAAATTTGCCGCCGAGTTATTGCACTTACATCAATGAGCTGTGAAATTTGAGCATGGAATGGCTCTTTATTATCCGGATAGATTTGTGGAAGAACTCGAATCAGCGAAAAATTGCCTAGAAAATAAAACGGTGATATGTAAATTGGTGTTGGTTTGATTGCCTTGAACAACATGGGAAATGATTTGAAGGGCGTATGACGACAATGTTTTGCCATTGTGAATCGCCGCCAACGAAATGTAGCTTGTCGTGTTTTTCACTAATTCTTGATTGTCAGAGCTGAGGATCTTGAGCGCTGCTGGCAGCCCGACCGTCATTACCGATTTGTTGCCATAATGCTAGAAATATGCAAATAGGAGCTCTAATTTTCGGAGGGACGTCCAAAAATCGGACGTGGCCTAAAAAAAGTTAGTCCATTGATGAAATATAATTTTTTTTCAATTGTTGAAATCACACTTTGAAATGACAATTTTTTGCGCCGAAAATGGAAAACTGGCAAGATGTGTGCAAATTGGAGGCAATTCTCACCAGAAATAGACTAGACAGCAAATCGGACGCAATTTTGCAGTGCGGCGAGTCGTGATCGTTTCCAATTGTCATTGGGTGTTTCGCAACCTCGTCGAGAAGATCGACGAGCGCTGCCGAATAGGTCTCGATGCTGCCGGTGTCGCGAATCGCAGCCGTTACTCGAGCAATCACGATCTCGACGACGCTTTGATTAATGCGATCTGTCGCGTAGCCAGGAGCATTGATCATCTCTTTGAGCTTGGCAAACGTCGAAGTCTGCAACATACTGTAATTCAGAAGGCAAACCAAATCAATGGTCCGTTTTGTTTCGTTTGAACACCCCATCGAATGACTCATTTTCATTCATTTTCCCCATAAAGGTTTTCGTTGAGGCGCCAAAATTTCTTGTTGAATAAATATTGACCGATTCGATCGAAGTTTAAGCAAAAAAACCGAGTTGAGAAAACGCACCAAGTCGGTTATAACATCATAGTTGCCAATGGCGAATAGCTGGCCGGCTACGTTCAACTGCCGCTGGTAGAGCAGCAGATGAAGTAGGTGATGCATCGACGACTGAAAATGCCAATTGATACCCGTCAAAAAAAACACACACACACACGCAGCATGAGAGAATAATCAAACAAAAAGCGCAAACTGTGTGCAAATATTAGTAGGGGTTCGGTGATAACGAAAAAAAAAATGTTGATCTCCGGGAGCAACAAAAATTGATTGGCACCGCCTAATTGAGAGCGGAGCGGCGGCTGCGCAAATGGGTGTCTAATAGTTAGAATGTGATTTTGCCTCATCGGACCGTGCGACCGTCTCCTCGACCGCAAGAAATTGAGGGAGAGAATTGTGCGCGGGCGTTTGAGTGCGCAGACGACAGGAAAATGGGTTTGTATATGGTTCGGGTGGGGGAGAGGGCGATTGCCTGCGTCTCTGCCTCTAACTGTATTGTCTTGTTGAATGGCACACACACATACATACAAACGCACATAGATACACACACACACGTATGTATATGTGAACGGTCGAGGAGCGATGGTAATGAAATAATGAGAGCACTTGAAAAATGGTAACCGGAATTTTGGAATTTGTTGTTTATTTGATTGATGAAATAATTATCGAATTCTTTGAGAGATTTGTTCCCCTCAAAACGCTCTCTTTGGCATTGGTTTTTTTTAATTGAAAAATTTATAATTTTGTTTTATAGCGAATGCTACGGTATTCTATTAGACTGAATTATCACGAGATGATCAGTTCATTTTGATTTTTGAAATTCGGGACTGAATTTTTGAAAATTTCGAAAGCTCAATTATTAAAGGCACACGCTTCAAGAATCTTGAAAAACAATAATCATTGGACGATTCTTAAAAAAAAAATTAAAAAAATAATTACAATTACAGTATTAAATCGGAAATTGCCTATAACGATATCAGCCAATTTTTAATGATAAATTGCGCTCTGAAAAATGAGTTCAATTATGAGGGTCTCGTGACAATTGATTTTGATGCATAGAGTACTGTAACATTCGTTACAACAAAAATTGTCTCAAAAATTGAATGTAAAACGAATTTTGTTGTATTGGAATGTTTGCGTTTTTGAGTCTCTGTGCAAACACTTTTTTTTTAAATAATTTTTTTCATTCATAAAATTTCGATTTAGAGAGACAAATGCTTAATTATTGTGAAATTTGCAAAAAATCAATTCGACGTGCTACTTTACAATGGTTTCGTCAAAAAGTTAACGAATCATGAACACGCAGAGGGCAATTAGTAACGAAAATCTTTTTTTTTTCTGTGTGCGCGCGAAGATTAATGTATACGCAATGATCCGGCCTGGTCACATACTATGAAGGTCGTTCAGTGCGCGGAATTGACCACCGAGAATAAAAAGGGGAATAACGATTGCAAGTCATAAATAAATCGCGGTTGTTAATAGCCGATGATGACCCGACGGGCAGAGTAGTTCACAAATTTTTTTTGTCTATCACGGGCTGCTTCTGAGGGGTCCCCACCGAGAGAATGTTACACCGTTTCGAATTAATTATCCTTTTGTGACGTATTCAAGAATGTGAAAAGGAAACTCAATGCGAAAAGTAGAAAATTTTGCAGCAGCGAGGCAAGGAACACCCGTTTGGAACCTGTTCGCCGACGAAAGTGTTTGGGTTACGTCACAGGATTACGGTAGGCAGGCGCATTTTGGGCATTGATATTTCTTGTTTCTTCTTAGAAATTTTTCATATGAAGCTTAGGCGATCGACTAGCCTGACCTTGATGTTTTATTTGCTGAAATTTTCAGCTGAAAATCAAAGTCGGATGAAGATTGCCCAAAAAATTAATGATTGTGCGTGAAAATTCAAAAAAAAAAAGTTTTAAATTTCCGATATTGAGAACTAATCAAATTAAAATTAAGCTGAAAAGTGTATCGAAACTATAATAAGGGTGTTTATTTCATTTTTCCTTTCAATAATTTTTCAAATAATCAGTCCATTGCCATGAGCCCCCAAATTTCAGCCGCGACCCTTGATTTTCCACCCCCAAATTGCACCCTATTTTTACTTTTCTTCCACTTCTTAGTTTCTACCTTCAGATTTTAACTCGTACCCACAAATTTGTGTCCCTGGTAGATACTTAATGGATGTCTTACTGAACGCCTTCAGCGCAATGGGGGAACGTTATTTGTCGAATCCGATTGGTTATTAATCGAATCCGATTGGTTTTAATGTTTCCATTCGAATCGGATCCCACAAATATCCAATCGGATCCGACAATTTTCCAATCTTATCCGTAGAATTACCAATCGGATAAGGTTGATTCTGGAGCCGAATTTTATCGAATCCGATTGGTTTTGAGTTGCCCAGAGTTTTCGAGAGATTTTGAGTGATAGCGTTGCGTGCCGACTTGTGATTGTGAACGCCATGTGAATTGAATGGTTTTCCTTCAAAAAATTGGCGCACACTACTTTTAAAATGTTTCGTTCGATTAAAGAAAGAAATTGCTAGGTTAAACCCACGTGAAATTTAGGCTTGAATTTTGAATTGTGCACGAATTTTCGAAAATTCGAATAAAATTGTGTATATTCATCAAAAACTCGTTGTAATTTGTAGGAGAGCTCTCGTTTATATGCTGTACTTATTTCACTTTATCGATATCTTGTTCAAGTTGAATTTTTAATGGTTCCGTCTTGCTGTAGTAAATCGTCCCCAAAATCATTCCCAATAAAAATTGTGTATTTTTTTCATATCGACCGGTTCATGTAATACAAAAAAATTTGCACAAATTTTTCCAATACAAAAAAGTTAGAAAGATGCAAACAATTATTAATTTGTTTCTCTTTTTTTTGTGTTTCATGGAAAATAATCTGCGGGATTTTTTGATCTATCGATTTTCATTAGGAAATGGCGTCAATTTTGTCAATCTCGCGTAAACAAGACTACAATGGAGCGGATATTCTCATCTGTGATAACCAATATTCTCTTCTGTGATAATCAATATTCTCTTCTGTGATAATCAATATTCTCTTCTGTGACCTCAGAAAAAAAAGTCTTATGAACAGCATTATTTCTACTTTGATCATGATTTTCTCTCTGCGTCTCTTGAGAGACTCAATTAATATTTGTATCTGTCCGTCGTGTGGTTTCTAGTTTCTTGTCGTTTTTTAAAGCTATGAATTATTTTGTGGTTTTTCAGTTCGAAATGATCACTCGGTGCTCGCACTAACAAACTTGCGTGTGGTTGAAGACAACTTCATTTGGTCGTGTTTCGTCGTTTGTGATGTTCGCCTTCTAGCCTTCGTTGTCGTCGCCGTTCAACGTCATCCATCCGCACTCGCTGTCACCTGCATCGACGCCATCTTAAAGCCGCGGTCGTCCAACCGGTGAGTCTCGATTTCGTGCTGCTCTCTTTTTAATTGATATTAAAACAGTCCACTTTGCTCAGAGCAGCAAGACTTTGATCAAAGTATACAATTCAGTAACTTCGCGCCCAACGGGATCTTTTCAAAAATGTTTCCTTTTTATGTCCTTATATAAAAGGTAAAGCTTTCATAAACATGACGCTGGCAAAGTAAATATAATGGCCGAATTGTGGTGGCCGTGGACGAAGCGGTGATTTGTGTATTCCCGACGGAGAAGGTGCAAACTTTCGTGGTCCTCCGAGTAATTTTATCTCTTACGCTTCGTTGTTTTTGTTGAACCGGAAATTATCACTTGGTTTCTTAATTAGGTGGTTAGGATCCATTTACTTCACATGCATCTACATTAGGTTTAAATAATTTGTTCGTAATGTAGGATAACTGATTTAGGAGTTGAGATATTTATTTAATTTGGTTTTTTCGAGATTCATCGTTTGTAATCGTACGATATTCCGGGTTTAATTACCCAAGTTTGATGTGTCATTAAGGAGATTTCATTTTGAGAAACATCATTATTATCACTCTTCTTCAATATTAAGAAATTCCTAAAATGCAAGTTTCTTTCCAATATGCCATTTATTGGCAGCATCAAAATGTAACTTGGTTGTCACTTACAACTTGGTAGGAGGCTATGATTCGCAGCGAGTCAGTATAATTAATAAATTAACGTCTTTGGAAAACAATGTTGTGTTTTCCTGCCCGTGTTTCTTATGCAGAAACGATCTTTAATTATTAAACTAATTATTTATTTTACAGATGATGGCTCACAACTCCAGTCTGAAGTGTCCAAGGTTTATCAATATTTCAAATGGTCACACTATGTTTTTTTTTAGAATTGTCGAATGAACACGAATCACAGTCGCCATGGATATAGACGAAAAAAAAAACACTCAAAAGGTTGGAGAATCAAAATTTGGAATTTTTGAATAATTGGTAATTTAAGAGTTTATCTTGGGACAGCGGGAAGCGGCTTGATCGGTAGCGCAATGGTTGGCTCCTCGGATTTTTGTTGTCGTATCCGAAGCTTTTCACTCTTTCCCGAGTCAAAATACAAGAAAAACATGATGCACAAAACAGCCGAAGTAAATGACCCCGTAATTTTTGATCATTTTTGCTCTTTTTGAATATTGTTTGATTTTGCCTAGTGATATTCGCTACGGGAATCGTATTTCAGATGATTCTAGGGGTTAGCATATAAAGTAATTAGGATAAAATTTCGGAAATTCTCAATGTGTCGCTTTAAAGGGCTCTAGGCTTAGGCAATTTTAGTAATAAATGCTTCAAGATAATTAGTAATATAAATAGTTAGAGGAAAAATAAGAATTGGGTTGTTAATCGATATTTTTTCTGTTAGAGTCTACTTGGAATCTTATTTGTTAGAATTGTAAAAATAATAAGGGAATTATTACTGGGAATATTTGAGTTTGGGTAATTATAGATTCTCATTTAGTGTCAAACTCAACTTTAAATTATATAATTCTATATGCTACTTCATAATTCAAGAAAATTCGAGGTATTCGAAGGAGAGGGTGTTTTCAGGGTTTTTAAGGGTTCTAATCTAAACAGTTAACTTATTTCTACTGCTTAAAAAACTATTTTTAAACTTAAAAAATACCATGCTAAGTTTATTCTTATAAGACTTCTATTTGTTTATGTTTCAGCTATAATTTTGATTTTTTTCTATTTGTATAATACTGAAAAAAGAATTGAGTAACACTGTAAGGATCAATTCCAGAGTAAATTTTAAAAAAAGACAAGATCTTACCGCAGAAAAATGTTTTCCTTAAATTTAGTTTATATAGTCGTCGTCCGACGACTAATGCATGATTGGTGGTATATTTTCGGGCGCTGTGGTCTCACAATCTACCCCCATACAGTTGCCATAAGCCGACTATATTTGTAGCATATTTTTTAGAATTTTATTAGTAATTAAATTCCACTAACACTTTCGATAATTTTTTTTTCATTTTTAAAATTTATTTTCATTTTATTTCGACTTTCTTAGGATTTAAAAAATGGAAATATCTGGGGAATAATTGTCCGTCAAGGGGTTGTGAAAACTTTTTTGAGAGCCGTCAATCAGTGTCGCATCAAAATTGATCCCATTTTTGCTCAAATTGACTCTAATCGGGGGGGGGGGAATATTTTGAACTCCTGCTCCATTTTGTTCAATTTTTAACAATTTTGTGTATTTTCTTCTCATTTTTTTTTAACCGGAAATTTAAATTTTTAGCCATTTATCAATCACGATCAATTTATTTTCTATCCAAAACTTCCACATTGATTGACGTGCGCCTAAAATTGGTCGTAATTGCTCAATAAAGGTCAGAGTATTTTATTTGTCGAGAATTTATTCATTTTTTTACAATTTAAATCAGTCTAAGTTACGGTTCGTTTGAGGTGTTCCATAAGGGTTTGGTGGGTCGATGGGGTTGGTAGATCAGAACTTCTAGTAGTTTGTCACACGATCATCTGAGAAAACGGGTCTCGTAGCGAAGGTCAAAAGGAAGTTCGTAGCTTGATCTCATAGGCCAACGTTTTTAAGCTTGTTTCGAAGTTGACGCAATGGACCGGGATGGGTTACTGTATAGGTCTTACAGCAATCCACAATTGGTCCGCAATTGTGTTAACTGTTGTGCAAGTCTTATTGACACCCGGCTATGAGGTCACAAAAACTACGGATTTCCTATTTTGGCAAAATCGAACAAAATTCAAATTGCCCAAAAATGGTCAAAAATAGGGCGATTTTTCGGCGGTTTTGTGCATTAAGTTTTTTTTGTGATTTTGGCTCGGGAAATGAAGGGGGGGAGGAGACGACGAAAAAATTCGAGGAGTCGCTAAGTGGGAGAGACGGTCATTTTTTTAAATTTTTTGGAAAAAAATTAATCATCCCCCCTTCTTTTTTTTTCATTCTGATGCACGGTCTCCCTCCCTCTTTAGTCCCAACTCCGCACTGCCCCCAGCTTTTCCCTCCTAATTCGGTGTGCTTCCCATTGTGTCGCCCGATTCGCCACGACATGGTCGACGAAATCGCCCAACTCTCCCAACGATTGGTCCCCTCTCGTTCACACCAATTTTTCGATATTTCTTTTCATCTTCGTTTCATGTTAAGTTTTTGCAATAAAGAGTTCTGATTTTATGATATTTTTTGAAGTGCATAATCAGGAAAATCATGATCAACTCAAGAAAATGTGACAAGTCTTCACCGTGTTTCGCCATGTTTTCTGATTTCTCAACAACGACTTTGAGGAAAATTGGCTAAACGCCAAAAAAATTAGAGAGAAATCTTAGTGCGTTAGGTGCATCCTAAACTATCCTTACGCAAAGCCCGTAAATCTACAATTTTAGTTGTTTTTTTTTTAAACCGCGCGGCTACAAAAAATTGGCAAAAAAGACAAAAAACAAAGTGTGGAATAACGAGCCTAAGTAAGGATAGGTTAAAAGGCACAAAGACTTCTCCATAAATTTTTTGGCATTGAGCCAATTTTCCACAGTCCACTACATCTAGAGTATTGTTTAATTACTTAATTAGATGCACCAAGAAAAATGCATTTTACAGTTCAAACGCTAGAAAACATCTCAACGTTGGTCAAAAACTGCTTCATCAACCAACACCAAAACTCAACTTTTTAAAATTTCCGTATTAGAACGCCATATTCTTTTTAAATATCGTCAAAAACACCCTCAAAACAATATTCTCCTATAAAAAGTTACCTAATATCTTTTTCGAACATGTCTTAGAAGTTTCTAGATCACCTAACATAGTTGAACTAGTTCGTTACAAACTCATTCGAATTAAGAGCACCAACTTGGCGAAATTCGGTAAAAACTCGAAAAAATTACATGAATTGACCATGATTCCCCTGGTATGTTCACAACTGCGCAAAACACACCAATTTTGATAAAAAACTTGAGTGGAATTTAGAGAAATTCGACGGTTTCAGGGGAAAAAAAATTGAAAAAAAAAGAAAACTAAAATGAATTTGCGTTGTAATAAATTTCGAACATGTTTGAACAGACCAATACTCCCGGTGGGAAACGAAATAGGGGATCAAAGGGGGAATTCTACAGTATCTCAACTCGTCATTTCTAGCTCGGCATTACTGCTACTCTATGATATTTGATCATAGCACAAAGTTACTGAATTATATGCTTCGACCAACGTGTTGCTTCTCTGAGCAAAGCGGACTGTTTAAATAATATCAATTAAAAATACCGTTTTCATCTAACAATCATCTAATAATTGTAAGTCACTTTTTACGAATCTTCCAATGGAACCAATAATTTAACGAAAGCATTTTTGTTGAAATCCATGAAAATAAATCTTTTGACTCCTAATGAACAAAACAAACAGAAAACTCCCATTTGAGACATACTTTCGGTAGACCCCAGAGACATTAACTCCATTCACCTGAGTGTTACCCCCTAGTTGACCCACGGGAGAATCGGCCATTTATAAATCAGAAATTAAATTTTGATTATTTTCAATGATATTGAAACCATAATGATTCGCTAATCAAAATAATACCAAAATTGTCAATTGGATGACTAAAATGTTTATTTTAATTTATATTTTTTAAATTGTTTACGCAGTTGATCACAAAAAGCTTGTCGTTTCAAGAAATTCGAAAAAAATTGGAACGAAATATTCCCAAAACGACACAATCATGTTGTAGCGCCCGCAAATGACGATCATTTTGTGCAAAAACTCAACAGTTAAACGAAAAATGAGAAGAAATTCACAAATTGGTGACGAACGAAGGAAACATTTGGGAGAGTTGAGCGATTACGTCGACATGTGTGCAATATTCCTTGACAAAATTTAAAAATACTATTAGTTTGAACTCTATCGGAAATTCAGCTAAACCTAGATTTATAAGGCAATTAAATATCTAAAATTCATTCCTAAAGCTTAAAATTAGGCCAGCGCTCCGAAACTATCGATTTTTTTGCAAAAAAAATTGGTAGTGAAAAAACGGTAGGTAAGCCTATAAAGTTGACGCACGGCGATGGACCCCTTAGTTTAAAATAGATGCATCCCCCTTAAAAAAAATATTTAATTAATACACTAATTAAATACACTTATTAGAAGTACGACCAGTCCATTATTGATGATGGCGCCTAGGCTCAGAAGCAGTTAGCACATGAACAGCATTTTTAAATTTTTTGTCAAAACCGCGCAACAAGGAATATTGCACCATGTCAATGGCGAATCAAGGCGCACACAACGAGCACACAGAACTCGGAAAGAAACGCGGGAGAGCAGCACGAAATTGAGACTCACCGGTTGGACGACCGCGGCTTTCAGATGGCGTCGATGCAGGTGACAGCGAGTGCGGATGGATGACGTTGAACGGCGACGACAACGAAGGCTAGAAGGCGAACATCACAAACGACGAAACACGACCAAATGAAGTTGTCTTCAACCACACGCAAGTTTGTTAGTGCGAGCACCGAGTGATCATTTCGAACTGAAAAACCACAAAATAATTCATAGCTTTAAAAAACGACAAGAAACTAGAAACCACACGACGGACAGATACAAATATTAATTGAGTCTCTCAAGAGACGCAGAGAGAAAATCATGATCAAAGTAGAAATAATGCTGTTCATAAGACTTTTTTTCTGAGGTCACAGAAGAGAATATTGATTATCACAGAAGAGAATATTGATTATCACAGAAGAGAATATTGGTTATCACAGATGAGAATATCCGCTCCATTGTAGTCTTGTTTACGCGAGATTGACAAAATTGACGCCATTTCCTAATGAAAATCGATAGATCAAAAAATCCCGCAGATTATTTTCCATGAAACACAAAAAAAAGAGAAACAAATTAATAATTGTTTGCATCTTTCTAACTTTTTTGTATTGGAAAAATTTGTGCAAATTTTTTTGTATTACATGAACCGGTCGATATGAAAAAAATACACAATTTTTATTGGGAATGATTTTGGGGACGATTTACTACAGCAAGACGGAACCATTAAAAATTCAACTTGAACAAGATATCGATAAAGTGAAATAAGTACAGCATATAAACGAGAGCTCTCCTACAAATTACAACGAGTTTTTGATGAATATACACAATTTTATTCGAATTTTCGAAAATTCGTGCGCAATTCAAAATTCAAGCCTAAATTTCACGTGGGTTTAACCTAGCAATTTCTTTCTTTAATCGAACGAAAAATTTTAAAAGTAGTGTGCGCCAATTTTTTGAAGGAAAACCAATCAATTCCCATCGCGTTCACAATCACAAGTCGGCACGCAACGCTACCACTCAAAATCTCTCGAAAAATCTGGGAAACTCAAAACCAATCGGATCCGACAAAATTCGGCTCCGGAATAAACCTTATCCGATTGGTAATTCTACGGATAAGATTGGAAAATTGTCGGATCCGATTGGATATTGTGGGATCCGATTCGAATGGAAACATTAAAACCAATCGGATTCGATTAATAACCAATCGGATTCGACAAATAACGTTCCCCCATTGCGCTGAAGGCGTTCAGTAAGACATCCATTAATTATCTACCGGGGATACAAATTTGTGGATACGAGTTAAAATCTGGAAGTAGAAACTAAGGAATGAAAGAAAAGTAAAAATAGGGTGCAATTTGGGGGTGGAAAATAAAGGATCGAGGCTGAAATTTGGGGGTTCATGGCAATGGGACGAAAAATCATATTCACAACCTTATAGGCACACATTCATTTGAATTTGGTAAGGTATCCATCGAATTGATAATCATCCCTCAAATCGTCTTCCAATTTTTGAACCGAACATCCCAGAACTACACTCAAATAGAAACAAGATCAGCTTGGCTCAGACTTTCCTCGTTTGTGCTCCTTTGATAGCATCGTTTGCTAAAACTTCTACATTTCCTGTTTGAGGTCGCTCTCATAAATTCCTCCAAAGGATTGGAAAAAAATGAGGGAATGAGAAAAACAACTGTCCGTTTAAGGGCAATTAATTATTACTAAATTACTTGCTAAATAGATTTTTTGAACTACAATATTTAAGATCGATTACATCTGGAAATCTGCTGAACTGAATCAATCAAACATGCATTTTACAAGCCCCAGAGCAATCAAATTATGATAATTGGATAATGCATATTTAATTATAGAAATTCGTAAATTGAATGTTAATCCGAAAAATAGAAAATTACTCTTGCATTTGCAGTTATCCCTCTCCCTCTCTCTCTCTGAAATCTGCACCAATGGACCCTTGAAACAAAAATTCAATGTCCTGTCTCTCTCTTTCGGACTTTTTCGATTATGGAGCAAAAAAAAGAAAAGCTTGTGGTGTGGTGAGAGTATAAAGAAGCAAGCACAGCATCTTCTTCTTCTCCATTTTTCGTCGGTCTTAAGCTCCCTCAGTTTGTTTTCGGTTTTCCTCAATTGGTCTTGCCCGCTCCACCTCACCCCTCCCTCCTCTCCACCAGTCGGCCATACGACGACTTTCAAGCTAGCGCAGTCCCACAACCCTCCCCCCCCCTCATCCGAGCACACACAGCGAAAACTGAGACGACGAAAAATGCAGCAAAAAAAAGAAGAAGTGAAAGAAAATACTTGTTGTGCCCCCCCCCAATAGCCGTGCTCGCGCACGCATGAGTGTGTGTCCTCATGCTATTTTCTAGTCTCTCCGACTTTTACGTCTTTGTCTATTTTTAAGCAATTTTTTCCTATTTCGGTAAAAAATAGGTTTCATTTTTTTTCCATCTCACATTATTTAAAAATGAGAAAAAAAGAAGAGAAATGTTCATGAATAATCTATTTTCCCGCCAAATGGCCTCGCTTTTTTTCTCTTCAAAAAAAAGCGGACTAATTGAAGTGGGTGCATTCGGCCATTTAGCGCGAATGCTGCTTTTTGTTTTTTTTCTCCCCTTCCATTTCTTTTCTCGTGGATTCACCTTGATTCGCATTCAGATTGACTCCTGTCGAAACGGGCGCTGACATCTTGTACCATTCGACAGGCACCATTCGCGAGCGGTCTCGATCGCCGATCGGCTTCGAGACCCTCGCCGGACCATCAAACGCGCCAATTCCGCCACCGCAACAGCCGGCGCAAATCGAGGTCTCCATCGATTTCACAAGACCCGATGGGCAGGTACCCTTAAAAAACCAAGTTGTATATGTAGATCTATTTTTTGCAGAGAACTCGCCCACTCCTCGTGGAAAATAGAAGACTTTATGTAGATGAGCATTACATTTCTGTGTGGTCGCCAGTATTAAGGTAAAAATTGCTTGAAATTTCATTACCAAAATCCATAGGGCTTGGTGCGTCGAATGTCCGGATCGCGAGCTGATCCTTGCCAACGTTCAATACGAGCACGTCCTCGAAATGCTCGAATGCATCCATCCAACCTACAAGGCCGTCGACGATCAATCGGTCCACATTCTTCTACCACTCGCCTATGATTATCAAATGGAAGGCCTCCTTCATCGCTGCGAGTGTTTCCTAATTAGCCACAATTTGCCATTCTTGGAAAAAGTCTGGATAGCTGATAGGTAATTGTCTTGCAGACATCAATAAATTAACCAATTTCTCATGTTAGATATAAGCTGAATCGCCTTCTAGTATTATGCCTTAGGGAAATGCGGCCAAATAGCAAAGTCGATCTCAACGGGTCCCGTTATTATGCACTTTCCGATAGGGTCAAAGTGTTGCTATTAGAAAGGTTACACGGAGCAGCAGCGCCAGAGGTATGCCGAAAATTCACGGGTTGTTCACCCAAAAATGCAATTTTAGGAAATTCTCGAGCCGCCTCTAGACCTCGAGCCGTATCTTCGCGTCTCCGACGTGAACTTCGTGGCAGTTCGCGCAAAAACCGGCCGCGTCTACTACGTGAATCCCTACTACATGGCGGCCTGGTCGAAGGTGTTTGAGGACAAAATCTGCACGACCTTATCCGGCGTCGAAGAGATGTTTTGCCCATGTTCGCACGAGGAGCTTAAAGCATTCCTAATGGCGATTCATCCACCACAACTTAGGATTAATGGTGTGAATCTTTCTATTCAAATCGCAATTAATAATTTTTTCATTAATTCGTCTCAGAAACCAACATAGGACCGATATTAATGTCGGCGTGCAAAATGGAGTCATCCGCGTTGCTGCGGAAATGCGCCAATTTGCTGCTCTCGCCGCACACCCAGGTTAGCGCATGCCCTAACTCGGAAGGGAACGATTCCGATTTGCAGCTATCCGTGTTCGTTCGACTCTCTCTTCTTGATCGTTGTTTTTTGCACGAAATGCTACCGCAGTGCTTGCAAATGGTCGCACGACCCGAACATCTCATTCAAATGACGCAACAGACGACGTGTATGTTCTAATTCGCAATTTTAGGAAGGCTGAAGGCATGCCTGCGTTTTTTCTATTTTGTTTTTCTTTTACTGCTTTTTTTCGTTTTAAAAACGCTCTAGAATGCCGAAAAAAAAATCAATTCGTCGGCGCGAGACCACTTTAAAGGCGCATGCACGAGCCTCCTTGTTTCACAGCAACAAGCGCCATGAAAATATTTGTCCTAATGGGGTTATTTGAAAAACTCGCATAAAAATATAATTGCTATGGAACACGCCAATTTTTTTTGTAAAAATACGAACACAAAAATTAAAATTTCAAAAAATACATTAGTACTATTTCACCAATAAAGTTTCATTTTTAAATTTCAATAGACAAAAAAAGAAAAGCTTTCAGAAATCTCTATATAATTTTTTGATCAAATTTCAAAGTGGCGAATTCTAATTGCCATTGTTTTAACCGTTTGAAGTTTAGCAATCGATCTGGAATGAAAAAGTGTTAGACGTGATTTTTATGGGTTTCTAACCTCCATAATAATTCAGAATGGAATTTTGTAGTTTTTTAAATAAGCTTTGGTAATTTATAACCTTACTAAATGACAGGAGTGCAGTTCAAACTTCTTGAACTCGTCACTCTACGAACAATAGATATCTTAATTAAATATTTTCCGGAATTCCAAATATTTGCAGATGATTGCCTATCGACACGCGCCAAGGCCGCCATGATGGACCGTCTCGGAATTCTGCTGGAGAATCCCGGCCTCCAAACCCATCAATGTCAACGCTGCAAGGCGACGAACACATGCACCTCAGTTACCTGGATGTGTCCCCAATGCAAGACCTATTCAACCGACGCCAGTCTTCTACGCAACAACAACACAACAACAGCAGCAGTAGCAACTGGCACCACTACAACAATGATGACAAACCAATCAATTCGATAATATTTAATCTATTCAATTATTTATTCCCAGCGAATCTTTCAACAAATTATTCTCTTAACTAGCTCTAGTCAAATGCATAGAATCTAGATCACCATAAATTATTTTAAATTTAGAAAAATAGTAAATTTGCCTATGATTCCGGAATCGGGGTTAGCTTAATCTCGTCCGTTTTCGGTGAATTACAAGCCTTCGGGATATCTCGACAAATAATTGATATGCGTCGACTCCTCGGTACCTGTTTGCCATTCCATTCGCTCTCCTCATCACCCAAAACTTCATGAGTGAACTCATATCGCCCAATTTCACTAAAATCTCCAAAAAATTATCACAGCTCTCGGAAATCTTTACCCTAATCGATACAAGCTTCTTCTCGGCATGAGCATATCAATTACAAGCTCATCCTTCCGCTCCTTATGTCTCAATCTCATAATGGCATCGGACAAAAGCGAAACGCCAGTGATTACATCGCCGCAATACTATAGATATGTTCCAAAGATACACTCATAAATCAAACAAATCTACCCGAACGCTATCAATGTGCGGTTTTATGACCCCATCCTTGTGTAGATCGAGAATGTGCACATATGTGAGATGCTCGGTGCCCGGCCCAAATGATTCCGATCTACACGCATATATCTCATACATATATAACGGGAAAATCACTACCGAATTCGACTAATCACTTCCAGATTCTCATCGCTCCATTTTCGTTGCTCTCGTTCGCGATACAAATGAATCGCCTGAAATTAAAAAAAAATCAACTACCTTATTAAAAATGTTAAATAATAACATCATCCCAATGACTTTTCTCATATCTCAATCGTTTCATATGCGGCTCAACTTCTCTCAAGAGCGATTCCTCTTCTTCAGGAGTTATAAAATCTCTAAAATTTCAACTTTCAAATGAAAAATTCCGAAAATAATAACAGAAACCTTTTAATATAGCAACATTTCTTCATCGACTCTTTCATTTTAGTGGGCCATAAATTCTCATTATGGAAAATCCATAAACTCAATAACCTTCCAGATATTCTCATCTCGAAATTTCAATTTTTTCCAACATCTATGTAGTTGACGTCAGACGACTGCTGTAAGCGGGTAGATTTACGGGAATGTGTCTTTCGAAATGGTCCCGCAAGGACTAACTGGTTATTTCGCATTTTATGGGTCGGCTCGATAATTTTTAAATCGAACGACATTAAAAATTCCAAGAAGTGGCAATTTAATAAAAAAATGAAACAGTTCACGTAAAAACAGCAAAATAAGCATTCACGCGTGGCGAGACCTTTCAAGGAGCACGCGCGTAAACCTACCCGCGCACAGCAGTCGCCGGACGCCAACTATATAAAACTTAACTATTATATTAAATGGCATTAATACCCACAACAATTCCAAACACAAATGACGGAAAATATTTCGAAAAACCCACTTTATAATTTAATTCTCATTAAAATTATGCGGGGGTCATAAAAAAGGGGGACATTGGAAAATGTTAATTATCTATTACAGAGTTAATTTCACAAAAAATCTCGCTGGTTAATATTATTGGCACAGTGAAAAACATGAATTCATGAATGCGTTAATTCTAAGAAGTAATGAGGTACAAAAATGTATAATTGAGCAAAAAAGGGAAGACTGAAATTAACTAAAAATTTGTAAAAATTATTTACACGGCGATTCCTTCTGCTAACTTCTTCATATCAATCAATGATCTTTTCAACTCCTCTCGGAACTCGAACGAACTCTGAACCAAGAATTTCGTAAAGTCACCTTTATATTAAAAATCTCACTGTATTATCCGCAGATCTCTTGCTTGAAATATGGAACGAGATCGTGTTCTCTCCAGCAACAATATACGAAACACCATAACCATGATCAGCGACTGGTCCGAATCCACCTCCAGCAGTGATCAGCCTCAATCGAACCTCGTTCGACAATCCCTTCGCATCTGCTTCACACTGATTCATAGGGGTTTGCGACGTTGACAGCAGATAAGTCGGTGGGAAGATTTTATCGAAGAACGGCGACTCTTCTTCGAGATAGCGCTTGATGATATACCTGAAATTTTCAAATCTCACCATCATCATTCTCAAGGACGATAAATTTGCAAATATGTTTCTATAAAGTGCTAAATAAATTAAATTTCTAGTATTTTATAGGCTATTCTTAATTTTTTTCTAGAAGCAATAATTGAGGCAGAGAAGTCTTGAAAACTTGAAAATGCATTTAAATTTACAAAAGATGTACATAAAAATATCCTAATAACCTCTTGATCAACTCACAATGCGAATAAATGCCTGTCGACCCCTTGACCGCACATCGCATCTCTGTACAATTCTTGATGGCGATCACATGCCTTGCGCAAAAGTCTCAGTTGCTCCGCCGCTGATTGATTACCATCCAACATCGCCTTCACGAATGCCGACGATTCGATGGTGCACGATCGTACGGTTTCGGTTCTTCCTTCACGGAACAGGCGGGTCATCGACGCTTCATAAGTCAGCGAAAACTTTCTTTGATTCTAAAATAATTTCCTATGTCAAAAAATGATTTCTGAAAACTAAAAACTTTAAAATAAGTGTACTGCAACGTCATCTGAAGGAAGGCATCCGGGGAAACCTTCAGCTTCTTGGCAAATCCTTTTCCATAATCCGTCCAAACGAGCAACGCCATTTCGACATCATTGATCAACGCGTTCGCAACAGTTAGCGACTTTTGAATCTGCTCCTGTGCCGGCTCCGGAATATCAAATCTCAATCGTTCTGGCGAAATAATCTCAGTGGCCGTTCCCTTGCATCTTCCATTCTCATCATATCCAGTAAACACGATATCCTGCAGAAGGGACCATTCTGTGAAGTGAGCCATGACGGCCGCGTCTCCCCAGGAGTGTTCGGCATTGATTCCAACATGCCCATTCTTCGAGATAATCCAACTGAACGATTTGTCGAACCAGCGATCATAAGCTTTTCCATGAAGCAAGTTATGAGCCCAATGATCAAGCTTTGACGGATTCTCAGGATCATACGAGACTTCCTCATCATCAAGAATCACCACAAAAGCAGCTCGTTCGATATCATTCAAGCTCGTCTTATTAATTCCCGATCGGAAATATGCTCGCCTCGTTTTCGCCCATTCGGTGCGATCCCCAGCCGTCAACGCGGCGAGATGCTTCTCAGCCTGTGTCGGTTCAATCTCATGCGCAAAAATCTTATCATATTGCGCTTCGAGCTCGGCGGCTTCTAACAGACGCTTGCCATTGTGCACAATGACCTTGAACCAAACTCCGCGACAGTAGACCGCAACGTGTTTGGCGTCGTCCCAATGCAATAATCTGTCGACCTCTTCGCCAGGAACGCGACATGTGTTGAATAGACGCTCATATTGCATCGTGCAGAATGGGACCTTCGTTCGTGGAGAAATCGAAAACTAAAAAAGAAAGAAACTATGGGATTAAAAGCATATAGATTCTCACTGGAGAAACTTCTTGTCGATCAACCATTCGGCGGAATTTCAGAGAGCAACATGTCAAATTTGCAGCTCTCGACGCTTGATTGGTCGTAGGATGTTCATTCAAAGTATCCTGGAATAAGTGTTTAAAAATTCAAAATTCAACACCCAATATTTTGTGATTCTTCGCACTTATAAATCACACAAGAGGCACAATAAATATAATACATATTTGATGGTCCCCTTCAAATATTAATCGTTATCACGTTTTATGACTCAATCCCGCGAGAAATGCTATTCACACTACTCTGCGCTCTCATTGTTTCTCATTATGTATGATTCGGAGCACCTAATGTTCACACAAGGAACGCACTATCGTACATCGCACCTATTACTGGTACCAAACTCGTAAGAGTACGCATTCGCAAGAGACACAGAGAAAAATGCGCAGATATGTGCAAGTGCCAAAAACTGCGTTGTTCGTGGGAGGAGTCTCATGTAACTAGGTCAACTCGCACCATCGATGGTCCGCTATAAATACCCAGATGTCGGACCATACACCATCATTCTACCAATATCCTTTTATTCTTTCTATTTACCGAGAGTGGGACATAGTGGGTTTTCACTCTGGTTATAAGCTCTAATGCTCTATCACCGGGTAAAAATCCACAATGGCCCATCTCTTGGACCTTTTTAATTTTACCCCGGGAGCGGGACATAGTGGGTTTTAACTCTGGTTATAAGCTCTAATGCTCTATCACCGGGTAAAAATCCACAATGGCCCATCTCTTGGACCTTTTTAATTTTACCCCGGGAGCGGGACATAGTGGGTTTTAACTCTGGTTATAAGCTCTAACGCTCTATCACCGGGTAAAAATCCACAATGGCCCATCTCTTGGACCTTTTTAATTTTACCCCGGGAGCGGGACATAGTGGGTTTTAACTCTGGTTATAAGCTCAAATGCTCTATCACCGGGTAAAAATCCACAATGGCCCATCTCTTGGACCTTTTTAATTTTACCCCGGGAGCGGGACATAGTGGGTTTTCACTCTGGTTATAAGCTCAAATGCTCTATCACCGGGTAAAAATACACAATGGCCCATCTCTTGGACCTTTTTAATTTTACCCCGGGAGCGGGACATAGTGGGTTTTCACTCTGGTTATAAGCTCAAATGCTCTATCACCGGGTAAAAATCCACAATGGCCCATCTCTTGGACCTTTTTAATTTTACCCCGGGAGCGGGACATAGTGGGTTTTCACTCTGGTTATAAGCTCAAATGCTCTATCACCGGGTAAAAATCCACAATGGCCCATCTCTTGGACCTTTTAATTTTACCCCGGGAGCGGGACATAGTGGGTTTTCACTCTGGTTATAAGCTCTAATGCTCTATCACCGGGTAAAAATCCACAATGGCCCATCTCTTGGACCTTTTTAATTTTACCCCGGGAGCGGGACATAGTGGGTTTTCACTCTGGTTATAAGCTCTAATGCTCTATCACCGGGTAAAAATCCACAATGGCCCATCTCTTGGACCTTTTTAATTTTACCCCAGGAGCGGGACATAGTGGGTTTTAACTCTGGTTATAAGCTCTAATGCTCTATCACCGGGTAAAAATCCACAATGGCCCATCTCTTGGACCTTTTTAATTTTACCCCGGGAGCGGGACATAGTGGGTTTTCACTCTGGTTATAAGCTCTAATGCTCTATCACCGGGTAAAAATCCACAATGGCCCATCTCTTGGACCTTTTTAATTTTACCCCGGGAGCGGGACATAGTGGGTTTTCACTCTGGTTATAAGCTCAAATGCTCTATCACCGGGTAAAAATCCACAATGGCCCATCTCTTGGACCTTTTTAATTTTACCCCGGGAGCGGGACATAGTGGGTTTTCACTCTGGTTATAAGCTCTAATGCTCTATCACCGGGTAAAAATCCACAATGGCCCATCTCTTGGACCTTTTTAATTTTACCCCGGGAGCGGGACATAGTGGGTTTTCACTCTGGTTATAAGCTCTAATGCTCTATCACCGGGTAAAAATCCACAATGGCCCATCTCTTGGACCTTTTTAATTTTACCCCGGGAGCGGGACATAGTGGGTTTTCACTCTGGTTATAAGCTCTAATGCTCTATCACTGGGTAAAAATCCACAATGGCCCATCTCTTGGACCTTTTTAATTTTACCCCAGGAGCGGGACATAGTGGGTTTTAACTCTGGTTATAAGCTCTAATGCTCTATCACCGGGTAAAAATCCACAATGGCCCATCTCTTGGACCTTTTTAATTTTACCCCGGGAGCGGGACATAGTGGGTTTTCACTCTGGTTATAAGCTCTAATGCTCTATCACCGGGTAAAAATCCACAATGGCCCATCTCTTGGACCTTTTTAATTTTACCCCGGGAGCGGGACATAGTGGGTTTTCACTCTGGTTATAAGCTCTAATGCTCTATCACCGGGTAAAAATCCACAATGGCCCATCTCTTGGACCTTTTTAATTTTACCCCGGGAGCGGGACATAGTGGGTTTTCACTCTGGTTATAAGCTCTAATGCTCTATCACCGGGTAAAAATCCACAATGGCCCATCTCTTGGACCTTTTTAATTTTACCCCGGGAGCGGGACATAGTGGGTTTTCACTCTGGTTATAAGCTCTAATGCTCTATCACCGGGTAAAAATCCACAATGGCCCATCTCTTGGACCTTTTTAATTTTACCCCGGGAGCGGGACATAGTGGGTTTTCACTCTGGTTATAAGCTCAAATGCTCTATCACCGGGTAAAAATCCACAATGGCCCATCTCTTGGACCTTTTTAATTTTACCCCGGGAGCGGGACATAGTGGGTTTTCACTCTGGTTATAAGCTCAAATGCTCTATCACCGGGTAAAAATCCACAATGGCCCATCTCTTGGACCTTTTTAATTTTACCCCGGGAGCGGGACATAGTGGGTTTTCACTCTGGTTATAAGCTCAAATGCTCTATCACCGGGTAAAAATCCACAATGGCCCATATCTTGGACCTTTTTAATTTTACCCCGGGAGCGGGACATAGTGGGTTTTAACTCTGGTTATAAGCTCAAATGCTCTATCACCGGGTAAAAATCCACAATGGCCCATCTCTTGGACCTTTTTAATTTTACCCCGGGAGCGGGACATAGTGGGTTTTCACTCTGGTTATAAGCTCAAATGCTCTATCACCGGGTAAAAATCCACAATGGCCCATCTCTTGGACCTTTTTAATTTTACCCCGGGAGCGGGACATAGTGGGTTTTCACTCTGGTTATAAGCTCTAATGCTCTATCACCGGGTAAAAATCCACAATGGCCCATCTCTTGGACCTTTTTAATTTTACCCCGGGAGCGGGACATAGTGGGTTTTCACTCTGGTTATAAGCTCTAATGCTCTATCACCGGGTAAAAATCCACAATGGCCCATCTCTTGGACCTTTTTAATTTTACCCCAGGAGCGGGACATAGTGGGTTTTAACTCTGGTTATAAGCTCTAATGCTCTATCACCGGGTAAAAATCCACAATGGCCCATCTCTTGGACCTTTTTAATTTTACCCCGGGAGCGGGACATAGTGGGTTTTCACTCTGGTTATAAGCTCTAATGCTCTATCACCGGGTAAAAATCCACAATGGCCCATCTCTTGGACCTTTTTAATTTTACCCCGGGAGCGGGACATAGTGGGTTTTCACTCTGGTTATAAGCTCTAATGCTCTATCACCGGGTAAAAATCCACAATGGCCCATCTCTTGGACCTTTTTAATTTTACCCCGGGAGCGGGACATAGTGGGTTTTAACTCTGGTTATAAGCTCAAATGCTCTATCACCGGGTAAAAATCCACAATGGCCCATCTCTTGGACCTTTTTAATTTTACCCCGGGAGCGGGACATAGTGGGTTTTCACTCTGGTTATAAGCTCTAATGCTCTATCACCGGGTAAAAATCCACAATGGCCCATCTCTTGGACCTTTTTAATTTTACCCCAGGAGCGGGACATAGTGGTTTTTAACTCTGGTTATAAGCTCTAATGCTCTATCACCGGGTAAAAATCCACAATGGCCCATCTCTTGGACCTTTTTAATTTTACCCCAGGAGCGGGACATAGTGGGTTTTAACTCTGGTTATAAGCTCTAATGCTCTATCACCGGGTAAAAATCCACAATGGCCCATCTCTTGGACCTTTTTAATTTTACCCCGGGAGCGGGACATAGTGGGTTTTCACTCTGGTTATAAGCTCTAATGCTCTATCACCGGGTAAAAATCCACAATGGCCCATCTCTTGGACCTTTTAATTTTACCCCGGGAGCGGGACATAGTGGGTTTTCACTCTGGTTATAAGCTCTAATGCTCTATCACCGGGTAAAAATCCACAATGGCCCATCTCTTGGACCTTTTTAATTTTACCCCGGGAGCGGGACATAGTGGGTTTTAACTCTGGTTATAAGCTCAAATGCTCTATCACCGGGTAAAAATCCACAATGGCCCATCTCTTGGACCTTTTTAATTTTACCCCGGGAGCGGGACATAGTGGGTTTTCACTCTGGTTATAAGCTCTAATGCTCTATCACCGGGTAAAAATCCACAATGGCCCATCTCTTGGACCTTTTTAATTTTACCCCAGGAGCGGGACATAGTGGGTTTTAACTCTGGTTATAAGCTCTAATGCTCTATCACCGGGTAAAAATCCACAATGGCCCATCTCTTGGACCTTTTTAATTTTACCCCGGGAGCGGGACATAGTGGGTTTTCACTCTGGTTATAAGCTCTAATGCTCTATCACCGGGTAAAAATCCACAATGGCCCATCTCTTGGACCTTTTAATTTTACCCCGGGAGCGGGACATAGTGGGTTTTCACTCTGGTTATAAGCTCTAATGCTCTATCACCGGGTAAAAATCCACAATGGCCCATCTCTTGGACCTTTTTAATTTTACCCCAGGAGCGGGACATAGTGGGTTTTCACTCTGGTTATAAGCTCAAATGCTCTATCACCGGGTAAAAATCCACAATGGCCCATCTCTTGGACCTTTTTAATTTTACCCCGGGAGCGGGACATAGTGGGTTTTAACTCTGGTTATAAGCTCTAATGCTCTATCACCGGGTAAAAATCCACAATGGCCCATCTCTTGGACCTTTTTAATTTTACCCCGGGAGCGGGACATAGTGGGTTTTAACTCTGGTTATAAGCTCAAATGCTCTATCACCGGGTAAAAATCCACAATGGCCCATCTCTTGGACCTTTTTAATTTTACCCCGGGAGCGGGACATAGTGGGTTTTCACACTGGTTATAAGCTCAAATGCTCTATCACCGGGTAAAAATCCACAATGGCCCATCTCTTGGACCTTTTTAATTTTACCCCGGGAGCGGGACATAGTGGGTTTTCACTCTGGTTATAAGCTCAAATGCTCTATCACCGGGTAAAAATCCACAATGGCCCATCTCTTGGACCTTTTTAATTTTACCCCGGGAGCGGGACATAGTGGGTTTTCACTCTGGTTATAAGCTCAAATGCTCTATCACCGGGTAAAAATCCACAATGGCCCATCTCTTGGACCTTTTCATTTTCTTTATTGTTGACAGATGTTTTCGATGCTCCAGTGCATCAAATATTAAATCTTACAAATCCATAGTAGTTGCTGTTAATCATAATCGGACTTCGCTGACGCATATAGACAAACTCCTCCCACCAATCGGTCACATAGTTTGTGCTAAACCATGATTTCAATGTCAAATATCGTTGAAGACGACGACCAACACCTGAAAAACGATATCTGAAAACATTAAAATAAGTTTCAACACACCTTTTCTGAATCTTTCACTTAAGAATTCAAGCTCTTCGTACTCCTCGTCATCCAATATTGGTCGCATCGAGAGCAAATGCTTCCTGATTGTATCATCCAACTTTGGAAGTGGCAATCTCGGTAGAGCCCCTTGAAATGAGTGAAGCATCGGACCGGCCTTCGAGATAATATGAAGAATAGCAAGCCAAATTTTCGTAGGCTTCGAAACCGGTTTTCCTGGCGATTCATACATCCATCCTTTGTATTCCAACAACATTTTAATGCTCAGTCGAAGAGTTTGCACAAAAATCAACCAAGTCAAAGCGCCAGCAACCAAAATGGATATACTCTGTCCAAGGTACCCATCACTGAAAAGAAATCGGAATCAAAGCATTTGTCAATAAATCATTTTTTACCCAAATATATAATGTACAATATAGTCCTGTAAAAATGGTAGAATCCCGTATGACAAATCGTGTTTGAGCACAGAAAATATGGCAACCGCGGCTACAACCAGTCCAAGCGTCCACGAGTTCGCAGGAAACATTCCATTAACAAAGTCATTCTGTAATTAAATACAATTCTTTCTAGAAAATTAAAAATTTTAACCTTGAATCGTCCGACTCTTCGCTTATAGGAGCGACTAATTCCATGCCAAATATCTCGGAGCAGTTCTTGGTCATAGCTCACAGATACTCCGTCGTGAGTAACTAGAAATAAAAAAAATGAGTTAAGATAATACTTTTTAATTTACCGGCGAACGATAGGGCGGCAGCACTGCGCGCCTCAGCCATCTTATTCTTTCTTCGCTTCTACGTCACTCTGAAATTGTCTCTGTTAAAATTCTTTTATCTTTTTAAATTATTATTGAGAGGCAAGAGATATCAATATAGTATCAAGAAGAATGTGAAAAAGCGAACACGCATGCGACCGCCTTGAACCAGCTGTTGATACATCATCAATGAGAGACAAAGCAGCAGCAGCAGCGGCAATCACGTGGTCCAGAAAATAACAACATTGGAATTTATCAGTAAGCGATTTCAAAAATGAGTCTTATATTTTCAACGAGTATGTCGAAGCTGGCTACGTTATACTCGTAGGAACAATGGAGCGAAAGAAAATGATTTGTGAGAGAGAAAGAGAGCGAGAAAGATATCAGAGCGCAAACGTGTGCACACAATATCTCTGGTGTTCGCCTTGACCTTTCGCTTACATTAGTTTACTACGTGCGTCCGTATAGTAAAAATTCGGTCATGATGATAACAAAACAATCGTATAAGAAGAAAATTGGTGATTTGCGCCGCGTGAAGATTATGGCCTAGGAATTTTTGGCCGCGTATTTCTAGACCGCAGGCTATTCTTACTTGTAATAATAAGAACATTTCTCCTAAAATGCGGAGTAATCTTTAATGCATTCCAATTAAATAGATAAAATCATACCAAAAAATCAAAAATGAAATAATAACAGTGGTCGGAATCGGAAATAACGATCATTGAGACTAAACACCCGGTTATCACCAGCCGCTACAATGTTCTGTCTATCTCAATTCTTCCGCTATTTCTTAAGTTCGACACTCGCAACCGGACAAAGTACAAGGTACAAAGTGTGCGCCGAAACGACGAATAGTGCGTGTTTGAAATGACAAAACAAAACTTATTTACGATTTTAACGCATTTATTAATGACGAAACAGGTTGCAATAAACTACAGATTACAAGAATGATGATATCAGTAGTGGTTTCAGATAGAATTATTCTGAAAAATAAAAGATTCAAATTAAAAAAAACCCTCTAGAATATTCGACCTTCCGTACTTCTCATTGAAAATGGAACAAAATCAATTTTCTTTTTGAAGACATCCGATTCCAGATAATTAATAAGAGTTGAATCAGGCGGAATGAAGAAATCCCTAGCATTCCGAATTTCCGTAATTCTTTCACCAGTATTGGCAAGAGTTAAACCTAAAATTATAAGAAATTTGCAAAATGTTCTATTTTAATACTTTGAGAATTAAGCCAAAGATATTGAGCAACAATATGTGCGATCAATCTATCGCTGGCTAGCGGAAAATTAGTGACGTAGACAATTTCGCCGTCGTGATTCTGCCCGAGCACGTCATCCATGAACAATTCTCGAAGTTCTTCTTCCAAATGGTCAACAAGTGCCTGAAAAAGGCAGAAAAATTAAAGTAGACGTTTTTTCGAAATCGCTTTTACCCAGTTCACTTTTTTTCCAAGCAAAATGCGTTTATTACGATTATCAATGCGGTCAAAGCAAGCTTTTCCCGAATAAATATGATGGCCTGGAAAGCACGCAAAATCTGACAACATCGCGACGAGACCCATATAATTGAAAAAATCTTACCTTTTTTCGGAGTATTCGATATTTTCGGCAACTTCTCGCCCAATAAGCACCAATCACTGGGCCCCTGTAGAAAAAATTCATTAAAAATTAAAATTTTTGCGGAACCTGCTGCTCGCACATATCAATAACTCCATCCACAGCTTTCAAGATATTTTCCTGATCCTCTTCGTCTTTTTCAACAAATTCGTTCCAAATCTTCATATTCTCCTTGTTCTCAAATAAGCGATCAAATGGTGTATAGCTTTTGGGGCAGATATCGGAATAATCCTCACAAATATCTTCAAGATCGGTATAAGTGAGAAGAATGCGGGCTGAAAATAATAAACTACATATATAATTCATTTTGCAAGAAAAAACCATTTTCAACCCTTCTCCATTTTCGATACCCCATGTTTCTTTTCACGTTCACTCCATCAGTATCGACTTCGTCAAAGAAGTTCCTCGACCTATATTTTTATACATCTATTATTTTCAAAAATAATTAAAGTAAATACTTTTTCGAATTTTTCTGAGCTCTCATTGCCCGTCGACTTTGAAGATTATTGAGCTGCTCAATTGACGTGCTTCTCGACACATTGCTCTCAACTTCCGACGATTCAATTCTAAATCGACACAATTAAACACGTATTATTTTAAAACTTACTCAATGTAATTGAGCTCCTCTTCAACCCTTTCTGGCTTCAATTCGCCTTTGTCGTTGCGAAAAACCCCCATATTCTTCGAAGAAAAAGCCTAGAAAAGAAAAATCAATAAATTCGCGTTGAACAGCCAAGTCATATGAAAGAACAGCAAATCAGCGGTCGCAAAGAGGATCAGACAGTTAGAAGAAAGTTCGATTTATTCTTTTTCAGAATTGCTTAATATTACAACATAAAATGCAATAATCGGGCGTCTGTGGAAGTAAATCTCAATGGAGCACAGATGTTCAACTCGTCGATACCGAAAAGCGAGCAATTGAGCAAATCCGCAAAATGATGTAAAACTCTTTTATAAAATATTCCGTAGCCAAAAACGAAAGAAATTTGATAATAAATTTGCATTTTATTTATTCTCTTTTTTCGAAATACCTTTCCTCAATGTTTTCTTTTTCTATTACAAAATTGATCCAATATCTAAAGTCAATGCACACTATGACTATCAATCCAATTGCGATAATAAAGATAAGAGTGTCGGCTCGTAACCACTTATCATTCGACCCAATTCGGCCACAATCGTCCCAAATTCTCCTGTTTTTATCATAAATTTTCAAGAAAAATGGATCTTCTTCACAAAGGATGGTTCACCGAGTTTTCGCCCGACGATTTGGAAAAGCTTAAGAATGGAGAAAACGTCGCAGACGGTTCCAAGTTGATGAAGTCTGACGGCCAAGAGATGGGTGGTGCCTGGCCGGGTCAGGCTTTCTCCCTTCAAGTCAAAAAGGTGCTTTTCCATGAGAAAAGCAAATATCAAGACGTTCTAGTGTTCGAGAGGTACCAATGTTTTTAAATTTCTAAAGTTTTACAAAAAAAAATTTCAGCGTTTCTCATGGAAATGTCTTAGTCCTTGACGGTGTAATTCAAGTGACCGAGCGCGATGAATTTTCCTATCAGGAAATGCTAGCACATTTACCACTTTTCGCTCATCCAAACCCTAAAAAGGTACAACACTTTTTAAAGGCCAAAAGAAATCTTTAAACTATTCGTAGGTTCTCATAATCGGCGGTGGTGATGGTGGAATTCTTCGTGAGGTGCTCAAGCACAAGCAAGTCGAAAAGGTCACGATGTGCGAGATCGACGAAATGGTCATTGAAGTCTCAAAGAAGTATCTCTTGGGAATGTCATGCTCGTTCTCCGATCCCAAACTCGATCTCTATTGTGGCGACGGATTCGAATTCTTAAAGAATCATACGGTAAGAAAAGGTCAAAAGAACAAAATTCATCAAAATACCTTAAATATTTTAAGAATGAGTACGACGTGATCATCACGGACAGTTCGGATCCCGTCGGGCCCGCCGAATCGCTATTCAGCAAAAGCTACTATGAGCTTCTCCACGACGCGCTCAATTCAGACGGCATCCTCTCATCTCAAGGTAAATTCGCTTAACCATCTTTAGGGGACCTAGGCGATTTTCCAGGAGAGTGCCCTTGGTTAGATTTAGCGTTGATTCGAAATCTCCTCGATATCACAAAACACCTGTACCCAGTGTCCAAGTACGCAGTTGGCAGTGTGCCAACCTATACATCCGGCCTAATGGGCTACGTTCTATGCGCTAAATCCAAGGTACACCAATGCCAATAATATGTAAAAGTTTTGCGTGCCGCTGTCGTGACCTCACCATTAGCCGAAAACCCCCAAACTCAATAGTTTTCGTAGTGATTGTATAACATATTTTTCTTTTTCTCACATTCAGGCGAATCATGTTGGCTTCACTTGAATCTTATTAAGCACCTCATCGCCAATAACCGTCAGATATTCCCGAACGTGCGCTACGCGCAATCTATCGTTTCAACATATCCATCCGGATGCATGGGCTACTTGATTTGTGCAAAAAATAATGTGAGCTTTGGGTTTAATTGCATGCCATATTTTTTGTGCTTCTTCTGCTGCTGCCGTTTTCACATAAGTATGAAGGCAAAAAAAATTACCATTTCCAGAATCGCGACGTCTCGGTTCCCACACGTCAGCTTACTCGCGATGAAGTCAAGTCGCTGAATCTGCGATTCTACAACTCTGACGTTCACCGCGCCGCCTTCGTGCTTCCCGAATTTGTACGCGCTGCATTGGAAGACAATTAGTTCAATTCTCACATTCATTTGTCGAATTTTTGATAATAAAGGATAAAAATAATTTAAATTAAAATTAACAAAATCAGTAGGACGTTTTAAAGCGCCAAGATCAAAAAACCAACAATTGATAAAAAAAAACAAAAGTTATCATTAGTTATCATCTTTTTCATGCTTCCTTTTGCGAGATCTTCCAGATTCTTCAACCTTGAAAGTGAAGTCGAATTCCTGATCTGCTCCCAAATATGAGTCCGAGATAAAGTACAATTTGTAGGTGTGTTTGCCAGGCTTCGACGCGGTAAAGTCCATTTTCATGGCAGCCTTCTCATTAATAATCAAGCTGAAAGAATATATATGATTCCATTTCGGATTATGAACCTCCAAACCGTTTAATAGAATGAAGTGTATTGGATTCCACATCTCCAATAACAAGCCACCATCCTTCCTCTTTCCTCTTCTGCGGGAACAATGGGGCAACAACTGGAGGAGCAAGACCATCAATATCATTATCACGCTCCATAGAAACATTGACAACAACGGAATCGTTTCTAAACAAAAATATTTTAAACCATATTTTTTTGAATAAAATAAGCTTACACAGCAACTGCCGAGCTTTCCAGCTCATGCTCCACTTCAATGGACGGATAGTTATTGCAGAATTTGGCCACATCAGCTAGTTGAGCGCCCTCCATTCCAAGAATCTCCATTCGATCGTCATTCTCCAGTTCAAGCAGCTCGAAGACCGACTCCACCTTCTTTTCCTTCGCTCGATCCAAAAGTGATTGGGTGCAATGCGGAAGCTGTTTCAAATACGGTTCATTGCTGTACATTGCCTGTGTGAGCATCTGCGACAGCTCCATAGCGTGAATAGCAGGAGACAACCATCCGTTACTAAATTAACCAAATATAATGTTTAAAAATATTTTTTCGAATCAAACCTGGAAAGGACATCAACACAAGCTTGTACCAATCGAATAGCCTTCAGAACAATCAATTCCGTATCCTTATTAAGCTCAGCCGTGAGTTTAATTCTTGAAAGATGTGCATGAATAAGAAGGTTGACCTTGACATGCGGATCAGTGAATTTCTGGTTCTTCAACTGTCCAGGCAGACGATCAGCGAGCTGCTTAAGCACAATGTCCTCTTTGTGACGCATCGGAACATTCGAGAACTCGCTAGCATTCGAGATAATCTCCACAAGCGCACGCATTTTCGTTTTCGATTGCAGGGACATTGAGAAAAGTTCTGAAAAAAAGAAAATGACAAAAAGAAAATTTTCAAAAATCTTACCAATAGTGGTATACGATATATAATAGTAAGCAGCAATCATTCCCAAATTCAGCGACACCGTATCCATATCGTCCTTGATAGCAATGCATTTGCTATTCTCCAAATCTTTCAGCGTATTCTCAACAAGTTCCGAGAGCGCGTCGGACAAATGCCGATGAGACACCCCTTGTAAATTGTAGTAGTTCGGATTTTGCGTCATTCGACGATACAATAGGGTCCAAGTGAGGTACTGCAAAACCCGAACTGTGAAAAACGGAAAAACGTTTAGCCCGCGGAGGGACTTGAACCCCCATTCCCGGTTCCGGAGTCCGGTGCCTTATCCATTAGGCCACGCGGGCGCCGGTAAAACGATTCTCTCGGCCCGTATATATCATACGGAATCGTGGCTCGCTATTTGTAAACAACCTACGATTTTCACGTAAACAAGTCTTGTTTACTATTTCTCATTTTCGATTCGTTGCCATATCGGCAAGACAAACTCACATCAATCGCATCCTGCTTATTTTCGATGGTTTTCGTCACAATTTCCGCATTGAAGTGATCATGAAGGCAGTGGTCAAGATGGGATTCAACTGGAAGCGGATCGAACAGGAACTTCTTGAAGTAGGCCTTTTTCGATGATTGACACATAACAACACATTTTGCTGAAAAAATTACCCACTTCAGATTTGTATTAAGCAGAGAATGTAAAATGTTTAAATCGAAAATTTATAAAGAAAATCCGCACATACCTTCGGTGTCAACCGTCGGCCGATTCGCGAGTCCCACCATATGCAGCATATCACCGATCGGATAATCCTCATATACATGATACTTTCCATTGTAGAACTGCGTGTCCATGATAACCACAAGATACGCGCTCATATTAATCTGATAGCACATTCCTCTTGGGACCACGCAAACCTGCAATCCCATATGAAATACAATAATAAACCAAATTTATTACTTGAATTGCTCCACTGGTGAACAGTTGCTCAACAATATTCATATCTTTGGCCGAGGTTCCTTCATGAAGGAATCCAACACCAAAGGAGAGGGTCTCCTTCAGAGTTTCGTCTTCAATCATTCCGAGCAACGAGACAAAAGTCTCATCTTGTTCATTGATGTGCAAGAATCTTTTCGAAGCGCCATCCGCTAACGCCATCGTGAGAATTCCAACAGCAGTTGGTCGCGCTTGGCGACGAACCGGCACGAAGACAAGAGCTGGTTTCGGTCGGAGTTTTCCAGCATGTCTAACAATTGACTGATAAACGGGGCGTTCCATGGCAGCGAATCTCGACGCATTATGCGAGAGGTTGAATCCCTTGATCTCCAATTCCAAAGGAATTGGTCTTGTGACGGGAAGGAAGTTGAACGTCGAAGAAGCCGAGCATCCCAGCCACATTCCAAGATCTCTCGCATTCGTCAATGATGATGAAAGGGCGACAATTCGAATCGCCGACTCTAATTGTGCCGAAATATAGCGCATTCTCGAGCAGACAACCTCCAAAACCGGTCCATTGCCAGCTCCAATCATATGCAAATCATCAGTAATGAAAAGCTTTACAGCTTGCACATTCTTCCTCTGTTTCCAACGTCTCGAAACATTGTCCCATCTCTCCGGCGTCGCAATAATCAATTTTCCTCGCTGAAGAAGCTTCAAATCCGTGGACGGCTCTCCAGTGAGCATGACGACCTGCTGATCGATAACTGGTTCAATCCTCTGCTGCCAATCAGCAAACACCTAAGTGGAACCAAATATATTGTACAGAAAATACAGATTTATTGCAAACCTTAATAGCCATATCCTCCATTGGTGTCACATAGACACATTTCGATTCTGGTGTATTCTCAAAGAATCGCAAAATGGCGAGTTCAGCGATCGCAGTCTTTCCAGATCCATTTGGAGCGCATACAATTACATTCTCATTACTTTCATAGACCGTACGGAAGACTAAAAATTTACTTGAGAATAATTAGTTCTTCTAAGAGAATTGTTACCTTGAGTCTGAATTGCATTGAACACTTTGATCTCCTTGTCCATAAAAACCTTCATGTGTGCCTTATTGTTAACAGCCGATATCGGAAGCGGCTGCAAGTCAAGCAACTCAGTTGGAGGCGGGTACTTCTCGGGAAGTATCAAGTGTCGGAACGACACCGGAAGCACAGTCTCCGATCCAATCCAGCGGTCCGAAACAATTCTAACAAAGTAAAGCGGCGGCATTGGGTCAAACATCGGAACAATCATCTTGACAACATGCTCGTCCGTCGCGAACTTTTGCTTCAACAAGAAGAACTCATGATGAAGAATCTTCTCGCCATCAGTATCCTCAACAAAGATCCAGAATCCTTCAGCATTTCCATGAACTTTTTCATCCCACTGGAAGTCCGGTGTAATCGAGAGCTCGATTCTCATTGTAGTCCTCGTAATCGGTTGAATCAAAGTAGTCATTTCCAACTTCGGGAATTGTCTAATAAACTTATACAATGGCTTTCCCATTTTTGGCATTTTGATGAGGTCTCCGAGCTGGTGTTGATCCAAATCATATAATCTATCAAACGAATAATTCTTCTTATCGATAGAACGGACCACTTCGCTCGGAATTTTCTTGAATTGATGCAGTGGGTTCAATGATCCCCATTGTCGTTGAGTGACCATTTTGCAAAGCGTCAATACTTTCAACGCAAGTCCAGCCCATCCTCTCCAAAGAACGATTTCGAACAAAGCGCGGAAGAGACGTCCAGCCGATTGCGCGACAAAAACCATATCAGCTTGAAGAGCGAATCCTTCAAGTTTCAGCTGCGAGATGTAAGCCTGAACAAATTTCATTAAACAATTTCATTTTCTTCTATTTCTTGCCTGTAGGAGCACATTCGTCTTCGCCGATGCCTCCTCCAAGCTCTCCTTAATAGGAATTGGCGCATGCTCAGCGAGCTTCTGCAATTCCAATTTCTCCTCCTCGCGAACCGACAACAGTTTGAATTCTGAGCTCATCGAGAAAATTCGGAACAAATCAATATCGGAGCAAGTTTCAACAAGCAATTTGTTGTAAGTTTGAATCGATTCGTAAGTGCAGTAATAATGAGAAGCAATTCTCCCAAGTTCGGTAGCTTGAATCAGTCCGCTTCGCTTATCATAATTCACCAATTTGGCCTTGTCCAGAAGAGTGCAAGCTGTATGAATCAAATCCGCCCGTCGTTGCTCCAAAAGTGGATCGGCTTTCTGTAAAAAATCCCATAATCAATATTTAATAAGATAAATTTTTCAAAGATCACAACTGAAAAAAATTTAAAAAATATATTGAAAATGATCTAAAATGTATACCGCTTACCGCTTGCTCATGCGTAATTCCGTAAAGTGTCGGGTTCTTCAGCATTCTGACATACAGGTACGTATATCCCAACCAGTTCGTAGCCTCGCTCACACTGCTCACTGTGCCCAACACAATTTCGGCATTCAACATATCAGTAAGTCTCGAAATCATTTGACTCTCCACAGGAAGTTGCTGATTCATCAACGATAGATAATATTGAAGCTCCGAGTGGTTCGTGATCAAGATTCCTTCTCCTTTCGAATCATACTGCGGACGTCCGGCACGTCCAAGCATCTGCATGATATCCAACGCGCCAAGCTCTGTCCATCTTCCCTTTTCTGGATTGTAAATTTGGGTTCCCTTGATGATGACGGTATGCGCAGGAAGATTGACTCCCCATGCAAGTGTGGCCGTTGAGAAAAGAACTTGAATATGCCTATCAGCAAATAAATCTTCCACCAGTGTACGATCAACTCGGTTCATTCCAGCATGGTGAATCGCGAATCCATAAGGAAGGAGATCCTTAAGATCCAAATTCTTCACAGGCTCGGCTTCCGTTCTCAAAATCTCCGTACTCGCCGATCCTTCTTTCATGAAAGCCGAAAGGGTATCTTTTTCAAGGCAAGCATCTCGAATCGCTTTTGCCGTCTTCGCGGTTTCTTTTCTCGAATGGACGAATACCAAAACCTGGCTCTTTCCAGCATGCTCCATGATTTTATCATAAACAACTTCGTTCATCGCCTGGAATCGTTTCAAAGCCTTCTTCTCCGTGACTCCAATATACTGTTGCTCGAGGGGAACTGGACGATAGCTGTTATCGAAGAAGTACAGGTGTTCAGCCTTCACACGAAGGAACGTGGCAACATCCTGATAGTTCGGAAGCGTAGCTGACAATCCAACAAGCCGGCATTCATCATTATTCTGTTCCATTTGACGAATTGTACGCACAACAATTGACTCAAGTACCGGTCCTTAAAAGTTATAATCTAATGTATGAACGTTCAGAAGATTGCTTACCTCGATCATCATGAAGCAAATGAATTTCATCAATAATTAAAAGCCGAACCATTGTACTGTAGGCGCGTTCTCCTCCTTTTCTTGTCACTACATCATACTTTTCCGGTGTACAAACGATAACCTGTGTTCCCATAAATTGCTCTTTGCTCATTTGTGCGTCTCCAGTCATTTCTCCGACCTGAAAAACCACTACTATCAATAATTCGCAAACCCATCAAATACCGTAATTCCATAAGGAGCTAGCCTCTTAGTGAAACTTCCAACCATTTCCTGTACCAGCGATTTCATTGGGGCAATGTAGATCACTTTGAACTCGTCATGCTTCACCTTTCCCTCCTCGTCCAAATGTTTTCCAATTTCATGTAAAATTGTCAGAAGCGCGACATTCGTTTTACCAGCTCCCTAAAAAGGAAATTCAAACATAATTCCTGGAGTAATTGGTTACCGTGGGAGCACAAAGCAACAAATGCTCATCGGAATGAAGTGCACTTTTGCACAATCTCGACTGAATCCGATTCAAAGACTTGTATCCATCAAAAGCAGGCTGGGCCCATTTGGGAAGCTCCGAGATCGGAATTAACTTTTCGCCTTCAGCGAATGGCTTCGGCTTAAGCGCGGGAACGTGAATCTCTTCGTAACTCTTCTTCTGTTTACGATAAGAACCATCAGGCAATTCACACCTTTAAAAACATCATTGTTAAACAAATAAAATTAAACAGAATACCTTTTATTGCTCATCAAATGAGAACCTTGCGAGAATGTGAGATCAGCCAGATCCAACATTTTTCTCCCCGCCTGCCACTGCCCAGCATTAATGGCTTCTTCAGCTGCTGCCGCCGCAGCTTTCTTAGATCGCTCCTTATCCCGCTTCGCTTTCTCCGTTTCAACGATATCTTCAGTCTCCGTTTCTTGCAATTTGGTTAGAATATGGTGCAATTCCGGCTTGCTGCGCATGTCATCCTCAATTTTCTGTCGCTCTTCATCACTTGCCTGTCGAAGGAGAGTGCAGTAAAGGACCATCAACCGATTTTGGCGAAGGATTTTAATAAAGTCGAATTGATCGAATCCAAGGAGAAGAACTAGCTGATTCTCAGCTTCGCGATCGTCTGCAGCATCTTTCAAAATATTGATAATTTCCTTCACTTTCTGCTGAGCCATCAAAGGATCCTTGTAAAATTTCGCAAGGGATCTTTGAATCCAGTGGGCATCAATATCACGGGGATGAAGTATCCCTCTAGCTTTTTCTTCATCCTCGTCCTAAAAAAAAGTAATGGTTACAATACCGTCAGAGAAATACCAAAATCTTACTTCAAGTTGTCCATCTCCTTTTAAAGTTGCAGTGAAATCGGTATCAACTCCTTCCTCCTCCTCACTTTCATCGCTTTCTCCCTTAATTTCTTCAACAACCCCATCCTCATCTTCCTCATCAGAATCGAATTGCACATTAACTCCTTCATTTTCATCAAGCTCATCCTAAAATTTCCAAAAATTATTTTTAAAACTCATAAGAAAAATATATACCATATCATTCTTGTTATCATCATCAAGCGAAAAATCAGTAATTTTTTTCGCCAAATTAATCAAAACCGCGACTCGCTCATCGGTTAGGGAGCCCAACAGCTGCTCGACCTCCTTTCTCTTATCCTTCTCACGAAGCTTGTCACTTTTCAGCGTGATGAGCACTTCATCAGCGGCACCGCAAAGAATATCACGCGGCTGATCACCAATGGCTTCTTGAATAAATGCCAAAATCACTTCATAAGTCTGTTTCGTTTCCTGTGTTCTTGGCTTATAAGCTCCCATGAGCTCTGTATTATCTCCAAGAACATTTTTGGCGACTAATCTCAAAGATTTATCTTCATCCTTCTTCTTCCTAAATAGCAAATTTAAAATTAAAATGTAACTAAAAACATACTTCTTTTTCTTTTGCTCTTGAATGGGAGCTTTCGACTTGATCGCTCGATCTCCCATTTTCATTGTCTTCATCAATTTATCAGTCAGTGGCAAAACTTCACCAGTAGGCTCTTCACGTCCGCGTCGGTCCGTAAGATTGTAATCAACTGACAGGACCAAGTTTGAGTTCTAAATTCCTCTACGATTGAATAAAAATTAAATAAAATACCTGTCGATACTCATATTGCTGAATTCTGGCCAATTCATCGGCCATCTTTCCTCCACTTGGGTTATTTTCCTAGAAAATAAACCTGAAAAGCGTCAATATTATTAATTTATGAAAGAAAAATATTTTAGATATAATTAGTTAACGGACTTTTCAACGAATTTTATAAAAAAAATAATTTTAACAATTAATTTATTCACAACATAATAGGAATGTTATTTGAAATCGACTAAAACCTAGCATTTAAAGCGTAAAAATGTTATTATTCGTTTTTTGGGCAATATAATAGAGATCAAGCTACGATTAAGTATGTTCGCAAAATGAAAAGAAACATCATTTGGTTGCTCATTTCTGTTGCTCCAATCGTTTCTTAATATCATATTGAACAACAATGTCCGCAGCTGTATACAAATGAACAACGCTGATGGCGGTTTTGACAAAAGCAACGAAGAATGCGAGGAAGGCGAAGACCGACATGATATGAACACCGATGAGAGGAATAGCGGGACCCGCCCAGAAGGCGCGGATGTACAATAGAATGTAGAATGCCTCATTTCCGGCACACATGAAGCCAAGGAAACGGCGATCAGTGTAGTAAAGATGGAGAATCGGATTGGAGCTTTGCTTATGGGTTGTCGCTTGGGTCAAGTCAGTTGCATGAAGGTGAAGCCAGTGAGAGGCAATATCGATAACAGCCGAAAGCTGGAGTGGAAACAACCAATCTGGGTAGAACTTGCAAAGTGCCATTATAAGAGCGAGAGTTCCACATCTAAACCAAAGCTACACCAATATCTTCAGTGCTTTTGGATTTTACCGATCAGTGAGCTGGTCGAGCATTGCTCCGAACCGCGTTGATTGATTGTAAGTTCGCGCTGCCCAGCCATCGAACGCGTCAAGGCCAGCGCTCAACGCATAGCTTTAAAATTAAGTATTAAATCGTACCAGATTCTAATAATAATTTTTACCAAATAATCGCCATTGCCGGAGAAGTCGACATGTAATACATGGACATTATTGCAAGCACAATACGACCATAACCAATGAGATTCGGATAAAAAAGCCAGACGTTATTATCGGTGGTCATCTATTTAAATAAAGTGTAATCGAAACAACAAAAAACGAATGATGGTTTCTATGGAGACGATGAACTACTAAATCGGACTAGTAAAAAGAATATTCACAGATTTACTTAAAATTAAAATTATAGAAAGCCGAACCAAAAATGGAAACTGCTCCATCCAATTGTGGCATTAAAATTATAAAGAATACGCCAAAAACCAATACGAAGATTAACCTCTTATTCAGGACAGCTCCGCGGAAAATTTGTTATAAACACATTTAATCAAATATTATTTTAACACTTAATAACTTTTAGATAAATTTCTAGCAGTATTTAGATAATTAACAGAAATCGACAAAAAAAACTAAGCGGAATCGCAAGACGGCATTTTCGAAAATGTGCCAGTCCAATGGAGCGCACTTGCTCTATTGTGTAAGATGCACGCCAAGTTTGGGAGGTTCCGGTCGGGTGACATTGTTCCATTAGCAAGCAAAAGAGAAAAGCTGTTTTAGAGAAATATTTATTGGTTGTCCAAATGAAAACCATGTAAAAAGTAATGGAGGGAAATGCGCAAAGTAGAATGAGCTAAATACCTAAATGGAAAAAGGTAATCGTCCTCAAAGGAATCGCGAAATTCAATAATTTTATGCATTTATTGAAAAACACAATGTGCAACTATGTGTAGACTTTATTGGAGAAGAAATATAACTTGTATAAAAACGAAAAATTTGGTTAAAAAAAAGCCATTTAAAGGACCATGGTATTCGAAAGGTTGCCTATGAGTACTTCTCACGACTTGATAGGTCGTAGAGAAGCCGCCAGGTGAGGAAGAAGCCTGGCGGTGTCCTAGAAGAAAGGATATCGCCAGTTGATCCTCTTCGCCACGGAGAAGCTCGGTACGTGAAGAGGAGGCTCCCCAGCTGCAGATAGAAAACCTTAAGTGGACCATCACCCGATTCCGAAGGATCTTAAAAAAACCACACACACACACACACACACAAAGATAAAAGAGTGGAAGAAGGAAGAGGAGAGTCGTATATGGTACGACATTCCCGGAAAAAATAAGAGAAGAATGTACAGACGTAAGTGGTGCGAATGTACGAAGAGAAAAGAGAATCCCAAGTGGTAGGTTATAGAAGAAGAAGAAGCCGCAAGTGGTACGGTAGAGGAAATCAGTCGACTGATAGAGTGAAGTGGTGCGATTGATGCAGGTGACAGCCATAAGTGGTACGGCTGGAAAGATTTACACACGTTGATGAAATTTTATTTAAGAAAAATAGAAAATAGAATTAAAAGCCCTTAAGAGGGCCGTTGGGATTCGAAAGCATTGTAGGTGTCTCGGAATACTTCTCACGACTTGCTGGGTCGTAGAGAAGCCGCCTAGTTGAGGAGGAGGTATCCTCCTCGAATATTGATATTAAAATATCAATGTTTCATTTTTTAAGACAACAAAATTCCGTAGAAAAATTTTAAAATTTTCGAATAACAAGAAATTGTCTTTTTATTTATTTTTATCTTCATTCATTCTTTAGGTATTAAATAGTGATACAACATTTACGGAAAAAATTTTTCCTGGAGAATATGAAAATCACTTGGATCATAAAAATCCGGTTTATCAGTATCAAGAATTGTAAAAAATAATTTTTAATTGAAAAGATAAAACTACTCAGTCTGAAATTTCTTTCATATTCGCTGAAATCTCCGAATCTTTTTTATCGATTATTCACGCATCCTTGTAATTCCAGGTTACTAATATTTCAAATTACACATATCTAGTAAATTGCAATTAACTCTCGGGTAACGAAGGGTAACTACTTTTTATTTTCTGATGCAATCCCAAAGAAAAAACCAAGATCTCTAAATGATCAATTTTTTTATAGCGTCAAAACGTCATTTCATTTCGATTCATCGTGAAGAGCCAACAACGACATTAATTTTTGCACGATTCGCCCATTATATATCGTATACGATTAACACTTTTATGGTAAGTGCTGCTCTCGTGAAGCTCCAATTTCCAATTCAAATTTATTTGTTTCTATGGATGTGCGGGCTCCACCCTATGATTTATTCAAAAAACAAGTGATTCTTGACGAATAACAACGCGAATCGGCGCTATATGGGCGGAGCCGCGATGCCGGCTTGCCAGCCATCATTTCACTTGTTTTCCTCCTTGCATAGCTCATTTCATCTCTACAGTATTCCAATTTTCAGTATGCGCTCCACATTCATTCTTCTACTCGTCCTTGTCGTCCATTTCATCCATGCGAGACCTCATGTGAACTACGACGACGTTCATTCGCTTTTCAAAAAAGACAGGTATCCGCTAATTTTCGTCGCGATATCCCACTTTGCTATCAATTTCAGTACCGACGGAGCCGCATCGGAGCAGCAGCTGGTGTTGGCGAAGCTCGAGGAGCTTCTCGGTCCTGAGGCGTTCGCGGAGAGCTTCGATTCATCGCATGGCCGTCTTTCCAATCTTCAGCGACTCGGCTAATCCACCAATGTCCCTAATCGAAGAGCAGACAAAGGAAGGCAACTTTTAACTACTATTGGGTACCGTAAATAAATATTTTGGACGTTTGATTTGTTGTTGATAAATGAAAAAATGTTTCTCTGGAAAAGCAGAAGCTTCAGAATAGTGCGGATCTCTTTTAAAAATCTGCGCTTATTAAAATGGCACAAACATTCCATTGGTCCGCGTGGCTCCAATGAGCGTCGTATCCAAGGTCACTCCCGCAGTACGACAATATGGTTCTGAAATTTCAAACGCTTGTGAGACCTTGACAAATTCATACTTTTATAGAAATGTCACGAACTTACTTGAGCGGCAGCGGAAAATTGGAAAGATGCCAAAAGAAATAAAGAAGAGGCCTCGGTGCGCGGTGTGCGCCTTGAACCTATCCTTATACATAGGCCCGTAAATTTCCACTTTCAGTTTTGCCCCAAGACCACTGTTATTGTTTTTTTTGGCATTAAGTCAATTTTCCGCAGTCGCGCGACTTCGACAATGAAAAATATTCTTTAAAAAATTGAAAAAGTCAAACTTACACATGCACTTATAAGTTTTTTTTTAGTTTTTTTGGAGTGCAACTAGAATGTCAGATCGTTATTAAATGAGAGGAGTCTTAAAAACTTTTTTTTTATGTTCATATGACGTTTTCTCTGGCAATCGAAAGCAATTTGGGCTAACATGCAGATAAACACCCCACACGGTGCATTATACAGCCCCGCGAATAAATTGCATTTAAGGGACCCACATAGGGTAGTATAGGTCCCCCGCGATCAAAATGTATTCGGTTCCGTGCGTGGATCTCATCGGCACAATAGGGTTTGACTATATTATTTCATTTTGTAATTAACAAATATGCAATTGGCGGAATCGTGTTGGCTCACATTATTCAACGCGCATGTGCGTGGCGCCTATTTATTTCCATTCGATTCATTTGGTTTTTGCTGATTTTAACGGTTTGAACGTGAATCGCTTTTTTGCCGGAATATAAATGCAGCGGCAATGTAAGTTCGCGTTATCTTGACATTCCAAGAAATACAGTGTAACATCTGTTTTCTGGAAAATAAGTGCTCACTGTAAATTATTCAATTTCATTTATTTATCTTACTATTGAGTTAATAAGGTAGTTTTGAATTATTAAATTTTTTTGAAATATCGATATTTTCAGTCCATTTCCGATTTTTGGGGGGACCTCATCTGCACTATGTAGGTTTCTTTAATGCAATTTTCCCCGCGGGGCTGTATAATGCATCTTGTGGGGAGCCTATCTGCAGGATCGAACCGTGCAGATAAGGTGCCCATAGTGCAGATGAGGTCCCCAGATCGACATACGTTGCCATAGTGAAGTTAAAGTCCCCAGTGAAGAAGATGTCCCCACTTTCAGTGTAAGTGTTGACTTCTGCTGCAATTGCGGGGACCCTTCCCACACTCTGGGGTCCTATATTGATGTGGGGACCTCATCTGCATGATCGCCGCAATTTGAACAAGCACAAATTGACTTGTGACGTTTCAGAACACTGTTCTATTCGCAAAATGTTAAAAAAAAACGAGCGGGGAGATGAAACTGCGAATGAGGGGGCGGGAGGGGGCGAATTTCGCGAATTTCGCGATGGGTTGCTGGGCGAATTAGCCTAGTGGTAGAGGCGAATTCACAAAAAAAGCAATGTTCGGCGTCAGATGACTGATCAGTGACGGAAAATTTAATTTCACGGACCGGTGTAGATCTACGAAATTCGAAATTTACGTGCGGTCTATTAATTGCGCGTAAACTAAAATGCAGAGTACGCAGGCACATACGTACACCACGCTTTGCCTCAAGACATCGTGGCACATAGCCCAGCCGTAATTCGAACCTGAAAACCTTTGCTTGCACACCAACAATTATACATATACATATTTGCATTTTGCGTGACTCACATTTTCTGATAAAAAATGTTTCATAATATATACGAATATTGGGAAATATTTTCCCGTCTCGTCATTGATGATCAAATTTTTTCATTATCAGTGTAAGCTGATAATAAAGGTACAAACACGCACACACGCAAGCACAGGGGACGAAAACATCAGCCTATTACGAAATCATCGGAAAGTCTACCGTACCCCATAATTGGCCTCAAAAATTGAGACCACAAATTGTCACGTGATTGTGGGGTTTTGCCTTGCGGATCTACCTTATCAATTGCTCATTTGCTGCAAATATTTAAAAAAAAGTCTTGGATCATTTATGAACGGCAATTATATATATAATGATACATATCATATTTTTTTTTGCTGTTTGTAATCTCACAATATATGTATATATAAAAAAGAAATATTTAAAACCCGTGGCTATAATGAACAAATTTTAATACAAAGTGTGCAAGAAACAGAAAATCCCCCATTCAAATTACAAATCTTTTTTTTTTTTGGAATATTGTAGCTAAAATCACCGATGACTGTTGGCACATGACTCTCGAGACTAGAGAAAAAAGGAAAAAATCACAAATTATTTGCAAGAGATTTCTAGAGAACTTGTCGAGCTGATCGATTTCCGATCATCGTCGACGCACGACTCGTTGAAACCGGATTCCGGTGATTCGGTCTCTTCGGTGGTAGCTGGCAGCTGACTGTGCTGCAGCAGGATCACGCCGGATGACCGCAGGCATTCGGGACGAGACGTTGGTCTCGACACAAACTGAAAAATTCAATACCAATCATTTCACCGATTCCATTTGATTTCAAACCTTTTTGAACCTAAAATTCGGAGGAGCTCTACTTCCTGACCCGCTTGGCTCGTTGGCCTCATCACAAAACACTGGATTCACCAAGGCACTAGGGATTCGAATTCCACCACATTCCTTCGTGGGAGCGCGACTCATGACAAAACACGGATTCGTATAAGCAAGTTGCGACGAGTCCTCTGAGCTTGAATAATATGACGATGCGGTTGAGCTAGGTGATGATGGCTGATTCTCTGGATCAATTCCAGCCTCGAACGACAATCTGCTGAATTCCGATGAAGGCGACGGAACATCTGGGGTAATCGGCACCGACGCCGCCGAAGACAGTTGGGCTTTTCGATTCGAAATTCCCAACGCTTTCGGCCGACATGGCGGCATCTCGGTAAGACTTCGCTTCCCATTCTCATTGACTGTCGCCGACGGCTCGGCGTCAGACATTGATTCCTCATTGCTGGCTTCAGGGGTCGGTGTGAATACACTAGACACACTCTTTGGTACCTTCGGCGGACACAGAAGATCCTGACTCGTTTTCTCATTGCGATACGGTCTTGAGGCCTGCTCAGGCCGCAGCACATTCTCTTTAATCAGCTGATTCTCATATTCAAGGAGTTGACCCATAAAATTAAAATTTGGCGAGATCGAAGGCCTCAGATTTTTGACATATCTGCAAAAAGTAGTTTTTCATTTTTAATTTAATTTAATTTTGCTACCTATAAGCCTCATCACTGCTCATTTTCTTATGCTTCATTATATAAGAAATACAGAGAGTTGGTGATCTTGAGATTCCTGCTAGGCAATGAATCAGACACTTCTTCCCTTCCATCCGAACAGATTCTGAAAATGTTTTTCTAATCAGAACATCCCAAACTCACAAATTACCTAAGAATTCATAAGCCTCGGGAAAATACGGGTACAATTTCTCCTGGTACGAGTCGTTCACAGGTATTCGCATAAAGTTCTTCTCATCCTTGATGCAAACCGATTTGGGACATGTCACGGACAAATTAATTACGCTGGTGATGTCAAGCGCCTTCAACATATTCTCATCAAGACTATCAATCTGGCTGCCTAGATAGATGAACGGCGTGATTTTCGTGATGCCATCACCATTAGGAATTGATAGGCAAGGCTGCGAGAAACTCTGCGGTATTCGGTTCATTCCAGGCGAGGCTTCACACAATTGTGGGTATTGCGATTCGAATTTCTTGTAGCCGCCTGTAAAGAAAATTTATTTTAAGAGAAAAAAAAATAATAAGCAAAGGGTTAAACAATATACCAACCATATTTTCGAAATTTTAGCACCAATTTTTTCGGTTTCAATTCCATAATGTAGATAGAGTAGGTAGAGAATGAGTGATTCCTAATCAACCCCACACCATATGTATATATATATATATATATATATATATCGGGACTAGACCTGTCTACTTCCGATCATGATTATATGCTATTAGTAATTTAAGATAAGACGTTATGACAAGCAAATATTAAAAGAAGGGAGCGAAGAGGATACCAAATATGGAAAACAATTGGTAACACCAGGTCAGACAACAGTTGCTACCTGCCTGCCGCGATTCCTTCGGCGAACAATCAGCGGATCATCATAGTGTGATCTGAACTCAAACACACTCACACTCACCAAACCAATGACTCATCGCCAAATGTGTAATGTCTTAAAGAACGATAAGGAAAAGAGAATGAGAAATAAAGCGCGCGTTCACGCGGACACATTGATTAGTCAGTCGCAATGCAGTAGAAAAAGGTTTGGCAAATTACAGTCTACTTTACAAGACAAATGGGTGGCTGAAAAAAAACTAGAAAAAAATAGGTTTTTTTTCTGCTGTGGCGAGAGCGCGCGCTCTTCTCTGCGTCAATCCCATCGGCCCACTCTCTAGTTGGTGAGACCCCCGACGAGTGAAGGTGCGTCATCGTTTTGAATGCCCAATTTCTGGCCGATTCATCCCAATCGTTTGTAGAGTGACTCATAAACACATTGCGGCGACGTCTTTCCATTATTTGTACGCGGTATTTTTTTTGCGGATTCTATTCTCAGCTGATCTTACCTTTGCCAGCTTCTTTATTGAACTGAATAGGAAGATTAAAAGTAGGCTTAAGCTTTCGAATAGCTTCATCCTCCTGCCTGCCGCTGATCTTCGGCTCATCATTATCGTTGCTGCTCTCTTGGCGTTGTTTCGCCAAACGTCGCTGATTCTCCAACTGCTTTCGGCGATTGCGCGCCTTTCTCCGTTTGCGATTTCGAACCGCTTGCGAATCATCGGCGAAATGTAGGAACATTATTAGTAATAACAGAAACCACAACCAAATATGTAATGCGCGTTTTTCTGCTGCTGTTGTTGTTGGCCTCCTCTGGTGTGGCAAGGGTGCCTCGACGATAATGACAGCGTCTAGTACGGAGACGCCAAAGAAACCCGCCACCGCCACTTATTGATTTGGAGCTAGAGAAGAAGGAGTAAGAGAGCGAAGCCATGAGTCATCATCAGGCTAGGAGGCAAAGAAGGGAACAACTAGTAAAAAATCGCGGTCTCCCACAAAAAAAATAGCGATACGTGCTAACAAGTGATGAGCAAGCGTCTATTAGAACGAAAAAAGAAAACGAAAGATTGAGCTTCAAAACCGAAGAAAATGAATTCACAACAATTCATTGTTCTTCAGGAGGGTGTGAGAAGGAACCAAATTTAATTAGCGCATTTCCAACTTCTAGGCAAGAAAATTTGGCTGACAGCGAGAAAAAAGGCAATGGGATTCAAGAAAACATAGAGGCACGACTAACAGGTAAAAAGATATGATAACAATCATATGATTGTTTTCCGCAAAAAAAAATGGAATGGAACAAATTTTTGGTTGACTCACATACACTCTTCCTGTCTCATACACAACACGCACACAAAATAGATATGAATGAGTGACACAAAAAAGGGACCGAGTACTAGGCCGTATTATATGTCAAATAAATCTGACACAGAAAAAAATTCCCGATGGAGGAGGAGTGAGAGGAGCATCAGAAGGCAAATTTTTTAAAAGTAGATTTTACCTTCTAGGACCATGACCGCTCTGAACTTTTGTGTCTCTTCAAGACGATCGCGAAGCGTTTTCAATATTTTCGACGAGTTCTCACACCCATTATAGGAAGCGTTTCTGCAAAAACAAAACCAAATACTCACCAAATATCAAGCTACTAAATATACCTTCGCTTTACCGTTCCTCTCGGCTTCTCTTCATCACCATAAAGCACAACATCAAGTTTCTCGCTCATCTCACGACACACCGCTGAATGACTGGTCAACTGTTGTAATAAGCAGGAATCGTCCAACTGGAAATGTCGATTTTGTGTTGAACACCGTATCCTGGTGGTGATGGTCACTCGGTCCGCCCCTTTCCCGAATTCGTGACACTGACTCATCCAAAATGAATCATGTGTAAGCATTTTGAAATAACTAATTTCAAAAGCCAGTATTCGTCATTGTCGCCAAGGATCCCTCTCTACATAATACCTCATGTTGTTGTTGTTATTTTTGCATTTCTATTCTCCCCAAAAATAAACGAGGCGAACAGAAAGAAAAAATTGGGCCACTAATCGAGTGGAATGTGACGTCAATGTAACGGTAAATATCACATCAAACAAACATAAGGCCAGCGTCTTTTTTTAAGAAAAAAAAAATGCGTACCTTGTTCTCAAACAAACGTCTCCGGATGAGTTTCGAGAAGAACGCGTTAACCGACGTCCGAACATGCGATTCATTGAATTCGGTAAAGCCGCGACAATCGACGATCAACGTCGTCTTCGGGCTCTGTCTTAACAGTGAGGATAGTCCACATGCATTGATTGTGGCATTGTCCAATATTGTCATATCCTGAAAATCATGAAAAATAGATACAAATCCAAAAATAAGCGAATAAGTGAAACGAAAAACGAGAAAATTGTAGGGAGGGAGGGAGGTTGCAAACACGGTAGGTGGAAAAATCAGCTGCGATCCCACCCACTCACAAAATTTCACCTGATTTCATTGCATTTAATGACGAATAAATTGAATTGACCAAAAATTTGAGAGGATTATCACTGAAAAGGCGACAATGAATTGGAATGGATGATCTTGATGACGATGATAATAATAATGAAGAATCGGGATTTTCTAAGTGATAATTCGGCGTTCTTTCCTGTTTTCGTTATTTCTCCACCTTTCCCACGAACAATAAATGATGTCATTTCAATTCAGTTGAGTGACCGACCGCAATCCACAAAAACTGTGTCGAAAAATGAAGGCGAATGTTTGAAAAATCCTACCAACTATGTATGATTTCATAAACGAAGTGATGTCACAATTCAAAAGGTGCTACTGCTGCTGCTGCTGCTGCTGGTGGTGACGGTGGTCGTGGTGAAAAGAGCGCCCGAGAGAGAGCACCAAAAATTTGGAAAGCGTGAGAAAATTTCGGGGTGGGGGGGGGGGCGACATTTTGCGAGACATGACGACTAGTGCGCGTATATAAGTGCTTACTTAGATTTCAAAATGAACAATTTATTTCGAAAAAAATATATAAGTAGTAGTCGTCGGACGAAATTATGATGTCATAAATATTTTTTTAAAGCTAAATATTCAGCTGCCAACAAAATACTAACAATCTCGGCATAAACGTTTTTGGTGAAAATATTGAGAATGACGAAATAATATTTAAGAATAATTGATGGCCTAGTTTCCCGTGGCCTCGAGAGTCCGTCCTTCTTCGAAAGGCAGCTTATCGCTCAAACAACCAAAAATAAGAAAAAAAAAGCCTAGTGATGATGTCACTTGAGTAACATCATGTGAAAATTGATAATGGCAAGTAATACAAACTACTTTTAAAGATAACAATTGGTGCTGGATCGCGGTGGCTTTCAAGGCCAGGCATGAATACTCTAGGCCACGCCCCAACGTGCAGTTGTTTTTCCAAAGGCTTAAGGGCTTAACTAACCTGAAGCATCGCTTCCACGCCAACTTTTTTGGTAGTTTGCATGAAGCAGGGTTTGTGAGCTATATAGTGCGCTGAAATGGCAGCTTATAGCGTCGTAGTCGTCTGGGATTCCATCGTCGATTCCTGCAATAGATCACGATCGAAAATGGATCAGATAATAGAAGAAGCGACACATAAATATCATTTGGGCGTTTTATTTCTTATCTTAAAATTTGTTTCTTTTTTTGCTGACGAAAAAAACCGAATACAGTAGTTGACATCATCGTTTATTTGGAAACCAGTTTCTCGAAAGTCTTCTGGGCGGACACTTGGAAATTTATATATGTGGGACTAAAAATCTGTTTTTGCCGATTTCGTAAGTTTTGATTCACAGGCCGGCCAACGCACGCACGCACACACACAAAAACTGTCGACTAGGCGAAAAACCCCTCGATGAAAACTAGCAGCAGCCAGAAGAAGGAGAAGGACGAGCGAGCGAATAGAGAACGATTGAAAAATCACATATCGACAGGAGAATGGAGAGTCGGCGGCGAAACAGAATGGAGAATTGGAGAGGGTTTGAGGCGAGAAACGAAATACAAATACACACGACAATCGTGCCCCGATTCGATATGTTCATTCTATTCGACACAATTGATTTTCTAGGGGAATAGCCAGCGGAAAATTTTAAGAATTAGAAGTACCGGCATCACACCATGAATACCATAGACATCCAAAAAGGATTTCTGAAGAAAATTTAGATTTCTTGCGCTTTTTGGATCCAGCGAATCTAATGGTCCAAACTCGGCGACAAACGACGTCCATTTAAGAAGAAGCTCGTTGGGAGTAAACGGTTGATTTTGCAGTTTTCTGGACAGATTCCTGGCGTTCTGAAGCATGCCATCAGATCGCAACAATGATTCCAGTGCGATTTTGAAATCCGATGCGATCCGGAATTTCTCGACGATTTCGACACTGCCGTGCCGTGCCATCATTTTTGAGTTTCGAAATTGGTCTCCGAATAATGGAATCAGAATCGCCGGTTTTCCAGAGTACGCCAATTCGATGACACTGCTCAGACCCGCGTGGCTGACGATTCCAGCAAGTCGACGATCGCCTGCAAAATAATGACATCATTAATTTTTAGAATCTTGTTTCGCAAAAAAAAAGAACTATTGATGAAATTTGATTTCAAGGTGAAAAAACTCGTTCTTCTATTGTTTAAACTTCGAAGACCAACGATTTGCAGCACATTCTTACCTAATAAAGCACTCTGTGGAATCCATTTTGCAAATCGTATGTTTCCTGCTAAATTCGCCCATTCAACATCATCTTTCTCATATTTCCAAATAAATGTGACGTCAGGGAACAAAGTAATAACATCAAGGATCGATTTTCTGCAAAAAAAATAAGATTTGGGTATTTTATTGAAATGGAAAATATCGTTTTCCAAAAATTATATAAAAAGGCTAAGCATGCCTAAATTTTCTTAAAAGTACATATTCAAAATCTAGAAAGCTTGTTGAAAAAAAATGCAAAACTGATATTTTGGTCCATTTAAGTAAAATTCTCCACTCGAAACAGTTTGAAAAAGCTCAAGCCTTACCTCCATTCTTTTGGCATCTGCGATGATTGAGCCATCGAGCCAAATGAGATTATAATGGTCCTTGGTCGCAATTGTAGTACGGAATTCCATTCCTTTTTTTTAAATTTTTCTTCAAAACTGATTTTAATCAAAATACCTTTTCCAGAATTTCAGACTTTTTATAGGAAATGCCACCAATCGCTATAGTTTTGTGAAGAATCGGTCTCGGAAAATCCAAAATCGGGTTCGAATTGGTCAAAACGAGAGAGGCTTTCGGTAGAATCTCCTTATCAGCATCATATGCATAAACTGTTCAGTTTGTCAACTACCTTCCAAGACTTCAAATGTTGCCCAAGTCGTTCTCTATAAATCGTCTGCTCCTCATCGAACAGTTCTCGAATCGTTCCACTGAAAACTTGATCCATTTTCCAGTTCTCATATCTCTGCCAGATAGTCATCTTATCGCCATGTAGTGAACCAACCGCTGGAAATCGGGCGCATTTCAAATGATACCGATCATCGATTTAACTCACATGGCACGTAACTCAATTCCAATGGTTCACCAATGAATGGAAGGATGTGATCGAAATGGGTTGTGCTGGTAATCAATATGAACTTGCTGATCCCCAGGTAATCGATAACTCCCAAACCACAAGCATCAAAAGGCTCCACAAACGCAACGTCAAATTTCGAATTCCTCAAGTCTTCCAATAAATTCATATTGCTTAAGAAGCTGTCACATCCAGCTTTGAGCATTTCCATAAATGGTTTCATATTCTAAACAACATGATACAAGCCACAACAAAAAAAACAAAAACCTGCTTCACATTTTCCATTTTAAATTCTGTTGTCCAAATATGACTAGAATCGTCCAAATTTCGCTTTCCATCTTCTCCATTTTTATCAATAACTATCAATTTTTGCGCGAATTTCGGCATAAATTTGTCCCTTGATCTTTCATCGTATATCGGCCTCAAAAATGTCTAAAATAAATGGAAAAATATAATTTCGGATTTTTCTTTATAATTACCAAATTGTGCTCGTTTTGTGACAATGTATCCGCAATTTTCGCATAGAAATTATTATGACTTGGAGCAAATGAGGGACCAATGAATAGAATATTCGAAGAAATCACGGAATCGATCAAAAATATGACAAAAAAGGGCATGGGAACAATTGAAAATGACAACTTTTCTGCGGAACGCTCGCTTTTTTTACGACATTACGAATAATGTATTTCGCCGAAGAAATCAGTTACGCAGTTCATACAATTTTATGTATTCGAACCAGAGCTGCACGGAACAAAGATTTTCCTAAAACGGAATTTACATTTTTTCTTACAAACCGGAAAACGGAAGTTTATAGAGTTTATTTCTTACATCTATTTAGAAGACGGAAGAGTTTATAGAAGATCTTAGCGATTCGATCGGACGGACGAAGAACGGACACTTTTTGGCTTGGTATAACCCGCAGAACATTTCGGTAATGTCGAGGACGGACGAATTTAGGGGGGGGGGCGTATTATGATTCAAATTTTGGCGCCATGATCATATAATCATTTTCAAATTGATCTAGTATAGTCGGCGTCCGGCGACTGCTGTGCGCGGGTAGATTTACGCGCCGCCTTGAAAAGGTCTCGTCACGTGTCAACGCTTATTTAGTGTTTTCGCGTGAACGGTTAATTTTTTCTTGATGAGTTTGACATTTCTTGGAATTTCTAACGTCGTTCGATTTAAAAATTATCAATTCGATCCATAAAATGCGAAATAACCTGTTAGTCTGTGCGCGACCATTTCGAAAGACGCATCCTCGTAAATCTACCCGCGTACAGCAGTTGCCAGACGCCGACTATATGAAATTCATTGAAAATTACGGTAGATATCAAAGGCACATGCAAAAATTTGTTGATTTTCGCTAATAAAAAAAAGCTAACGCGATTGATCATTCAAATATGTCCAATCCCGTCTTCGAAAATGCAAACAGGGAAAAAATTCAATTAGACACACACTAAATTGAGGGAGATGTGTGAATGGAGTGTCGTACTGGGGGAAGGGGGGTTAAAAAAAGTTTTGGGGCGAATAGCAGTCTTCTCGAGTTCTTGACATATTGTGAGATAATTTTTTTAAGTCTGTTCATTTTTGCGTAGTATTGAATGCGGACGTCACTACCGTAACGTATAAAATTATATTTAAGAACTAAGAAAAATCTCACCAATACGCGAAATGTTTTTTTCGGAATACGTAAAACATAACAAACATTTTTTTTAACGGAAAACGGAACAAATTGATTTTTAACGGAATTCCGTGCACGAGCACCTTCATTTGAATTTCGGTGTGATTGATGTGCTGGTTATCCAGTTTGGTACAATATGTAGTTCGCCAAAAAAAACAATGGTCCGTAAACATCTAGTGCCTTTTGGCTCTTAAAGAGAAAAGCAAATCAAGTGAATGACCAGTTATTGAAATTCTCAAAAACTATTGATTATTATGATTTATTAGGTAAAATATAATAACATATTAAAAAGTGTCATTTCTGCGTCTTTTTCTTCGACGTTGATCTCTGCGTTTTCTTCTTTAAGTCCGTCTGCGATTTTTTCTTTGAGTCATTGTTATTGATGTCTACACAAAGGGATGTCATACTCTTCTGGCTTCCAAGACCTTTCTCTTTTTTATCATCACTGGTAGTACTCTGAAAACTGTTGATGTAATTCTAGAGGTCAGCAAAAGTAGCTTACTTTTTTCGATTTCGGAGTAAAATAGAAATTGCGACCTTTGGCAATGACATAGGAAGACCCACCAGGAACATCCTTGATACCGGCAGGTTGGAAACCCTCTTTCAGCAATTCCATTTCTTTCTCCTCATTTTTCTCGGTTACATTCTTTGATTGCAAGTTGATGTTGTATTTTTTCACAACCTCTTGAAGTTTTTCACAGTCTCCTGGTCTTAAATCGTCAAACTCCAATGGATCTGTGAGTTTCGCGCCGACTTCTTGCATTTTTCCGATAAGCTAAGAATGAAAAGTTATGAATTTAATGAAAATTCAACTTACAGTATTGAATATCATCAAATAGTCTGGCCGATCAGGATATGTTAGAGTCCCTAGATGGTCAGCAATAGGAATCAAACTTCGTGTGATTGTGTCCTTATTAAGCACAACTGATATCAACTCGACCTTCTGAATCTCGACTTTCTCAGGATGTAACGAGGCTGCCCATGGAAGTTCGGTGCGCATTTCAAGCGTCATATATAACCAAGACCATAAATCGTCTACTCGACCAAGTTCAATTCGTTTGTGCATGTTCACCGAACAGTATCGAACAGTTCCACGAAATCTGCACTGAGATCTCGGCGCACGGATAATCCATTGGCTTTCGTTCAGTCGAGCGTACCTTCGAGCCATTCCGAAGTCCAGAAGAAATATAATATTAGAATCTCGACGATAATCTAACGCTAGATTGCATGGCTTCAGATCCCGGTGCACGTAACCAGACTCGTGAAGCTAAAAAATTTTTGATTTTCTTGAAATTGTGAGAACAGGCCAACAGTTTTTATAGCATATAATGTTCTGATGGCAATACGCAACAGCGACGAATCGCTAAACTTGTTGTTTAAAAATTCTGCTATTTTGGTCAAGTCTGGACCACATAATGTCATAATAATAAATCTAGAAATCCGAAGTTATTAACTCTTTCAAAAAAGAAAACCTATAATTTAGTTCAACGCCATCATCGTAAATTTGTAATGCCGCTTTCTGTCCTTTCATTTCATTCATTACTTCTACTTCAATTTTTAGGACGCTTTCTTGAGTTTTCTTTTCAATCTTAAATGTTTTCTTCATATAATTTATTGTAGATAAATCAAACTTTCATTGCAGCTTCTTTTCCATCCTTGATATTGCATACGTGATAAACTTTTCCAAACATACCTCTACCAAGTTCTTTTACTGGCGACCACACATCTTTTACAAGCTTTGTTCAATTAATAAGGCTCATATCTATTTTTAATGACAATAATGTACCATATTCATATCAACATTAATATCGGACTGTTCTTCATGGTTTTCTTCTTCGTCGCTCATTGTTCAATAATGATTGGTCTAATTCCAATTATATTGTATCGTTAAAACGGAAAATATCTAGAAATGGTTTTCAAACATTTCAGGAATTCAGTTTCCGCTATTTTGCGTGAAAAAATATATACTAATTCACCAGATTTGTATTTTTGCGATGGTAAATTTTACATTTAAATGAAAAATATTTTTCAATATTTGGTGGCCGTGGACTACATTTTCCCAGCAACAACGAGATTTCACCTGAACATCTGCCCGTTCTTTATTTTTGAGCAGAAATTGTAAAATTTTAAGATTTCAGCACGGACTTCATTTCTTTAATTGATAACTGATTTTTTATTCTTAGGACGTTTTACAAAAATTATCTATTGTTGCAGGGATAGTAAAAAAAAAGAGAAATTTTTTCGAAAAACCTCCATTAAAACACAATTCGAGCTGATTACATCATTGCAGAAAACATGGCCACTCCACCGGCAGCACCAGAAACTCAAGCGGTTCCTGAAGTTGTTCCTAGCACAAATCCAGGTAGTTACACATTGTAATGCATGAAAAAATTAAATTTTCTTAGGATCATACGAGGAACTTCATCGAAAAGCGCGAGATGTTTTCCCAACTTGTTTTGAGGGTGCTAAACTGATGGTTAACAAAGGACTGAGTTCACACTTTCAAGTTGAGTTATTTTAGAAAATAAAAATGTAATTTAATATTCTCTAGGTGTCACACACATTGTCTTTGTCACCAATGAACACCGGATATCGATTTGGTGTTACATATGTTGGAACCAATCAAGTCGGTCCTGCGGAAGCTTATCCAATTCTTCTTGGTGATACTGATATTAGCGGAAACACTACGGCCACTGTTTTACACCAACTTGGTATTATTGAGCTTGCAAACAATTTTAAATAATTTTTTTTTAGGAATTTACCGCACAAAGTTTCAAGGACAAATTCAACAAGGAAAACTTGCGGGCGCACAGGCCACAATTGAAAGAAAAGGACGCCTTTCAACACTTGGTGTTACTTTCGCCAATATTGATTTGGTGAACGAAGGAGGAATTATCGTCGGACAACTTCTCCGGCGTCTCACACCTCGATTTGACGTTGGAACGGAAATTGTATATCAATATGGAAAAAATATTCCAGGTCTAGGATTTAATCAAATTTTTTTCAAAATTATGACTTTAGGAAGCCAAATTTCGGTTTTATCATATGCGGCCAGATACACGGCTAATCATTTTACCGCGGCCGCCACGCTGGGCTCATCTGGAGCTCATCTTACTTATTATCATAAACAACATGATACTCTTGCATTCGGTGTTGAGTTTGAATGCAATGCCAATGTTGGAGAGGTAATTTTTTACATGGAGTGTAGTTTTTTTGTTTAATTTTCAGGCGGTTACCACCATTGCTTATCAAGCCGAAATGCCTGATGAAGGTGTGACTATGCGCGCAAGCGTTGATACCAATTGGTAATCCTACAGTTAATTTTTAATTCCTCCAAAGCTAATTTTTAAAGGACGGTTGGTGGTGTATTCGAGAAGCGCTTGAGTCAGCAATTACCATTCACCCTCGCTCTTTCGGGAACCTTCAACCACGTGAAGGCAGCCGGAAAATTCGGAATTGGTCTCGTTATCGGTTAAGTAGCAGTATCTAAATCACCAGTTTTGCTCATCTCATCTCCCTGTAACGCGCTCCAATGTTTCTGTTGATTTTTCTTTTTTTTCAGTAAAATTTGTTGTTGATTTGTTGTAGTTTTCTGTATGCAATCATTTTTTTAAATTTTAGGAGTTATAGAAGTCATCGTTTGTTACAAAAGTTAAAAAGCCCCCATGAATGAAAAATAGGATGTTCTCGTTTATCATTGTTTTCTTTTGTAATTTATTGCCTTGTCTCATGTACGGAGACAAAACATGAAGAATTTAGTAATAAATATGCAAATCCTGAGCACGCGCCCGTAATGAATGAGCAAACAATCGAAGACACTTGTGCTCTTCAGAAATCAATGAGTGAAAACTTTCATTTTTGACCATTTGTTGTAGACTAATTCGATTCCATTGGTTGGATTGCGACGATTTGCGTTCACAAAATACATTTAGCGGGTTTTTGACACAAGCAAACACAGAAAACACCAGCGGCTTACACAATTGATGCTTTTGTGTTGTTGCCGCGCGGTAGTTCGAATTTCGCTCGCTCGGCCGCCTCGCAAAAACCAACCTAAAACGTTGCGCGGAAGCTTCACCAAGCACCGCGCTCAACAAAACTTCGTCTTTTTTTTGGGAAAACCGCTTAATAGATTAGGCCGAGGACGCGCACGTTGACTGTTCTAGCGCATTGATTTTGCCCGGTATTTCAGTTTTCTTGATCACTCAAAATGTGTTCACAATTTTATTTGATTAATGAATTTGGGTAATCGTCCTGTCTGCAAATATCACATCTTTCTCCTGATTTCTATCTAGCTTTAATCAAGCTCCGCGTATTTCTATTTAGATTGTTTATTCTCATTGTGGAGAACTAAATTAATAAGCTCTTATTAGGTTTTGAAATATGTCAATTCAAACTCTAATACTTGCTTTTCTAGTGTTGCTCAACACAGCAAAAAATCGAGAAGTCCATTATTCTGCACCGCAAAAACGAGTTGTTTTCTCGAAAAAAATTTGTTTTGCGGCAATATTTGTATTAATGTCGATTTGAAACGTTTTGCATGTGTCAAACCCCTCGACGATGGCAGTGGCTCATTCGTTTTGGCCGTGTCTCTTTGCATTCTGTATCGAACTGTATCTTCTCTCGCTCTCTCGGTAGCTATTGCGCTCGTCAAGTGCTCGGCGGCGCGACTCAGCGAGAGCCACAAGCCACAAGCAGCATTGAAATTTCGTGGCACCGGAAAACCTGAATCAAGCGACACGGTTCTTTTTTCTCCCTCTGCGTGTGTCATTATTGCGTCAAACGACGTGCAAATTGCGCAATTAATGCGTTTTTCAAACTTCCAACCTCGATTTTTTTCTCAATAATCTTCCTCACATATTACAGAAAGATTCTCAAGTTTTTCAGAGATCTTTCTAATTCTTTATAGCCTTATTTATAATATATCCCTTGATTGGTCAGAAGGGAGTAAGTAAACAATCAATTAAAATCGTATATCAATTGCGTCGGCTCCTCAATGTGTATCTAGATATTGGTGGTTAAATATAGAAGCGTCTCACACCTCATTTCCTCTTGAGATATCCTTTTCGCGAAAATCGCCCGATTGTGGTCGTATCTGTGACCATTTTAGTTCATTTTTCGTTTACTTGAACTTTCCAGATTAATATTGATTCTGGCAATCCAGCTTCTCTGATTTTATGAATGAATGAATGGTTTTCCTGATTTTTCTAGTGACTAGTTGTTGTATATCGGTAAGATTTTATTGATTAATGTTTAAGAATTGAACTATCGATTTCAGATAGTTTCATCCTCTTCAATTCTTGTGGATTTCAGCGCGTATGCTGTATCTCGACCTCAGGTAAAGATTATAATGCCCATTTCAAATTTAAATTATTTTGTTTATAGGCTTATTTAATAGAATATTCACCACCAGTCGGGTACCCGCCATCAGGGTCCGCTGTTGACGGGTAACTCAAAATTTTCGATCTATTTCTTTGGCCAACCCATTTTCCTTATAGAAACACCTTTTTTTCGGAGATCAATGGAACTATTTCTGCAACTGAATATGTTATTAATGTGAGCGCGATTCTTGATAATGGAATGCGGCAGAAGGTGGCAAGCTTCAGCGTATTTAGCAGTAAGTTTTGCTTCTCGTAATAATAAGTGTCGAAATCGGAGTGACAAGTCCGGTCTCGAGCGGCGGCCAACACTTGGGCCTCCCACAGTTCACAACCGGATCATGCTCATTGCTTAAGCTGTGTTCAGTGTTTACATGGCCACATTTGACATGCGCAAACAATGCTATTGTTTTTTCTTTTTTTCTATCTCCACAGCTTATTATAAGGGATTTGCAGGTCCCGATGCGCCATCGCTTGATTCCATAGAGACCACTGAGCATGAGGCAACAATATCGTACTTTCCGCCGCAAGGTCAAAACATCACTTTCCAAATAGGTAAGAAATCGAAAACAAACAGACTACTTGAAATGTGGAATCAAAAGTTTGAGTTTTAACATTATTCTCAAATTCACCTGAAAGTGATGTTTGTGAATTCTAGAATACTTCCCGGAAGGACATAAAGAGTACGCGAATTCCATTGACACGAAAGCAGCTCTCGTTCGCCTACGCGGCCTCGATGCCGGCACAACATTTCGTTTGCGCATTCGATCGGTCTACATGGGCGTATACTCGCAACAGCTCATTGATACCACATTTGTGACGCAGGGCGCTTCAAATTATGATTACTCATCATCTGTGGAAACTGGTTATAGTGTGAGAACGTTGCCGCCGAACATTTTTAGTGCGTCTACTACGCTGGCGACTACAGAATCTTCTTATGAATACTCGCAAGAGGAGGAGACTGCCACCCGCTCGATGCCTTTAGAAACAACAGAGATGGTTATGGTATCCACCACGACCACTATGCCATCGGTGACCACCATCATTACACCATCCACAACGAGTTCAGAGATCATCACAACGTTGACCCCGATCATAACAACATCAACTAAAAGAGCTGCGGAAGTTGTGGATTCCGGCGATTTGGGCTCTGATCATCCAACCGAATCACATGGAGAGCCGTTCATCGATCTTGATACGATGATTCGTGAATATGGCGAGCCGTCGGATATCGGTCTCAGCGACGAGACAAACATGCTGCGATTAGATTGGGATGCGCCGGATGATGCTCCATGTGACGCCTTTTTCGTCAATTATACAATCTTGAGTTTGAGCAAACCGCGATCTTTTTCTTTGGCGACGTCCGATGAGCATGCAAAAATAAAAGTTTTCGAATTTCATTTTCAATTCAACATGACTTTTCTTTTAGTTTTTCACGGACCACACATTAGATATCCGAGTGTTCTGCATGCTTGCTGGGGCATTGTCGAAGACATGGTGGGCTCACAGAATTGCCCATCTATCAAGTAGGCTTTTCGAAATTAAATTATTAAAAAAATCGAATTTCAGAGCCGAAGGCAATTGAAAATCTTCGAGTTGTCAACACAACCACTGACGATTTTTATGTGTCAACTATCAAAATTGCCTGGGATTGGCCCACTTATCATGATTTTGTTCATTATCGCATTGTGGTATCCTACGGGCTTAAAGATACTTCAAGCACTCAGGAGATAGAAGTGACGTCAAAACAAGATTTCATCGAAATTGACAAGCTTGAAGCCGCTAACGCTTATAAGATCTCAATTCGAAACTCTTCTGTCGAACTATCTTTAACATCAAAACCTACTGTTATTGAGCAAATCACTCGTATAATCCAAAATTTTTTATTCTGAAATTAGAAAATACTTTTTCAGCGCCAATAATTTCATCAACAGTTTACCCGGGACAAATCTCATCAACATCCATTAATATCAATTTTGGAGATTCCGATCCAGAGCAAGGACGATTCGACTATTATCTCTTAACTTTCAGCGGAAATAATAAGAACATTTCCAAAAAGGTTGAAATGGATCAAGAGTAAGGAATATTTTTTGCGAAATGTTTTTCGAACAATCAATAATGTATAGGAAATCGTTCACGTTCACAAAGTTGATTCCTGGAAAGACATATCAGTTTTCGGTTTACACTGTCTACAAAGGCGTCAAAAGTCGGCCGGTGTCCGCAGATGTTACAACATGTAAGATTATTCCTAACGAATTATAGAACATGACAAAATTCGCAGATCCTTTGAAAGTGAACAAGCTGTATCCAGTGGTTGGTCGCGATTATGTTGTTCTTTACTGGGATATTGAAAATTTCGCGGATTCCGATTGCAGATTCCGTTTGAGGTTTTCAGATTGTTTCAATCCATAAATAATCAATATGTCTTTAGTTATAATGCTGATAACATTCCGACAGTGTCTGTGGAATTGAAGGGGGCAAGTCGACATCGATTCGCTGGCCTTCAATCCGACGTATATTATACATTCACAATCACGGTGATTATGGGAACCGCCAAAGCGGCCGCAGAATCCGAGTCTGAAATGGTTACGGTTGCAATTCCTCGCGGGCGACTTGCTCCAACAATTCATCGTCAGGGAAGTCGGGAACTCGTTGTGTCATTTGACAACGACCACTCAGTGTTCTCTGAGCTCAACGGAGCACCTGAAAATTTCGCTGTTATCGTTTCAGATGATACCTCGGTAACCAATCAATTTTCGCAATATATTAATGCAAAATATTATTCAGTTAAACGACGATAACTATGAATTGAAGTCATGGTTCGAAGTAAAGGATGAAGACGTCTGGGGAGCCTATAGAGCATCGCCGTCCACCTGGAATCCGTTTGACTCGGATCGAGTTCGACATGCTGCATTTACCGTTGGAACAGATGATTGCGTGAAACGGAGTCTTGACGAGCCGGTAAAAAGGAAGCTTAAACAATAATCAAATCAAATTTGAATATTTCAGTACTGCAACGGAATTCTTCGTGCCAATACCGACTATCGTGTGAAAATTCGTATGTACACTGATACAATGGTCGCCATGGAATCGGACTGGGGCCGAATCGAGGGCGAGAAGAGCGATGCTAATGATGATGAAAGCAGCGAAGACGATGAATCGAATGATCGCCGATTCCCATGCCACATGTACCTCAACGGGTGTCGCCGAAAATCAGCGCGTACTTGCGCACACACCATAACTCAATTTTTCATGATCGCCCTAATTTTATTACTGTAGCATTCACGCACGTCAACTTCCTTGCAGTATTAATTTTATTGTTTTTCAATTCTTTTTTATTTTGAAAAATGATACCGCCACCGAGTGATTTTTGTTAAATTGTCCTATTCCTGATGATATTATGGGTTCTCAATCGAATTATTGTTTTTAAGAAAATACTAAAAAAAATTTTAAAATTAATTATTGCCACATGGTCATTTTGAATACTTAGAACTCCTGTGAAAATTGCTCATCTTGTTAACTTTTTCAAAATCTTCTATTTAATTGCAATAAATTATTCTATTTGGCATGTTACCAATTGTCGCGTCCGCGGTCATAAAAGGATCTGTGCCACCAGCTGGCACAGATAAGATCCCCTACGGAGGGAACAAATATGATTTACGACTGGACCAAAAGAGGTCACGCGATAAGGCCGGAATAAAAGGGCATGATAGAAGGGTCCTGCCGCTCATTCTGATTCTCATTCTCTTTCTCGTTCGCATTCGATCGCCGTCTCGCTCTACTCCGTCATATACGCCAGTCATCAGACCGTCTACGCAACAACACAGAACCACCGCCAAATTAAACTATTTCTTATATTATTAATAAACTATTTTATAATAGAAGAGTGTTTAATTTGGTCGCCACATTATTTGGTGCATCGACCTAAATTAACACAAGAGAATAAAGGAACCGCAAAAGGCTCAAAAAAGTCGAGGAAGGATGTCTTTACTCGACGAATTGTTCGAAAATGTCCACAAAAAGATGGACGAAGTTAAAATGATTCTGAAAGAAGTGAAAGCATTCACTCAAAAAGGAATCAAAGTAAATAAGAAAACAAAGATCGAAATGATCGAAGAACTGGCGGACGGAATCAAAGAAATGACGGAAAAAGTGAATGAGGGTTTGAATTCCCTCGAAGAGGAACTGATTAACCTCGAAGCCGAGATAAGATCAATGAGTGGCCCGGCAAGCGTACCATGGCATAAGAAATTCATCCAAGTAAGGATAAAAATGATAGTCTTGTTAGAGAGTCTATCAAAAGGTTAGGCCAGTTGAGAACCAGGCATAACGAGATTAACCAGTTGGGAAAAAAGCTGGATAAAAACTTCTTCCCAGAGGAAGTAAATTTCTCTATCACGGGATATGATTATAGTGAAGAGGAAGAAAGAAATGAATCTCTGACAGGAGACAAGATGATGGTTGAAAAAACCCAAAAAACACAAGAAGTTTCGCGTCCACCACGGAACACGGAACAAGTAGATGTAATGAAAATGCTAGCAGGCACAAATCTGTTAGAAGTCCCTGAGTTCGATGGGAGACAAGAAAACTGGAGCCCATTTTGGGAAATGTTCGAGGTTCTAGTTGATAAACAAAATGCACCGAACGTTGTAAAATTTAACGTGCTGCGAAAGGCATGCAGAGGCGATGCCTATGAACAAATAAGGAAATACCCTGCCGATGGAAGCGCGTACCACGAGGCAGTGAAAAGATTACAAGCCGTCTACGGCAATACAGAAAAGCAGTTTCGAAAACTGCTAAGCCAGCTTCAAGAAGTGAAGCCAGCGAGAGACGATATAAGAAGTTGTCGAGCAGTGTTTAACACATGTTCGGTAATAGTTTACGGGCTGAAAAAGCTCAACCAAGAGGTCGACAATGCAGTCCTCAAAGAACTTATAAGAAAAAAATTCCCACGATGGGTTAACCACAAATTGCTTAAGAATGAAGCAAGAAAAGACGACGCTAAAGACGCCAGCGCCGAGTCCATGTTAGAGGACATCGAAGATATGATAAGCTTGAGAGAAGCTGAAGATAGCGACAGTGAAGAGCTGTCAGGGAAAATAAAGGCCTTAAAGGATCAAGTGGCAAGAGCCGAAGAGCCGTGCTCGTACTGTGGCCTAGCTAACCACAAGTCGGACACGTGTAGAAAGTTCGGTTCTTTGGACCTCCGCAGAGAGAAAGCGGGAAAAGACGGATTGTGTTTTAACTGTCTGAAAAAAGGACACTACAGTACACAATGCCGCAAAGAACAAGGATGTGGTCGGTGCAGGAGGAACCATCACACCAGTCTCTGCCCAAAGAATGGGAGAAAGGGATTGAAGAGAAACGTGGCACACGCAAGATGCAATGTTGTATCTAATGGCGCAAGCCTAATGGTAGCAACAGCACGCGTGGCGAGTGACACCCGCTCTAAAGATGACACAGTTATTCTTTTAGATAGCGGGAGCCAATTTTCTTTCATAACAGAGAAATTGGCACGTCAGCTCGGTTTGAGAGTTATAGAAAACAACACTCCAATCTGTTTGGAAGTTTTCTCGAAAAAACCGGAGATGTTCTCCGCAAAAGTGGTTGAATTTTCAATCACAAAAATTGATGGCGGACAGTTAGTATGCTACGCATATACAGTCCCAAAAATTACATCAGCCATCCAGACTCACTTAGTGAGCAAGAAAGAGAGAAACCAACTTTCCAAATTGGGCATACAATGTAAGAATATTCCGGCAATGGCGCAACCGGAAATTTTGTTGGGAATGGACAAATTCCTGTCCATAATTGAATTGGGTAAGAAGCCCATAGAATTGACCTCCGGGATGACACTCGTGTCGTCCGTCTTTGGATACATTGTATGTAGAAACCCAAAAGGCCATGAAAGTGTTCCGATAGCGAGAACAAACACCATTAATTCAGAGCCTGGCATTGAGGCGATGATGGAATTAGATGGTATAGGGATCAACGAAAAAGATCCAACAGACTCTGAAATTATGAAGAATTTTAGAGAGACCGTGGAAATGAGTCTCACAGGTGAGATCACGGTCAGATGGCCTTGGAAAGAGGAGAAAAAGTGGCAGTTAGCCGACAACCGCACGGTTGCATGGCAAAGATTGATGCAGACCTACAATGCTCTGCACCAGAAAAAAGAATGGGAGCTTATGCTCGAAATATTTAAAAAACAAGAAATTGATGGAATCATCGAAGAAGTGACCAGCAAAGGTCAAAGTCCGGTATATTACATACCGTACCAAATTGTAAAGAATGACAATTCTGCGACAACGAAACTCAGAATAGTGTTTGATGCGTCATCCCACAGAAAGGGTTGCATATCACTAAATGACGCAATTCATCAAGGTCCAGTTATACTACCAGAATTGGTAGGAATAATACTGAGATGCAGGACGGCACGCTATGTACTCATAGCAGACGTCGAGAAAGCGTTTCATCAGATTCGCTTGCATAAGGAGGATAGAGACTCCACCAGATTTTTCATGTTGAAAGATGAAAAGAAGCCGCCAACAGCGGATAACGTGAAAATTATGCGTTTCACAAGAATACCTTTCGGGGTAAATGCAAGCCCATTTCTACTTGCAGTTAGTATTCAGCATTTCTTCGAAAATGCACAAACATCGGAGATTCTCCAAGAAGCAGTTGGAAGAAACTTGTACGTAACAGACGAAAGTCAAGTCCAGCAAGAACAGACACCAGAAGAAAGTGTCAAAGAAGAAGAGTCGGATGAAACCCCAACAAGGAGGAATCCGACAAGAGCATGCAGAAGACCAAGAGGTTGGGTAACGCAATTAGCATCTATCATGATGATACTAGCGTTACTAATCATGAACGTGGGAGCAGTCCCTTCCAAGGATTTGCCATCATATGAAGAAGTCAAACTCAACCAAACGTTGGGAAGACAAGAAGGGGTGTTAAAAACTGTGGACAATAGAACAGTTTTGAACCCTCAGAAATTGATAGCGGATACGCGTCACATAAACGTCAGAAAGAGTCAAGTTACTAGTACTGTAGCACCGCTAAAAGCGAGTCTAATAACAACGACAGTAGCAGCAACTACCAAAAAGACAGATTCTGACAAGAAAAAGAATCAGATAAAAAGGCTCTTTATGAAAAACAAGCACATTGACCGACTGGACAATGGTATACTACTCCGTAAAGATGATTCTGAAATTATCTGTACAAACAATGGTGTCAATCTGATTGACAAGGGTATCAATACCAAGATGAACTACAAGATTTGTAGTAATAACTATTGTGTGTCAGACATCACACCAAGCTTCATAACCAATATCGCACTACCACGCGAAGAAATGATCTCAATTCATAAGATAAGCTGGAAAAAAGCTATTGGCAATCGCTACGGCATTGTCGAAAAAGAGTGTCCAGCAAGGGACACATGCACAAAGATCGATTGCATAATTTGCCCAGATATTGTGTGGAATCCTCACTGTGCTCCGATAAGATTCGCGATTCTAATCGCGATCGGGTTATTTATAGCAATCGTAATGCCGATAATGATATATTATCAATGTCGTAAACAAAGCCTATGCAATAAATGTCGTAACAGAGATAAAGAGATAAGGTCGAGAACTCCTCGACAAAATAAAAGAGAAAAGTCAGTCTCTTTTAAAGACGAAAAACGAGAGATGGAAATGGAAACCATCAGTATTCGCTCAGGAATAAGCGTTTGGGAACCATGGCTTGTAGCATGTGTACTAATACTAGTACCATACGCGAGCGCATGCGATAAGATAATACCGATCTCACATGCTGAATCGGTATGTCTGAATGATGTGTGCAGAATCGTTAGCATACAAGATATTTTTGTCCATCCGTTGGCAAGGGAAATCTGTTTCCACGTCAAGGACAAAGATCGGATTATTACGAAAATCTCGATCAAAATTGATTTCGCCTATAGAAAATGTATAAAAGGTCCCGTCACACTAACAAAGAACACAACGATTCTGACAGAATCGCAGAAGAGATGTGGAGGGAATGCCCTCTGCAGAGATGACAAATGTGCAAATATCAGAAGAAATACGGTAATCCCAGACTTAGGGAAAGCCAATGATTACCCAGGGCACTCCTATTGCGCGGAAAGCTGTGGAGGCTGGGGATGTGGTTGTCTATCATTGACATCAGCATGTTTATTTTATAGAAACAAACATGCTGATGTCAATGATGTTTTATAGAAGAAAACTATGCAGTGCCAACCTCAGAAGATGTGGTAGAACTGTATAAGTGTGACGATTGGTCAAAGCAAGTAGCATTGACAATTCAAGTGAATGAAATGCGAAAAGCAGAACCGCACCAGATCATGGTTAGCGAAGGGATTTCAAGAGAAATCGAAGTAGGCGAAGAATCATCAGTCCGAGCAAACTTTACGTTGATAAGTCTCGAAGATTCGGAGAAAACATCCTTGAGGCACAAAGGATTTGTTCAAATCAATGAAAAAATCGCCCTCATGGACGAAAAGCCAATCAAACCAAATTTGTTATGCTCAGAAGTTGGCAAATGCGACTTCCAAGATACGTGCAAATGCACAATGGCAGAAGAAATCGCAGAATGTGAATGCGATTCAGTTAACTATTATGATTTAGTCAGTAACCCTGACAAAAGTTTGCCCATAATAGGGGAGAACTATCAGTTATTGAGCACGATAGAACACGTGCCGGTCCTGAAAGTTTTTCAAAACCGGTTACATTTACAAGTCGAATTAGACCAAGTCTATAACCTGACAAGCATCGCAAAAGATGCAGAATGCTCAATTACCGACTTTGGGCATTATGTAGGATGCTATAATTGCTACCAGGGGGCACGTTTAAACGTGACCTGTGAAGCAGAAACAGAGACGGCGGCTATGATTAGTTGCGGTCAAGACTTCGTAGACAAGATCTATTGTAGTCCTAAGGGTAAGGAAAATACCATTACCAAAAAATTCAACCAACCAATAGTGGCTGAGAAATGTAAAGTGCTCTGTGGCACAAAAAACAACTATTTCCTCGCCCAAGGAATACTAGTATACGTTCCGAGCACAGACTACGTGGCGGAACAAAGTGACGAGCACGGAAAAGCCTCGGATAGCACAATATTCGAGATCCACGCTCCAGATAACACAGGATTCTTTTCCCAGATCGGACACATTATTTCGTCCACAATCCAACACGCTGTATATACAGTCGGAGCACTAGTTTTACTAACGCTAATTCTTTATGGATGCCTCAGATTCGGCATTCCACTAGCTCTCAAATTTATTTGAGAATTAGAGCATCGAACGATGTTAGATATTCTCGCGTTCATCTAGCAGATGGACGAAGGTCAGGCCAAACAATCTGACGATAAGAAAAAGGGGCGGAGCAAGATACTCCACCAAAGACGCCTATAAAAGCGAAGTCCGAGAGGACAAAGGCAGAATATTCATGTCTGCCAACAACGCCATATTCATGCTGTCGCAAGCGCAGCTAATGAAAGTCATTGCTCAACAAGGAGCCCGAGGACCGTCTCGCATACGCATCTGCGTATTCTGCGAAAAAGGCCATTGGCCTAGTGAGTGCAGCAACACGCACTCAACGGTCGAAGAACGCAAAACGGTCCAGAGACAAAAGGGGCTGTGTCCCATTTGCCTAAGAAAAGGGCACAACGCTTTGCGTTGCCGAGCACCACGCACAGACACCTGCAAGGTGAAACAGTGCGAAAAGAAGGGACTCATCCACCACGCACTATTGTGCAAGAAACAGCCAGGAAAAGAAGAGGAGCCTGCCGCGGCGCAGGCCCTCGAGGAGATGGACGCGGAGGAGATTCTCCGCTCGCCCTCGCCAAATAAAGAAATTTAACTGTATTATTGATTGTTCTGAATAAATGATGCACATCAAAGTTCTATCTGAACAAAACCCGGCACAAGGTTCTTGCCGCCGCCGGGAATGTCGCGTCCGCGGTCATAAAAGGATCTGTGCCACCAGCTTGCACAGATAAGATCCCCTACGGAGGGAACAAATATGATTTACGACTGGACCAAAAGAGGTCACGCGATAAGGCCAGAATAAAAGGGCATAATAGAAGCGTCCTGCCGCTCATTCTGATTCTCATTCTCTTTCTCGTTCGCATTCGATCGCCGTCTCGCTCTACTCCGTCATATACGCCAGTCATCAGACCGTCTACGCAACAACACAGAACCACCGCCAAATTAAACTATTTCTTATATTATTAATAAACTATTTTATAATAGAAGAGTGTTTAATTTTGTCGCCACACCAATCATGTTTTATAAAACTCAATAGCAAATAAAAAATTTCAATTCTAATCTTGTTAATTTGCTCTCCTGGGGATTCATGTTCTTCCAACAGGTGAATTTCGGTTAATCCTGTTCTCGAATTTCATTCGATTTTTTAAAATGCGTCTTCGCGATCATATTCAACTACTTTTTAGTTGTTTCGCTTTCATAACATTATATATTTATTCGTTTATGGCGTATATTATTTATAAATATAGGTTGAAAAGTAATACAGTAGTTAAAAAAAAAGAACAGTTTTAGAAAAACAGCATATTCTTCACCATTTTATCAGCTTCTTTTCATGCTATCCCTTTTTGAGCTTATTTCGAGCGTGACCAATATTTTTCTACTCACCGTTCCATCAATTTTGCTTACCAATCAAGTCTTGAAAGGTGGTAACATTTGGGCTCGAACCTATTTCGTTCTGTCATTTGCTACTCGTGCCAATCAAGGCTCCGCAAGCTTTTCGTTAGCATTCAATCGAGCCACATCAATTTTGTGCCCATTAAAATATCAAAAAGTAATTTAATTGTTTTTTTTTCTATGTGTTCAGATGTTTAGATATGGTCCAAGAGAAATTTAAAAATTCTTTGGATACTTTGCAACATTGTCTGTATTCCTATAACACTGCCGATGCTTTTTGTAGATATTGAGTATGTTTTCGATTTAAACACTGGTGTCAGTTAAAAAAAACATTTTTCTAAAAACTTATCAGTGTGCTTGAAGGGCGCTGTACCAAGCATCCCAAATTACACAATCCGTATATTGTTGTTTCGAATTGCCGGATTATGTGCGGCTGTACAATTAATGGGCATTGGGATCTGCTATGCACTTATGCTATTCCAAATAAGGAAACTGACAAGATCCGTAATATTCTTTGATTTTTTAACGTATGACACCAAAAATGTTCAGATTTCGCATCCGGCATTGAAAGAAAGCGAGCGCGCAGCCGCAAAAACTGCATTATGCGTTTGCATGAAAGTTTCAGCTGTGAGACACAAAATGCAACTGATTAATTTCAGAAATGATACAATTTATATTTGCTTTATGGGAATCGTACCATTCCTTGGACTCGATAGCCACCTATTTTTTGCGGTTTATTCCTGTTTGGTATCCGTTTATTCATCAATTAATTGCTATGTCGTAATCTTCTTTTGTTTTCCAGTCCGAGAAAAAATGATGTAGGTTTTCAATGTAAAAGCAATTATAGCAATGCAAAACTCAAAATTTCAGGCAATTCCTCGGTTCATCGACTCAAATTTTCCGCAGAAATGAAATAATTTCAGCTTAAATATTTTCTTCATCAAACATATTTTGAAATACATATTTTTGTTATATAGAAGGGTATAAAGTGTGTTGAGCATCTGCCGGGAGTAGCGGTTTTTCCGGCTTCCTCGTGAAACGTAGAGTTTTACCTAGCGGATTCATGCTGACGGCCGGCATTCTGTTGCTTTGGAACGGCAGTCTAGTGACAGGTTGGCCAACATGGCGAGCAAGTTCATGTTTCCGCAAAGATGAGCTAAAATATTTCATATACACTTATTTTATTTAATAACGCACCTTTCCCTAAACTTTTTATCACAAATATCACACTTGTATGGTAAATCATTGGTGTGAGTACGCGTATGAATTATAAGAGACTGAAAGAAAAATGCGTTTCATTAATTTAAAAAAGCATAACAGAATTACTTGAGATTGTGCAAACCCTTTTCCGCAGTAGCCGCAAGTGAAAGGACGCTCGCCCGTATGGATTCGCTCATGTATTACCTGTTGATTTAGTAATGGTACTAGGCAGATTTATAGGAAAAAACTCCAAAATCCGGATAAAAATCCTCTAAAACTCAAAATCCCGTAGAAAACTGCAAATACTTTTTCAAACAGGACTTTTGAGTTCATTTTTTGTACTTTTAATCTGCGTAGTACCGCAATATATAATTTAAACTCTTTACCATATCTCTTTTGAAATGGAACGTCTTTCTGCAATATGTGCATCTAAATCGCGCTGCTCGACCGCGAGCTGTACCATGAGAATCAAAATTATGTTGAAGTTTCTGCCGAAAATTTTTTTGAAATGTTCTAAAGGCAATATCTTACGATGTGATTGTTAAGCAATTGTTCGGTTCGGAAAAATCGATTACAATGAGCGCATGTGTGCCTTACAACGTGCATTTTCTGATGGAGGTTCCTATTTTCGATTTTGTTGAACAAACGCGAGCAAAACTTGCATGAATATACGGGACTCAACAAAGCTGAAAAAAAAAAGTTATAACATTTCAGAGTTTTGCCAATTACCGTGATCTCGAAGATGCAGAGTCATCGAACTTTTACTTGAAAAGCGCATTCCACAATTGAAGCATCTGAATGGCCGTGGATCGCCGTGAATTTCCTCAAATTATAATTGAAATTAAAAAAAAAAAAAAAAAAAAACATTGTTAATATTACCGTGATATGTCGTTGCCAAACCTCCTTATTTCCGAAATATGTCTTACAATTGGCGCAATGATAGAGGCCTGCTAGTGCTTTTGGTTCTGTTACAGGCTCTGGGTCAGTTAGCCACGAACTTTCTATAAAAACAAATCCAAATGAATTCTTTGAATAATTTTACCATAGACTTCGTGACTCTCTGGTGCTTCGTTTGCATTAATCACTTTAAATCGTAGCGTCTTTTTTCCTATACGAATAACCATCCTGCGTAATGGTTGAGGTTGTCGACTATCTTCTTCATTTATTGAAGACGTCGACGGCTCATAGTTCATCGAACTTTCAACAACAACATCTTCTCCGTCTTGTATTAAGTCGTCGACAATTATCTCATTTCCCATTTGGAGATGCTGCCGATCTATTGTGGCGGTTTTTTGAACTCCGCTTGGGGTCCTTGAAAATGAAAGCAATATTTATAACATCACAAAGTTAAATTACTTAAACCGCTTTGTGTCTGTAAGCTCATAGCCAGCGGGTTTTTTAGAATAGCAATCTGCTGAAATAAGAATTCCTCGTCTCAATATTATTTAGCAAACCATCAAGCTCCGAATTGATCACAATATCCCCTTCGTCAAATAAATTCATTTCAGAATCATCTATAGGTTCATTCGAGTCCATTTGCCTAAATGTCGCATAATATTACATCGAAAATTAAAAAGAAAATAGAAAAAAGAAAACCATTTATTTACAATCAAAATAAATTAAATCGAGGGCAGTAACTCGTACACACGGCGTATCGTTGTATCGCTAATCAATTGAGCCGGCTATACATGCTGGTTAAAAATCAGAGGTCACTTCCAAGAATTTTTTAATTGATCGAAGTATATTTGTGTTTCCTGTGGATCAATACTAAGTTTTGGTGCTTGAGCATTGACACGATTCCGGCAAAACGGAACTCGTTTGTAATATTGATGGCGCCATGATGACACTGATGATACTCTGGTAATTCATTTCGAATCGAATACGAATTGAACGCGTATTACAAACGTATACGGAAAATTTCGAATCGTATACGATTGACAGTAAAACCGAACCGAATACGATAGAATTACAATCGTATACGTTCGAAAAAACACTGGTAACTCGATTCGAATCGAATACGAATTGAACGCGTATTACAAACGTATACGCAAAATTTCGAATCGAATACGAATTGGCAGTAAAACCGAAACGAATACGAATTACAATCGAACGCAAATTAATTAACCGGATTCGGCGACATATTTATCCTAAATTTTCTATTTAAAAAATATTTTGTCGGTTTCGAAAAGTTAACGATATCGTATGATATCCGAGCTGACGAGCTGAGTATATTTAATACTAATGAATGCCCAGTAGTGTTGCTTACTCCTTGTTGCCGCGAGACACCGAAATGCAGCTATTTACAAGATTTTTTCGCGTTCGGGCGCGTGCGGTTCGCGTGCGCGCACGTTTATATTTATCAATTTTCCACAGTATGATTCAATGTAAATATATTTTTAATAGTTTCAACAAATTCGATGATATCAATTGCAACAGAAGTTGGCACCTGTTTCTCTATCATATATTTAGCAACATCATTTTCAGAAATCATTGTCATCGGTTGGAAAATAACCCAAAAAGAATTTCGAAAAACAATAAACGAGATCGCACGCGAACCGCCATATGGCGACATAAAATAATTACCTGAGCCGCTTTTTTTTCGGGAACATCCGATAGCCGATAATTTTTCTTTAAATTTTATTTAATCGTTTAAAATCGTATTCGCATCGTATTTCTTAATATTGTGCGCAATTTTAGATGAAGCGGATCAACACGAGAGACGTATTGAGCGATTTGCGGAAATCTTCGAAAAAATTCAAGGATGATGTTGAGCATGGTAATTATCGATTTTGTCAAAATGATATTTTACTGTTAAAGAAATGGAAGTGGACATGACAAGTGTTCAAGATCAAGAATATGAAAGTGATAATGATGAAGATGAAGATGATGAGAACCAGCGAATAGGACGTCGTATAGCGGGAATTTGGTGATTTAATTGCATCAAACAGATAAATTGCCTACTATTTTTAGGACAAGGTATTTGCAATGTTCGACCCGCTGAAGCTTGCTTCTTATGACGACACCCTTGTGCCGGCCATTGAAGGAAATGGTAAAAAGAAATTCGTTACAGTAAATAACTTTTTTTAAAGATTTGGTTAACTTCTCACTTATCATTCAGTCGATGCGTCTCTGTAAGCGTCATCTGCGAACAATAGTGCACGAGGCAGTTATGATTTGGATGAACGAGGTAAAAAATAATTTTCGATGTTTTTACTATTTTCATATTTACAGGTGATTCCTCAAAACATTCGATGCAAGTATACGCCACGCCGAAATCCTCAAAAAGGTAATATTGCAATTGAAGCGCACATAATCAATACGTTTATTGGTCAGTTTTCTATAATTCTATAATATTTCAATAATTTAATTTTTACAGAATTACTTTTACATTGTATATCAATCCCGGACACCGAAGAGAAGATGATGCGAATTGCCGTTACAGTAATCACGGAAAATTATATCGAATACTTATGGTTAGTCAATATTTCATTTTTATAGTTTTTTTACCGGAAAATTTTTAGTAATCGCGCAAGGAGGCTGCGAATTGAGGAGGAGCTCTCGAACTCGCGCCATAGTTAATTTTCTGTATATCAGTTTATCAGGTTTGCGTTGGCTTGGAATTTCCGTAGTTAAATGAAAATCAAAAAAACAAAATATAAATTAATCTGATTCGATAGAAAAAGAAATGAAATTCGATTGAGAAATTGTTTAGATTCGCTTTGAAAACTTGTTTCGATTCAAAAATCTTCGAAATCGATTGGTTCATTCTTCATTCTCAATTTTGAAATCGTATTCGATTTAATTTTGAAATAATTCGAAACAGATTAATGTATTATCGATTTCGATTGAAAAGATAATTATTTTCGAACTCGATCGATTTTCATTTACCAGAAAAGGAAATGTCGAAATTGAAGCAAGTTATAAATTTTTCGTCAAAAAATGGCGAAAACAAATAATCGAAATAGTATTTCCGAAGAAATAAATTGAAAAAATCGCACATCCTGCTATACATATTTTTTGTTTCATTCCTGCTGTTGGTTGTTATTGTGTTTATTGCAATAAATAATTTTGTTTGTCTAATCGATTTTCTTTTTCTTCCATAATTGATTCAAATCGAATTCAATTCAAAACCGAATACGATTACATTTGAAAAATATACGACTACATTCAAAACGAATACCGCTGCATTCAAAACGAATTCGGCTGCATTCAAAACGAATACGGCTGCATTCGAAACGTATTCCAAAGATAATCGAATACGATAATTTCACAACCTAATACGAGAAATTTCGAACCTAATTAGGTCACGTTCGGAGCCGAAATTTGTCGTATTCGGTTTCAAATGTGTCGTATTCGATAAAAAACATTATTCACTTGTAAGTCATTTTTATTCTATTTTTAAGTATTTATTTATTTTTCGAAATCCGCTTATAATTATTCCCCTCGGATTACTCTGGTAATTCATTTCGAATCGAATACGACACATTTGAAACCGAATACGACAAATTTCGGCTCCGAACGTGACCTAATTAGGTTCGAAATTTCTCGTATTAGGTTGTGAAATTATCGTATTCGATTATCTTTGGAATACGTTTCGAATGCAGCCGTATTCGTTTTGAATGCAGCCGAATTCGTTTTGAATGCAGCGGTATTCGTTTTGAATGTAGTCGTATATTTTTCAAATGTAATCGTATTCGGTTTTGAATTGAATTCGATTTGAATCAATTATGGAAGAAAAAGAAAATCGATTAGACAAACAAAATTATTTATTGCAATAAACACAATAACAACCAACAGCAGGAATGAAACAAAAAATATGTATAGCAGGATGTGCGATTTTTTCAATTTATTTCTTCGGAAATACTATTTCGATTATTTGTTTTCGCCATTTTTTGACGAAAAATTTATAACTTGCTTCAATTTCGACATTTCCTTTTCTGGTAAATGAAAATCGATCGAGTTCGAAAATAATTATCTTTTCAATCGAAATCGATAATACATTAATCTGTTTCGAATTATTTCAAAATTAAATCGAATACGATTTCAAAATTGAGAATGAAGAATGAACCAATCGATTTCGAAGATTTTTGAATCGAAACAAGTTTTCAAAGCGAATCTAAACAATTTCTCAATCGAATTTCATTTCTTTTTCTATCGAATCAGATTAATTTATATTTTGTTTTTTTGATTTTCATTTAACTACGGAAATTCCAAGCCAACGCAAACCTGATAAACTGATATACAGAAAATTAACTATGGCGCGAGTTCGAGAGCTCCTCCTCAATTCGCAGCCTCCTTGCGCGATTACTAAAAATTTTCCGGTAAAAAAACTATAAAAATGAAATATTGACTAACCATAAGTATTCGATATAATTTTCCGTGATTACTGTAACGGCAATTCGCATCATCTTCTCTTCGGTGTCCGGGATTGATATACAATGTAAAAGTAATTCTGTAAAAATTAAATTATTGAAATATTATAGAATTATAGAAAACTGACCAATAAACGTATTGATTATGTGCGCTTCAATTGCAATATTACCTTTTTGAGGATTTCGGCGTGGCGTATACTTGCATCGAATGTTTTGAGGAATCACCTGTAAATATGAAAATAGTAAAAACATCGAAAATTATTTTTTACCTCGTTCATCCAAATCATAACTGCCTCGTGCACTATTGTTCGCAGATGACGCTTACAGAGACGCATCGACTGAATGATAAGTGAGAAGTTAACCAAATCTTTAAAAAAAAGTTATTTACTGTAACGAATTTCTTTTTACCATTTCCTTCAATGGCCGGCACAAGGGTGTCGTCATAAGAAGCAAGCTTCAGCGGGTCGAACATTGCAAATACCTTGTCCTAAAAATAGTAGGCAATTTATCTGTTTGATGCAATTAAATCACCAAATTCCCGCTATACGACGTCCTATTCGCTGGTTCTCATCATCTTCATCTTCATCATTATCACTTTCATATTCTTGATCTTGAACACTTGTCATGTCCACTTCCATTTCTTTAACAGTAAAATATCATTTTGACAAAATCGATAATTACCATGCTCAACATCATCCTTGAATTTTTTCGAAGATTTCCGCAAATCGCTCAATACGTCTCTCGTGTTGATCCGCTTCATCTAAAATTGCGCACAATATTAAGAAATACGATGCGAATACGATTTTAAACGATTAAATAAAATTTAAAGAAAAATTATCGGCTATCGGATGTTCCCGAAAAAAAGCGGCTCAGGTAATTATTTTATGTCGCCATATGGCGGTTCGCGTGCGATCTCGTTTATTGTTTTTCGAAATTCTTTTTGGGTTATTTTCCAACCGATGACAATGATTTCTGAAAATGATGTTGCTAAATATATGATAGAGAAACAGGTGCCAACTTCTGTTGCAATTGATATCATCGAATTTGTTGAAACTATTAAAAATATATTTACATTGAATCATACTGTGGAAAATTGATAAATATAAACGTGCGCGCACGCGAACCGCACGCGCCCGAACGCGAAAAAATCTTGTAAATAGCTGCATTTCGGTGTCTCGCGGCAACAAGGAGTAAGCAACACTACTGGGCATTCATTAGTATTAAATATACTCAGCTCGTCAGCTCGGATATCATACGATATCGTTAACTTTTCGAAACCGACAAAATATTTTTTAAATAGAAAATTTAGGATAAATATGTCGCCGAATCCGGTTAATTAATTTGCGTTCGATTGTAATTCGTATTCGTTTCGGTTTTACTGCCAATTCGTATTCGATTCGAAATTTTGCGTATACGTTTGTAATACGCGTTCAATTCGTATTCGATTCGAATCGAGTTACCAGTGTTTTTTCGAACGTATACGATTGTAATTCTATCGTATTCGGTTCGGTTTTACTGTCAATCGTATACGATTCGAAATTTTCCGTATACGTTTGTAATACGCGTTCAATTCGTATTCGATTCGAAATGAATTACCAGAGTAGGTGCCAGATAACAAAATAAAGCTGCAATTTTTACAATTTGCAAAATGAAGCTTGATAATTATCGGTTACAATTGTTCCAGCAATCATTACTGCTCCACTAATAATCACACCAATAGTAAACGACATTCTATTGAAAATGGCCATATATGAATACGTGGCCGTCATTGCATGTGTACAAATTAACAATCCAATTGATACATAAGATCGAGGAGTTTTCTCGTAATCTCTTAAATGAATATCACGTTGTTCATTGTCAAGCGAAAAAAGTTCCCACTGCTTCTTTTTGGTCATTTTTTGTTGGAAAATCACCTGATAAAGTAGGTCGCAAATGCGCGTTCACATGTTAAAATAAATACGCTGAACACTAATGTGAGATCGTAATGAAAAAGCAAAGCACCGCCAGCAAAAAGCGGCAAAATCGTCATGATATCATCTGCCTTGGGTATATTCGAAATATTGTAGATCATCCATCCACGGTAGGCAACGGAATAATCTGAAAAATAAAATCTCACCTGATGGAATAATCAAAGATTGAGCTTTCGTGCGCAATTTGTTACGTTATCAATAACTTACTTTCAATATCAATTTTAATAAGTCCAACTTGATATGGAAACAGCAAAAATTTGGCAATGAGGCTTTCAAACCATTGCATAATAAACGAAATTATAATGGTTGTCATATTTGGATGAAAAACATGGGTATTTTTCATAATAACACATATCTGGTATGTATGAATCGTCGAAATAATGAGTAAACAGAACAAAATAATATGAATTAAGACGAAAACGCCGCTGAACAAATTAGAGTCGTTGAGAAAGAAAAATGGAAGAAACAATATTGTTGTATTTTGAATAAGAATGTTCATGAACTACTTCTGAAAGCAGAATGTTAGAAATTTAAGAATTCGGCTACGACATGGAATAACACCTGCTCGTTATTGGCTACAAACAAGAAAATGTAACAAATATGGAAGGAGGATTTTTATTTCATAAAATTGTGACAATGATTGGAAATAGTTAGGTATTACAATTTCTTGTATATGAATATTTTCAGATCAGGTGCCAGCTGCACTTTGTGAACACTTTCATCATGAAACTTTAATTCTCTTGGAACGATCAAAATTTTACTCAGATGGTGTAAACAATCATGGGTCTTGTAACAAGCAAAGTGAAGGCAAAAAATAGAAAAAATTAATTAAATTCTATAATTCGCTCTACAATTACGATTAATCATTTAGGGATATGGAATTAATACCATAAACAGTTTATACCGCATTTGCAAAGTAAAACTTGATAATGGCAATATCTCAAACTTCATTGAGTTTATTTAATTCACACTTTAGCCTTTGCTCACCAGCAAAAAATAAATGTTTGTCATTTCTCATCTGACCAAGGCAAAAAAGTTTTTTACAAACAAACAAACAAAAACCCGAAGACCGAGTTGGATACTTGAATAATTATATGCTGACTGCATTGCACGCCTGCAATCACTTTGACCGCGAAGAGGACTTAAAATCGCCCGTGTCACATGAAACGTAAAAAATTTGATTTACGATGGAAAACAAAAAATGCTAATTGAATTGTAGCTAGGTAAATAAAAAATTGGTTTTTAGGTTTGAAAGAAAGTTAAACATGATCGTAGAACATGCATTATAATGATAATGAGCATAAATCCGTGGTTTTCTGGTAATTTGAATATCCTCATTCGCCTGATTTGAAAAATAAATTCATGATGGGAAATGTATATTCTGCGAAAATGTTGTGAAGAAATGCAGTTACATGTAAAATCTAGAAAATCTGTTCTAAAAGTAGTCCAATGAAAATCTGCAAATTTTCTGCTTTCCCGAATCAGACGTCCTAGATTCCTGCGTGTTTACACTAATTGTAAGAGAGTACCGTAATCCGGGCATCGATTTTTAGTACTTCCTATGACACATGTTGTTTTCGTTTTTCATTTAAATTGTTCCGTTAATTAAATGGTTGAATTGTTTACATGTTGGCAAATTAACGAATTTTAAACCTGAAATTTTAATTACATCGTCCATAGCGTGTTTCCTATTACGTAGCGTGAGGTGCGTCGTGATATGTTGAAAATTTTCAAACTGCAAACTATATTTTAGAAGTTATTTTAAATAACATATATACTTTCTATAAAATTCAGAATTTTTTTTCGATTTTCATTTTCCAATTCTTTTTGTTCTCGTCCTTGTGTTATTGTGTTTTGTGTCACCAATAACACAAAATATGTTATTGTGTGCTCATTGTGTTCTTTTGAGTTTGTGCTAATGCCGTTCGAAATCCTCAAAAATGGTTTTTAGAAGTTTAGAATTTTTTCTCAGTATTTTTTTCTCGAAAAGGTGATTAATTAAATTGTGATATTTCAATACAGTGGTCAGGATCAAACGTTTGAACGTTTAAAGATACTCGACCATTGAACACTTTGAAAGTGATGATTTTTCGTACAACTCATTTGCCGTGAGACAAACATTAAAGTGATTTTTGATCATAAGACATATTTAAGGGCATTATTTTCATCATTATATTACATGCTCAAATTTTGCATTTTCGGTTCGTGGTTCAATACCGTGTATGTGAACGGAATTATTAATTTATTGACAATCTTAAAAGTTGAACTTAGACAGTGAACAATATGCGAAAAATAATTCCCATACGTGAATAGTTACATAAAATAACTGATAATCTGAAGTTTTTATTGCATTTTTTCGCACAAAATTGTTTTCGTTGAAAGTTTTATTTATTTTTGCGCTCCCCATATAATTTCGGGCAAACATTCCCACCGTTCATCTATTGTTTTCTTACGTTTTGTCTCAAATTGATTTTGCAAAGTTTAGATGCTAAGAAACGTTGTACGTGTCAATACGCAATTAAGGAATGCATCAAATATTCCTCCTGGATTGTCGAACATCGTGCCGCAATATACTCAATTGTTCATCAATAACGAGTTTGTCGACGCAAAGTCGGGAAAAACCTTTGAAACAATAAATCCAGCAAACGAGAAGGTTATTGCACGTGTTGCTGAAGGAGATAAAGCTGATGTTGATATTGCTGTTAAAGTAAATAATTTTTAGATTTTTATATTTCGATAAACATAGAAGATATAGGCTGCAAAGAATGCATTTCGCACTGGAAGTGAATGGCGCCGTATGGATGCTTCAGAACGAGGAGTTCTTCTCAACCGTCTCGCTGACTTGATGGAACGAGATCGTGTGATTCTTGCGGTATTCTATCCATTATTTAATCGATTCAATTCGTTTATTTTAGTCCTTGGAATCCCTTGACAATGGAAAACCATATGCGGTGGCATATGCTGCAGATTTGGCGCTTTCTATTAAATGCCTTCGGTATTACGCCGGATGGGCTGATAAGAACCACGGAAAAACAATTCCAATCGCCGGTGACCATTTCACTTACACTCGCCATGAGCCGGTCGGCGTGTGCGGACAAATTATTCCGTGGAACTTCCCGCTTCTGATGCAGGCGTGGAAAATTGCCCCAGCTCTCGCCATGGGAAACACTATTGTTATGAAGGTTGCTGAGCAGACCCCATTGAGTGCCCTCCACGTTGCCGCTCTTACAAAAGAAGCTGGATTCCCAGACGGTGTCTTAAACGTAATTCCTGGATTTGGACCAACAGCTGGACAAGCTGTATCTTCGCACATGGATATTGATAAGGTCGCATTCACCGGATCTACAGAAATCGGTAAAATTGTCATGAAGTCCGCTGCGGAATCAAACATCAAGAAGTGGGTACCACAGCTAATTTCATATAAACATTGGATCAATTTTCAGAGTCACCTTGGAACTCGGTGGAAAGAGCCCAAATATAATTTTTGCGGATGCAGATCTTAATGAGGCCACTCATCAGGCTACCCATGGAATTTTCTTTAACCAAGGACAATGCTGCTGTGCTGGATCACGAACATTTGTTGAGGGAAAAGTTTATGACGAATTCGTGGCAAGATCGAAAGAATTGGCTGAAAAGACAGTTATCGGGGATCCGTTCAATCTCAGCACCACTCAAGGACCACAAGTGGACGGTAATCAGGTGAACACTATTTTGAAATACATCGACGCTGGAAAGAAGGAAGGAGCGCAACTAGTTACTGGTAAGAAAAATGACAAATTTTTATGTCATTATTTAATAATGATTTAGGTGGATCGAAACATGGGGACAAGGGGCATTTCGTAAAACCAACTGTTTTCGCAAATGTTCACGACCAAATGAAGATTGCTCAAGAGGAAATCTTCGGACCAGTGATGAGCATCATTCGTTTCGATGATATGGAAGATTTGGTCGAAAAAGCAAACAATACTATTTATGGATTGGCTGCGGGAGTGATGACCAAGGATTTAGATAAGGCACTTCACGTAGCTAACACAATCCGTGCTGGATCAGTCTGGTAAAATAAATAACTGAAGATTAACTCTCTAGGAGCAATTATAGGGTTAACTGCTATGATGTATTCGATGCTGCTGCCCCATTCGGAGGATACAAACAATCAGGTATCGGCCGCGAACTTGGGGAATATGGACTTGAAGCTTACACCGAAGTGAAAACCGTCACCATCAAGGTCCCACAAAAGAACTCCTAAATATAGTAGATTATGTAATAAATAATATAGAAATAGTTTATAGTTTATAAATATGTATTTAACATTTTTGTGAAGTCGTTATCTGCGTGATCTTCGTGTAGACCTCGTTGAAAATTCAGATTGAGCCTGCAAGTGTGGTTGGGATTGCGGTATTTGCTGAGTTTGAGGTTGAAGTGTAGGCATCTGTTGGGGTGCAGGCGATACAACTTGAACTGGTTGAATGTGGTATTGAATTTGTGTATTAGGTTGTCGTGTCTGCGAATGTGACGAACTCGGGGCCGGACGTCTCCGCCCTTTAAACGATGGAACTGAAAATCATTAATTTTAATTGTTTGAATATAAGCCAATGAATTACTAATTTTTCTCTTCCGCTTCATTAGAACTTCGCCAACAGTAACATCAATATTATCTATACTCATCGGTTTTTCGAAAGACTGCGGCACAGATGTCGAATATTCGGAATTCTAAAAATTCAAATGAAGTGTCCAATATTAAAAAAAAATTACTCACAACAGCGAAATCCTTGGGTAATGGCAAAGCGCTTTCTTCAGATGGTTGTGTTTCGCCAGTCTTCTGCGTCTCGTCGTTTCCGAATGATGAGAATTCTGTGGCCGGCTAAAAGATTTTATGAAATATTCTATAAATTTAAAATTAAACCTCGGCAGTCTCACTTTCCGCTGTGTTTGTAATTGTGATAGGATCATTTTGAATTGTAATTGGGAATAATTGAATTCCTTGCGGCGCTGAAAGACAATTTTTTCATAATGTTTTTTTTGTAATTCGTAAAACTCACTTTCCATAGCCGCATAGTGTTGTTTAGTCGACGCATCAACATAAATTTGCATTTGATGCTGTTGTTCGAGGGCAGCAATTGGCATTTCTCCACTTTCGTCCAGAATTATATCACCTTGTTCGGTTTGCTAAAATACAATTTTTTTAATTGAAGGAAAAATCAAGTTTTCTACCACTGCGGTTTGCGATGCCGTTTGGTCTTCGTTGAAATACTCTTCTGATTCTGGTTGTGTACTTTGTCCCTAATAATATTAAAGCATTAATTTTTTCACAAAATTATAATAAAAATTTACTGAAAGTCTCCTCTTTTCAGATTCCTGGTTTTCCTCAATATCTTCTGAAATATTTGCGCTATAAATTTTGCTAAATCAACCAAGTAAACTCACGATTTCCAATTTCCTTTTCCTCACCATCAGAATTGAAAAATTGTGTTTCAACACAACGCATTCCGCCGTCAGTTTTGTAAAACAAGGGTTGAATTGGTGGATCATTGGCATATTGTGGCGGATGAACATAATTTGTGTGAGGTCGGTGAATTGGTCCCGTCAATTTGTGGGCTTGTCGGTATTTCATCAGGAAAATTCTCATCGGTTCAGCATAATTGTCAAAACCAGTAGCTTCCAAAGCTGTTAAGAGATCATCAGCAGTTAAGGTCTTCCGTTTAGTCTACAATTTTTAAAATTCAGACGTAAAGAAAACGATAATATTAATAACTTGATGACAATAATCAGCGGCCTCAGAAGTCAAAAATTGAATAAATTCAGAAACGCATTCTTGGACGCATTCTTTCGCTTCTTTAGAAAGTTTCGCTTGAGGATCAACCTGAGTTTTCATGATTCTCGAAATATTTGCTGCAAACACTTCAGTTTTGTGCATCAATTATATTTAGCAAACCAATTGGCAGAAATCTTTCTTGGTCTAATATAACCCCATCTTTTCGGGTGAAACAGCCATTAAGATTCTGATCACTTCTATCCATATAATTAACATCGCCAACATTATGCCCATGATTTTCAACCAATTCTCCATCATCTTCTTCATCCTCTTCGTTATCAGGTTGGTAGTATTGACCCTAAATTACCATATTAATCTGACCAAATAGAAACTTCTGCGAGACGCAGTCACGGTCATTTTTTTAAACATTTTTTTTCATTAATAATAAAAACTAACTGAATGGCTTGATGATGATTGATAATTGTTGAAACTCTCGGAGAAATGTTGATTCTGAATTATTATATGTAAAATTGTTTCAAAATTTAATACTTACGTATTGGTAATCACTAGGACCGACATTTTTCACATTATTCAAATCCTTAAAGTTAATTAACTGAATCAGTGAAAAAAAAAGTAAAGTTACTTGATATTGTGTCTCGATTTCATCAGGTTTGGCCATATCCGTAGGAATTGACATCTTAATTTAAAAAAAGTTGAATCTTGAAATGCATGCAAAAAGTTATAATTACCGTATACTCGGATAAAGTACAAATGTAGACTTCTAAATACAATCGTGGTCTTTTATTAATCATAAGATAACAAAAAAAATAATCTAGATTGAAGATATCTAACTAAAACATCGGGGGAAATATATTCGAAAAATAATTAACGACAGAATAGATAGAAACAAGAGTTTAGGCGGTCTTCGCTTGTTGAATTGCTGCCGATGGACCGAGAAGCATTTGTCGTTGTGCGGCTACTTGCGTCTTTTCGAGATCACTTCTCTCTTTTTCAATGATGTACGGAAGGAATGCGATCAGACTAGTCGTGCAAACAACCCAAACCGTGTTTCTAGTCAGATTGAACTGCAAATGAAACCCCTCCTAACATCCAAATAATTAATTCTTACAGCTGTCTGGGCTCCCCAGAATGTCCACGAAACGCTGGATGACGTGAGTTTTCTGAGACTCTCAGGGAACATCTCTCCGAGACCTTAACAATTTCAATAATTTTTATTGTCGGCGTCAAACGAATGAAGGGAGGCAGAGCTTTCCAATTCGCATAAGAGATTTAAAAGACCATTTGCACATAGCCCATGATTTTTTAAAATTTTTTCGTCGTTTGACTGCGAAAATAAAAACTTGAAGAAATCAAAACCTTCGATACGCTCGAGAAACGTCTCATGAAGCTCGCTGTCTGGAATATTGTCGAATTCGTCACGAGCAGCCATCTAAAATCTTAATTTAGAATAGAAAGCCCTAACAATTTGGAAGATATACGCATAGGTCATAACTATGTCACGAGAAATAAATAAAACCGATTTCGCAAAAAAATTTAAAATGAAAAATTGAAACAAAACAACGGTGATAAAAAAAACAAGGCTAACAATTAAATAATAACAATCAAATCTTAACAAAAAAAAAACAAAAATTATCAACAAATTATTGCTGTTTGGCGAGAATCTTCTTTCTCCGATTCTTTACAGATTTTGCTCCCTTGCGAGCCGCGGCACGTTTTGGCACCTTCGACACAAACGACTTCTCCTTTTTAGCCTTCTTGATGAAGCCGACAGTGTTGAAACCATCATCAGCTTCAAGTTGCTTACGCTTTTCTTCAGACTTCCTCTGGTTTCGTTTCTTCTTATTCGCTCTTGCTCCAGAACCGATATTTCTCACTTCAAAATGTGGTTATTGTTTGAAATTTGAAAACTTTTTACTTGGCGCATTAGTATCACTGTCATCGTCGTCTTCTTCCACGGGGTGCTTATTTTTTTTCTTCCCTAGACCCTTTTCCGCATTTCCATTAATCTTTTCGGTGGTCTTTTCTTCAATTTCATCATCACTATCAGTGTTTGTTTGTTTCGAAGCATTCTTCTTTTCAGCCTTTTCCTTTTCCGCCTATAACAAGCATAAGCTATGTTTTTGAAATTATAAATTCAAGCTTGCCTCTAAAACTTCGAACTTGCTTGCTTTCGCATTCGAAAGTTTCTTAATTTTTGCCACAAAGAAACCATCGATGTTATGAACATGGGGGTAATAACGTTTAGTTAGAGAAAGAGATGGATGGAAACGATAATCACGGAATCTCGTGAATCCGTCAACGCCAATTGGCAAGCCTGTCTGAACTAACTCGCAGTGCCGTTTTTGCAACAAAAAGTTGACAACCGCTTCGTTTTCCTCAACCTTAAGCAAGATTTATTATTCATTATTTATAAAAAATAATTCTTACCAAGACGGAACAAGTTGAATACACTAAATATCCGCCATTTGGTGAATTAGCATCAAGTGCATCAAAAGCAGACAAAATTAGCTGTCTTTGAACTGTGTGTCTAAAACAATAGTTCAATTTGTGTAATTACCACCTCTCTAACCTTCGCTGAACATCCTGACTATCTTTGCTGGTTTTAACCGTTTGATCCTTCCAGATAACTCCTGTACCGGAGCATGGAGCATCGAGTAGAATTCGATCAAATCCATTTGGTCGAATTTTGGCAAACTCCTCTCCGTTCAAATTGCAAACCACGGTATTGTTAACTCCGAGACGATGAAGGTTACCAATGATGGCGCGACAACGAGCAAAATTGGCATCATTGGCAAAAAGAACTCCAGAATTTTTCATCAACGCAGCAATATGTGAAGTCTTTCCTCCTGGCGCAGCGCACATATCAAGAACACGATCACCAGGTTGAGGAGCAAGCGCCATGACGGGCAACAAGGAATTCAATCCTTGGATCATATAATGTCCAGCGAGGTACTCCGGAGTAGCTCCTACCGGGACTTGCGAATCGTAAACGACAAGTCCGACTTTTGTCCATTCAGCAGCTGGATCTACATTCATTCCGCGAGCGATTAAATTTTTTGCCAAATCACGCCTATAAAATTAATAATAGAGGGAAAAATAATATTTGAAAATAACCTTTTAACTTTCAACGAATTCGCTCTAATTGTGACTGGTCTCGGGTTGTCGTTAGCTTCCAAAAATTCTAGCAACTCAGCACCATTTGGGAATAAATCCATGAATTTTCCCATCAAATAATCATTATAGCCATACTGATTACACAAATCCTTGCGAAGAACATCCAAATACTGTTCACGACTCTTGTTCGGGTCGCGCCGATTTTTGAAATCACCAAGGACTTGAATAACATCGGCAATGCGTTGTCTGACAATCTCCAAGTTTGGAGCCGATTTCAGTTCTGCTTCAATTTCTTCAACTGTAGGCAAAACAAATTTTTCTTGATTGGCAATATTAAGCTGCAACTCTTCCTCAGCTTCTTTCCTGAAAAAAATTATTTAAGACGATTTATACAATTAGGACTTTTTTACATTGTTTGTTCTTTAGCCGCATCAAGTGCCTTCGACTTTTTTTCAATCGGTAAATCGTCATCGTCCGAGTTATCAAAATCATCGGGCATTGCGTCATCTTCATCATCATTAGCTTCAAATCCCAATCCGTCAAGCTTTTTAATGGTCAAATTTTCTTCATCCCCCTCCTCTTCTTCAAAAAGCTGCTTTTTTGTCTTCTTTACGACATTCTTAATAACTTTCTTCGGTGTTGCCGCGGTTCCCTAAAAAAAATAAAATCATTTTCATAAATGTGAAAATATTCACGTTTTTCTTTACGATTTTCTTTACTTTTAGCTTGATTGGTTGTTCTGAAGAAACTTCTTCGGTAATATCTTCCTGAAAACATGGAAACAACTAAAAAAAAATAATTCGAATTCAATCAAAAACCTCTAACTTCCGCTTCGCAGCTTTTTCTTTTTTAACTTTCAAAGATTTGCTCGCTTCAGTTCCTTTATCATTAGTACGTTTTTTCTTAACGACAGCCATTCTGAAAGCTGAAATTTAAATGTGAAAAAAAAAAACACGCGGAAATGTTAACGATCCTAAAGAAAATTGAACAAGTGAGTGTGTGCAGTGGAGCGCACATGCTGCATTTAGTATACAATCGAGATTAATACCCTCACAAAACCTTCAAAAATTCCTTAATCGATTCAAGATATTTTATTTTAAGTTCTTTCAAAAACATCTTGATCTAACCAATAAAAAATTCGAAAAATTAAACATGAGGAGAAGTCTATATAGATTTACCCAATATCGGGCATAAAACACGAAGTATCAACATAATCAAATTTCTATTGGAATGAAAAAATGACAAGAAAATACTATTAAAACGGGGTGCAATAAAAAATATATGCAAAATGATAAAACACATTTTAAACGTTATATATTAGGTGGGTCGAACTTCAGCGAGTTGTCAATTGCCTGAAAATTAAAAATAGTTTTCAAACGCGAAAAAGTAATTTTAAAAAACTATTTACCAAAAGCTTTGAAGAACTCTTCGGAGATTCCATGTCAACAGATGACAAACTTGTCTGAAAAAAAACTAATCAATAAGGGTTTATATAAATATTTACGTTTTCTTGTTTAAGTGTGCCCTTTGTGAAATGTTTCGAACCTTCCTGACCAAAGTCGACGGGTGCATTTTTCACAACTGGAGATGGTACAAAGGTCGTCAGGAATGCAGAAGGATCAGTAAGAGTGGCACCAGATTCTGGATTTATATAAGTGAATTGATTGTGAGAATTTGGTGAATCGATGTAATGCTTCTCATTCATATGGGAGTTCGCGCTCTTAAAATTGGATAAATAATAAAAACGACAATATTTAATTAGTTACCATGCACTGAACATTATCAGAAACATTTGATTGTGAATACAAGTTCATGTTCTAAAGTTACACTTTTCTCAGGCACTAATAAGTAATTCTACCAGTAATGTAGCGCTCTCAGACAGTAACGGAGCATTAACGAAATAAGCACTTTGAGGTTGTGCTGCTGGATAATCGTTAAATAATAGAGGTTGCGAAGAGCTGACTTTTTGGTCATTACCATAGGCTGAAAATTTCATTTATATTTTATATTTAATAGTTTCACCTTTCTGAGAAGCGGATGTTGTTGGATTCAACGATCTCATCATCATTTCATGAAGTGTTATTGAAGACAACGTTCCTGACTTTTGAAGGGCATCCGGACTCGTTGCGTAATCTGACGAGCCACTGGAGACATCTGACGACTGCGAGGATTCCTTACGGCGGTGCGCGTATTCTGCGGCAAGTGCGCACGCCTTTTTGGGACAAGCTGCGTCTTCTTTTTCTAATTCTTTCCATTTTGCGGTGTCATAACTATTGTGAGCATCTAGCAGTTGGATATGACTAATTTGAGATAATCCGTCCATTTTGGGACGCTTGAATTCGTGTCGTTCGACAAGTTCCCGGTCCATATCAATTTCATCGGAAAAAACTCTGAAATAATAATATTCGAAAAATGTTTTATATTTTATTAAAAACCTCTTCATACACCCTGACGCTTTGTTTTTTATAGAATTCTTCAGGCGTTTCTCCATTTTTCGCGTCTCGATTTCCTCCTGTCTTCGGTGATAATCAGCAATGTCTTCCGCGGTTTTTCGTGGCGAATTCGCTTGTAAAATGGGAGGTACACTGTATTAAAAAAAAAGATTTTAAAATATATTATTCCAACAATTACTGATATGGAGCAGGATTTTTGTAAACGAGAACATTATCTTCACGTTGCGTGAAGCCAGCTGGTATTGGCGGTTGAGGTGCTTTGGAAAACGCTTCGCAAAACGTCTGAATTCCATTTGCTATTATCTTTATCGATGAAAGTGTACCTGTCTAGTAGATTCCGACTTTAAACCTATCTCCACTTCATCCTTACTATACGGGCAGTGAGCAAATAAGGGCAAATCATTGCTGGTTCTAAATTGACTGTAAATAATCTCTAAATTAAAGAACCTTACAGTTGCACAGGAATTTTTCGAAGATGCATTAAAACTTTAATTATGGCATCTTGTAATTGCACAATTTCCTGCGGAGACAGCTCTTTTGTAACGTATATGAGTGTTCCCTCCTCTATGTCATTATTACCACGAGCTTTTCTACGCAATACTTGTTTGTTGGCAGCAATATCACGGCGAAGTTGGTTTGTAAATTCCTAAAAGTTTACTACTTATCAGTTTTCTTGGTTTCATTACAGTAAATGATATACAACGTTTGAGTTGAGCTCCTTTCAATTTTTCGCCAATAAGGGTTGCTGGGGTTGTCAATGAAGGTGTCAATAACTTCGGTATGCACAAGCGGTGAGCACTTAGGTCTTGTCCAACAGTGCTTTTTTTAACTTTCCGATCAGTTTCAATATCAAGATTTTCCACGGGAATATCTTCAGAGTTCGATAAAATAAACTGCCTACTAAACACTTTGCGAATAGAGCGAAATGTTTGACATCCCTTACGATTGCACCTATTTAAAGTATGTATCAATAATGCTTATTTAAATGACCTACCGATACGAAGGATATTCTCGAGTTTCTCCTTTATACCGCGTTCTTCGCAGACAAAGGTACATAACATCATTGCAAAGATGACAGATTATTGAATAAGGAATTTTGTATTTTATTCCTTGAACATCAATTTCGACTTGGCCGCTTTTGGATTTTATATTTTGTGGCTCAACCTGTTTGTCATATATCACTTTGTATTCAATTTCTTTGTCATAATGAGATATTCCGCCTTCATAAATAACATCTGTTTCATTATCGAAATGAGTATCTCCTTTAAAAATATTTAGCGACTTATAAAAGAAAAGCAGAGTAACCTTTTTCTTTCCAATTTTCACCATTTTCATAAGAATCGTCATCAATTTCTGGCTTAATGTAGGATTTTGTAGGAATGGGAGTAATTTCTTCAATTATTGTATCACCGCTACTCATTCTGTAAGAGACACGTTTAGAAAATTAAATTCCAAAAAATGAACAGATCAAAAAATAGCAACTGGTTTCTTTTCGCGGTACAATGCATTCCAATTGCAAAATATGAATTTTCGAAATTTGCGGGTATCGTAACGCATTCGCTTAAAGACCACATTAACAAATTATTCGTGCCCCCCCCCCCTTGACACAACATTTTTTGACACTGCTTAAATTATTTTATATTATTCATTAATGTACGAGACAATTCTTGTTTATTTAATAATTACTAATGTTTTCGCTACTGTGCGCTCAATAATTACTTTCATCTTACGATTGTATATTTCCGGTCCACGGAGATTAGTTCAAATCACATAGTGACCTAGATCGAAACTTCGTAAAATGTCACACAAAGATTAACTTCATTTTTGTTCCATATTCTTTTAACGATTCTTCACGTTCTCGTTTCTACCTATAAGATATTTTCATCTTTCAAAAAATTTTTTTTCAGAAGAAGGAAACGTAGAAGGTCGCGTCAAAAAGATTTTCACTTGCCAAAGACAAAGGTAACTTTTACCATTTTAGTTTATTTGGCTTTATTTACACAAAACGAATTTGGTCACTTGGCCGAGAACACCGATACAATTGGCAACTCAATTAGTTCCGCTGATAATGTTCTCGAAAAATATCGAGGCATTCAACATTCGTCGCGGAAACTAGAAATCCAAGAATTACGCAAATAGGTCGACAATGCATCTGAATCCGATACGATTCGCGTCTAGATATGTACAGGGCTAACAAGTTTCATTTTAAGCATCCCAATTTGTTCTGGCGACAAGTTTCGTTTCAAATGTTTGTAGGATTCTTTATTTGTGTTGAAGGTGCGCACGGCATCAATGTCAATATCGCGACGTGTTGGTTTTGAATTGCCTAGGTGATGACGATTTCATTAGTTTAGTATTCAGGGTATCCCTCTTCAGTATTTCACCTGCCAGATACCTCTCGATATTTCAAGTAATTTCAATAATTCGATTATAATTAGAGTCTTTAGTATCCACAATATTTGTATTGGTCATTTTAGTAATTTTTCTCTCATGAAAGTGGAAAAGAATTCGAAAAATTCGCGAAAGAGAAAGTGTACAAAGAAACATTTGTAAAAATGAAGTTCCTGGTTTTGGCGAATAAAAAGTTATTTTTTTTTTCAAAACATTCATTCGTATTGTTTCTGTACAGATTCGAAAAAAAACTCAACATTTTTTAAATTTGAAAATTGAATTGTGACTGGGAATCAGTTTTCGTTTTTAACCAGAGATAGGGATGTGATGCGACTTTAAACATACACAAAAATCTTTTGATATTCATCCAATATAAGTCACATCCGGAGATTAAATGAGGTTATTGAAAACATCTGTATCCTCAACTGTGCCATTCCATCACCCAATACTAGTGCTATATCGATCGATTCATTTGTCAGGCGCATTCCGCACCAACACACACTATTTCGCCGGTCGTCAGTTTTCTCCCGCTCGTCTTACTCCTAAGCGTCGCGATACAGGACGGTTTTCGTCTTCTCTCGCTCGTTTGTTTTTTTCATCGTCTCGACAACACTTGTTTTTGTTTCTCAAAATGCCAACGCCGCTTTCTTGTTCTGCATTATTTTTTTCTTGTATTGTACCGTAGTGCGCTTTCGATTACTGTACCAGAGCAAACAATGAGATTTTGCTCAGCGCGGAGCCTCCGATTGGTCAGCCAGCTACTGTTATTAAGTAAACATTTCAAGAATTGAGCCAAAAATTTAAGCATAAAAAGTTCTGTTATACTCGGCTATTTTGATATTAGTCATTGGAATGTTGGCAGTTTTGAGTGGCACATGTTTTCTGACGAGAAAATTGTGGCCCAACATTCAGGAAAATACGGAAGAAATTCGATGTCGACAAATTTGAAACAGTTTAGTTCAAGGCCATTACTTATCAGTTGCCTCCCTCTCGTCCATCATGAACACTATTATCATGATTTGCCTTTCCATGAGACGATTTACGGTTTAACTGATAGCATTCCTATTTCACACCATTATTCTTTGCACAACCTTGAGATTTTATATTGACATCAATTAATGTCCCATTAAACGCAATTTCAAATTCTCAAATCCATCAAACGACCTTTTTTATCTTCGCCGAAATTGTACAGTATTATTTATCGACAATTTCGTGATAATCGTCGCCGCATGCCCGAAAAATAGAATTAACTAAATAGAAATGCGCAATAACATGCATTCTTAATCTCTGTGAGAAAGTTGCCATTATTAAAAACCATCTTCGGACACTTGTTGCTATCTATATTATGTGTAACGGTGAGCCGGCGAGTCTCTGCTTTATTACAACACAGATCGCGAATTCCGGGTGCGTTCTTTATATTGTGTGCCACAACGACGCACAGCTGCTGCATTTCGCTGCTGCCGAATCAAATCACTTCGTGGCGTTCTTTATTCACAATTTTTCATTCAATCGCTTGTCGGCCCTAGCAATTAAAAAAAAAACCCGATAGAATCGAAAATTTGCATAAATTGATACTCGGCACCATTATTCGGCACACGTCCTCGTCCGCCCTTTTTTAGAAGCACGAGAACAAAAGCCCATCGTCCATCCATCCAATTTTTCAACAAAATGGGGTTCATTACGGCGCGCACGGCCTTCCCGAATTGAATTTGGTAATCGAAAGCGAATCTTTTCTTTACGCGAAGGAGCCTAAATTGAGTACTCCTCCTTGCCGACCACCCTAAGCTCCGTGAGCACCTTGTATATAATCACATAAAACTCTTCGTTAAGTGTATCTATTGAGTGCCAAAAATTTGACCTATGCTTTCGTTTTTTTCTCTTTTAAATAGCGCGACATCATCTCATTTTTCGATTTGTCGCTGTCGTTGCTGTTTTTTTATTCGTTTGGCCCTCGTCTCAAATCCATTTATTGGGCGGCGCCGGTCGAAATCGCCAACGCGCCGTGTTTTTTTTGTTTGCGTTCAGGAAATCCGCCGCCGGATTTGATGTTATTGAGCGAGAACAACATTTCTGGCCGTTTTTGGAAACACCCTTTGAACTGGTTTTACTTCAAGATAATAATCAAAAACACTGAAGTTTGATCTTTAAATAATTGAAACTGTGGAATTTTGCGTTAAAAGAATCATTAGCTTAATCCAGGGAGATAGAGAAAACGTGATAAAAGCAAATGTCTCATGTTGTGAAATCTCGTGCCTCTCGTTCTTGATACTCAATAAACCCTATAATTTTACACGAGCGTCGAATAGGTTCGATTCCATTGCCCGTTTCGAACATGTGTTTTCCTCATCTTTCAAGAAAGAAAAATGATTCGCACTTTGAGAATAGTATAGCGCTGAAAGAAGTCGGTGTTCGGGTGACCCAAAATTAGTGCACATCTTTCTTCTTTCGCGTCACCAAAACCTACAATGATAATGAAGGACGATGATAAGAATCTTCTCGCGCATCGCATTTTCTCTCGCTCTTGACATTTTTTTCGCTCGCCTCCCCGAAACCGTCGTACTATGTACAGTCGCTCATTTTGATATATTGTCGTCTTTATTACCGGTTGTCAATATGAATGTTCTTTTCAGCGGACTTGCCTGGTGCGTCATATGTGCAATGAGCGGTCCGCTAATAATGGTACCGAAAATTGATTTAAAATCCGAAATGACGAAAAGCAACTTGGCCGAAGCCGCAGCGTCAGTTGAAGCATCATCAACACCGTCGTCACAAGGAGTTGGAACAGTGGTGGAAAATGACGCACCAACATCTGCAGCATCGACGTCAGAACCAGACGCTGATGCCATCAAAATGTTTGTGGGACAGGTTAGTTGGTTGAAGTTTGCGAAAATTGCACATCAATATTCTTAATTTGAATGTTTTAATTGAAAAAAAAATTTAGATTCCTCGTCATTGGAATGAGACGGACTGCCGTCGGTTATTCGAGACGTATGGTCCAGTTTTCTCATGTAATATTCTCCGCGACAAGTCGACGCAGTCAAGCAAAGGTGGCGACAAGAAGTCAACGGGGGGCTAATCAACGAACTGACCCAATTCTTTCAGGCTGTTGCTTTGTGACATTCTACCATAGGAAAGATGCGATTCATGCGCAAGGGGCTTTGCACAATATTAAAGTCATTGAAGGAATGCATCATCCGATTCAAATGAAGCCAGCTGACACAGAGAATAGGAATGGTACAAATAATGGGATAAATTGAATTTAAAATACCAAACAAAATTTTTTAGAACGTAAATTATTCGTAGGACAGCTGAGTAAAAAACACACAGAAGAGGATTTGCGGTTGATGTTTTCTAAATTTGGCCAAATCGAGGATTGCAGTGTTCTAAGGGATAACGAAAATAAAAGTAGAGGTATGAGAAATTTTTCACGTTTTTGTTTCTTTTTTTTTCATTTTATGTGCGTTTGTCACATTTATGTAATCCTTAAAATAGAGCATATGTAGATTTCACTGCCGGACGGAGAATGTCATACTGTATTGATAGTCTATGTGTGAGGTTTCCCGCCTTTACAAAACTTGGGAGATTGATATTATATGTCGCATTCAGTTAAACTTGTCGTTTTGTCCCGAAGAAAGCACAAAATTTTTTGAAACTTAAAAAAAAACATATTAATGAAATGTGTTGATTTTCTCTCTCAGGATGTGCGTTTGTGACGTTCGTGAACCGCAGCTGTGCCGTACTCGCCACCAAAGAAATGCACCATTCGCAAACAATGGAGGTAATTGGATGTTTTTTTGACTTTTGTTCCTTTGTTTTCGTTTTTCTCTTCTTCTGTGTTTCGGCTAGTAAAAACGCACAATTTCATTTATTCACATTCCTTGACAGATGGTGTGAATTTTTAGGGTTGTGCGGCGCCGCTCGTCGTGAAATTCGCTGACACGCAGAAAGACAAAGATGTGAAACAGAAAGCGGCAATGCTCGGAGCGTCTACGTCACCTAAATCTTCCCTACTCGCCAATTTGAATCCATCACTTTTACAACAGGTAGTTTTGTCAGTAAAACAATTTTTAAAAGTTGTTTAGCTGGGCGGCGGAGGTCAGAATATTCAAGCAGTTGCTTCAATTCTATCATTGTTAGGAGGGCAACAACCGCAGTCAGCACCGCAGCAGAATGTCCTCGGATTACTTGGAAGCGGTAGGAAGCATTTTTATTTGTTTTCTGAAGAGTATTCGACTTAATTCCAAATTTAAAAAAAAAATATATTTTTTACAAAACATGAGCTAAAGTTCGCCTTGGGTTTAGTGTTGTCGGCTCTCGGGAAGCTCGCAGAGCCTGATGACAAAACGCCGTCGACGTCATCGAAATCATCGTCGACGGCGTCACCGAGCATCACTACCAACACCACAACCACCACCACCTCATCCTCCTCTGCAACAAGTACGACGAACGTGGCGAGCACGACAAGCTGCCCAAAACCTCAGCAGCCTATAGGTGGGTCAGGCATGCCAGCGTGTGTGGCCTGATTCCCGTTTAAACCGTTTTCTTTACGTTTCGTTTTCTTTTGCCGTGATTCGACTAACATCGTGTTGTTCCGCTGCTGCTGCTGCTGCTGTTGCTGGTGCAATTGTTTGGTTTTTAGTAGCTATACGTTGTTGTCTGGCATGGTACTTCTGCTTTTAATCAATCGAAAAGCGAGCGCGGCTGAAACAAAAACCAACTCGAGATTTAAAGATTACAGCTTTTTCCTTCTTTAAATGATAGCATGAAATGTTCTGTTTAACGCAACGCTGGGATTCCACTAGAAAATGATGACATTTTCAGCGCAATTTCTACCACCAACCGCGCAGACAATTGACGCCTTCACACAGGCGCAGATGGCTCAAATCGCTCACCAAAATCAGATTCTAGCGTTGCAAGGATATCCGGTACAACAGGCGCCGCAGTCAGTCCAAGTCTCGCAAGCAGGTAATTGTCGAGTCTTTTCGTTTTACATTTAATCACTGAAGCTTTTCTAACCGACTGGAGTTTACCAACGTTTTCACCAATTTTGCTTCTTTTTTTTTCTTCTTTTCTAACACTATCCTTTTTTGACAATCCCATTCAGGATATGGCTACGCGACAGGATCGCCCGACTCGGCAACTAATACGGAATCATCGACTTCGATTTACGGTAATGATGATGTTGAAAGATTGGCGGCTGGTGGAGGATATTGCGCGATGCGCGCAACACCGCAGCACCATCTCATTTCACCATACTACGCGCTTGGTAAGAAATTTTCTACCTAAATCAATAATTACTGCATGCGCTTTATTGCACCAATGTTTCCCCGAGTGTTTACCATTGTGTTTCACCCGTGTTTCCATTTTAATTTTTTTCTATTTATGGTATTTTTCAAAAGATAAAAATCAAGAAAGTAAATATTTCAACTTTTCTTAATTAGGCTTTTAATGAATATATCCACTTCAGGTCTTGCTGGAGGTCTGGCTAATACTAAAACGACGTCACCTGTTGCTGCTACGATTCCTAATCCGGCAATCGCTTTGGGGCCCTATGCCACAGCTTCAACGGCGGCTTTTGATCCATATCAAGCCGCTGCCCTTCAGCAACAATATGCTTGTGAGTGTTTTTTGAATTTTATTGGAATATATCAATGTTGCATATAGTGCTGGCTAACCTTCAAGCATCAACAACAGCAACGGCGGTAGCTTCGGCTCCGATTCCAAGTGCTATTGTGGGAAATGGAGACGTGAAGGGCCCGGAAGGCGCGAACCTTTTCATCTATCATTTGCCACAGGATTTCACGGATATCGATTTGCACAACACTTTTGCTCCATTTGGGACAGTGCTTTCTGCGAAAGTGTTCATTGATAAAGTTACAAACTTGTCGAAATGTTTCGGTAAGAAAATTTGTCGAGAAAGTTTTTGAAAAATGAAAGAATTATTTAGGCTTCGTGTCATATGATAACGCCACATCGGCTAATAATGCGATACAAGCAATGAACGGTTTTCAAATCGGCTCAAAGCGTCTAAAAGTGCAATTGAAAGTGGAGCGAGGCAATCCGTACAATCGATAGAAAGGTTTAATAGAGATATGTATTAATACCTGTTGGCTGCTGATCAGTTTCGCACATTCACATTTCACGCAGTGCACACACTTGTCCCCAAATATGCAAAATGTATAGTTGTTTCGGTGTTATTCTGCCAAAACATTGGATACTTTTTTTTATTTCTCTGACTAATCCAATATATGTCGGCTTAAATATTTTAAATTTGTTAATATCGGAATATACCATATTTTCATAGGCCACCTGTTAGAAGCACATTCTGAATCTTGCCTTCAATTTTAGAAACGAAAACCGCTTGCCATTTCAAGTTTTACCCTCTCCCTCTCTTTTCCTTGCCATCATTGCATGTTCATAGCATTTCAAAACGTATTTCTATTCCTTTATTATTTTTAATTTTTATTGTCGTCCTGTGGATTGTATTAATTTCTATGTTATGTTTTGTTTTGTGTTTTCGCTTTCCTTGTAATATAAGCATTTTTCGTGTAGTTTTTTTCTTGCTCTAACCAAAAATCAGACAAATAGAAAATCGAATTTTAATTTCAATTTTATTTCTATCTCTCATTTCATTTTATTTCTGTGTGCGTTGAATAAAGTTACGTCTTTTCTGTTACGTTTGCATGCAACCGTGACTTTTCAAGTTTTCTTCATTTTTTGAAAATTTCAGGTCGAATCGATTGGAAGCGCACACCAAATTAATAGAATAATATATATTATATAATAAGCATAATAATAATATTGATTATACATTTTTCTCTAGTCATTGCTTGCCACAATTTCTTTGATCTCTGATTAATATTTGTTTTTAGAAAATTGCTCAATTCTTATATTCTTATTCTTTTCGTATTATTACGTTATAAATACTATGCGAATTGTCAGTTTTTTTTAATTCGCAATATTTTTCATAATAATATTCTGTATGAAACCAAAATTCGGGAGAAACGGTGGAGTTCTCTTTGCCGTTGAATAATGGAAAAAATTCCTAAACGCGAGAAACAAAGCAGTTTCCCTTTACGAATTGCCGAGATCGAAGAAAGAGCACACTGGATAATTGCGATACCACCCAAACGCGATTTGATAGAAAAACATATTCAAATGAGACGGGTGTTTTTTGGGTTTCTTCTGTGTCACGGTGTTCTCACGCATTTTTGGTCGCAAATCTCGAAAGTTAATAAATCAAGAACAAAGACCAAAGATAGAAATAAATTTGCGAGAAAATCCAAAAAAAATCTCTAGTCCGCAGACCCTGCTGTTTTGGCGCCAATTCAAACGCCTTTTTCATTCCAAGAAAATTATCGAGTTTGAGTGGTATCGCGCAACTAATTGCTGTTTTAAAAACCTAAAAAATTGAAATTCCGTAGATGCATGTTAATTGCATTCCATGAACGCTTTAAAAGGATGAGTGATAAGAATGGCGTAATAGAAAGCCGGCCAGTTGGATAAGATGGCCAGTTCCGCAAACGCCGCACAATTTTTTGTTGGCACAAAAAAAACCCCAGCCACCGCCTAACCAAGTTTTCATCGACGGCTAGCCGAACGACGATCAGACTCGTCGAAACGATTGTAATAATGTGAGTGTGGAGAGAGCATAGACATGCATCCTTATATATAAAGCGTTCGAGTCATTTTCGGCGGCTTATCCGATGATGGAAGTCGATTCCAACACCAAGGTATAGCCTCTTACTTCTCCTTGAAAACGATTTATATTATTTTCAGGCTTATCGCATAATCGGCTATGTTACCGTTACTGTCTCAGCCCTTGCCATCATTTTGATTTGCGTGACACTTCCAATTGTACACAATTACGTGCGACATGTTCAGAACTCGATGAAAATTGAAATGACGCAATGCCAAGTAGTTTTGAAAGCCAAATAATCAATTTATTTAAATTCATAGAATAATGCAAAACTTCTGTGGGGTGACGTCTATATGCTACGCAATTCATTCGCTAGAGGCATGAATCATACGAGAATTCAACGACAAGCTGGATACGATTACTCTCCAGATGAGGTATTACAATAATATAGCAAAAGCATGTTAAATATTTGCTAAAGACTACACCGTTCGCACCACCCAAGTTCGGTTATCCAGCCGCTGTTGAGAAAGATGATGTCAGCTCTAACGTAATAGTTCCAGATCATCATTTTTAAGAATTCACCACAATTTTAGCCTTACGATGCTCCAGCTCCTGAAGTTACTACCACCACTAGAAGACCAACAACCAAGCGTCGCCCACAGACTATTCGTACAAGCCCACCAAGCGCGCCGTACGAAGAGCCGGAAGTTACCACTGATGCACCACCACCATACGGAGAGAAAAATGAGCCATCAACCACTATTCGAATTAAAACAACTCACACTTCTACCTCTCGTCCGACCAGCCGAACGACGAACACACCAAGTGCTCCTTATGAGGAGCCTGAAATCACTTCGGATGCTACTAAGCCTTCTGAAGGGGAATTTACTACACATGCTCCAGGTTACACCACTAATAACGTGATTACTGAAAAGCCAGGAGAGCCCTATTCGGAGATTCCTGATGAAGGAGTTGTTGGATCAACTACAGTTAAAAGCGCGGAAGAGGAGATTCCAAAAATGACTACCTTGGAATATTTGAAGTCAACACTTCCAGTGGAGACTACAACTATTCCATTTATTGATGAGAATGAGCATGAGACCCACGTACAATGCGAAAAATGCTGTCTTCCTGGACCAAAAGGACCACCAGGTCCGCCTGGACGTCCGGGACCTCCTGGAAAAGCTGGAGCCAATGGGCTACCGGGTAATCCTGGAAAGCCTACAAAAAAACCTTGCCATGAAGTCACCAAGCCTCCATGTAAACCATGCCCACCAGGACCAATTGGCCCACCTGGTCCACCAGGTCATCCAGGAAATCGTGGACCACCAGGACTTCGTGGTGAGAAGGGACCCGAAGGACCTCAAGGAGCGCCAGGAAACAAAGGAAGACGTGGAGAAAGAGGGAACGACGGAATTCCAGGCCAGCCTGGTGAGCCAGGAATTGACGCTAAGGATGTTCCAGCAGTGCCAGGACCAAAAGGACCCCCAGGTCCACCGGGAAAGAAGGGACCACATGGCGCTCCAGGAATCCCTGGAAAGGATGGTCAACCAGGAGAAGTTGGATTACCAGGTGCTCCGGGAGAAGATGGTGAGCCAGGTGAAGATGGAATCCCAGGACAACCAGGAAGAGAAGGAATTAATGGAAACCCAGGAGAGAAAGGAATTTGTCCAAAGTAAGTGAAATAAATTCAACTTGAAATAATTGAATTCGAACAGGTACTGCTCTGCTGACGGTGGAGTCTTTTACGAGGACGGAACCAGACGCTAAATGCATCATTTTTACGAAATTATATTTTTTGTTTATCGCCCACAAAATGAAGTAACTTATTGATGTTGTGTTTCCTCAATAGTAAAAGAAGCTCGAGAAACGACTTCGTCCGCAATTGACTCCACTGAAGACACCGATTCACTACGATAAAGCTCTGGGCGATTGCAAGCTTTCTCAAGGAATCTTGCGATTTTTCCATGATTGAAAAATCTTGCCTCGTCGAGTGGTGATCGTCCCCATCTAACAATACAGTTATAAAAAACTTCGGAACATAAGATAAGAAATACCTGTCCAAAACGTCCACATTGACTTTTGCTACGTTCACAAGGAATTTAATCATTGGTTCAAATCCTTCGGTTGCTGCGATATGGAGAACCGTTCGTTTATCATGATCGGTGGCGTTCATATCTTCCTTAAGATAGAACATTCGGCGAAGCCCTGCAAGATCGTTAGTTCGAGCTAAGTCGAATATCGGAACCAGTCGATCACTCTCGCGAACGTTGCGTCTAAAATTTACTTTTAAAACTCGCAACTAATTCTATTCAACCTTCTTGGATCTATTTTATTATTAGTTTGATGAAGCAAACTGTCATAATTATGGAAGTTGAAGATTGAGACAAGTTTTTTGCAGAAGCCTACTCCACGACAACTGTTTCCCATTTTATCTAGCGGTGGTGAGAATAAGCAAATTCCCATGACATTTGGAACCACGACAATCATTACACCAGACACACCTGATTTGGCAGGAAGACCGACCTAAACGGAAAATCGTTGCAATTGTTATAAATTTTTCAATGGAGCTATCAAAATCATACACTGAAAGAAAATTGACCAGAAGCGTCGTACATTCCACAGCTGTACATTAGCGAAAGAACATCACGACAAGGATTCGGCTCTATGCACGTTTGATTTGTAATCGGACAAACTCCTCAAATTAAATCGTAAAATATAAATAGTCAAATAGATAAGCTTTGGATAGATTTCTTGCAGTAATTATTTTAAATTGTCAATTAAAATTTAATAATTAATTTCAAATTGAGTTCTGCTAAAAAGTTGCCGAAAGTTTGCGTAGAAATTGTTTTTAGCAGCTTTTAAGCATGAAATGGCAAAAGTCTGCGCACGGGTGTCGGCCAACGGGTAGTTTGGGACATGAACAAAAGGTGCGGGTCTCCCCCACAATACCTCCGTTTGCTAAAGTGGCAGCCATAACTGCCATGGATTCACATGTCACTTCTACAGAGCAAAGTTGAAAATAAAAGTCTAGAGCGTCTGTGAGGGATTCGGTCTAAAAAATATTATATTTATTTCTTCAATTAGAAATTAACCTCCTTTGGGAAACAATTATGTTCCTTCATGAAATAGGAAAGAGCATAATTCCTATCAGCAGTGGCACGTTCCGACAGGAATGTTGCATTATTGAAGCCAATAAATTCTTGCCCTGCTATTTTTCGATATTGATTAATCACATAATCAAATCTATCAGCCATATTCATTTTATTTCTTATTAGTGATGTGATTACTATAGCACCGGCATTAACCATTGGATTGTGCGGTTTATCTGTAGAAATTTGAAAGTTTTTCCAATTAATCATGGGCCTACTATGTGAATCCAAACAAATGTCATTGAAAAGTCTTCCGCTTGGTTCTTGGCCGACATATTTATGAACAACATCAGCTCCTGAAATAGTTCAGTTCTTTATCAAAGATTCTGGCCGCTCGAGCTCATTCTAAAAAAATAATTAAAAAAAATATTACCATCGCAAAAAAACCGCGGCGTATGTGGGGCCTAAGACATTTTTTGATTTTCTCGTAAATATATTACCAAAAAACGTGCAATTATAATTGTGGACCATCGCACTTTTTCGAGGCGGTAATTCCAATTCGAATTTAAACAGTGGGTATTCGGATATTGTACTCTGGATAACCTGCGAAGCTAACTCACCGAAACTTCCTTATTTTCATAATTATGTATTGTAAACATTACCTGCGTCTCCGTCCACCACACGCTCTCTCGTTATCTGCGCTCTCTATGGTAATCACTTACTAGATATTGTACAAGTTTTCTAGAAGCACGTCAACCCATAATACATTTCATTGGACGATTCGCAGGTTATTTGTAGTCTGGTATGGGAATTCTCACTCTCAGCAAACCGTACTGTAGAAAGGCGATGAATAGAGATTTCCGGAAAACGCCGATCAAACCGTATTTGAGAGAGATTGTGATTTTGAAAAATGGAAATTTTGTTTTCACCACCGTTTCTCCGACACGATTTACAAAGTTGTTTAAATTCAAATTTGAATTACTTCTTCGAAAAATATTGCTTCTGTATGATTGGTTGAGGAAGAAATAATTCATTGTGCGTAGTAAAAGTTTTAGACAAACCAGTAATGAACTCATAAAATTTTACGATGCGAGAGGACGGAATCACCACAAAATTACCAAGATCTGTTGCTGCAATCGCGTAATTGAAAGCCTTGGAAACTGATTGGACACAGAACTGTGTGTTAACATCGCCGAATGAAACCTAAATTGGGTGAATTTTTCAGAAGGACAACTCGAAATTCTACACACTCGTTGCCCATCGACTGTACAAATCGAAACACCCCACAAATTTGGATCTTGTCGAGCGAGCTGTGGAATATAAGTGGCGACTTTTCCATCAGTAATTTCTTTGCATTCCTCGTATATTTGACCAATTTTGCTTACGAAGAGGCTCCAGTTTGGAATGACAAGATCATTTGCAATTACTTGGCCTACAACATCCATGCTTAGTCGAACACATCTGAAATTGAAATGTCAAAAAGTTGCAAACTTGAAAATCCTACTCTAAAAATCGCTTCTTCTCCAATATGTAATGCTTATGATCGGATCCTTCTGCGCTCTTTTCTTCTTCGTTTTTAAAGTAGTAATCGATTTTCTTCATCATTGGTAATAATCTAGGGTCGTCATCTCGCAATCCGAACTTGTGAAGCATCTGAATTGAAAATAATTAGTCAGAATAGCACAACATGACCGCTCAAAAAAGTCAGTTCAGCTTGATAATTTGGCATCTTAATTTTACTGTTGTAGTTATCCAATACTATCCAATTATGGTTTGAGAATTACAATGCCTACCATAAGTAGTCTGCCAACTGAGGCCTCTTCTTTTTTCGCTATCTTGAAGATGCTAAAAATGAAGTCTTCCTTTTTTTGATCCACACACTCGTAAGGATTCGTCATCGCTCGCAATGATTTATCCAGAGCATTCATTGGCATTTCGGTGGCTGCCAGGCCACCTATTACGTTGACTAAAAATCTATATTTTTAACACTTTTTCTATCTTGACCGTTTCGAAACATTCGGTTTATTAGGATTTTTAACTCAAAAAAAATCGAGAAGAAAACTAGGATATTCTTTTTTTCAAGTTTGCTGGAGACGCCATTTTTATAGATTTTCCAGTGACACTAGAAAATGTTGAGAAAATTAAAGTCTCATAATTAAATTTTACCGAAAACTCGTGAAAAGTTCGAAACATAGACTTTTTCAATTGAAGAAAAAAAATAAATTTTCTAAAAATTAAAAACAAATATTGTGAATATCAAGAAACTTACGAGTGTGTGTGGATGGCTTTCGATACATCATTATAATTTTGATTCTAAAAAAAAAAACTATTCGCGGAAATGAGAACCCGTCGATCGAAATCTTTTAAATGACCGAAAAAATTGTAATTAAAAGAGACAATCTATCGGCAAAACACACTAGTTTTGTTGAAGTACCAAGCGTTGTAACATCTTCGGCTGCCAAACTAATAAAAAATTATCAGTGATTTTCTCGAGAAACAGACATTTCGTCTCTGAGTGTATCACGTTCTTCGGCATGACCACATCGATATTTTACATTTCAAATTTTTTCTGGTTCACATTTTTTGAAATGAGAAGTGGTTTGAGATTTTCATAAGAAAAATCAATGTGATCCAAAGAAATGTGTAGTTGTCCACTTGCAACAAAAAAAAATTGAATAAAACCGTGAGTCAAAAAATTTCTAAAAATAAAAACCGCCTGATCCAATGGACATTGGGGTTGCTACACCGAGTAGTAACTCTATTTTTCTTCTCAATAACAATTTCATGTTTGAATTCAACTCTCAGAAGATTAACATTTTTATGTATATATATATATTAATTATAACAACAAAAGGCCTAGACGTATGATATGAAGAAAAATGATAATTTTAACTTAAAATTGAGGGAGTTAACATAAAATTAATGCAAAAAAAGAATTGTATATATTTATATTGAATACGTATTAGAAATGCTAGTGCGGACGAGGAAATGAATGGCACAGCTAATTATCCTTGTAGAACATCATAATTGATTTGCTAAAAAAATTCCAAGACAGAAGATATTGATCGCTACTTACCAAATCTCCGTAACGTCCATGTGCGTCACCCATGTGCACGTAAATCTGTCTGCTTTCCAACGCAAAGTATCCACACACCCAACAAAAATGGTAATTGCAATTGCTGCATACAATATGGTTACATCCACCGTCCTAAACATGTTTTATATATTTTTTAGAAAATTCAAAACACTATTATAATCTTTGTGTACGTGGTAAGGGGTCGAGTCATACGCTTGCTGCAATGGTAATCACTAGTTATTTTTCAGTTTAGGACTACTCAAAGCCGGGGAGTTTGTCGTGGTTCTCTGTATTTTTTTTTAAATAACAAGACTAACAAAATATGCACCAAAATGAGGCGAGACCATAGCGAAAAATGCATGGCTGCAAATCTATTGGCCAACTCAATGTATATACCTTTTCAAGATACACTCCACAGCTTGGACAATGCTTTACTTTGCCTGACATTGTGTTGACATAGAATTTTATTGAAAATTCCGAAGATTGGCGTAGTCTGAAATATTAATTCACTAAAATTTTTAGAAAAAAAATTTTTTAACCTCTCGTATTCTTCACAACTCTCAGTGTGAGGTTTCAAGCAGCAAGTGCGACAGTACGTTTCATTGCAAACGAAGCACGTTTCATCTTTTTCATCGGATTCAATTACCTGAATAGCTGTTCACTATTTTCAAGTCTCACATAGTCCAAGAACTACCCCAAGACATCCCTCACAGTCTGGTGTGGGACAAATTTTGATAGCTCCTCGTGATTGGATTCTGAGACCTTCTCTCACGTTGTTATAGAGACGGCGAATTCGTTGGTAGTCAAGAGTTCGAACGCGCCGTTTATCACCAAACATAGCAGCCTGAATACCATAATAACACACAAATGTATCAATTGACTACCTCTATATCGTGAACGGAAACAAATTCACCGCAAACATAGCATTTCATAGGCTTCCTAATATCGTCAATCGAATGACCGATAAAATTATAGAAACATTCGCTGCAAAAAACATGTCTACAATTGGTTAGGCGATAGTGGTCCGCGGTTAATGTGGTCCAGCATGTAGGACACTTCATATCAACTGACATCTTCGAGTCGGCGACAATTTTTTCAAAAATCTGAAATAGAATTTTTCTAGTGAGTATATAATTCAGAATTATTCACCATGTCATTTATGTCATTCAAAATGTCGACCAGAAGTTGATAACATGTAAAATTGCCCATAAAATGGATCGAATGCGATTTGCTATCAATTTGAACCAGCGATCTCAATCTATCTGCCATATTTGCGATTATGCTCCTTTGCAAAACTGTGCGAATTAGATCGTCATAATGCGGGGATCTAACAGGTATTACAGTTTCTACAGTTAGTTGTTTTCTCCTAAAGAAAAGAGAACGTTTTCATTGTTTATTCTTCAGACGTCTTACTGAGTTCGAAAACGTTTCAAATTTTCAATTGCTATCCCTACTACATCAGGTGCCCCGAATAACGCTATTCTTTTCTGCACTCGGTCAACATCCAAGACAATTTTTTCGTTCGAACGTTCTTCGACAAACTTCAACCAAGCTACTCCGTCTCTACAAAAATTCATTAGAAAATTATTTTCATTAGAAAAAAAAATCACGAATGACCAATATAATTTCAAACTAACCCATAAAGAAGTTCAGTGCAATTTTCCGCTATGCAATCGAAGATTTTCGGAGCGATAATCGTCTTCAATTCATTAACATACTCTTTCACAATCCTTAAAAAGAAGAAAATATCAGATTTTTAAAGTCAAAAGTCTCACTCGGGACTCCATCCCTCGATACCAACGAATCCTTCGGCATCATTATTTTCGAAATCATCAACAATACGTGCAAACATTAGTTCACATAAATCCGTAGTACAAATTTCTTCATCGTATATCTATAATTTTATATTTAGAAAATCAAAAAAAACTTAAGATTTGAGCAATAATGATTCAAAAACTATTTTGTATACTGCAATGAACATACCGCTCGCAGATTTACTGAATCTCGTATTGCATCATCTAATTTATCAATTTCTTCGTGCAATACAATGCGTACATTTCTATCGATAGGAAGCATTATTCGATACACAGGTATTAAATCCGGCTGAAAACAAATATCGTTATTTGTTAACATTTTACGATCCTACGCCATAATAATTATTAGATGCGAAATTAAACATCCCATTATCCCTTTGGTGAATGATGTCTTCAATAATTTTAGGAGCCTGCTTCGTTTTGAATCCAGCAAACTCAACGAGATACCGTCGCCGACCGATATATTTGTTATTGATATCATCCAACGTAGTTGTCTCGCGAATGTTAAACGGAAGCGGCCGTGTCTCGGCCATTTCCTTATCCACATTGTACAATCGATCCGCATCGAACCTTGGCCTATCCCATGAGCCCGTCTGCAGAAAGCCCTTAAGTACCACCGTTTCGATGATTTGTCGTGAATAATCACGACATTCCCTGAAATGAAAGCTCGTATCAAATTCAATTAATGTGAAAACACCTACAATGCAATTGGCGTTACCATTTTCGCCCTGGCTCTCAAAAATTTGATACGCTTATACCGAATGTTGTTGGCATTGAGGATTTTGCTAATAAACCATGTTGCATAATTCTCATTTCTTACAAAAACGGGCAATGATGAAATTTTGAGCTAAATTTTCAAAATTGTTTCAATAGAAGACTAGCATGTACCGTTCTATTGTTTTTTACGAATCTTCCATTCATATCTTCTTCCCTTTTCTCATTCAAAAACACAACTTGCAATTGGTGTTTTGCCATTACTAATCGAGTGAACTCTACCTCTCGAGGATTTTCAATCTTAATCATATCAATATATCGGTATTCTTATGTAAAGTTACTTCTAAAATCAGTTTTCCGCACGGCACCCGGTTTGTATCGAATCTAACTTCCATAGAAACACTTTCCAATTCTAGATAGTTTGCAACTCCGATTGAAAAGTTTACATTTTCCTTAAAAAAATAACATTTATTATCATTCGTAGGCAGTTGACTAACGATTTCTTTTGCGCCAACTGTTCTTCTTTTTTCTTCAACGTCCCGAAAATACAATTTGTAGCACGAATCAGGAATAAATTCCGGGTATGGATAAAATCCATTCATCGATTGGAAAGACGCAACTTCGATAGGGCTCATTCGTTCAATCTTTAATGCATTCGGATACTTCCCTTTCAAATATGACAAAGGATCTTCTTTTGTTTCCATAAATATTATGGCCACGGGCGATTCATTCCGTGGTGTCAACTCAAAACGTAACCCGTCGGTTATATGTAGCTGAAATTTTTTAAGTCCATCAAAAACAACACGTCAAAACATACGACGACAGGTACTCTGCATTTCGAATGAATTATTCCAGGTGATGGAGCAATAGGTGAACCTTGCACAGCGTGTGCTCTAATAAATTCTGCACTGTCAATTTTTTTGTGAAATACAGCAAATGCTGTTCCGCTCGTGGCATGGTGAATTACTCTCACATCCGGTGAAAAAACCTGCGGTTTGTGAACTAACTGAAAATTCAACATTATTTTTTAAGCACGTTCCGAAATATGGTTGCGGAGATTACAGTAATCAACTACATATTAATCTACTTACATTTCTTTTTGAAAGTCCCGCATTGGACAAGCACACGAAAATGTTTTCTTCTGACGTCTAAAAAATGCATAATTCTATTATAAGACACATTAAGCCACCTTATTTATTTTCTTCATTTTCTCTAAATCTAGAATCCTTGCTTTTGCTAGAGATAATATTGCCTGCTTAATATCTTTCTCTTCACGTGTAGACAAAGGTGTTCGGGAAACGTCCGTGATTTTGATAACTATTTCTTCTTCATCACGAAATTTCTCACATTCTATAAGCTGAAATAAAGAATTTAATAACGTTTTAGGGATTTGTTAAACATTTAGAGGCTTGATCGCCTTCGGCGGAACAATTGATAGTCGTTGATGGATGTCAATGTTAACTATTTCGTCACGAACGCGATCCTGTGTATCCAAGTACTAAAATTATTATATTTCTTCAAATTTCATCAACATTTAATTAACTGATTTAAACTTCTCCTTTTGAGATTCATCATAAAGCGTCCATTCACAAAACTTATTTAATTCTTCCTCAGAGAAACCTGAAATTTATCATGTTTTTATTTCTATCTAATGGGAAAATTCAGCATAATCTTGGAAAGTACTTAAGACTGGCGCAAAAACACTAGATTAAAGAAATTAAAAGATTAAAAATTATTTTTTTTTTCAATTTACCTTGTGAAGTGGATGGCTGCGGTTCTTCTGGTTCGATTTCAAAAAATTGCGATCTCGTTTGAAATAATCCTTGATAACTGAGTGGCTCTATTCTCGGTCCTGCTGAACCTCCGTCGCGAAAATTTGCATTTAATTTGACCTAAAAATTTCCTGGAAATAATACAAACTTATTGGCTTCCATTTTTACTTGTTTATGACATCGCTGCGGTCGTTTGCGCATCTTCTGCAATTTTAGAAAATTGACCGAGATCGGTATTAGAAGGTATCATGCGAAGAAGAAAGTAAAATTATGAAAAAAAAATATTAAAGAGAATTCAGGCTCTGAAAAGAAATGAACACAATAGTCACGTAAACGACAATTTATTTATGCATATAAATAACCTATAGGAAACATGGATGAAACGAAATTAATGGCGTGGTGCTTTTTTCGATGTCACGAAACTTTTTAGCATTTTATAAACTTTACAGTTGGCAATTTCACTGGGTGCTGGTTTTTTATCGGACATGTAGTAAAACAAATCCCATTCCATATGTTCGCCATTGATAAGCTGAAACCAATAAATAAAAAGAAAGTTTAGGTATTCTGTTGATAACTAATTCGAACCTTATCATAGGCTTCGAGCTCGCTTGCTGTCATTGTTGGAAGATTGACATCAGCAAAATCACCGAGAAGGATATCATTTTCGAGAATTCCTCGTTTTTTACTCTGATACAATAATCGTGCTCTGAATGAAATCAAAAAAACAGTAAGATACTACCCGCTTCTATTTTTTTTAACCACGCTGTTTCTATGACACTTTTTACTTGGTTTTACTTAAATCGAACTTATTCGAAAAAAAAGTTAATTTTTTTAGTAATAGTAGATATGACTGTGTGATGAGAAACAATGCGTATACCATGCCGATATGTAAATGGATAAAACCAAGATAATGCACGCGCACGCGGTTAAAAATCAATAACTGCGGGAATATATATCAGTGTAATTTTTTATGAGCATAATTTGCAGACATGCGAATGGGGGAGTTACTTGTTAGTCTTGTGATCATTTTAGCTTTGATAAGAAATGATAAAAAGCACAAAAAATGCTATAGGTATCAAAGACATGCGAAAACTTGTATAGTTGAAATGACCAAATTGCACGCCTTCGATAATGTTCGTAGAAATCTACCTTTTTGCTGTTATTGTCTCTCCTATTTTCTCCTCTCTAGCCAAGCTACCGCAAAATGAGGATGTTTTGAGTAGTCTACGGGAAATGTTGAGTAGTCGTAGAGCCATTCTGGAAGCTGAACAGAATAATATAAAATTAAACGCAAAATTTTGGCGAATAGAGAAAAAATGTAATTTGTTACAATGTGGTATAACGGAAGAACAGGAACAAAAAGAATAAAATGCAAAAAGCTCCTTTTTATAAAGAATCTTGGCAAGCCCATCGGTGGAAACAGTCGTTTTTCTCGATTAAAAAAAAACAACGTATGCACAATGCGATTTCCGCTAGAAGTCGTGTGTTTAAGAGATACGATTTTTATAATTTCGACGAAAGATAAAAAACACTGTTTCGCTCAATGAGTTTGCCGAGATATTTCGAAATATTTTCGCATTTGCATCATCAAGGCAATTTGAAGAAATTAACAATCCCATTGCCACAAAGAACTGACTGCATTGTCAATTGCGGTGGTTTGAGAGTACAGTAACCAATTTCAGAAGTAATTATTTTCTAGTCCAAATTTCGGCCCTAAACGAGTGCTTTTTTCGAATAATGTGTTTCAAGCGTAATGATATGATCGATTTTTTTTGAAACATAAAAGATCCACATTTATTTTTAAAACAAAAACATTAAAAGGTCTCAAATACGTACTCAGCAAATCGTGCCATAGAAACGTCGGAAATAGGGAGTTTGGTGAAAACAAATGTATCTCTTTCAAAAACCGTTTCACACTCTTTCAAAAACCGTTTCATTGGTATTTCACGGAAATATCTATTCAACACCGTTTCTACGGCACGATTTGCCGAGTGCTCAATATTTTATAGTCCAATGGAGCGTACTTTCTGCATGCTCGTTGAAAAGTTTGTTTTATAATGAATATTATATTCCTAATTCCTCATCATTATACACATTATTGTCTTTTTTAACGATTTTCATTCATATATCTGTTTGAAGAATGGGATGGGTCCCTGACGATTGGGCAATTGATCATGACACACTAATTGATGTCGGAGGTCACATGCAAAGAATGCCAATGTTTCCCTATTTTGATGCGGCTCACTATTTATTAGTAATTAAATGTGCTATTATATATTTGATTATATATATTTTTGTTAGATGTGCATATCAGTACGAGAAGATCTTGGCGCAACATCAACACAATTTTCTAGGCGACACCCATTTTCTTGCTGGCTTTCATCCATGCTAATGTCATTTGCGGGAAGCTTCTTAGCGTGTTTCCTGCTAGGAGAGCCGATTATCTCGCCATTGAAAAGGCATAACGATATCATTTTAGTAAGGACATATTACTTTAATTTTAATATTTAAAATACAACTTTAAGGCAACAATTGTTTGGTACTGCGTTTTCTATTTTCCATTTGATATAGTTTACAAGCTCTGTAAAATACCACCAATTAAAATAATACTTTGTGTGTTAAAGGAGGTCCAAAGAACGCAAAAGGTAAATCTAGTTTTGATCGAAATCAATTTTAAAAATGTTAAACATTTAGATTGCTGGAGGGGTGAAGTATGCAGCCAGATTATATCCAGAGTCCTATTTAGTTCAAACATTAGTCGGAGTCTCAAAAGGTGCTGGATCGGGCGTCGTTAAAATTGTTGAACAAGTAGGATTTTACCATTTTATACAAGCTATTCAATATTTTTAGCTTGTTCGAGGAACATGGGTTCCAACGAATCATGAAATTCTGCGCCCATCATTCACAACAAAGGCTTGTGCAATATCTTCTATAATTTTCACTCTAGAAAGGCATAGTATGTATGTAACAGCTCCTCACGATCTCGTTTATCTGGTAAAATTTCTAATTTAAAACTGTTGGTAGCCCACGTTTGCAGTGTGTTGTGGGATTCTTTGTGTACTTTAAATTGGCTGCTTTATTGCTAGGAGTACAAGATGCCCTTTCTCCTATTGAAAATCTGTTTTGTGCAGTATTTATGGGAGGAATGTTTGACGCATTTGGAAAGTACGTGAATTCCTGAAACTTTTCGAGAATATTTTTATTTTAGAGCAATCAAAGCCACTAAAGAAGCAATAAACGGTAATCGGGCACTGACAGAAGAAGAAATTCTTGCAAAAGAACGCGAAAAGCTGATGAAGCGAAGAAAAACTACACTTAATGGTGACAATAAAAAAATGAACTGAATTTTGATCAAATTAAAGTTCCGCTATCCTTGCCGTAATTCACAATTAAGCTACATTTTTTATATTTGCAGATTAAATTCCCAAAGATTATAATCAATTTCTAGTCCTCCCGCTTTAGTTGAGCTGCTCCCAACTTCGGGTATTTTTCTATTTACGTTTTGTTGTTATGCTATTTTTTTGTTCGTTAATAAAAAATTTTTAATACAATTTCACGTTTCTAAATAGTAATCACTGGTTATACCCAGAAATGTTATCTTGTGATTTCTTAAAGAGTTAACTTTTAAGAGAAATTTGATTTTTTTTTCAGATGGTGAGTTGCGAATTGAATGCGAATTTAAATATATCTATTACTCCTGCATGTGAAGGAGACCAGAAGAATAGTAAGATAATTGAAAGCACATTTATTAAAATTTATTTAATTTAGAAACTCCGGAATATTTTCTGGAACTGTGGGAGTCTTGTCCTTCCGCCAAATCACCATTGGCAAAAAAACTATTTCGGTTGACTATGACAGATTCTTCCCCTGAAGAGGTTTTTTTTCTGGAATTTAGTTAATTGTAAGAGATTAATTTGTTATAGGTTCATTATAATAAAGCACAAGAGGTAATAGTGATCAAAGGAAAAACTTCAAGGACAGAAATTCCTTTGGCGTACGTTTTAATAACTTTATGGCACTCTTCCGAATTTGAAAAAAACCTATGTTTGAGATTTCTCTTCAAAATATGATTTGTGCATTAATAATTTTTAGTTTGATTTATTTCAGGAAATCAAAAATCGAGGAATTAACTGCTATAAGTAAAGCCAAACAAGGAAAAGTGCAACGTGCAAAGACATTTTCCTCATTTGCGGTTGATCCTGCTGCTCAAGAAGACTTTATTGCGTTCACAAAATGTGTTGGAGACGTCATCGAAAATCCGGTACGGAATTATTATTGTCGATGTCACGCAATTTCGGAGAATTGGTTCGAATTGGGTGCAAAAAAATTAGGGAGATTTCTATGTAGTGTTCGCCTTTAACCTATTCTGATGCTTTCAATTCGAAATGGTTCGGTTCTTAGCCCTCTAAGCACATAAATCTACGCTTTAAGTTTTGCGCCAAAACCGCTGCCATTGTTTTTTTTTCATAGTGGCGAGATGTCGACAATACTTGTATATTTTCAATTGAAATTCATTGTTTTTAGACGAAAAATAAGCGGTGGACAGCTCTTCTAAGAGCTCTTGAACCTTTCAGTGAAGGCAAGGCAGCCAATATTCTGTCGACATTTGAACAATCTAAACTAGTGGATTCAATTTTGAAATTTGATGCAGACGAAGACGTTAATAGAAAGACAATGGAATCATTGTTAAATGCCGTTCTTTGCTCCAGGGTTTTGTCTTACAAGTATGATTTTCATTAAGTAATGTTTAAGCCTTTATGATTTCAGAAATGAGAATGAACTGCTTCAGATGTGCATTGAGAAGGGTTATAGCACTGTCATCGAAGAACTTTTCGTCCATCAAGATAGGATTATTTCAGAAAGAGTTCTCGCCGAGTTGTTGAAAACCGCGATCCAGTAAAGATTAATAGAGACGATTTTGTTTTGAAAATTTTTTCAGAGGTCCCGAAAATTTGCGACGGAAACGAATCGAAAAATTGATTCTTAGAAAATATTCTCGTGAAGCGCTCAGTCTTTCAGCTACTCATTCTTTAGCGACTGGTGAAGCTCTTGAAATCATGAAAATTCTTACTGAAATATATCAAGGCTTCGAGGTGGAAGAATTAAACAATGATATTGATGAGAAGATTCTCGCTTCGAAAGTATTCTTACTTGTTTGTAAAAAATTATTTAATTTACCTTTTAAACAGGCTCTTTCGTTAATAACAGTTCTCATGAACTCGCATGCTAACCGAATAATCAATGAAGATAAACAACATCAGAAATTTGCTGAAATTAGCAATTTCATTATAGAAATGGTACGGGAAATGCGTTATTGTTAATTCAATTGTGTTTCCAGCAATCGATGATCAGTACATTTTCCAAGGTTCAAGTCGCTTTTCAACAAACTGCTGAAGAATGTCATTCGAATGGCACTGTTCGTCGGATTCACCTCAAGGCTCACAAATTGGTGCTGTAGAATCTCTGACGTCCTCTGATGCGTCACAATAAGATTCTGATTTGACGAGGGCTAAGCACCGCGCCAATTGGAATTGTTGTTATTGGTGTTGTTTAATTGTTTTTATTGTATTTGTTGCTCGTTGTTTTGTTTTTTACGGATAATATAAATTTGAATTTTTCTTAACTTCCTCTTATCTAACGGTTTATTCCCCATGATATTTACAAGGTTATATATTTATATTATTTCAAATTATTATTACATTTGCAAAACGAGCAAAATGCGCCGATTTGAGTGAGTTAGCTTCGCAGGTTATCGAGAGTACCCGAATTCCCACTGTTTAAATTTGAATTTGAATTATCGCCTCGAAGTTCGATGGTCCACAATTATGCAAGGCGCTGGTTTTTTTGCGATGGTAATACAAATCGCTAACTACGGGGAAGTAAAAGAAGCGGCTAAAAGGATTTCCATCGAGTGATTTAGAACAATGCTTTATGTCTTAAAATGGTCAGTTGTTCCATCATGTCATGAGTTATTCACACACTTGTAAGTTAAACCATTTTTCTTGTTTTCTATTTGAAGTGTGTAGCGATAAAAATTTCGAACGCGAACGAAGTACAAGAAAAATCGGATTAATGAAAAAAAAATGAAGCGAACAGATAGCGAGCCGCCGACAGAAAATCCCGCGTCGCGATGAGCATCCAGTTATGCTGTTGTGTAAAGTTGACAACGCTGCCAACGTTTTGCAGTTAGTAGAAATGAGGAGGAGAAGGAAGAGATGGGTGCGGCAGCCGCGGCGGCCCAGCAGGAAATCGTCCTCTGTTGCTCGTTCTTCTTCTGCTTAACCCGCCTATGTTTGTTATCCGTAATAATGTTTTTGATATGCTTGCGTCGCCTTTCACCTCAGTTCTGATTTAGAAATCAGTTGGGGGATGCAAATATTTGCTCACGTCACTTGAGCTTTTGTAGATAATTATTATAAGCGGTCAATTAATGTTTAAAATAATCGGTCTACAGGTATCGCCGCAATGGTTGTTCCGGAGAGCTTGCAGCTCGATCAAGAGATCCTTCTCGATGCTGGCGCGCAGTTACACCGCCTCAAAATGTACCCATATTTTGATATCGCGCATTATTTATTGGTAAGAAACTTTATTTTATTTGAATTTTGTGTTTAAACTTTGAGTCGTGCAAGCTTCTTCCCAATCTGGCCAATATATCTCCTTAATGCGGTTCAAATATTTTACCTAAAATTTTGATTATTTTGCATCTATACATGTTTTTGCATACCAAATTTGGTGTTGATGAATCCATATAATTGTTTAATTCGTCAGTGAAGAGTGGAGCATAATAGATCTCTGATAGGTGACCAAAAGCTGTGGCGTCGAGCTAAAACACAACCAGTTTTAAAAAATTGTCAACTTTTTTCAACCGTTGTTGGCACATCTCCAAATAAATATTTCTTCTCTCCTAGTTGAACCGAAAGAGCCTCCAAATCCTTTTTGGTGTCCGCAATAACCTCCTCTTTTGTCAAAAGCCCAATACCATGGCTCCCACATTTCTTTTTGAGCTAGAAATTTTAATTTTTAAAATTTTTCTCACGGAAAGCGGAAACCTTCTTCTCAAGTTGTCCAACCATAATGTTTTTAAATGCAAATGCCTTGATGCCAGAAAGATGCTTCAAGAACCCTTGTTCAGTAGCCAGCCAAGAACAGTCTCTCGATCGCGAGTAGAACATAGTCCAACATATATGATGTTCTATAAGTGTAAAAAACGCTCGAGAGATTGCCTTATCAGCAGCTGAGAGGTTTTTGTCAGCATGTCCCTAAAGATTTTAGGTTTGGTAAAGTAATAACGACCGATTTCGCGATTTCGATGTCACACTTTGAGAGAATGCGTACCTTGTCAAAATGTTCAATAAGATGATCAATGATTATGTTGCTGTCGGGAATTTGGCGTCCGTTTAGTTCTATGAAAGGAATTTGTCCTTTCGCCGACTTCTTCGAAAATTGATTATCGATATTCTTAACATAACCACCCATAGATTAGAATTTAGTTTTTTTTTTACATACCGTATATGGAATATCATTCATCCGAAGCCATGTTTCAAGTTTCAATGTAAATGGAGAAGGTGTTGGAATCGCAGCGGTGCGAGGGAACTGAACCAAATAGACGTGGTCCTTCTCCCAATCACGCTTCAAAAGCTGGGTGCTAGGCATTCTCTATACTAAACAAAACATTCTTAGAAACTAAAATAGAAATGGTATGAGCAAGAGTCAAACAATGCGGTTGACAGCAGGCGATATAACACAAGAAAGCAAATACAATATATGTGATGGTGAGATGGCAATTGCGAGACAGAGAGGAAAGGAAACAAGAATGGGGGGGATTGAGGGTCATATCGATAGGGATCAACGTTTTCCACATCCGATTACGAATGACGGATATGCAACTTCCCCTGTGACAGTGACGGCGACGGCGAAAAGTATTAACCGACTAGACAAAATTGTCCTCGTAATGACGCCCATTTGTTTATATAGTTGATGAAACGAAGAGACGGCAGAGTTGAGAATTTATTGACCTCACTCACGTACATACATATACACAAAAACCGAGTACACTGAGATAGTAATAATTGTAGATGATAATTGAAGTACGCGATGATTTGGGAACCGCCGCTTCTATATTCTCTAGGAAACACCCGTTATCATGCTGGCTCTCATCGATGTTGATGTGCTTTGCCGATGCGTTTCTTGCCAATTTTCTGCTCGGCGAGCCGGTGATTGCGCCGTTTAAACGACATGATGATGTGATTTTGGTAAATCAAAATCAGAAAAATTTGGGTTGCTGAAATAATGGTGAATTAGGCAACGATTGTGTGGTACTTGGTATTTTACGCACCTTTCGACGGAATTTACAAATTGGCCAAATTGACGCCGGTCAAGTGCGTTTTGGCGGTCATGAAGGAGGTGAAACGGGCCTACAAGGTAAATAAACTGTGCGCGAAATGTTCTAGATTTTTGAAGTTTTCTAGATCTCTCACGGAGTTTCCCATGCGGCAAAACATTATCCACACTCATATTTGGTTCAAATCTTGGTTGGAACAGCTAAAGGAGCCGGGTCAGGAATTGTGCGTACCCTTGAGCAGTTGGTTCGAGGTGTTTGGCTACCAAACCACAATGAGATCCTTCGGCCAACCTTCGCGACGAAGGCGTGTGTTGCCGCAGCTTCAATTCTTGCGTTGGAAAAGAATGGCACATATATTTCAGCTCCACACGACCTGATTTATTTGGTAAATGTATCCCATTTTTCTAGAAATATTTCGTTTTTTCAGGTTATTGTTGGATTTCTGGTGTATTTCAAGTTGTCTGCACTTCTTCTCAACGTCACCGATCCGTTTGCCCCGATCGAGAATTTGTTCTGTGCGATTTTCATGGGCGGCATTTGGGATGCTGTCTCTAGGTAGACGAATAAGCTCTATTTTCAAACCTTTGAAAGTTTAAGAGCTCTCGCTGCTGCTCGAGACCGTCGCAATGGGGTTCACGCCAATGAAAACGGATCGATTGCGAATGGTGAAAAGAAAGAACAGTAATAATAATTCAGCCTTACTGCTCTCAATTAGATATTGTTTTTTTTTTTTTCTTTTATTGTTGTTTTATTAAAGTCACGAGTGATAAATATTTTTTCGACGTTGCATTTATGGGTTAGTGATTCCCGCATGTTTTTTTTTTGTTTTCTCACAATTTTCTAACAACATTTTGCCGTTTTTTAGAATGACTGATACTGATGAGAGTGGAGATTCTAAAAAGTCTAAGAAGCTGCACTCTTTGAATGAAATTAAGGTAGTATTTTTAGCACGAACATCGTCGGAATTGTTGGCAAGCATTTTTTACAGGTCATTGAAATTAATCGTCATAATTTTAACCAAATATGGCCCTATTTACTGGTTTGTATAAAAGCTTCAGATTTCATTGCCGTTGACCTGGTAACATAATCGAGAGAGTATAATAATTGTTTAGTTTTGATTAGGAATTGAGCGGTCTTGGTAAAGGAATTCGTGCAAAGAATATCGAAGAACGTTATTTAGCAATGCGAGAAGCCGCTAAAACGCGAAGTGTATTATCCTTAGGAATTACAACTCTGAAATTGGTGCATAAAAGTGAGGAGAAGAAACGAATGAAATACGAAGCTCAGGTAAAATAAAACGATTATCGAACTTAACCGATGTGTTGAAGGTCTTTAATATTTTGACACTAAGTGTGAATGACTTTGTCATTGAGCCCAATGCTTTGGAATTTCTCGCCAAACATTCCTTTGACTTTAATCGATTGATTAATTCAGGAGTTAAATTCCAGTCTGATGTAAGATTAACACTTTTTGGCATAAATTTTATTTGTAGTTTTCAGAATTGTCCGCTTTCGACCCTATTCCACGAAATTTTCAACACGTCAGCAACATTTTGCGTTCACAATGGATTAATTGATTTGATTTTCATTTATCAACAATTCTATGGAGCAGATTTACCAGAAACGTATTTAGCTATTTTTTTTTAATTTTATTATTCTTTAATTTGTTCAGTCTTGATGAGTTCCGCAACAATCTACATGAACTCTTCCCGATGGATTATTTGCCGCTGATTGATTCGAAGTATTTGGCTGAATATCAAACAAGAATGACTTCATCGTACTTGGAATACGTTTTTCGGCGATCGTTAGCTTGAAAAAACTTTGAGAGAAAAGACATGAAACATTTCAGGCAAGGTGATAACGAAATCGAATCAATGAACAGAAGAATTCATGTAGATATTGTTTTCCCTCAAAGAGAAATGCAATGTATTCAAGATGCCACTGAAAATGTTAAGTGTGCCCTGCCTGATGGATTTCCGAATCATCCGATCCCAGTCGACCTCAATACCCATCTTTGTCTTTCATTCGCTGTTTAAGACGTTCGTCGCACCTCGCAATAATCTTTCCTTTTTAGAACCACGGATTTTGTAACAATGCGAAATGTTTAAAAGTTCACGATGTTGATTTGGCAATTGATTCACAAAGGGTAAAGGAGCAAAAAGTAATTTTCAAGAGAAAAAGGAGGTGAGAAAAATAATTTTGTTTTCTTACAACACAACTAAATATTTGGTTTGCTTCAGATATAGCAATGTAATTGCGGAAACTGTAGCAGATGAAATTGAAAATGATGAAAAAGCGTGGAAAGAAGCCAAGGTTTGAAACAGTTTTTTTTTATTGGAAATAGTCATTTTTTAGTTTGGTGCGCATTTCAAAATGGCTGACTTTAAAGCAAAGAAAGCGGCCCAACTATCGTCTTCCGGATTGCATCGCGCTGGTGTTGATGCGTTTATGACAGCGTTTGCTGTTATTTTTCAACAACGCCTAGAGCTTATGAAAACGAACCGAATTGCCCAAGAGTATTTAAATAAGCTCCCACTGACAGGAAAGGACCTTCCGTTGGTGTTCGGCCCATTCAAAAATAAACGAAATCCTGATGATCGCCATAATAATATTATTACCAAAATTAGTGCTGAACGAGAAAGAGTTCGTGGACTGAAGAACTGTTGTTAGTTAATGTTATTGATGTTGTCGTATTAATTGTATTATGTTATTTGGTTAAACTATTTTTATTCTTGAAGCGCTGTAAATTTACTACAAAAACTTGAAAATAATTTCTCTAAAGAAAGAAAATTGGAAAAGTATAATAGTACTCTGAAAATTAAAAAAAACAATATTCTTTCGCGTCGATTTTTTCTTATTTCGATCAAAAATGCGAACTTTCAAAATATTTAGATTTTTGAATGCTTATATGAAGAATTTTGAAAAAATGAACGAGATCGCACACGAACCGAAACACATCTGGCGACATAAATTACAGTATCCGCTTTTTGGGAAGCATGCTAAATAATAAGTGTGGGTAAGCTAAATTACGGATGACGAACACACTCCCAATAGACACCCCGGAGTGGAACTCGGCTGTAATAGGCCCAGTTCTATTACGGCGAGTTCCATTCTAGCAGGGTCTTATTACGGAGGAATTTTATTCCAACGAGTTCTAATGTAGCGAGTTCTATTACAGCCGAGTCCCATTTCACTTAATTTAGCGTATCGGGCTAGACCGTGGGCCACTTTTGTTTCGACTAATCGAATTTTTCCGTTTGTCCCAAAACTTTCGCGGGTTATCCTAAACCACAAAAATGTCCCTTGTTCGTCTCTATCTAATCGCTGTAGAGTTAGCAACTCATCGATAATATTTTTAAAGGCCAAGGGTGAAATCGCTTCTGCCTCGATTCGAATTCCCTGATTGACCACGATATTGCAGTCTTATCCGAAAACCCTTAATTGCAATCTCTCTGTACATAAATGGATTTATTAAAAAGTAGATAAATGGAATTACAAGTATATGTAGTAATTCTTAACTCCACATTAGATTGAGCTCCTCCATTCGTCCCTTCTGTGTCTCCTTTTTTGAGGTAATATTGTGAATAAGCCGCCTTCTGTGCTGTTTTACAAATTTTATTACCATCATGATGAGGTATGGAAGTGAGCATGACGAATAAGTAATTCCCTGAATTTCAATTTCTAATATTAATGAAGCGTATGATAACTTACATAGACCCACACAATCAATTCTTTATATTTTGCTGGAGGTATCTCGTTGCGGTACATTCGAAAAACAAAGCTGCCGCCAGCATATATGGAAAGTCCTACTAATTGCGCAATAATTAACACGCTGATGGCCGTGCTTGTCATCATTGCTTCGCTTCTCTCGTATCGGCCGGCTACATCGAATCTAACGCTACATGGTAAAATATTGCTTCGAATACTAAAATTATTCTACCTTTGACCTCGAACGCTGTTGTACAATAAAATAAGCAAATTCATTAACAAATTGATGATGATTAATAGAATACTAGACATCAGGAATAGGTTTGCGCGATTTGCAGAAGCTGTTGGAAAAAATTGGCAGCTTGAAATTGTCTCGTTGTATTCCATTACGGGAAGAACGGCAAACTGAACATATATTTGGACGATTATCTGTAGTTAGTGGTTTTTTGAATGTTTTCATTAATTTAAGCTTGCCACAATTAATGCTAAACATATCGCACCGGTTTTTCGAACTTGCACGTATTTTATTGGGGACAATGTTGCTAATAATCTGAAAAGCTATAAATCAGTTTACTGTCGTCATAATTAAAAAAAATAATTTTTATGCAAGTATCGTTTTTTAATGGTGAACTCACCCATCACATGCTAACGCGGAGTGAATATAAATCATTCCGGAAATTCCGACCAGCTGAAATCTTCCGATTCCCAAGCATTCGGTCACATTGAACATGATATTACAGGGATCATCGGAATACGCGAAGCTTCGAAATAAAAGCCAGAACTAGGAATTCATTATTCGAAAAATTCACCTATTAAGCTTACCTGAGTCATTCGATGAGCCACGTCGTGAATAATAGCGTAAATTAAAGAAGCATAGAGCAAGATTTGAGTTGAATCGTTGATGATCGGACACTTTCTCATGGTTTTGATACAGTAGTATGTTCCAATAAAATTAAGGGCGCATAAACCAGTCGAGAAAAAAATGTTTCCGCGTATAATCCATGAAGTTTGTGCTTCCATATCATCGCTATTTGCCATAAAAGAACAATTCTGCATTTCTGGAAATAAAAAAAATGATGGATTGACATCAAGGCGACAAATAAAATGAAGCTGGAATGGGGCGGTTCAGTCTCGACGGATATAAGGCAATAAGTTTTTCGGTGCACTTTTCCCAAAATATCAACATATATTGGACGGCAATATGTTTGATTACACGACCGGAAATCCTGAGGCAAAAGGCAAAATTTTTCGATTTTGCAATAATCTAAATAGAAATGAAATTAGCGAAATAAACTTGTTCCGATTGAGTTACTTCATCGGTGACAGCTGATAAATCAAATGAAAATGCTTTTCGCAATATTTCATTGTTTATTTATTAAAAAAATAGATAGTTAGAACTGGCGTCATTGGGCTAATAATAATGCGAATGAGAAATAAACTATAATCTAACAATATAAAGTATTTGCAGCAAAAAAGTCAAAAATGTTAACGCTAGTTTTCATCCTCAATTTTTTAAATTAAAATAATAAGTTTTCTCAAAAATCTTCTTTAATTCAGTAAAAATTAGTTCCTTGATTTGAAACGCGTCACGTCATCCCTGCGATAAACATTTCGGTGATGCCATCGAAAATCGGACAGCAAAATTTGACGAGGCACAAAAATTTTAATTGTGAATACTAGCCGCAAAATAAATTACACATTTTCTTTTATTAATTACATTTGAACTCACTGTTTAACAATAAAATCAAATATCTAAACAAGTGTTCGGCTTCTTGATAAAAGGCTTAATTCGGAACGCTATAATCAAATTTAAAGTTGCATTCTAATTTGCACGTAGTTCTGCAGTAACTCGAATTCCTAAGTATATGCTAATCGTATCTTCCCAGATGACCTCTATAATTGTACAGGCTTTTGGTGAATTGAATTCTTGAAACTTGGAACCATTTTTGCGGGAAAAGGGATGTTTGTCTCGCGTAAAAGATGCGCATCGCTATAGTTCCTTTTTGTCTCGTCGCAGATCAAAATCGACGATAATGCGACGTAAAGCTGCACTCGCGTTGTGTGGCAACGATCCGTACGATTTTTCGTGTACACCACACGGTTTAATGATCGGCCTGCCGTTTTCACGTCGACGAGAATCACGTATTGTCTATGCAGTTTTTGTAATTTACCTATTCTTTCGATTATACTTTTTTGATTATGAATCAGTTCCGTAAGTTGGTTGAGTTATTTGAAAACGGAATGAAAATATTGATTAACATGAATAACCTGGAAAACGGATATTGAAAAAAGGCGAATAGAAACTGAAAAGTTCAGGCTTTGTAAATAACAGGTGAAATTTGTGCTTTTTTTCACATTTCCTCGTTTGATGGTATCGACGATGTGTTCTGACGCAGCTTGAAAATTTAAAACAACAACTTTTAAAATTAAACTTATGTCATAAGAGGTATTCCGATCAGTTCATTCAACAATGCCGTAGAAATGGTGTTGAAAGAACTGTTTATTTTCGACGGAACCATTTGCTAACGTTTAATAAGTAGTATTTTTAACTGCTTACCAAATCGCGGATTTTTTTTGGATTTTTTTTCGGTTAAATGCCGAAAAAGAGAGAGTGTGATTTTGAGAGACGGAGGAATACATATTTTTTTTTTACCGCCGTTAACTGAAACTCTCTATTCTAGGTCACAACTACTTTGTTCTATTATTACGGAAAAAAACACATTTTTCGTTGTCGCCATTGATGTGTACTGTAGTTTTAATATGCTTGATACGCAGCCAAAACTTAAATTATTCCGAGACCAAATCGCCTGTTCAAATTTTTATGCGTCGGCTCCGGAAGTCTTCTTTCATTAGACTTTTTGATTTTTTAAAGGAAAAAGCGTCGAATAGAAGAAGTACCTTTGAATTGTGATCCTATAATAAATGGAACTGAAAATGAACGAGTTTTGTCGAAGGCGAAACAATGGGATTATCATTTTAACTGGATTGAGGACGAAATGTTTACCAGTAAAAACATGTAAGTTATTCGTCTAATAACATGTGACATCTGATTTAAAATTTAAATGTGCTAATTTAGATGCGAAGTCATTCATAAATATTATAAATTTGCGGACAATCCCATATCAGAAGAAGAAGAAAATTATCCATTGTCGTTCGGTCTCGTAGTATATAAAAACATAGTTCAGGTATAGCTCATATGATTCATATAAAAAGTTATTTTTGTTCAGGTTATCCTGCAACTTAGCATATTTTATCAACCTCAACATTTATTCTGCATCACTGTTGACGAAGCGAGCAGCACGAATTATAAAAATGCCATGAGAAAACTGCCAAGCTGTTTTCCTAATATGAAAGTTGCAGTAAGTGATTTTAACTCATTTTATGGGTCTTGTCAGAGACAAGTTTTTTTCCAACCCAAAATATGTAGTAAAAAAAGAAAATAAATAGTATATGTTAATTTTCTAATTTTGGACACCTATTGGACGGCCAATTAGTAGTGGCTCGTGAAAAGTGGCTTGGCTCGTGATTTTTGGCTCACAAAAAGTGGCTCGTAATTACCATATTCTACTAATTGGTCGTAATTACTATATTCTACTACATAACAAGCCAAGCCACTTTTCACGAGCCACTACTAATTGGTCCTATTGGACAGAGCCGAAAGTTAATAATCCTAAACACATTACTTGAAAACATGTTTTTATTGCTAGATTGGCGAGAAGTCGGAATGGGGCTCGTTTGGAATATTGAAAAATGTGTATAGCTGCTTTGATTACTTGACAAAGGCTGACCATGATTGGAAATATTACCAATACCTCTCAGGGACCGATTTGCCGCTGAGAACGAATTTGGAAATGGTTCGAATATTCAAAGCACTCAATGGTTCCATTAATACTGATGTTGAGGAATTTGAAGTTGATCGTTATAAAAATATGGAAGTTTGAAAGCTCATTCATACTAAACCTCATAAAAATTCTTCAGGGTGTTCTACCGCCGGTACCAGTTTATAAATCGAGTATGTCGGTTCTTGTACCACGCGAGGCTGCAAATTTCATTGTAAAAAACCATCGAGTTCGGCGTTTATTACAGTATCTTAAAGCCACGTGGATTCCCGATGAGTCATTCTGGACTAGTGTCGCCGGATCTCCGAAAAGTAAGCTTTATGTCGTTAAATAACTGCATATCCGGTCTCTAATCATTCGTGGAATATTATTCATTTTTTACAATTTTAGTTCTTCCGGTGCCTGGTTCATTTCGTGCACGTGACATTTTTTGGCTGCGGAAGCATTTTCGACTTCGTGCTCCTGAAAAAAACACGGTTGATTATGTCGGCACTTCTTATATTGGTCGCTACCAAGTATGGGCGTGGCAGAAGGAATGCTATGGTACTAAGAAATTTAAATGATAATTTAATTGTTTGGTCTATTTTTAAAGGAAAACTCAAGGATTGGTCATGCGTGTTTGGAGTTGGAGACATTGAAGAAGTTGTGACAAGACCCGAGATGATTGCCCACAAATTATATATTGATTTCGAGCCGGCTGGCATGATGTGCCTTTTTAAAGAAATTCGACGACGAGAGCATCTTGCGGAAAACTTCGATGCTTCGAGCTATGCTAAAATGCCGACGGTTGAAATGCATCAAGGGCGCGCAATTTCGCAATTAACACATCCCAACTGGATAATGCGAAATTCATTTTACAACCCTGAAAACGAGGACGATGATAAGCTCGAGTTATAGGCATTTTGTGTTGATCTGTTAATAAGATACAGTACCGCTCAAAAGGTTGGAAACTTTTGGTTTTTCGGGCATAACTTGATCGAAAACGTATGGATCGAGGTGAAACTTTCAGATATATTGATAAATATAATCAGAAGATTATTGGTACGGTAGTCTTATCATAGGCAATTATGTGTGAAGTTTTTGTGGACTTTTTCATTTTTTTTTTTTCAAAAATCACTTTTTTTCGACATTTTTTCAAAAGTTTTTTACTATTTTTCTCTGCTTCTTTTTGCATGCTGTTATTATTTTTGTAATTTTAGACATGTCCACTATCGAAAAAAAGCGGAACTTGACTGTTGAACAACAACGGACAATTTACGCAGGGCGTCAAACACGAGCAACCCTGCAGATTTTGGTCGCCCAGTTTGATGTCACAAAATCTTGCATTTTCAAATGTTTGAAAAGATGGGAAACTCAAGAAGGGATCCCAAAGAAGTACCATATTGGTCCTTCACGCGTGACAGATCGTGCGACTGATAGAAGCATTGTACGAGCCTCCAAATTCAACCCGCGAATGACGGCACCGGCGATCCAGCACGAAGTTTTTGCGAATTCTCCATCGCCTGTTTCGGGATCAACAATCAAACGCAGTTTATCAGTGGCAGGATGGTTCGGAAGAAGACCAGTGAAGAAACCGTTCATTTCGGAGAAGAATAGACGACGGCAGGACGAGTGGGATAAGCAACATCTGAATTGGACACGATTTGACTGGAATGGTGTTCTTTGGTCGGATGAAAGCTCTTTGGAAGTGACGGAATTCAATCGGTCCGCCGTCCTGTAGGTTCTCGATACAATCCCAAGTATCAAACTCCTACCGAAAAGCACGGGGGAGGCAATTGCATGATTGGGGGTGCCTTTTCCGGAAAAGGCAGTGACCCCCTTCACCATGTGAAAACAATCATGGATCGCTTCGTCTATAAGGAGATCCTGGAGGAGCAGATGTCGCCGCATTTTAAGGCAATGGGTCGTGGTTGTGTTTGCCAACAGGACAACGACCCAAAGCACACCTTCAAATTTGTGAAATTAAGAAAATTCGCTTTTTTTCTCAAATATTCATCAATTGAGGATTGGTTTGCAAGTCAGCACATCAAGGTTATGGACTGGCCAAGTCAATGCCCGGACTTGAATCCCATCGAGCACTTGTGGGAAGAGTTGGAGAGAAGAGTGGCAAACAGAACCGCCACAAATTCGAACGAAAAGTTCCGACAATTGGAAGAAGAATGGAAAAAGATTCCACACTGGGTCATCGACAACTTGATCGACTCCATGCCTAGCAAGTGCCAGGCAGTTATTGACTCCCAAGGCTTTGCAACCAAGTAATAACCTTATAATTTTAGTTTCCAATGATTTTGTGTTAATAAACTATCTTTACGGTTAAAAAAACTGACTTAAATTGCATATCCAAAAAAATGTGTTTTTACGGATTTCTGAAAAAATTGCCTAAAATCCTTATTTGGTAAGCACGAATTATGTTTAATAGCTTATTATATCGGCAATTGCGTAAGAAACAATCGGAAAAAAAGTTCATGGAAAAAAGTTTGGTTTCAAAAAAGTTATGCCCAAAAAACCAAAAGTTTCCAACCTTTTGAGCGGTACTGTATACCGGTAATCATTTATTTTAATTTTTCTCAGAAAATACATTTTAAAAGTTTTCATGCAAATGTATTCGTGAAGATTTTTATACAAAAGTGAATAGATACAATGTTGTTATGTGGATGGACGAAGCCCGACACTCAAAGATGGTCGGACTTGTGCCGATGCTGGACGGCTTCCATTTCGTACAACTGTAATTTCTCTCGTTTCATTAAAAATATATGGGAATCTTGCCGTTGGGAGCAGGCGCAATTCTCGACTTTAATTCTGCTCTTGGTAATGGCAATTTAGAAGCTTGAGGCCTTGTGGCAGACGATGTCCTTGGAGCTGGCCCCACCTCAACTTTTGATTTCGCTCCAACCGGCTTTATCGGCGGTCTCACAGTCTGAGACGGAGCCGGACGGGCTGTAAATGGCCGTCTATTTGTCGAAGGATCTGCAACTCTCGGCAGAGGTTTTGTTGCTGCGGCCGGTTTTATAACTGGTCGGTTTGGAGCTATTCGAGGTGCGGACGCTGGTCGATTTGCCGGCATTGTTCCCTTTTTAATTGGATTCGACATAACAGCGAACTTTTCTGCAAGTCTCCGCATTTTTGGGGTTGCTGTTTTTCCGAATTGCTTCTCCATCTCATCGACTAATCCGGGAATCTATAAAAATTCTATATTTGCTTTCTTAAAACAATAAAACACCTTTTCGGATTTTAGATTATCATCAAAAATTCCTGGAAACAACTTTTGAGCGATAGGAAGACTAAGGCATTTTGCAACAGCAGCGACACACTTGAGAATTTCATCACGAACTTCTTTTTCGGCGTCGTTCGCCATTTTGGTAATTGTTTCGGTCATAGTTTTAAGTGTGGCAACAGGAAGCGTACTGGAGTCCTGTTGGCCAAGGTATCTAAATCAAAATTACGGAGAAATATTAGCTCGCAAAAATGGAGTTTAATACCCCCTTAAAATTTTTTAAATCATCAAAATAATTGTATCTTATCTGAATAAAATCGGAACTATGCGTACCTTGCTAGGAAAGCCGCGGTTTGTGCCCTGGTCTGCGGGTTTTTATGAGCTAGCGCGCTAATGACAACATCCGAATAGGCGCTGAGCGGAGTCTAAAACACATATATAATCACAACGAATATTCTATAATTTCGTACAGTCAGTGAAGACGAGTCCAGTAATTCGTTTAGCGCATCTCTTAAAATAGCTTTCTTATCTTTTAATTTCTCAAAGCAAATCATAAATCCTTTGTTGGCGATAGGCTTATACTCAAATCGTGTTTTGTTTGCTATCCCATTTAAAACATTTGCAGCACACGACGCCACATTCACATTAACGTCTTTTTCGATAATCTTAAAAAATAGGGTTGTTCAATTGTAAGATAAATACCTTTAAAAGCATTCCACACAGTTCGCGCAGTCTTTCTGACATTGTAATTCTTCCGGCAGCATCAACTTCTTTTTTAATAGCTTCACATCCAGCCAAGCGCTCCTTCCAGTTTTTATCGGTGATCTTAATTTTGCAATCGAAAAAATCAAAATTTCACAGATTTTTGATTTCCTACCTGAGTTTCAACTGTTTTGTCTAACTTTGCGGACACATCGATCTCCTCCAATAATTCCCAAGAATCAATCTCCTGTGTTACTTTCTCTTCGTTCGATACGCTTGTTGCTAATTCGGTTCCTTCACCCCCATCAGAAAAGCCGGCGCAAAGCTTTGCTTTTTCAGCATTTAATTCTTTCCATTTTTCCATAGCCTCTGCTTCATACTGCGCAATTTTTTCCATTTTCACTGAATCTGCAGACACGGGGGCAATGAATGACGCAATTGCATCACCCAAAAGTCTTCTCATGGACCCAATCGCCATGCAGGCTTTTTCGCGAACAGTTACATCGCTATCAGTAGCACACTAAATTTAAATTCAATAAATTTTTATTTTACATAATAATATGAATTACCTTAACAACTAATGGCGCCAATGCTTTAATAAAAGCCACATCTACTCGTTCCATGTGGATAAAATAACGATAAAGGAATTCAAGAAGTGTTTGCTTGCTCTCAGGTGATGCGATTCCAAACCAATCGACAATGTCCTTTTGAATTCTCTCGGGATTTGTCTGAATTAATTGTTTCTAGAGGTCCTTTTATAGGTTAACTCACTGTTGCAGTTACCGCATCGATCGCCAATGACATAGCATCTCGAACATTTTTCTTCTTGTCTTTGGTGCGTTTAATCAAAAATGGGAGAACCATTCCAATAAATCCAGCAAATTTGGATCGGAGACCGCGAGCGAGAAGCTCAACTGTTCTGGCCGCCGTTGAAACGACAGCAATGTTTGATTCGCGATCCAGAATCTTAAAATTATTTTAAATACATTTGTTGTACACCCATTTATTGAACCTTCCGCAACTCATCCATTAATTCTCCATAAATGGTCATTGATGCGGTTGAAAGCTTCGGATTTTGCTCTATTAGCTTATTCAATTCCTGAACTTAATTTTTTACAAATGCAATCTTTACGATTCTAGGAATACTCTACAACACAAAATATCAAGTTAGATCGGGCAAGAACACAGCAAAAACGCATGCTCGTAAATCTACCGTCACAGATTAGGCTGACTATATAATGATATACATGTCTTTTCAAATTTTACCTCCAGACCATCTCGCCGCTCGCTCCATTTTCCGCCTTCATACACAGATTTTTTATGATCGGTCGACCATTTCGCAATAACATCGACCTCGTTCAAAATTGTCCATGCATCCATTCTAATGCTTTTAATTTAAAAAAAAATCAATGAATATTACAAATACAGACCAGAATGCCAACTTCATACAGTTTGAAACTTCCTAGTCTAAAATTTTTCACTGAATTTATGCATTATAACAAAAAGCGTAACAAACAAAAATGGTTTTTAAGAGTGTAAACAATAGCAACGCGTGCGAATATAGCAAAGTTGAGAGAAACAAAAATGGAAACGCGCTTGAAATAATGGAAACAATACGAGCGTTTAGAGATTCGGGAAAGAAAGCTGAAAAGGATTAAACATATTGGGCATCGTAAAACAATTATTGCGGCATCATTTCTTGTTTTTCTTGTCCCGATGACTTTTTCGTTCCCGACACAATGTCATCAATGCGGAGTAGCATGACTGATGTCTCAACGGCTGTCTTCAAAACTTGCGCGCGGACACTCAATGGATCCCAAATATCCAATTTGTTCATATCGATCTGAAAATTCAAACAATTTACAGAAAAAAATGTTTTTTAACCAATTCTCCAGTGGTTCCGTCAATTCCCCATGTCCAATTGGCGGAATCTTGGGCGTGCTTAGCTCTCAATGAAGTCAATTGCCGAATGGTATTTCCTCCGCAATTTTGCACCAATGTCCTTGGGATAACTTCCAATGCTAATCCGATAGCCTTATATGGCCATTGACGAACTCCTTCGATTCCCTTTCCTTTTTCCTTGATCGCTTGAGCAAGCGCCATTTCAAGAGCGCCTCCTCCTGGAACAAGTCGCGGATTCAAGAAGACGTTGCGAACAACGTGCAACGAGTCTTGAAGGTTTCTTTCAACCTGAAGCAATAAATTAGCATTTTAGATCATTATGTATTGATTACCTCATTGATCACATCTTTAGATGGGCCTCTTAATACAACAGTACATGCTGTCGTTTTTTCCGATGTCACGTATGTGTAATATCTAGAAAGAAAATATTTTAAACAATATTTTTTGCTGAATTACTAACTCATCAGCAATTTTAATAACTTCGAAAAGCTGAGCATTAGTTCCAACATCCTCTTCACGCAAATCAGCGGTATCGTGAACAATTCTAGCGCCGCAAACTCTGTTTAAATTGATATATTTCCTCTGGTTTCTGTACATTAAAAACCTGGCCAGTCGGTTATTGTCAGTTTTCTTTAAGCGTCTCAAACACGTAATTCCTGCCTTGAGAAGAAAATGTTGAGCCAAATCGGAAATTCCCTTCTCGGTGAAGACAAGGTCTGGCTTGACGCTGATAATTTCATCGCACTGTTTTCGGATGGCCTCTTCTTCCTAAATCAATTAAAAACCCCAATATAAATGATATTGCAAATTTACCTGTTCTAAAATCTTCGAAATGTCTTCTTCGCGCATGATCTCCAAGCTGGTCTGAGATTCTCCTTTTTTGTATTCCAAATTGCAATCAAGGAGCACAATTCTTGGATTTTCAATGCGTCTCTTCATTTTAGCGTGAAGAATATCCTATAGTTTTGTAAAGTAAACAAAACCTTATATTAAAAGATACCTTATTAAGAACAACACCTTTAACAACATGGCAATCCTCAATAGTACCACCGGGAATTTTCTCGATTCGGCAATATCTTTTGATATCGATTTCTTTCAATCCTCCTTTTTCGACACGGATAGTTTTAACAGCGTCAAGTGAAATTTTCACAGCCAAATCCATCCATTTGCTAATCATTTTGGTTCCCAAGCATGACTTTACAACAGTAGCCACTTCGTCATCGTTGTTGATGTCAACTGGCTTCGAGAACTTAGTTTCCGCTAGGTTAATCATATCTTCGAGAGCAGCACGGTAAGCCTAAAACATATTAGTTTTAAAAAATTCAGAGAAAAAAATCTTACTTGAATGATAATCGTGGGGTGAATCTTCTGCTCAAGGAATGGTTGAGCTTGAGCCATAACTTCTCCAGCAAGAATTATGACCGAAGTAGTACCATCACCAGTCTCCTCATCTTGAGTTCTAGCAATTTCAATCATACTTTTCGCGGCCGGATGTTTGACGGTAATTTCGCGAAGAATAGCGTTTCCATCATTGGTCATTACAATTCCTCCCATTGGATCCATCAACATTTTAAGCATAGCACGTGGGCCCAGACTTGTGCGGATGACATCAGCGATTGTTTTGCAAGCGGTAATATTACCGATTTGCACTTGATGTCCAGATTCGCGCTTAGTACCCTGACTCAACACGATAATTGGCTGCTGGCTCGCACCTCGCATCATTTTGAGATCTGAAATAAGAATTTTATCGATAGTTGCTTGAGCTGTTATATGATAAAGTGTAAAATATCAAGACTATAAACATAATAAAAAATCACCAAAACCATATATCTATGAACAATATTAATCTATACAACGAAAGATGCAGAAAAAAATCGTTTTAAAAACCTGCCACACCACAGAATTAAATTTTTAACATAATGTTCTTAAAAATATATTTCATAACGCCTAAACCGTTAAAATGTGTCGAATGTTAAAAAAAAGATGTAGAAAGCGCAATTTCTGTTCGAAGAGCTTCCAGAGAGAAAATTTGAAGAGAATTCCAGTGCTTTTAAAAATGTTTTCGTTACGGGACCTTTCACTAAATTAATTGCCAATTCTATAGTTTATTATTATTTTTCTTTGTTTCCATTTGTCAGCTTATACCATTACGATACGATTGGTATATTAAACTTTACAAAAATATTAAAAATTACACATATTTTCCGTGTTTAATAATGTGCAGTATACTGTAGCAGTAAGTCAGCTGTGCTCGTAAATCGACGAACTGCGCCGTGTTAATTTTTCGTCGGCGCCTCTGTTCCGACCTCAACGCAATTTCGCCGCAGTTTCCCAACGATTTTGAGAAATGTGTATTAAATATGGATGTTTATGCTAGCGTTAGTAGGTTGCATTGATTTTTACTAGTATAACCTTTAATTTTCAGGCGAAACTGCATCCATATCCGACGTTCCGTTTTCAAAAGAAGAGAGATCTAATCCTGTTCAAAATAGTAATGTATATTTAATTTCATGATATTTTACAATTAGATTCATTTAACGTGAAAGGCATTTTTTGTTTTTTTTGTTATAAGAAATATCTTTGCGATTCGTGTGGGTGTCACTGTTTCTCTCGATTTTTTGCCACAACACGAAAAATCCCTTGTTTCGCCCGACGAATTTGCCTGGGCAATGCGTTGAAAAGAAAATCACCATGAAATATTTTTTTCAGATCATTCTTTGGCTGTGATCAAGCCTAGCGATGCAAAAGAAGAGCATGATAAAGAGTTTGAAAAAGTTTTGTTTAATATTATCTTTAAATATCATATTTTTGTGTTAGAAAGTCAAACTTCAACTGGAACTAATTCGAAACGAGCATGTGATGAATGACGATGATGTAGAGGGTGAAGATGAATACGAAGAAAATTCTGAGGTAGAAAGCTATACTTTTTGTTGTTTTTTACGATCATTAAAGGATGACGCCGGAAATGAAGCACAAAGAAAAGTTACAGAAACAACAGGCACTGATAATTTCGCGAAGGGCAAAACGTCAACGGTAAAATTCTGTGTTTAATTAATTTTAATTTAAATACATTTTAGTCGTTGCAAAATGAAAGCTGGTTCAGTTCATATTGCAAGCACGTGGAGGAGCTGAATAAGGCTGCAACCAAGTAATTTTTGATGTTTTTCCCCTAAACATAAATTCACTAAAAATGAACATCTTGCGCCTCACGGCAAACTCAATTCACAGGTTATTCGTAGTACGTTACTCGAATACTCACTGTTTACATCGACATTTAAATTACGGACCCAAAAAAAACGACGGTTCACATTTGTTCAAGGTGCTCGTTTTTTATGTCGATAATGTCAAGCTTAAAATTATGTACTCATTTACAATTTTGATAGGAAAAAACAATAATTAAAGGTGTTATTTACATGAATAACCTATTTCAGGGCTCATAATTCAGCTCAGCCTTCTTCAACACGAACTTATTCTGCAAATCGAGATGGAATGTCTAATTCGCGTTATTTACCGTACCGGGGAATTAAAACTTTCCGACTTCAATACCAACAAAATGCTTCTTCGCCCATGTATTCTGGGACAAATGGTCTAATGCCTCAAATACGTCCTCCTTCCTCATTTTCACTTGAAAGAAATACATCATTGGATTCATGTCTTCAGCGGCAACCCATTATCTCGCATCCCGTCAACAATTTCATACCAGCTTCACAGCCTATGCTCACCTATCACAATACAACTACGAACCTGCCGTTAGTAGAAGGTGTTTTTGATAGCCGAGCTGGAGGATATCTGTTCAATGTTTTTCCCGTACCGAGACCAGTACATGGGAGACTAACCAATGGAGATGTAAATTATTTTTCTCGATATAAATCAATCGTTTAAAATTAATTTCAGAGCTCAGACGAGGAAGATTTCAATTCTATTCAACGTATACGTGATGTTGTAAACCCATAAAGTTTCGATTCGCAAATTGGCGTTGGTTTCTCCCTGTATTTTTTTGCACATTGTTCATTCCAAGCATTTCATTCATAATATAAATAATTATTAACTTTTTGTCTCGAAAATTGTTGATTTTTGGTCTGTAACCATATTGATACTTTTAACAGAAATCATATATTAATTTTTTTTTAACTTTCGGTTTCTAGAAATGGTACGCAGCGAAGACGAAGTCGGGCTCAAAATTGACAGGTTGAAATTCTGATGTATTTTTTTTATTAATTTTTTAAATAGATGTTTTGCTGACACGTTGCTCAAGTTGACTGGTGGTGTTGCCATTGGAATTGTTGCAAGCGTTGCTTTCTTCAAAGTAAGTAAACGATTTGTTTTTAACAATTCATTTTAAGAGACGCGTGTTAAATCCGGTGCCAATTTGCTTCAAATTTAAGAAAAATGGGCCTTTGATGAAGAAATTAACAAGCCTATTTAAAATTTTCAGAGTCGCTCGTGGCCAATTTGGTTCGGTTCTGGCGTCGGACTAGGAACTGGATGGGCCAACTGCAGTCACGATTTTGCTAGTCCATACTTGCTTCATGGCAAAAAAATTCCGGCTGGACAAGATGCACAGGTAACTTTAGTATATTTTTATCAATTAGTTATCAATGAAGAAGGAAAAAGTGAAACATTTAGTTGCAGTTAAAAAAAAAGATAAAAACCTCACCAATTCGCTAGGAACAAACCATGGTTGTTTTTGGTATAAACTGGGTGTCATAGTGGGAGTTACCTCAGGCTGCCGCTGTTTGTACATTTTTAACACTACCAGTACGACACTCTTATTACACATTACCCTCAGTTCTCAGTTTTGGGCAGATCCGTGGGCGACTTATTTTTACTAATTTGATGTTTCTGCTTTTTCCAAAACGTTGCACGGGTTATCCCAAACCAAACAAATACCGCTGGTTGTCTCGATCGAATTGCTGAGTCATCTTTACTTGATTAAAATTTTCGCTTTTTTCTTTTTCTTTTGTTCCTCGTGAATTTCTTATTTTTCGTTTAAGGGAAAACCGACATTCAACATTGTACCGGAAAAACGTTAATGCGATCGTTGACAGCGTAGAGCCTTTATTATTATCCCGTTGTTCTTTTCAGTAGCTAGTTTCGTTAAACTCATTTCTGTATTTAACCGCGAAACGTGTATAGATAAAGAACATTTATTTTAAAAGTTTGAGATCAAAATTTAACCGGAAGCGAGAAACGAAACACTGATATTTCTCAAGTTTTTGCAGATTTTTCTTGAGACAAACGATTTCTGGTGGAAAATGTTGAAGACATTCGAATATCAGCAATTGATGTGATTCTTTTTGCTTCCTTACTGTGATGAATTCCGTAGAAAAAGTATATAAGAAGACCTACAACAAAAATTTATAATGCTTTTTAAAATTAAATTTCTTACCAACTCCCATCCAGACGAATAACCTAATCCATGTAGCATACGTTAAAAATGCCATCATGAAGGTGTTAATTAGAAGCGAAATGCAAGGGGTGAATGGTAGGAAAGGAACTTTGAAGGATAAATCCAAAGTATTTTGCTCGTGTCCTATTATGAATAACATAATAATTAGAATGAATACAGCATCCAATCCAAAGAAAATTTGGCCATAAATGGATTTATGAAACTCCAGGCGAAATGTAAAAGCCAATCCAAAAAATGCAGCGATTAATAGACCGACTCCAATCGAAATTGAACCTCCAGAAGGTAATGATTCCCAGAAATTTCGGAATGGAACCCATGAATGAAGAGTTCCGCCTTAAAAAAAAATAGGTTCTATTAAGGATTCGATTTTACCGTTATCGAGTCGTTTTTCGTCATTATCGATGGGAGCTGCCTGGTAACGCAGAACAATTACTGACGCAGAAACAAAAGAATATGCGAATAAAGTGCCAATGGAAAGAAATTCGACGAGTGCTTCAATGTCGAAAATCAACGCAATTATTGCGTTTAGAATCGCGAACACAATAATGGAATTCAGAGGAACTTTTGTCGTTTTATTGACGATGGCGAGGAATGAGAAGATCAGGCCATCATCGGCAATTGCATAAACCGCTCGCGGAAGGGCGAACACTCCAGTTAACTATAAAAATTTGTCAATTTGAGAACAATTATTTGAAATCTCACTAGATTATTAGTTAAGCCTATTAGTGCGCCAATCGAGATTGTGTATTTAACGAATATTGATCCTTTTTCTTGGAATGCTTCAGAAAATGGAGATGTTGAATGAACCTTTAAGAAATTAATTCCATTCATGTGCAATAACCAACCTTTCTTACCGTATTATAGGGAATCATTAATGTTAATGTCGAGGACATAAGAATATAGAGAATGGTAATTATGAATATACAGAGGAAAGTCGCTAATGGAATCGTTCGGTGAGGATTTTTAACTTCCTCGCCAGTGCTACCCAGAATTTCGAAACCGATGTAAGCAAAAAAACAAGTAGCTGCGCCGGTAAGTGTTCCGGAAATTCCGAACGGCATGAAATTTGAAGCACCGTTTTCGTTTGTGCCTTTCCACAATGAAAAATCCGCATAAGTGAAACCGGAAACTATGACGATCGCGATTACGGTAATATTGATAAAGACAAAAGTTGTGTTCACATTCGCAGACACTTTGCTTCCGATTGCAATGATAATTGCGCAAATGATAAGAAGAAGTGCGGCGAGCACGTCGGGATACTGCGAAAAAAAACCCGAAGACTAAAAATTAAGCGTCCCATTTTTTTAAATCTGTGTCGCTTACGTTTGTAATCTCGCCAATATAATTTGTTGTGCTGTTTCGTATTACATTATCAATCATGTTGTCCAAATATGCCGACCATGATCGGGCCACAGCTAAATTATAAAAATTTTCAGAACACAAAATCTTATTTCTCAAAAGCTTCTTTGGTCCGGGAAATCCAAATTCCCCTCTGGCTAATGTGTTTCAAAAATTCGCAATGAGAGTTAATTAGAGATACTACTTTAGACATTGTATAGATGAGGATAAAAAATGTCTTTTTTTTTTTCAAAAAAATCAATAGTGGAGAGATGGCGTGGCTGCTTACCCAATTCACCCTCTATGAGACGTTCGGGATTAAATACATATATGTGAACAATTTTCCCAACAGTTGGTTTTCGTAAATGAATTGCTAAGTTGGTATATTCGACGTTGCGTTGCCAATTTTCAGAATTTTATTTTTTGAGATACGGTTTTTAGTGTTAAAAAAAGTGTAGCAGACTCGCACGAGCGCAGTGTTTATTATTAAAATGCACATGTAAGAATAGTTTTAAAAAAATCGATGTTCAAAAACCAACCGGCATTTCCAATCATATATTCAAGCGGAATAGTCCATCCTACAATGAACGCCCAAAGTTCCCCAAATCCAATATAAGTATAGGTATATGCACTACCTGCCCTTGGGAATCTGAGAGAATCTAATTGCTATCTAGATTTTGAATTGAACCTTACCTAGCGCCAAACTCTGCATAACTGAACGCAGAAAGAATTGCGGCAATTCCGGCGAAAATAAACGAAATTATAATTGAGGGTCCCGCTTGATTTCTCACAACACTTCCTGTTAACACATAAATTCCAGCTCCCATCATTTGTCCTAAAGCCAAAAATGTGATATCAAGAAGACCGAGACACCGGCGCAGGTTGGTGTCGAGATGGGAATTGCCATCAAATCGCTTTTTCCTTGTTATGGCTTTCCATATCGAAACTTTCGCTGCCATGTTTGATCTTAATAGTAAAAATTAAGATAGTGAATTTCTAAAAGATATTTTTAATTCACAAGTAGCTAACAATGCTTGCTTCATAATCACGCGCAATTAATATTCAATAGTAAAACGAAACATTTTTTATAGTGATCATGGTAGTCGAAGAATGGTCGAATTAGAAAGAAAGCGATTGGCTGAAGTTTAACTAGTTATTTATTGGTTTGACGATATTCGCAATAATTGCGCTATGGATGATATTTAAAGAACAAAAAAGAACATGAAAACAAAAGTTTTCATGCTTGGAAAGTGTGAATGATAATGTTAAACAGATGCGAAATGTTCGATTGATTGAGGCAATCGCAAATTTGAATTGTCGTTTCTGCGTCTCTTCTGCTAGGTGAGATATTCACAATTGCGCTGCGAAGAAATGACGAACCGATTATAGTTATGGGGTATCTAACATAAAATTTCGCGGGATAATGATGAGAACAAATAAAACTTTCAGATGAGGAAAGAAGTCAGACTTATTCAGAAAATTCGAAAATGTGACACCTGTTCAAAAACCCTAAACTTCTCTATAAACAGAATAATTCTAAATAGGTCGGCGTGAGGAAGTATAGAAGTGCTTTGTGTCTTACTTCAATCTTTTGTTGTAATAGCCGTAAACGACTGAACTTCGCGGAGGGATGGTTCTAATCATTCACTTGTGCGGTAATAAATTAAATGATCTATCATCAATTGATACGAGAAGTCGTTTTTCTTGAGAATTCGGAACTTTCTGACAGAGTGTGACCGTCTATGAACAATATTTACTAGAACAAAATACTGTGGATTGTGTGTATCGTCAGATGTAACAAAAACTCCCAAATTTATACAAGGAAATCGCAACGAGCTATTGAATTTCCTTATGGATTAATATTGGAAAAAGACGATTAAAAACAATGCATACCAAAATACCCAATATTTCCTTACAATAGTATTTCTTTAAAAAAAACCCGAGATAGAAAGAAAGCAAATTATTACCATTTGCAGAATTTGATATGTCTCTGCAGAGTTTGCGCGTACCTTTCACAGTGTTTTCGCATACTTACGTAGTTTCTAACAGGAGTCTGCACAAACTCTGCACAATATTCCCGAGAACGGGTAGAAAATTTCAAACTTCGAAATATTTCGAGATACGGTAATTAAAGGTGCATATTACTGTTGGCGTTTGGTCTCGTGGTGAATAAATTATGTTCCTGTTTTTTTTTTTACAAAAATTAAACTTCTGACTGTTTTTTGTTTATTTTTTTAAGTATTCATAAATACTTTCAATTTATTCATTTTTTCACTATGAACGTATTCATGAAATAAATTTTTTAAAACATTTTTATTACCTGAATAAGACCATTAATAAAATAAAAAACCACGTTTGAAAAGGGAGGGGGAAATTCGAATAATCCAAGTTCTTAGACAAATCTTTCTTAATAACGTTAAAAACTAAATAGCTTAGAAGATCCTAATAAATTTAATCCTTATTAATTCCCTTCGTCAATTCAGAGATAATACATGTCGACTTTTTCAATTCAAATGAATCAGACGCTGCGAAAGCGAAGAAAATCGGTAAAAATTTTTAATTAGAATAAGCAAAATTCTTTGAGATTTCAGGAATCTTCTACTCCGCCAATTACAAAATTCTTTCCCATATTGAAGCGGCAGCGATCTCCATCGGAAGAACAAAGAGTCAGCCAGAAACTTGATAATTCGGAAATTTTGATGAAAGGGAAAAAAGAAAACGCCGATGATGAATCACCGACATTAGAATACAATTCCGATGAACTTTGTGGGCTTCTAGAAGTTAATAAAAGAACATCAAGTTTGATAGAGTTTTCTGGTTTTCAAATATACAAAAATTCAGAACTTGGGTCAGTCTTAGGAGTTGGTACGGCTTCTTTAGAGAATTTACCAAACGAGGTTCAAACAAGATTGTACACCATACTGGACTGTTTGGAAATAATATTCAAAAAAAAATAATAAAATTTCTATATTTTAGTGCACTCTCTCTCATGTTTGGCGCTAACTTCCAAAACAATGTCTAAAAACGTAAAGATGTATGTAACAGCGGGAACGTTCTATCGCAGATTTCACTTGGATTTTTTGGATTTTGTCAACTGCTCTCATAATGTTCACGAAGGAAATTTTATTGAAAATGATCCATTCTTTGCATGCGGTATGTTCTCTAATAACATTTCGAATTTCAATTTTTATTTTAGGAATCCTCATTAAATCGCTTACAATCACCCTCGATACAGACAAGAGAACTCTTGTTTTCCTCAACATTTGTCGAAATTTATTCATTCAAATGGGCGGAGATATTCACGGTTTTGGAAGAATTGTCGAAGGGGTAAGTAAATATTCCTGAATATTATTGTCTAGATTTAGATGGCCCAATGCTGGACTTTTTCTGAACGTCGTTTGTTGGTTAAAGCAGCGATTTTAATTGATCCTCGCCTTCGGAATGCTATTGTAAACGTACTAACCGGAAGTCTTGAGGAATTTATTGGCTTGGAAATGAAGGTTGTTAATTTATATTGATTCGTGTTCGTCTAAATAAATTCAGTTTATTTTCCAGGTTCGCTCATGTCTTACAGAGTTATTTTTGAATCGGAGACAAGATGTAGATGAATGTTCAACTGATGAGATCATCGAGTTTGGTTCTTGGCTTTCTATTTTGCTGAAAAATTTCACTGAACAGTATCAGGGAAAATTGTATTATCTGTTGTTTGGACCGACTGTGCACCGAAGAACTGGAGGTTTCAAGAAAAATGTTATATGATAGAACTGTTGTTTCAGAAAAAGTCGCTTGGAATTATTTTTCACGTGTGTTCGAGGAAGATGTTGCCGATAGATCTACGAATCGTAACAGAAGTATAGTAAAAATGAGAATGACTAACATGTTGAATGGAATCAAAGTATGAAACGATAACGTTTATCTAGTGATTAAATTTTCCTAGGCGTTGAGAATTATGAGCACGACCCGGCAGTGTGATATATCTTGGACTTCTCGGAAAATCTATCGGCTTTTTTTGAGAATTGTGGGTTGGTATTTTTATTTTTTGAATTTGCGAAATTTCGAGATTGTCAGAATGCAGCTCAATAGATGGGGAATGGCCAATGGAGATTAGCGCAATGGCTCTTGCTATAGACACTTCTGGGCTTTTCAGTGAATATCTTTTTAGTTGTTGTGATGTTCATCACTCGAATTTTGTTCTCCAACAGGAACATGCGGCTAATATGATATGCCAGGTTAGATCTGTAGGTTAAATAACTACTTTAGAAAAAAAACTAGCCTAGAATTATTTCCAGAATTTGTTTATTTGGAACGGGTCCCCTTCTACATTTCTCTCGGAACCACTTCATTTTACATTCAATGAGCTTGCGAAAATTGATGGACATCCTGGTGGACCATACTATTCTGCATTCCTAGATCGAATCTGGCAGGCTCATTATAAAAGAATCGATGCCCTTGTTGAGAAAGGTTTATTAAACTTATTATTGGTTCACTGCTTTCGTGATAATATTTGAAACCGACATAATGAAAATATCAAAAGAAATATTCAGGAAATACACGTTGCTTTGAAACTTTGAGAATTGAGATGAATGCGCAGCTTGCTATTCTTCGTATACTTTCGCACTTTGCCGATGCCGTTGCCATGTATAGATATATCACGTTCGAAGATGAAAATCTCAATATGGAAAATATGCAACCTGCTTTAATCGAGAGAGAAGAACAAGAAGAATAATAATATTTGTTAATTTACAAGCTCATCGGACGATATTCGTTTTTTTTTGTTTTGCCAAACCAGAAATGTTTGATTTTGCGATGAGTTTGCCACGAAGGTTCAGTTTCTAAAGTAAAAATTATCAATTGTCATATTTTTTGACCTTCAAAATGTTAATGCTGTTATTATTCCCAAAAATCTGTTACATTTGTTGTTATTGTTAGTTTATTCTCGAGAATCCGTGCGAGAAAAACGAGAGTGCTTAAATCACCGTAGCCTTTTTTTCGTACGGATTACCGAGTTTGTTGATTTATGTTTTTGCTTTCTAACGTGACCCTGTGAATAATTTTGGCGCTCAGCGAAGGTCACAGGAAATAAAAATTAATTTTGATCTTCATTTCGTATTGGGTAAATTTTGCGCGATGTTGAGATGGATGCGAAACATCGGCTCGCTTTTAAAGAAACCGCGGGGAGCTGGAACAACAAAGACCAGCGACCGAAACGTTGGGAAAAAGTTACTGAGTAATCATTTCTGGTTTTTTTTTAAATTTCAGAGTCAAAGGGAATCTGCTGGAAGACATGGGGGTTTTCTTATGATGCTTCCCTATATAATCTTGTTGTTCAGGTGGCAGTAGGTCTCAAAGTTCTGGAGCACGGAGCATGAGCACTGGAAGATCAAGGTTTACAACATCTACACGGTCTGCAAGTCGAGGAACTTCCACATGTTCAACCAATAGTTCTCATAAAAGAAACATGTCTTCAGGTTAGATTACAATTACAGTACCGTGCAGTAAGATATACAATTTCACTTTTTTTATCATAACGTTCTGAAAAGTTGACCAATCGATCTGAAATTTTTGGACAACTTTAAGCATCGATAGAGTGATTATGTAACAAAATTAGAAAGTGCAAAACACATTAGGAAAAATTTTATTGGCAAAAAATCAGAAAATCCATAATAGCGAAAAACCGACTTTAATAATTTTGATACCGGTACGACTTGAAATATAATGGAAAACCACAATTATCTGTCAGGATGCTTAAAACAACTCAATATCTTGTTGACATGTCATTTGCATCGATCACAGTTTGATATCGGAGACCCATGGCCTCGTCAACTTCGGGAGGGTTGAAATTGGAATATCCATCCATGATCTCCTCAGCTGCTCGATCATTTCGACACATTTTGTACAGTTTGACCACCAAGACGTCTACCAAGATCATCCTGCAAATGTTCAATGGGGTTCAAGACAGGTGAGTGGCTTGGTCAGACCATGACGGCCACCCTACGCTGCTAGAACCACTCTTTGATGTAGCGAGAGAAAAGTTTAGGATCATTATTCTGCTGAAATAAGTATCCACACCGAGCAAAGACTTTGTAAACGGAAGCATATGGTTCTCGAGAATGTCTTTATACGCAAATCGATCCATATTTCCTTCGATTCGATGAAGTGGGCCAGCTCCAGAAGCAGTAAAACATCCCCAAACCATCACGCTTCCTCTTCCATGTTTCACTGTTGGTAATTGATGCTTTGGATCGAATCTTTTGCCGTCCGAACACCTCACAAAGGTAATACCATCAGTTCCGAGCAAGATATACTTCGATTCATCACTTCATACAACCTTTGACCATTGTTGAAAAGTCCAATTCAAAAGCTCCTTATCCCACTTCAAACGGGCGCGGCGTTTCTTCTCCGAAAGGAGAGGTTTTTTTGACAGACCGACGTCCAAATAATCCAGAACCACGTAGACGACGCTTGACAGTATCAACGCTGATATGTATGTGACTTTTGGTGAAAAAAAGTCATGGTTTTTCGGAAAAATCTACGTTGACATCATAGAACTGACTCAGTTGCCGATTAATCTCGGAAGCGGATAGACGCGGGTTGCTCTTGCTGTTTCCTACAATTGTTCGATTGATTGCCGGGGATGTTTTGGAAAGATTTCCAAGTGGTTTGGAATCCAATCGAGGTTTCAAACATATACGAATGGTCCAAGTTGATGAGTTCAACTGGTGTGATAGACATTGGATGAAAAGACCTTGTGCTCGGTCATCCTTGATTGCTTTAAAACGTCTGATAGAATGTTTTTTGATCATTTTGATCGTCTCCTGCTAAAACAAATAAAAAAATTGATGTTAACAATGAAAATCTAAAAAAAATCGAAAAAACTTAAATATTAAAAAAAAATCGCATTTTTGAAAATACGCAAAAAAAGGTCCAAAACACAAAAATTGCGTCTATAGTACCCCAAAATGAATAAATTATGTTTGGGAACACACTATCTGTTTCGTCCAAAAATTTCAGATCGATTGGTCAACTTTTCAGAAAGTTATGATTAAAAAAGTGAAATTGTATATCTTACTGCACGGTAGTGTATATAGTCGAGATTTAGTATTCATTTTTCACTTAGTCACTTAGTCGGTTCGTCCTTCGCCTATTGAGGCGCGAACCACAGTTTTCCAAGCTTTTTTGGACCACTGGGTGATAACGGCTCCTTCAGCTGTTCTTGTGGTGATCTCCTTCCGAAGCGAGTCCGACCATCTAATGAGAGGCCTTCCTCTTGGCCGGGTCCAATTTCACGGCCGCCACTGCGTTAGAAGAGTAGTCCATCTTCCAACTGTTCTTCTGGCTACGTGTCCAGCCCAGGTCATCTTCCTCTTCGTGATGTGATGTAGGGGGCCAGACAGTTGCCATCAGGCCCGGATTGTTCCCGTTCTGCTTGTCCTGTAACTGTCAATCCAGGGGCAGAACTCGGGTCCGGGACATTTCTGTGCTTTTTACTGTTTTTAGCAGACTGGGTCCCTGTTTTCTTCTTCTCGCTTGCTAGGCCGAATAGAAGCCGCCCGGATGAGGAGTATTCGACTCTACCTTCGGCCTGCGTGGGACAATGCACTGATTAGCCTGAGCATGTTCCGCTGGGGTGACGAAATCCCCAGATATGTAGAGGAGCATGAACAGTTTATCTTCTTCGCCGTGAAGAGGCTCAGTAACAGAAGAAGTATAATCTTGTTGTTCAGGTGGCAGTAGGTCTCAAAGTATGAGCACTGGAAGATCAAGGTTTACAACATCTACACGGTCTGCAAGTCGAGGAACTTCCACATGTTCAACCAATAGTTCTCATAAAAGAAACTTGTCTTCAGGTTAGATTACAATTATATAGTCGAGATTTAGTATTCATTTTATAATCATTAATTGTCTATAGGAAGTAGAACTAGTGGTACCAGATCAGCTAGAAACAGATCTAGCACAATGTCAACAGCCACTAGTAAATTCCGTAGTAATTCTAGATCGCGGAATACAGGTAAACATTAAATATGCACTAATGCAATGTTTTTTTTAAGATTCAAGTTCATTTAGTCGTTCAAGATCCGTGTCGCGGTCTAAAAGAAGCAGACGACAACAAGCGAGATCAATAAGAAGTTCGAAAATGTCGCAAGAGCGCTCTCGATCTCTTCCTGCATTAAAATGTGCGAGGAGCGGGAAGACTACACCAATGACCAACACTAGATATTTCTCGACTGATCGAAGTTCATGTGGTTCCTCCGAGAGAAGAGGTCGCGATAGGACTATTCGGAAAAATGTAAATGCAGAAGTTTCCGCAAATCACAGTGCGACTTTCCTCAGCCCAACAAATGTGAGATTTTTCATCAATGCTAATTACAGAAAAACTACTTTTAATCTGTTTCCATTCAGTTTCGAATTCTTTCCACAATCTGCGGAATATTATTATTGTTCTTTTAGTCGAAACTTTTCAGCGTGTAGATCGCATGGACAAACAACTTGCTGCTCCTCACGAGGGCCAGTTTGAAGATCGTAAAACATTAAACAATTCGAAATCATGGAACGAAGGATTTCCGCCAAATTCCATTGTTATATATACTGATGGGTCGTGGGTGAGGAGGAGCGATAAATGCGGAATCGGGATTTATGTAGGCCCTGGACATGAATTGAATAGGTCCCAGAGGATTCGTGGTTCTTCAAAGGATAACTTATATGCAGAGATGTTAGCAATTAAAACAGCATTGGAGAATTTGAAAAAATGGGAGAGCTATAAGTTAAAACAGGGTTAATTTCTTGGAAGTATCTAGATTTCAGTGATCAGCATGTGATAATTCGTACCGATTGTCTAAATGTGATAAAATGGATTCGCGATGGTTATGGACAACATCCAAAAATGATACAAGAAATTCATGATCTGATGGAATCGTTCCCAAATGGAGTCGAGTATCAACATGTATACGCGCATGCTGGAGATCCTGGTAACGAACTTGCTGATCGTCTAGCTGCCATTGCTACTTCACAACGTCAGCGTAGCGCTGATGAACCATTCTTTCGGACGAGTGGTCCTACGAGAGGTCAACTAGTTTTTTTTTAACTGTTAAGAAGAGAATATTACAGAACGGAATCGCGCACGTTCAAAGTCTAATGATCCATCCATCATCAAAGATTATAGTTATTCCCATTATCCAAGGTCGCGATCAGTTGGATCTCGAAACACTCACTCGTCACTATAGACATCTGGATGAAGTCTACGTATACATTGAAAACTGCCAGAATAAATATTGTTTTCTATTAAGATATATCCGAAACATTTATCACTAAAACTAAGGTTTTCACGTATTTCTCGAAATATTACAGTTTATTTTTTTTATTAGTACAGGCCAATGTTCATTGACTCATACTATTTGACTTGACTTATGTTTTTGGACTGATAAAAATTGTATTGTTGAGAAATGACAAATGTATCCAGGTGTCGTAGGATCCTGCGTTTTGAACGCAATGCTAAGATACAGTTACCGAAATCCTCGTAGCGATTTACGGAGTTTTTGTTTAAATTTTCTTTCAATTTTTTTTGCTGAATTTTCTTATTTTCTTTAGAAATCTTATTTTTAAAACCTGTAGAAACCGAGTTTAATTATTTCTTTTTCAGAATATGCACTTTTCCATTTGTCCAGTTGAGTTGGGAATTATTGTGAAGATTTTGACGCTCTAAAAATTATTTTGAAAATGAAGAATACAAAAACAAGATAATAGAAACGCCTACAAAAAGCAAAACACGATTAAATAATTTAATTAATGACAAATATGTTTTCATTTAAATCTCTGCTGTTTTTACCAAAAAAAAAATATTGTTTAAAAGTGCTTATTCTGCTAAATACATTATTAAACTCGGTTTCTAAGTCTTTTTGACTATTTTCTGAAGTTCTTTTACTTGAGATTCCTGTAGTATGTAGTAGTAGTTTGATGGTGTTAGCCATCTCCGTTATTTTAATTTAAAAAAATAATTGATTATTTTTTAAGTGTTTTTAATAAATATGATATGGATTATAAACAATTTTTAGTTGTGTGTTGAAATCGATAAGCGGTGAAATTCTAAGAAAAATATCAATTTTTTATGCTCATTCAGCTTCGTATCCATCAGTATGAGCCAAAAAAAGAACTGAGCGGTCTATTAGAAACCACCCCCACTTTTTCACCGCACTTCAAAATTTGCAGTTTCTAAAAGTAATGTTTAGCAGTAGTTTTTTTTTTAATTTTTAAAAATTACTCTGGTAACTCAAAACCAATCGGATCCGAAAAATTACCAATCGGATCAGAAATAATACAAAAATCGAATCGGATCCGAATTATCTAAACAAATCTGATCTGAACAATTTCCAATCGGATAAGAACATTTACCAATCGGATCCGAACTTTTATTGTTAAAAAATCACAAATGTATCCAGGTGACGTGGGGTCCTGCGTTTTGTACGCAATGCTAAGAGACAGTTACCGTAATCCTCGCAGCGATTTACGGGGCCTTTTTTTTTTAAATTTCGCATATTCATTTTTTTTATTTTTCGCTCAATTTTCGTATTTCCATTGGAAATTTTGTTATTTAAATTTTGCAGAAACCGAGTTTAATAATTTATTTGGCAGAATAAGCACTTTTAAACGATATTGTTTTGGTAAAAACTGCAGAGATTTAAAAGAAAACATTTTTGTCATTAATTAAATTATTTAATCGTGTTTTGCTTTTTGTAGGCGTTTCTATTATCTTGTTTTTGTATTCTTCATTTTCAAAATAATTTTTAGAGCGTCAAAATCTTCACAATAATTCCCAACTCAACTGGACAAATGGAAAAGTGCATATTCTGAAAACGAAGGATGACGAAGGATCCAGTCTCTCAACGAATACGTATGTTCCAACAGTGAGTCGCACGATGTCCACTGCTTCTTTTCCACATTCGTCGCAATAAACATGAAGTTGCGCCTTCACCAATTTTTCCACAGCGTCCCCGTTGATGCCCATGGCGCCTTAAACATGCACCATCTCGATGGTTTCAGTCTGGATACGCTCGGAACCCTCATCGATGCACTCGGGATTGGTGCATTTTCGAATTCCTTGGAATGTTACGACGAGACCATTATCAGCAGTCACCTTCTTGACTACAAGACGATCTCCATGTGAAATCCGACTAACATTAATTTTACCAAACGCAGGTAGCTCGCTTCGAAATCGCCAGTTTTTTCCACACGACCTCTTCGTCAATGCTTCATACTCATGCCAACTTGCTCGCACGTCAGTCGTTGTCGCTTCCACAAAATCCTTGAACAGTTCAACAGCTTGCTTCGAATACTTAGTCATAACACCAGTTATGACGTCGAACTTATGGTCAGATATTTTTGAAATTAGAAAAATGAAGAAAACGTACCGACAAGACAGTTGATCACATCTCCATTTATGGAAATGTGGCATTTTTGGCCGTTCCTCCTCGGAGTGAAGCGGTGTCGGATGTGCTCCGGAAACGTCTGGAATCCTAAATTTTGGAAAAGTCCTAAAAAATGAATGAAAACCTAAAAGTCGTATACAATATGCAGTAAAAAAACTATTTTATACCTGTTTCAACCAGTTTTTAATTTTTTTTAAATACTGCATAGTCTCATTAATTTAAAAAAAATGCGATAGAATTGAATCACCGGAAGTATAACGCTCGCAATACCGCCAGAAGAGATGTATGCCGTGTGACGCCTTAAAAATGGTGGCTCCTTCCACCATAAGGGTCAGCTAAAAATAACACTATAGACATAGCTCTTTATTGTGTATAGCGGAAGCAGCCTGATGGTTGGCCGTCTCCGCAACAGAATGACCAAATATTTCACAGAGAGCGAGAGAGGAGAGACCACATGACCCATCAATCATGTGGCATCCTCTGGCGCGTCACATCCCCCTTCTCCCGCAAGCCAGTGTCCTCACGGCTTAAAGATGGAAAAACCGAAGGTACTGTCTTGCAGAAGAAGGCTCATACAATACAATTCTACACGATAAAAAACAATATTAAGATGGTGGTCATATTGTTACGAGGTGTTACTTCCTATGCGCAGATTCTGTTGCCTATTTTGAATTCTAGCGGGTTCTCGTCAGATTGTTATTAAGCGTTCCTTACGCTCTAGTTGTGATGAAGCGTGCGTTTAGACTTAGATTACTGTTTACTAAACAATGGAATTCAAAAGAGTCTGAAGATGCTCCAAATTTTTTTGCAATGTGTCGATGTATTCGTTCAGTTGGTCGGTGGGACTAACACGGAATTGTCGTTTTTTGAATCCAATTTCTAGCCCTTTAAGGAGGTCTTTAGTTGGATCAAATTGTTCACGAGCCACTTCGATCTTGTTTGAGAGATCCCACTTATCCAAATACACCTTTGCGATCATCAACCAGGAGTTGTCGTCGTGTTGATTTTTCACAGCAGAATATTGTTTTTCCCATCCTTTGTGTGGAAAAGTTGTGATGAGTTCGCTTTTGATATCTGGATAAATCTTGAAATCGTTTGTAGGGGCAAAGTCAACAATTGCGGCGTGCTGTGTCCCTTTCCACCTTCCTAAAATCAATTATATTATAGTTTTCAGACTCTAAAACAAACCGCAGTTCTGTTCATGTAGATCAGAAATGAATAGGAGCACTCTAAGCATAACCAACTGAACAACGACATCCGCGCAAAGGCTGTTCCCATCAATAACGTTTTCAAGAAGCTCAAATCTGTCGTCCCATTGAGTAGCAATGTATCTGAAATATGAAAAGATGTATATGTATACGCAAAGCTGTGAAATCCTTACGTGCTTGTTTTGGTTCCAGTCGATATACAAGGAGGGATAATATGAGATTTGGGGCAGACACCGATTGATGATAATAATTTATAGCAATAGAATTCGGAGACGTCCGGCACCTTTCCTGAGCTCGAGCCTTTTGGGTCATAATGATGGCATCTAAACAGAAATGGATCTTGAATGAATGAATAGAAAACATACTTAATGTTGTACTTCGAAACCGAATCTTCTCCATGAATCTGGACAAAAGCAAGTGTGTTCGTTGGCCTTCCTCCTAAGTCCGCGTCTCGTTCTTCAAAATAACAAGTGAATTTGGAATCTTCATTTCCTCTCTTCTGATCATGGAGGTTGTGGAAATACTGCTCCGTCGCTTTACGAATCAATCCCACGTCACCATCGGTCCAAGCAGCGACTTTAGTATGATTCTGGCTTCGAAAAATGTTGAATTGGGCGTAGACATAGAAGAATCCGCTTTTGGTTAAACGTTCATAATATTGGACAGCTTCTTTTGCCATTTCAACTTTGTCCGAGCGCTGCTTCAACACTTGCTCAACACAGCGTTTGTACTCGTTCCACCATGGAAGATCTGCATGTTTCTGAAAAAAAAATCTTGAGACCAATTTTACAAAATTCACTAGCTATAAAATAATTGCTTGATTCGATTTTTTAAGCGCTAATAGAAACTTCAAAGTCTGCTTTATGTCAGCCAATTTATCAACATAGTATGGCACTGAAATCAGTCAATTAACCTCAAAAATAACGTTAAGTTATATTATTAATTAGCCATAAAATAATAATGATTTAATACTATTTTGTATCTCAGAAAACGTTAAATTTACCATCAAAAGAATAAAATTCATATTTTTTATTTCGAAATCAAAGAAAACATTAGGCTGTTGTTAGTCAAAAAAAAATTAGTCAAAAATCATGAGTCAAAGAATAAAAAATCACGATATTGTTGAGAAATGACAAATGTATCCAATTTTCTTTTAATTTTTTTGCTTAATTTTCTTATTTTCTTTAGAAATCTTTTATTTAAAACCTGTAGAAACCGAGTGTAATTACTTAATTTTCAGAATATGCACTTATCCATTTGTCCAGTTGAGTTGGGAATTATTGTGAAGAGTATGACGCTCTAAAAATTATTTTGAAAATGAAGAATACAAAAACAAGATAATAGAAACGCATACAAAAAGCAAAACACGATTAAATAATTTAATTAATGACAAAAATGTTTTCTTTTAAATCTCTGCTGTTTTTACCAAAAAAAATATTGTTTAAAAGTGTTTATTCTGCTAAATAAATTATTAAACTCGGTTTCTGCAAAATTTAAATAACAAAATTTCCAATGGAAATACGAAAATTGAGTGAAAAATAAAAAAAAATGAATATGCAAAATTTAAAAAAAAGTCCCCGTAAATCGCTACGAGGATTACGGTAACTGTCTCTTAGCATTGCGTACAAAACGCAGGATCCTACGACACCTGGATACATTTGTCATTTCTCAACAATACAATTTTTATCAGTCCAAAAACATAAGTCAAGTCAAAAAGTATGAGTCAATGAACATTGGCCCTCAGTGGAGCTAAATGTGTTTTTACAAAATAAAATAAACACTTACTACAACAATTTCATCGTCATCCTTGACACCGATATCTTGAAGCGTTGATTTAAGAGAAAGAATCTGTTGGCCATTAAAAAAAAGTTCTTGATATTTCTCGTCGATGTTCCATAAAGAATTGATCGCCTTGCTCAATTGCTCGACTGAGGTCTAAAATAAAACACTTGAATTGGATAAAATTGAATTCTTAAACAAGCCTCTTTATCAAAATTTAATGGCTTTTTGCGATGGGAAGATCCTTCGTGATCTTGTAGATTAAGAATTAAACTTAATTCCATCTCATAAGACCTAAAAACATAATATAAATAACAATGATAATCACGGATGGGAAGTGACGAAATCGCGTCGCGTGCGCATAGTTCAACTGGGGCAAATGTGTGATTGTGCTCTCACAGTGAGGAAGAGAAAAGAAGGTCACACAAAGAGAAAGAGAAATTGCTAGGGCAAAGACGTCACACCAAAGGATCTAAAAGACATTCAGCGAAAGCAAAGCTTCCTTATGAAGTACCTAGCGAAGGAAAGAACAGAAGGAGAAAGAGAGAGTGGTCAATCTGTAAGATCTCGTAGAACTCGATGAGTTTGGTCACACCTATACCTTCTCGAAGGTGCTGGCAAACAGGTATTGTCGGCGTCAAACGACTTGAGGAAATTTTAAAAAATTTTGGCTAATTGCCAGATTTCTCGAGGCGAAGAGAAGTGTATGCGGCATTCACTTTGCAGCGTGTATAGTTTAAAATTTTCATGTATCTTATGGAATTTTCATATTAATTTGACATTGTAAAAACTTCTTCCTCATCATTTCCCGTTTTCTAATTTTTAGTACATTTTAGGAAACAATCATATTGAACAGGAGCCGAAGGACTTTGACACCTACTAAAGTTAACAAGACGGGTATTTATTTCATTTTTATTTAAAATGCTCATTATTTCATCATTATAGTTTCAACGACTATAATTTTTGTTAATCGAAAAAGTGATTGTTTGAAAATAATGATAAACTTAAAACCGTGGGTAGAAAAGTAGAGGTGAAAAAGTCAGGGTGGGTTGTAGTAGGCCCAAAAAATCTGAAAAAAAAACCTGACTTGAAAATCGATTTCAAGTTTTTAAAACGAATTCTGTTATAATTTTTTAACGGATGTGCCAAAATGAAGGAATCGAACACTTTGAGAGGTTTCGTACGAAAAACCTTTATGGCCCGCATGTTTTTCTGCAGACCAGATGCCGATGAGGTGGTCCCGGTCCCATGAAGACATCTTTTGGCATCAGCTTAACTTCTTCTGTTAAGCTTTAAAAAACTGGGCTCCTGCCCGCCTTCCATTCGAACAATCCTGTACATACTGAGACAGGTCGAACAGTAACAGTTATTTCGCATAGTTTGCATATTTTGACGTTCAATTAAATACGGATATCAACATTCGAATATTTTTTAACATAACATTTTAAACAAAATTCAGAGAACCTCATTTGGAATAGAAATCATACCACCGAGTAGTTTTACTTTTCATTCATTTTCCAATGTGCAGTGCACATATAGTAGTGGTGAAAGTGCGCTCAATTGCACACATGACTCAGTTTGTTTAGTATCTCTCCGGCATTGTCTATTATTGTTATTGGTCACTAATACATATATGCTTTGAATTCAGGGGAAATAATGGACGAGAATTATCCGGCTCCCGATATTTTAGAATGGTTAGAATCTGCAAAGGAACGTTGTAAATTTGATATGGACACGCAAATCAAAATTGTCGGGATGGTTGAGTATTCTTACAGTTCTATTGATGGCAACTCAATATTTATAGATTGGAAAAGAGTACATTGATCATGGAAAAGCGGAAAATATAAATAATTTTATTGAAGATAACGTATTTTTGGAATGCCAAAGTAATGAAACATTATCGGTACGTATTTACTACTCTTGGATTTATTTTTAATTAATATTTTTTGAGATTCGTGTCCATTATAGCCGTAAACATCAGATTCTATTTCTTTTAATGAATGGAATTGACGACATGGCCAATTTAAGAAAGGTGTTCATCGAAGATCCAAATCGCCATAAGAAGTCATATTTTGAATGTTTGCGTGAATCCAATGACAAACAAATTCGAATGATGGCGTTCATGTTCTCTGTTTGCCATTATATTATTATCTCGGAAGACACTTCTCGTCTAGATCTGGAACTATATCGTTTTTTGAAAGATGTTTCTGATTATAGGTACTATTCTGAAAATCTAGTAAATTGTACAATTTTGTAGAGAAAAAATTGCACCGGACCTTGAAGAATGTTTGGTTGAGGCAAAATTGAAAAACACTTGGTTCACAACTCGGTCGATTTCATCAAAAGAACGAGAAGGACGTTTGGTAGTCCCGAGAGTACTTGTGGTTTTTCATCGTAACAACGTGAGAATGGAATTAGGAGCAGTGAAAAAACGAGAAATTTACGAGAAACTTGAGAAAAGCTTGGATACTCAGCTAAGCGATTTATTTCGTAACTTTGGCCTCACCGAAAATAAAGCATCAAGGTATTGTTCAAATATTAGTAATTAAAAAAAGAGAAAAAATGATAGAGTTTAATTAGAAATCTTGTTAAGATCAGCGCTGTTCCATATAAACGAGAATCTCCCATTTGTCCATTTACTCAATCCACATATGGTTCAAAGAGATGTTCTGCAAGAAATGTTGGAATATTACACTCAGGATCCAGCGAAAAGTATTTTTAAATTTAACAATTTGAGAGAAACATCTTTTGCAGGAGACTTTCCACAACTCGCTACGAGTAATTCTTTTGTCAAATTTCTCGAAGAGAATCTTCGTTCGGAGAGAAATGTAAATATTGGTGCTATAATGAAAAATATTATAAATTTAGGTAGCGATCTTGGAAAACGTTATAGAAGGAATGGAGGCCCTCAAGGGAATCTTAACAGAATCTAACTTCCATATGATTTCGGGCCTAGATATGTTCAATAAGCATTTAAAGTTTGAAAAACGGTAATTTTATAAGAAATATTTAATTATCGAAAAAAATCGAGCACCTTGATGTAATTGTCGAAATTTATTTTTTGGGGCGGTAATTTCAATTTTACTCACAACAGTGGTAATTCGGGTACCGTACTACGAAAAACCTATAAATCAAACTAACCGTAAATCTACCCAGGGTGCTCGTTTTTTTTTTTCGATCTCATTAACTTTTTATATTTTAGATTAATGCATGAAATTGTAAATCGTGCGGTCGGTTATTACCAGTGGTCAACTCTATCCCAGAAAAAGCGCGTATTTCAGCTCAGCAGCCGGGAAGTAGTTCGAACTAAAACAGAACATGATGCAAAGGTATTTCGTAGTGAAGATAGGGGTCTCTTTCTGAAAGAATATTTTAAAAAAAGCATTTAATTTCCACTGATTTTTCTCCGAATCGAATGGAAACCTAAAATTTTCGTTTTTTTTTTTAATTTAATATGTTTCTTGCTGCTCCAATAATATTTCTATGATTTTAATAAGTACACCTCCCCCCTCCCCTAAATAGTTTAAAGTAAATTGCGGATTCATTTAGGTTGTCGAGGCTATTAAATATGTCAAATGCGCAATTGGAAGTAATGTAGATAAAGCCATCGAGAAAACATTAGAAGGGTGTGATAATCTGTGGCAGAAGGACTTACGAGCATGCGAACAACGTTCTCTTACTGGATATTTTTGCGTGAAAAAAGTGCATCCTTGTATTGAAGATGCTACCAGTGCGCCGAATACTTGGACTCCACATGACTCTACAGAGACGCTACTGTCTACATGCGCTTGCGGTGCAAAGCAAGGCCTCCGGAAAGACCCATTCAGTGTTAGAGAGGCCAACTTTGAGTTTTACGAAAATAATGTTTTTGATTGCTGTCGGAATTTGGAGCGTCATCAATTTAAAATTTACCATGAAGAAACCGAAGATTTGGATGAGGTAAATCAACTTATGCATATTTGGACTTGTAGCCATCTAAGCTAAGTCCACTTTGTAAAATAAATAAATAAAAAAAAATATATATATATATATATATATATATATATATATATATATATATATATATATATATATATATATATATATATATATATATATATATATATATATATATATATATATATATATGTAAATGTTTCGATTTCAGTGGGGTTCTTGGGCCGAACGTGCTTCGAATTCTCTTCAAGAGCAACGAGCGTTGGAATCTATGGATTCTGCCGATGAAGGACATCTATACGACGAAATTATTGAAGACAGAATGAACAGTTCTGAAGATGAAGAGGCTCATGCATCGCAGTCATTACCAGAAGATCATCATTTATCTTATGATTCGGATGAATACTGCACCGAGACCTTTGCAAGCACCCGAAGATATGGATTTGATTTTGATACCGAATTTCCGAAGAGGGTTATTGCGTTGAAAGTTGCTGGGAAAAGCGAAGAATTTGTTGAAGGAGTGCCAAATTCATTGGAAATTGGGAAACTACCGTTGTTCCCATCGTTTATACTCACTTGTATTGGCGACTCTAGCATTTACAAGTATATCAATTCTATAAAAAATCTTCAATTGTGACGTTTCAGTCATTCTTCTGGAATTCGAGACCAGCCTAATTTTAAAATTGGCGGAGAATATCTGACATCATTGACGATTTATTTGGATGTTGACGTACAGAGCTGGAATCGAGACTTGGAGAAAGTAAAATATGAAGATTCGATTCGACGTTATTTGTCGAAAAATCGGATTACGGATGATCAGCCAAAAGTAAAACTTTTTGTCGGATTTGAGTATGAATGCTCTCGAGGACATCGCTTTTTTGTGGACCAAAATGGTGAACCATTGATATACCACAAGGTACGTTTCATTACTCTTTGTATTTAGCGAAATTTTGTTAGAGAAAAAAGTAAACTATGTATTTGCTTTAAATTTTTGAAGTGCGCACCATTTTTTGAGAATGTTCAATTTAAAGGTCGTCGCGCGTCCAATTATATGAAATCTAAAGAATGTAACCTCTCAGAAATTTATAAAGTGTTTTAGGGGGCCAATGCAAATAATCAAGAAAGTAGCCGACGAAAAAATTTGGACAATATTTTGCATTCTGATTTACCACTTCGCCGAGGATGCACTTGCCGAAAGGCGCCTCTAAAATCGGCACAGCTAATGAAAATTCATGTGGTGACACCAAAAGCCCCAGTTACGGTCACGATTCAGCCACAAATTATGGTTCCTGGACTCGAGGAAATATTCATGACTGGGGAGAGTCCATTACAGTTATCACATTCCAGGTTTCCTGTAGAAAAAAATTGCTAACTATCTCAACAAACATATTATTCAGGTATTATATTCTCCAACTGCCTTTCATCTACAGCGGTCCATCGGGAACATACGTACATGAGCCTGGGAATTTAGAGCCTACTGGTTGCTGGAAGGGGGGAGCCTTCGGAGTTGTTTATAAACCCTCAAGTAGCTCTTGGTGGTGAAAGTAACAGATAATAATTAGCTTATTGGTTAGAATCTTACTGGTCGGAAAAAGTTAATGAAACTGGGATGTCCTTTCTGATTAGTTTGTTATTGTTTCTCTTTACCATTGTTTATAAGTATAAATAAAGTTATGTTAATTTATGTGTGTTTTCATTTAATTATTTAATTAATTTTTTCTTATCGTTATCGATGTTTCTATTAAAAATTCGTAGTACCAGAACCAGATGCTTTAAATTTTTTCGATAAAGAAAATCAGCAACTGGTGTGAATTAGCGCATGGTTGTGTTTGCACCGAATGCGTCTCATTTGACGCAATTTTTGTTTCCACGTATTTTTTCCCTTTTCCGCTTTTTGTTTAAAAAAACTAAAAATCTTCGTTTATTGGACATCATTATTGTAAAAAATGAACGATGCCAGCAGCCTTACAAAGGCCGAAATGCTGGCAGCGGCTAAAAAGAAGGTTTTACTTCGCAATACACATTAATTTATAAAAAATACTTTAATAGCTGAAAGACTTTGAATCTCGTCGAAATCATGATAGTCGAGCATCACCTACTTCAAGCATTGTGTCGTCAGAACTTGGAGGAAATGGAGTTCTTAGTAGCATAAAAAATGAAGATAGACAGTTATTATCGGTAGAATGACTTTTTATTAAAATCCCATGTGTTATATTTCAGATATCACCATTCCAGCAAATTGGGAATGAATGGTATCAAGCATATACCCAACTAAAAGCTCAACATGATGAATTGGTTTGAAAAGTTATATTATTTTTTTTTTTAATTAGATATTGAAGTGCTCTCATTATGCTCAATTACATACTGCTTATTCACAAATAAGCGTTAATGGAGTTCACGTGGATGCAGAAAACCAGATAATTCAACTTCAATCAGTATTTTTACATTTATCCGTTAAAAATTAAACTAAAATTTAGGCTCTTTCAACTGTGGTAGAAGAAAAACTCGATTGTCAAGCTGAATTGCGACGAACTAAAGAAAATCTAGAAAAAATTTTAACCGAATTTGAAGAGTTTCGAAAAGAACATATCAATAAGACTACTGAAAGTCATGTAGAAGGCGATGAATCTGTAGAGATAAAGAAATTGTTGTCAAAACTTGAACAAAAAGACAACCTTTTATCTGCGAGGCATTCGGAGCTCGAGCATTGTCGACGTGAAGTGTCTGAGATTCAAGCTCATTTGCTCACTGTGCAGCACGAACGGAGCGAGGCACAGGCTCGTGTAAGAAGTCTCGTACGTGAGAATAATGCCATTGAGGAGAGCTTGAAACAACTAAGGAAAGAGCTGCAAATGAAAGATTTGCATTTAAAACAGTTAGGAGCGCACACTGTCGAAGGGAAAGAAGACAAATTAGTCCATTTAAATGGTAAATTAGATAAAATATAAGTTTTCAATATTACATATTACAGATCAATTGGAGATACTCACAAAAAGCCTGAGCGATGCGAATATTGAAAAATCAAAGCTAATAGCGGAATACGATGCTCTTAAAAAACATTATTCCGAAAGAGAGCGGGCATTAGAGCAGAAGCAAAAAGAAATGGCTGTCGAGGTTAGAATTTGATGTATTTTCCTATTATAATTCGTAATTGTTTAGCTGGAAAATATTCAAAACCATCGCTTCTCCGCTGATGATCGTGTCCAGCAGCTAGAAAACCAGCTTCATCTTGCTCTGAAGGATCTTGAAAAGATGAAATTGGAAGCTACATTGTCCAAAAATTTAGAAACGGAATCTGCTCATGATTTCTTTAACGAAGAAGATTCTAACCGCAGGGTTCGAGAAGCAGTAGCATTGGAACGAATTGAACTTGAACGACGACTTGAAGAAGAGCAAAGAAGACGAGAAGAGGAGATTTTGGAAAAGGACCGAATGATTTTTGAGCGAGATCAATTATTGGCTGAAATTGAAATGAAGTATAGGCTTTTAGAGGAGAGAATGCTCGAAACTACAAATAATGGAGCAGTGAGTTTTAATAGAATATTTTTATCTAGGACATCCGTTTTTTGAAAGCGGAAGTGTAAACCAGATTTTTTCTCGAAAATTTGAAAACGCATACGAAAATTGTTTCATTTCGAGCCATTGAAAAATCGTAACAAGAGTTGCGATAAATAATTCAAATTTCCGATGAATTCCAATTTTTGAAAATAATTTCAAGTGCCTGTGTCACTCTTCAAATATCGGCAATATTTATAGGACCTTCTCTCACTTTCGGAGCAGCTACAAAACGAAAAGGCAACTGTTTCACGAGCGGTTGCTCAAAATCGTGAGCTCAAATCACAGCTAATTGAAACAGAAGATCGTCTCATTGCCCTCACAGATGCTAAGCTTCAACTTGAGCTGGACAAGCAAGCCGCAGAACACCAGGTTCGCGAGCTCACTAAACAGTTGAACCTGGAGAACGCTGGCCTTGTTCCGAATATCGCAGAAGTGATTGCACTGCAACCGCATTTAGAATCCCGTCCAAATACTGAAGAGAAAGGCACTGAACCGATGGTAATTGAACATGAGCAGGAAAACGATGAACTGGATCAGATCCGTCGAGAATATGAGGAAATGCGCTTGAGGTTTGAAACAGCGCAGGCAGAACTGGCACAGGTTCGTGCGGAACTCCGACGAAGCCACACACAGAACGAGCAAATGGACCAGATAATGCGACAGAATGCTGAGGACGAGAATCAGAATTCGATACATGTGGAACTCACACAAGCCGTTGTCCGACTGAATGAACTTGCTGCTGAGAATGAGCAACTTCGCGAAGCTATTAGTGACCTAAGCACGAGGTTAAACGGGGAAAGAGTGAGATCGGCTGAGGCAGAAAATAAGCTTGAGGAAATATTGAAGATGGATAGACAACCAAAAGACCAACAGGAACCTCCGCCAAATTTAATGGTTGTTCAACCTGAAGCATCAGAAAAAGTACTAATTTCATGTTGTTAATCCATTGTTTTGTTTATTTTTCAGATAAATGCTGAGGAATGGGCTCGTAAGGAGCTCGAGAAGAGATTTTCTCGAGCAATGATGCAGAATGCTGAACTCACTGAAGCTATTGACAAGCTTGAGCACGTTAATCAGCAGCTGCAACTGGAAAATGATACAATCGCTGATCATATTATAGTTTATCAGCATCAGAGGAGATTAATTCGAGAGCGAATTCGCGTTAAAGACGAACAGCTGAGAGCAATGGAAGAGGAAAGGCAGAAGACGATAGCAAGGTATCAGTCTCAAATTTTTAATTCTATAAGTGAGACTTGTCCATGTCCCGGTTATTTCAATCCCCCACGATCAGGAAAAATTATAAGATTCAATTGAAAAAAATCACGGAACTACTGTATTTTTTGTTGGTTTTTTTTTTAGTTTTTACAGTATTGTGTGTGAACAAACAAAAAATTCAAAACATGTCGATTCTCACTTCAGCCATTTTCCGGAAATGACGACAATAATTCAGCTCTCTTTTTTATCAGATAGATCCAACATTTGGTTGTTTCTATTCAAGCTAGTTCAAAGAATGTTCCATAAACTAGTAGTGAGTTGCCGCCCGCTGCTCTTCGCAGTCCCCTCACCGCCTCGCTTCGCACAGCTACTTTTCTTAACCACACCTACTTTATATTTTGCGCGATAAAATTAAATATATTTGCGCGATAAGTTCATTTCATTATTTTCGATTTTGTCGCTCTTGTTTTATCGTTCGCGTGGATGATATTATAATATTTTTGATAGATTATAACTGGCCAGCTGTTTTAAGTATTATTTCCGTACCATATAAATGAGTGATGTAATCGGGGATAATCAATAATTTTTTATACGAGATTTACACGCAGCGGAGTGATGGTTTCCATGACAACACCGCATTTTTTCTATATTTTTTCAGATGCCAGGAGCTCCAGAACGTATTAATGACGGTTCTAAACAAGGGAGGAATTCTAAAAGAGTATGAGACGAAGAAGCGCACGACGGCGCGCAGAGTTTCGCGATCTTATAGTCATAGCACCGTTGACGAATTGAGTGGTGATGAAGATGTAATTGTTGACGCCAAATTGGACGTTGTGAGTTACATTTTTTTTAATGAAGGTTGAAAAAATACACGGATCAGGACTTTCTTTTCTTTTTTGTTTTTTTTTTCTTCTCAAAATTTAACGGCTTCATTTTGCCGCGAAAAAAAGCATCTTTCAGGTGCCTGATCGTTCCGAAGTTTCGTCGCCGTCACTGATTGCGACTGTTCATGTTAAAGAACAAGTTCCTAATGGAGCCGCATCACCAGCGAGAAGTTTATCTCCAATTAATGAGACCGAAGATGCTTCAGTTCGAAGAATTCTCGAGATTATATCTGATATCAGCGTGAGTTAAAACTAAATTGAATAAAATGATATTACATTAAATCTTATCGCATTTTTTTCAGAAAGCTCAAATGCCGACCTCTGCGCAACTACATTGTACACAATGTATCGGTGATATAAAAGAAATTTAGCATAAATAATGGGTTACGTTACTATATTTAATATAACTTTCATGGGTAGAACAAAATTTATTATTTTTTTTTTCAAAACATTTTTTAAATGTATCCGCTCCCATATCAACTCGAGGCCTTTCAATCTGCTTTTCGTCCATCTGAAGCTTGTGATAGATAAAAAAAAATAAGTAGATATTTATTTATTATTTATTCATCTCTTACGGACCAATTCATGAAATGTTTTTTTAACCAAAAAATGTGAAAAATTACATTAAATGAGCTTTTTATACAAGCATACATTTGAAAAAAATGTGTATTTTTTGAAACATTTTTTTGCATGAATAGATCCATTAATTTTTTTGTTTTTTTTTTGGGAAATTATAAAAATGATCTTTTTAAAATTGTTTTTTTTTTTACATTTTTTCAATGTTCGAACATTTGTTTATACCTTGTCACAAGTTTACTTATTTTTAGATTTTATTCATTGTTTCAGTATGAGCTTCACATGTCAAATGGCAATATTAGATAGGATGACACGAAAACGAAAACGATGCGAGCCAGGAAGGGTTTTTATAAGGGCTTGGACATCTAAAGTATGTTTGACCGTAATTGCTCAAATGGCGAAGGGGGGGGGGCGGGACGGAAACATTCTTAGTCCAACCCTCCCGTTGCATGTGTGTGGTTGAGTAATTAAATTTTTTACTACGAAGGACAAAGTTTATCTAACGTTGAACTTTGCAGAATGAGGAAACTAATTACTCACTTAACTTCTGTAGCGAAAATGGGACTATTTGCTACAAATCTCAGGTAATGTGGTTGCTTAAAGTTTTTAAACAATACATGTTCAGCTCACTTCAATAATGCCATTAATGGAAGTTAAATATATTGAAAAGGGAAAAGCCATATTTAAATTCCCATTAGATAACAATCGCACAATTCTGGTTGAGAACGCGCCTGTTAACCAGCTGAGATTCATCGGACACATGTTGAATGAGCTTGCAGCGAGAAATACAATTCAATATGGTATTGTATACGAGAAAGCGCTTTTTCAACCGGGACCAGATTTCGAGGAAATGATAAAATTGGGATTAATTAGGAATCAATTCAACGGACAGATAAGAACGATTCACGTTGAACCCGGATGTAAGATTTTTTAAAGAAAATTCGAAAAAAAAAACTTCATAAAGGATTATTAGCAATAAAGCAGCTTCATCCGCATTTCCATCTTGCCTCTAGTTTGTGCAGACTCGTACTCCGCGGCAACAACTTTCTTGAAAATACAAAATTGGATGATTGCGGAATTTTCAAGTGTCTAAAACATCTCGCTTCTATTGATGTGAGCTCTTGTGAAATTGGAAACGTGCCGACGAACCGTGTGGTATGTGAAGTCATCTGATTTTTTTAATTTAGTTTTTCAGTGCGCTTTCTTTAATTCACTTCCAAAAAATATTTTGGTTTTGAAAGCTGAAGAGAATAAGTTAAAGGTTATTGTATGGATTTTTTTTCGGATTTAACACAAAAAATTTCCAGTTTTTTCCACCGATCTACCATCTAAAAAAAATTTCCGACATACGGCTCACAACAAATATGATCAGGAAACTTCCATCTAGGGTAATATTGAAGTTTTCACCCAAATAAAACCTGACTGGGAAAAGGAAATTAATCTTTTATTCTTTTTCCCAGATTGTGCTGTTTGAGAGTCTGCAGTTTTTGGATTTTTCAAGAAACCCTGTGATCGCAATTCCGAGATCTTTTTTTGGACGATTGTACAACTACGAAGCTGTAATATTGTATGAGACGCTACTGTTTTCACGAGAGTGAGACAGTAAAGAAATGCTTTCAAAATTAGGCAGATTTGTATATTTCAGAGCTGTGCCGAACAATATAAATCTGTTCGAAGAAGTCAAACACCCGTTTGGAAAAGTTTACACTGTGGGTAACGTTGATAAATTATGGACTATAGCATCGAACGTGATCCATCAGAATAGGTAAAAAAAATATTAAATATCTAGAAAAAATTTTTGCAATATATGGTGTATTTGCAGACGAAATTTAAGAATCGCAAAGCGTGTTCTTCCCCGTGACTTACTTATCGATTGTACGGACTATGTCGACGCAAGTCATTATCAATCTGGCGTAGATATATGCGATTATTGCCTCAAATTTACTCATATTCGATTACGCACCTATCTATTTCTTCGATTGCTGCTGTCATCCCTAACTTCAGACGAAGAACCGCAAGATACAGAATGCAATGTTTCGTGAGTATTTTCTTCAAATTTATTCGCGTATAACTTTTAAAAGAATTTTTTGATAAGTCTTTGTGATTGTCGCCGTCAAACGACTTAGAAAATTTGACAAAATCAGTGTAGATCTACGAATTTGTAAATTTACGTCATGACTAATACTAATTGCATGTACGCTAAAATGCAGAGTAGGCAGACACGCGCGAGAATTTATTGATTATAATGAAAAATTTCTGAGATATAAATTTATGCAACAGTTTCATAAAAAATTAAAATTTTTTTAGGCTGTCATTATGCTTACCATGCTATCAAAAAGAAAGAAAAATTATGGAAATCAATATTGCCGACTTGTAATAGTTATTGCATCTTGTAAATGTGTATTTGCTTTAATAACCTACTTTAATACTTCAATGATCTTCTTGCCCCTTCATAAATTCCTTTTTTTGCTATTTTTTGTAATTTTTAAAGGTTTAAGACCGTTGAGTACTTCCATTTTTCATTTTTATGTACATTTCCATTGGTTTAAAATGCTTTTCAGAATGCAACTCCGCTGTGAGATTTGAGAAAACACTGGGCGATTTCAGAAGCGAAAATTACCAAAGAAGTGAAGATGACACAATTTTTGTGGAGACTGTGGTGAGGATAAATTTCCTCTAGAAATAAGCGCAATTGTCATCCTTTAGATCTCACCAGTCTCACCCCGAATATACTTTGAGATTAAAAGTACCGATCGAGCCCTACTCGACTATACATTTTCCGTGAATCTTACAAACGTCCATCGTTTGTCGAACTTCCTGTTGTTCGACCGAAGTCGAATGTAACGATATCAATGTAAAGCGAGTATGAAAAATCTTCACAGTTTACACGATTGGTGAGCTCGGTTATAGTACGTCTAAACGGTAAATAATAAAATAAATATAGTTCGAATTCTTTCATTTTTTTTAGTTATCCGTGATTTGTCGCCAAAATGGAGCATTTGCGACAGTCTTTCTCACCTTGTTTTGGCAGGAAATGCATTTCTCGCCAATGGAAAGAATGAGTAATATGCAGCATTTAACGACGTTAGACTTGACAATGTGTAAATTTGTCGAGACAAAGACATCGAGAGTAGTACGTGTAAAAGTTACATGGGAGAGGCGCAACTCTACAGTATGGCACGCCATACAATTAATTAATAATAAATTAATTAATTGAAAATAGGTGTTGACGGGGTTGGTTGTTTGTTGTTTTCGCCATTTATTTGTATAATTAGCGTTGGTGAAAATTGCTAATGTTAGACAGTTGCAAACACGCTCCAATAAACTATGCGATTTTTAATTGTGCATAAGTTAATTGGGAAAAAAAAAAACATTTTTTTGCATTTAGCCATTTTTTCGCAGTTGCGTCAACTATGAGAATTTTTTTTACATTAAAACCGTAGACTCGCAGAAATATAATTTCAGGGACTGCTATAGATTTTTCGATATCATGTAGCCGAATTCGCGAATGACTTTCATGTCGGGGCTCATCTATTGCGATGAATGCAGAAGGCTTTCAATCATTAAATATGAGAGGTTGACCACAGGAATATTCAATATGTCACGATGTACTTCCATGTGAGTGAGCTTAAAGTAAGATTTTTTATTATTGTGAATTTTTCGGCAAAAAATTGTAAAGAAATTCACGAAGAAAATTACATTTAAACTGTCTCTTATGCGACTACTGTTTTCTCGTTTCTTTTATAAAATTAATATTTTCAGGCTGTTTTACTGTGTACACTGCGTTGAACTACGATTTGTTCGTTATAGGGATTTTCCCGACGAAAGACGCGAGTTACAAAGATAATTGGTTTTATATCCATGTATGTGATGTTCTTAATTAATGTGATCTTATAAAAACTGCTATTACGTTTCACAATGTTAACCGTTGTTCTTATGTTTTACCCGGTTTCTAACCAATTAATACTTCCTTAATCGAAGGACAAATTTTTTTGACGTTTTTAGTTATGCGAATTCCATGTGAGGCGGTACTTATGGTTTCATTGGCTGGCCGGCCACCAAAGAGAAAACGGCCCACCAAGGCGTTCCTAGTACTGTCGCGAAGAGCTACGCGTGAGGTATTCAGAAAGCTTACAAGTAAACTAAAAAATGAATAGCTTGTTTTTATAGATAACCTAATTATTTTACGTTTGGTTTAACATTTAAAACCGGTATATATATATATATATATATATATATATATATATATATATATATATATATATATATATATATATATATATATATATATATATATATATATATATATATATATATATATATATATAAAATATATAACATTTCTTTCTTTTTTTTTTAACTTGTTTGTTTCCGTAAACTTTTTCGAATTTAGGATGGAAGAAGTCACGATTATTTCATTCAAGTGCGATTGCCGACATCGAAATCAGAGGAGAATAAGTTCAAGGTTTTAAATTTTAGACAATTGTTGTACCACTATTGTGTCTTCAGCTTCCACCATTCCCAGAAATCATGTCAAGGTCAATTCACGAAGGAAAAATCAGTTTCGTTTTTGGAAATACTACTGTCTTAATTAGTCAGGCTGACTCGAAGTTATTAACGCGCCTGTTAGAAACTCTTGGAAAGATTAGGCGTGGTGAAACTGTAGAACTAGACAGTTTAACGGTATTTTTATTTTATTTCGAAATTTTAAGGCGATTTTTTTCTAGGTGAGCAGCAATGATTTTAAGCCGTCAAGAATTGAAGTTCGTGAAACGTCAGAATACTTAGCAAAACGGAAAGGTTTTTCACCATTTTTGGAAACCCTTACAATTCAACCTGGATGTAAAAATTTTTGATCTCACCTTTATTAATCTCATCAATTTTTTAGGCATCAATCAGATTGATCATCAATGGCAAATGTGCAAAAAACTTAAAGTTATCAATTTTTCTGGGAACCCCATATTGGAACGTGCAAAATCATCCGATTTTGGAGTTTTTCGAAATTTGGAACATGTTGCATCGATTTGCTTGGCAGATTGTGATATTGGTAATAGTCCAATTGAGAAACAGGTACTGATTTTATCTTTAGATATGGTTCAAATGTGATATTCAGACCCTGTTCTTCAACTCGCTTCCGCCTAACATTTCGTTCATAGATTTGTCTGGAAATAATTTGAAAGTAAAAAAAATTCAAGATTGCTAGATATTTGAATCTCAAAACACATTTTTTAGATTGTTCCAAATCTTTACAAATATCGCCACGTGAACGGGTTGTCAATTGCGAATAATCGAATCAAAGTTCTTCCCGGACGGGTATGTTTTTTAAAAGAAATTATTGTCGGAGTCAAACGACTTAACGATATTTAAAAAAATATTGGCTACGTGTTAATGCGTCTCGAGGCAGAGAATGCGTACATTGCATTATAGTGTACACGCATTTAATATTCAGTTAACGATAAATTTAAATCCACTGATTTTGCGAATTCGATGGCTTTGCCTTCCTTCAGTCGTTTGACGCGACAATAAATTATACGGTTTATTGAATTTTACAGCTTTTCAAATGTCTTGAACTGAGAACATTGGACATTGGTAAGAATCCGATCAGTTATTTGCCCAATGTATTTCATTTCACGACTTCCCTTCAGAAAATTGATACATCAGAGACATTTATTGAAAGAGTACAGTAAGTTTCTCTATTCTATTTTTCGAAAAAGCTTTCGATTTTATTTCAGTGAGAAAGAAGAAATGCGCATTCTGTCGAGATTCAATCTCAGATTTATTCATACGGATGGTGTCGATACGCTTAAAGCAATTGCGGCGAATGTCATTCATAAACATTCGTAATTTTTTATTTTCATTAAACCTTACTACATTGACCAATTTTCTAGGAACTTAATGAGAATTGCCCCACACGTCTTACCGCGAACATTGATTCAAGAAACACTTGATTTTTATGATGATCTAAGTTGGCTGTCAGCCTTGGGAGTTTGCACCGAATGTTTTGAGTTGAGGCATATTCGTTACATTATTACACAGCCTTCGCAAAATCAAATTGCGCAAGAACGTATGAATGTACCGAGAGTGTTTATGGTTAGGTAAGAGCAAAGGGGCACTACTATTGAAAGAAACAACCAAACGTTTTGGTTATTTTTGAAAATTCATTTTTTTAGAGAATATTTGTGTGCATCTTGTTGTATCTCGACGAAAAAAAAGAAATATGCACAACTTTGCCGGCCAACAGGAGATGCGGAACTCGTTTACAACGAGGAACAATACTGATTTTTGTTCACAATCCGTTTCAATAAATTTTTGTTTTTTTTTAGATGGTGTTATTCGCGAAAACTGTCGAAACCCGATTCTGGTTATCTGATATGTGTCGAAATTTGTTGGAAATTTTCACATTATAGATGACCGATGATCTTTCTCTACTTCTTCAGCAACGAATCGAGGAATGTGAAAGATTAAAAGTTGAAATTTTTGAAGCAAAATTTTCAAACGTTGAAGGAGTTTTTAAAATGAGGAATCGATTAGACGCTGAGCTGAGATTTTTGAGAACTGTGAGATGGAAAATTAAAGCTAACTCAAAAATTTTCCATTTTAGATAGAAGATGGTGTCAAACCGTTAGAAAGGAAGTACCTAGATACTACAAACGTAACTCATTTGAGCAACATTATTCACTCAATTGAGGTACGAATTGATATAATAAGATTGTCACCGTCGCTCGATTTCGGTACTAAAAATAATTTTTATTCAGAAATTTGAAGATGTCATTGGAATTTTGCACACATTCGCGATTCGAAACGTATCTCATTACTCCGATGAGCACACTTTGAAACATACGGTTGATATTGTGGCCAACAACGGCCAAAAATGGGTAAAAATTGTATCTAGATCAGCTCGTGGAATTTTAATGGACTGGATGACGGGCTGTTCGAGAAATGTTTTCAACCAGGCCAAAGATTACATTCGAGTATGTTACAATAATTGTAAGTTCGTTTTAATCAAACAATTTTTCAGATGTCGCACAAGTTCAAATATAATTTTGCTCCGCCGAAAATTTGCGTATATTTTTGCGCTGGTGTCGCTGATAAAATGGCAGAGAAATTAAAAAGAAAAAATATTGAGGTCATAGGAAATTTAGTAAGTTTCAAATACTAATTTCCCTGTTAGTTGATCGTTATAGATTGAGATTGATACAATTACGAAAGTCCCCGATGATTTTCTTGAAATGTTGGAAGAAGATTCAGAAATTGAATATTCTAGCAATGAAAGTGATGATGACGATGAAGAGAGGTATAAATGATAGCGTCAAACAGCTTAAAGAAGTTTAATAGGTTAAGAGACGTACACGAGACTGCGTTTTTTTGCATTTAAATTCAGTCACTGATAAATTTAAATCTTCATTGATTTCGGAATCGCCATCGCTAAATTGAAGGTGTCGACCCCTTTAGTCATTCAACACCGACAATAGAAAAAAAATGACACTAGAAGGGGCCAACCTACGTCCTTGGGCTTATTAGATCTAATGAGACGACCCTCACAGTGTAAACGCGATGAAAGCATTATTGGGGCAATGTGGGAAATACGTGAAAAGGACACGTTGCGATTCTTCCATAATGCTTTCATATAGCTTGTGTATAAGATTCCTATGACCTATAATGCTTCGATGGCGCCTATTCAGCGACTGACCACGTGAGCTATCGCGGCTCGGGCTTACTGAAAAAATTGCGATAGCCGATTTAATTTTGGAAACTGCGGATGTTCAACGAGTTTTAGTTTTGCAGCGGAGTGACACTTAGCGGCAATATGATGGACACAAAGGGAAAAGTGGTCAACTTGGACGTTTCGGCTGTTTTCGTTCTGATTTCGAATATGACACATGGAGGAGGAGCAAATCATAGGTTTGCGAGCCCTCTCCTCGAGATGCAGGCAGTACAGGAACGAGAAAAACCGGCGAAACCCGCTCTTGAGCGAATAATGAAAGGTTTTTATAAGCATAAGTTTGAATTTTTGTAAATATGTCCTAGATAAGCAATTGCTTATTTGCCAGACTGCGTATGATGCGGTTGTTAAAATAATGTCTACTGTTAGTGGGCCTACTGAGATGGAGCGTTGGAAAGAACTGGAAAAAAAACTCAAAATTGTCCCCGATCGGATTTCGGATCGTGCTAGCAACTTGGCCATGTCGGATCGGATTAAAGAGCGGAATCTAAAAATTTTTGGCTCGGGGGATTATTATCAAGCGGTCACTTTAACTGCGAATAAACATTTTGTATCTTCGGCATATCATCAGGTAAATTTTTTAATTGTTAGATATCACCATGCGTGCTCCGGGAGCAATTTTCTAATGCGTAATTTGGGACAGAATATAGGTCATATAGGCTGCCCCAATTTGCTACAGAGCAGCGCCATTTTGCTTTTGAGCGGACCATTTTTTGTCCCTCCCCCCCGGAGCACTCGTCGGGCTGAGAAAAATTCCAGCGCAAAAAAACGAGCACCTTGAGCAATTGAGAACCATCGTATTTTTCAGTGTGGTATATCAAATTTAAATTTATTCAGCGCGAATTAGTGTTCAGTCTGCAAATAAAACTCGCCGTCACACAGGGTGCTTGTTTTATTGCGATTTTAATATCTACCATTGCAAAAAAACGAGGTAATTAGGTATCAGCGTATTTTTTTTTTTTTTGAAAATTTAAATTTTTATTTAAACGGCAGGAATTAATGTACTTAATTTACCCATTGTTTTTTTTGTGATGGTAGTAATTGATTGTCCAGTCGAAGATCGTTAAAATATTTAGGGGGTTGCATTTAACGCATTTATACACGAATCTAGAGCCCTAAGCGAGCAGAAAGAACGCCATCTTGATTGGGTACCTCCACAGGGACCGAGGCCGACCCATGCAAGAAGATATTACGAGGATTACTAATTCTTAGTTTTTAAGTTTTCATTTATTGACATTTTTAATTTGTGGGTTTATTGACTTCGAGTATTCTATTAATCGTATTTTAAATTTATAAAAATTGCTCATTCATGCTTATCATCGAATTGCGGAAGTATTTCTTCTTTTCTTTAAATATCTTTATTACTTCATTCGTCATTTTTGGTCCTAAGTTTCAGATGTCTAAATGTCCTACAATTCGTGCGAGAACTATTGATTGTAAGCAAGGAGCAGTAAGAGCAGTTCGATATAATGGTACATTTTTTTCCAACAAATAAAATACAGTGCCTAAAGTTTGATTGCGGGATTACGCGACATATTTTCTTATCCATAACTTTTATATTTTCAGTCGATGGTAATTATTGTATTACCGCGGGAAGTGATAAAACAGTAAAATTATGGAATCCTCTGAAAGGAACGCTGTTGAAAACGTACTCTGGCACTGGAAACGAAGTGCTGGATGCGGCATCATCGTCAGACAATTCGCAAATCGCCGCAGGTGGTGTTGATCGAGCGTGCACAGTGTTTGATGTGGAGACGGGTAAACAATTGAGAAGGTGGCGAACTCATGGAGGTATAAGATTCAGTTCAGAAATTAAAAGATATATGCTTAATAAGGCAAAAACACTGGTCTTCTCGCCATTAAACATCCCCATAACCTAAACCGAGTGTGAGGACATAACCTTTCCTGTGGGGGGGGGGGGGCATACTTCGGGCCAGTTTTCCATGGGTGGGGGGGACATATTAAAACGCAGAAAAACAATTTTCAGCGCAAGTCAACGCTGTAGCGTTTAACGAAGAGTCAAATGTAGTGTTCTCTGGATCTATGGATTGCACAATGCAAGCTTTCGACGTGAGATCTCGTAGCGAAAAGCCAATTCAGATATTCAACGAAGCCACTGATGGCATTCAATCCATTGATGTGAATGGGCATGAAATTGTTGTTGGATCTGCAGACTATAACTACCGTACTTATAGCGTTCGCGATGGAAATGTGAGGAATTTTCCGAGGTTTTTACAAACTGCTTATGAATTTTCAGATGTCAATTGACTTTATGGGAGAAGCAGTAAACAGTGTGCATTTTACCCCAGATGGAAACTGTGTTCTTGCTGGAGCAATGGGTGGGATTGTTCGACTGATGGATAAAAGCAATGGAAAACTTCTGGCGAGCTATAAGGGGCATTTGAACAAGGAATATAAGCTGGATTCTGTGATCCTGCAATCTATTGAATTTGTAGCTAGTGGATCGGAAGATGGATTTGTTTATATATACAAGTTATCTATATCAATTAAATTCCCTTAATTTTCTAATCGTTTAGCCTAATGGATTCGACAATTTCTGCGAAGTTGGAGCATCCGTCAAAAGTGGTTCACTCGCTCAGCGCACATCCGAAAAAAGAGAGATTGATCACGGCGTCTGGACAATTAATATATTTATGGGTGCCTCAAGGTGATCCCGAATTCGATGTTTGAATAAATATGCAAATAATAAACAATACCGTATACATATCCGCGTTTGAGCTGTCAGCTGTCAACGGCGCGAAAGCGCGTGCACACCAATATTGTGCCGCCCCTTGTTTGGTACTTTCATTTGTTTCTGATTTGCGGTTGGTATACTTTCGGGTTATGGATCGCAGAAGAGACCCCAGGTTTTGCAACTTTTGTAATTTTTGCTTTAATAGCAGTTTAGATACGGACAACACCAGGACTATGAAAGCAGAAATTATGAGGTAACATTTATTTGCTTTTGAGTTAAAACTTTCAAATTCATTACTATATGAAAGAGTATTGTCGGTTTAATCACAGTTTTGCCTTGAGACACATCCAATATTTTTTAAATGTCAATGGAAGAAATCGAAAATATTAATGTTGAACCGTTAAAACATTTCATTTTTCAAACGTTGCACATTATTTAAATATTAATTGTTAAGTTTCAACAGAAACGGGATGATCGGTGCAATGGACCGTATGATGGATATGACTATGACGAAGATTATGGGAATCAATATGCGAACTCAGGTAGTTTATTAAATTTAATTCATTTAACTAATCCCGTTAAAATTTAAAGCTTCCTATCATGAGACGTATGAGGAAGAAGAGGGATGGCGACGTGAACAGCAGGACTTCTACGACACCGTACCCGTGACAAAGGGTCCAATGAAATCACCAGTTGGTCAGACGTCAAATAGGAACGTGGCGCGAGTTCAAATCACAACTTCGCAAACTGATGAGCATCGCCATAAACATTCTAATATTCCACAAGCACCACCTCCACCAAGACTCCCCACCGCAAATTCTCAACAATATTCTACAGGTTACTGATATATAATAGATATGCAGATGTGAGTTTTTAGCTGGATTGTTTATAGATCGACAGTCAAAATATGGGAATGTGAGAAAGGAAATTGAGAATAGCAAACGAATGGAAATGGAGAGAAGAAATGAGGTTCACATTCGATTTGATTCTCAGGCAAAAAAAGAGTTTCCACCGAAACAAACTCAATTTATTGATGGCTTCCGGCAGAGTAACGAGCAACCGCCTAAGAAAAAGGTGCAGTTTTAATCCATAAAATGTAATTCAGCCGTTTCAGGATCCACCAGCGAACACGATTCGTTCGATTATTAACAATCTGAAAGGAGGGAACAGTCACCAGGAAAGTAATAATTCCAACAGTGCTAAGCGTGGGTCCTACTTCGAAAATTCGATATTCCAAAGCACATTTCAGATGAAGATAGTATTCCACGCAGTCGGGTTTCTACGAATCCATTCATGCGTGCAAACCAATTGGACCAGCATCAGCAGCAACAAAACCGATTTGAACAAAACAAGCAGCCTGTCAAAAATGTTGCGGAGGTTGTTGAAAAAATGAACAACGGTGATTGGCCTATTCGAATTGAAGAAGAAGACATCGAAGCTAAGAAATCTAGTATGAAGTAAGAAAAGATTTAGTGGTCGTAGAGAATTCAAAACATTTTTTTCAGGATTCCGATTTCAACTGATAAAGCACGACAATGGGAGACATTGCATCGTAAGAAGGACGAAAAACGGAGCATCCTTGAGCGTATTGAAACGGAGGAAAAACAGCACGAGCCTGATAATTTTTCTGAGAAAAGTCACGAGGAAGAACATACTAGCGTTTCAACAGATTCTGCGCTTTGCTTGGATCCGGAGCAGAGACTTCCATCACCGTATAAATTTCCATTGGATGCCAAAGAAACTGTAAATGAGGAGAAAGCATTGGCCGAAGAGGCTGAGAAATTACTCATCTACTTTAAAAGTCATCGAGAAGTGCTTAATTACTTAGGCATTGGATTATCAGAAAAGCTTTGGAAGCATATGGGTAACTTGCCGGAATTCGACGCAAGCATTCGGATTTTCAAGGCAACTTCTGATCTTCCAGCTCCTCCAGCTCCCAAAATCACAATAACGCCTTCATTCGCTGATCGCAATGTTGGAAATGTTGATAAAGATTGCTAATTCAAATTTTTATTCAGAGCCCAATGGATCTTTGTTCTCCGGCACGCAACTCGACATCGCAGGTTTCCTCGAGATTTTATTCGTGACTAATAAAACTGAAAAGAATTTTTGGGTTTTTTTTAATGGTGTGTGTGTCTATTATCTCCAGTGCTCTTTTCCTTCTTCTATAATTCTCTTATTATTTTCACATTACTGTTTTATTGGAATAAATGATTGTTGGATGTTCGATTGGAGCATTGGAGATAAAACCACACGCGCCATAAAAATAACCTTACAAATTCGATTTGCTCAAACTTGAAAATTTCGGCGAAAACGCAGAATTGGTTCTCACACCACTAAAGATCCTCACAGTCAACAACCTGACCCCACATTTTCAGAATAGACCCCCAAATACTTAGGAAGTGGGAACCTATAAGGAATTTGGAGGCATTTTCTTGGTTGTGGGGATCTATAATGGATTGAGGGGGGGGGGAAATGATGTACTCAAAATGTTAATTATACGTTCCCAAAAGAAGATTTTATTTTAGGCCTGCACAAAATTCAAAATAGGTCCCCAAAAATTAAAGTAGGCACATCTGCGCATTGCGCGGAGTTTATCCAAGACTTGCCGAGACCTCAACTGATCTACACGATTAATAACTCACGCTGCTATAGCTGCGTAGTTCCTATTAAGCCAGTTCTTGTTCTCATATTGAAATAATATGACTGTTTTTCACGTCTAATGATAAATATGCCAACGTGTTAATAAGTAATTGATAAACTCCTGTATTTTTGTGTGGGGACCTGAAATTAAGTTTTCCCCTGGGGAACTATTTCGCATATGTTGGGGACCTTATTTGCGTTCTGATAGTTTTTTTTGAATACAATGATAAATGAGATTTTTCCTAATAGAAGAACACGTCATTCTAGATTGACCCGAATCTTCCTTCCACGGATCCACCGGAGTTCGATGACTCTCGTTTTATGAAGAATGTTGAGATTCCAACGAAAATCCCATCGAATTCTAGCGGCGGCGGAAGATTTGTGAAAAAATCTGCGGCGGCACTGATTGCCAAAAAGCAGGGAATGACTAGCGAGGATCCGGTATTTGAATTCATGAATTTTTCTGAAGAAAGCCTCTTATTTAGAATTCTGCAACAGAAATAATTGATCCTCGAATTGCAGAGGAAATAAAAAACCTGCAGGAGCGCGAAGATGAGCTGAAACGAAGTCGTGCGGAGTTAGATGACGATATCAGAGTTGAAAATGAAAGAAAAAGCTCATTGAGATCCGCTCAGTCTTATGATCATCTGGAATATCCTGATGATTCTAGGAAGGCTTCAGTGGAGCGAAGTCAGTCTTCTCATAACGTTTATCATAACAATCCAGTGGAATCGAATCCACTTTCCCCAAAAAATCACCAGTTTGGATATAATTATGGATCAATGCCGAGAACTCATCTCAGGCAACAAGATAGTAGGCAGTTTGCAAAATTCATACTGATTTCACTGCTGCTTCCAGGTCAGTATCAAAGTGGGAATTTGCGAGCACCTTCACGTAATGACGGTGGATATCGGCAGACTAGGCATAACACCGAATTTTTTCGTTCTGCGCCCACTACTACGACGACGAACTCCAATTGGGCGAAATCAGGGTGGGTCAATTTCATCTCATTTAAAAGGACCAATATGGAAGAAAAAACAACAAAAAATAAGAAAGAAAAAGCAACTAATGCACAAAGAAGAAGAGAGAATAGTAAAAATGGAAAAAGTAGTCACAAGTGGTTATGAAAATGGACAATTTAACAGATTTTGAAAAGATTTCTTAGAGAATTCAGTGAATTTGTTATTGAAAAATAATGAGAAGTCTGAGAAAATCAACTGAAATTTAATTGTGAAAATTTCAAAAATTATCACACAAATTTTGCAAGCGGATCCATTTTTCATGAAAAACTTACATGTTTTACATTTGAAATTAATGTGTTTTTGCAAAAACGTTCAAATTAAAATAAAAATTAAAGAAGAAACTTCCGAAGAATGTTCTTATTGTTAGCAATATCGATATAATACTGCCCCGGTGTACAGAATAATCTGTCATTCTAGTAACAAATAAAGCTATCAATTAGAAAATTTGGAAATTCCATAACATTTTGTTTTTTTTAACGAAACTATTCAATTTTTAGGGCGACGTTCGAAGCGCGGAATGTCGGATCCCATTCTGGTCTACAATTACCACCAGCCAGCGTATCAATTAGCACTGCACCCAAATTTAGCGGCAAATTACCATCAAATCCGTCAGGCTCCCACAACCCGCATCGTAAAATTGGGCTCTAGACGATGGTTCCTCCGACGAAAACCATCAGAATCAACTCGAAATTCTTGTGGTGTGGTACGCCGTAAATCGACACGTAAGACGTCCAATGTGCGATTCTCCGAAACTGTAACAAGCATATTCTAGCATAGTAAACACATTTTTCTTAAATCGTTGTAACTTTTTGGATACGTTGTGTTATGATGGCTATAAAAATATAATACCCTTTGATTTATTTTACTACAATCTGGCGAAATGTATTCCAATCTTTATTTAAAAAAAAATCAATTTTTTTTTCATTTCAATTTTGGGTCACCATGTCTGCACTGTATTTTTTTTTCATTCTGTGTGTTATCTTTCCGTAATTTTCGAAAACTTTTGAAAAAAAAAACAAAAAGAAATGAGTAGCGGATTGAAGAACGAGGAAAAACAATTATTTTTATTAACTTAGATACATACCAATTATCATGAGAAATAGTGATTTTTGTTTTGATTCGATACAGACTTCGTTTAATGAACAACCATTAAAAAATACAGTACCGACTTCGTGACGTGACCTGTGCAACTTTTCACGAGCGTCTTTTAAAATTAATAGCGGAGAATTACGATATGTCACATCAATTTTTGTAATGTTCGTCAAGCGTGCATACTCGAAAAATCACATCGGCGCCCGCTCTGACGCTACTGCTCGTCCGCTTGGTTACCGTCATTCGTCCGAGCGGTATCCGATATGTGCGCCCGCTCGGTGTCCACGAATTTTCGATCATCGGCGTCCGCTCTGAATCTACTGCTCGTCCCTTACAACGTCCGTCTGGCGTCCGTCAATTTTTTCAATAGAAAAGCGGTCCGCGCGGCGCCCGATGTGGTTTACCGAGTATTGAATTCAAATGAAAAACATTGATTCTTCTTAAAATTGTTTTCATTGCGTGAATCAGTCCATGACAAATGCAGTCTGAATCCGGTAAAAAAGTTTTGAAATAAAATTCAAAATACCGATTTACATAATATTTTCACCGTTCCGTGCATTACATTTTGAAGTGGCGACACGTTTCGAACAACACATTGCCAAATGGTCATGAATTTCTAATGTTTCGCCTTTTTTTTGAAAATGCAATTTTGTGTTTTTTGCAAATTAAATGGTTGAATGATCTCGAGATGAATGAGTATGTTCATCTTTTTTGAACATCTCGACAGTTTAATAGTATTCATTGTAGAGTAACCAAGAAATGCGCAAGTATTTCATTGACTTTATTTCGTCGACCATGTCAGTTTTTTATCTATTGAGTAGTCTTTGTCTATATATGATAATGTTATTTTCTAGTGCTTAATGCTTTCTGAAGACCTTATCTGATTCAATAGTTCTTATAAAAATTTAAATGAAGCCAACAAGATTCTTTATGCGAGTCTGATTCGTGCCAATAGCAATTACAGAAAGCGAGGAGCTTGACCACATCCATCCTCTCTATTTTGTCTTCATATACTTCTCGTCTTTGGTTCATGAGCACTATTGCTAATTACATCCGGACAGAATGAAGAAGCCTGAGGAAAAAAATCGAAAATGAGAGTGAGTGCCAAAGCCATTAGACGAATTAAAGGCGTTGGCGCTTGAAAGAAGAATGGTGTCAGATTCATACTGGAAAGAAAGAAATATGAGCACTAAACTCTTTTCTTCGTTATCTCGAAATAATTATGCGCAAAAATCCGTCAACTCATTTGAAATGGCTCATCGGATAGCACTTCAAAAAGTTTGACCAACAACAATTTAGTGGCAAAGAATTAGTTTAATATCCTTTTTTCAAAGCCCAAACAACATTTTTATTTTACATGGTATTTTATGAAACGAAACGAAACAAAAATATCAATGAATTTCCATGTTCTTAACAATAGTTGCTTCGAAGCAGCTATATTTACATATATTTAAATGTCAACTATTGTTAGCAAATCAATCAAATTCCTAACTTATTCGCATCTGTTGAAGAATCACTGCTGTGGGTTGGGACTATGTTAGTTTTGTGATTATGTACCATAATTTGTTAGTGCAATCACTACGGTCTGCAAGAAATTTAACTGGTCGAATCGAGAAGAGACCTTCGTACTAATTACATCATTTTTAAAAGCTATTCAATTAGGTAAAGCTATTGAATTTTTACCCCTCAAAATTGTTTAAACGTTCGACATTTGGACTTCAAGGCAGACTTTTGCTTCGGCAACTAGAGGCTCCACCCACATGCAAGCTCCGCCCACCTCGAGCTCGGCAGTGACAAAAATGGCAAAGAAAAAGTCATTCGAATTGCATCCACAGCCAACAGAATGCGCGGAATTGTCTTGATTCTTTTGATTTCATTGGTCGTATCCACCTACGCTTATTTGTATGGTATGTTTACTAGCGCTTCATTTTTTCTCTTCATAATTTATCCAGCATTTTGCTCATTCGTCATATTATGTAAATGTAAAATTGATTAAAAAAAAGAAAATTGTCTTTTTCAGATTTTTTGTGCCATTATTTTTTTGATAGGTTTCCCACAAAATGTCATTGTGACAAGAAAAATAAAACGTAATATTATTGGCTTAGAATATTATTTGTTGTCGCTGCGTGGGAATTTTCGAACCAAACATATCGTCACAGTCATATTTTTCTATTTCATTTTTGGTGGGTCGAAAAAAAATTGGCAAGTTATGAGAAAATCAAAATTTTTTTTCACACACATACGTATCGAAGTTCTCATGTTAAAAATCTTTTAAAAAAAATCTTCCAGATCTTATCAATTTATATGAGTGTTTGACCAGATAGAAATGGAAACCTTTTATTTTTATTTTCAGAATATCGTCTAGAATTTGAATAAAACTCTTCAAAAAATGCGAAGGCGTCGTAAAGAAGATTTAGCCTCCATATAGCTAATGAGCCTCGTTTTGGTCCACTTAGCAAAAAAAAAAATGATGGCAATTCCCACATATATAACATTATTTTTCGCATTTGCAGATACAGCTGATGACATGTACATGCCGGATCAGCCAAAACGAAGTCTCGAGAACTTTTGGCGAAACGTGCATCTTCAAATGCCTAATTCGGCAAACTCGCGAGGAGTTGCCGGTGGACAAAAACGTACCGAGGGACTGAGCCGCGCTAGTGCAAACGCCTACTATCGACTCGGTTGATATACTCTTTTATTAAAAAGGCTCTTTTCCCATTTCAAGACGCCCAGCTCCCCTCCATGTTCGTGTATAAATGTGTTAAAGAACGTTGCCCAACTTGTTAGAAATTCAAAAGTGAAAAACGAAATCTATTTTAAAATTCTGTATTGTTGGAGTCGCGCGGAAAAAAAGAATTAAGACTTTAGACGCATTTTGAGACAATAAAGGCATGGTTTGACCTCAAAAACACCTTTGAATGGCTGAAAATATGCGAAAATCGAGAATGAAAAAAAAAAAACAAACACAACGTCAAAAATTTTTATGCTACTTCCGCGGCTAATGAGTCAACTAAAATGTTGACTTTTTCACCAAGCACGCGAACATTCCTGAGAGAACCGACAAACTTTTCGCGAAGATCGAGGTAGTTTAATTGTCGACTTCCGCCTATCTGACGGCCCCCTTAATTAGAATGTTTTGTTTCATCGAGTCATTCCCGCAACGAAATCAATTACCAAGATAAATGAGGCCGTTAGTGTCGAGCCACATGTCTCCCGGCGATGTCACAACAGCCAATAACTTTCTCGAGTCGAGCCATAATTCGCATTTGCGCTCTTTTCTGAAATGAAGTTACAAAAAACTTGTGAAAGACATGTTCTGCATCCAGTTTTTTTCAAACTTCGAGCTAAAGTTGAAATGATCAGACAAACCTTTCAAATCGAATTGTATGCCATCGATTATCAGCTACCGTAATATTTGTTGAAATTGGTTTCAGTTTTTGATCATTTCCCAAGTTGACTGCCATATAAAGCTTGCCTTCTTCGACAAATATTGCCAAAAAATCGGACTCTGGGTCATTTTGGGACCAAGCGCCTTCAAACCAAATGGTTCCTTAAACAATGTAATTTATTGGTTTCCAAATTAATAGCATTCAGTTTCGTCTAGTAAGAGTTCGGGCGTCACCTGAGTCTCAAAAATATTTGCATATATTGTCAAAAACAAGCAACTGTCGGAAATTTGAATGCTTAAGATCAAATTCAGTTGGAATTCTTGCCGTCGGAAGTCGTTTGTCACCGACAAAAGTATATATGTATATAGTATGTAGTATATAGTATGGTAGTATAGTATGGTGTATAGTAGTATATAGTATGTAGTATATATGTAAACGCATATATACAATATCTACGAATATAAAGGAATTCTAGCGAACCCAACTCGTAATTTCAATTAATGAAAATGCTTATTAAAAGAAAATCAAATTAAATACGAACCAAACTCTTTATTTGTCCGAAAATCTATGGAGAAATTGGAGACAATCGAGCGGCTTACGCTGAAATATTTGAGAATCTAAGTTGTTTGAAAGTGAATGAAAAAATTACGCAATTCTTCCGTTGTTGGGCACGGCAATCTCATCATTTTCGTCAATATGTATTTCACGCTCAAACTCGTCCGGAATTTCACGGCAAACGGGTCTTCCACTTCGAGAAAAACAAGTGCCGCTGCATTTCGGACATAGTTTTTCATCAAATTCTAGGTAATCGGGCAGATTTTCACTGGACGCCTTAAACCATTTTTTGCGGAATAATTTCAAATTACTCTTACTTGGTCCAAATTCAGTGGGAACTCGTTAATTCGAATGTCTTGAATTTCACCAACGAAAGGCACATTGATTTTTCTAACTTTTCGGGAAACAATCTGCAGGAAACTGTATCAATATTTTTAGAAATATTTTTCATCAGAATCTTACACTGTCATCCGGAACAAATCCCATAAATATCACGTCATTATGATTAATATCCAAGTGTGAATTTTTACCCTTAATTGGAATATTAATTTCAACATTTTAAGAAGGCAATATACCTTAGTAACATGGTTTTTAACAAAGGTTCCATTTGCATAGAGTGACGCATTTTTTTCATGCCTCTCAAATTTAATACGAGTCCAAGTGTTCAAAGGTAGCGGCTCTCCTCTAAATAGTATTTGCTATATGTATGAAGCTTCGGAAAAATCCAAACCAACTTTAAATATGATAATCCAGACCCAAGATCAAATATAAAGTGTGGCCGGGACTCAATAAGACAGAAGGCAATGAAATCAGATTTCGGATTGTTTGGAATCGTTTGATAAAAGACAAGTCCTGAAAAATAGGGATATGCAACAATTTTTGAGACATTGCTAAATGGGAGCTGTCAAACGGAGTTTGTTTTCAAGAAAACTTTCCGAATCAAATTTTTGAGATCTGAGATTATTTCAATTTTAGAGAGTTTTAATTGTAATCTGAGAGAAATCTCAAAAAATGCCAAAATTATGCCATAATGATTTGGAAATTGATCTCATTTGTCCTTATTTTGTTCGTCGAGGCAACTCCATTTGCCATTGCTTTTTTTGCTTTTTTTCACGCATACCATTTGCCGACTCCGACTTGACAGAAATTTCGTATTTGGCGAATTCTCGGACGTCAATGTTTAAATTTTCAATTTTGAGGAAACTTTTGTTACCAAATTTCAACGTCCGAAACATTGATGGAGGAAAATCTACAATAACAAAATAAAACGACTAGAATCGAATATTTCTTACAGAATTGTTGAAGCTCTTCCAAATCCACAGCATCGTCATCGATCTCCAAAAGACTAAAAATCGCGTTGAGTCGAGAATTCGGAAATTTTCCATCATGACCAATAAATATTTTAGTCATTTTAGAATTATCGAGCCACGGAATTTCATTTTTCTCATATTCCCCATTCAATTTCATCAAAATATGTGTTCGAGACCATTTCAGCTCCAACGCAATAGTAAAAGCAATTATATTTCGAGTTTCTATATGTAGTTGCTTCCCAATTCTGAAATAAACCAACGATTAACCAAGACAATTAGCTTATCAGTAAAAATTGATAAAAATATTCGCATGTGTTTGTAGCAAAATGTACAGCGAGGTTTCGTTGGTGGGTTAATTTTATTTTCGCAACAATTATATGTTGCAAACACAAAATTATAGGAGGAAGGCACCGATGGCTACAAAAAACTCGAATGCAACTGGATTCCATGCTGTATGAGCCAGGAAGATGCCGAAGCGTTCGGTCATCATGTTAGCATATTCATGGTGGCATTGGTAGCATTCGCAACATTTTTTTGCGTTACATTCATTTTAATATTAGTATTTCTACTTGGCTGAACTAATACAAATCAAAAACCAACCTTATCATAATTCTTCTACGTTTGATGAAAATGTGCAAGTCGTTTGCTTGATTTGTACCAACCATGCGCAAAATTGTACCTTCTTCGTTCAATTCATTTAATTTTAAATCCAATTTTAAGCTTGAATTTAAATTCAAGTGTTTCCTGTTGGCAATATAATAATGGTTATTGGCTGTATTCAAGTGTAAATTCCCTAAATTGTTTTTCTAATCAATGAATGGATATATGGAAAATTGCCTTTAACTTTCTTCTCGCACACTCCATTGCTTGTTTTCCAACCTTCTTCACAGTCGCAAATCGTTTTCCTGCCGGGTCGATAAACACACTGCGCGTTTAGCTGAAAAAAAAACGCCGATTTTATAAATCGAAAGGATTTAACATTTTTTTTTTGAAAGTTATCAGCGTTGTGTTAACAGTCTGATCCGTCTTACGTTTTGACATTCCTCGTTATTGCTGCACGGTGAACCAAGGCGACGCTCAACACTCAGTGTGTTCTCACGTGATAAGCGACCAAGCACTTCCAGATTTTCTATATTTAAAAAGATAAATAAGTTCTTTACACGGCTTTTAAACCGTTATCACAAACTCCCATAGAAACCGGCACAATGTCTAATTGATGCTTGCAAGCGAAAATTCTCAATTCGCAAATGTTTGTGTAGGTCGATCCGTCGGATCCGCACACGGTCATATTTGCCACTTAAGCTTTAAACTTGGTGATAATCGTGATATCATGAATTTACCTAATCCCATATTATTTAAATTACAATTTGTGGGACACACACAATCTGGGAAGGATGCGTGTGATTTTACGCACTTTGCTCCGTGATGACAAATTTGAGAATGGCAATCTCGTGGTGTGGTATATTCTGAAGCTAGAACACATCCTGTCGGAGTCATGATCATTCCAGAAGGGCATCTGAAAATGTGTTTAAATGTACGATATAGTTGAATGTGCATGTTTTATGTGTACAAGTTGCATTTTTCACCGAATGCTGGATATCGACATTCACATTTTCCAGTTGTCTGTTCGCAATCAGATCGCGCTGAGCCAAATGAACTACAGCCGCATGCTGAAATTCAATTTTTGGAAAGTTCGCAAGATACTTTCAGTTTTTACGTCTACAGGATAAAGCTCCCTGAGAAATCAAGTGAATTCCATAAAATGACGGGATGCAGTGGTCACATTTCAATCCTCCCACACCGGGACGGCATTTACACTGTCCTTGCTCATCGCAGGTGTGGTCAAATGAGCCAACTCGATTGCATTCACATTTATCTGAATCTGAATTATTCTGGCGAAATAGACGGATCTGTACAAAAACCTTCGATGGTGATTTGTGCTGCGTGGCAATGCGCCATCGGCATTTTTTCAATAGGTATTCCTTTTTTACAAGACGCCGATTGAAGATGACAAGCTGATGGGTATAAAACACCATCCTCGCCACAAATTCTCGAACTCGCCGGTGGATGAAGTGGGCAATTGTACGAGCAAATACACTCCCCATCCCTACATTCTTCACCATACTGGCATTGTACATTAACGCAGGCATCTGAACATTCTAATTGAGATAGAGTTACGCAATTTCACCAATACCACATTTTCCTTTGAACGCAACAACGATAAATCGCTTCTGATGGCAAGCTGCCTTACGTAAATGACATTCACTAGAATATGTCACTCCGTCAGTACCACAAACTTCTAATTGGGCTCCCATTTTTTTAGTAGGACAATCATCTGGGCACCGGCATTCAATCGCTCTATTACTTGCTGCAATACAAGTTGAATAAAACTCGCACTTCGCATGCTCACATCCTTCTGAAAATCATATATTTATGGCATTTCTAGAGTGAAACGAACCACAAACTGAATTGTATTTCACAAAAATATCACGTTGTGTCAAACAAGCCGCTCGACGAAGTTTACACTCATTTGCATATGTTTTTCCATCGCTGCCACAGACTTCTTTTAGCTCGTCATTGCAGTTCGGACAAGTGCATTTTGGCTTGCCATCGGTTATCTCGCATACTTCCGGTTTCTTACATAAATTAAATGTGGCGCAAGCTCCAACTCCGCAGGTTCCGTGATGCTTTATTCGCAAAGTTGTGCGAGTCTCACAGCTCTTTTTCCTCATTAAACACTCATTTTCGAAAGTCTCGCCATTCTAAACGGGATCAATTATAAAGAGAAGGTTATTGAAATAAAATCACCGTAGCGCAGACAGGCCTCATTAGCTCTTCACATTTCGTCTCACACTCACAAACCGCATCATGTCCGTTCTTTATTTGGCATCGCGACCAGTAATCGCATTTCAGTTTCTCACACGGACTATCAATTTCTTTAAATAGAATTATGCCGTGGAAGCTTTTTTAGGGGCGTTACCATCACACTTTCCCTTCATCCAAACTTGAATGTCAGATTGTTGCTTGCACGCAGCAAGTCGAAGAATGCAATCATTTGTGTACCTCAAAACAAACATGTTTGATGAAGAAAAAATCAACTATTACGTTTTTCCATCTGTTCCACAGACCGGCGAATAATCAAGAGGACATTGCTCGCTGCAACGACATTCCGGCCTTCGATCCTTTCCAACTTGGCAAATCAACCCATGTGGACATTTATGGTCACTGCATGGGTCTGCAATATAAATAAAACCAGTATTTCAAAAATAAATTTGCAAGCCAACCGCATCGACCATAGTATTTTACTGTAATATTCGTATTAGATTCACACGCATGATAACGTAGATGACATGCAGATGGATAATCAACCCCGTGTGACGAACAAACTTGCGATGATTCCACAGAATCACCATAGTTTGGACATTCCTTAGGGCAGACACATTTTGCCTCGAGAATTCCATTAATCTGAAAAAATAGAGTAACGAACATAGGAAAAACTGATCACCTGATTAACCACACATTCCTCTCCAGGTCCACATCTTAAATCCTCACAAGGGTTCCGTTTCTCTTAAAGAAAAAAATTAGTTTGAAGAATTACTTTTTTGCTTAGTTATTTTATTAACCTGCTGGGTATCGATAACAACTTTTTACCAGATTTACTACAAATACTAAGAACAGAAACGGATTTCGCTTGAATCGCATTCTAAGAGTCGAAATAATCCAACGGGTAATGGAACTTTTATGGAGCCAACATACATCTTCCCAAATGAAATTGAATTTAAATTCAATTTGATTGACAAACCGAGCAGCTTCTCGTCATTTATAGGATTTTCTCATTTTTCCGCTCTTGAAAATCCTGATGTGTATGTAATCATATATTTATAAACACTTTGAATTCTCACATCATTTACAATACGGATTATTATATGTGAGAGTGACTTGGTATTTGTGTTTCGGTCACTTACTACACGCTCCTTTTGAGGCAACTCGCAGTCTGATGCCTTTTTTAGTCAGCATACAAGAACGAACGGATAGATGGCAAAGAGAAGAATACGAGACGTTGTCGTTGCCGCACACAACGTCGTTTCGAGCTCGACAACGTGACTTGCACTCGCATGTGCCCGTGGAAAGATTACATTTTGAACCAAACGGGCACAGAGAACTTTCGCATACAGCTGCAATAAAGATGAATTAAAACTTATAATGAGGAATACATATTTTATTGGAAGTTTTTGTTAAAGCTGTTTTTCAAAAGTGCGTTACGCTTAATTTCATCATATACAGTTTGGGGAAATTTTCTCAAAAGAATTGACTAAAATTAGCCAATAACCAGTTCTCGATTTTTCGGGAAGAATTTTCAAAAATGCGTTTTAAAGGTGCGCTACCCATCTGTTGTCAATTACCATTGTGTGTGTACTTACTTCGTTTTGTCTTGCGTCGCTTGCGATGAGCATGACCTGCAAACATCAATGGGCATGCTCATTAATTAATTAATAGTTGTGCAACACTCGCAAAACAAACCAATAGACAAGGTGTGGAGGGCGTCAAGAGTTACAAGATTCACACGGATGAGCGGCGCTTCCAAACTGAATTGGCCTTGCCGGGATGACATGATAAATACTCGGTATTCATCACGGAAAAGACGATGAGGACATAACTGAAAAACACTTATTATCAAGGACTAGGAGGCGATGCCTATTATTCAAATTTTGGTGATATAGTCATATAATCATTTTCGATTTGATCGAGTATGAAATCATTGAAAATTACAGTAGATATCAAAGCAAAAATTTTGGCGATTTCGCGCTAAGATTTAAGATCTAACGCGTTAGATCATTCAAATTTGTCCAATTCGTTCATTTTCGACTATATTTGAACTATTTTAGTAGAAGTAATCAACAGTTTTTAAATTTACAAATATCAATAGGGTTATGAATGGAAAGTTGGCCATTAATGAAAACTTCAGAAAATATATGAACGAAATGATTCATACCTCTACTTCCATTATGTTCCTAACATTAATTGATTTCAGTCCATCAATATATTCGTAGCCTTTAAAGACACGTTTTGGCAGAATGATCAACTTTTCAATATGCATCGTCTCCGATTGATAGACAATTCCTTTAATGGAAGCCGATGCCACTATATCGGCATTTTTCATTGCGCCGTACAGATATGATCTAAAAACATCAAAATTTTTCCTGGTAGAACATTCTAGGCCATTCGTAATATACCTGGTAATCCGTGGTCTCGAACAATTAAAAAAGGCATTCGTGAATTGAAAAAATTGTAATATAAGAATAAGCTTGAGCATTTTTATTGTGCAAACATATGAGTTCGTGTCGGGATACAAAAAATTGTAAGACGAATAAAGCGAGACTCAAATATAATTGGGCCGAGTTCACCGACAGTTGCTAGTGTCCACCTGCCTGCCTTGTTTATTATTTGACCAATACTCCGTCTCGGCTTGTTGGGCATTCAACCATGTCGAAGGTGGCAGGAGATTTAGTCTACTACATTTTAAAGAGTAGAACGATAAAAAAAGCAAAATGACATTTTATTTTGCAAAGAAAAATATTGTGGAGGATGTTCATAAAAAATTTTCGATCGGAGCAGGCTAAAGACCAGCCTATCAAGGATAGTAAAAATCGAATCGAAAATTATACCAATTATTAATGTTACTCTTTTCATTTTTAAGCCAATTTTATTTCTAAACCGATGTAAAATTGAAAACATAACAATTGGGCGTAGAAGCGTTGCACAGATGGGAGATAAAAAGTGGTGGTAGAATAGCAAGAGTGAGGATTAAATAGTCAGAGAAGTTTCTAACAGACCTAAATAGCTTGTCCCCCCCCCCTTTTTTTTTAAGATAAAAGAGCGCATGCTTGAATTCCCCCGAGGCGGTGATTAATAGTTTTCTGACGAATTTCACTAATAAGCTAATTGTTGGAAGATTCGTATCAGCCACAAAAACGACTTCATAGTTTTATTTAACATTCAACAGTGTGTTCCAATGAATTCGTCGATTTGCAACAAAGTATTTCTAATCTATTTTATATCTCTAATCCGTAATTTCAGTTGTCTAACATAGCATTCTACTGGCCATTCCAATTAGTTCAAGTAGTGTATTCTACTTTAGCCATAATAACATTGTTCCTTGTGATCCATTTCTTGAAGAGATTTATATGGAATTCAACGTTCCACCCTACTTTTAAGGTATACACTCTTTTATGGCAAACGAACAATCCAAATCGTTTAGTGCTTAATATATATATATTTCATTGCCATTTTTTTCCAGCAATTTTTCTATTTTCTAAATTTCGTAAGTAAAATTCCATAATGAATTTTAAAGCATAGAGTTGTTAAGGTACTGCTTGTTAGGCGAATAATTGAATATAGAGATGCATGTGATATTCTTATTTCAAACGTACCTTATAAGCTTCTGCACGCACCACTTGCTATCAGTTTATTCATGGGATCAACTTCGCAAGTAATATAAAACTCATTTTTGTAAAATTACCAAACTTTTCTTGTTGTCTGCGTATTTTGGTGTTTTCGAAGTTACGTGGTTGTCGACATTTTTATAAGTGTAAAAAAATTCCAGTGGCTTTGCGTTAAACTAAAAATGTAAATTTAAAGCGCATCCCCTTTTTCCAAAAAGCGGCTACCTAAATTTTTTACTGCAAAACCTTCTAGTTCAGACGTCTTGCGGTTCACGATTCTATAGAATATTCTGATTAGGACATAATATATGAAAAAGTAATTAGTAACGTACGCGAACCGCAACGTCGTAATAGAACAATTACGGTAGCTGCGGGTTTTTTGAGAAACAGACTATACCTTCACGTTTTTGGAATTTAGCCAATTTTCCATAGTCATGCGACGTCGACAATAATTCTGAGTAATATATGTTTAGCTATTGTTTTAGGCATGAAGGATTCCAGTAACCTAAATGTATTAAAATTTAATATACAGTGCGCTGCATGATTATAAGGGCACTCCCGAATTTGAGCGTAATGATTTCGATATTTTGAGACCAATCAGTGCCAGCTTTTGTCGAAGTTTAGCTTCTTCTTGATGTCATTTGTAGACTTCATACTGCTCGAAGCTGCTCGAATCAATGCTCGATTAGCGTGATAGTCCAGTTTTCCTTTGGCGCCTGACATTTGCGGCGTGTTAGCACGAGTTATATCCTTCACAAAGATGTCTACGAATGTTTTCGGACTATTTAAATTCTTCGCAACCTGACGGTTCGACGATCCTGCCGTTTTGAATGAATGAATCTGAGGTTGCTCAGAAGCACTAAGACAGCGACCACGTGCCATTTCAAAATGATTCAAAAAGAAAAAATAAGGACCGCTGTAGGTTCTCAAAGCCACACAACAATTTTTATGCGCACTGGTCCCGCCACAGTTTCACAAAAATGCGAAAAAGTCCGTCACATGGGGGTGGCTTTATAATTCTGAAGCGCTCGAAAAAACGGTTTTGGACTACTACGCGGTTACTTTTGAAGATATTATCATAAAAAAAAATTTTGAAAAATTCGAGGGTGGCCTTATAATTCTTCAACGCACTGTATAGCAAAATAAGAATTCACAAATTTATTCCGTTTCGGGTTGTTTCCTTCTATACAGAAAAAATTAAATCATGAATTATTGAAATATACAGTGTCAATTTTTGCAGCTACAAAAAGGCACTCTCATTTTTCAGACCGCACTAGTTTTTGAGCGTCTTCTGGCTACCATTAAATATAAGAAGTATGAAAAATACCATTCGCCATATATTCTTTTGTTTTCAACAATTTTCGTAAGTGCGTAGCATATTTAACCGTAGTTGACCATACTTATTTCAGACAGTAATCATCCCCTGCATCGCATTCCTTGGTTTTTATCAAAACTGTGACTACGGTCCTTCTATCAGTTTTGTCTCTTCGCCCGTTTGCGAAAACGGTGGTTATTCAGCCACTTTCAAACTATCGTTCTTTTTAACTATGCTTGACTTTCTCGCTGTACTTTATGCGAGATTTATGAACCAAAAGTTGCAGAACAAGTATCTTAACGTTTATACACAATATGAAGGGTTTTTAAGGGTCGGTTTCAATCTTTCAAGTCGATTTCAGTCAATAGAAAACATATCAACAACTGAATACGTTACTCAAATACTCATAACTAATCTTTTATTGTCAATGATATCCCGAGGAGTTCCATGGATTCTTCAAATTTTTCAGCTATATTTATCAAACAAACCATTTGTAGCATTTTTCCGAAATATTTGCTATGTAACGAAATTTTCAAAATTTTCGAAGTCGAAATTTTTCAGCTTCCTCCAGTCAACGGTTTCCTCGTCTCAATCATCTCGATATTTCAAATTTCAAATTATCGAAAACGCCGGTCTGACGGTCTGAAATAGCTGAAAATATTGTTAGAATGCCTGCAAAAGGACAAGAAGGCTTTCAAATGTATTCCACGATTCTCAACAATCAATGGAATCGCAATTAATACATATGCCACATTCTTCCTTTATATATATATATATATATATATATATATATGTTATATATATATATATATGTTTATATATATATATATATATATATATATATATATATATATATATATATATATATATATATATATATATATATATATATATATATATATATATTATATATATATATATATATATATATATATATATATATATAAACATTAATTCGTAACATTATTTTTTTCATTTTTTTAATGTTAAAATCCCACGTCATTTGAATATTTTCGGAAAAATTTATCCTTAATTATTAATGATGATATTTTCCGGGAAATTAAGGGGCGGTCGAAAAATAAAAATAGGGGTTAAATTTTGGGGTGGAAAATCAGGGGTAGGGGTTCAAAATTGGGGGTTGATGGCAATGGGCCGGTAAAAGAATGATTAATAACAACAATAAGTTTACATCAAAACAATAAGAATGTGAACAGAAACAAGTGAATTTCATATATGACCTAGCCTCTCCAATCAGCATATTGTCGGCGTCGAACGACTGAAGCGAGGCGAAGCCTTCAAATTCGCGAAATCAGTGGATTTAAATGTTTCGTTGACTGAATATTAAATGCGCGTACGCTTAAATAAAGGTACGCAATTTAACGTACTTCTGAATGCCTTGAGACGCATTGGCACATTGCCAATAATTTGTTAGCTAATGGCACAAAATGAAGTCGTTAAGTTTCTAAATGGAGTGAGCTGAAAATGACGTTGCGGCCTTGTGCATTTGATTTGACAACAATCCACGTGTTATTAATTTGTTTTTCTACGCTACCAATTAGCCCTAGGTTACAAATTTTTTAATTAAGAGTCAATCTCAACAATTAGTCAATTACTTTAATTGAATTTTTTATTGCATTGATCATTTTGTATGTGTATAATAACACGAACAACAACCAGTATTGTTGAAGCACCAGCAAAAGGAAAATAAATCCCGAAATCATATTCAACAATTCTCAAAAACAAGACTTCATCAATATTGCATGCAATTTATTTTTGAAAATTCAAATTTACCCGTTACAATTGAAAAAAGCTGTTAAGTTTACGCAGTATTAGAACTGTTAGGTCTTGATGAGAATCCTCCAAGAGCATCTAAGTTGCTCGCAAGTGCCAATGGCGGAGATTCGCTCTTCTTCCCAAGAATCTTGATGTAGTTCATAGGAACTAGGCCAATTTTCGAGCCATCAGCCGAACTGAAAAACATTTTTTGAATCATGTAGGGTAGCGAGGCAAATTGTTTCGATAAGACGCTACATGCGGAAGATTTTTCAGAAGTCTTTATTTTTATTTTTCTTCAAAATATTTCGGCACAAGAAGGAAACGTTTTTTTTTATCCGGAAAACTGCCGAAATATCTAAATAGCGGAAAATTGTCAAGCCCTTGTGTGAATACCTTGCCAACAACCATCCACGAACTCTCGGCTGCTCTTCCTTAGGGGCCACACGAAGCGTCTCACCATTCATGAAACTAAGCTCTTGATCATTCGATGCTTGAAAGTCGAATTGTGCTAGAGCTGTGTAATGAGCTCCAGTTCCCGTAGCCCATTTACGTTTTTCTTCGGCAGCTTGTACCATTTGGTTCACGCATTTGTAAATGAGCCAAGGTCCTACAAAATGCTAGCTGTACATATAAAGGATAATGTCGACATCGCGCGGCTGCGAAAAATTGGCTTTCTATCACAGTTTTTTTTAAATCACGATAATTTATAATTGTAACGATTTTATTATTTTAATCCAAGTTGTTTGATTTCGGTTTCTCTATTATGGTTAAAGACATATAGTAAAAATGTAAAAGTTTTGTTTTGAGAAATATGCATAGTGCTAGATATTTCGATAAAGGTCATAGTGCGCTTTTAATCGACACTTTTAGTGTTGTACCACGAGCACTTCCATTGTTTTTTGATATTTAGCAAGTCAATTTACTGATTTTTGCGATTTCATTTGGAAAAATCCACGGACCCCACGATTTCGACACCATAATTTTTACCTCCAATAGCAACAATCCAGAATAATGCTGCTGGCCAGTTGACGACGTTCGTTTTACTTGCACCCAGCAGATCAGAAGCTAAAAAAGGAAAATATCGAATGGAATAATCAAAAATATGTCTATTTTTTCTTTTTTACTTGCTCTGCATTATCTCACGGCTTTTTTTTTCTAATCGATGAGCATGCACACGCCAGAAAAAGGAAAACAAGTTCAAAAAGCCTATTTAAATTTCTTAATGATAAAAGTACCATATGGTTGCGCAGCGTCTCCCCAAGCCAATTCCGCAACACTTGCATAATTCGCCGGCTTCAACTTAAGCATAACCAGCAGCCATCTCCAGAATCGTTGAATCCAGCGAAATAAAGCAAACGACACGATTACAGATGACAATTGATTTTTGAGACGGCCGAATTGCTCCACCACCCCAATGACCGCTCGAAATGAGCTGTATACAGCGTTATGTGTCGAATTGAGCATGTTGGCCACAGAAGAGACAGCGTTCACAACAGATTCAATGGATTGGAATGCGCCTCGTGATTGTTCCTCAGCAAGGCGGGCGAAATTACTTTCTGAATTGTGCCCGTATCCATAATGATTGTTGAATCCTCCATAACCCATGCCACTGTACATTGCTGGGCCTCCATACCTATAAAACCGTTTTGTTGACGTAACGCGGTTACGGAAAATTAGGTGAATATCCCAAAATTTAGGAAAAGCCTATCCTTATACTCAGGCCCGTAAATCTATAAATTGTTTCGTGCCAAGATCACTGCCATTGTTTTTTGGCGTTATCTGATTTTCCTTGATTATTATTATTTTTTAATTTAAACCTGAATGAGCATTTAGATATTCAGCTAACTTAAATTTTTAATTATTGGGCCATTTAAAACGTGAAATATCCTTACATTCCTCCCATTGGTGCGTAGCTGCCCATTCCACCAAAACCGCCAAATCCAGCGCCGCCCATCATAGAGTTCATCATGGTTTGCTTAAAAAATAATTTTTTCGTCTTTAAACCATTAACACATTACCTCGATAGGTCTTGGAGGCAACGGCGGTGGTTGCGTTGACATTATTTTAACCAGAATTAAGACAATAAATAATCAAAAGAAGATGAAGAGAGAAGATGGGCACGACTGCTATCTAGTCAATATGGTCGATTGATAAGAAGACCTTATTGGCTACACTATAGCTTACGCTGTTAGATTTGATTTTATTGCGGCAAACACACAGATATAATTTAAATAAATAAATACAGAAAATTATTTTCCTCGATCCCCGCCGCCACGATGTCCTCCGCGTCCACCACCACGATGCCCTCCGCGTCCTCCTCTCGATCTCTGCTGGTCTCTTTGCTGACGACGTACTTCGTTGACCTCGTTTTTTACTAGATCCACAACCTGAGATTGATCAATAAAAATAAAACAGTATTATCTTCTACGAATAAATTTGTTGCTATTGCTTCACAATAACCCAGCGCTGATAGTTCTCGGTGATATATTTTACCCGCGCGTGTCATAACTCATTTTTACCGAGCAACCGACTCCTTAACATTTAACAATATACCCGCAGGGAGAAATTAAAAAAAAAAGAGCTCCTCCCCACCACACAGATCAAAAGACGAGAAATACATAATTCTATACCAACGATTGCCCTCTAGCGTTAAAAAATTTGTACGAGGCGATTTGGACTCGCAATAATTCACGCTTTTGGATGCACCTCAAACATATCTGAAACTATAGTGCAAAAATGTTTTATTTTCGAAATTTTATATAAAATTGTTTTAATTCTGTGCGTCGAGCACCACCGAAAATTTAAATAAAAAATAACTCGCTTACGGATTCAGGAATTCGAAGATACTTAATAGTGGAACCACGAATGTAGACCTCTGTCATTTTAAAAAACTTGTCACCATCCTGAAATTAATTAGATTTGGAAAATAAACTAAGCGTTTACCTTTGATGTGAAATAGACATCACGTAGATGGATATTCATCCAGGAATCGCACGCTTGGAGATGCCCGTTGTATGTTTCACCGTTCTTAAGCTCGACAAGCATCGGATGGTTCTGAGCTGTTCGTAGAAGAGACAACGGGAGCTTAAAACAAATTTAAAAACTTCTAAAGAATAATTTATTTACATACCACCATTTTTAACAGTATACTGAGGATCGAATTTTCCTGAAATCTTTAATTTAATATATATATATATATATATATATATATATATATATATATATATATAATCTCAACAAACTCATCGGGTGAACAGGGATTGTATGTGTTTTGTGAATTAATTTTGGAGAAAAAGTGGCACAAAGAATTTTTAAAAAATTGGTTGCTTTCCTTGAACAGGTGTAGCAGTTTTTAAGTTTTTACACGCTTTCTCTCCAACGGGGGCCGCATGCACAATGCGATTTCCGCCGGAATCCATGGGTTTAAAAAATTCTAATTCCCGCGGAAATCGCGCATTGTGCATACGACCCAGAATTGCCGAGGTTTTAAATCGTTGCGCGACGAAAGCGCTAGTGACATGTCCTTGGCGCATTTCAAGTAGCGTCCATAATATTAATATAAATACTCTATTTATGCCGTTTTTTGGTTATTTGAAAAAGCAGATGATGGTCACGATAATTAGTCAGGGTTTTTTGCAGGATGCCCTCATTTAATGCTTCAACGTCAAACCAGGAACCTATAGTGTGCTTCAATTGCACCCTGCAAATTCAAATGACAGTTCATATAAAATGTGCAGAATGTACATCCTCCGTATGCATTCCGGTAATATTTTAATATTTATTCATTATACAAACTGTTTTTAGTGTTTCCAATTTGGAGCGGAAAGCACAAAGCACAAGCGTGGTCATAATTATGAAGTAATTGATCCTAATGTAACGGGAGCCGGAAATCAATTTGGATGGGGTTACTACGAGGAAAGTCGGTTGCTCAAAACCGCTCACCAATTCAAAATGGGGAATTGGGGAGAGATTGTACAATCGTTGGATAATTATCGTGGAGCACATGAAGCGCAAGAATATTTTGATAAAGTTTTTGTGCGCGGTTGGATGGGTCAAGTTGCTATTAAAAACAGCGAGTGGGATAAAATTAAATCAGAACTAATGAAGAACGGAAGTATAACGAATGAACTGAAGTCTGGAAAAGCAGATATTGCAGAAAGGTTCGTGGATTTTTCCAAACTTCTAAAATGTGTTTTTCCAGACTATTGTTCATCCGTGACGCTATTCTAGACGCTAATTTTAATATTGATGAGAACGATCCAAGGTTCATGTCGAAAATCCAACATTTACTTGAAGATTACGTAAAGCGTTGTCAAAACAAGGAAATCAAATTGAAATATGAGAAAAACAAGACGATTCCTGTTGAAATCGATACCGAGCTGAGCTTTGACGAATGCGATCCAGATGAAGACTTTTATAAGAAGGGTAAAAACGAGGACACTGAGCTTGAAAGTGATGCAGACTGTACCCCCAGCCTAAAAAAGGTGATATATAACTATATTAAATTATATGACAGATTTTGGGAAAAATAACTAAAAAAAAAACTGGATAACGCCTTGGTAAAAGTAATTTTTTGCAATGTGCATGTGGTTTTTATTGTTTTAACCGGTTTTTGAATTGTTTTCCAATTCCGCACAGTAACCTAATAATTTTTTCAGAAAAAAGCAGAAAAATCAAAACAGAAGAAGACCAAACAATTCTCTAGAATTGATCATGAGAGCAGTAGTGATAGCGATGCTGACGTAAATAATGATGAATTTGGATCTCCTAGAATCCACGGATTGGACCTGGAGGATGAGGAAGATGAGGAATTTCAACAATACGAGAGTGCCTGTGAAGATATCGATGACGAGGATGTCACCGAAACTGAGAGAAAACCGGTGAAAAGTCGATCTACGAAAAGGAAAAAACGAAAGAGATTGTGGAGATCCAAAAAGCAAAGAAGGCTGACCGCGTATAGGGGCAAAATGACCAGAGAAAGTAGAAACCGCGCCAAGGAGCTTGAAATGCTCAATGAAATCTGTTCGTTAGAGGAAATTAAAGATCTTCGAAATCTGGATCCCCAGCTCGTACTCACTACAAACACCTCTGTTACTGTTGAAAAAAGCCGATTCAAACCGGATGACTTGTCAATGGTTGGATACAACGTGGATCGAGAAGAATTTGAGCATGAATGGTACGTATTGTTTTTCTATTTTCCTTAATAAATACAATTTCATAAAGGTTTAACGATGCTGAGCAGCTTATTAGCAGACTGATCATCACACCAGCAACTGCGGAAAAAGATAAACTTTTGGATATTGAGAACGATATTAAATTTGCGCGCCTTCAAAATTACATTCGAATTTTGGGAATCAGAAAAGCCAAAAGGTAGAGAATTTGAACTGTAAAACGTTAAAATACGTGAGATTTCTTTCAGAAATTGTATTCTCGAACACGATAAAATTAACGAGTTTTTCGATTTTTTGCGGCAAATGACTATTGAGAAAAAGAAAACGGCCTGCGAAATAATGAATGAGCGAAGCAATCTAGAGCAACTTCTCACAAGATGTCAGCAATTCCTAACTAAAGAAGAATACAGAACTTTGACAGAGTGTTTGGAAAAGGCCGATGGACTAATGGAAAGAATAACTCAACTTCAAGCACTACAAAAAAATGGTAAGCTAAATGCTTTTATCAAAAGGATGAGGAAAATATTTCAGGAGAAACTACTTTAAAAAATGCACCAAACATTCTTTTTTGTGTTAAAAAGTCGAAGAAAAAACGTAAAATTGATTTGGAGCGGACAAGACGGGCTGGTCAAGAATGGTATAGATATAAAAAATGGCATAATTCGACCGTATCTGACAACTAATGTATTTATATAATAAAGTATGCTGAAAAAACTGTTTTTATAAATAACATCACATTTTTTCGATATTTTTTCTTCGCACGCCTAGAAGCTGTATAATATTCACTTAAAATATTGAGCTTTTCAACGAATCACCAAGACGATCTATTCACACTTTCTTGTTAATTAACCATTTTTTACAGTTTCGGCGTCTTACTCTTAGCCTTATCCCGGAATTCGAAAATTTTGAATTACACGGCCTGCTATTTAATGGGTTTATGGGCCCATCACCCAGCATAATTAATGTTCATAAATAAATATTCTCTTTCATATCACATTATGATTATCAGAAAGTTCACAACGTACTCCCAAGAGTTTTTCATACGGGTAAATCTTGGAAGCATGTTCATAATTCAAATGAATAGGCACACAAAATTAGACAATATTACAATATTTTCAACTTTGTTACAGAACGTTTTCCCTCATTAAAACGTTCTCAATTATTCTTACATGGCACTAAAATCCAAACAATAATGGAATGTTCGATAAGAAGGAGGCGCAGACGGTCAAGGACGCGTCGAAGTGGCAAGGTTGCGTATTTTTCATTTCTGTTTTCCAATCCATTCACCTTCTATTTTCGGCTACTCATTTTCTTTGAAACTGAGTTGCGAGATGACTAGAAACAAAAAAACACGAGATAATGATCAATCTGACAATTTGAGTGATGCATCTTCTTTCTTGTTGCGCCCTACCCCTTTACTCAACTTACACCCTCCCCTTTTAATTTTTCGTGCATTCTACCGTTCCCAACTAAATGACATCGCCGGAGATAATTGGCGCTTCAGTCGCAGACTTTTTCGGTATTTGCAAATATCTTGAGGCAATGTTATATTATTTCCCTTCTTGCATAATTTTGCAGAAAAGCCGCGCCGCGGATCATTCGTTGTGACGAATATCGCGAGCGATGGGCTCACCGCGGTCGCAGTCACAAACCCGAATCGAAGGTCGGATATTTTGCGCGTTTTTCTTGAGTCTCGGTTATCTAAATGAACATTATATTTCAATTTGATCATTGAGAAAAAAAAATCAAAATAATTTCTTAGATTTCAAATAATGGATGATGAATTAGCTGAAAAAAATGGTGACGTAGCAAGAATTCGAGAATTTCATTCAAGAACGACAGCTCTGGAGGTATTATGAATTGTATTATGAATTGTATTTATAAAATTGTTTAGACTCTTGAAGATTTTACTTTACATGGGAAAACTTTCGCCATTACTGGAACCACTTCAGGCATGAAAGTTATAATTTCGTAATTTCGTTTTTTCATATTTAGGAATTGGGCGGGAAACAGCAAGAGCTTTAGCCTTAAAAGGAGCACATGTGGTTATGTTTAACCGAAATATTTTACTTTCCGACGAACTAAAAAAATCAATTACTGACGAAAAATCAGATGCAAAAATTGATCTAATCACATGTGATTTGAATTCGTTGCAATCGGTGAAAGCAGCAGCTGAAGAGTTTCTTTCAAAGCACTGGCCTTTACACGGTCTAATTTTAAATGCTGGAGTTTTTGCCCCAAATCAAAAACGAACTTTCGATGATTTCGAAGCTCATTTTGGAATCAATCATCTGTCTCACTTCTTGGTAAATATTGAACTTTTAATCGATATGCTAACGTATTGTACAAAATCTATGAATTTATTATTATTATTAGTTGGTCAAAGAACTCCTCCCTGCTCTGCGGCAATCTGCGCCATCAAGAATTGTATTTGTTTCCTCAATTTCCAGTGGACATACTGGGGTATCAATAAATTATTTTGGTATATTGAACACCAAACATGTTTCAGATAAAAGAAAACATGACCTTAGAAGAGAAGCTGACGAAATTATGCCCATCAGATCACAATGAATTTTCTTACAAGTAAGCTATCCCGAGAATATACCTATATAATAACAATGTAGGCTATACGCTTATTCAAAAATGTGCAATGTTCTTACGGCATTCAAACTACATCGAGATGAATACGTTGGCAACCACATAAGTACCTATGCGGTTCATCCAGGGACGATGATTGGAACAGGTAAAATTATCATTGCTAAAGGTGCAAGTGAAAGATAAGACTTGCAGACATTTCCCGGGGGTTTGGATTACTTGGAAAAATATTCAATGTAGTTTCTCGTCCATTTACAAAGAATCTCGAGCAAGGCGCAGCTACGTCAGTATATTGTGCCGCTCATCCCGAAATAGCGGAGATCTCCGGAAAATTCTGGGAATCATGTTGGGATGATGAGAAATCGCTTGATGCTGATCTGGCCAGAGATATTCGACTACAAGACGCACTATGGGAGCATAGCGAAAAACTCATCGAGGATTGGATGAATTCGCAGAAACCGATCTCGATGATTGCCGGAGATACAGCATCGCTTACGGATTCTAATTTGTGAGGGATTCCGGGAAAAATTAATTTTTGCTTAATGTGAATAATTTCTCTAAATAACATTCTGAAATGAAATCGAGGATGCGGCAAATTTTTTTTCGAATAAAAAATTGATTGGGATGGGAGGGTCCGACGATGGTGCAATATTGGGTGAAGATGTCATTGATTATTGTCGAAGTCAAACGACTTGGCGAAATTTAAAAAAGTTAATGGCTATGTGCCAATGCGTCTTGAGGCAGCGAGAAGTACGCGAGACTGCGTACATTGCATTATAGTATACGCGCATTTAATATTCAGTCAACGAAACATTTAAATCCACACTGATTTCGCGAGTTTTGTAGGCTCAGCCTCGCTTCAGTCGTTTGACGCCGACAGCACAACAGCTGGAAATCAATAAAACAACGTTCCTCTAAAATATTTTGCTACATGTATTATGTTTTATGAAATACTGTACAGATATGAAAAAGTACAATGAGAGATATTACCATTGCAAAAAAAAAACCTCTGGATAACCTGTGAAGCTAACTCACCGTAAATCGGCGCACGGTGCTCGTTTTTTTGCGAATGTAATACAAAAAAAATATTCTTCAAAACATTTCTCGATAAACATATATGAATTAATTCACGTCGTGCATTTTTATTTTGCAAGCGAGCATAAAATCGACGTTGCAAATTGGCCGAATTCTGTAAGTGAGAACTATTGTCACAATTTGGCTAACATACCAAGTATTGGCGATGTGTCAAAATCCACGAGGCAGAAAGAAAACTGCGGACATCTCTGTTTAAAAAAACCTAAAACATTTATTTGATTTTCCTCACAATGAGATGCAAAGACGAATTCATATTCTAGAATATGGGCACACCGAAAGATTCTAAAACAACCGAGCAGATTCTAGCCAATGAACCATGGTATCATGGATTGCTACCGAGGGAGGATATGAAACAGCTTCTCAAAGAGAAGGGCGACTTTCTGGTCAGGTTCACCGATCCTAAAGTCGGCGAGCCGCGAATGTTCGTATTATCGATATTCGTATGCGATCCTCACGACGATGGTGTAAGTGTATTCCTGAAAAAATTATTTATTAATATTTTCAGCAGTATCTAATAGATTTTAGATCCATACACATCTGTTTTCGGTTTCAGATACGTCATTACGTGTTTCGACAAGTTCAGGGAAAGTTCGCTCTCGATGAAAAATGGTTTGACAGCATAGCCGATCTTCTAAACTATCACATGCGCACAAAAGAGCCTGTTGCGTCGAAAGCTCCCGACACTGTATTGATGAGGCCAGTTGGACGTGAGCCATGGGAACGGCAGCACAGCGATGTGACAATGACAAAAGTGCTGGGCGAAGGGGCGTTTGGCGAAGTGCACATGGGCGAAGTTAAATTGGGGAAAAAGACGAGAAAAGCGGCAATAAAATTAGCGAAATTAGAAAGTCTTACAAAGGAACAAATCAAGGAAATAATGCATGAAGCTCGTCTGATGCGCAGATTTCATCATCCAAATGTAGTCCGTTTTTATGGAGTCGCTGCCGGACAAGAACCCCTTATGGTTATAATGGAACTGGCTGATAACGGAGCTCTTGATTCGTATCTCAAAAAAAATGGTCCAAATCTGCCTATCGAGAAAAAGCACGAGATGATTCAACAAGCTGCTGCAGGATTGGATTATCTACATGGATTGACTGTTATCCATCGAGATATTGCTGCAAGGAATTGTCTGTATGGAGAAGGGCAAGTGAAAATATCAGATTTCGGTTTATCCAGAGATGGGTCAATGTACAAACTAAATCCACACAAGAAGTAATTTTCTCATTCTCGTTTAATTCTGTATCTAAAAATGTATATATAAGAATTCCAATCCGCTGGCTCGCTCCCGAAGTCCCCCGAACGGGTTATTATACATTTAAAACCGACGTTTTTGCATATGGAATAATGTGCTGGGAGGTTTATCATGACGGCGAGGAGCCGTATTCGGGAATGATGGTCGCCGAAGTACTACCGAAAGTGCAGGAAGGATACAGAATGCCTTTCAAATCTGAAGTTCCGAAAGATGTGGTGGAGTATATTACTGTAAATAATGTTTGCGTCCATTTTTATTATTTTTAATATAATTTTCAGAATCGCGTATGCGCTGGTGAGGATTCAGAGCGTGTCACAATGACAAACGTTGTCCAGGATTTACCAAAAATAACTGGTGTAGAATTGACAAAGCCGGTAGATGATGATTATTTTTCGATTCCGAATTCTAAAACCATGGAAGAAGTTACTCCAATAGTTGAAATTCTTCCGGCAATGAGTTATCCGGTGCCACCGCCAATTAGAGAATCACAACATCCCAGTGCGGAAGTGACGTGCACTGAAAACGTTGAACAGCTGACGACTGGTCCAACGACAACGACCACCAGAAAACTATCAAGAGAAAAATTGTCACGTGAAGCACTAACAAGAACGTCAGTATATTTCGAGAGTAGATAATAGCCGCTACTAATATTTTACAGAAGAATGACTACAGTAACAGGCCGCCGAAAAAATTCAAAATCAATGAGCAACTCGATGGAGCAAAGGATTAAGGTGCAAATTTAAATACATTACCCACTAATTTAGCGCTTAAAAATTGTAGAATCCAACTAGAAAACAGTTTATTCGAGCCGAAAGCAATATCGAGCGAGTCTCAAAAGCGCTCGCCGTTGGTGCCAAAAACAAAACGAAAAAACCTCAAAAGAATAAATGATAATCTGATAGCATTTTTTTCCTAAAGTTATAAATCATTTCTAATTCTGAATCCGGAATGTGAAACTCGAAACATCCATCGATATGGTGTTCATTGAACGAGAATTGAACTGGTGGCGTCGCCCCAAAATTGGGACAGCCGCAGCAGCTCCTGCTGCAGCCATCTCTCGGCGAACAGTGTCAAGTGTCTTTTACCCCATGTTAGGAGAATCATCCATTTCTTTTCTTAGATCAGTTTGAATCGTATTCAAAACTCGCCCGAACGAGAGATGTTCCTCGATCTACCCGCTAAATAGAGTGTCGTAATGATGTGCCGATTTCTTTTATTCAAAGCTAAATGATATTTCCTCGCACTTAATTTCTTTCAGAGTTTTTTATTAACAATGCGCAGCCACGTTTTTCGTATTTTCGGTTTGTTGAATTTAATCGAGTTTGGTATTTGTTGTATGGCGACCGGTGGTAGATCTCCGATCACTCGTTCCACCACAGCTGCTTCGCCTACAACAACAACCACTGCTACAGGTAATCTTTTATAAAAATAAATAATGTTTGAGTTAAGCGACTCGAAGAAATTTAAAAAAAAAATATTGGCTATGTGCCAAAGCGTCTCGAGGCAGCGAGAAGTACGCGAAGCTGCGTACATTGCATTATAGTGTACGCGCATTTAATATTCAGTAAACGATAAATTTAAATCTAGACTGATTTCGCGAATTTGAAGGCCCCGCCTCCCTTCAAATGTGAACAGAAAAATTTATGCAAGAAGAAAAATATTTTTAATTGAATATCTTCAAAAAAAAAACAACCATTTGACAACTTTTTGAATTTCTCGTCACAAGAATTTCAACCGTTATAAATTTATGATCTAAATTATAGTAAAAATAAATGATAAACAGAAAAGGAAATTCCAAACCTCAAGACCAATATAAATAAACATATTTTTTAAATTAAATTCTTTGCTAATGTAAATTTGAATGGCAATAGAATTTTTTCAACACTCTCAATGCCTCTCATAAATATTTTCTAACGATGTATGTTAATAAGGAGCGGTTTTCATTTCCTATTACGCGAACTGCATACGCCCGTTCCTTATAATGACCGTTTGTGTGTGTCCCTCCTTCGCGTTCCGGTTGGCGCCTTTCGACTGGTTTACAGGTCGGGAGTGCAATTAATTGATGTTTCGTCTCTCTCAACATTAAATAATCGCTTATTTTATCTTCAGCCAATTGAGCGGAAAGCATGTTTGTAGCTTGTTAATAACTCAAATTGTGTATGAAATAAGATCAAAAGATGATTCTATGCTTAGCCTAATGCTTCTCTAGTAAATGATATCTAATCGCATGCGGCTACAGTGCTCTTCAGTTTCGATCAAATACGATTGTGACTTCACAGTATACGAATAGGATTTCATGGTTGCAAAATAATGTTTTAAAATCCTAATCATATACAATTTTGCAATTTTTCTAAAAGTCGTATGGTCCTACCAGAGACAAAATGTTATCAGAGATCAAATAAAACAATTTTTATATTTTTATTATTAGAAATTAATAAATTAAACAATCCTATAAAAACAGTAAAATATTGATAATGTATTCAAATACCTTCTTTTTTTAACGAATTTCGTAATTTTATAGGTTGCAACTCGTGTACAGAAGGCCAAATCATATTTACGCAAGGCGATGGCGATATTCTGATTGACTCCAGTGGAATGTTAGTAATAAGATATTAATACTGAGTTGGCAACCTCTAGATAATTTAGTTTTTCAACCGATCCTGATTCTGGATGTCTCAGTTTGATAGCAACATGCACTGCCCAAGAAAATTACTACGCATTCATGCAATTCAACTACAGCCAAGGTGGACCTGTGGAGAATCAAAATTCTGGAAGGGTTAGTCTTGATCATTATTTTTGTACTAAAAAATTTTTTAATGAAGTTTTAATTGAAACTTAAAGAACCAATTTCTCAGACAATCAACGCTCCATTAGCATGTGTCGATGGCCAATGGGTATATACTAGCATGGGTATATCGCGTGTCGTTAAAGAAGTTAGCTGTAACGAAGCTGAAGCTTTATAATTACACCTGTTTTTCAATAATAAACTTTATAATTATTCTTTCCGTCGGTTTAAGAATTCTATGATTTTCGATTTTCGATTTTCTGTGGTAAACAAAATTGTATATCACTAAAGCCAAACACGATTGCGATTTCCCTCTTGTAAAATTAGTATTTAATCATATACCATTGCAAAATGATTTTTTTATCCTAATCGTATATGATTTCGAAATTGTTCTAAAAATGGAAATTTGACATTTTCCCGTGCCCTTCTCCATACAGATAATTTCTCACAGCAAAATCTCGATGGATAGCAGCCAATCCACGCAGCAGCTTGCAATCTGAATCAAGAGCTCCATTATCAGCCAGTTCCGTAAGAGTAATTACTCGCAACTATGGTCCAAAAGCATGTTTTTTCTACGATGGTATCCGCAAAAAAAAACATGAGCGCCCTGCACCGATTAACGGTGAGTTCGCTTCGCTGGTTACACGGTGCGATGTCCAAATTCTCGCTGTTTGAATTCAAATTAGTATTACCACCTTTTTTTGCGAGGATAAAAATAAACACAATTCATAGCAATAGGTAAAACAAAAAACTAGTAATGTTTTGGAAAAAAATTAATCCAATATAAATAATTTCTTCATTCTTCGCTAGAAAATTTGAAATAATAAAACAAAAACGTCTGTCTAGAGGAAGCCATTTTTCCTCAACCACCTTTCGTTCTAATACCACTATTTTATTTTCTAACAAGAAGAAATCAAAGAAAATGTAAAACAGACATCAGTCTCGGAGCAGAACAATTCCTGAACTCGTTTAGCTCAACAAAAATATATTGAACGCGTTGAGAAGGGGCCGGCATTCACGAAAATTCGCGTGCGCCATTTGACGTCACACGCGGATGCATAAGTTAATAATAGACACTGAAAATGTGCCTGAAATTTCCCGGATTTCCGAGATGGGGGGGAGGCAACCAATTTTCCCGAAGAATATTCTCAGAATCCGGAATTTTTTTAAAGTATTGATTACTGTAGATCTTAAAATTACACGGGAAAATCGGACAATATTCAGCGGCGAAAAAATTTCTAAATAAAGAGTTAGGGTTTTGTTCACTTTTTTTGCGGATCGGTTTGTTGGCAAATCAATTCTTCAGTATATTTTAAGTAAACACGTTTCTTATTTTTTATGGACTTATTCAAAAATGCTCAAAATTACACATTTTTCCAATTCGGGTATTTAAATGTGTACTGTTTCTAATGTAATTTTTTACATCTTGGCAAAAAATACATTTCATGAATACATTAGTAATATTTCAAATTGCTCATGCTTAATTCCATTATTAATCAGAAAACTTTACTAGTTGTAATCTCCTTTTATCCTTTACCAAACGAGTCTCGACTAATCCGGAAAATGGGCGTGTCTTTGTGCATTTGCCTTAAAAAGAAATGAAAATGAATTCGAAATCAGTCTGATTCAAGAAACAATTCCCTTACCTGCAATATGATTCATATTCAAGAATTCGCCAACATCGAACGACAAACAATTCGACGGCCATCTCGATTTTCTTTACCTACTCGATATTAACTTTCTTGCTTATACCACATTTCAACCATTATATGTATATTTGATCATGTATATTATTGTTTGTTATGCTTGACTTGTTACCACAATAAAGTGATTTTCATTACCATATATCGTGTTTGTGCCAAAGTCTTCAAATTCGCGCGCCGAGAATCGCCCGCGTTGCGTATGCGTTGTCGTCGCCGTCGGTTTAAAAGCATTGCGTAGAATTTAAAAAAAAATAGTCACAAATCGTTTTTCTGCTGTTTAGAAATTGATCATTGTGTTGTTTTTATGAGTAAAATGATTTTTTGTAATTTTTTGATACACAATTGATCAGAAATATGGAACGATTCCAGTTAAATTTCTTCTCATTTCGTTTATTTTCATTGATGGGATAATCAAGAAAAGGTCGAAAATGCAAAAATTTTATCAGGATAATCTTGAAATGATTATCCATCATATAAATATCCTTGATGGCAAACTGTGCTTTAAAATTTTTGTTATTAATATTTCCGTTATGAAGACAGAGTGAGAAGGTGCATTGAAAAGTTACGCGATCGCCAGTTTTTCTATAATGATGCAATTTGCCGCATTTGTTCGGTTTCGAAATCAAAAGTTGAGATAACTGTAGTTACATCAGAAGGCAAATGTACTGAGGGATTGGATGTGTGAAGTTTATTTCTTCTTTCACCAGAAACCTATTTTGAATTGATCACCATCAGAGCCGCACGGATTTCCGTCTTCCGTGACATTTTCCTGTTCCGTGTTCCGTAAAAAATTTGTTCCATGTTCCGATTTTTGTATTCTGGCAAAAAAAGTTTATTCCTCCTTCCGTCTTTCGTTTTTAGAAAATTAAGTTCCGTGCAGCTCTTATCCCGTATTCGCGCATGGTCTTATCTTGAAGCCCCTGAACGGAAATATGTATAAAGACCAAATTGTGTGTTTTTGTTTGCTGATATATAATCTTTGAATGTCTCAAAGATCTAATGAATAAACTAGAATGTAGCAAAGACAAAATATATTTTTTAAAATCGCATGAATCATTCAACCGATTCGCGTAAATGTGGAACAAATTTATAAGGTCATAATCGATCGTTTCCGAAGCTTGCAAATTTAATAATTTTTATTAATTAAAATTTGTTTGTGGTGTTTAATTTGGGGGGGGGGACTATATATATATTTATTTATAACTATATATATTTATAAGTATATGTATATTGCGTGACAGTTTCAAAAAAAATGCGAAACAGTCCGTTTAATGGAGGTATCTTTATCATTCTGCACCGCTCGAAAAACAGTTTTAGACCACTACGCGGTGACTTTTTTAAGATACTAACATAAAAATTGGTACATATAGGTTATTTTTATGCTGAACACGATTTTCACCAAAATATCGAAATCATTGCACGGCGCTCAAATTCGGAGGTGCTCTTTTAATTCTGCAACGCACTGTATACATACATTTATATATGTACATATACATGAAATATATGTACATAGTAGCACACACAGATCACAAAACCCAACAATATTGAATAAATTAATTTATTGAATTATGCACAGATTGATTAATAGCCTGAGATTATTATCACATCGAATCCCGTGAAGATCAGAGACGTCCGGAATACAGGAAGGTCCGGATTCAAGCTCATCAGTCAGTAGAAATTACAGATTTCTTCTTACAAAGCGCTGTCGTCGAAGGTCCGGATGGGAATCGACAAGTGAGAATTCGTGAATATGAATCATATTATAGTCAACTGGAACAAGGGGTTGATAAAAAATTTTGGTGCCTTTTATACGAATGAAGCCTCCACGAAAAAAAGTTTCATCATTCTGAGTTGAGGTGAGAACACTGATAGCACAAATTTGATTTATGTAGAAATTTATTGATAAATAAATATTATTGAGAGAAAGTTATGCCAAATTTATACAAATAAAGTTGAAGACATTTAGATATTGAACCTCTAGTTCTTCCGAACTTCGTGCTTGACTGGCGGAACGCTGGGAACGGATACAAATGATGGCGGTCTTAGAGCCGATGGAAATGAATGAGCCCGTCGCAGCTCACGAACATCTCGGAGCTTCGTGTTTTCAATAACAGCAAATTCTTGGATGTGGATCATTGAGTCGGATTTGAAGTCTGGTGTAAGTTCTCAGTCTTGGGAATCTTAAGCTCTTTTATATTCGATTTTTGCCGGTGAAGCCCCGCTTCCTGATTAGTCAAAAAACATTATACATATTTTGATTGTTTTTTTTTACAATAGCTCCTCCCATATATTTTAGCAAAAAAAAATATTGAAAATGTTTTCCAATGGAAATATAATTGTTTTTTTAAAGTTTATCTAGTAGCCTTATATGAATCATATTTTAGAACATGATGTACGGTGTTATCAGCAATTTTCATCATTAGACGAAAATTTGAATGCTGCAGGGAAAATATCAAATTGTCCCGTCGACCACCATGATTTTGCAATCTTATCTGAATATGGAAATCATTGGCTGGGCCGAAGTGTGAAAAGGTAAATGGCATAAAATAACAGATTTTTAAAAAGGAAAAATCGACATCCGCAGTTAGCAACTATTAGTATCCTTGCTTTAAGACTTTAACAAAATCAAGCGATCTGTAGAATCACAATTACATTTTTTTAATTGTTTTTGTAAAAACAAAAAAAAATTTTTTTTGTTGCTGGACGTGAAGTATTTCACGTTTTTTTTTCTGGTTTTTCTTTGCTTTTTTGTTTAATCAGTTCAAGTGTCTTTTTTTTTAATTTTCCCATAGTCATTTTTTAGCGCTTTGAAAGAGTTTTGTTTGCGAAATCTGCATAGTATCATTATAAACATATTCGAACGTATGTCCACTATACTTAATTCGATCATACTTGGTGATTTTTGAAATGATCATTAATCCAAGTGATTCTCTCGAACATCAAAATTCGATATAATTTTTTTTTTCAAAAAAAGAAAAACGGAAGAAAACACATTCAGAATTTGAAGCCATATGTTAATCCGATAACAACCTTTCGACGAACATTTTTGGAATTGTTTTTTTTTAATTAAAAACAAGCGTTCAAAAAAGAGGATATAATAAAAAAGATAATCGATATAAGTACACAATGCGATTTTTGGAAGGAATTTTTTTATTCATAATTATATACCGTTATATGTACATATGAATAGAATTTGTTTGTTTGCTCGCGACGAATAAAAAGCCATAGATAATTATAATTATATTTTCGGTGGGCTATGTCGGATATAAATATTTCCCAGTCAATTGTAAAGTTTAGTATTCCAATCTGAAACGGAAAATCTTTTTAAAGAATGAGCACAGAGCAAAAAGTGATAGTATATTTCGTCGACGCATGGGCACTCCGTCATTTGCACTTGATGATGCAATTTTTCCACGAATTTTCTTCGGCAATCACTGTCCGATCGGTGTCGGAAATCGGCGACGAACACGAGAGATTGGGCGGTACTCGAGGGCGTGGCCTAACAATGCGACTATAAAAGCTGAGTGCGAAAATGAAACTAATAAACCAAAACCTCACTGACCATCATGATTCATATTCAAGAATTCGCACTTGTCGACAACGAGCTCCGACGTTCCAACCGATTCGACCGCTTACTGTAGTATTTTACACATTCCTCTCAATCGGGATAACTGTACATACTACTTACTTTTTTTCTATCTATTCAATGCCGTCATCTGTCTCGGAGGGTCTCGCAACGATCTCGAAAATACGCCACTTAGCTTTAATTCAATTGAAACTTTATAATGTGAATGTATACACATATCATCTCCTAATATTAAATAATTGTAATAAATAAATTATTTATTCCTCTATTCGTCTTTGACATTACAAGAAAATTAATATGTATAATGGACACCAATGTTATTTTCATTGTGTGGTCTTACCTACATTTTAAAAATGAGACGGTCGCATTTGAAAAATAAAATGAACGAATCGTTTAAATTATCACAATGAATGGAAAAAACAACAAGACTGATAAAAATACGTATTTTAATGGATTAAGATTTGTAAATATTGACCAAATTTTTCGCCGAGAAATCTTTTGTAAATTTTGATAAACATGACATAACTGTTCTCACCACAATTTTGCACTGTACCTCTTTATTTGATCACAAGGATGTTTCCACCGTTCTCTGTGGTTGGGTGAGTGCCAGAAATCAAACATTCACGTGAAACTCGGCAAATGATTGCATCAGTTTCTCTCAAAACTTTGTCGAATTTTGGCGTGGTGTCATTGAAAAAAAGAGAAGACGTTTACAAATCTTTGGACTGAATTTGTACAACTTTCTATTGGCAAATGAATTTTAGAATTTTGCACAGTCAGCTAAGGGAAAACTTTACCGCAAATGGAGTTTATTTGTGATTGCAACATTAAAATTGAAAAAAATTAGAGCGATTTGCAATTAAAATCTTATGTAGAAACATCAAAGATTCCTAAACTTTGTTTCTCTTCGAAAAAAATTGAAAAAAATTCATTTGTAAGCGTTAATTCTTCAAAAATAATAAAGCGTGGGCAATTTTGAGTACCTATGCATGAAAGTTATGAACGGGACACGTGTGACCCTTTTTTCGAATTTTGTTGTCCACCAGCTTCAAATATTTTATACTATTCAAAATTTTTCTAAAGTTGCTCATAGGCATTTCCAATTTATTCTATGAGCAGATATATCTATATATCGCTTGCCTACACTGTTCAAAGTATTTCCTTTAGTGAATCACATCCAGATCTGGAAGTCTAATCTACGCGTCAACCAGGTAAAATATATTATTAATCTTTCATTTTGAATATCGAGAGCTGTCGCGATTTTCCATATGTAGTATTATGATACTATGCAGATTTGGTGGGGAAGGCTAAAAAAACTAGTGTTTGAGCAATCATGCGGTCTTTAGAGTTTTAGATGGTTTTTCAGCGGGCGTTTTGAGTTGTTTCTGCATAGTATCATTAGAAATTTGAAGGCTCTCTCGATTGTTCAAGCTATTTGGTAGATTGGAATATTATAGAATTATTCCTATTGAAATCGGAATTAGTCTCATTCTAATAAATAGTTTCTCCCGTAATAGTATAAAATCGTCGGACCACGTCAACATCACCAACAATAATCCATAATTCTGAAAGATTCAGCCTGCGTGGATAGATATATTGGAACTTTCTAACAAATACATCACGTAAAATGCATTAGTACAAACAAATAAGATCAACGGTAGCTTACAACATTTTATTAAAAAAAGTACTGATTCATCAAATGCATTTTTTTCCGAAAAAGTGAAAAAAATTATTATAAATTTATTGTCGGCGTCAAACGACTGAAGCCTGAAGCGAGGCGGAGCCTTCAAATTCACGAAATCAGTCTAGATATAAAATTTTCGTTGATGAATATTAAATGCGCGTATAGTCGGCGACTGCTGTACGCGGGTAGATTTACGCGCATGCGCCTTGAAAAGGTCTCGTCACGTGTGAACGCTTATTTTGCTGTTTTCGCGTGAACGGTTAATTTTTTCTTGGTGAGTTTGACATTTCTTGGAATTTCTAACATCGTTCAATTAGAAAATTATCGATTCGATCCATAAAATGCGAAGTAACCTGTTAGTCCGTGCGAGACCAATTCGAAAGACGCATCCTCGTAAATCTACCCACGTACAGTAGGACGCCGACTATACACTATAATGCAATGTACGCTGGCACATAGCCATTATTTTTTTTTTAATTTCGCAAAGTCTTTTTACTTCGACAATACATTTAATACATACCTGTAGTGGAAAATACAGAAAAAGGATATAATCTTTCTTTTTATTTTTTGCAATGAAAAAATTTTGGCGCGGATAGTATTTTAATTTTCCTGATTGTGAGTGACAGATGTTTTTATAATTCTCATGATCGAGCATTTAGTAGTATTCAACGAATTTATGTGAATCTTATGATTTGGTAGTAATTTAGTATGTACACAAGTGTGAACGCTAGGACAGAAAAAAGGTTTGACCGCATGTTGATTTTCTAGTGACTCACAGAATGTTTTTCGGAGTACATGAACAGTGTGCTCTGTTTGTTACCCATGTTGTCCAGGTTGCTCAGCTACTGTTTGCCTTAGTCCTTCTGACTCATTGTGCAGGACGCCGAAGGTTTTTCCTCGAAAAAACTCAGTCTGCAGAAATTGAAAACGATGACTTTATGATGTCACCTCCTAACATTATTTATTTAATTAACGTTGCTCGTGAAATTTGTATAACAATCACGTTGCTAGGAGGCAAAACTATCGGGGATTTGTCTATAGCAACTCTATTTACATGATGTATATTATATATGTACATCACTGTGTGGCCTCGTAGATTATTTAATCGATGTTTTAGAAGAAATGTTCAATAATAATCTTTTTAGAGAGATTTTGAAAATTTAGAACAATAGCTGCAAAAACGAATTCCTTTAAAACTCTTCAGCAATTTATTTATTCAAGTTTGACTACATAATATTTACAACAATTGTAGAAAACGAGTGTAAAATTTATTAAACATTGCTTTTATGCAATCGCAAAAAACGAGCACCCTGGCAATTGGGAACAATATGTAGTATACTACTCTGCCTACTTTGCAGATTAACGTACACACATTTAATATTCCCATAACTCATTCTTATACCGTACTACGGATAATCTGCTAATCAAACTCACCGTAAATCGACACTGAGTGTTCGTTTTTCTGCGATTCTAAAATTTTTAAATTCGTAGATCTACACTGATTTTACAAAAATTTCCGGCCACCGAATAGTCATTTGAAATTGGCAATAACAGAAATTGAACAAAGTTGCTCAAGTAGTATAATTACCGCATTGATAATCTGAAAAATTTGGTGTAATTCTGAAAATATCTTAGATAAGTTTATGCTTCATTTTAAATCGTTAATTTCGCATTATAGTTGGGTTGCATATTGTTACTGAAAAATCATTGTTAGAAATGAGAAATTATTATCTGAAACTGTTGAATATAATATTAAAACGTAAAAACCTAATTCCACGAATCGACAACAATTGATGGAAAAAAATGTTCATTTGAAAAAACCAACCGCATTTTCTATTTCAAAATCGTTTTCATTTGAAAAACTTTCTAGTCAAAATGACATCTAAAGGACGCCGCGGATCAAAGGAAGCTGTGAATGTTTAATCCAACAGAACATTCATTTTTTTAAACAATAATGCTCAGGATGACACAACACAACCAATTACATGTGGATTTGTTGAGGATAATTGCCGTAAATGGGCTCAAAAGAATTTGTACGAAAAAATTAATGAGCGATCTATGGTAGCATTTGCTTTATCATGTTTAACAATTTGAAATTTCAATATTCAGCCATTTCGGGAAATAGTGCGCGAATTTAAAACACATAAGGATTGGAAACCTTTGCAATTTTCCAGTGTGTGTTGGAAAAAAAACTCGGAAAAGAATAGGTAAAACACTTAAGAATACGAAAAGTATAGCGATGTTATTTTTATATGTATTTTTGGCCGACCTTTTCCTTTTCAGATACAGCGATCAAATGTGTATTGATGCCACCCGTGTAATCCTCAAAAACCGCGATCCCGACAACGACTATATAAACGCATCTTGGATGACAATGCCTGATGGTCGTCGGTGGATCTCAACCCAAGGGCCAATTAAAAATACCGTTGAGGATTTCTGGCATATGATCTATACTGAAAAAGTGAAAGTTATCGTAATGCTTTGCCAATTTCAAGAGGATAAGGTCGAAAAATCTCGAGAGTATTTTAATCTCGAAGGCAAAAAAATCGAGCAATATGGGCCGTATAAAATTCGCGTAAAAACGAAGTCTACTGAAGTATTGCCGACAATAAAGATGACAATTTTAGAGTGCGAGAAGTATGTGATCATTTAACTTTTTTTTTTAACAATTCTACAAAATTTGAGAGACAAACAGACAACAACCGTACACCACTTTTGGCATACTTCATGGGTAGATCATTTTTGTCCAACTGAAGCTCAAACTACTATTGGAATGTTTAAAATGGTGCTAGAAAAAGCAGACAAGGAACCTGTTGTAGTACACTGCTCAGCGGGAGTTGGCAGGACGGCAACATTTATTGGTATCGACTACGCGTCACAGAAGATTTCAGCAGATGCGGACACGAAAATGGTTGAAGTATTGTTCGCATTAAGGAGAATGAGGTAGGGAAAATTCTATATAAAGTTTGAGAAATTTTAATCAAAATCAGAAAAAATTATCACGCGTTATAAAATATTTTCGTAGACGGTCAAATTTAAAAACGTGTAATTATGCGGATTGCACCACTTTGATCCAGTCCCGAAAAAATAATTTGTTCAATTTAACAACCACTCAGGATGTAGCCATTATGAAATTTGCAGATTCCGTGCCATCCAATCACAACTTCAATACGCCTTTCTATTCCAATGTCTCGCTGAGCTGTTTATGCAGGAAGGCTGCTTGAAGAAGGACGAAAATTTTGAAAAACTTAAGCACAATTTTGAAGCGATAGTGAAGAAATTAATAAAAGCACAAAAGGCCGCCAAAGATAAGTATTACGCAAAGAAGGCAGCCGATCAGAAGGCAGGATTGGTTAGTCGTGAAGATCCAGCAACAAGTGGAGCATAAAAATTTATTCGCAATATACCAATAATACTATACAATTGTCACCAGTGAATACCAGTTATTTAAGAGTTGCTCAGATAAATGAAATTTGAACAATATTGGCAGGAATTTTTGAAACATTCGTGTTGAGCAGAGCTTAAACATTTCGATGTTTTTTCATGTGTAAACTGAGATGATCCGATCTAGCAAATTGTTTTCCACAAAGGCTGCATCTGAATGGTTTCACACCAGTGTGCTTCCGGCGATGACGTGTCAGCTCGTCACTTCTTGCGAACTTCCAACTGCAATTGGCCCAATCGCATACATACGGCTTTTCACCGCTGTGCGTTCGTTCATGTGCTTTAAGATGGGAACTTTTCGAATAGCTGAAAATTCATACCGTTAATTAAAAAAAAACATTTCTTCTAATGTTTTCACATTATAATTAAATATAGATTTAACTAAATATTTGGGAAGAAATTAGTTTGTTTTTACTACAGAGCATGAACTTTGAGCAGTTTCGCATATTATATTAATTAATCTTACAATTTAAAGCATCCTTGGTAGTGGCAATGATGGACAACAGACTTCGTTTGCTTAGCTCGTCGTTTGAGCGCTGGCGGAGTAGTCGCTGTTGACGTTGATGCTGTCAATAATCGATCACCTTCGTCTGAAGCAGCTGACGACGATGAGGACGTTGTCGGCGAGGACGATATCGAACCACAACCGACCAGTTCAAGTTCGTTGCGGTGATGCCTATAAATGATCAAAGATGATAATCAAGGCTGTTTTCCGTTTTTGTCTGTGACTTTTTTGTTACGACACAACAAGAAAAAGCAAGATGATTCGTTTCGACGGGGTAATTTAAAAGAAGTTGGATCAGCATGTGTAATTCTTAACACATAGATCAACATTAAAATCCATCGATTATAATAATAGCTAATAAAATCGAAAGGAAGACCGCAAGAACTTTTTAATGCGTTGAAGTTATACAACATTACTTGATCATCTCAGCGTAATGAAACAGTCAAAAATTTAATTTCTGTGTCAAATTTGACAACTTTTATAATAGCATTGATTATAAACGACAAGTTCTACAATTTAAAAGCAATGAAAAGATGCGTAGAAATCACCATTCACATGTTCGAAATCATAGCGAAACAAGCAATCCCGTAAAGAAAATAATACCATACACTTATTCTCTAGGATCCATTTTCTAGAATTCGCTTACAGGATACCTTATAAAAATTCTTCCCAGTTTAACTTTTTGGGTGCAATATAAAATTTTTGAGGGTGGGCATCAACCTTGACAAAAATCAAAACAGATAAATAACTTGTCTCTCTTCAGCGCGCATTTGTTTTTTCCTTCTGTGTATGACTTCATGTGTTTCGCGCGTCGACCACCTATTTCATTGATAAACACGAAGGCGAAGACGACATGCCGTCAAACATTTCTTGCATTGATTAAATGGCGGGGTCGGTTCGTCGGTGTTTACAACGCACATAAATCAAAAAGTGAATGGCTATCGTAATACGGTATTTGTACAGTATGCAAATTTTAGCCGCCACCCACAGCGGGTGGCACACTATTTTATGGCACAATTCGCCTTGGCGGCAAAACTTTTCGACAACCAAACCTCTAGCCTTAATATGCTGTATGATACCGGTTTTTGTCAAATTAGCAGAAAGATTCGGAAGAAGAAAACAAAATAAGGATGAAAAGATTTTTGATCTACCACCAATCAGTTAACGCGTGTGAGACATACATATATCTACTGGTTTTATGAGTCATACGGTCTGCACTAAATTCCTGCGGCTGAGACGATCAGTGGTAATCAAAAGGAAGGAGTAAACATTTATCGCGTTAATAGTTTGGTTGAATATTTGTTATCACTAAAAAGGATTTCGAAGTTATTGAAATATGTTCGAGTAAATATATTCACTTTAAAAAGTGTTTGATAATTTAAATTCTGCAAATTAATCCGTTTCATGTTAGAAAGAATATCAGAACATGGTCTACCCACCTCAAATCCATACCGTCTGCCCTAATGCATGGCAATTGTGCCGCAATTGGCCCGAGTTCCTGGTACTCTGTTCCAGACGCAGATTCTTCTGGACTACTTGGTGGCGTTTCGACTTTCATCGGGAGTTGTCGCTGCTGCTGCTGATGTTGATGTTGGTAAGTATAAGGTGGATCATAGGAAACGTCGGTGTAGCTCGTTGATGGAGGGAAGTATGAGGTCGCATAATAGTCTGGTTGCGCAGGTTGCGGAGGTGGCGGTGGCGGTGGCGGTGGAGTTAAAGGTCGATTAAAAATCGGACCAGGTGGTGGAAGTTGAAGAGTCGGTGGTTCTCTCGGCGCAATTTGTGCTAATCTTTTAGCCCCACCATTTATTAAATTAGGTGTAACCAATGGCGAAAGAGCGGGAGCACGCGGTTTAGAAATCACTTGGCCAATAAAATTCTGTCGGCAAGTTGTATCGCTTTTGATGAAATCATAAATGTCGATCCATGCCTGTAAAATAAAATACATGTAGTACGTTTCGATTTCGTAAGGAAAAACGCGCTCGCGCATTATGTGTCATTTAGTGATTCATCACGCGATTCCAATTCCATTCTTTTCCAATATCAATAGAAGTAGAAAAAAACGGCGCATAAACACCCTTCTTCTCAATCACTGATAATGGATTGCTGGGTGTGATGGAGAAATGGAAGGAGACAAATTAATTAATGACGGTTAACACAGTGATTCTCGCAGCGCGAGAGACTAGTCGAGTGGTTTTTGGAGTCTTGGGAATTCAACCCGAGAACCCCACTTAATTTCCTGCTCCGTGAATAACGTCGTCAAGCACAAATCTCACCTCATCAAGAGTTGAATACACGGTGTGTTGCTCCATAGTATGCATCATCTTAATTTTCAAAAATCAATAAATTTCTTTCAGAAAGTAGAAAATGCAAGAGTAAAAGAAAAAAGTGAGTAAAATGGCTAGCAAACGCTACTATTTATTTTGTGTTCGCCTGCACGTGTGTATCTAGTGTTTGTGATGCAATTCAGTGAAACAATTAAACAATATGCTAGGAAAAAAGCCATCACGAAACCGTTCAGAATTCGTTAATCGGAATAAAATGGCCACCGATGAAGGACGTCAAAAAATTCGAAATTCCAAAATAGTAGCAAAAGATAGGCGGCGCGCGCGCTACCCATTGACCACGCCCTTCCAGCCAATCAGTGACATAGGTCACGCCTACCCACTCTGGAAAAAATTGGACGAGAGAGATAATTTAGAGGAAAAATGGACACATAAAAATTGAAATCGAAATGAATTACACGGAAGTCGTCCAATCGACACGAGAACACCTTGATAAGATTTATACGGGTGAACACGACATGGGCTACAGACAAAGTTAGAGACGGAGAGGAGAGCAACGATATGTATTTTTGAGAATTTTGCAAAACACACTTCACAACATAATTCTTTAATAATGCCAGGTATCTCTTTAAATAATTATTTTGTTGCGAAAAAGTTAACCAAAATTTTTTTTGATCGACATTTAATCGTTACTAAAAATAAAACGCGCATTTCTGGAATATAAAAAGTAGTTTAGCTGTAAATAGTTCTAATGGATTAATTCAGTACTTGAAAAATTTTCGAATGTGTCATTTTTACCTTGGGCAAATGTGAATTTCTCTAATTTGACGCTAAAAATGACTATTTCGACTATTTTCATGTCGCGGAAATGACCCACAATACTTTAAAAAAAACTGGTAACTATGGCATAAGTTGTAGTAAAATTACACATTTCAGAATAACCTATGAACCCCCCTCCGATAAAGAAATTTTGACAAAAAATGATGTCTAATTTGGAAGGACGAAAAAAATCAAGTTCTCGTCCATCAATTAAATGATGTTGATGGTGATGATTAGAAGAAAATTCCCAAGAAGCTTTCAAAATGGCGGTAAAACGTGTAGGCGAATTGGAGAGGTGGCTGACATGATATGAATAATCGAAAACATTTTTTGCGTCGCCGACAGATAAACCGTTTTGTCACATAAATTAGTTGCCTAATTGCTAATCAAAACGACCCTCGGACATGTTTAAGGGTTTTCACACAGGCAAAAGAGTTCGTATTGGGTCGAGCCAACGCCCATAACTACACGTTTGCATATAAAGAGAAATTGTATCATATTTCTACTGATAATAGCAGCGCATGCATATACTCCGTTTATCAATATTACTCACTCTCTAGTCTTTCAAACTTGAGCAATTTTTACGGTGATGTCAATTGGCGTATAAGACCAATGGTTGTAAAATGTTGACGGCGGTTCTCAACAATTCAATAACTCAACATTTAAAACAGAATTGGATTTTTCTGAACTTTTGTCTCGAAAAATACTCTGATTACTAAACAAGTTTTGAACCTAAAACCCAAATTTTCCCACTACCGAAATAAGACAAAAAATTTGCAGCATTTAATGTTCTTTCTCGACTTACAAATCAGTTATCATGAAAGAAATGTTTGTACTGATAACGCGAGATTTCGGAATGCAAATGAAGAAGACAAGAAGAATGTGAAATAGAGTCTGAAACCGGCACAACGATAAACATACCCCTCGAACTTTTTTGAGGGATTGGCGTGTTGTGTTGTGTTCGTTGTCGCTTTGTGTGTATGTGTTGTGTTTCGCTAGCTATTGGTAAATACGACGATTGATGATCATCAAATCAAATTGAATGCGTTTGTAAAGACGCAATTTTGGCATGCGGTTTGTGTGAAATGAGGTAGAAACTAGCGCTCAAATTGTCTCGATGAATCACGGTTTATTTTCAGTTTTCGCACTGAGCAAAATTTAGGGGAACATTTGATTGTCGAAGATTGTCCTTCATTTGAAAATAAACAGTATAGATTTATAATATAATTATAAGAATACCACTATTATATTGGCAACAGTCCAAAAACAGGAGAACACGGCGTTTGATCTTAAACTGCGAATACGAAATAGTTTTTTGGCAACATTCATTACTAGGCAGGGTTACTGTAGCAAAACGAAATGAGGTTAAAAAGAGAAAGAAGGGTGAAGACATTTGCTGATTGAATATTACAAAAAGTGTAGGCTTGCGTGAGGAAACGATGGCATTTTCCGGGCCAAAACTGGATTCCAATTCCTTTAACAGTTCTTCCGATAGTTGTGACATTATTCATTACGGATATGAAATTTGCACAAAAACTGAGGTGTGAAACGTGGTTCCTTGAATACGGTAACACTTGCTTGTCTTGTTTTTCTTTTTTCATGTTCTCAATCGGCGGCTACGCGTTTTGTAATTGTCGGCAACTTAATGAATTTTGAGATTATGTTTCATGTTTTTTGAAAAAAAAATTGTTTGCGATAAAATTTGCCGCCGCCGTTTTTGTGATCAATTTTACACGAACGCGATGTCGCCAATTAATTATCCCCTAAATAAACATGCCGCTAAAGTTCGTAATTTTTTTTTGAAAAACAGGTCATCGCTACGGTGTAAAATAGAAAACTTTTGAAATATCGTTAAATAATTATGCACGGTATGTCTAATAGAATATCAAAAAGATATTTTAATATTTGAATACGATTGTACATAGCTCGTTCGTTTACTTTACAATAATCTTCGAGTTTTTCCACTTTTCTGACGGAAACAAATTGCAACTCATTCATTCTTCAATTAATCTCTTCAAAATCAAACAGATGAGATAACGCAATGGAATAGTGAAGGACAAATCGAAATAAATACAATTGCTCTGTCAGCGATTAATTACCGGTTGCGCTGTGTCTCCTACGAATCACGCACTTTGATAGGCAATTGAAACTGTTCGAGTGTCTCAATTCGCACTTGGCGCGCAACAAGATACCATTTACGATGCACAATTCGATTTCAAATCTTGATGAATTGCCGATTTGTGAACTTTGAGAAGGCAAAATGAAAACTATGCAGAGAATAGCGGAGGAAAATTGCGCAAAATTAGTGTCACACAATTTACGAGTCGAAGCACTTGTCATATCAAAATATATTATCTCAAGCTTTAAAAATGTCAGGCATACTTACTAGCTTTAAATCTAAAAAAAAAAACATAAATCAAGTAACTATGAATATTTATTCATTATATTAACGACAGGATGATAATTTAGAATTTTCATTTAAAAATTATCAGTAATTATAGACATTTTTTAAATTAAATAACTACACGTGACATCCTAATAACAAACCGATGAAATCTTTCAATTTTGATTTGTTCAGTTTGTTGTTTAGTAGCAAAGAAATGTTTGTATTCAGCGGTGGTTTGCAAATTTGAAATATTTGGTTTATTCGATATACACTTCAGAGTACAATAATCACATCTTCCTGCTGTTGGTTGCAACAAGCTTTGCCTTTGCCGCTGAGAATGACGATGAGCAATTCAATACGTTGTGCACTGAGTTAGAAGGCCTGTATACACCTTCAAAAGGGGTAATATTGTTTAATGAACTTTGTTGGTGTAATGTATAAATTTAGAACGAACCTGACACCTGCTCCAACGTAAAGCTTAAGTATGATGTTATTGATGACGTAAACTGTTATTCTACTTAAGTAAAAAATAATAATGTCTAAAATATAGGAAATGGCAAAAAAAGTTTGCCAAAGGGTTTTTCCTTATACGGTTCTATCAGCCAAAAAATTGAAGGAATTTACGATTACTTGCAACATAGGTATTGTTTCATTTGAGGATTACAAAACTTTAAAAAACACACACATACAAAAGCATTTTTAAATTAAAGGAATCGAACTTCGTTGTGGCGAAGGATGGACCCAGATCTACGACAAATGCTACAATTTCCAACGCAGGGTTCGCGATTATAACAATACTATGGACACTTGTAAAATCAACGCCGGCAGAGTAGCAGTCCTTGACAATATGAAGCTCATCCAGCTTTTTGACAATGCCTTCGGTCCAATGTCTCATGTGTGGATAGACAGTCGGTTACCGGAACGGTATGCACAAATAAAAACTGGAGAATACGCCCAAATTGCTTATGACTTGGCTCCGATGCTTTCCGTTGAATACCAATCATTAATTTTGGTTAAAGGAACCGAAATGGCACAGGTTATTTGTGAATATCGCCCATCTGACACTGTTCCATGTAACATGTTAAAATATAATTAAAATCAAACATATAATTTGCAGATCTGAAAAAGAAGATTAGTCGATTGTCTGAAATTTATTATTCTGGAGACATTGTGGAAAACCGTCTCATTATTCGTACGGGATCATCATACGTGTGCGTCATTAAGCTAAATAAAAAATCACTCACTAATTTCCTTTTAGAAGCAATGAAAAGGGTTTTGCGCGGGCTTTCGAGCACACTATTTGCAATGTAATTATTCTAGTGATTTTTGTTTTTAAATTGTATCGTTTAAGAACATGTTAAACGCTATTGGCGTTCGAGGAGTACGAGGAGCTCTCGAATTCAAAACAGAAGATCAACTCAGAAAAATCTTACTTGATAGTGATCTGAAAAATCAGGGTGCTCTTTACCACAGTCCTGTCATTTATTCTAATGTTCTAAAAGGAGAAGCTTGTTTTCCTATGCAACTTGAATCTGTTTGTAAATTTCCCTAAAATAACGTTGTTATGTTGTTTTCTTGAAGAAAATAATCACTGATTGCTCGGGAAATGTGTTCCAACCTGCTCAGCACGGTGCTTATGAATACGAACGATATTACTACAAAGGGTTAGATTTCTTTTTAAATTTTTCTATTCGATTTTAGAACTCACACAAACGCGTCTCAGCTACTAGCTCAAACAAACGGTGCTCGTGGACCAATGATATGTCAATCAGGTCTCGTTTTTGTGTTAGCTGTTTTTTTTACAAAAAAAAATTTAATTTTAACAGCAATTATTTCAGTTTTTGTGTCGGTAACTTACAACAATTGCCAAAAACCGGAAGACCACTTTGCAGGTCGTCATATTTGTCATCGGGTATGTAAAACCGGGGAATGTGTAAGTATTACTTTTATTTCAGCCAATCTCTTGGGCAACAACCTATGATAATGCTCAAGAGGCTTGTCGCAGAATGGGAATGGTATTAGCTGGAGTGAACAGCAACGAAGAACGAGATTGGATTTATGAAAGTATTTGTACACAATTGGTGAAATATTCACGTCTAAAATTTGGCATTTTAGGAGTAAAAAAAGAAAACGGCGATCAAGATTATTGGTTTGGCGCTCGTCGCAAGCTCTCATGTTTGTACCATTCATGCGATTGGAATGAGATGTATTCATGGGAAAATGGAATAGCATCAGATCGAACAATGGAAACCATGTCATTCTTTGGTTATGGATATCCTAAATATCGTCCTCAAACTCCACATTGTTTAGTCATGAAAAAACACTCCTATTATAAGGGTGCTTTTGGTGAAGACGAGTAAGATTTTTTTTTTAATTTTTAGAATATTCAATTATTACAGCTGCCAGAATGTTAATCGATTCGTCTGTTCCAATCTATTGAAAGTCGTTAAATCCGATTATGAATAAATTTTTTGACAATAATTTTTCTCAAATTCTCTATTGTTTCGAAGACAAGGAAAAGGTGTGCTTTGCAAAATCGTATGGTACCCCGGAATGGAATTGGGCCGTAATAGACCTCGGATTTTTAACCATTTTTTAATAGACTTTTAAAAAATTTTTCTTCGAAATTTTGTATATTTTACAGTTGAAAAAATTTGCCGCGTGCGCCAGAAAGAGAACTTTTAGAAGTTGATGGCTAATGCATGCGATTTAAGAACATGTATGGAGGCATTGAACGGTTTTCCAACAAACAAAACAATGATGCAATTGCACTCTATTGAGAACCGAGTTCTATTACAGCCGAGTTCTTTCACGGCGAGTTCCACTCCGTGGTACCACCCAAAATCGCAAGAAAAATAATTGGCGGAGAAATCTTTACCATTTGTCCGCAAACACGTTTACATGTTTTTGCAGCCGATACTCGGCGCACTTAGTCTCGTGCTTCGATTTGTCCGTTTTTCGCGTGAAATTTACCATATTTCAGAATATATGGCAGAGTTGGCGAAACCCAAAAAAGAAAAGGATAAAAAACGAACGGCGCCGCTGATACCGAAAAAACCGGATGTTATCAACGGATTTCAGCTTCCCGAAGCGCCATCACATGCTTTAATTGAAAGATCTGCGTCACCGGAGCCGGAAGAACAGTGAGATTTTCCAATAATTATTTGGCTTACGTTGTTCTAGAAATGTAAGTGATATCGAAGAAGAGCCTGATACCGTCCTGGAGCCGGAATCCCATGAAACTCAATCCAAGCTACCGACTGATGAAACTCCTTCATCTGTAACAGTTGAGGCAGCTTCTCAGATTCCTTCGAAACCCTTGATCTTTCCACGTTCTACATCTATAGCTGAACGGATAGCTGCAAGAGAAGCGTATGGCTTATATTTAAAACAAATCTTTAATTGTAAAAAAATTGTCATGAATATGTCCATTATTATTTATTTGACAGCAGTGTTTCTAGTTCTGGCAGACACACTTTTTTGTTTCTCTCTTATTTTTCCATTTTTATTTAGAACACATAGATTTCTACAATGCTCCTTTTTTTAACTTCATCGCCTATTTTTAGACCACCAATTCCGAATAGAAGCCTTATCGCCCAGCAATATCCCACAGTTCCGGAGCTCTCTGAACTGCCTTCATATTGCGAACCACTACAACCGCAAATGCTGCCAAAATGTCAAGAGTCGTCAGAGAAATTTAAAGTCGCTGTTGCACCACCTATGTATCCTTCTATTTCATGCTACGAAAAAGATGAATACGGATTAATGACTGAAGGACATTTGATAAACTTCTATCATAATCGCCTCTATGAGCTAGCCGATGACTACGTTGACCGTTTCATAGCCAATGAAGAAGTTCCAGTCTCATCTGGGGTTCTTTTTCCCCTGCTTAAACGGTTTAAAGAAACGTGTGATCACATGGAAATCACCGAAATTTCTGAGAAAGAAAATACAACGCAATTGCAAGCTTGCCTACAAGCTGTATGGAAAAGTCAGCAGTTTTCACAAAAGGCTGTCGGAAAATGTGGAGAAAACCGTGATGGGACTGGCACTGCTATGTTCACATCATTCACTATTGAAGAGCATAAAATCCAAGAGCTGAAACGATTGCTCTCAGAAAATCGTTGCAGTTCTTTGGATCATAAACTGTGTGATGAAGCTTCTTTCCGATCGTTAGCTCTTCAAATTGCATGGATTATAATTAATATTAATAGTTGTTTCATGATGGAAAATGGACTAAACGCGCAATGCCCTCCCCTATGTAATATTTTAATACTACATATATTGCGATATATTATAACATTTCAGTAATTCCACAATCCATTGAATCACCGAATCGTTTGAATGTTCGCCGAGCTCTATCGGACCTGTTCTACCATTTAAGATATCCGCGGCTCGGTGAAAGGTATAAGCAGACCATTGTGAATTGGATCACGGAACTAGTAATAATTTTTTTTTTGAAATCGCAGGGCTATCAAAGTTATTTTAGATATGCGTTATTAACATGCATCAGACGTGTGAAGATGGAATTTTTGTGCTTTCCCACATTTTAAGGCTTCCGTCACCAATTCATGATTGGGCTCCCCAGTTTGTTCAGACTTTCATTCAGTCAAACTCTTCTCCTAAGCTCAAACTCGATTATTGTCTGGCACTCATGACACACCTCCTCAATCCAATAAAGTGAGTTTTATTAATATTACTTTGTAATGTTTGTTCTGAAAAACAAGCGGAAACCAAAGTCGGGCACTTTTTATTCAGAAACAAACTATACTTATGATAGCTTTTCAGGGCGCGGGAAATTTTTCTTCGTCACGTGGCGCAATCGGAAAAAGAGGAATCGACATGGGAGATACTTGAAGAAGGAGATGATGACGATCCGGTACCGTATTTTATACTTTTTTGTTACTATATATTTTTCAGAGAGAATTTTCATTTGTAAATATCAATGAATTGGACTTAATCTCACTTTTGGATCAGCTGCCAATCTCTGAAATATACTCTGCTGCGAACCTGGCATTTTTCTCATGTATAGATTGTGTGAAAATGATTAAATTAAAAACAAATCATTTCAGATAATGATAAAACATCCGAAATGACTTCTCTAATTGCATTCCAAATATTACTCATGAAGGTTCTTGACAATGGATTAACGAATTATTCAAAACCTGGTTATCGCATGTTTTGTAAACGCATTGGAAAAAATTTAAAGTATCGAACGTTTGAAAACATTGAAAGCATTTTTCTTCAGGCAAAGTGTGTGCGAGCTCTGCCGCCGATGGAGTGAGGTAAAATATCAGATACCGAATACCGACGAACAGTTTATTCAAAAAGAAGTGGACCGCATAGTCCTACTTGGACTCAATTATTTAATACACAGGGATAGGTAAAAAGACAAATATAGTTTTTTCCTGCTATTCTGTTGTATATTTATATTTAAAATTTTTGTTTCTTTAGCATTGGCTTATTTCAATTTGTCATCAGTCTACCTTATGACGTGGTTTCCGAAGAATGTCGAATTAGGTGTGAATTTGTGCTGCGATCAGAAAAGAAAATGTCTATTCACGAAATTTATGGGACACCAATTTCTGAAGTACAAGCTAAGAAATCGTTAGGTAAGAACGATTGTGAATTTTATCTGAGTATTTCTGCTTTAGTGAAAATGATGAGCAGGTTCCATTCACTAAGCCCTCAAGATCGAGAATTTCTCGTCAATTCCATTGCCACGATTCAGTCATATTCGAGCTCAGACGCCTCTGAATTCTTCAAGGAGATTATTGATGTGAGCTGAAGAATTAATAATATCTCTAACCATATTTTGTTTTGTATTTTATATTTTATATTCATATTTTAGGTTTGCTTTTGCGATTTAAATACCCGCAATGAAATGTACAAAGTTGGTGGAGAGGCAATCGGCGAAATTCTGAGCCGAAAACCAGGAACACTCGATCAATTGTTAGTCATTATTGATCGAAATTTGCAACATATGGACGCGGTATTGAATTTCATAGAAGATAATATATATATTTTTTTAATTTCAGCATGCTATCAACGTCTTGTCAACTTCAAAATTAGGCGATTGCCGACTCTCAGAATCAATGATCAGTATTATTGGTAAATGGCTGATTAATAATGTGAGTAAGTCTATTGGAAATAATAGCACAATATGATTCAGCCTCCGGAACATGGCGGAAATCGTCTTGCACGTCGTGTTCTTGCTGGCCTTCATTGGGGCCCTGACGCGGATGGTTTGCAGCTTTTTATTGATGCAGGAGTTCATGCTCTCGCCGCTGACACTATTGTTAAAGCACACTCGGTTCATTGTTCAAAGTCAAACAGCATGATTGCCAAATCCATCAAACAAATTGCTAAGCTTGCAAGTAAAGTAGGGGATGCGGAGACGCACTTTCAACAATTTTGCTGGGATCTTTTGGTGAAACTTAAATTGCCCAAAGTTTCAACCATCTCTGTCCAAAATGATCTTACAGCTCATTACGTGAAAATTGTACAATGTTATGAAGAAAAGTAAGAACGTTAAAATTTTTATGACTCACCTACAATTTTAGCATTACTACGTATTTGGAAAACGCTGTACCTCTTTTGTCTAATCTTGTCTCTTCTGGCAGTTCTGTTGCTTGTGTTGTGCTTATTTCTCGTCTTATTGCTCAGCACTATGAAAAACATACAGAATTGGGAAGCAACAAGGCATTTATGGCAGTTTTTGAACAAGTTCTGCACGTTGATCAGCTTTCATATGCGGTTCAATGGTTATCGGTACCGTCGGAAACTCCTACCCCCGTTGTACGCCTTTTGAGCTCTGGTATTGCGGTAATTTTACGTTTACATGTAATTTGATCCACAGTTATTTCATTTTATAGTATTATTCGAATCGTGTACCAGAACGAAAGGAATTTATTAGAGCATGGATGCATTTATTGTGCTGCTCTAGAAACGGATGGAATGAGGATGCTGTAAGATTAACAGTCTTAGATCATTTAATCACTAAATACTTTTTCCAGGTAACATATCAAATTGCCGGCACTCTTGTACGACAAGCTATTATTCATGATGTCGAAAGTCTTTATGAATTGCCAGAAATGCTTCACAAATATTACAAAGTTTTTTGTTTCTTTTTTTTGCTTTTTTAAATCACCGTTTTTTAGCAACAACTTGCCGCTGAAAAGGCTGCTTCGCGAGGATTATTCACAGTATTCTCTTCTGACATTTCGCCATCACCGCTTATTCCAGACTCAATGTTAAGAATTGCCCCAGCGGCTTCTTATATCATGCTTCTTGTTGAGAAAGATGCGTTTTCTACTTTTTATGACTATTTGTTTGATAACTTAGGAAAAAAGGAAAAGAATAAACTGGAACATTCTGTGAAGGTAAATGTTTATCTAATTATTAATAGATTTTTGGAAAAACTGCAGAAAGCTTCCACGAAGTCCTCCATTTCTTTACCTGTGGACCGTCTCGCAGTATTTAGATGGGTGAAACTGGCTACTAAATGCAATGATTCCGTGATACTGCCCCTAATTTTGCAACAAGTGACTATTGAGGCTTACAAGCTACGTAGTTCTGGCATGTAAGACGTACGAATTTACTCTGCGTTCAGTTGACTTTTCAGGCATACACAGTGTTTTGCTAGAAAGCTAATAGACGCTACCGATGTCCAGCCGATTATGACTGAATTTAGAAAAGCAATTGAAGAATGTACTCTAAATACTAAAGGGTAATTATTGATGAAATTATACAATGCCCATAATCCATCAAATTTTTAGTCTAACTCGTGCTGTACTTGGATGGATATTCACTACCCATAATGTCACCAGGAATGGATTCAATTTCTCCGTCTTTGATCTTGATTATCTGCTGCAGCTAGTGCTCGCCGGGGATAACCATCCTTGGATGGATTATGTAGATATTGCGGCACTCAATTCGGAAGAAATTAACGAGCAGAAGCTTTACTCGGTGACTTGTCAACATGATCCGAAACCAAGTTTTGCTTTCCCCACGAAGAATGAAATAATCAACTCGCCAAAATCTGTTGCACTTCCTTTCCCGATACTTCCGGTACACAAAACATTACCGAAAGCGCCTGAAGTTGAATCAAATGCCCTATTTCGTCCGAACTGTTTAATGCAAATGGTAACACCATATATAGGATGTATAAAGGACCTCGCAACAAATTTCATGGAATGTGGAGATCAAATGGAATTGTTTGATGAAAAATATGTGGAGCTGATTAATAAGCTCTACCAACCGACGAAGCAGAGCATTTCAGTTCAGATTCGCTGCGATGGCGGATGCTCTCGGCCGAAGTCATGTGTAATCGATGTCTCAACAAACGTGTTTAGTGCGGCAACGAATACAGAAGTCGCAAAAAATCGTGAGAAACGTGTTGCTCTTTGGAATGATCTTTATACGGGCTTGGTTGATAAAACCGCTCATGCAACGGCTAGCTTTGAGCACCTGGCGAGAATTATTTCTAATCTGGCAATGAGTATGAATGAGATGAACCGATCAAGAGCACAGACTTCTGGTAGTCAGTACTTTCATCTATTGGTTTCGTCGGTCGGTGATCACGAACTTTTGTACAAGCCAGCAGTTGAAGCCTATACGAACTCGCTAAGAGAAATAGGAAAAGTGAGGAATGGACGCAATTCTCAACGCTTCACATTTTGTAGGAATTTATTCGCCTTCAACCTGGAGAACAAATTGATGTCATGAAAATTGCGCTTGATGGAGTTGCACTCTATGAGCCTATTGTCGAGGTATTATTTTTCAACTAATGACAGTTAATCCATTGTCGACTCAATTTAGTTATTCACACCGGAAGTGCTCAATTCAAAAGACCTCTGCGCGGCATATACTAAACTCTCTGAAGCTGTACGAACACCGGAAAAAAGCAACATGGCTCTACAATTGTTAGGTATGTCAATTAACAGAAAAATTTATTAATTACACCAACAAATTACGAAAATACGGACGAAGCGTCATGCGCTCGAACCTCGTAATATTCGCTTTTGCTCACAATATGCGTTGCACTTATAAGAATGCGAAAATTTTTTTGAACGGCGAGCAGTCGAAGGGCAGCTACTTCCCAATAGGTCACACCCCCCAACACAAACACCATGATTGCTTTCCTCATTCGATTATCTGGACGTCGATCGGCTGCGATATAACTGTTCTCTTCAACTAGAACGTTATTTTTTCCTGAAGTAATTAAAAATTTCAAATTCTATCTAATTAGTTTCAACGAACCCACGATCCTCTCGTAGTCCACCTTGTTCCATCCGTGTTCCATCGTATCCTCGACAATTTTACAAAGAAGCGGAGAAATACGAGCGCCAAACACATAACTCATATCTGTTGGATTCGACATATCCATCGGCTCGTTTCCCTTCACAATTCGGAATCGTTTCGTCAGATTCTCCCACGTTTTAGCCCGATCTGATAGGTTTCGGTCGGAGCTGGTATGACGTCTTGCGTATATTATGCCGAAGTTGCGGAGATTTTGAATTTCGTAAATGCGTTCATAACTATAATTGAATATTAATGATTTTCTTTATTAGGATTTCTTGCCAACTACAGAATTTCGTATAATCGGTCTCGCGCGACTGCGGAAAATTGACGACAACAAACACAATAACAGTTAAATAGTCGCAACGCTACAAACAAAAAATGTAAATTTACGAGTTTAGGCGCCCGCACCGTTTGGAATAATAAAAATAAACATAAATATCACAAAAAAAGAGTGCCTCGAACAATTATTGATCAAAGCACATTTTCGACTTTTGCGAAAGTAATAATTTTAGAAGAAAACATTTTGGAAGCTGGAGCTTTTTAAAAATGGATTAATAGCTCATCTCACTAAGAGCTATACCCTACTTTGGCTTTTTTACAACTTTCCGCAGTCGCACAACGCCGAAAATTAAAACAAATTTTTAGTGAGATTATTTTTAAGCCCACTCGTAATCGAATATAATCGCTGTACTATGTGAAGAACAAGTGTTTACCCATATTTCTGTAAGTAAAGTTCGGTAAACTCGTCGTATGCGTCGTCAGGAACACCATCGAGCTTGAGTGAAGCTAATGCCATCATAGAAATTACTAAGTCGTGACAGCTCCGCATTGAGACCCTCTCAAAAACAAAATCAAAATAATCGGGATTGTTCACAGTTCCAAGAAGCATCTCATGCTCCAACTTGAATCTATAAAAAATCTTATTTATGCATTTTTGAAGTATCTACCTTGTCCGGAAGTCTTCCATTTTTACCTTGTTCATCATCATTTCACATGCGCTGATGTGTAATTCACAGTGCTTATGATCAGACTTGAGCGCTCGTAGATCATTCTCCACAAAATTACGATAATCTGCGACATCTTCAATGAGGGCGGATTTCTCTATGCTTTTTTGAATGGATTTTGCTTTAGCGTGCAAAAATTCAAGTGCTGTAGTGACGTGTTTATTTCGAATTGACGCAAAAATGTCTTCGCAGTTGTCGAGCTTTATGGTATCCCCACGATATTTATGCTGCACGTCCTTATCGAAGTTTGAATCAAGTTCAACCCACTCGAAATCCGGTGCCGGAGTTTGATTGTGTATTTCATGTGGAAACGCCAATTTTCCACATTCGATTGTAAAGAATTCGTGAAGAAGACCCTCATATGATGCACCAGTTAAATATACGGGAACTGGATCTAGTTGACGATCAAATACAAATAAATGGCTGATGGGTTGGTCCGGTCGTGCTCGGGGTTCATTGTTGGAACAAAGAGTGTGAACAAGTTTCCACAACTTTTTCGCCTCAGAACCTAAGCCATATACTGTTGGGATGACACCGTACAAGTTTTGAAGGGCTACGAAAATGTTCGCCACGGAAAACATATCGACTTCACTCGTTTCTGGATGCTGTAGGGAGAATAAATCATTTTCTATCGGTAGAAAACACATGTTGATGTCGAGCTGTTGAATTTTTTCAAATACTCCGGACATTTCAAAGATTAAATCGCATTGTTCCAATCGTCTATTGCACCAGATAACGGCTAAAGAATGATTATCGGATTCTTCAACGTATTCAACAAGTTTCTTCGCGTTTTCTACAGTTGAACGCAGAAAAAAAATGCGATGCTCGATTTCCGGGTTCCAGAGTTGAGGAGATTGATCGAGTTTAAATTGGACGATCTTTCTAACACCATGCTTTTTCATATCTGTTGACGTAGCAATATTGTCGATTGGTCGGAGAAGGCATTTGTCGATGAGCAATTCTTTCGAACCTTTGAAATTAAGCAATACGTAAATTATGTTCGTTGTATACCTGGCAACGTTTCTAGATGATGTGTAAACTCTCTATGTGTCACTAATCGTAGTAAATGCAAAGAATCGTCAATCTCCAATTCTCCCGGCGGCATTTTGTACTTAAACTGCAGGTGGATATGCGGGAATAAAAAATAAATGTCGTGTCAAATTGAAGTCGGTGGTTGCGGACGTGGCATCACACATGACGGATTATTTTTTATTTTTTTATTTACGTACGCTTCAGGTCGGTTGGGAATGCAACAGGCGGCCTCCGGCCTGCCGTCACATCAATTTTCTGCATTACTACCGGTAGCATTTGCCAATTTGGCCAGTCAACCGGACCCATCATCACCACTTCATGTGCTCTGCTTACAACACGTCGTGTTTTTTGTTTTTCACCAATTTCCGGCAAATTTCACAAACGGATTGGAATTGGCATTGGAAGGTATACATGAACAGAATTTTTAAATTTAAGCTATTCATTACAGGTTGTAATATAAATACAACGCCTGTTGCACTTCTAAATGCCTTTGTTGAAAAACTCGGAGCAGAAAGTTTTTCAACTGGTGTCTCTCCCAATGACTTAGGCGCTACAAAAGCTCACGAATGCGCACAAATTTTAGCAAAACGGCTAGATGAAGCTCGTACTAAATTGCCAAATATGTACAATATTTGGAGTCGTTATATCGACTCAGTTACACGACTGGCACAACTTTTTTTGTACATTCCGGTTCGTGATGGATTCCAGCCTAATTTGCCGGCTACAGTTCTTCAACGTGGTAAAATATGTTTTACTAGAAATTTCGAACACATTTTTTTAAAGATCTTTACGAAGTTTTTAGTCGAATTGTTGATGTTTTTCATCCATTAATTGCTCCATATTCTGCATTACAAGCTCCTTTCACCCAATCGCATGAAAAACAAGCAATGTTGGTGTTGGATAGATTTATTGAGTTGTTAAATTCACTTCATCACAATTCTATTATACCACCAGGAATGCAGGTAATGATAAAGGAATGAACATTTATCTGATTCGTAAAACGCAAAACTCTTTGTTTAAACATTTTGATTTTTTGCATTATATTCAGATTTTTTTCTTAATTCGATCATTTAATTCTTATATTGTAGAACGTTCAAGCACTTGTATGGCAGTATTATATTACAAAGCTCTCATACCTGAGTCATGGAAGTCAACACTACTATGATGTTCTGGAGAGCCAGTTAATTCGGCTAAATTGGCAGTCTCTATGGCCTTCTAAAATTGCAATTACTGCTATGGAGGAGTGTTTGAAATCGCGTTCACCATATTGTTCCTCCTTCGTCGCTCAGGTATTCGTCAGGATTCCGTGGAACACGATTTTCAATCAGATCAGCGATGTGGAACGTCCTGGATATATGATGACCATGTTTGGCGTTTTGACACGGCTTGTGGCGAGGCCAAAGAATTATGAGAAAGTTCGAGCGTCAATTCTTGAAGTTGCCAAAACAGTCTCAACCAGAGCTGACTGGTCAAACGTAGACCTTCGGGATGTTGAATGGCTGTCGGAAATAGTTAAAACTTCACTTCCAACGGAATCATTATCCAATCCATTAGATGTAGTATCTGTCATACAATCGTAAAAACCTTTTTGATATACATTTAGAAAAATTATTCTTCAGAATTTGGCGTAAAATTTGCGGCTTCATCCCTCGCGAACCGTTTAATGATGAATTAATTAAAAAACAGACGATTTGGATCAAAACGGAATGCGAATTGCTACTTCGTTGTGAGAATACTGCAGCATTGGCAGCTTATAATTCATTGATTTCTGATGTTAGCTCGGTGGCTAGTAATCAAGGTAAGTTTTCGTTCCGTTATTCAATTTTGAAATTAATGGACCTATTCATGTAATAAAAAAATGTAAAAGCTTACACATTTTTCAAATGCAGGGTATGTAAAAAATGCAAATTGAATGTAATTTTTTTTTTCTAAAAAAATGTATTTCATAAATAGGTCTATAAATTTACTCAATTTTTCTGAAAAATATAGTATTTATTGCTTTTGTAGAACAACTGAAACCATTTTGCGTCGTTGCTTGTGAATTAACCGCCCTGTGGAAAAAAATTAGCGATCCTCATCTCGGAGAAGCTTTTGTACAATTGTGGAACAATTACTTGATGACAAATCCAAACTCTCCTCTAGTATTAACTTGTCTGAACACTATTATCGAATCGCTAAATGATGACCAGCTGACAACAGCGCTCAAAGTTGTCGAAAAAACCATAGCAGCTTACTTTTTGAGGTCGGAAAGCTGTTGGAACGAACTGTTGAACTGGGTTCGGCTACCTGAAAAGAAAATGAAAGCTATTGAAGGATATCTTTTTACGATTCCGACGTAACAAGTTTTTTTTTAATTCATGCGTGATTTACAATTTTTCAGATCGGAAAATAAAGTTACTTCACTACCTCTTACTTTGCGAGTCTTCATGAGCTATGGAAACGTTGACAATAACTTGTTCTTTGCCTTACATGGGTATATAACAAATTTGAAGCCGAAGTCTGGTTTTTATATGAAATTCGATTTGATAATTTTTTTTAGGCATGTTCTCGACGAAGCTGGACTGGTTTGTCTTATTGCAAAACTTGTTGAATGGATGTCTCTGCGAGCTGCAAGTCTTCCCAACCAAATTTCACCAACTGATGATCTATTTCCTCCTCTGATTCGATGGTTGAACAAGTCTTCAAAAGACGAATCCAAATTTTTCACTAATTTAATAAGCAATAAAAAAACGACACATTCACCAAAGTTAGTGATATTGTTTTCATTTGAAAATGTTCATTCCTCATTCCAAATTTTAAGGCTTCGCGTAATTTTTCAAATATTGGAGCTTTATTTAACACAGCAAAGCGTTGGAGAAGGTAGAAGACCAAGATGCGATTCGAATTCGCCGGTTTTTAATTCTAGAATTTCAGCTATTAAGGAGATGGCGGGGCTTAAAGTTAGTTTTTCTTTAGCTTCAGTTACCTGATTTTTCCTATTTCTAGGTCAATCAACACATGAGCGCCACGTTTAACAAAGCAACCACGTATTTTGTTAATGTAGAAACCTATAATATCTTGTCTTCATCAAAAATGTTACTGGATGTGAGCCACGCAACATTCCGTGACAGATTTTTATCTGATAATTAAAATATTTTACTTATTTTAAAATATTGTGCGGGTTAATTTTTGCTAAATTATTCTAGTCTTGATTGTTCAGAAATTTTTTCGTCTTATTGTTTTATCTATGCATGCCCTATAATAATTATCATGTTTTTTTTTCGGGTTTTCCGACTTTGTACTTATCAGCTCATCGGTTTTCGTTTTTTATGTGCTTTGACATTGTATAAAATTTTTATTGCGCAGCAAATGTGCTCTATTGCAAGTAGTTGTTGAGCTTTCGTATTTATCGGTAAGAGTGTAAGAGAGACATGAGAGATATTAGAGAATCGATAAAAGCCGCACACTCGAGATTTAGCTTTTTCGCGGTTTTAGTACTCATTTTATGAATTTCAGGGTTTTAACCGTTGCTCTGAACCGACACCAGGAATGCGGATATTTTGGTTAGTTGTTATATCTGCGATTTGTTTGACTTCCATTGCACAAGAAGATGAGGATCCTTATTCTGTGCTCGGAATTTCTCGCCGAGCATCGCAAAGAGAGGTTAAAGGAGCATACAAGGCAATGGCTAAGGAATGGTGAGAAAATTTTCATTTGAATTTGATAGTTTTCCTATCCCTGAAAAATGACTCAGTTTTTTATAGAGTACGAGAAATTGCGCCGAAAAGTTACGCAATTTCTTGTAATCTTGTCAATTTTTCTATGGAAACCTAAGCAATACATCTGAATTCCGCGGTTTAGAAAGCGCATCCATTCACTGCCTTGTTTCGGTCTCTCGTAAATATCAGGACGTTTGTTTTTGAAAGAAGATAAACATTTATTAAACTTCCCTATGTCTGAAAATATTTTGACCGAAATCCTGGAAATATCAAAAATCAACAGCTGAAGTTTTTATTGCTTCCAAAAATTATATGAACTGTCTCAAAGACTGCACGATGATGATTATATATATATTTTTTTTAAAAAACTAGGCATAAAAAAATTTTTTTTAAGTTGCCGAATGTTCTTCTCAAAAATTTTATTATGAAACACTTACCTGGTTTTGTGAAAATTGTTTTTTCTCAGGCATCCTGACAAAAACCAGTCGCCTGAAGCACATGAAATGTTCATGAAAATTACGAAGGCGTATGACATCCTTTCGGATCCATTAAAAAGAGAGAGGTATGACAAATTCGGAACAATTGATGATACACCCAACACAAATCGAGGAGGATATGGAAACGGAAGGGGATACGACCAATTTGTAAGATATTTCATAGGAAATAATTTCTGTTGCTTATTGTTTTTAGTTCGGCTTTGGCTTCGGAGGGTTCGAGGATGGCTTTTTTGCATTGCATCGAATTTCTCTTCGAATATTTACCCATTCAATATTAGAAAAATCTGACGAGAAGCCTTTCATTATTTACGCCTATTCGAACTATTGCCAGCTTTGCTTCAGACTACAAGCAGTTTGGAAAGCAGCTGTTCAGGATTTAGAACCACTAGGATATGGAATAGCTACTGCAAACGCCATGACTGACGGGAACCTGGTAGAGAAACTAAGAATTTCTCAACTTCCTGCGATAGTCGCTGTTATTGAAGGACGTGTAATCCCAATGCGACATAACATGCTGCATCTCAGTGATCGGTAAAAGTTCCATCTAAAGGTAGTTGTTATTATGCAGTTTTCAGAGCGATTCGCGTCTTTGCCCAAAAAGTTATTCCGGATTATTTTATGACGAGAATTGCATCGATGTCAGCGCTAACAAGATTTGTTGAGCAATGGAAAACAACAAATAAAGTGTCTGTAATTATTTTTGGAGCCGCTGCGGAGCCGAGAACGCGTTACTTGCTCTCTGCAATGAAATTCTCACAATTTGCTAAATTTGCATATGTTAGCTTGGCGAATCCATCGGAGGATGTCATCGCTGTAAAAAATGCTATGGATGTCAAGTGTACAACCTGCGAAAATATTTTAATATACGATGACTTTGTGCACGTAAGTTTTTGAAGCCTTTTGAACTTTAAACATTTTTATTTTTTCAATAATGTTTCAAGTTGGTTTTGTTTTTAACTGTGTATTTTTAGAACGATGCAATTGCCCGACTTTCTATCAGTAAAGCTAATCAATTGAAGAAAGAAGTTTTAGAAGAATTCATCGAAAAACACAAATTGCTCACACTTCCACGTGTATGTAATTTTACTTTATGAACATTACATTCTTCATTTAGATATCATCGATTACAATGTTCGATACGATTTGCCCGGTCTCGTCTCGCTCTTCGCGCCAATTGTGTGTACTACTTCCTGTCACTTCGTCAGAAGACACCCATGTTGAAGCATTCAGAGAATATGTCAAAGAAGTTGGAAAAAAATGGGCATTGAAAAATGTGCATTTTTCGTATATTTATATCGATCGACAAATTGAGTTTGTGAAGCCGTTTATTGAGAAGAGAACTGGAGATATTTCGGTAGATTAAAAAATATTTTTACATTTTTCAATTAATGAAAAACATTTTTCGCTTTTCAGAAAACATCACGCGATATCTTGGTTATATGGCGAATGGAATATATCAAAGTGAAGTTCACATGGCTTGAAGGAGCGTGGACTGGAAGAAAATATGATATAGAGGAGCAAATTTTGGCGGTAGTTGAAATGCGCAAGAAGCTTGAAGAAAATTGCCGTTTGGGATCGTTGAAAAACGAATATTCGTTATCATTTTTCACACGCTGGAGCCGTGCATTCTGGCGGACATTTGAAACCGCATGGTTCTATCTAACGCATGAAGAAGCCTACATGATTTTGTCCGTAGTAGGCACACTGTTTCTCATTCTCGGAATCGGATGGGTTCTTTCTTATATGAGCGAGCCAAAACAAAAGGTTAGGCAAAGAAAATACAAGCCTAACGATGTTGCCGATGTGACTACTGATTCGGAATGGCACCCTGACGATCCAAAGATCAAGAAGGATCTTGAAGCCACCACAGCGAAGCGGGAAAATATAAGAGCCCAGAGAATTCTTAATGTAATGTCACCATTGATGCATGAACTACGTGCCGAGACTTATTTTGGAATGATTCGACTACTTAAACCTGGATGCCGGTCAATTGTACTCCTCGTTGACGACGAAAATAAGCCGACTTTATTGAAACAGTTTGCGCAATATATTTACCCCATCAGAAAGTAATTTAGATTTTTATTGCACATGACGACTAATTTTTTTTTCAGCAATAAAACGTTCTCGTTTGGTTATTTGGTAGTGCCGAAAAATCTTGAATGGTTTCGAAAACTTCTTGAACACACTCTACCAACGGAAGATGGTCCGATAAAACCAGGAGCTGAAGCTACGCTATATCAAAGACTCAAGGTATTATTCATATAGTCACGGACGAACGAATTCAGAGGGCGTTGCTTATGATAGAAATTTTTGCGCGCTAGTATTGCAATCATTTTTGATTTGTTCGTGCGAAATTCACTTCAGTTTTGTTTTGTGGGAGCAATTAAATTGCAGCCCGCGCAATTCAAATTTCCCAAATTCGGCCGTCCACGACAATAATAATTTCGAACAGTTATGGGAAATGGCATTGTGGAATTCACAATAAAACTTTTTATTATGACGGTTTTCTTCAAAATGACGCCATTCGGCAGGTTCATATTTTCATTCCTGAACACATTTGGCAAATGCTTTGTTTTTTAAGAGGTCAACCATATTTACTATTTGTCCCGCATTTGGTGTTACTTAATTTATGGGGTGGATAGTTATAGGCAAACGGAAGGGAATACGGTTCAAAAATGAAGTTTCAAAATCGAAAATCAAAGTGTGCACGAAAGTTGCGGGTGGAAAGTTCCGATAAAAAAATGGATGTTCAAAAGTTGGCGGATGATGGAAAATATGAACCTGGCGAATGGCGTCATTTTGTCGCAAAAAAATGGGGTGCGGGTTAATGGCAATGAACCTTCAAAATAGATTTGCTCATCAATATTGTATGTTATTTAGCTAATTAATCCTCGTCAATGCGTCGGAACTGTGCTATCATTGTGCGGCTGGAAGTTATATTTCTCTATTTACCATCCAAAACACGTTGAAGCCAGCCGTAGAAATTTCATCGACACTGACGAAGATATTACATCAGACGAAGAAGATGCCGACTCATATCGTAATGACGAATTTGCATCAATGGGAGAGAAAAAGAAGTTACATCGATCTTTATCACAAAAAAGAGTAAATATGGGAAATGTGCTTGATGGTTTTCCAAATTGGCTTGATCGCTTATTAGAAGGCTCAATTAGGAGGTATTTTAGTTTTGTCATCTATTTACATTGTTTTTTTAATTTTCAGATATTACATTCCCGAGTGGCCGGATAATCTTAAATAATCTTCCAAAAATAAACAACAGACGCTCAGAATATTCAGTGTCATTTTGTTTTTGAGTGCTATATTTTTTGTCTACTTTATTGCCTACTTGCTGTTTTAATCATAATCTTAAACTAATAAATTAAATGATCGTGATATTTACTTAATATATATTTACAAATAAGTGTATATCTTTCAGTTTCATACTTATTACTTAAATGAAAAATTCATATCGTTCATTATAGATGATTAATCCAAGCTGCTTTAAACGAACTTTGAATGCGGGGCGTGGATCACCACCCGATTGGTGTGATGGTACCAAAGCGATTTTCCATTATCAAGCTCTTGCCCCGATTGATCCTATTAAAAAAGGAAATGGAATGCCGGAAGGAATAGATGCTTATCGTGTAGTTGATGACACAAGGAAAACATGGCCACATGGTTATGGGAAGCCTCTCGTATTGATTTTTGGCAAAAAATTTCAACTTCCAGTATTTGAAACTTGTTTGAGAAGTATGCTTGTTGATGAGGTAAGCTACATAAGTGATGGATCGTTTCATTGTTTGCAAAATTGTTGAATTCGCCATTTTTACCCAATGTAATCACATAAAATTTATCAAATTAGAATATAAAAAAAGAAGTCTGTTCAGATAATAATCAATTTAATTTTTGTGATAAGCATAATTGATTAATGATATTTTTAAAGTTTAATTTTACTTATAGTCGACGTCCGGTGACTGCTGTACGCGGGTAGATTTACGCGCATGCGCCTTGAAAAGGTCTCGCCACGGGTGAACGCCTATTTTGCTGTTTTCACGTGGACGATTTATTTTTTCTTGGTGAATTTGGCATTTCCTTGAATTTCCAACGTCGTTCGATTTAAAAAATTATCGAACCGACCCATGAAATTTGAAATAACCTGTTTGTCTTTGCGAGACCATTTCGAATCTACCCGCGTACAGCAGTTGCCGGACGCCGACTATACTGTAGTTTATAGATCTCGTGAAAAATTGGTAAAGCGGAAGCTTCTATATGTTACTATGTATATTGCTCACTACGTGAACTTGAACGAAAAAAAAATCAAATTTATTGCAGGTATCTCAGTTTGACGTGGAACTTATCGAGCTGGTACAATATCCATTTATTTCCAAAAAACTTCGCGATATATCCAAACCCAGCGATGGCAATCATAATCATGATCATGGTCACATGTGTGCGGCGAGCATGACTAACGGGTAACGAGCGTCAGATTTTATTATATCAATAATAATTTATGTTTCTAGTACAGGATATAAGGAACTGGACGAGCTGCTAAAGAATCCCCGTCCACTTCGATTTATTATTCATCTTTTAAAAGTATTCGCGCCGGATGAGTATGTACCTGACTCGTGGCAGTTGAATGAAAAGGATAAATTGGCATCGGTTGAGAGTATTCGATTAAAAGGAAACCAATTATATATAAAAGTATTTTGTAAAGAAAAATTAAATATTAATAATACCTTTATTAAGAAAGAATACAAAGCTGCAATAGAATTGTATAAGGAAGCTTTGACTAGGTTGGACACCCTTTTGCTTCGCGAAAAACCTGGGGATCCGGAGTGGATTGATTTGGATAGAAAAGTAAGAGTTGTTCAAAGTTCATAGAAATTTTTCCCATTTTTAGAATATTGCTTTATATTCGAATTTGTCGCAATGTTATTTAAATATTGGAGATTGTCATGAAGCAGAGGAGACTTCTACAGAAGTTTTAAAGCGAGATGAAAAAAATGAAAAAGCACTATATAGGCGTGCGAAGGCGAGAATGGAAGCTTGGAAACTTGATGAAGCCGAGCAAGACTTTTGTATGCTCCTAAAATTCCACCCTTCCTCTGCGAGTCTTGTGGCGAAAGAACTAAACGTTTTAGATAAGAAAAGAAGAGAAAAGCTCCAAGACTCAAAGTCTACATTTTCAAAAATGTTCCAATATCAAAAAAGTAAATGAAATAATACAAAATAAACATTTCGATAAATAATTTATACCCGATTCATTCAGTTTTGCAACGTTATGTTTCGAACAAGTTCTGTCGTGTATTCTTGAACTTTTGAAATTTTATTATTATAAATGCTTTTAAGGTTTTTAGATGGTTCGATTAATATCAATTATATTAACGTTACTTAACAGCCTATCTATTTTATGTCTTCCTGTGGAAATTCGAAATAGAAATCACATTGAGGGTGTTCCAATCGAACGTGATGGGAGGATAAACAGAAATTTGAGAAAAGAAGTGGGATCTATTGTGAGAGATAATGGATCTGTTCAGTGCTTGTAAAATTTGTTATTTTTACCCAACTCAATACAATCAGATTTGTTAAATTTGACGTAAAGTAGCGTTTTCGAATATTTTGCTGAATAGTTCCATTAGGGTTTCCAAGCGGACGAGAAAACCGCCCGTTCCTACTTACGCGCACATTTCATTTATTGTCGGCGTCGCGCGACGATGATAATACGAATATGTACGCGAGGGGACGGTTGCGTGGAAATCCTAAATTTTTTGAAAACATTCTTTGATAACAAGTGATTTCAGATTGTATTAACTCATCATGAAGACAAGCAGTTAGACCAGAAGGAGTTGAAGAACTCAATTCGGGAAATGTTCAATATGTATCCACATGTATTTTCGCAATATTAAGTTATCGATTTTTAGGGCTGATACAAATAAAGACGGCTTTCTTGAGAATGCAGAGCTTTTGACAAGAATACGACATAATTTCTTAAAGCATTTAGAGAAATCAACGCACGAAGCTAAAGAATCATTTCACGTAATCGATAAAGATGCCAGTAAATTTTTGTCTTGGGGCGAGCTGCTGCCGTTTTTCAATCATGAAAATGATGATCTGGGCCAAATAATGAAAAATTTTCATACTTGCGATGTTAATAATGATTCCCTACTGGATCAATGGGAATGGCTAAGCTTTTTGCATCCCGAGCAGGATCGGCAGGCGCTATTGTTAATGACGAAAAAAGTACTAGCCATTTATGGTAGTTTATTTAATATATTATTATTTTTTGTGATAAATTTCTCAGACAAGAATGAGGATGGTATGGTTTCGCGGAAAGAGTTCATCAATTATTTACCAGGAAATGTCGATAAATCTAACCTCGAGTATTATCAATTGGAAAATGAGGAAACGAACAGAAGGTCAGCGATATTTAGAACTGTATAATAAACATTGTTTTGAATATCACAGAAGGAACGATTTCGACATGGATGTTGACGTGAATCAGGATGGGTTTGCTACGATTACTGAACTTTTTGCATATGTGAATCCAAGAAATCCAAATTTGGCGAAAAATGAAGTTGCAGAAGTTATAAAATCAAAGAACAACCAAGAATGATTATATAAGGCATTTTAGCTAATTCAACTGGCCGATGCAAATAATGATAAGCTGTTGACTCTTGATGAGCTTCTCAATCGGGATTGGCTTCTAGCCCGGTCTTCTTTACTATCGGCGAGACACCGGCTGCATGAAGAAATGTAAACGATAGAACGAAAACAAGAATTACGAATAAATTTTAAAGAATATTTTATGTTGGTTAAATTACTGTACATTCAAGTCCATGATTGCAGCTGATTTATAAATTTGATGGAGTCACATAATGTTCAAAGTAAAATGTTAGGATGTAGTATTGTCAGGGTCAAACGACTGAAGGGAAGGGTGACCTCCATATACCGAAATTAGTGTATATTTTAACTCATTGTGCGTTTCTCTGAAAAACGAGTACAACCGATGCTTTTCATTTTCATTCAGTCGTTTGACACCCACAATATGAATACCGGAGGGCAAACGATCGTGGTTGCTACGAAGAATTGACTAATTGTTTTTGTAAAGAAAAGTTGATTGGGCTTAAATAGAAATTTTTCATTTACACTTTACGAATGCACGGGTTTGCTATTAAGCATTGGCCCAGCTTTCAAGATCCTCGAGATCTTTATCGGCGGCGGCAGTTTTCTTAGCGGGCACAGCAGGAATCGCAACGTTAGGGATGTCAGGAAGCGAAACAGGTGCTGGATTAGCATCGAGCAATTGTTTATCAAGCTCCTCTTGCTCAAGCTCTTCAAGCTCTTTCATCAAGTCATCCTCGTCGATTCCTGTATGAAAACCGACAGGGTTTGAAATTGCGTCAGCAATTTCATTGGCGACCTCTTGTTGCTCAGCAATATCTTCCATTAAATCATGAACCTATGATATTTTAATCGTTACTAATTTAGTGCAATGCTTTACCTGATCTATATCCATATTATTGTGAGCAGTCTTTAGAGCCTTGCTGGCTTGACCCATAACATTTAAAACTTCAGCGTTTGTGGAAGCATTCTCAAGAGCTTCTCTCTAAATTTAAAAGAAGTTCGTTTTGAAGATAAGGTTGAGTAATCCAAGTACTTGAAATTCAATAGTGTTTAATACTCCATCAATATGGTTTAGTTGTTTTTCAAATTGACGTTTTCGGTTCAAAGCTTGAAGAGCGAGTCGTTTATTTTTTGTTCCGTATTTTATGGCGTTATTTTTTTCCTAAATATAAAAATTAAAACATTTAGTTATTAATTATTTCAAAAAATTACATCTGCGACTTTTTTTTCTAAAAAATCCTGCTTTTTCATGAGCATTTCTTCGGTTTCGCGAAGTTTCTGGATTGCGTCTTGCGGATTTGTCGGTGCTTCTTGCTTCTTACCACCAAAAATTTTCCCAAAAAGGCTCATTTTCTGAAATAACTCGACATATTCATCGTTCGAAAAGATATTTTTGTGTTCGGGAAATTTTATAAGGCAGTGACTCTCTTAAAAATAAAACAAACTGGTTGTTTTTTCTTCCTGTAGAGTCATGTGAGAATATACCAAGGAAATCGATAAAAAGCAGAACAGAAAAAATTATGAAATAAGAATAAAGATAAAATTATAATGAAAATTAATATAACGTGTTTCATGCTTTAAGGAAATGTTTGATGTTTATAATATTGCGAAAGAATGAGTCAGACATTAAAAAAGCAGATATCATTGGCGACAAACTGTGGAAACGTGGAGCGTGGAAAGAGAAGCAAAGAAATTTAAAGGCGCACGAATAACTGGCAAAACGCCAGTGCGTAGCAGCCCCCCATAGATGAGGGGTGGTTACGCACGGAACCTTCGGGTTCTCTTCAACGTTTTTGCCATTTTCTTTAATTTTTGACGGTTTTAAACATTTTTTTGAAATGATTTTATTATCAAATATGCTCGTTTATTGACAATTGCAAACCTTCATACAAAACTCGTTTAAATTTTTTTGCCCGCCGAAAACAATGTGCCCAGTATCTTAATCATTGAAGCTAGTTTTTAAGTAAATTTTTGGATGTTTGCTTACCAATCAATGCAATTGCATGCGATTTCACTTTCACTAACCGTTTGGTTGACATTTTTCTTTCACGGGTATACTCCGAATCTATTTTAACGTTTCATTTTTTCAACAAACAGCTATTCCTCACGTTCAGGTAATCACCATCCAAATATGGATTCTAAAGCTATTGCGGAAAGAATAAAGAAGCTCCAAGCTCAGCAGGAGCATGTAAGAATCGGTGGAAAGGTGTGTTGAAAATTTGCTATTATTCATTAATGATTTCTCTGATTTCTTAGGGTACTCCGAGAAGAAAGAAGAAGGTGATTCACAAAACTGCTGCTGCTGATGACAAGAAGCTTCAAAGCAACCTGAAGAAACTCTCGGTTACCAACATCCCTGGAATTGAAGAGGTTAATGGTATATTTTGAACAAAAATAAACATTTTAATTTGAGGTTAACATGATCAAGGATGATGGTACTGTTATTCACTTCAACAATCCAAAGGTACAAACATCGGTTCCGGCAAATACTTTTTCTGTAACCGGAAGCGCAGATAACAAACGTAAGGAAAGTAAAAAATAGCTGATGATCATCTCGCTTTTCAGAAATCACTGAAATGCTCCCTGGAATTCTCAATCAACTGGGCCCAGAGTCGCTCACTCATCTTAAAAAACTTGCCAACAACGTTACTAAGCTTGGTCCTGACGGAAAGGCTGAAGACGAGGATGTCCCTGGTTTGTTTTTAAACTTATAAACGGCTATATGGATATTTTCAGAGCTCGTTGGTGATTTTGACGCCGCCTCCAAAAACGAGACCAAAGCCGAAGAAAAAGCTTAAATATAATCCCTTTCGATCAATACGCGAGTTTTATGAGATCGTTTCGGATTTCATCCGTATTAATGTATTTCATGTTTCTTGTTATTGTTGGTCGATTTTCATGGAATCTCTTCTTTTTTACTTTCTTACTTGTCCTGTCGCCCCCTTCCACAACATCCCATTAGTGTTATTTGTTATTCTTGTTTTGTACACAAATTTTATTTCCGAATCTCGTGTGGCTAATAAACATTAGCTCGTAAGAAAGCCTTTACAACATCAATGACACATTAATGGGGTTTTTAGTGGTACCGTGTAGTCATGTTCTTCGGTTTTGTTAAGTTTTTGACTGGGTTATTGCCACTGACGACGTCCCGATTGTTCTGTTGAAAATAAATGTTGAAAACTGCACATTGTTTTTTTAGTACGAGTTTCCTTTAATAAGGTTTAACCACCCATTTTATATTCTAAAAATGTTAGCTCAATTTTATTCAATATCTAGTTGAACATGGTGGATTCACAGACCAATGTTACAACTCAGCAGCTATTAGCACTCAGGGGTAAATTTTGTTGTTTTCATGAAAGAACTGATGCAATTCTAGAGGGCTTCCCAAAAAAATATATATAAAGGAAATTTCAATTTTAAATTGTTTTTTCTGTATTGAGCCTTAAAATAATAAAGACTGATATCTTTGCGGTGATAATTTTACAGCAAAATTAAAAAAATTAATTAATTATATAAATTTGTATTTTATCAAAATGTAAAAGTAAGATAATTGTAAATCTTAGTTATGAGGCTCGCGAGACCAAAATTCGCCCAATTTACTGGATTCTCTTATGATCCTGTGGATCCAAGCGGGTTCGGGTTTCTGCTCTCTTCGAAGGCTTGCGAGATGACTGGCGAACGCCGAAATGATCTTCCGATCGGAGAGTTTCTCATCGCGCCGCAAATGTTCGAGTAATACCAATATTCTTCTCAAATACAATTAAATGTTAATTACTTTTCGAAATATTTATCTTGGCGAAACATTTACTTTCTGTGTCAGCGTTGTAAATGAAAGTGAACAGGATGTGGTTGACGTCAACATAAAGGTTTTTCTAGGATAGTAAAGTATGCTTAATTTAGAAAAACGTCTTTAGTGTGAACTTCAAACGACGACACAGCGCGTACCGCTTACATGCTCTATTCAGGAATCAAATATCAAAGTCGGGCAATGCGAATCGCAAGTTATCAGTCACGAAGTGAAGGAAATCGGGCAACATATGTAGGTCAAATAATAATTATTATAAAATTCGTGCAAAAACACCTTTGTTCATCAAGTTTCATTTTCCCTCACACAGTAACATTAGGAGTGGTTAAAGGCGCACACCGCGCACCAATACCTCTCTGTAGTTTTCTTTTATCTTTTAGCGAATTTCCGCAGTCGCGCAACGTCAACAATATGATATTTTTTTGATTTTTGAAGTTACCTCTCTTTCCCCTGTACATGTCGTGATTTCTGCCGGCTTCGAACAGGCCGAAAGATTTCTTGATTGGAGAACAAACTCGATTTTAATGGAAAAATTTCAGGAAATGCTAATCTAATCATAAAAAAATTTAAAAAAATGAAATTTAAAATTTAAAATACGCGTTCATATGTGAAAAAAACCGATGTCGTAAATCTACCCATGTGCGACTATAGCTCGTTTTTTCGTACATGCATCTGGTTCTATTCATTTTTTTTTCGTATAGGCAAACTGAAATTCTTGTAATTCGATTTACACCTCTTCGGTTATATTTTCGGTTTCCATGGTTATCAACAAGCAAAAAAAAATAAAATAGCTATGTTTGTAGTTAGAAAAACGAAAAATTTAGATTGATATGCTCTGTAAACTACAAAACATCGTCTGGCGAAAGTATGTTTTTCCGGAAATTTTTTAAATTTCCGGTTTCGAAGCCTATCGACGTGAAAACTAAGTTTTACAGTGCCGAGGTTAGTTAACTATTCTTATTAAAAGACGATTAATATTTTTCATTGTGCTTTGACGATTTTCTTAAGGACAATGCGGTAAGAACGAATTTAAACGAAAGTATCTGATATTATAAATTAGAACCAGGATGTTTATTTGGAAGCTCAAATAGAAAATACTTCGACAGTGAATATGTTCATGGAAAAAGTCGATCTGGATCCAAGTAGCCATTATAAAGTAAACAGCATTATGAGCCAGTAAGTAAAGTTCACACATACGCACACACACACATATATATATATATATAGCAGTAACTTCATATATATATATATAGCAGTAACTTCTGTAACTTCTAATTTGAAATGAGTTAAAATGAATACATTAAGAAAGAGCCGCTTTTCACGAATCTTCCCGTCGTTACAATAAGTAAACTAAAGCATTTATGTTGATATCCATGAAAATTAACTGTCGTCCATTATTGCTGCGAAAAATTCTGTTAGCTACTTTTTTGGGAGCTGAACTATTACATTCGCAAAAAAAACGTTATCTAGAGTACGGTACCCGAATATCCACATTCTGAATTTAAATTTGAATTAATTTCCGATTTAATTTTTATTTTGAACGCGCTCTTAGCAATGGAATTTTATTTTTGCACTTTCTATTACGGCTAGTTCTATTTCGTCTGAGTTCTTCCGGGGAACCACGTGCCAATACGCAACGCACAAATGCTGTGTATGTGTCTTAGATTACGCTGTTTTCGTGATATTTTGATGAAAAATTTGAATATTGCAGCTAATTTGCGCTGACCGTTTTGAAATTGAAAACCATCTTCCCTATTTCTTTTTTTCCGGAACAGTTTTTATTTCTTTTTTTTTAATGGAATTGCTTCATAATTTAGTGATGAATTCGATATATGTGGATCTCTCCTAAAGCCGAAAGATATCCGTCAATTTTTATTCTGCTTGTCGCCGGTTGATGTTCACAATACTTTAGGGTATACTAATTGTTGGTCCTCTGTCCTTATAATATGGAATTTTCTAGTCATAATGACTTGACCACGATAGGAAAATTGGATATGTCGTGGAGAACGAGTATGGGAGAGCGTGGACGGCTTCAGACAAGCGCGTTACAGAGAATCGTAGGTTATTTTTTTGCAAAAGTAGCGTGTTTGGGTAGATCCACAGTTTCGTTTCCGATGATCTCTCTTCTAAGGTTTCTTAAATTGGAATTACCGCTTAAAAATTATTCATCTAAATGTTTCGTGTTGCTAGAAAAAAACTAACAGTGAATTCGTAGAGACCATAACGAAATGCTTAAACTCATAAACCTACTTGCTCAAATATTCGCCGGACCCCAGTAAATTATTATTATTACGTGTTCTAGGTCCCTGGCTATGGTGATGTTCGACTTTCCGTCGAGAAAACGCCATCCACTGTTTTGGTAAAACAACCATTCCAAATTACGTGCAGATTGTACAATTGCTCGTAACTAACTTCATTCTCTACAGAAAATTATTCAATTATTGTAGGGATCGTGCTTTGGATATTCAATTGCACCTGGAGCAGGCGAAATCAAATCCATTAGTCATTTGTACATCATCTGGAATATCTTTGGGCCAGATTTTGCCATCGAAACACATTGATTTTCAATTGGACGTGTTTGCCGTAGCCGTGGGAATACAGGTTATCACTTGTTATACTGAATCATTATATTTTTTATTTTAGAGCATTTCCGGACTTCGAATTGTAGATACATTAACAAAAAGGGAATATGAACATGATGATATCGCACAGGTGTTTGTATCATAGTTGTAAAATATCTTATTTAAAGTACGAATAAATAACCTATTTACGTACAGACACATTTTTTAATTGACGCTGAGTATGATGCGTTATTTTCGAAGTCTTTCGACCGCGTCATGCCAGAAACACGACTTCATGTTTTCGAAACGTTCATAGCAAGAAACGTAGCTGTAGTCAAGAAGAGTAACATTTCCTGGGCGTTGATCACAGAAGGTTAAACACTGAAATATGGCTATTTATTCAAAAAATTGGTTAAATATAACTACCTTGTCACCAGCTAATGTTGTTGTCACCCCATTTCTCATGCAGCAAGGGCGATGATCTCTGCCTTGGGCTGCACAGAATTGGATTTCGGCGCTTGCAGCTAATGGACAGGCATCCTGACGGAAATACATTCGGGTAAGCTGCAAGGAGATTTTTCATTGGGTATTTCATGTTTGACTAGAGCATTTTTTCTGAATTTAAGTACAAACGTAATTATCATTAGCAGTGTATCTTCCCGGGACAGGTTTTCCCGGGATCCCGGGATTATCGTTTCCCGGGTTTATCCGGGAAATCTCGGGACTCCAATCCCGGGTCTCGTCCCGGTTTCGGCCCGCAACTACCCGGGATCCCGAAATACCGGGATCACGGAGCAACCGGGAGCAAACGCACACTCTTCGAATATTGCGTATCCTCGTTTTTTTCTCGAAATTTAATGAATTTTCGTATTTTAAAAAGATTCCATTGCTTGTTAGAAAATGGCATAGGAAGTCCCTATTTGGAATTTTTTAAAATATTGCAGAAAAATGGTCACAAATGCAATGTCCAAATAACGATTATTCGACATTAGCAAGAAAATATATATTCAAATAGTGTGCGTTTGCGCGAGCGGTGTTTGCAGACTTTTTCCTGGGAAATTAAGTTTTAATGAGTCCCGGGAAACTTCGTCCCGGGTAGATACACTGATCATTAGTGTCTGACGACTGTATTAGCACATTTAATTTTACGAGATCAATTAAATGGCAGATTCACAATTTCTTCGCAAAAAATTCGCTATTTCGTTGTTTCACATGATAAAAAAGTTGTGATATGTCGTTCCACATGATAAAAAAGTTGTGATATGTGCGCGCCTTTAATATGACCCTATGCTGCTTGTAAATCAACTTAGTTTTGAGCTAAGATCGTTTGTACCGTGATTTAAGACGAATACAATTACGCGCCGTACTCATAATTTGACTGAAGAGTTTTCGTTCCTATCACCAAATATCTTATTTTTCTCTTCTCATGCACTTTTTCTGATCACTTTGCTATTATATTACCATAGGAAAAAAAACAAGCACTTCGCATAATTCTGGACCATCGCACTATTTCGAGGTGGGAATTCAAATTTTTTAAAGATAATTTTTTGAGTTTTACACACCGTTTCCTTTGTATATGTGTTGAAGGTGCATTTGTGCAAACAAGCATCCGGAAGTCCGCGTTGCTCGCAGCATTGCATAAACAGCGCATTAGGGTCCTAGAATTCAAATTTCATATAACCGGTACAATTTTGGGAAAATACGCCATCGGATTAATGTATCCACTGGCGACAAGCTTAATGGCGTGGAAACTGGTTACGAACCGTGATTTGCGACACATCGTGTGGTTTGCGGAATTGGCCGAATCTCTCGGCGCCGAACAGCACCGGACCGTGGTGGGTTCCGGCAGCATGCACTCGCGACTTCGTACGATAACACCCATATGCCCCGCACGACATTCCCACTCCACAACCGGATGCCATACATGGGGGTGGAATTTGATGCAGAGGGCTAGCACATGGCCCTAAACCGCAAGTTCCTGAGGTGATGCACTGAAAATTAATAAAAAAAATAAATAAAAGTTGACAATTAGAGAGGGGTTTTGCGCAAAAATGGACCATAATTGATAAATGTTCTCGTTTTTTTTGAAGGGCATCATTGTTATAAGAAGCAGAGGTCTTAGGCTATGAATCGCAAACTAACTAGTCAATTTGAGTTCAGGGGTTAATTTCAAGTAAAACTTTACAATAGGTTATTAAAGCGTTTCCCAAAAAAAAGAAAAGAAGAATTTTTCCTTGTAGTAAAATTTTGAAAAAAGACCCCTCTCTAATTGCACACGCGTCTGGGAACTGATAATAATATTAGGGTAGCTTTTTTTGGAAAACAGACTGTAGAAATGTCACACATATTAAGAAAAAAGTAATAATAAAATCGAAAATGATTGCAAGAGCACGGCATAATCAACACTCCTATCCATCTACTTATAATTTCGTTTGCCCTCTATAATATTATTGACTGACAAAAGAATGTAAAACACTTACTGCATTTATTGAAGTATACGAAATGGTAAAGAGAAAGAGGAAAGTGAAAGGAAGAATCGACGTTGCTTTCATTGTGTTATGTGCTGCCAATGCATATCGCTATACTCCTTTTATAGGGGATTATGGATTTCATCAAAAGCCCAAAAGTTAAAATCCCCCAAAAGAGGAGGGGGGAGAGAGGGCGGGGCTTACAACCGGTTCGGAAACCTTATTCAAGCGTACAATTTTGGTTTCCCATATACTATAATTTACGTACAATACTGAACATAAAGATCAATTGCTCGACCTTGCTGAAAATTTTACTACAGCTTTTTGAAAATCCGTTTGAATATCATAAAGATAAACGAAAGTAGAAAAAAAATGCGCAATGCGATTTTGAAGTCTAAAAACCGGTAAAGATGGAAAATATAATATTAGTTCGTATACTTTACTTTCGGCATTTGCAAGGCATCTAGTTTAAAAGAATAAAGATTCACGGGGTTTCGAGATGAGTGAACATCTCGTCGATATGTAATTTTCGTGTTTTCTAATCATTTTTCGTGTTTTCTAATCATTTTATTAAAACAATGATTTTTGATCTGACGAAAGTCACAATATTAAAAAATTGTTCAATTGGTCAGAAATCCGCATATATTGTCGAAGTCGCACGACTACGAATGGCGTGGTCTACTGTAGAGTTGGGTCTTGCAACATGTGTGTCGATTTACGCCACGTTTCTGGCATCTCAGACAACTCAAGTAAATCGAAATAAATATTTTGAAATTCATTGAGAAACTGCCGTGTGTTTATAATATTTTAGATTTTTCTCAATGACCTTTAGAAATTATTATAAGATTTTATAGTCAGGGCGACTGCTGTACACGGGTAGATTTACGGGAATGCGTCTTTCGAAATGGTCTCACAAGGATTAACCGGTTATTTCAAATATTTTACGGACCGGTTCGATAATTTTTTAATCGAATGAAATTGGAAATTCAAGAAAATTCGAAACTCATCAAGGGGGTTAAATACACTGCTCGAGGGTTAAATACACTGCTCCACAAAAGTTTAGCCTCACCCATATTTTTTCAACAAATGACACGAAATTTCAAAAAAAAAACGCTTGTATTGTTTAAATATGGCAAAAAAGATTTCTTTTTAGTATCCCATATTAGATTTACACTCACTGAATCATTAAATAAAATTTGCTTTATTTTCCATAGATTGCGCTTTACCTTTTTTTAGCAACTAAATTAAAGTTTCTAGAAGTCATTAGTAGAACGATAGAATGAAAATGTGCACCGTGTTGTATACGGCGCTATAAGAGCAACAGCAAATTGACCGCGCGGCGCAGCGGGCTATCGCTATGTCCTCGGTAACAGCGAACGCCGCGCGGACGGCTTTCTATAGAAAAAATTGACGGACGGCGCGCGGAAGTTGTAACGGACGAGCAGCAGAGTCAGAGCGGACGCCAATGATCGAAAATTCGCGGACGCACATATCGGATACGATATCGTCCGACGGACGCATAGCGGACGCAGCTCGTCGTCCGGTGAGCGACCGCTGTGATTTACCGAGTCCCTTGCGCTGAAAGTCGCCGATTCGAGTTTTTGCGCTGTTTTTCATTTTCTGCTTTTATTTAAATAAGTATTCTCGACTTTTTTACCATTTTTTAAGCACCTAAATTAAGGTTTCTAGAAGTCTAGACTGAGGTTGGGCTCAAAACAGCCCGTTGGCCCTATTTTTCGACACTTTTTGCATATAATGCGAACCATTGTTGTATATTTGGGAGGGGGCGGGGCCGAGTGTATTGTTTTTTTGTGCATTGCATCGCCGTGATTATCTATTGTTTAATTCAAATTCTGGGAGATAATTACAGCGACAGGTGGTGATTAGCTGTTGAAGTCATGTGTACCGTTTATCCCTGTAGTATTGAACTGGAGCATCAGAAGAACATACGTATAATAGCCGCCAAAATATCATAATGAGCAAATGTTAAAAAGAAATAAATTGCAATAGATTCATTTTCTTCAGAAAATTTATTTTAAATAAATTAAAAAAATGTCTGGACTGATAGAAGCTTTCGATAGAATACTCAACATCGATGCTCCAATTATTCAAGATACATCAATTCAAAAAGAAAATCTTGTTAGTATATTTCCTTCATCTGGTAGTAGTTTAAATCAACATGGAGAAATTAATTTTATCATAGAAACTTGTGATCAATACCTTCTTACATCTACTTAGAAGCTTCCTTGACTAAATTAGACTCTATAGCTTTAGCTGAAGGTGATGAAGTTACATTGACTAATAATGCTCCATTGTTTTTATTTGATAAAGCAACTTATAGTATGGATGGTATGCAAGTTGAAAATGTCATTGATCCTGGAAGAGCTTCACTTATGAAAGGCCTCCTTTCTTATTCTTCCACAATGAATAAACAAAATACTTTTGGATGGATCCTTGAGACAAAGGATATCATGACTTATAAAATAAATAAATACACAAAAATAGAAACGGTAACCTTACTTTTTGTATTCCACTGACTCATATTTTTGGCTTTGCTGAATGTTATAATAAAATAGTTTACGGAAGAAAACACCAATTAAGTCATTATAGATCGAAAAAATTTATTCGAAAGTAATAAATGCCTTTTATTTCTAGACAATTTTAGAGTTATAATATTCCTAATGGTAATCTTGAATTTACTTGGGAACTTGGAACTAAATATGATAAGATAAAATATCTTGTTCTCTCTTTTCAGACTGAAAGAGACAACAATTATCTCAATACTGCTAAATTTGGTAATTGTGGACTTGAGGAAATCTATGTTGAATTGAATAGTGAAAGATATCCATACGAATATTTGAAGTTTGACTTTGATAAATTCAATGCAGTCCAACACTACAACTTTGCTATAGAATTCAGAAATAGTTATTATATTATGAATTAGTAAAACATTATTTACATTTTCATGAAAGAAGATGTTTATTATTATTATTATCCACTTTTAGTATTTGATGTTTCAAAACAGAATGATAGAATTATTGCATATTCGGCCTGATGTTACAATAAAAGCCAGCTTCGCTAAAAATATTGCTCAAGTACTAAATGTTACTGTTTACGCACACAACGCCACACGCAAACGCGTTGGACTAGAGTGGATTGCAGAGACGCAGAGGAATGTGAGAGACTGCCGGCATCGCATTCTCCCATTAACTTTTATGAATAGAAAAATTACTTCTTTTTCTTTTGTAGTTCGCGTTGATTTCGCGATTTCCCATCTGTGACTATCATTGTTATTTGTTTTGTTTTAGGTCTTATGAGATGGAATTAAGTTTAATTCTTAATCTACAAGATCACGAAGGATCTTCCCATCGCAAAAAACCATTAAAATTTGATAAAGAGGCTTGTTTAAGAATTCAATTTTATCCAATTCAAGTGTTTTATTTTAGACCTCAGTCGAGCAATTGAGCAAGGCGATCAATTCTTTATGGAACATCGACGAGAAATATCAAGAACTTTTTTTTAATGGCCAACAGATTCTTTCTCTTAAATCAACGCTTCAAGATATCGGTGTCAAGGATGACGATGAAATTGTTGTAGTAAGTGTTTATTTTATTTTGTTTTATTTTTTTTATTTTGTAAAAACACATTTTGCTCCATTGAGCCTAATGTTTTCTTTGATTTAAAAAAAAATGAATTTTATTCTTTTGAGGGTAAATTTAATGTTTTCTGAGATTCAAAATAGTATTAAATCATTATTATATGGCTAATTAATAATAAAACTTGACGTAATTTTTGAGGTTAATTGACTGATTTCAGTGCCATACTATGTTGATAAATTGGCGGACATACATCCAGATGATAAATGAAATCAAACGAATGACCACATCGGGTGTTACGGACCAAAGAAGGGAGATTGCCCTCAAGGCTCGCATTCAGCTGTCCCCACTCTATTCGTCAAACTTCTTTGGTGTGTATCCCAGTTTGGCAATCGAAGAAGTGAACATCGGCAAGAGTTTGAATTTCCTGATTCATAACACGAAGAAGTATCTTCACCGATCCGTTTCGGCATATTTTCAAACAGCTTATCCGGGAAAAACGGTGGAACTGAAGAATAAATCCGAAGAGTTTGCTGGAGTTCATGTATGTAATTATTGCTTATTATCTCTTATTTTTACACATTTTTAGCTCGGAGTTTTTGTGTTCATCGATAATGAGCCCTCTTACTATGCGAAAACTCTTGGAAGTGTTCCGGGACCTGACGAGTAGTTCGACTTGCCAAACTGCCCAAAAATCGATCTGATGGAAATATATGTTTACTTCCTTCTCAAATTAATTGGTGTGGGACCGGTGGAAGTTCATGTGATGACATTACCAAATCAGATCTGGTCTTCATCGCAACAAAATTAGGTGGAGATCAGTTTGATTGTTGATTTCATATCTGACAATTTAGTTGATAGATTTCGAACCGCTTCGGGAGTCTCAGCTTCTGAAATAATAGCGAGTACTTCTTCTGAAGGTGATATTTAGATTGTTATACATGAATCTAATTCAATTCATTTTTTTAGTAGGCGGACCAGTCTACATCGATACGGAAATGAGAAATCAAATGAAAATCTTGTCTTCCTTACTTTGCTTAAGCGATCTGCTCAGGAATAAGGGGAATCATGGAGTGGTGGAGCAACAAACCACTGAACTCGAAAAGAAGGGAGACGAACAATGTTCTATTCGTGAATTGAGAATTATCGACTTTGGGGTGATTTTTTTAAATATTTTTCTACAACTTTTTATATATATATATATAATATTTTTGTTATTTCAGATCAACCTTGGCATGATCGACAGCGACCCAAGCATTCTGAACTCTTTCTTTGATAACGCTTATTTGAATGCTTTTTTTGAAAAGTGGGAGCTTCAGAAAAATATATACAGAGCAAGAGAAGCAATGGATAACGTTCCTGGCCTGAAAAACAACCAGAACATTAATCGCGTGACATTCGATCGGTATTTTACACGCCTTGAAAAAGCTCTAACAAATTTTTTAACTAAATAATTTACCTATTCTATGTTCAAAATACAACTTACAATTAGGAATATTTTGCTATTTTGATTTGGTGGCTTAGCGCAATATTTCGACCACTGGGTTTCGACCACATTTTTTATAACGCACTTTTTGAAAATTCTGGGCCCCGCCCAGAATTCAACGTCCCCGAAGGAACAAATTTTTGTGTGGCAAGAAACGAAGTTATCAGTCAGAAGCTCTTCATCGCCGCCCAAATGGACGGCTAGAGCCTTCTGTCATCACTTAACTCCGGCCCTTCGCAAGGGCAATGCTCCCGAATCCCCTCCTTCGGCCGCGCCGTCTTAATGGGAAAAGAAAACCCCCCAATACCTCCCACGCGGCCGCGCCGCCAATTCGGGGAACTCTACCAAAGTTATACTACATACCTGGGAGGTTCTCTTCCCCTTGAATCGCGACTCTTCTTCCTCCGCGAGATCGCTCCATAATCCGCAATCAGAATAATAGAATTTGAATCCCGTTAAAAAAAACAAAAGGCCAAAAAAACGTTTTTTAAAAACCTCCTAACGCCGCCGTTAGGTTACTGTCGCCCCGCGCCGCGAGAAATCCAAGCGGCATTAATGTGCCGGCCTTTAACTTCTCCCCCTGCGCCTCCTTTGCGCCCGTTGTCTTTCCCTCAGCGCGCGTCATCTCTACCCTTTGGCGCGCGCTCTATCCGTTCACACACTCTCTCTCCGCGAGAGATATTATCGATTTCCCTCATTTTTTTCCTCCTTTTTCGTCGAATTCCCGCGGAATTTGACACACTTTTCGACCTTTTGGTCATTTTTGAAAATTGTTTTAAATGTCACATTTTTGAAGAGTTAAGACATGTTTATGTTGAAAATAAGCCTTAAAATGGCTTAAAAATGAGAAAATTGAGAATGGGCGTAAAGATGCGCCCGTACGATCATGCTGGCTAAACTCAACACACACACAACGCACACCAACAACACTGTGCTCGTTAGCACTGTTCAGACACGCCCATTGATGCAATATTTGTGATTGTTACAACGATGATCAATCATTATTAACATTGTGGCTCGCTATGAACTATTGCTTTTTCTATTTGTATTTTTGTTAGTTTTATAACTTACTTATATTTTATTCTTGCCTCGTTTATTAAATAAAAGGTTTAATTACCCAAGTTTGAGGTGTCAAAACATTGGTGCATCGACAATTCGAACTTGGACGCAAACGTGTGCAGCAGAGAAGCCACTCAGCTGTTAAGTGGAACGTTTGAAGTCGACGACATTGGTGTGAAGTCGAAGACATTGGTGGGACGTCGAAGACATTGGTGTGAAGTCGAAGACATTGGTGTGACGTCGAAGACATTGTTGTGAAGTCGAAGACATTGGTGTGACGTCGAAGACATTGGTGTGACGTCGAAGACATTGGTGTGACGTCGAAGACATTGTTGAAGACATTGGTGTGACGTCAAGAATTGGCTGGACGTAGAAGTTGGATAATTTTTGGACGACTTGGTTATCACCCTGGTAACCCAATCGACGTTTGGAACAATTTCATTGGTTCGTGGGCCATCAGACAACAAGTGATACGGAGCTTTGGAAGCTCACCAGTTTGCCTGGGTTTGGAAACCAACTGGTTATCGCGGACGACAAGCGGAGTCGAGCAGTGCAAATTTAACAAGTCAGTTTATTTACGATAGATTCACCCTGTTCTCTTTTTTTTTTTTTTTTTTTGAGATAATCTTGAATAGTTCTAACATTTGTTTATTTTCCAAATTCGTGTTGTTACCACGTAGGCCTGAGGGATCTAGTTCGGAAAAGCCGACGGCTATAGGATTCAGAAAACTTCCGGAATTGCAATACATTCACGAAATTGCATCATCTTTTATTTTCTAATATCTTTTTCTTATCTTATCGATTCAGCTCAATATTAATCATCCCTATAACGCTAAAAATAATTGGATTTCTGGTTGCCCGTTATAATTGCATGACTAACATATAACTTTGCTGACAAAATGTCAAGTCTGTCGAGTCTGTTGGGGCTATGTACCAAGGCAGAAAAATTGTTTGAAGAAGAGTATTTAAAATTAGTTGCTAAGCAAGGAGTATGGGAGAGTGTAGCTAGAAACCATGAAGCGTTGGAAGAACTGGTGGATGAGATAGAAGAAGAAATGTATAAGATGGAAACTCTAGCAACGAAGGTACAAACAAGGTTGGATAAGTTGGTTGAGACGATAGATGAGCTTGAGGAAACGACACAAGAGGACGAAATAAAAGTGAAAACCAAAATGATGAAGAACGAAGAAATTCAAGACAAAACTGATCGCATGACAAACTTGTACCGACCGAAATTATTCACACTGAAGAAGAAGTTGAAAGCAAACACAGGAGATACAAGAAGACAAAATGTTACGGGAAACAAACCGTTGAACATCGGACTACCAGAAATACGTATACCAGAATTTCATGGGAATCCAAATGAATTCGTTGCATTTTGGACCATATTTGAAGAAGCAATATGTCAAATGTGTTGAAATTTTCATACTTGATGAATGCATTGAAAGGAAAAGCAAAGATTGCTGCAAGCAGATTCCCAGTAACCAATGAAAACTATCCGCAAGCAATCGCCTTTATCAAGGAGAAATTTGGAAACGACAAAATACGAGTGAAAGAATTGGGAAAACAACTCAAGAATTGTAAAGCACAGTCGAGTAAGATCGAAGATCAACAGATGTTATTCGACGAAGTAGCGGCAACTTTGAATCAATTGGAAACTAGCGGAGAAGCAATGGATATCGAAATGACCAGAGAATTGATTACGAAGAAATTCTCGCGAGAGATCCAAAAGAGTGTCTACCGAATGCGTGAAGAATCACCGGAAGATTGGAATTTGACCACACTGATGAAAAGCCTGGAAAAGACTTTGAAAACGGAAGCGAATGTTGAGAACGACTGTGAAAACGAACAGGTCAGAGAAGTGAAACAAAATGTGGTTCGAAGAAATATAGTTAACGAAAAACAATTCCGGTGTTATTTCTGTGAGAAAAATCACCGCGCAGACAATTGTCTTAATTATTCTTCTATTGATGAGAAATGGAAACGAATTAAGGAGCTCAAAAATTGTTTTAATTGTTTAAAATCTGGGCATTCCTCAAGAGAATGCAGAAGCGAGAAATGCAGAAACTGTCAAAGAAGTCATCATCGATTGTTGTGCAAAAACATAAATAACAGGAACAATAAAGCACAAAAAACAACAGCGAAGAAGAAAAATGACGGAGGGAGTCATCAAAACGTTTCAATACCAGTACGACAGGAAGATCAACGAGAAGTCAGTCGAACACGTCAAGCACATCAAAATTTTGTGAATGGGACAGGCGACAGCTATTTACCTACAGTTCAGATGTGGGGATACAGCCCAGCAACGTCGGAGTGGAAAAAAATCGTCGTGATGCTTGATTCTGGAGCGAATTCGACATATGTGAAAAAGTCAATCGTAGAAGACTGGCAATTGGAGATGATTCGCGAAGAATGGGTGAAACTACAAACATTCGGACAAATCGCGAAGAATCCAGAAAAATACCAAGTTGCAAAAATCTTGATAGACAAAGGAAACAACCAAAGAATTGAAGTTGAAGCGACAGTAAAAGATTATCTTGTGGAACCAATCGATAAACCAGTGCTGGATGACCGTGATTTAAAGTTCCTGGAAGACGAAGGTATCACTATCAATCCGGAATGCTTAAAAACAATATCAGATCCCGATGTAGTTGTTGGTAATGATTACATTTATGAATTCTGGATGCAGCACACACTTCCATCAGGATTGACATACAACTTAACCACAAATGGTGCAGTAATCACTGGACGTAGAGCTGACCATGATGATATGAAGATGAAACAGGAAAACTCGACACGACGAGTGAATACGGTAGTGCGCAACGTCGTAGAAAACGTCATTGAATTTGAAGAAATGAAACAAGGAGAAATCGCTGGACCAGTGAATGACGAAATTCACCAAGAAAATGAATTGGTACTAAAACGAATTGAAGATACAATGGAAAAACGAAGTGATGGATATTATGTGGAGCTACCGTGGAAGGACGGAGCTGAGACTCTACCAACAAACTTCACATTAGCATTAAAAAGATTGGAAAGTGTTTTCAGATCCTACCCTATTGAAATACTACGTAAGATTGACGAAATTTTTAAAACACAGTTGAATCAAGGAGTGTTAGAAACAG